TATAATCTGCTACCGCTTTTCTAGCTTTTTGCTAGCGTTTTATTTATAGATCCTTTGTTTGTTTCGCTAGATTCCTTGGTATTCTGGCCTCTATCGTGGCTATCGTTCTTAGTTTAAGGGTCGCGGTTCGATATTATAGTCGAGCTTGCCTTAATAATAGGTTATATAAGTGTCGTCGTAGCAACCGATAGTAGCTCTAAGACTATACTCTAGGTATCTTGCGTATCCTCGATATATATAATATTAGTTATTATATAGATATAGTAGTTTCGCTAATGTTTTAATTCGTTTATCGAGTTCTTTGACGAGTTCTATATTAGCTTATATTAATTATCGAATATTATTAATTAGATTTGCGGTCTTTAGTGATATATTATATTGTCGATTAAGGATATCGTTAACGATATTTATTATATTAGGCCTAAAAGCTTCTATTAGCTATTTAGCCTATTCTATATTATTCGATATTTAGACGTTATTCTCGTTATTAGACTCTCCTATAGTCTTAGTAGTATTATCTCAGGGGTTCTTTTAAGGCGATTCCGGAATCTCCTAAGAAGTTTCCTAAGGTTTAGGCGTCGCTAGAATTTCGATTAGTGTTTCTAGGATACTATATCCCTAGCTAGAGGATTCTTCTAATAGATCCAGCGAGTTAATATTCTCCTAGGGACCGTTCTAGGTCTATTCTTGACTCTTAACTATTTCCTAATTAATCTCTAAAAAACCTTCTGACTCTCTTTGGTTAGGTATACTATTATTAGCGGATTTTTCACGTATAACGAATACATCTTCGCGTCTTAGGACCGGTATCTATATAGTACTTAGATTCGGTTTATATCTAGTCGTTTTAGGGTCTTTACTAAGGAACTTCTTATCTTAGCGGCTATCGTTTATCGCATAGAGTTACTAAGTTAATACTCCGGTAATATCGTAAGCTCCTCTATCTTAGATAGCTTGTAGCTACTATTATTTACCGTTGTCTAATACTTTCTTATAATAGTCTTTTATCTAGTGGCCTAGCTTACTATAGTAGAAGTAGAGATTCTTTCTTTTATATTCTTTTTACTCTTTAGTTAGGAGTCTCGTTATATTAAGTTCTATAGATCTTGGTCTATAAAGGTTATTATTATATAATTCCTTTACTAGATATTACTTTTGTTCTTATCTACTATTATAGCGGCGGAATCCTTGTAGGATATATCTAGTACTATTTTATTATACTTCTTGTTATTACTATCTACGTTCGTAAAGCCGGTTATCGAATTTAACTACGATCTTAATTATCTTTAAGAGATTAGTTAGTCGGTCGATTCTTATAAGTTTGTCTTTGACTTCTTCCTTAAGTCCTCGTTCGAATAGCTAAATATATATATCGTTATCGTAGTCGAGATACGAGATAATCTACTAGAATTCGGCGGCGTAGATATTAGCTAAACTAGTTTATTAGATTCGCTTAAGTTGTCGTTCTACGGTTTATTACGCGTCGATATCTCCGAAGGTCTGTTTGAGTTTCTTTTTAAAGTTAGCGTACGACCGGAAGATCGCTTAGATGATATCTCTTTAATCCGATTGTTTCTTCTCGTTAAATTCCCTAATATAGGGTTCGAATTAGTTAAAAGCTTGTTCTCGAAGGTAGGTCGAAGCGTAAATAACCTTATCCGCTTCTTCTATATAATTAATAATACGAAGCTATATATCTATCTAGATTAGGAATCCTCGAAGCTTAGATCGAGTTCTATTAAAGAAGTTAGGTTTCGGCGGTTTTATAGATACTACTAGCCTAGTCCTTTCCTAGATAAGTTGCTCCTAGAGTTAACTAATTATATTTATAAGTTACGCGTTAGTTAGAGTAGATTAGCTCGCGGAACCACGCGAAATATTGTTAGCGTTATCGTTGCCGGCTATTATCGAATAACGTCTTAGATACTCTGATTAAGACGGGCGTTTAAAGTATTATATATTAGTCACCTATAACTATTAGCTGGAACCTAAAGGTATACTTCTCTTAAGATACTAAGACACGTGGGTCTTTCTAGTTATACTAGAAGGCTAGGGGTCTTTTAGTATTAACGATATCTGGCCTCGTAACTGTACTATTGCCTTATCCGTTAGGCCTTATATAGGCTCGGGTCTATTAAGGTATCGAGGAATAATAAAGATAAAGAGCGCTTAATAGGTTAGTACTAAAGTAGCTCCCCTATTAGTAAGTTAGTATCTTAAAAGAATTAAAGTATAACTAAGACGTTAGTTTTGCTAAAAGTAGCAACTTGATAACTAAAATAAGTTAAACGCGAAGGACTAGATATATATGGTTAAATAAGTGTCTTTATATATCTAGCTCTCCTACCCCGTGTATACCCCTCTAGGAGTAGATTACGGAGTAGCCGTATACCCCAAGATATACTCCCTGGGAGTAGATCTGGGAGTCACGGTCACGTGATACTTGGCCCCTGTTAGTCGTATTTCTTGCGCTGCCCGCGCCTCTTTCTCGATTGGCTGTAAGGTCTTTTTTTTTTCCGCTAGCGCCAAAGCACTAGTTGCGGCTGGGTCCGTAACAAGTAATACCCTAAGATTTTTCTTTTTATCCCCAAAAAATTTTAACCTAACTAGCTAATATTATTATTTTATATAAATCCAGAAAAAATATTTAAAATAATTCTTTTATATAATTAAGACTATAATATACTTATATATTAATAAAGAAATATTAGATATTAGATTTATATCTATTTTATTATTTCTAATATATATAGTTTATTTATATAAAAAGTAGTAATACTACTATAGACTTTAAATATATATTTTTAGGTTTAGTATAAGAAATAGTTAACTAATATCTTCTTTTACCTATATCTATCTATTATAAAATATGATTCTTATCTTAAAGTATTAAATCAATAAATTAATATATTATATATTCTAAATATATTATTACTATATAATATTCTTTTTATAAAGAGTTATAATTATAAGTTATATTAGAATAAAAACAGTATTTAATAATAGTATATTATTAAAAAAGATAAGCAAATTATCTATCCTAATTAAGAAATTTATACTAAAATAGGTTAAAAATAGATTAACCTATTAACCCGCGGGTTAACCTATAGATAGGTCAGGATTTTATTAACCCAACCTATAGGTCGTGGGTTTAGGTCATGGGTCAAGATCTTTGACCCATGGGACGGGTCTGTCCATGTCTAACCCTAATTTTGTTATTAATTCGTTAAAGATTTAGTAGTATTCCTTTATTTAAGCTAACTTTTTATCTATTAGGCTATTTATTATAATTTTTATAGATATTAAAGTTTTTCGATCGTTTCTTAGGTAGTCTATAGGTCTTTATCTAATTAGGTCTAGTTAGTTTCGGATAGAGGGGTTTACGATATCTTTTCGGGAGTATTACTCTAGTATATTATAATAGATTAGGTCTATAAGATTATCCTATTTCTTTAGGTAATCGAAGAGGAAGATTTAGAATTATAAAGAATATATTTAATAGAGTATAAGGCCTATTAATTAGATAAAGAAATAAAGGGAAAGAGTAAGGAAAGTAGTATATCTTTATTACTATTAAGACTAAATCTTATCTTACTAGCTAGATACAGGAGTATTAATTTATTATATAGTATCTTCGTAACTCTATATATCATCGATAATATAAACGACTAGGTCTCTATTATATATTGTGATCATTCCACTATAGGGTGGATCAAGCAACAAGTTCCGACTTCCTTCAGGATCATGTGATATCACCTGATTCACCTCTTCTGTCAGTTGGGAATAACCTTATGCCTTGCCATCTTGGTAGACCCTTTACAGTTGGACGAGAGATATAAAGCTATGAACTTCCGGCTGTTAGTCGTAGTTCTATCCTCTTAATCTATAACTAAGGATAAAAGTTAGATTTGCTTCGTTTTCGCCTACCCGTTAATATAAATATAGCTTAGGAAATCTCTGATATATGATTATCTTAGAGTGTTTTAATTATACTAATATTAATCCTAAAAGAACTAAGTTTAGCCGAAAGCTAGAACTATACTATACTAGTAGTTTAGGCTTCGTCTGAACTTCCTAAACTAGGCACGGAGGTTAATCTTATTGTAATTAACGATAATCCTACTGCTATTAGATTACTATTTAGCCTTATTATAATTTGTATCGAAACTAAGGTTTAGAAATACCTAAATTTAGCAGAGATTTAATTATTAGAAACTTTCCTATAAGAATAAACAGAGAAATCATCTTTAATCTAACGCTGGTTACTATACTAATTAGATCGCTAGTTTACGAGAAGATAGATAAATTCTAAACGCCCTATTAATTATAGGTAGGCTATGCTTAATTAAATAAATAATATACCGAAAACGGATAGTTAAGCTATAAATACGACGAAGTACTCTAGTTTACTAAAAAATTAAGTTTTAGCTATAACTCTTTAATATTATTCTATTAACCGCTAGAACTTTTATAAGGCGTAGCCAAGGGTATTTATCTAAAGACGGATATAATATCCTATGATTAGTTTAAAAACTTAAATATTTTCTAAGTAGTTACGTAGCAATTAACTAAGCCTACTAATATATCTTCTAGCGAGAATCTATCGCGCGGCTATTATATAGCAAAACCTACTAAATAAAAGATATAGTACAAGTAAGAGAGTATTTTTTCTAAATCTAAAAGATCGTAGCGTTTAATAAAAAATACTAGGATTAAGAAAGCTCGCAGAGCTAAGTTATCTCTTAAAAGCTAAGATTATTAAGATTAGCTTAATCTAGTAGCTATTTCGATTTGTTTACCGTGTCCTATATTTATTAGTTAATTATATTTATTCTATTTTAGGAAATACTCTAATACTTTAATCTAATCTATATATACTAAATATATAAAAACGTGAAGATATTATAGGGAACGGAACTAAGTGCAGCTAGAAGGCTGTGGCTTCGTATATATGACTCGCCAGAACCAAGATCGATCCCAGCAGGCCTTCGTTCTTGATTATGGCTACGGATGGCATATGGTATATGCTGTCCAGTCAGCAGGCTGTGAATCTGGTCGGGAAATGGGTCGAATCCGAGTTGGCAGAGATCAACCCCGGCTCGTCAGAACCGAAATCTGAACCGTTTGATTTTGGTCAATTTTGGAAGGGGGTGAGCTGGAGGTTTGTTGAGGAAAGGACAGCAGTTCAAGATAAAATGCTGCTGTACACCTGGTGCGCCACTCCCTTGGTGGAAATCATTATGAGCTGGTGGCAGGGCGGCTAGCTTTTAGCGCTCCACAATCCCGGCATGTTCGAGATGATATGACGGTGCAAGTGGTGTTCTTTAATGGCCCAAAACTGAAGAGTAGAGATCTGATCAAAACAAAACGGTTTAATGAATCATGGAGAGATATCCTACTTAAAAGATGGACTCGCTTCTTAGATATCCCAATAACTAGTTGGATATGATTACTTCTTCGCCAAAACAGTATCGAAAAAAGTTATTTATTGAAAACCCCAACTCAAGGAAACAAAGACTAATTATCCAGCAATAGTTCCATTTGATACAAAAGCCATCAAAAGAAAGGCCTAGCTTGAACAGGTTCAGAAATGAAGGTTGGCATTCCACTTTTTGTTCGGTCTTTCCCCATCTCCTAGGTCCTTCGTGATTACTATTTCCAAGGGACGAGGCCCTTTGGATAATACTGGATTGGTCGAAGAAACCAGAAAGTAGCTATCTTCGTGCAAACCAGCAAAGGCCGAGCCAGCCTCATTAAAAAACCTCCTGAGCCAGTTCCCGACATCCTTTTGTGCAAGGGTCTTCACATGAGCAATAATTTGCTCCGAAATCTCTTTGGGAGTATGTATGGTATAAATAGTAATCACCTTTAGACGTTGGGTATACCAATCGAATACCAATCGACGCTAAGTGTCGTCGTAACCTGGACTGTGGCGAGAGGATGCTGAGTGAAGACACAATCATGCTTGAGGTGTTTATGGATTTTACTCCGTCTTGGATGGTAGAACATAGACTGGTCAAGATTTTCTCGGCAATGTGGTGGCCTATCTTCCCCTGATTTGACCATCTCAATCAAATGACGGAGATGGAATGTAATGCTGAAGCATGGGCAGATATCGATCTCGCCAGCATAGCGCATACAAGGACGTCGCACATGAAGGAATTGTGTATGAGGTAGTAGTATTTCACGTTGAGATAATTATGGACCTCGAGGAAGTGGCTAGATATAGCGTGAAATGTGCCATTTTGTGCGTGGGTGTTGTTTCTGGCAGCTATAGCAATACTTCCAGTAGCTATTCTCGAGTCGGTGCAGTATTTCTTTTCTCAATCATTCACATAATCTCGTTGAGGCTTTGTCATGGGCTCCATTTATATGATGTTTATATATTGTTATTTTATTTAGGTTTAGGTAGGGCAATATAGTAACAGATATTGTATATGTACAACAGTGAAATCTATAGGGTAGGGCTATTAAATCTCTTTCTTTCCACCAGTTCAGATTCAGTTCGAACGATTCAAGCCATCTGCAATCGAGTTTCCCATATGCGACATAGTAGCCTGACTTCTGATCATAGGCTGGATCTGTCCTGCGTGAGTCAGCTCTAGTCTTTTGCTAGACTGCACACCAAAAAGACCTGCCTGGATAGATGGCATTCTAGAGGACCTAAGAACATTAGTTACATACAAGGCGTTTCTAGGGGAAATCCACAATTAGATCAAGCTTTTAGTAAGGGCTTGAGAAGATCTAGTGGGAGTTTGTGTTGGGGTTGGCGTTATGCCAGCAGTTCTTCACCGCCTCCCAGACCGCTCTGCGGCCAGAGATCCAGTAGAGATAGGCAGATAGATCTTCTCTCCTCTCCTGGACAGACAACTGATTTCTTCTGTGCTTTCTTCTCTTTCCCCAGATTCGCTCTCCAGTAGATGCTCCAGCTTCCCCTCGAGCCTCATCAGTTTGTCCCTCACTAGCCAATTCGGATCTAGCCGATCAGCCTAGGACTGCCAACCAGTATGGCGAGAACAGTCAAGGACTGACTTACGCTACTGTAAATAGCACAATATACATCACTGAGGGGTAGCAAATTTAGAAGGCGCGAGTTGTCCTGGGTGTCTTGTTGGCGGTGGCTACATGGGTTATACGTGGTATGATATTTTGAGAAAATGGAGGGATCATCGAGAACTGGGGCCTACCGCAGCCCATTCTATTCCTTGAGGTGTTGACGTTGACAGAAAACTGGCTTACCGGATAAAATTGCTCGGCCCCGTCTCGCCCTGGTTTCTGTATCTCCAGTATCTCCATTTCCGGGGGCCGGCCAGGATATTCTCTGATTGGCCGAACAATTTATATACCTGAACGGGACTAGCCCCGTCCCGTGGGGGCGGTTCATGCTTGTTTGGGTCGGAGCCAATTAAACAAATGCGGGAGATTTCTTGTTGAGATGGGTTTCTGCCAGCAGTCCCACACCGATTTCTAGACCGCTTTCGCCGCAGATTGGTAGATAGCCAGATAGCTGCTTCTCTAGAATGATTATCGATCTGCCTGTCATCTCTACTACATTTCTACTACAATTCTACGTCAATTCTACTCCAATTCTACTTGAAAGATGTTGCTGAAGTATCGTTGAGCAGACCCTTCCTCGGACCTATCTTGAATGCCTTGAGGCAAGATCCCAAGGTCAATAGGAATGAATCTGGTGTGTAAGATACTCGGGGGGCATTCTGGCCCCATCCGCCCCAGCAAATTAGCTCGTCTGGACCCGGGGCCAAAATGCGGATCTCGTCTAAAAATACTGCACTCGCTCCATATACCGAACAAAGTCGGTGGTGCATTAGTTCATTTTACGCTGCCTGTATAAAACGGTTGGGCCAGCCCTACGAATTTAGGCCTCCCCAGCCAAGTCTTCCAATTGTAACAATGAAGTTGCTTTTCCCAGCCACGATCTCGGCATTGGTAGCCACGGCCTTGGCCACACCCTCGGTCACTACCCAAGAGGGCACCGTCCATGGTGGAAAGTGCAGCGATGGGAAAGATGCTGTCTACTACAAGGGTCTCCCCTTCGCCGAACCTCCGGTCGGGAAACTGCGATTCGAACCTCCCAAGGCCTGGAGCAAGAAGTATCCCGGTGGCAGCCTGAATGCTACCACCCGTGCGCCAGCCTGCATCCAATTTGGAGATGAGATGATCCCAGACCAGAAGAAGTCCGAAGACTGGTATGTAATGTTATGAGCTTCATCTTCACATTGCGATTTATGACTAATGCCTCGGTCTCCGCAGTCTTTATCTTGATATTTGGGCCCCATCTAAGGCCACCAAGGATTCCAAGCTCCCTGTCAAGGTCTGGGTTTACGGTGGATCCAACACCGCCGGTGGAATCGATTATCCTCTCTTCGATGGCTGCAGCACGGCCGATGATGGCGCTATTCTGGTCTCGCTCAACTACCGACTTGGGCCCCTCGGGTTTTTGACGCTCAAGAGCGCCGGCATCCACGGGAACCAAGCAATTCAAGATATCCTGATGGGCCTCGAATGGGTTCAGAAAAGCATCTCGGCCTTTGGCGGTGACCCGGTACCTTTTTCTCTCTTTTTCTCTCCCTTCCAACGCGAGGAGGTGACCGCTGACGGATTTCGACTTAGAAAAAAGTTGTTCTGTTTGGACAATCGGCGGGGGCAACAGACGTCTTTACTGTTGCTACTCTGCCCCAGGCGCCTCGTCTCATGAATGGAGCCATCGCCGAATCGATTGCTTTGCCGTCGTTGGTAGAGACCCAAACTGCTCAAAAACTAGGCGCATCATATGCCAAGGTTCTTGACTGCGGTGTGAAGGATGTGAGTCAAGGCCCTTCCCTCCTCCCCCAGAGAAATATGATTGACATTAACCGTCCCATAGAAATCATGTCTCCAGTCCAAATCTGTGGCGGATCTGCAGAAAGCCGTGGGCTCCGATTCCTACATGGACCAGGGACTCGGCGCAATCTCGGGCATCGGTGTTCCAAACAGGAAGACACCGCGATTCTATCCCCATGTGGATGGCAAAGTCGTTGAGAAGAACCCAGTTACTAACGGAGTCCAAGTCCCAACTATCATTGGATCCAGTAAGCACACCCGATCCTGTCATCAAGATACAAGCACGCGACTAACCACGTCGAAATCAAGATCAAGCGGAGGGCATGATGGACACCCTCACCAAGTACAACTCCGAGGATGTCATTGCCAAGCTCACCGCCGCCGATTACAAGACCTTCCTGGAGGGTGACTTCGGACCTGCCACCGAGACCATCCAGCAATACTACCCGCTATCGAAGTTCATGGACGCCGTCGGGGGCCAGAAATCACTCGGCGTCCTCGCAGCCATCGCAACCGTCCTGACCGACGCGCACTTCAAGTGTCCAGGCTACGAGAGCGCAGTGCACTCCGCCCGCAAGAACAAGCAGGTATACATGTACGAGTTCACCCATAACAACACCTGTGCCTGGCTGGACACCATGCCCCCCAAGGCTCTCCCCATTTTCGGCGCCGCGCACACCGCCGAGCTTCCCTACGTCTTCGGCAACCTCTACTTCGACTTCCCCGCCAACCACACTACCTGCAATGCCACGCAGGCTGAGTATGCGCTCGGCAAGAACATGATGAGTCTCTGGACCGCCATGGCGGAACATGGCAAGCCGTCCACGGATGAGATCCGTTGGCCCGAGTTCAAGATCACGCCGCATGGAACCAAGACTCCCGGCATGGTTTTCGATAACTCGACAACGCCTGGCTCTATCGATTACCATGCTTGTGAGCTGTGGGCTAAGGTGAATGCCATGCTGAACTCAAGCAATGGAACTGCTAGCAGCACGTCCAGCAGTACTCAGGCTAGCGGTACATCTGGCAGTGGCAGCAGCGGCAGCGGCAGCAGTGGAACATCAACACCCACCACTTCAACCAATGGTGCCGGAACCATCTCCCTGCTTGTCAGCAATACCATGGTTCTGGGCATGCTGGCGTCTGTGTCAGCTACATTTGCCTGTCTCGGTCTGATGTATTAGAAGAAATGACCGGATCTTTCCCTGCGGTACCTATATCGACTGGCTAGACGCCAGTGTCAATTGCTGGCGACAGTGGGTTGAAATGGAGGCTCAATTACTTGATATTTATCCTGTTATGATATGTATAGTAGAGGTGGTATGCTCTTTCTTGCGTCTACTTTAGTCTTTAGTTTAGACTTGAGATATTTAAGTCTTTTGTGAAAAAGCTACCATGCCGTGTAAGCGTGGCCGTGTCGCTTGTAAAGAATAACTAGTTATAGGATTTTCCTTACTAAAAAATCTTTCTGATATATATTAGATAAACTAGAAAAAGTTTGAGGAACGCTGCCATGCTTGTAGCCAACTTATTCTTTTCAGCGTTAGGCGATCACGCTTTAATTGAGGATATATAAGATATCTATCTAATTGACTCAAAATGCGAAGGTCTCTTCTCAAATCTTAACAATGACAACCACTAGAGAAACAAAGAAAAAAGTGACTCATAGCCACTGGTAGGCTATACAGTATAGAATACCCATCCAATCCATGGTTCTAGGATTTTCAAACAGCATTGACCTGCTTGGTCAATGCCCCCGGCTGCTCCAGAATAATCAGAGGCCCAGCGACAACACTCTGCTCAGTGGGTGCATCTTTCGTATCCGCAATGATGACAATAATGATGCTTGAGCCCGAATCAAACTCAGCAGGGATCTCAACGCGGTTCTCCTTCGGATTGTACGGTACACTGATATGGTGCACGCCGTGATAGAAAACAGCGAAGTACTCCTTTTTATCGAACGTCGGTTTCTTGTCCTTCCAAACAAATTCAATCGTCGAGCCAGGCTTGCCTGTGGTACCCTTCTTCTTGAAGGCAAGTTGGGGCAGGTGTTGATTGGGATATGGGTAGGGCGGGTTCTCGGAGGGGCAACTACCCGTCACAATGAATGTATTCGTGGAATCGAGGATCTGGTTCGCGTAGGGATAGACTGTATCCGAGGGACCAGAGAATGGGCTCGTGTTCCATGCGTCAATCAAGGCCCAGGCATTATGGCGGGATTCCACCTGGCCGATCGCCATCAGGGCAGACTTGGAGATGTTGAGATCGGCTTGGTCGATCAGCCCGGTCAGATAGGCCATACTGGAGACTTCGAGAAAGACCTGGAAGGCAAGGTAGGCCTCAGGACTCTTTCCCACGCTCTTGGCGAAGTTATATTGACATGGGCCAGGCTTGACTGAGTTTTTGGAGATCTGCTCTTGGAAGATTCGAACATGACCAGCTTCGTTGTCGCGCATCTCAGTAATACGCTGATAGGTTGTATTCGGATAACCCTTTTTGGCGAAGTCTGAGGAACTGAAAGTCTCCACACCTAGTTGGTAGAAGGAGTAGATAGCCCATTCCGCGGCTAGCAGGTTTTGGAAGAGAAGGTCGTCTTGACCGGCCGGGCCTTTCTCTGTCGCTGGGATGGGTTTGAGATATTGTGGAGCGAGGGGGGTCTTCTTGCCCGGGTATGTAGTGAAGAGGGAAGATTGGCCTGGCACTGCATCGCTGGGGCTAGCTGGCCCGGGATGGGCGAGGACTGGTAGGGCGAGTGCCATAGAGGCAAAGAGAAAAGAAGGAAGATGCATAGCGAATGGTTTGAGAAGAATAGAAAAATCTGCGACTGAATCTTCCGTTCAGACGAGCAGGTCTTATATACCCAAAAACCTGGACAAACATAGCCCCCATGGCTCCCATTTTTCTCAAACGGGGATAAGGTAAGTTGGTGATTCAGTCATGGCTAAGCATCAAGGATTCTCACGTTAATAGGATTGTCATGGTAGAGCTAGTCCTATTTAGGTATCTCAAATGCAGTTATCCATACGGCCTGACATAATTTTCTCGTTTATAAGCTTTGTGGCTATTTACAGAAGCAAAGCTTGGTAAAGCTTGGTACAGGAAATTACAGTGGGTGATCAAAAGTTTGCATACCCTACCCCTGACCCAGGGAATTGATAGGGACACAACAGCTTTTGTTAGAGACACAACAAATTATGTAATACTAATGATTATCTAATGAAAATTATTATGTGATCTGTATCTGAAATTTATTCCTATTTATATAACCTCCGCGTATAACCTATTTTTCTATAAATAAAGTACCTTGACGGTGCTTTCTTCCTTTTTTGTATAGCTTCACCTTTATTTATTTGCTGAAATTGATTTAACTTCTGTTTTTTAGGCCTTAGAAGAGGAACTAGAGGCTCTAAAAGTAGAAGATATTCCGATCTAGTCTTATAGAGGCTAGTTTTCTAAAACGGGTAGATATTAGTTAATAGAATAGTTTTAGAACTCTCTAATAGACTAGTAATCCGGTATACGTAAGGAAGGCCTATTATCCGTATAAACGTATTCGTATATAGAGATAAAGATGCTATTTTTGTAGCTCTTTTAGCCTTTAAAACTTACTCGTTAATTTATCGAATTAAATATCGAGAGGTCCTATATATAATATTAGTATAAAGTTCCTATAATAGTACTACTAACCTTTCGATCTAATCTCTTAAGAGCTTATATTAAAGTATAATATATTAGGCTTATAAAACTTATGAGATCTATTTAAATATAATTAATATATCTTCTATTGAAGTATCTATATATTTCTTTAAAAAGGTATATAAGCCTTTAACTCGAGAGGTAGCCGAATTACCTAGATATAGGTATTACTATATCTATGTAACTATAAACTTCTCTTTATAAATTAGCTATATCTCTTTAATATATTAAATAGGGGTAAAGGGATATCGTTTTTCGATCTTAAAAAATTAATTATTATACTTATTCTTAGTAATCGAATAGATTAGCTGATTCCACGATTATAGGAACTCTTGATATTTATCGTTCGTAGTAAAGTACTACTTTATATTTTAGGTTATATTCTTATTAATATATTATATATAAAATAAATATAGGTATTAAGGGCAGACGATATTAATTATACCTAATAAAGCAAGATCTCTATTAATATAAAGTACCGGATTAAAAGATAAAGGGTCAAGAAATAAGAAAAAGGTCCTTAAAACCCAGATATAGCTTTGCTCCTATTTATTATATATAAAATAGAAAGTAACGCTAAACGTTAAGTTCGATAGTAATATACTAATAATATATAATAGAGGTATCTTATATCGATTCGTCTTATAAGTACAATCTAGTATAAATACCCTATTATATAGGTTAGTATATCTAATTAACTCTTGATATATAAATATAAAAAAGAGAATATATCCTTTACTATCTTGCTTAATAGTATACTTCTAAGAGTCTTTTTATAAAGTCTTTAGTAGATATTTAAAGGGAGTACTATTACTAAGCTTTTGCCTTCTTAATATACTTCGAGTATTATATATATCGCGAGGCGTAACTAAAGTATTTAGATACTCTCGTTGAATTAGAGCGAGGATATTACGGGGTCTTAACCTAACTTCGGATAGATTCTGAATGTTTTGACGTTGCTCCTTTATAAGAGTATAGGTAGCTAGATAGCCTATTATATTATCGTTAGTAGTATAATTATACTCTAGGTTTCGTATCTTTAATTCCTATTTATTACTATTAGTAACCCTCTTCCTATAGAGCTTAAATTGATAACTAATCTATTATATAGTTATCTTTTATCGCTTTACTCTATCTAGAGCTTTCACTTAATTATAATAGATACTACTACGATCGTAACTAAGAGTAACGTTTCGATTCGTATTTAAAGCTATTATAGTAATAACGTAATTTTAAGAGAGAGTATATTAACGTACAAAGGCTATTAGAAGCTCTCTACTCTTAAAAGTCTACTCTATAGGGGGTTCTATATCGAAACGTAGAGAAATAAAGAGCTTAGGAAGGTAGAAAAAGAAGTACTAGGGATTTATAATCTATATATAATTAACTAGAATAATATTGTTATAGTAATCCAGATACAGATCACATGATAATTTTTATTAGATAATCATTAGTATTACATAATTTGGTGTATCTCTAACAAAAGCTGTTGTGTCCCTATCAATTCCCCCTGACCCACATAATATTATATAATATTCTGCTAGTCAAAAAACTCTTCATTAACCCCTATACTAGTATAATACTAATATTTGGTATACCAACCCTCTGCTTCGATAACTGCTTTCACCCGATTTAGCATCGAATTCGATAGATTTTGCAGAACCCCCTATTCAATCTTATCCTATGCTTCTTGCGCTGTATCAACCAAATGTTCTAGTGTAGTACTATTATTAGGTATATCTAGTAGCTCAGGGTGTAGCTCATAGATTTTTGCCTTTAATAAAGCCCATACGTTCTTAATTGGATTGAGATCTGGCGAATAAGATAGCTATACCATAGTATTAACCCTATATCGCTCCAGAAGCTCACGTACGATATACGCACGATGAACTGGCGTATTATTATGTATAAAAATAGTACTAAGTCTAAGTAACGTAGGTAAAACAACTCTATATAAATTAGAGATAACCTCTATATCTACGCCGCCGCGAGGTATATTAGGGTTACCTTATAATACCTATAGACTAGTATATCGGATTTCGCTAGAGAAAGTAGCCCAAAATATCTATTTTACTTGCTTTCTATATAGTCTACTATAAATATCTAGCTCGATTCGTTGCTGCGAGGGTCGATTAAAGGTATAAGGCTTTCGATAGCCAGCACCTCGCTCGATAGTATATTTATCAGACTAATAGACGCGAGCCCAATCTGTAGGGGTAAAATATTGATATATTCTTGCCCAATAAAGTCGTTTTGCTGTAGTTATATCATCTAAAGCAGGTCGACTAAGCTACCGCTATTTTCGAAGCCCTATCTTATTCAGAAGCCGTCGAATTAATATCGTTTTAACTTTATAATCGATATCAGCGAGTAGGTCTTGGTGACGCACGTGAGGGTCGGTAGTAGCTCTTTTATATATTCGATCGCGATTGTCTTTATTAAGTTTGCGAGGTGCTCCGGAGCGAGGTTTTGAATAATTATTAACTCTTTCATTCTCTCTTTTGATAGTAGATTGAATCGTTGATAGAGATATCGAAGGGTATGCTTTATGAATTCTCTTATACCCCTATTAAGCAGTCGAATGAAGCTCGCAAATACGAGTACGAGTATAGGGGTCGAGTTCTTTGCGAGGCATTGGTAAAACGAGTATACAGCGAATTGGCGAAGCAGTATATCTTATATTAATATTACATTTATTCTATATTAGTATGATATTTAGGGGTAAAACGCGTCGATATAGCGTGTATATACTAGCGTGTCGACTTGCGTAAGGTAAACAGCTATATTAATAGGTAAGCGGTCAAGAAAATGCGGTGTAGGGGTGTGGGGTAGGGGTATGCAAACTTTTGATCACCCACTGTAACTAATGATGTTTGTAATACTTATTATTAGGACAATACAATACTTTGTGTAATAACAGGGTTCGTTCAGGAGTTTCCTAGAGCGTACTAGTCTGTCTTGGTACTAGGCTTCGAGAAAGAATCAAAGAGTGTAGGAAGCACTATACAATATTATAAGCACACAAAAATTTTACAAGTTTTGCTTCGCCTACGTTGCAATGGTTCACTTTTGCGGCTCCCCCTTTATCAAGATCTTCACCGCGTCCTTTAAGAGGATATAGCCGAGTCCAGACCAGAGGGTAGTAGCGGCAAGGTATCTTTATACCCGAAGAGCTAGTAAACACGCGATTCTAAGAGAATAAGAGTAGTAGCAGGGGAAGGCAAGTTGAGCCGAGGGAAGAAGAGCAAAAAGAGGAGAAGGCAAATCGAGTCGGGTACACACGTCAGCGCTTCAGGGTTATACAGGAGTTTCGGGTGAAGAATAAAGGGGTATTCAGGGTATTCAGGGCCTTCAGGTCAGTTCAAGGTGAAGACCCTTAAGCACGACCTGAACGCCCTGAAGAATAGGGCGGCAAGGGCACTAGGCCGGACGAATCACAAAAAACGGGTAAACACCGACATACAACAGCCAGGATTCGCTGGTGGTCACCCACCCAACTACTAACTGGCCGGCGTGTGGCTTAAGTACGGCTGAGCGGACGGGAAGCCCTGTTCTCCACACCCTGTGGTCGTATGTACCAGCAAGAACAGTTAAAACAACTATAATGTCAACTTTGAAATTATATGACTAGGAAAGGAGAGTGCGCAATAGACAGGGTGAGAAGTTGGGTGATTTATCACCCACGTCGCGCGACTGCCGCATTGCCCCTCTCAGCTGAACTATTCCATACAATCAATGGATCATACCACTCCGCCTGAAACACTCCGTTGTCTTGGTATCTGCAAACAGTCACCGCCTCGTTAATATATATGCAAGGTCCAATAAGGACATATACTCTCCTCGAGGGCCCTTAAGGGTGTGGTGTCGTCCAAGATGATAAGTGGCTGTCCCTTATAAACCTGAAGGACCTTCAGAAGCGTTCTCGCTTAAAGATATAGTGGTCTAAGATATTATTAACTAGTGATCGGGCGGTTGTTCCCGCTCTGTATATTTAGGCCCTTTTATGATTTAGTGGAGAAAAAGGAGGGGGCTTTAGCCGATTCGGATTTAGATTCGGCCTAATCTACGCTCTGTCCTAGACACGCTACGCTATCGCGTAAAGCACTATCTACTCTTGTGACTATTTGTAGCGGCCCAATCTACTTAAGTCGAAGAAAAACTAGTATCTCCTAAGGCTCTCTATCCTATTCTATTATATTACAGACTAGCGCTTATTGCTTCCTTCTGATTAGACAAGCCTCATCCGGATCAGCGGCATACAATATACGTTACGCAGCGAATGTATATAAGCGTATTCTTAACCTAAGTAGTGACCGTAGACGTAAAGCTTATCTTACCAAAACGTCTACTTTACACTAAGCACTGCTCTGCACTATAGTTACACTTCGATATAGCACACCAGAAGACCTAAATTCCTTTATTTAGAGACTTCGCAGCTTCCAAACAGATCAAGAAGCCATGGCATTCCTTACGGAAGAAAACATACTTTCTTAAGATATCAGATCTACGACCGCGTTAAAGCGGTAATAAATAGGATGTTATAGATGGTTCACTTGCAAACTTTACAGAACGACATAATCAATGAGGGGTATTGCAAAGCCTGATATTGTTGTTAGTAACAATAAAGCCCTACCTGGTTAGCCGAGACTGCTTTTACTTTTATGTGGGTGGGGTAGAAGGAACTTTGGCTAGTTTTGCACTAATCCATTTCGGGGGACTCTTGTTGCACAACAAGAGTCCCCCGAAATGGATTAGTGGATTAGTGTGAAGTGATACAAGGAATTCGAAAACCTCACGCACCCTAGCTCTTGAGACTATCTATATATCTATTTAGGAGCTATATAAACCTTAGATGAACTCGTCTTTACTATAGCGTTTACGGGAAGTAGCAGATACTTGTAGTTATATATTGGTTGATTCAAAATCCAGTGGCCAAAGCATACGTTACGAATTGGGTTGGTCTTGACTCATTAACTCCCAAAGCTCATCTAATAGCCACTTTTACTGAACCTAACAATGAGCCTTCCTCCAAAAGAAGAAACCACACTAGGTCCTGGGATAGGAACGACCCCTCCGCATAGAATTTCTGGTGTACAGATTGCCCCTTTGCGGGTGAGTCTGATGCCCTACTAATATAACTTCATCGGCAAAGGCACCCTGGACGAGCTGAGGGACCAAACACGTCAGGAAGCGGAAGCTTATCACTTAGAGGTACCAGTCTGTTGGGGCACTATTGATTCGCAGCGAAACTACTTTGTACATTCCAGAATTTGTGTAAAGCGCATGCTCCTCCTATCATGGGCCGGCGAACTGGCCTATCGCTCGCAGAGCGGAGTATAGGAAAACCTATCAAACAAGCCAAACGCGCCTAAATTAAACCAAATTGTTTTGCTTTCCTATTCATCAAAATGCTATACTACAACTGCCCCCAATCACCTAACGATTTCCAAATTTGAGGAACTGGTGGTCCATCAATTCACGGGCCGTCTTTCTCTCCTCTGGACGCCATGTAAGCATATTCCTGACAAAGGATAAGAAGGCTTGTCTCTCCTCCTCCTCTAAAGATGGGATTGTATCCTCAAGTTTTCGGGCCGGTATCAGGTTTTCATGCAGAAATTCGCCTGCCGCAACAAAAAAAAAATCAGCGAAAAATGGACATACATGTATAAACCAGACCTACCTTTTTCATTGAAAAAGGGCCCATCAAAAAAGTCGCGCAAATTGCAGCAAACTTTGCCTCTCTCATTTTGAATAGAATCAGGCCACCTGTGCTCTGCCATAGCATCTGCTTTTGTAAGCAATTCTTTGGGTGGTGGGCCAAGCAGTGCGATCATTTCTGCCAGATGCGATTTAGCATCATATCGACCCTGACTATCATGCACTTGGCAAAATAGTTCTGCGCGTTCGATGATATTCCACACCTACAGAAGGTAGAATAAGTTAGTCCTGGATAGTTGCATTTTATATGGAGAGGATTCTGTATCCTTGCTGCAGCCGAAGGAAACAGGAGACATCTCTTACCATGACACCAAAATTCCATATATCTGCACTAAAATCCCAGCCACAACCAAGGATGACCTCTGGTGCACGGTAGTGATCCGGCTGTATAGGATGAATGCCGACTTCTCTCCTCCTTGCTTTCCCGTCTTGGTACTCACTATCGAGTCGTGTCCCCAACCCAAAATCAGCTATTTTGGGTACCATATTCTTCAGCTCCCTCCAGTCCAGCGCACCAAAGTCATTGTGACAGCGATAGACAGTTCGGCCAGTCGTTGAGTCAGTTTTGCATTGCATAGGAAGGCCAGTGGTTTGCTCTTTGATGAATCTAGAGAGAATACTTTCATTCTCGAAGCTCATCAAGATATTCTCAAGCTTTAGGTCTATGAGGAACGTGTTAGGAATTGATTTTCTTAGATAAATAGGGGCTAGACGGAGAGGATAAGTTACTTGCCAGTATGGACAACTCCGCATTCCGTGTGCAGATAGTCAAGGCCAACAAGAAGAAAAAAAATATATGCTTTCGCGATCGGGAGAGGTAATCTCTGGCCCACGAATCGTCGCTGAAGGATCCAAAGCGGCTCCCGCATTGGTTCGTACACAAGACATAGGTGGTTTCCTTCCGGGCCAGCCACCTCAAAGCTTTCCAAACAGGTACGTATGATCGCATGGCCGCGGTGTGATGGGTTTTGCTGTGCAATATGTTCCTCGATATCGCGTTCGTGGCGAGCTTCGGCAGAATTGCAGTTGTTTATTATTTTCAGCGTTACCGACCGTTCAGACTGCCATTTATACCTAAATAACATCCATCCCATGTTAGTAGTTTGAATATCAACTGCGGCTAGCCCATAAACACATACCTTGTAATATCTCGCGCTAGCCATACCGTAGAACGAGTTCCCCAACCGACCTTCACCAGTAACTGGTACTCATCGGCAAGTATCTCCCCAGGTTTAGATGGGTAGAAATATTTGGAGTTATAGTCTGGACAGATCTCTTCATCAACAAGTTCGTTGTGGATGGGAACCGGGGAGCCAGCATGCAGAAGTTGGACCGGTTTGGTGCGGAGAGAGAAGAGCATGCATTTCATAGCCCGGTTCATTGATCGCAATCCAACCATGAGGAAGAGCAAATGTTAGAACTGGGAGAGTCGTGTCGTGGATGGACAGTGCACTGTTTGACTCGCAGTTTCCAAAAGAGAATGTAAAAGGTGTTACGGCCACAACGAAAGGAAAAGGTGCGCCTTAAGACATTGAGTCCTGGAAAAAAGAAGAGAATCAAGCACCGACATTTTAAGGTGTTGTTCGAGGACAAAAGAGCCAGGAAAGGGAGCACAGCTTCCTCAGGATGTCTTGGCAGGTATTACTAATCCATATCGCGGGATGGTAGCGCCGGGAATTTTGCCAAGACCTGGACCCACAAACAAGCGGACAATCTCTCATATCTATTCTTAGAACCACCATTATCATTATTTCCCCTTTCCAACTCGAGGGCACGGCTACTTGATTTCTTCGTTCCTTGAACCTGCCTCCTCCATGATCACTCATCGTCTCAACTGCAGGAATATTAAACATATGTCTCTGTATACTAAAGGAACCGCGAGACGCTTATAAATTACTTTAAAGCAATGCAAGAAGTGGGATATAATCGAAGTGCAAACCACCTTGCAGTAAAAGTCCAATTATTGATATGGCATTGGCCAACCCTTGAGAAATTTGAAACGAGAGAAACTTCTACTTTGCCACCTTCGCTCATATATCTCATACCCTCCACTCCCGCGCCTCCCTTCCCTCCTCCTTCCCAGCCTATCGCGGCCAACATAGTCCCAGTCAAGAAAAAATTGAGATGTTCTCATCGATTATCTCGAAGGGCCACTTCCTTCGGGGGCCTGCGGGTCTCGGGAGAGCTTGACTTGTCCGTATTCTTTCTTCGAGAAAAGAACAGTGCCGTCGGGATAAACATGTGCGGATACAACGCGGGCGGTTCCATTTTGAAAAACGATGGAAGCATGAAGAGGGTCGTTGTTCTTAGGGGTCGGATGAGGGTCTCCTCTTGACGTAGCCTGTCAGATCCGCAGGGAACATCCTCAAGGGGTATGTATACATACTGTAAGGTACCACTATCAACTTTATTAACCAGTTGAGGAACAACGTCTATAGCGTTTTCCGCATAGTTTTTAACCCATGCAACGTCCTTCGTTGTCCCATTGAGACTCCAGGCGAGCTTTTTAAGTTGCCGGGCTGCGGTGGAAAATGTTCGCGACATTTCTGGCAAGAAATTGAAGGATCAGAAGGCTAATAAGAAGAACAGAAGGATATAGAGTAATGATTGCGGAAGCTTGGAAGTTCAAAATATAGTGGATCGACATTTTACGCATCAGGGAGGGTGGACGAGCCTTTTATATAGCTTGTACATAAGGGGCTACTCCAACAATTCGAAATACAGTAACGTGAAGTGCGCCTCTAGATAGGTGGATAGACGCCTACTCAGTACTAATGGTGTGCAATAGCCATCGTGGATATTAATAGACAATTTCTGCTCGACTATTTCAGCTGCTGGCCTGCAGATCAACAGCACATGATTACCAATAAACCCTTTGGGTAGAGTTTCATTTGCCGCCTTTTCACAAGATTTAATGCATGTGAATCCACAATTTACTCGGTTTTAAAAACCAGGCTATGTGGCATGGCGCATGGGCTGTGGCCCTGCCACTGACGTTTTGACGAAGACGAAGTACCCTGCATTCCGTAACTCATCTGTTGAAGGAAATACGAGTAACGCGATCAGAGGGTCTAAATAGTGATACAGTGACTTAAATTAGTGTTTAGGGTATATCTGCACAGATAGGAATCGCGAGCTATTGTGTAATTAGTAATGCTGTGGTTGCTTTCCTAGTAGGGCCGACCACCAGGTAAACCTATCGAAATGTATGCTATGCATTACCGCCCTGGGCATGTGGGGTTGGGTTATCGACAACACGTTGTTTGGAGTAACGGCAAAAAGTTTTATTGGATTTTACAGAGAAAGAGCCCGCCCAAATTGGTCACCCGCAGAAGCGCCCATAAGTAGATGATCGCTACAACCTCAAACGGCCAATGTGATATTGGTAGCTGAGGCGGACTAACGAAAAAGGCATGTTTGGTCGTCTCAAAACTTAGGCGCCATGTCGGATCTATGTTATGCACGTTGACGGGCAAGGGTTTCCCTTGGATTATAAGTCTCTCTACCTGCAGGCAGAAGGGCGATTGAAGATGAAGTTCCTTGCCGGCCTCTAGCAAGGTGGGTTTTACGAGTATGTGTGTGCATAACAAGCGGGAACCATGTATACTGGGACCTGCTTATGCGACTGATAATCCCAGAACGATCGAGCGAATTACGACCCCAATGCACAGTCCTCCGAATATTATCGGTCTGGACTCGACTTAGAACCACAGCGTCCAATAGTGAAAATCCACCCCTAATCAGCCCCACTGTGATGCCGCGGTCACTTGCATTTTCCGCTAGTGGTCTTCGGTCCAACAGTCCAACATGCCCAGTCGCGAAGCGTCGCTACAGATCAGCAGTGGCGAACCAATCAATACGGAGATTCTTGGCTCATGAGAGTGGATGAAGCGTTTGCGCGAGGGCGAGCAGGATCCTGTCAAGAATCCGACTGTGAAATTGCTGGACTTCTTTACTGAGAAGTACGACGATAATGACCTGGGACGCAAGGGGTTGGTGTTTTGCGGTGGAGAAAAGCACCGAGGTCATCCCGACTTTGCGGAAAGGGGCCAAGCTGATTGACAGTGGGTTGATTGAGAAATTTGTTGAGCAATGGCGGAAGGCGTGGTAGAGGGCTGTCACCGCTGGCTATAGTTGCATTTGTATATTTTGATTCTTGACATTCAACACTATCAACCGGACATCTTTGACATGGGATAACGGCACAATTGATTTTATTCTATTAAAAGAAAAAAAAAGTAAATAACTATAGATAAACACTCAAAGACCAAATGGATACGTCTCGCCCTTCCCAAGAGGCGTGGCAGGCTGGATGACTTCCAAAGGCCTGACAGCCTGGGTCACATCAAACCAGACATAAGCGTCAAACTGATTATGCAAGAAGGCTTGAGAATAGTGCGAGATACGCTCAGTATCAGGACGATAAATGACACCAATGAAACGCTCGAGGCGATTCTCCGCAGACAAGGCAGCCCGCAAGGCGGGATCGATGCGGTCTCGACGGAGATCGAGCAGGAAGCGTGGGATGCCAGTGTCGTGGGCGAGCATCTCCCAACTATCGTCTCGAGAAGGCCGAACAGACATGACCTCCATGTCCTCGTCCCACTCGTGCGCGGCGGCGACGGTGCCGGTGTGGGTGCCACAGCCGAGGATTGCGACGTTCTGCGGACCGAGCCGCTCGCGGCACAGCTGGCCGATGTTGATCTCGTTGCGTCGTGTACCCATGCTGGTGTAGCGGGCGTCGCCGACGTGCGAGTTATGCGCCCACACAATCGCCTTGTGGGCCGGCCGGGGCCGGTGCTCCAGTAGCCGATGCAGCGTTTCGAACATGTGCGTGTCGCGTAGAGTCCACGAGCTGGCGGAGCTGTAGTACATCGCCTTGTAGTACTTTTCTGCATCGCGGACTAGATACGCGTTTTGCTCGCCGCTGTGGTACTCCTCGCCGTCGCGCACGTCGTGCTGCGCATACTGGAGGCGCCGCTCGAGAAGATCGCGCAGCATCTCCATCACCTGGCTCTCGCAGTTCTCCATGCCGCGCAGTGATGCCAGGCCGTAGGTAGTTGGATCGTCGACCCAGGGTTCCAGGCATCCATATCGCCGTCGTGCTTCCTTGCCGGCCGAGGGATCTACCCGGTCCAGGTAGTCGATCACAGCGCGGACAGAGGCACCCATGCTATACAGGTCCAGTCCATAAAATCCCGCTCGGCGTTCCGGTGGTAGGTTTTGGTTGCGATTGCGCATCCATTCAACCAAATCTTGCATTTCACGATTGCGCCACATCCAGGTTGGGAACCGCTTGAACGGTTCATATCCCTTTGCAGTGCCCCCGATCTGGGCTTTGGGACCTGGGCGAAGACGCACATACCGGTCGATTGCTTCTGCATCCGGCCAGTCTGCCTCGACTGCAACCATCGTGTAGCCATGCTTCTCGATAAATCGCTTGGTGATCTCTGCTCGCGCATGGTAGAACTCGGATGTGCCGTGGCTCCCATCACCCAAAAGAACCACCTGTCTGTCTGCAAAACTATCAAAGTGAGAGCCGAAGCTCTGGTCTTTAATTGCCGGTAGCGGCTCTACCGCGTTGTTGACTAGGTCCTGCAACTGGGCCATGGTTTTGGACACTCGGCGAAAAGATGGGAGTCGCATAGACGGAGACCAAAGTCTCGTGATTGCTGCGAATCTTGAGACGGGCCTGTTGTCTGCAAGAATCCATGATGTCTTTTGACTGCTCGCTGCAATAAAAATACGGTGGTGTGTCGGAGCAACCTCCAGCGGCGACACAGCATGAGATCACATCCGAGTAAGGGAACAGTCATCATGACCTCACCTCAGCCCTACCGCATACTCATCCCGTACTGCCCTGGTGGACCATAAGTTAGAGTGTGTGCCATGACGAGTTCTGCACTTTAGCAGTGGAAGGCTAGGCTCCAATGCTGTGCTCTGGGCGACTTCTCCCCAAGCTTATTGCCAGACATAGGTTCATTTCCCTCAAACACATCCATACTTGTCAGCCCCTCAAGTTGTACACTGAAAGAATGGCGCTTCCAATCAGCAGCCCCTCACCACGGCTAGACCGTTTCCAGCAGGCCATGGAATCGCTCTACGGCAGTTTCACCTCCATCTCAGACCCCGAGCACTGGACCCCGCCACCACGATCAGGCGGCCACCGCGGGCGCTATTTATGGACCGACGCGTTCGGAGTCATTAATCTATTGACGATGCAAAAAGAGTATAGTCGGGCGGGCGGGGGGAGTGTTCACGATGGCCGGTACCTCATACTAGCTCGGCGGCTGATTGAGGCCGTGCACGATATATTGGGTCGCACCCGAGACGGACGCTCACGACTGCCAGGGGCGACAGATCTCAATCCACTGGGCGGCGGATTGCGAATTGGCAAGACAGATGAGCGCGGCTCAGATGGCGACGGCCAGTATCACCACTATTTGACAGTGTGGATGTTCGCTCTTAACCGCATGGCCAAGGCATCGGGCGACATAGCCTATAACCGGCAAGCTGTTGAGCTGGCGCGCGCTATCCACCCGCGATTCTTTGTTGACCGGGCGGCACCGCGGCCTCGCATGATCTGGAAAATGGCCATGGACCTGTCCGCGCCTTTGGTGGCATCTGAGGGGAACCTCGATCCGATTGATGGTTACGTTGTCTTCCGGCTGCTGCAGGCGGCGGCCGTGGAGGCGGGCGAGGGCGAAGTGCTCGCAGAAGAGATCGCCGATTACAAGCGAGTGATGGATCGCAAAGGCGAACACTTTGTCTCCAGCGACCCGCTGGATCTGGGTATGACGCTGTGGACGGCACATTGGTTTTCGGACGAAGATTGGGCCGCGCGTCTGTCGGGGAGGTGTTTTGAGCAGATCTGTCAGTGTGCCCTGCGCCGTTTTTTCAGAAGTATTGTTTATCTTGGGATTGTTCGTGCTTACCTGACCACTCTCGACCAGATAACCTCTTCGAGATCAACCGCTACCTCGATCGCAACATCAAATTCCGCTTAGCATTCCGTGAATTCGGGACCTGTATGGGTGTTCAATGCCAATCAGAACAGACCACAGAGAAGGATCAGGCGGTCGATCTCAAGACGTACTCGGACGCCATCATTGCCGCTTGGGATCCGTACATGGAGCTGTCGATTTCCGAGGGGCTCACCCCAGAAGACCTTCGGCCGATAACTCGGGTGATGTATGCATCAGCTTTGATCCCTGGAGGTGAGTTCACTGCCATAAGTTGTTCGAGCCAATTTCCTGCCAGCTAATTGTCTATATCCAGCTTTCCGTGCGGGTTACTTGGGACAAGAGCCGAAGTCAGTGGGCGCGAAATGAGCTTGGCCCTGCAAGGAATGGTGGAATGATAATACTTCCATTTATTGTCTCATAGCAGGTTGGTGGACGGAGAATAGTGTAAACAGCGCTTCCATGCCCCGGGAAAATGCAATCTATCATCGATATATGGTATTCACACAAGGCCAGGTCCATTATCTGGATGCAGCAACATAAATCTCTATACCCCCGGAACACCAACAATGTCTCGCCACGCCGGAACCTTGCGGGGCAGTATGTAAATGGCATATACAGCGCCCAAGGCGACGCTCAAACCAGTCCACTAAAGAAACAGTCTCGTTAGTCACAACCGTGTCGGAAGAAAGTCATGAGGGAATCCCCATAACAAGTATGAACCATGTACCAACCTTTTCAAACCATGTGTGGAACCAAATGGCAGTCATGAAGAGCATCCACCACCCCAGCACCACAACTCCCCAGACTAGACGCGCCGACCAGGTTCTCGCCACTCCCTCTGTGCCGTTTGACTCGCCTGTCCAGGGGGCTTCGGGGTCGCTTGCCTTCCGCTCGCGTCCTCCCTCCCCGATAGGGCGCCCCGAGCGCACAGAAAAAGGAGACGCACCTGCGCCGACGGCCTCAAAAGCTAAACTCGCAGTCGCGAGAATCAGCATCAGCACATGTCCACTGATATCATGCCCGCCCCTCCACGCACCACCGGCAGCTTTGCAGGCAGCAGCCGTGAAAAGAGTCTCCAGCTGGGCCGAGGGGCTCCCGGACTCCGCACCAATCTTCTTCACTTGACCGAGAGCCTGTTCACACTTTCCGCCCGTAACCATGAAGCTGCGATCGATGACTGGCGGGCCAAAGAACCACTGTGTCATCAGGTACCAGACAGCCGTTGCCAGCGCGTAGCGAAGAAAGGCTTGGAGGTAGCGGCGTAGGCGGATGGGTTGTTGCTGTTGGGACTGAGGGGATTGGCGGGAGGACTGGGAGGAGCGGTATGCGGGTTGGAAGAGGAGGAGCGATGCAAACGCGAGGGTCGTCCACAGCCAGCCGACTTTAACAAAGTAAACATTGAAGACATTGTTCTTTCGCGCAAAGTAGTTGACGGGGCTGTCTGAATGATGTATGTCCGAATGGACTGACGGGGATAGCGGGTCTGGGGTTTGTGAGGAGTAGGAGGGCTGTCTAGTAGCTCGCGCTGTTGGTGAAATGACCGAAAATAGGGACCCCAGAACCAGGGTCGCCGGGTACACGACTAGGACGGCCGGGGAGAGGGTTGCCGGTCGCGTGGCCATTGTCACGGACACAAAAAGCGAGTCAAAGTCTCGGGCGGATGTTAACAGGACTTTAAACTGAGATAAAACATGGCAATGGCCGAGGATCTGGAATCAAGGCCGGTTGAAGATGACCACCCGCAGATGACATCAACTGCCGAGGTTGAGCGCCTCAGGCACCAGCGTCCACGTCAAACCACGAAGTACTTCGAACTTGAAAATGTCGAACATCCGCTGTGTGGAACAAACTGTGGTCGGCCTTTTTGGGTTCATGGATTATCAGTGCTATTCTATCTCCTTGCAAGGCCCAATATTGGCTTTGCAATGCTGGAAGACCTAGATGAGCATGTCGGTCTTGACACGCAGACTATATAAGGCATAAGTGATGTTGACGAAGCAATATTGCCGAGTACTTCCTGTTTCGTCATTAAACAACCTTTCGTTTTGTATATGGCCTCCCCATTGGTCTTATTCCTGCTGGACGAACATTCCACATATTACTGGAAGCGCTATTTTTGACGATGCAAAGCACAGAAATCATTGATATTCAAATAAACTCCATTTATCACGGGACATTACCCCCATGGTACTGGTGCCTTCCCTCTACCTTTTCCCAGCCCTTGACTTTGATAATGATGAATTGGCCATTCTGTTCCTTCCCTGTACCCAGGATCTTCTCCACCGAAGCCTGAGCACCTTGCTTTATCGACAAACCCGCAATATCGCCACCGAGCTCCGTGCGGAGCCACTAAAAAGCCAATCAGTTTGTCATCTCAAGAAAAGCAGGATTGATACGTACTCCGGGGGCAAATGCGAAAATAGTGAAACCCTCTTTCTTGTAATCGAGGGCATACTGAACAGTCAGAGAGTTTAGGGCTGCTTTCGTGATCTTGTATGCCGGGGAAGGCATGAATGAGTAGTTGCAAGAGAGCGCGAGAGACCCCACGGTAGCAGAGCTGACTTTTGTCAGAACAAAGAAGGGGGTCAATGGGGTCGTATTATCTTACATGTTGACGACTTTTTTCAGGGTGCCTTTCTGGAGAAGTGGAAGGAATGTCCTGGTCACCCAGTGCGCGCCGAGGACATTTAACTTCTTTGACTAGAGCGATAGAGAAGCCCATGATCTAAGAGATAATAGAGAAATAGGCTTAGAATAGGGTGGAGAAATAAGCTAAAGGGAGGATATAGCGACTTTTCTAGGGATTTTTCTCTTAGGCTTATATATAGCAATAAATATCTCAAGTACAAGGTCGTAGAACTAGTCTAACTATAGATACATAGACACAGCTCTTCTATGCACCCCGCTATTCCCGTCAACGCAAAATGTGTCCAAAATCTCAAAAGCTTCTTGGCCAATGCCTGATCATAGCTCGCAATAGTGTCTTCCCGATTCAACGAGAGCTAATTTAGCTTTCTAATTCTATCTATATAGGCTCACCCAACCTGCCCTTCTAGTGCAAATACATAGTCAAATTTAATTGGTAGCTCTAGATATAGAATATTTACTTGCTTTTCTTTATAATCTTAACTCAAATAAATTAGAATAAACTCATGAGGTGATGCCCCTCTCTCGATTAACAACTTGACAGAATCAAGTAGGCCTCTCGCAGCAGCATAATGAAGAGGGGTTCCTATGCCACTGTATATATAGAAATAGTACTCGTCACCACAGTTTTAATACATAATATTATTGACTGATAGACCCTCCTGAAGAACATACCTCAGAATCTCTAGCTGGTCATCCAATTCGCGCATTGCTGCGTAGTGCAAAACTTGGCCTTGCTGTAGAGAGGCACCATAGTTGAGTAGAAAGTTGATAGTTGAAAATTCCACCTCTCTAAATGCGATTGATAATAGTGTACAATCTCTGTATCTATCTCATCATTGATTGGGATTCGCTCCACGGTCAAGAAACTATTTAGTAAGTTCCTGTCATGAAAAGACGAACTGAGCGAGAACTGTGAGTATGGTATCGAAAAGAGAGAAAAAAAAATACGTGATAGAACTTAGGCAAGGGCTGGAGGGGTATATAAATCAATTGGAGTGTCGATATCCCACCTATAGTTAAGGAATGCCTGCAAAATTCCGTATGACGTATTTCGTGTGGCTTTCAAGAAAAGCAGAGGATTGATTGGAACGTGACAATCGAGGAGACCTTCAACGGCTTCGACCGAATCATGTTCTATCGCCTTGGAAAGAATAGGGACCGCGTTCTCAACGAACAGCTCGTTAGTGTAATTTTCTTGCAATTCCAAGAGGATAGCACGTATCCCCTCGATGTTGCCGGATAAAGCTGCCTCTCGAAGCTGAGTGATGCCACGATTTTGGGTGAAATCATGACGAAGTGTGATATGGTGGTTTAAGTTATGAGGATGGTGGAACTTGAATAGAAGGAAAAGAGGAGATGAAGGGGCGATCGTCCAGCTTATAAGTGCATAGAAGTGTTGTATCAGATTTTGGGTAAAGACTAGACGGGTGTTGAGGGTGGCAAGGGCACTCACTAGGCCGGAAGAACCAAAAACAGAAGAAAAAAGCAAAACATACAACAGCCAGGATTCGCTGGTGGTCACCCACCCAACTACTAACTGGCCGGCGTGTGGCTTAAGTACGGCTGAGCGGACGGGAAGCCCTGTTCTCCACACCCTGTGGTCGTATGTACCAGGAATAACATCTTTGTTCTTTATATAGCCTAAATCTAAGTTATCCAGGATAGTTTTTTTTCCCCTACGGCGCCGTTTGCCTATGTTTCGACCACATCAAACGCACAACCTCTTGGATAACATATATCGTCACCTGGGTGCTTGAAGCACCTACTGATGATAACTGGACAATTTAATAGTTTTCTGGGTTTCCTGGTTGCAGCAGGATGAGACATCACATCTGTAACTACTTTTAACGTCCATTCGTTGCCTTGAGAGAATCGGTGAGGCATGCGGAGCGGGTAGGTCTGTTGAATTATGAAACATATATGGATGGCCCTGGCTAACATCTCTTGCCGTATACCCGCTTGGCCGGATCACACAATGCTTCCTCACATTGACTGTATCATTAAGGAAGGCATGAGAATTCGCCCTGCGTGAATGGAAAGGTCTCAATTCATTGAAACAAACTATTCTATGATTTTGTTTCTGGTGCTTCCTGTGCATGAATTATTGCAATATATTAGACACCCCTCTATTTTCTCGGGTTAGCCTAATAGAGTATTTGAAGGATATAGACTTACTAGGTATCTAGAATTACATGCTTTGATACAAACTTACAAATGCTTGTGTATCTATTCGTCCTCTGCCAGTTCCTTGGCAGAGCTTCGCTTGTTAGGCTCCCACTGCAGCATCTTCCGCATAAAGCACAAAAACGACTCTCGCTCCTCTTCTCCCTCAAGAGTAGTTTCCCGCTCCTCCAGCGGAACCTGACTCGTTATCAGATTTTGAGTGAGGAAATCACCTAAGAAGTCGTATATCATCAGCGGATGTGAATAACAGAACTCGATCGAAAGTATAAGAACAAGAAGCTTCACTCACCTTCGCTAGAGAAAAGCTTGTCTCTCAGCTCGCCTCGGGCAACAAGACTAGGCGGCGGGGGCCCAAGAAGATTGATAATATCGGCAAGATAGGCTCGACTTCGGTACTTCTCGAATTCGGGGTCTTGACTGGTGAACAAAGAGCCGCCCTCGTAAATATCCCAGATCTATAAAGTAAGTTTTTAGCTAATTTCGGCTCCATAATATCAAAATCTTTGATAAACCATGCATCCCACATTCCATACATCGACACTGTATGTCCACGGAATGCCTAGGATTACTTCTGGCGCTCGATAAATATTAGGTTGGATAATTCCGAATAGTGCTGGTTGCCGAGCATGGTCGAACCAAAGTCGCATAGGACTGGGTCACCCAAGTTCTTGGGCATTCCGAGATCCCGGGACAAATAGATTATTCTCCCGTTGGTGTCCCCATCCTTTCTTGGAACAGGGTGTTGAAGCTCTTCCTCTTCAAGGTCGCTGAAGACCGAATCATCGTCAATACCAAGCATAATATTATCAGCATTTATGTCTGATAGAAAATAGGAGTCAGTGATTTTTAGAGGTAGACAAAAGCTAAGTCAGACCACAAACCTGTGTATATAATCTGGCATTCTGTATGCAGGTAATCTAATACCATAAAGACGCACAAAAGGACAAATGCTAGAACTGCTGATGGAAGCCTCTCTACCGGGTTACGGCGTAAGAAAGTCAATACACTCTCCCATAACGGAGAATGCACAAGACACTAGTGCTTGTCTTGGGGCCTCTCGATATAAAAATTGTCAAGCAACATTCTGACGGCATCACGTCCGGGATGATCCTTCGGGGATTGCTCTATGCGTCTATATATATTGAGTCTATATATATTGAGTTCATGATCGATTTGCTGACCTAGAGACGAGGCCTGAATAAAGATTTTCAGTATGACATAATCACGGCCACTATCCTTTAATTTTAGCAGTCAAAGCCAATCCACTGGAGACTTCAAAAAAATATCCTGATAATTATTAATCAGGAGCAGTCTCACGTTATATCTCGTGCAAGTCATGCGGTTGAGGTAGATCCAAATCCCAATTTGCCGACGACTTGATACCGCTCCTTGATAACTTCACCTATTCGAGTAGAATAATAACAGGAAGCAATATAGTCAGGAAGTGTCTCTTCTTCAATCTTGTGGTATTCGGGTATTCGAACGAAGTTGGGGTTGGAGAAATTAAGGGGCTTCCATCTCCGTCCAAGCCGGGGCAAGGGCCGCCGAAGTGAGGACAACATGATCTGATAGGAACTAAACAGCTTGATCGTATAAAAAGCTGGATATGCAAAAGGGAGCAGAATTACCGAAGAGCTAGACTTTCGAGTGTCCAATACATAACGAAGATAGTCGAAGATCACTAGGTCAGGTGATCACAAATAGTTAAACATCGTTCCAAGGTTGACTATGTTGGGACTAGGGTTCTGTCAGTCTTTCTCCACCGCCTCCTTGACCGCCCGCAGCGGACCTGTAGGTAGCAGATGGCTTTGCTTCTCTTCTTCCTCTCTCTCCTATAGATAGACAGACAATTTGATTCTATCTCTCTTCTGCTCCCTTTCCTTAGCAGTTCTGCTCTCCCCAGTTTCCCCTAGTGCTCCCTGAGAGACTAACTACAAGGCTTAAACATACATAAGCAAGCGTAGAGCTGCCGAATGTCCTAGAGTACGCAGTATGTCAAGCACCATAAAAAAATCCAGCAATCATTTAAGAAATAGGCCGGTGAGTTAGAACTTGGCTCTTTGACAGGGTTAGTGCAAGGCCTTCTCCAGATTGTAGACATACTGAAGCGTTCAAGTTCTTGCATACCCAATGAAATATGATAAAGGGATCTTAAGCTGGGAATATCTGGAGATATCACTGGAGAGGATAGCCTTGAAGTGCTTGACTCCAGCATTCATACTGGGCAATGCATCTAAGCGGTCAAGACGGTGTCATTTTATCTTTCCTTCCGCTACTAAGCACCATACCAGCATAGAAAATAGGAAAATGGCGGAGCGCGTTGGTTCCCAGGTTCTATTTATGTGTTTATTCAGTAATACTGAATGGACAAGGAATTACCTAGGATGCCTGACACGAAGCTGCCGAGTACTACTAATCCCTAAGCTTAGAAGTACATTGTCTGGCCGAAGAAATGCTTTCATACACCCGAGATCTGACTTTTTGGGTAAAGGAAATATATCGCCCTGGATGTAGTTAGAATTCAGAAAATAAATCGATCTAGGAGATACCTCTATTGAGCGAGACCGGAGTTTCTAAAATGGTATTGGTGCTTATACCTGTACTTGGTCAATCTGACCAATTGACCACCCCATGAGTTAATCATTTACTGATCAATCTAGCCCACTTGACCCTTCGTCTAGATAGACGCCCGCCGTTGGAAAAGGAGAGAAATATAATGAATTAATTCACTAATGAACTTTGGAAAGGCTGAAACAATGCACTGAAGACACGATGGATAAATACAATAAACAGGCAACATATCACCCAGCTTCTCATAATGTATATACCGGCTATCCGCACATTTGGTATATTGAAAATTGTGCCTTTGAGCTTGAGGTGATCGCTGTACAACTCGTAGCGCCCTACGGTTGATCTTGACTATCATAGCTCTATATGAAAGAACAAAGACCACAAAATAAAGCACATTTCATGTTGAAATATATCCTGGAAGGTTTGCTCTCTCGATGTTGGCAGCGAATCCGCCATCCCTTCCGGCCCGGGACCCAAAAAAATTTCCAACTCCCATCTAAATGCAGATGGATTGAGCCAACACGTGTGCCAGACTTAGTCTGCAGCCCCACAGTGATCACCTCTTTTGGGTCATCCTTGTCTTTGGAGGATTTGTGGGCCACGGAACGCCTGTGGTAAAGAATTAGTAACCAGACGTGTAAGCCAGAAATTACAACATACTGAATGTCCGCAAAGGTGATTCGTGAATCCTAAAGTGAATCAGTATAAGATATCATGTCTACGTGGTGAGCTTTAGGTCAACTTACAGCTGTCTCGACTCTCTTGCAGACTGTCTCTGCGACAGCATACCACAGAGAACCATTCGGACCATTCTTGCTGCCAATCTCCTCGAGAGGAGACCCAATGAATTGGGATCAGGGTTCGGGTTGTGTTTTGGAAACCCCTCACGAAATTGCGGCTCATGGGTTGACTTGGATGCTCTGAACGGAGAATCAGGAACGAAATTGACGCGTACAAACTTGGAAGCTGGAGATGGCAAAATGATGAATCTTGTAGAGATGTGGAATAGACAGAACAGAAGAGTATCCGCTCTGCTTAAATATTTCTCTGTCCAGCATATATTTAGATTAGCTGCCGAAATAAACACTTTAGGCATGATGTGCAAAATGCTTTCGATTTCTCGTGCCCATAGAAGCCTAAGCGCCGATGAGAAGACGAAACATGGATTGCAGTGCAGCGCTATTGTTGGCGATAGCGCCAAGGGGTGTATTCCCCCCTACTATTCCATTCCCTTTGCTGATTTGTTGGGGTAGTTGGCGCCATTCTATATGTAGGTTATGTAGCATAGCGGCTAGCGATTGGATCAGATTGAATCAGAAAGAACATGTCTAGTGGGTCCAGAAAGAGGTCTATACCAACAATCATATGCCAAGTCGAAGCCCAAAGCCCAGGGCCCAGAGGGTTTCCAGGCCGAAGAGACGCGAATGAAAGCGGTGGATTCACGAAGGCGAACCTATCAGGGACATCTGCAATGTTCCAGAAGACTGGGACGACATTGAGCCAGACCTCGATGCCAAGTAAGTACGATGGAATGGGATGGGATCTTCCAACCTCAGGGGATGCTGATCCATTCTCAACACAGTGATATCGATGCCCAAATTGAGAGAGCACATGAGAGAATCCAAGACGGGATCATGCCTCACATCTTTGAAAACAAGCTGAAGAACCTGAATCGGCGGAAGAAAGATCGCAAGAAAGATCGCAAGTGAGTATCAACGGTCTTGGGGAAATTCGGGAGGGATGATAATTAATTCGCGTGTTTGATTTACAGCGAGAAACGCGCAGACCGGACTGGCCTAACTTTGCTTCAGCTTACATTTGCTATTAGGATTCCGGGCGCGAAGGGTTACAATGAATATGAATTCATAGATGACACAGGGGCTTCTCTAATGCTACTCTTCGAGAATGATGTCTGCATACTTCCTGAACTGTCGCCGTATTTACAACCACCACAGCTCGGGTCGACCGTGACCCATACTGCAAACGGACGTGTCAAGGTGAAGACCATCGAGCCACCATCATCCACGACAATGTGCCAATGGTGCCATGGTACTCAGTACAGTCAATAGTCAAGCCAGATCTCGTTGATACTCAGGAAAGACTTTCTGGTATGTGGATGCGACTTGACAGTCAGGGTAGGGTCTTTGTTTCACTTCTGCAGGCTCCTTTCACTTCGCATGTTCGATGCAACAGCATGGCCTCGACCAGCCACTTTCAGATGCTGTGTTCTACTGGCTTTTGGTGTCAAAGAACAGAGGCTATAGAGAATTTGTAGGTTTCTGACAGAATTCGAGGGGTGTATTTTCTCAAGTAATCCATCCCCCCCTCTCATTAGTTAATTCAACAAGAGATGCCGGTGTCCACTGTTCACTTCCAATCAAAGAACCACACAGAGTCGAAGATACCCGCTAACCCGGACGGACGGACGGTGGTCGGATGGTATCCAACACTACATAGCAAAGGGGTGGGTGGGTCTTACCAGAGCGAAGATGGCAGGGATCAGTGTCCTGAAAAGCAAGACGAGAGCTTGTCTCGGATCGATCTCATCAATGAACATGTTCCTGTGCAAAGCGTAATTCAGACACAGGTATTTGGATGGATTTATCTCCCAACGTCTGTACAAGACATTCTCTGGTGCTTTCTTTAGTATGCTCGACCCTATTCTATGAGACTCATCTCTTAAGGGCCCACCACTATTATGGCCTGTGAAGTTAGAAGGATATCCCCGTTAGCGCAGACTGGATCGAGGCGTTTGACCAAGAACCACGCATGTGCGGTGGCTTATTCCCGAGATTTGGCTGTCAGCAAAAGTACCTCACGGGATAAGCGCAAGCCGCACCCGAGTGACGTTAAGACGTTACGGGAAAATAACACCGAAAGCTAATAAGCTTGAATAAAAGCCCAGTGATGCGTACCACCGATGGCGGACCCTGAAAGGTGTGGTGATCCACCCGGGTCAACGGAGGCAAGAAGGAAAAAGAAAAAAAAAAGCAACACGCCGAAAGTACTCCGAGAATGGGCACGTGATAGGGACTTTTTCTCCCCAGTTGCCGGAATCGCAATATTGCGACGGAACGAAAATGACCACACAAGAGAAGAAAAGTGATAATCATAGCAATCATCACCCGTTATTGATACCGTTGTTGATAGCTCCAACTCAAAGCAGGGAAATGCTGGCCAAGCATCGATCTAGGGTCATTTTGCCAGCTCAGCCCAGCATCCGAGCACACAAGAGACGCGAGCCGAGTCGGAAGCGGGAGCGGGATTGAGGGATGAGGTGGAACCAACATTCTCGGGCGTGGCAGTGATTGGAATACCGAATGCTCTGCACCTCCGCTTTTTTGGCAAACGACCAAACTGGCGGGTTTGAGAAGGGATTTCAGTTCCGTTAGGCGGATTCGCAGTGCTCGGATCAAGTGGGTTGTCGCGGTATTTTTTTTTTTCTCGGGCTCTTGTCGGGTCTCAGTCATTCGCACTAAGTCAGTGAGAGAGGGGGGGTATGCGAATCATCAAGGACAAGGAGTTATCCATTGAGAATGCGAGAGACAGTGACAGACAGTGACAGAGAGAGAGAGAGAGAGCGTATTCCAACCTCAGGCCATTCCAGGGTCCCCTGATTGGATCTGGATTGGCCCCTTTTTTCCTATGGATCTTCCCATCATAAACGAATCGACCTTTTTTTGAAGCCGGTAAACGTATTCTCCAGTCTACTTACTGGAGGGATGAGTCTGTGGAATGTTCGGTCCGTCGGGAACCGAGATAATACGGCCTCTATTAGTTCGTGAATTTTTGGTCGGAATTTCTTTTTTTTTTCTCTTGCGAAAGGAGCACTACCGGGGACGTGCGAAAATAATGACTGAATAGCGCCGGACCCGACATACTGGCACGCTAACAGCTGTCGTGAAGCCCAGGGGAGGGGGAAGTCAGAAGACGCCAGTCGGTGTGGCGCGTTTCTGTTTTCTCACTTCAATTCTTCTCCCATCTCTCTATATTTCCCTCATCTTCCGGGAACTCTACACATTCCAGTTATTTTCTGGTTTCTGAGTGGTATCACGCTTCACTTCCGGGGGACGCAAGTTGAACGTAGGGGAATGCACCATCACGCCGCCGGCGGGACGGCCATCGAGCCCGATGTTAGTGTCCGAGCATTCGGTGAAAGAATGAGCAGAAATAGAGAACTTCTAGTGGCTAACCTGCATAGACATTCTCCGACAGCGACTCGGCATATACTGGCTCGTAAGTCGGCCGTTTTGCATGTCACGCGTGTTGGTGTTGGTGCCTTATACTAAACTCCACAGCATCAGCCAGGCCAGTTACACCACCAGTCTTACATCCAGCGCATTGAATTATCAGTATGTATGCACCGAGAGACAACCCCCGTATCGTGAAAACTGTGAGTGGTGTGCTGACCTCGAGGCAGATATGAGGTATTTGTCACATTATGAGACGCTCGGAGCAACTGCTGATTCGAGTCATTAGAATGGACGCCGATATCATTCCTACCATGAAGGGGAATATTTTTTGGTATGTCTCATTGCAATCATGCAATATGCGCTTTCTTTTTCGTTCTTGTTCTCTCTTATGTTTGGTTTCATTTTTAATACTAACATGGACCAGCCAAATGATGAACGAGAACAAGATCGTCTAGATCTGGTCAGTGCTTCTCAGTGCTTCTTCAAGGCGCCAATGTGACTTGGTCTGGCATAAACTGACAGCAGCAGAGTCATCACATTTACTCAATGCTTCTCAATGGAGAACTCCATTTAGCCCCAGTCACAAAACCCCCCAGAGTATTGGACTTGGGGACAGGGACAGGGATATGGGCCATTGATTATGCAGAGTGAGTCTGGTTCCACACATTGATTATTTTCATGAATTCTATAACTGACCCAATGATAGTGAGCATCCAGATTCTGAAGTTATCGGTATAGTCACCATTCTTCACAGTTGATCTGGACAGTTACTGATCGTCACAGGAATTGATCTAAGCGCCATCCAACCATCATGGTGCATCTCACACCCAACTTCGTGATGGAATGCTTAACTAATAAATGTTTTCAGGGTACCACCCAATTGTCGATTTGAAATTGATGATTTTGAAGAACCGTGGTCCTACAGTCAACCATTCGACTTCATCCACGGCCGAGAGCTGGAAGGGTCCATTCGCGACCATTCGCGACTTTTCGAGCAGGCCATGGAAAACCTCAAGCCCAACGGCTGGCTTGAGATGTCTTCGATGGAACCCACTACGTACTCAGACGACGAGACACACCTCAACGCGAAATGTCTTCAAGAGAGCATTCGGAATTTGCGCTCAGCATCCAAGTCATTCGGGAAGGATCTCGCCAGTCTACCGACATGGAAGGACCGGATGGAGAGCGCGGGGTTTGTGAACGTCCAAGAAGTCGTGTACAAGGTATGTGCTGATTGAGCGATTGTGGACTTGAAGTTTTCGCTTCCTTTGATGCAATTCTGCGTGCAACGATATTAATGGTTGATAAGCTCCCCCAAAGTCCCTGGCCCAAAGACCCCAAGCTCAAGGAGCTCGGTCGATATCACCAGCTCAACATGCTTGAGGCTATGCCCCCCTACACATATGCGTTGTTCACACGCATGCTGGGGTGGCAGCGAGTCGAGATCGAGGCCCTGTTAGCGGGTGTACGGAGCGAGTTGAAGGATCTGTCCAATCATTTGTACACCAAGGTGTACATGGTATATGGCCAGAAGCCAGAGCAATGAAAATCTTCCTCCTTTTTGCATATGGGTGGCGTTCGGCTTGATTTTATGCCATGAAACCATGGGCGCATGTACATAGACCAAAGTTCATCGAGTACGCTCTCGCGAATTTCTTTTCTCTTCGTTGCCTGTGAATCTTTCTATAGTAAATTCGGTGTTCGTTCTGACGGCTTCTAATTTTTTGAGAGGCATGGCTCCAAATTCCACCCGGCGAGCCTCTCATAGTGCATTAGTGACGGTTAGTGCTCTGGCGTGATCTCCACACGAGGCTCATGGCACGTGGCGCACTGCTTTCGATCCTTGAATAAGCTAAAACTTAGTGTGATCGATGGATATATTGCCACAGCCCACTATCAAAAGTATTAGATCGAGTAATCAACTTAGCTTCTTGCTATTGGCTGACCTCATAAGTTGAGGCTATTGTTCCTTTAAGTGATTCTGTCAAAGCCATTTCCCTCAACTTGCAAGATTTGATCTCTACACACTAAAGCAATGAAGCAACGGCGTCATTATGAGCAACGAGTTGCCTAATTATTCTCTTTTAAATGGTTGGCCATATCCAGTCTATAATACTAGGTATAATATAAATAGCAACAAACACTTCCAGAAACCGCGAATACCGACATAGCCTGCTTAGCACCCGTAAATGCCCATCAGAACTACCATCTACATCTTCCACTCCTCTCCCTGTCTCCATTTCAACACCCGCACCACAGCAATCAGGGTCACGCCCGCAGTAAGCATAACAGCACAGAAAACCTGCGACTTCCAGAAAACAGCATTCTCCAGATCCAGCAAGGCACCCGCAATGGGGTTCCCAATCAACAAACCCAACCCGGCGAACATAAAGCACATCCCCATGCGGGTACCGACAATGCCCATGCTTGGGCTCAGGCGCGCGACAATAGTCGGCAGCAACGACACGATTGCCCCCGACGAAATCCCATAGATACAAGTGAACACGATCGTCCCCGCAATGTTCCGAATGCCAATCCACGCATAGGCCAGGACGGCAGTGATGACGCCCATGGGGATAATCGTGTTGAGGGAGCCGACGCTGTCCGCGGCGAGCCCCGGCAGGATGCGGCCGAACACCGAGGCGGCGTTGAGAATGGCAAGGCTGTAGAAAGAGAGGTCGTCGTTGGAGTGAAGGAAGTTGTTGAAATAGCTGGGGAGGTAGAAGAAGGGGAAGTACATGCCGATGAAGACAAAGAAGAGTCCGCATGACAAGACCATGAAGGGCACTTCTTTGAACGCGGTCATGTCGAGGAGTGGGCGGGCTTGTTTTGGTGGTGGCAGGCGCATCTTCATTACGGCGAGAGAGACGCAGAGGCCTCCCAGGGCGATGAAGGCGATGATTCGGGTTGTCCAGCCGAATCCCACGCGGTCGATCAGTTTGTGGAAGACGATGGGGTAGATTACGGAGCCTGTATCGAACGTTGGTGATATATTATTGCCTGGTCTCGGAAAAGTGCCTACCGATACTACCTCCAGACGCTGTAATCCCCGTTGCCAGAGCCCGTCGGGTAGTAAAATATGTAGCGACAATAGCAACGCTAGGGAGAAAGAGAAACCCACAGCCAATTCCAACAGCGATACCATGGGCTAAGAAGACTTGGTAATATTGCGTCGACAGCGAGGTCATCATCAAACCAAATACCACCAGGAACCCTCCGGCAATAACGAGGCTTCGAGGGTATCCTTTGTCGAAAATCGGGCCAGCGATTAGCCCAACCAAGAATAGAAGAAACCCTTGGATCGTGCCAATCCAAGAGATGGCCGATGGGGATTCCTGGGAAAGTAGAGTCGATTCATAATAGGACTGGAACACCCCAAAAGTGTTGATCACGCCCCTGCAAGAAAGATCAGTTAATGTGAATACCAGATAGGACTTGGGTAAGATCACCAGCAATTGAAGAAAATTAAAAATGCGCCCAATACCTGGAGCCAAGCAACAATGCCTCCATTTGGCGGGGGAGGAACAGTGGCTAGAGAAGTTTCGTTCTCCTTTCTGGACTTTTCTGACTCTAGAGCCAGTGATGCTGAAGGAGACGGCTCAGGAATGTATTTTGTCTCTGTCTGGGAAGCCATGCTGATGCCGGGTCAAATTTAACAACACAATGAATATTGTGAGAATTTTTGCGAAGTGACTACAAATAGAAAAAGCCATCTTTGCTCTCTAAATACCATCCCATCAGCATATACCACGTACAATCATACACTTCGATGCATTTATAAGCTCAAGGATAGCGAACGCATCCTTAGCCCCAGGAGCCTCCAAACAAGCTTCCACTTTGGAATAAGATTGCGAGAATTGTTGACGAAGCTGACAAGAGTCTTGATAGATGATTCTCATTTGACCCAATCAGAAAACATGCTTGAAGCTGACCTGTTGGAAAAAGACTTCGTAGTGGGCCTGAAGGATTGAGCCCTACATAAGATGATCTTCGCCGGGGCCCGCGGGCACCGCTCGGTGTTGCCTAAGGCCGAGCGGCGATCGCTTGATAATCTCCCATCTTCAGCTCTACTTTTTCCTACAATAGAAGTAAAGCTGAATATACACTTGCTAAATTGTTGCGATATATTGTTGTATTATCTTGGATTTCCTTTTTAGTTGGGATAGCTTGTTTCGGATTTATAGTATCAATGTAACTTCCTTGTCCATTACGGGACATATTCTTAAAATTACCAGCGACATTATGAGAGAATATTTGTAGGATAATAATATATACCCTCTTGGTCTATAGCAAATACCTTCGCCTAGACAATAGAGATAGCAAGTGCGGGATAGGTCACCTAGAAATAAGCTATGATAAATAAGGGGTGAAAAATATATATCTTGAAACCAAGCAAGTATGAGACTGGATTCTAAAAGATCAAGAGTCGATAACACAAACCAATTGGAAACCATGCTAAAGTAGATGCTCAAAAGCATCCTACTTATATCACTAGAGCATAAACTATTATCTACACTACGCGGCCAAAAGTCTGGGTACACTCTATAATTCAGATTTACCCTACTATATTAAAAACTGAATAACTCCCCTAATGTTAATTAATATAAATTTATACTAACTATATAAAGAAAATAGGTTAGTATCTAGTATACCAACCCTTCGCTATATATATAGTAGCTATTCTGCGAGGTATAGATCGAATTAAGCTATTAATAATATTTTAATTAAGTAGTTCCTATACTTTATATATAGCTTTTTTAAAGACCTCCTAATCTAATTTAGACCTTCTATTACCTAGCTAAGGATATAATTAAAGAATTTTAATCTTTAGAAATCGCTATACTAGTTCGATAGGATTAAGGTTAGATAAATATAGAGATTAGTTAATTATCTAAATCCTATAATTTTCGAACTACTTTTATAAGATTTCTATTATATAAATCCTCGTATTATCTTATTAGAATATTAAGTATAGTTTATATATTAGTAAAAGACCTTTTTTAAGAGTATCGAGATAGGAGTTCGTAGTATAACCTTACTAAGGTACATTTTTATCGCGATTTATAATTATTATTTTTATTCGGCCACTAATCTAGATTCTAGCCTAAATTATCTACGAAATATCCTTACTATAATTTACGAGGTTTATAAGATCGCTTCGGTAAGTCTTAGAGGTAAATCGAAAGATAAATTAGACCTTAGAATTCGATATTCGTTAAACTAAATATTCGTTAGAAAAGATTAGATTCTCCTAATCCAAAAAAACTCGTCTATTTATATATAAAAACGTGTCTTTTTTATATAACTAACTTTAATAAAGGTATTCGCTTCTTACTTTTCTATTTTCGAAATCTATAGTCTTTTAAAATACATTAAATTATTAATTAAGAGGGTAAATAGAGAGTATTTACTCTAAAGACTCTATAACTTATTTATAGGTTCTAATAAGCTATCCGATAGATATATTAAATAGTCTAATCGCTGATCTTAGAAGGTCTATTACTTCTAGACGATAATTTAAGAGTATAGTATTACTAAAAATAATTACGATTCCGGTAAATTATAATATAGCTAAGATTTAAATTGCGAGCGATTTTAGTAGGACTTAAACTATTTTCGAGAGCAAAAATAATCGCTACGCGAGTAGATTCTAATAATTTATTGTTTTGCCTACGATTTACACTAATTTCAGTACTAAAATATCGTATATTTGTTATAGTAGAGAGAAAAGAAAAAAGGGGTTAGAATATGGATTTTACTAAAGTAGGGTGCTATACCCAGACTTTTAGACCCCGTTGTACCTCAGTCACCTATGAAATTAAGCTCACCGCCTATCTGAGATCTATATTGCCCCGCCCCTTCTAATCTCCAGTTATTCGTTAGAGTCTTCACCGCCTCTGGATTCCCTAATACAGACAATGCTCATATACTATGGTTTGTGAGGTGTTTCAAAAAAATGCAGAGAGCACGTCCAGGGGACTTGAATCTTTCCCCTCCCAAGCTGAATCTCAGAAATAAGCTTTTTTTACTCTGCTTATGAGTCATGAATAGAACATTTTAAAGGCGGTGTCTTATTTAGGAGGCGGCCGCAAAGGCGGTACCATTCTACCGAACATATTTTTTTTCCCACTTCAATACTTGCAACAGTCTTTGACTTTGCGAACACCGTCAATCTTCTCAATCTGCTGCTGAAACCACGAACATAATGGCGCCCAACATTGAGGCTGAAGCGCCTCACAACAACTTCGACGTAAGTATCACCATCACTCTATCGAGGGTTGGATCAACGAGTTTCTCCGCAACTTGCAATCGACCACCCCTCGGTGGGGCGTGCAGACACAATCGACTCATAAAAGCAGAGTGAATGAATTGGCTAAAACTTGACTCTCTAGACGATCCTCGTTCTCGATTTCGGCGTATGTGAATTCCGGGAACCCTTCCTCCCTTCCTTCGGCCTGTTTCAGATACCGGAGCTTCATATACTCATACATGACTCATGAGACGTCTTTTCATGGCAAATGCTGACTCCCGTCGTTGTCGTTGAAGTCTCAAACAAGCCATCTTATCCTGCGTCGTCTTCGGTCTCTCGGTGTCTTCGCAGAGCTGCTTCCGTGCACCACCAAGATCGCTGATCTGTCATGGAAGCCCAAGGGAATTGTGTTCTCTGGAGGTATGAAGTCTGCTAAAGTATGGTTTGTGCCGAGGTCTGAATGAGCTACTAGGCCCTTCTTCTGTCTACGACGAGGGCTCGCCCCGTAAGACTTCCGTCTCCTAAACGTCATGTTGCCTATACTCATCTATGTAGATGTTGACCCCGCTGTCTTTGAGCTCAACGTCCCGATTCTGTGAGTGTTTCCACCCATTCTTCAATTCCTGAACCTTGACTAACGCGTGAGATCTAGGGGTATTTGGTATGACTTGCCTCGACATCGACACTGGTATGACACTAATAACATTCACCCAGCTATGGTTGCCAAGAGATCGCATGGCGCATCGACCAAACGAATGTTGCCCGCGGAGAAGCACGAGGTTTGCAAACTTTGGATCACCAATTAAAATGATTTCTGACCCCGTTCTCGTAGAGTATGGCCATGCCGACGTCAAAATTGCCAAGGTTAATAGCAATGTCGACCGGCTCTTCGCTGGTTTGGGGGATGAAATTTCCGTGTTCATGTCCCACTTTGACAAGCTAGTTAGCCTGCCTAAGGTGAGTGGGATGAGTTCCTATTTCCCGAGAGCTGTTACTGACTCCAATAGGGGTTTGTGATCATTGGTGCCACCAAGAACTCAGAGTACGCCGGCATCGCCCACGAGGAGAAGCCCATCTTTGGTTTGTCTCCACCAAGCTGCCTTTGTTCCCTAACAGGAGAGGATGCTAACACGAAATGATTAGGCGTTCAGTTCCACCCTGAGCTCGAACACGTTCGTATCCCCAAAGGCATTATACATGGAACCACATCTGACATTCAGATCCAGACACCGCGCGGAAGCGAGATCCTCCGCAACTTCAGTGTTGATATCTGCGGAGCGCAACCTAACTGGAAAATGGGCGACTTCGTCCCTCTCGAGATCGCTCGCATTCGCGATCTTGTTGGTGACCGAGCACTCGTTCTTGGGGCTGTTAGCGGTGGTGTGGATAGCACTGTCGGAGCAGCCCTCATGCGTGAGGCCATCGGGGACCGCTTTAAAGCCATTCTCATTGACACTGGATGCATGCGTCTCAACGAATGTGAGGAAGTCAAAGAAACGCTCGGCAAGCACCTGGCCATTGATCTCACCGTTGTTGAGGCTGGCGAGCTGTTCATGAGCCGTCTTGCGGATGTTTCTGACCCCGAAAAGAAGCGGAAAATCATTGGGTCGACTTGTGCGTATTTCAAGCTATTTGGGATGGATTAGTGACAGGGTACTGACGACATCGCAGTCATCGATCTGTTCGAGAAAGAAGCTATTAGGGTATGCTTGACCTTTTTGACAGACTATCTGGCTGGCTAACAACACTCGCAAGATCGAGAAAGAAGCGGAGAACACACCCAACACCGGGAAGGTGGAATGGTTTTTGCAGGGGACGCTGTACCCTGACGTGTAAGTTTTTTTTTTTTTTAAAAAAATTTTTTTTTGAGCCTATTGCTGAAGTAAAACTAATTACATTCTAGTATCGAGTCTTTGAGCTTCCGCGGGCCTTCGGCCACTATCAAGAGTAAGCGAGTCAACGAAGTCCCAGGAGCGGAAGACTGCACCCACGAAGTCGTGCAAAAGAAGAAACAGATAAAAGCTGACACTAGACATAGCTCACCATAACGTCGGCGGTCTGCCTGAGGTAAGCAATACTACTGTCCGCAACATGGAAATCTTGTAACTGATCAGCATGCAGCGAATGATGAACGGCGTAAGTCAAACCAGCCTGGCATCGTTTGATTTCCTTACTGACCAATATGGCTCGTTTAGCAAGGGTTGCGTGTAAGTGTATTCTGCGTCTCCGTATCAACACACAGAAAGCTGACAGCACTTCTATTCTAGCTCATTGAGCCGCTCAGACTTTTGTTCAAGGATGAAGTGAGGGTAGGTTAACCCTGATTGGGTGAATTCTGTCTTCGAGTATACTGATTAGTACAGGCAATTGGTCGACAACTTGGCATCCACGAGTCGCTCGTCAACCGGCACCCCTTCCCGGGCCCTGGCATTGCCATTCGCATCCTCGGCGACGTCACCAAGGAGCGAGTAGAGATCGCCCGCAAGGCCGACCACATCTTCATCACCATGATCAAGGAGGCCGGACTTTACGACCAGGTGAGTAGGGTCACATCAGCGAAGATGGGCGCAAGCTAATTGTTGTCTCCTAGATCTCTCAAGCATTTGCCGGTCTCGATACTAACCGCAGCGTCGGTGTCTTTGGTGATCAGAGAGTTTGGGGCTACATTGTGATTCTCCGCGCTGTTCGTACCAAGGATTTCATGAGCGCAGAGGTGTTTAACTTCGATAACTCCTTCCTCATGGTGAGTCGGCTAATTGTTGTACCTCGGGCTGTACCAAAGTGGAGCGATCCTATACCACGGACCCGACTCACTCAACCCTTAACTATGATTTCCTATATTGACTAACCTGTCTCCAGAATGTTTCGCGCACCATCTGCAACCAGGTAGATGGCGTGTCCCGTGTCGTCTATGATCTGTAAGTAGAACTATTCCCCTCTACTGGTCTCGGGCATTAAGCTGACATCGTCTTTCTAGCACCTCAAAGCCTCCTGGCACTATTGAGCTGGAGTAGGCGATATGGTAGAGGAGATGCAGACTGTAGATAGATCACTAACTGGCGTGAGCTAAGAAAAAAAAGATATAAATTGATTTTCATGGCGTTCAGAGACTCTACAAGAAAGACACATAGAACGAGAATAGTGATGGAGATAGAAGGCGTTGTCTCAAAATACCAAGGGCCTTTAAGAGTAGATGGAGAGCTGAAATCATGACAGTTGATAGAATGAACGTGCTCTTTACCGTAAGGCAGGTCCTAGCAGAAATTTACGACCATCGACGAGATGTATTTTAGGCTCTTTGCAATATAACAAGGAGGTTTCAAACTAATATTTCTAGAGAAGGATTGGGTGTGTTTCTGGATATATACGACTCGGTGCATACACAGGACATATAGTGATAGCTTAAAAAAAAGTGTGGTGGCGTGTCTCTTATATATACCGACTAAATAGAGTCGTATCAAGTGAATCGGCAAATACCATAGCCTTTTCATAATCTATACGTGAGTATCGCTCGACTAGACCTGGACAGACCCGCGGATAACCTATATAGGTCGACCCGTGGGTTAGCCTATGGGCGGGTCGTGGGTTAGACCTCTTAACCTATGGGCGGGTCAAGATTTTTTTAACCTATCCCGCGGGTTAATAGGTTAACTTATTTAATCTATTTAGATAGATACTTTATTAACTATATAACTTTTATAAATTATATTATTCTTAGCTATATTTTTAGGTATTATATTTATTTTAATTAAATAATTTTTTATAATAATTAGGAGAATAATTCTTAAAAAGTAATTCTAAAAAATATTATTTTAAATATTAATTAATTTTAATTTTAAAGCTTATAATTATTAAATACTTATAGATATTTATAAACCTTATTAAAAATCTATAGGAGGCTATAATTATCTTTATAATTACTCTTTAATATTTTTTACTATAATTAATAAGATATATTAACTATAATTATTAGATCTATAGTATCCTTTTTTTTATTATTATTAATTAATATAATCTTTTTATAAGTTTTTTAGGTCTCTTTTTCTTTTTATATAATTTCTAACTTATCCTACTCCTGAAGCTCTTAAATAAATATAAGTTACTTCTTCTTGACTTTAAATTTAGTATAAAGGGTCTACCAAGATAGTGAGGCATGAGGTTATTCCTAACTAACAGAAGGGGTGAATCAGGTGATATTATATGATCCTAAAGGAAGTCGGAACTTATTACTTGATCTACTCTATAGTAGAATAATCACGATATATAATAGAGACCTAATTATTTATATTATCAATAATATATAGAGTTATAAAGATACTATATAATAAATTAATACTCCTATATCTAGCTAGTAAGATAAGATTTAGTCTTAATAATAATAAAGATATACTATTTCTCTTACTCCTTTTTCTTATTTCTTTATCTAACCGATAGGCCTTATATCCTAATAAGTATATTCTTTATAATTCTAAATCTTCTTCTTTAATTATCTAAAGAAATAAGATAACCCTATGAACCTAATCTATTATAATATATTAGAGTAATACTCCTAAAAAGATATCGTAAACCCTTATATCCGAAATTAACTAAACCTAACTAGATAAAGACCTATAGACTACCTAAGAAATAATCGAAAAACTTTAATATCTATAAGAATTATAATAAATAGCTTAATAAATAAGAAATTAGATTAAATAAATCAATATTATTAAACCTTTAATAAATTAATAACGAAACCAGAGTTTATCTCCTATAGAAGATAAAGACGAGATTAAGATTCGAAATATTCTAATATTCTTAATTTATTCCTCTTTTTAATAAAGAGAAAAATAGCTTTTAGATCTCTCTCTTATTTTTAAAAGAGCGTTATAGAAATATTATAATAAGGAATAACAAATTATTGTAGCTCTATTATATATAGAACTTATTTACCGGTAGAGATAGTATCGATATATTACTAAGAAACCTAAGAAAGAATAGCGAAACGTTAACGCTTTATAAGCTTATTTCAAAAATTAGACTCTCTCTTATTAAAGATATTATAACTCTTATAATCGATATTATAGTATAACTATAAAGAGCCTATTAATACCTAGAATAGGATCTACGAGAGTTTTATACCTTTTTAGATTTATTAGAGCGATACTTCCTTTATTAAAATAAGAAAGAGAGAGTATTTATAATATTCTCAAAATTTATCTATAACCTTAGGTGATATATATAAGAATATATATATAAGCTATCTAAAAACTAAGATAGGATAGTATCCCTAGCTATTTATTACTAAGGGTTACTATAATTAACACGAAAATAAAAAAGCCCTAAAACCCTTAAAAGATCTATAAATAAGTAATTTTGGATAAATCAGTATTAAATAAACCGTAAACCTTAGGGACCTAAAAAAAAGACCTAAAAAAGTAAAAAGAACCTAATTAAAAAGGACAAAAAAACCCTCTAATATTATATTTATTAAAGTAAAACTAGACATAGATAGACCCGTCCTATGGGTCAAAGATCTTGACCCATGACCTAAACCCACGACCCATAGATCGGGTCAATAAAATCCTGACCCGCCTATAGGTTAACCCGCGGGTTAACGGGTTAACCTATTTTTAACCTATTTTAGTATAAATTTCTTAATTAGGATAGATAATTTGCTTATCTTTTTTAATAATATACTATTATTAAATACTATTTTTATTCTAATATAACTTATAATTATAACTCTTTATAAAAAGAATATTATATAGTAATAATATATTTAGAATATATAATATATTAATTTATTGATTTAATACTTTAAGGTAAGAATTATATTTTATAATAGATAGATATAGATAAAAGAAGATATTAGTTAACTATTTCTTATACTAAACCTAAAAATATATATTTAAAGTCTATAATAGTATTACCACTTTTTATATAAATAAACTATATATATTAGAAATAATAAAATAGATATAAATCTAATATCTAATATTTCTTTATTAATATATAAGTATATTATAGTCTTAATTATATAAAAGAATTATTTTAAATATTTTTTCTGGATTTATATAAAATAATAATATTAGCTAGTTAGGTTAAAATTTTTTGGGGATAAAAAGAAAAATCTTAGGGTATTACTCTTACCTAATTATTTAGATTAATAGGTTAATTTATAGATTAATCTATTAATCTATTTCTTACTATCTAATAAACTTTGTATATATTAGTAGAGTATCTTCTAATTAGTTATAAAATTTAGTACTAGGATAGTACTAAATTCTACCTACTAATAAAAAATAAGTATTAGATCTATATATTCCCTTAAATCTATGATGATTTATTTTAGATTATTTTTCTATATCTCGAGTCTCTCGCTATAAAAGGGTTATATAGTCCCCTTTTTACTAGATATAATAAAATATATACCTTTTTATAGTAGTCTTTCTACCTCTATTAGAACTAGGGTTTTAATCTATCTACGTATTTACTTATAGCCCCGGTTCTAATATACCTACGTAAAAAGGTTAGCTAGTTAGATTAAAATTTTTAGGGGATAAAAAGAAAAATCTTAGGGTATTACTCTTACCTAATTATTTAGGTTAATAGATTAATCTATAGGCTAATCTATTAATCTATTTCTTACTATCTAATAAGCTTTATATATATTAATAGAGTATCTTCTAATTAGTTATAAAATTTAGTATTAGAATAGTACTAAATCCTATCTACTAATAAAAAATAAGTATTAGATCTATATATTCCCCTAAATCTACGATGATTTACCTTAGAATTTTTTCTATATCTTAAGTCTTTTACTTTAATATATTATTACTATATCTCTTCTATATCTTAGTTATCTATCTTATACCCTCCTTTTTTTATTAAAAGTAAGGGATTTAAATTATCTATTTTTTATTCTAATTAATTTCTCGATACCTTTTTAGAACTACTAGAAAACCAGCAAATTAAGTAAAGCCTCTCTTCTATTATATTACTAATACTAAAACGATCTAATAATCGGAAAAAGATCTAGGTAATTTTTAATAGTATAAATAAAATAGAATTTTTAAACTAGTAGCTTAATACCTAAATTAGTGGTTTTTATAATATTATAAAGAAGATAAACTAAGAAGGTCTATAATAGACTAATATATAACTATATTTTAATTAAGTTATATATTTAGTAATAGGAGAGCTAAAGCTCCTATATAAATAATATAGTAAGATTATAGACTATTTAGTCTATACTAAGAATAGGATAATAGATCTCTAACGTTATTAGAATTAGAGTATATACTAGAAAAGCTAAAATATTACTAAATATTTAATAATCTAATATCTTATAAAATATATAATATATTATATAGCTATTATTTAATTTATAGACTAATCTTTCTTAGGCTAAGAACTTCCCTTAAATAACCTAGTTAGTTATCTAAAAACTATAAAAATAATAGTTAATTGTTATAATAATTATTCTATAGCTTCTTTTTTAAATTATTAAATATCCTAAATTCTAAACCTTTTTTTAAATAATCTAATTATTATTATTTATCTCTAGTTTTCTTTTTTATTAAATTATATAGCGTTAAATCTAAAGAATAACTTAAGATTAACAAAAAGATTTACTTTAAACGCTTTTATCTAAGGCTAAACTCTCTATTAGTCTTAATTATTAAATATTACTATTTTAATAAGTATTTATAGCTATCTCTATCTATTTTATTAATATAGACTAGAATTATTAAAAGGTTTTATTTAGCTTCGAACCTATTTCTAGTATATACTCTAGATAGAATCTTAATATAATCTTTCTCGATATCCTCTAGAAATATTAGATCGAAGACTAAGTACTTATAATAATAACTAATAATATATTAAATAACTCTATCCTTATTTTAAGTATCTAAGATTCTATTTAATTATTAGATATTAACTCTAAAATAATAATTATTTAGGTTCTATATATTATATATATAATTTAGTTAATTTAAAATAACTATTTAGCTAGATAAAAATAAACCTTTAGAATAAGATAACTAAGACTATTTAATCTAAGGAATATATCTAATATATTTATTAAAAAGTATAAAAATAAGATATTACGATAACTCTTATAAAGATATATATCTATACTCTTTATATATTAATTAAAATACTAATCTATTTTATATTTTAGATTAGAAACCTTATAATCTTTATTAATATAAATCCTTAACGTTAGGAGTCCTTCCTTAGTCTCTAGCCTAACTACCCTCGATTAGTTCTAATTTAAGATATCCGAACTAGATAGAATTTAACCTTTTTAATACTTTAGCGTATAAAATAATTATAATTAGTCTTTAATTAATATAGATAAATAACGCTAGATTAACTATTTTCTTAATATTATCTAGCTATTTTTCTAATTTACTATAGTCCTCTTAAAAATAAAGGATATTATTATTTATACTATTTTTATTATCTATAATAAACTATTTAATTATTTTAAGAGATTAATTAGATAGCTTAGTAAAAAAAGGTTAGATAGAAGCAATAAATATATTAAGCCCTTAAATTAGCTAAAAATAAACTCTATAAGTATTACTCTATAATAGATAATAGAAAGCTTAGTAATATCTATATAATTAGTACTATCTTAGCTCTTTAATACAAGGTTAAATTTTTTTAAATTAAAGACTAAGATTATCCTTAGATAGATTATAGCGTTTAATACTAATAAAGTCTTAAAGATTAGTTTCTAAATTATTAAACTAGTAATATTCTAAGCTCTTAATTATTATCTAAAATAAAATAGTCCTATTAAACTAATAAACTTAATATATTTTTAATAGCTAATTCTTTTATCTTAAACTCTTAGTCTAAGGTAATATAGTATATTAAAGAAGGTAAGTTTCTATATATATCTTTATTAAAACTAAGGTTCTAAATAATCGCTTAAAACCCTAGTTCTAATCTATTAAGTTTCTATTTTTCTATCTCTATTAGAATTAGGGTTTTAAGGCCTATCTTAGAACCCTAATTTTAATAGAGGTATTAGTTCTAATCTATCTAAATATTATATTAATTATTATAATCTACCCTCTATCTAGATACTATCCTAATCCTACTTTATTAGTTTTAGAAGGATTATTAGTATAAATTTCCTATATTTATAAGCCTTATCTATAATCTTCTCTTAATCCTAGCTATTAATATTAATATTAAGTAATTATTTAATTCTATATATAATATTTACTATTATTAATAAAAGACATTAAATATATCTATTATATAGGATCTAATAATATTTATATATATTACTAAATTCAAAATTAAGAAAAAGTAATTTATATTTATTTAAGAGCTTTAAGAGTAAGATAAGTTAGAAATTATATAAAAGGAAAAAGAGACCTAAAAGACTTATAAAGAGATTATATTAATTAGTAATAATAAAAAAGAGGATACTATAGATCTAATAATTATAGTTAATATATTTTACTAATTATAGTAAAAAAAGTTAAGAAATAATTATAAAGATAATTATAGCCTTTTATAGATTTCTAATAGGGTTTATAAATATTTATAAATACTTAATAATTATAAGCTTTAAAATTAAAATTAATTAATATTTAAAATAATATTCTTTAGAATTACTTTTTAAGAATTATTCTCCTAATTACTATAAAAAATTATTTAACTAAAATAAATATAATACCTAAAAATATAGCTAAAAATAATATAATTTATAAAAGTTATATAATTAATAAAATATCTACCTAAATAGGTTAAATAGGTTAATCTATTAACCCGCGGGATAGGTCAAAAAAATCTTGACCCACCTATAGGTTAAGAGGTCTAACCCACGACCCGTCTAACGTAATCCACAAGCGAGCGGCGCACATAAGCGAGTGGCTCACCCCACGAAAATCGCGCTATCTTCGCGAACCTCTCAATTTTAATCAGCTACTATACCACCAAATCGCTCTTAAAGATCAAGAAAATCTATAGAGTAAGAGGGTAGAGTCGAATTAGCTATTTAGGCTATTCAAAATCAAGAAATTCCTTCTATTCGCGAAGCAGCACGCCGATTTAATATACCTATTACTACCCTACGCCGCCGGCTCGTAGATTAACTAAATCGAGCTAATACTCACGCTAACTACTAGAAATTGACTTAATTTAAAGAGGAAACGCTTCTTAAATAGATTCTCTCTATAGATTAACGTGGAGTAGCTCTTCGGCTAATAGCTATATAAGAAAAAGCTAATATATTATTAGCTAAACGTGGCTCTACTATTTATCAATCTATCGGCCAGAATTAGGTCTATAATTTTATCAATCGATATAATAAAATTAAAACTCGATTCTCTCGCCGCTACGATTTTCGGCGCGCCTAAAATAAAGACCCTAAGATCATCAACGAGTGGTTCAATCGTATCAAAAAGATAGTCAACGAGAACGGCATACTATACGAAGATATATATAACTTCGATAAGACCAGCTTCGCTATAGGTCTTATCTCAATAGCCAAAGTGATTACTTATTCTAAATACTACGGTCGCCGATTATTATTATAGCCTAGGAATCGCGAATAGGTTATAGCGATTAAGTCGATAAATACTACTAGTTAAGCACTCCTACCCTATATCATCTTTAAAGGGAAGGTCTTTATCGAAGGCTGGTTTAATAATTTACTACCGGATTAGTATCTTAAACTAAGCCAAAATAACTAGACGACAGATAAAATCAGCCTTCGCTAGCTTCAAAAGGTTTTTATACCAGCTATTAAGTATTGCAAAGTTAGAGTAAAGATACTATTGATTCTTAACAGCTATAATAGCTATTTAACGCCTTAATTTAATCAAGTATACGTTAATACAAATATTATACCAATTTATATACCAGCGTATTTATCGCATCTTTTACAGCCTCTTGATATTAGCTATTTTACGCCTTTAAAAAAGGCGTATAGCGGCTTAGTTAAGAGATAAATACAATACGGGATCAACTATATCGATAAGTATAATTTTCTTAAAGTATACCTAATTACTCGCTCGTAGGCCTATCAAACCGCTACGATTCAAAATAGCTTCGCAGCAGCTAGAATAGTCCCTTTTAATCCAAATCGGGTTATCGAAAAGCTTGATATTCGGCTCAAAACGCCTACCCCCCCCAGCAGCAGCCACGGGAGTCAAAGTAGTCAATTTTCGCCAAAAACGCCTCAAAACCCAAAACAGCTATATCGATAGGCTTCATCAATTAAAGCGCTACTAAAGCATCGCTCTCATAGCCCTTCAAACCCTACCAACGCGGCGCTAGATCAACTTATCAAAGACTACCAACTCGCTATATATAGCGCTTCGATACTTGTGTATAAAAATAAGGGTTTACGCGCAGCCAATAAGAAACAGAAGCAAAAACGGGCTAGATCTAATAGACAGATACCTCGCGATCAAGGCCTATCGGTTTAAGAGGCTCATGAGCTAATATCGACGGCGCATCAAGCCTCTAAAGCTCAAATAGCTGATTCGGTAAACCCTCATCAGCATACTTCGCAGGCCTCTTAACAAGCACCACCTCGCTGCAGCGACTGCCGCGAATTAGGGCATCGAAGATTACAGTGTCCAAAACGATATAATTAGATTTTTTTTGTATATAAAGGCGTTGTGGCGAATATAAATCGATTTAAATTCTATATACTTAGTAGGGTGAGCCACTCGCTTGTGTGCGCCGCTCGCTTGTGGATTACGTTATAGGCTGACCCACGGGTCGACCCATATAGGTTGTCCGCGGGTCTGTCCAGGTCTAATCTAGGCAGTAGAGATAAAACCAAGAACTAGTGGGGTAGTTATAGAAGAGAAGAAGAGAAGTAGTCGAATATTATATATATAGTATAGTTATGGTTGCTATAGTGATGTAAGCCAATAAAAATCGATTATGTAAGTAAATTAGATTATATAAGAATTTGAGGTGCCAATAGCCAAAAAAGTGAGGTATCCCTATCAATACCCCTCATCACCTGCCCTGTCGTGATTCCTCTTCACCTCTCATACCCCGCTAGTTCCAGCTCTTGGGAATCATTGTTCCTGTTTTCCACTTGATTATCTTCTTCTACATCATGGCTCCTCTTGTTCTTCTCACTGGCGCCAATGGGTTAGTCGGCTTCAGGGTTCTTCTAGAACTCCTTAAGGGTAATTACAACGTCAGAATCACCGTGCGCTCCGAAGAAAAAGCCCGGGCAGTTCTGTCCAACCAAGTCATTCAAAAACTTCAACCCGGTGGTCGACTGCACTACACTATCGTTCCAGATAGCGTCGTAAGCGATGCCTTTGATACTGTCTTGCAAGATGTCACATATGTCATTCACGCCGGATCACCTGTTCCCGTCCCAGGTTTCGACCCTATCGAGCAAGTATGGAAGCCTATCCTGGTGGGTACAGAGAACCTCCTGTCATCGGCCCTCAAGATACCCTCAATCAAGCGAGTGCTTGTGACTTCATCAATTGTCGCCAACATGGCTCCTATGCCCGATCCTTCTGTTACAGCTACCGCGAAATCTCGGTTGCAGCTACCAGGGGTTCCCGAGACCTTCGGCAATGTATTCGAGGCCTATATCCTAGCCAAGATCACCGAGGCCAACAATATCGATTTGTTTGTGGCGCAGAAGAAACCACACTTTTCGATTGCAACAATCTCACCAGGTTATGTCTTTGGGCGCGATGAGTTGGTGCCAGATGCTGAAACTGCGATTCAAAAGCCAAGTTCATCAGGAATTCTCCTGCGCAGCTTGACTGGAACTGATAACCCAGCTCCTATTCACGGAGGGTATATCCACATCGATGATCTCGCTCAGGTGTATGTGAAAGCACTGGAGCTACAACCCGAGACCGACTGTCCTAGCAGCTTTGGGGCCTGCGGCCTTGTCAACTTTGATGATGCCTGGGGCTTGGCAGAGAAGAACTTCCCCAAGGAAGTTTCCGAGGGTCTGCTTAAACGAGGCGCTCAGCCTACACTTCCCATCTCATACGACTCAAGCGAGACAGAGAAAGTCCTCGGCATCAAATTCCGCCCCTTTGAGGATGCTCTTAAGGATGTTGTGCAGTTTTACTTGGATCGACTGCGCCAAGAGCAGTAAAATCATGTCGAGCTACGGAATCAGTTCTCTGGTCTCACAAAGACCCGGCTAGATTCAAAACCACAGGATTAGTCAAGAGCTCAAAAAGACGAAGCACGTATCCACCACCATCATAGACCAGTCTAAAGAGGAATCGGCCACTGCCTTTGTGCTACTATTAGGACTTCATCTGCCAGGTTTGTAGGCGGATAGAAAAGGCTGCGAGTGACGGTCTGTTTGGGTTCAGTTTTCTATGGCCCATATTCAGAGTTGGATATGTCTTTCGTCATTTTACTTGCATATTCTCCAAGGCTCTTGATTTTTTTTTTCCTTTTCTTCTCATTTTTTGTTGGTTTAGTGCTTTGCCCTAGACTTCAACGCCCATAGTCATGGAATTCCTTATCCTAGCCCTCTTATATTTTGTTTCTAAGGCGAGTGTATTTGCCTCGCTTAAGTTCATTAAAACCTGGCGTAACCAATTATTAATTTAACTACGATTTTTCTAGAAATGGTCAATAGGAGCTGTAGGCAGAAGCGGGAAAAACAGGGCCCGAAGGTCCGGGAAGTGGATCTGGTGTCTCCAATTAAACTAGGCACCAAAGGCCTAACTAGGTACACTACGCGGCCAAAAGTCTGCCGACAGTCTATAATTTCGATTTACCCCACTATATTAAATTTGAATAACTCTCCTAATATTAATTAATATAAATTTATACTAAATATACAGAGAAAATAAGTTAATATCTAGTATACTAATCCTTCACTACGCGTATAGCAGCTATTCTACGAGGTATAGATCGAATTAAGCTATTAATAACGTTTTAATTAAGCAGTTCCTATATTTTGTATATAGCTTTTTTAAAAACCTCCTAATCTAATTTAGATCTTTTATTACTTAGCTAAGGGTATAATTAAAGAATTTTGATCTTTAGAAATCGCTATACTAGTTCGATAGGGTTAAGATTAAGCGAAAATAGAGACTAGTCGATTATCTAAATCCTATAATTTTCAAATTACTCTTACGAGATTTCTACTTTATAAATCCTTATATTATCTTATTAGAATATCGAGTATAGTTTATATATTAGTAAAAGACCTTCAAGAGTATCGAGATAGAAATTCGTAATATAATTTATTGAGGTACGTTTTTATCGTAATTTATAATTACTATCTTTATTCGGCTATTAATCTAGATTCTAGCCTAAACTATCTACAAAATATCTTTACTATAACTCACGAGGTTCACAAGATCGCTTTAGTATACTTCGGAGGTAAATCGGAAGATAAATTAGACCTTAGAATTTAATATCCTCTCTTTATAATAATAAGATAGATAATCTTAGCTATCTAATATTATTAACCCCTTTAATTACTCTATCTAGTAATTAATATATATTTAACTAAGATTTTCTCTAATTAAATATTTTTTAACAGCCCTCTTTTCCTTTATATATATTAGACCTAATTAAAAGAAAGCCTTTATTCTCTATAATAGAATAATATATAGCGATTAAGTAGATTAGTAGCTTTAGACTAATTTTAAGAGAAAGAGTAAGATTAACTAGGATTTAACACAATATATAGAGATCTAGAGTAATATTACTATATTTAGTTATACCTTTATTTGATTAGAAGGATTATTATAGTACTCTTAAAAGTCCTAATACTATAACTACGCTATAAATATAGTAAGGTTATTTAGTAAAACTCTATTTTTTTATTTCTATATTTAAAATATTAAGATTTTCTCTAAGTCTTTATATAATCTACTAAGCTATTCTATTAAATAATAATTAATATAAAAAGAGTTAAAAGATTAAACCTATTTTAATATTATAAATACTTCTTTTAGAAATTTATATTTCCTTTAAGAGACTATTCCTACTTTAAAATCTCTATAAAAGAACTTAACTATTTTTATTACAAATCTTTTTTAATATAGCCTTTTATACTATATATAGTAAATTTAAGAAATATCTTATAGATTTTAATATCTAGAGGATCTAAAACTTATAGATATAGTAAAAGAAATCTAGAATATTAAATTTAAAATAAATTAATATTATTCTTAGAAAGATTATAAAGATACTAATTTATTAAAAATAAGAAATATATAATTATATTATATAATAATATATAGGAGAATAATATATATAATCTCTAAATTATTATATTTACTAAAGTTAATAATATAGGAAAAGTTTAATATAAGATCTTTAAACTTTATTTTTCTTCTTTTTAATAATCAAGAGTAAATAGATTAATAAAAATAAAAAGAAAAAAATATAGGACTTAGTTTATCTAATAAAAGATCCTATTTATTATATATTTTATTATAATTTCTTCTAGAGCTAAAATATATAAATACGCCTTTTTATTTAAGCCTTTAGTCTTTAGGCGGTCTTTAGATAAAAAATATTTAAATAGATAAACTACTACCTAAAGCCGCCTAAAGGCTGACTAAAGATAGCGGCGAGCCGCCCACGACTAAACCGGCGGCGCTAGGTGACTACTACTATACTTTTAGCCGTTGTATATTTTTCTTTTTCGTTTTCTTTCTATTTCTATTCGTCTTTTGTACAATTACGTGCTATCCTTCAGGGCGTATAAGCTGGTCTTAAGATAAAATTGAAATTTTAAGATTTGAGTAGGAATTAGGATCCCCAGGGAGCACCTACACCAGTTAGTAAGTATATATAGGAAGAGTCTGAGGCATCGGTATCTATTAGGTTTTGCCGAAGTCTCCCTATACATAGGATCTACGGAATACCGTGTGATACAGATATCATTTCCTTTATTCAGGCATCGGTATAAGTTCACAAAATGCGATATAGAAACCCCCCTCCCCGGTCGGCTATCATTACTCTGTCGCTTTTTCAGCACTTTGATAATCCGATGACCCTTCCCAGTCGGTTGCAAAATCCTTGACCTTCATACGGCCCTCAGGAGCAAAACGCCCATACGATGCTGGACAGAGCATCTTCGCCAAGAGCTGCAATATATCGTCCGACAAATCCCATTCAAAGTCCTTCTTCCATTTCTTTAGAATGTCAATCGTCTGTTTCGGGCGATTACCAGGATTATATGTACGCCTTGCATTGATTCGAAGCTCGTTAGAGAGCTTTTCCAGGTGCTCAAGTTCTCCCTCTGGTAGGAGGAGACGGAGTACCAGAATAGCCAACGCATAGGCGTGATTGTCGTCGGATTCTCCGGAATGATTAACCCTCAATTCTATATCCTCGTTAGGATAATCAAGCTCATCGGTATATTACGAAGAATATCTAGTTCACTAACCAGGGGATTGGTAGTACTGATAGTTGGGCTTCTCCTGCCCATCAAAGTCGTACTCTTTCGCATCCGATGCGCTCCGGAATTCCCCAATTACCATTGTCTCTATCCATTTTAACCCCGCGTGTGACTCTTCGAATTTTTTCGGGGGTGTACCAAGGGTCGCTTTGAGACTCTCGGTATTCAGCAAAAAGTGGGCGATCTTCTGTTCATGCATATAGGCGACGGCTTTAGCGAGATCCCCGATTCGTAACACCAGATTCTCTCGGGTTAGATGACCCTCCTTGAGCAAAGCGTCCAGCGGGGTCACCATTGGAGTAATTGCGTTCCAGGGGTTGCACTCGTCGTTATTTTGGATCAATTCCATATCGAGAATCAATCCCGCTGGCGGCCCCTTCTGGAGTAGTCCATCCCAATAAACCCCCTCAGCTGGAAAAACTTGCTGCACAATCCGCTTCGCCTTCGACCGGACTCGATCTCCTTGGCCTGACATTGTATTGGGGACTTTAGTCGCCAAACGATGTTCCCCCATCCTATTATTCTTGAAGTACAAGACAAAGGGACTGCCCTGATTATCTTTGAAAGTCCATTTGGTCGACCGGACCGTTCGTGCTTTGGGGTATAAATTTGCTGCTTTTGCTATCTTCTCTCGAAGATCGCGCCGTTGAAAGGTTTGGTAGATTTCTTTTCTGTCGTCGTAGGACACCGGTTGATCAAGCTCATAACCAAACGGCTCCCGTTAATCTTCGGCGTAGGAAAAGTAACTCTGGTCATTTCCCGCTATCTCGTCCGCCAGCGTGTAGTGAGGAGGTGGGTCGTCGGCACGTCGAGAGATCCCCCCGGAATGGTCCACTTCGAGCCATTTCTGGGAGCTGGGATGTGGGCGTGCAGCAACCAAGGGAAGGTCAAAACCAGGGTAAACATCGTGCGTGATGAGTAGAGAGAAAGGGTCAATCGAGTCTTCTTAGGCCGTGATGTCATCATGCTTCTTTGGTGCAGAAGAGCGGGATAAGAGAGGGAGCAGAGATGAATATTTCAGTATTCTTTGGGGATAGCAATTCACGTTCATTTGCTTTAAAGGGTATTAGGGATCGCGCAATACCCGGGGAGAAAATTTCCCACGGCTCCATCATCTAGAATGGAGCAAGAGGATTCTGGGGGCCAGGGTTCAGGCGCTGACGGGCGCAGAAGTCTACATGTAGTGATCCGTCCCTAAATCCATGGGCATAACTGTATTCTCAGAAAGCACTATGGGAAGCTGGGAAAAGCATGCCTGCTAAAGGGAAAGGGCACACAGGAGAGAGAATTAAATTGTCTATAGGAGAGAAAAAGAGAAGCGAAGCTATTTGCTACCTATAGGTCCGCTACAGGTGGTCAGGGAGGCGGTGGAGAAAGGCTAGCAGAGCCCGAGTCCCAACACAAAGCCCGAGATTGAAGATTGTCAGGAAAGTCATTGCCATACCTCTTGCAGGAGCGCCGTCGCGAATTCTCATTTCTATGAAGAAGCTTCCATTAACAGCGAATTCGCCCAGACCGGATTTGATGGACTTTTATTGATGTCCCTGAAAGTTAAGCCGGAACAGAATAGCTTTGAGAAGATAAGCAACCCTTTGCTGATATTCTGGCCACCCCGTTTGTTGACTTTATAAGATTGGCCTCATCATGCCATTAAATCTGACATCAATCAGTGAGAGACTCTTCCACTCGTATAACTATTAATATTCAGGCCTGGGGTTTCATATAGTTGTAGAACGTAACGAAATACTCTCCAGCCATCAAGTTGCAGAGTCATGACTCACCTTCATACGTCCCTCCCCCTTCCCACACTATTTCAACCTTCTACAAGTAGTTCCGACAAACAGTGTCACTACTGACACTCTTTCATTGTTTCTCGAAACTCTGAACTATTTTTTTTTGGGGAAGAAACCAATTCAGCCTCATTAGTTTTGTCGGTTACCGTAAATTACCGGATTATTATAATAGCGAGTAACGTGTTTATTACCTGTCAGATCTCGAGGCTGCCACCGAATGCCCCACGTCAACTTTCCCAAGCTTCACACCTACTTGGTTGACACTTCGGCTGGCTGTGCAACCAACCATGGCTCCCAACCTAGCCAAGTCTACGCTCGTGCTGATTCATGACATGATTAGCAGTGATGAACTAACTACCTCGCAAATGGCGGAAGCTGCTGGCTGCAGCGAGCGCGCCATTATCAGGATCCGATCTAACCTGCGACTATTCGGTAACGTTAAAGCTCCTCCTATCACAGCTGGACAGCCACGGACCATCACTCCGATTATGCTGGAAGACTTATGCGATCATTTATTCGAAAAGCCGGATTTCTACCTTTATGATATAGAGCTCCTCTTTCTTGATGAATTTGATGTATCAGTACCAAAGTCCACGATCAGCGATGCCCTACATCGCAAAGGCTGGTCTAAGAAGACAGCTCGACAAAAAGCAAAAGAGCGCAACATAGATTTGCGTGACGATTACTGTCATCTCATCTCAGAGTTTTGCTTATACCACCTCGTTCAGGTTGATGAATCCGGGTGTGATAAGCGAATAGGGTTTAGAAAAACCGGCTGGTCTCCCCTTGGTACGACGCCTGTGTAGGTATCTAAATTCCACCCCCCAACGGTACCAAATTCTCCCTGCATATACACAAGATGGAACTCTACTCTCCCGTGTCTTTTATCGAAGAACTTCTTCAGCACTGTGGGAAATATCCCGAGCCTAAGTCAGTTTTGATCATGGAAAATGCATCATTTCATCGCACCGAGAAAAATGAGCAACCGTGCCTTGACAAGGAAGTCAAACTAGTGTTTCTGCCGCCGTACTCGCCCGACCTGAACTAGTATGAAGAGTTTGTTTGCAGAGTTGAAAGCGCTCATTCGGCGGCATTGGCAATCTTATGCAGATAATTCCAGCCAAGGGTTTGATAATTTCCTGGACTGGTGTGTAGAGATGGTGGGGACAAGGGAACACAGCGCCAAAGGTCACTCCCAAAATGCAGGTCTCGACATTGGGGAGCTGTAGTGGAAAATTATCAAATATATAGAGCATAGTTTAGCCCTAATCAGTATCTGACATTGTCTATTGGCGTGCACTACAACACAGACACATTAGCAACACCCGAATCAGAGCAATGTCTGTCTAATACATAGCTAGTGCCTAGTGGGCCTTGTCATTAGGGCTCCAGGAACTATAAAATAGTTTGAGTGGTGATACCAATTTCCGGAACTACTGTAAAATAGTGAACTGAATTTCCTCTCAAAAAGTATTCTATGATTTATTTTTTTATCTGGAGATTGGATAATTGAGTTGTCAAATTGGCAGTTTTCTCGTTCTTTGAAGGTAAATGGTCGTTGTCTCCACCTGACTTTCCTTTCGTTCCGTATGTCATATAAGTGTTCATCTTTCTCTGGCTTGTTTGGGAGAATGTGGACAAGAAGTCTGGTGAATCAAATCCAGCATAATGTATTTTCTTCGCGTTCTTAATTCGTGTAAAGAAAATATGGATGCATGCTTACTGCCAGAGTGCAGCAACCGTACCAAAATGGCAGATTAGCTTTTCCATTAAGGCCACGGCTCCTCTCATGGCCCGTGTGATCTCTTGGTTGACTTCATGTATAGCAGGCATTACTGTAGTGTATACCCTAGAGCACTACAATACGATTAGTGCGACGCAGGAATCGGCGTCGCTCTTACCCACATCATTACTGCAACTACCGTCAGAGCCCTTGAACGTTTGACCACTCACTCTGATCCATTAGCAACGCGTAGCATTCTTCCATTTTGTTGCGAGACGAATTGCACTATTTAAAGAGGCGAATTCAGACGATTTTAATTGGTTTTGCTCTCATATAGTAGAGCGGCGCCACTCTTACAAAGATTCAATCCAATTCAAGGCTTTCCTTTCCAAAGAGTAGTTAAGTACTCCTTGGCAGAAATGAATGGATAGTTCGGGAGTCGGTCATTCCACTCGTGAGAAGAATTCCATCCGCCTTCAGATACACCTCTCAAAAAGAATGTGGTAATCATTTTCGACATCTCATCTGACCGATCCGATGGAATCGATGGATGAGAAACCACGGGGTACCATGACGCTTTGAGTTCTCCTGCCCTCAGATCTTTAGAAGAAACCTTTTCAACCTGAAAGGGGCCTAAAGGCTGTTAGATTATTCCAAAGGAAAACCTAGAACCGTACATACCTCGAATCTCTTCCCCTAACCGAATCAATTCGGCCAGTGTGATCTCGGATCCGGAAAATCCGCCGACAGTCGGCCATCGACCGGAATAGTCAAGGGCCTCGGTTACTACACCAGCCAAATCTTGCACTGTGGTAAGAGAAATCTTGTAGTCACCGTCATCAACTAGGATCGCCCTTCGGTTTTCAAAATCGACATAGGTAGCGCTCATGGAGAAATGCTTCGCAGTGGAATAGGGGTGTCCAAAGTAGTTGGTGAAAAATCCGGGTTGAAAAAGGCAATATTCCAACCGCTACGCCTTTCAATCAGCATTTGAGCCAGGGGTTTACCACCATTGATTGAAAAACACACCTTGCCATCTTCGCTTACTTCGGCAAGATATCGCCGAATTTCATCCTTGTATCCGTAAATCCCCATATCACTCTTGACCGTACTAGAGTCACTTATTAGGGTTAAGTACAACTGCTAGTTGCCAAAAAAAACAACGTACCTGCCCCACTCCGAAGGTGAGAACCTTCTGACACCAGCCTCGATGGCAGCATCTATCATGTTCTTTTGCAATCGTATCATACAACTCGGGTCTGGTATGGCCAGGAACGACAAGACCGTGTCAATGTCAGAAAAGGCCCGCGTGAGAGAAGCTTTGCTCTCGTAGTCGACCTGGACCCATTTTGTGTTGCCGTTATCAGTGCTCCGAGGGATCTTGTTTGTTAGTAAGAAGACTCTTTCTTTTAGCCAATAGTTAGTAGGTATCATACCTGCCGACTTAGGATGACGATTTCATGAGACCCCTTTGCAAGAATTCGGTCGATCACCTCCCGCGCAACGTCTTTTCACCGGTTAGCCTGCAGACCCTTTATCATGTGTGAGCTGGATTTTTGGTCATACTGCCGGAGCCACCTGCAATAGCAACTTTGACCATCTTGGTTTTATTGGCTAAAACTCGGAGAATGCTTGGGTTCGAGCTCAAAATTCACTTCGATTCCTCCTTGGGGCGCGTGGGTTTTTAACTTCCATGAAACTAGCATCCCGATATTGCAATGCGTTTCGGAAGCCAGGAAGCCGGCATTCCGACGTAATACCCCGGACACCGGCTTTCTTGAACCGGAGACACGAACACCCGATCCCGTTGAATTTGTCATCAAGGAACTTTGATTAGTTAACTACTATAGCTAGTTACTCAATTCCACGAGATCCGCGCTCGCCGATGTCTCCTTCCCACCACTTCCGCAATAGTCCTTGAATTGAGAGCAATTGAGCAATAGAATCATATGAAAAATTTGGCCAAATCTATCAAGGCTATGTAGTTGGACTCATGCACATAATATTCGAAACTGCCTGGGGGATGCTGGGTACTAGGAAATGCACGTGACTTGGTGTCTTCGCAGTTCTCGGGAGCTCGGTGGCCATCTCAAAGCTGTGGACCTCAAGTGGGACCATCATGTGGTAGTTTGACGATATGTATCATGCCCTGAAACGGAGGAACGGAGTGGAAGGGGTTACCAACCTCACGGCTGCGCGACGCCGACATTGACACTTGCTAAAAACACAGCGAGAAACACACACCCTACTCCCTCGCCAAACCGCTCTCTCATTGGTGCTTGGTTAGATCCCAGCTCAAGTTCTTTTCTTCTCGTGTTCGGTTCGTCTTTGCTCTCTGCCTCACCTGCTTCAACATGTAGAGGACATGGATTGGTGTGACATCTTGCTCAGTAGAGCCAGAATGGAATTCGTCTATCAAAGGCGGCCGTTTGCGATCGTTGTGAAGACAATGGTACTGTACGTAAGTCGCGCAGACTTTCTGGGTGGTTGCGATCCATCCATTTGTACTTTCATCGGCGAACATGATATCTTCGACGACCATTAGGGATTTTGGTCATGTTCTCCTGGTATCTACCGGGATCGGAATTGCAACACAACTGCCATACATCAAAGAGATTTTGATAGACTTCAATGGCATCGACACAGATGTTCTCTCATAGCCCTAGGGCTTGGATGGACAGACATGCTAGATGATTATTAAAATCGAAAGATGATAGCTGAACACCTCCTTCTTCAATCCACCTGACTCACCAACCGAATTGATCAAAATCCTCAATCTCTGCTGCTACTCTTTTTTTCGTGAGACGGGAAAGCCTCGGTCATACCCAGATCCTCAAAAACCACCTTCACCTTTGCAGTGCATTCTTCGTCATCTCGACCGTAGTTTGCTTCAAGAATTTCTCGCTGGCTGTCACTGCACCTTTTCAGTGCTCTGATGATGGCAGTTAGCATAGAAAATCCACATCAATATCTGCTTTATTAAACCTATCTCTTTCTCATGGAGCCTTATAGGCAGAAAATTTTCGTAAGAGCCATAGTTGGTATGCAGCGAGCCCTTGGACCTATGGAAAAAGAAGAAGGCAATCTGGCCGAAATTGATCTATTCGCAGACAAGCGAATTTATCTGCAACAATCTGGGAGCGAGGGACAAAAACAAAAAGGAAAAGACAAAAAGAGCGAGTTGACTAAAGCAGCATATCTGAGGCATCCGCTATCAAGAGGTTCTCTGCAGTAAAAGAACATTGAGTGGTCCCTTTTTTCCAAGCCGTAAAGGCCGGCTGCGCCTTGAGCCAATTCTCGTGTCCAGGTACTACCTTAGTTTGTGAGGGTATAAGTTGCTTACTATGAAGATCGGACTCGACCCGCAGTTGTGTCACCTAACAAACATGCGCGCTTCTGTCTCTTATGCCTGTGTACAGTGGGGGCAATCTTGGCGCCTCGCGTCAAGACTCGACAATCGTTTTTGCTGCAATCAACAACACTTTTGCACAATCGATCTGCCACCACATATCTCCCTTGGCAGAAGCGAAAGAGATCCCCCGCTTTTCAGCGAGATCCTACATTCTGCTAACTATCTGGAGGCGTTTTCAGTGGGCTCCCTTCGCTTCTCTTGTTTGATCAGTCATCATCGGCATTTGTCTCAACATCACCTGCCATGGAAAGGTCATTACATTTCTCTGATCAGTTTGTGATTAGCTGCGGCACAGTCAGCCTCAACCTACACCAAGCGAAAGTGCTGCTCATCCGGTGGAGGAAAACTGGAGAGGTCTTTCTCCCCAAAGGACGGAAAAATATCGGCGAAACATTGCACGATGCTGCCACGAGAGAAACATTTGAAGAGACCGGCTTCCAAGTGACATGTCTTCCCTTACCCATCACAACTCTCGCTACCTCGCCAGTGAGTAGTGAGATAGACACAAGCTCACAGGCTACGACCGAGCCCGTTGCTGTTAGCCAGCGGGTTACGAACAATCAACTCAAGATAATTTACTGGTTTGCCGCAACAGGCGACTCGGAGGCGGTACCAGAATTGGGGACGCAGCAGACTGGGGAGGACTTTGAGGCTATCTGGACGGGGATCGGACATGTCGGTGAGGTCTTGACTTTCGACGACGACAAGCAGATTGCCCAAGCTGTCATTCATGCCGCGTCACATTTGATAAACATGAAAGTGCGCTAGAGATTGTACACATGACATAAATTAGCCCGAGAGTTTATATGCCTGCCTTGAATAAAAGATGGTCAATTCCGATACCCCTGTTATTAAACTATTGTATAGATATAATATCGCCAGAAATGCAGGAATAAAATTCAATCCTCCTGCTCGCCAGCCGGCTCCCACTTGACATTTACTGGGTCATGTCCACTGGTGCGAATCTTGGTTTCATTCGACCACAGCTCAAATCTCAGATCGGCTGCTCCAACCACGACGTTCACATCGAAGTTAGCTCTCCAAAATGCGGGTTTGAAGTTATACCAGTGTCTGTTTTTGAGTTTCCTCTCCACCCCATCAGTGAAAATGTCTAGGCTGCAGAGTGGGTGGACACCATATTGATTGAGGCTTTCGGGGAGTTCAGAGCGCGCGAGCGTTGACATGACAAACTGCACTTTGAACGGTTCGTTCTGCTGGCCTTTTTCCATTCGGATTTGGAATGCTTTGGATACTCCAGTGCTAGGAACGGGTTTACCCTGGACAAAGGTTAGATTTCTTTTGACCCCCAGCTGGAAAGATTTCTAGCATGCCATACTTTGATCACTAGCCAGTCAACCTGATTGATGGCATATGTGTTGTCGTCATGAGGGTCGAGCCATAAAGGCTGGCCTACATGCTTCGCTGGATTGTATAGTTTGTCACAGACAATTCCGTAGCTCACCGGGGAGCATCGCGAGCCAAAGGTCTGTACTCCTTGTTTCAGTTGTTGCGTTCTGTCCATGACTAAACCGTGAACCACCACGAGTTGACTATGCGAAAGAGACAAAATCAGTATAAGGAATCAGTAACTACCAGTGGTATGCTATACATACGGCTCGTCCGCGAGTAAAATGTTCATATTGAGAGCGTTGGGAGGCTTGGTTGGGGCTGCATTCCCGAAACGTTCGAGGAGACGTCGGCGAACATAGGGAGAACTGCCAAAGCCGCCGGAGAGAACAAGATAAGACTATATTTGCTGTTAGCTCTTGTCTCAAAGCTAATCCTTTGTATGGGGCTCGTACTATTTGCTGGCCTGGGTGATCAATATTCATCTGATGAAGATGCATATCCAGAAGATTGCACATTTCGTCGATTTTCCCATCGAAGCATTCCTGGACCATATCCCTAGCCAGGTGTCAGATTTGCAACAAAGAGAACCTTCAGAGGATTTTTTTCAAGGCTGTTCGTAAATCATACCATGGCAGCCGCATTTGGCCATTGTAAACATCGGCTTCGGGGAAAGTCGACTCGGCACCCAACGAGGGCACATCAATTTTCAGCCAAGGGGTGAGTGCTGTCTCAGCACCAAAGGAACACTTGATTCTTTGAAAGCGCTCTGAAATCATTGACCATGCGGTTTCTCCAGCGGAATGTTTTAAATGGCTGCTGATGCGTTCGAGTCTCTCGGTGATTACTCGGTGAGCATGTCTGTCGACAAAGACTGAGCCGATGGGCCTGCCTGTCAAACCGTCAGCGATATCCCAGGGCTTGAAATAGGTGTATGCTTCTTTTTACCTTCAACACTGCTTAGTTGCTCCAGTTTAGTAGGCTCTCTTGCTGACAGCAACCGGAGAACGTTCACGTCCTAGAGAATGTCAGTGGATAATGCGCCTCGAGGAATGGTGTAATAGGGTATACACACAGTCGTTCCACCTCCCGCATCACATATCAGAATGATGTCGTTTTTCTACAAGTTATGTCGTCGTTTGCTTTAGTTGAATCCGATGCATTTATGAAACGACACCGAGTATATCCTACCTGGTAATGTTGTTTGCACGCGTAAACCGCCGCAGCCTCTGCCTCCGTCAACCCGATGAAAGCTTTGTGATTTGGACAGTTTGCATTGACTGCGCCTTCTATCACTGCTTTTGTCTCCTCAATCATGCGCACATCTTTCCATGTCGTCGGCACGCTGAAAAGAAATTCGACTTTTCGCGATTCAAATAACGGCACAGTGTTGTTGAGATGGGTCACCACATGCTTGTAGATAGATCCAATATAATCCTGGAACCACTTCTGAGCCTCCAGCCTGCTGGGCCCTTGCAAGTGGTTGTCGCGATACAAGGGGGCTAAGTGGAGCTTGAAGAATTCTTTGATGTCTGCGTCGGGGTTGTCCTGGTTGCACGAATACCCCCAGCCCTTTGGGGAGCTTGCGCCCGGGGCGTATTCAATGCATGTTTGTACCTTGTTTGTGAGCTCGCCCGGCAGCTTCCCGGGCCATCTTTGAATCGTCTTCGGGGGCAGCCATTCTGGTCCGCACGAGTAGGCAACGCCTGGTTCAATAGAGATTGGTTTGTGAGCATCTCTTCTGCAGTACCTCCTAAGTACTCCGTAGCACAAAATATTTACTTACCCGTATAGGTCATGCCAAAGTCAATACCGGCCACGATATCAGGATGCCATCCCGAGTCATCGTCAACGACGGGGACGGTTTTGACAACCACTTCTTTCTCGTCCATGACTCAGGGGCTCTTTGGATTACGACTCTTGCACGACATGCCAGGGGAAATAAAGCGGTTTTAAGAATCGCCCTGGAGGCCTCATTCTTCCAGTTCATCAGCACACTGATGCTCGGCTCGGAGATGGAAGGAGGCTAAAGATGTGGGTCCCCGCGATCCTTCTTGGTCTCGGATCTATGTCCATCAACTGAGTTCAACACAGCGCAATCCCTGAATGATCTTCCTGAGAACAGAAATAAAAAAGAAATAATCACTAGTCATATAGACACCGGCCCTTGGGGCGAGAGTCTTTTGGATCCATCTCGCTCCTTTCCTCCTTTTTCTCCTTACTTTCGCCTACCCTCGTCTACAACTGCCTGACTTGACCACAAGTATCGAAGCATTGCGACTCTCCTGTTAATCAAACGATGGATGTCGCTCCCGGTGCATTGGCTGGTGCCGTTATTGGCTCTGTCTTGGGCACGGCTATTCTATGCCTCCTGATCTCCCTCCTCTACTTCCGCCACACACGCATTCATCGCAATGTCAGAGAATTTGAAGAAACTAAATCAGGAATGGACAAGAATAGACACTCTGCCCGCTATTCCAATGAATCTTCCGGTATCCCAATGGGTCAATATGCACCACCCCACAAAGCGTCGAGGCATTCGCAATTTCCCAACATCGACCTCGCTCGATACACCCCAGAACCGGTGGACGATAACACGGTCTCAACGCGTCTCTTGACGATATTTGACCAGGCTAGTCTGCATATTGAAAATTTCTACTCGCCAACTGCCTCGCCGGCCTTGACCTCCACCACTGCCGTCCAAACCGCTCAGTTTCAGTCGCCATATTTACCCGGTCCGCTGGAAGCTCTCCTTTCAACTCCCAGGAACCAGCGAGCTGTTCTTACCCACGTTCTTGTCCGGACTCTTCTATCGGCAACTCAGCCAGGCAGTGGGGAACAGACACTCTTGCCCCCTGCTCTTGCATCGGCTCCACAACCGCAGGCATCGTATTCCAGCCAAGGTTCGTTGTCACATTCTATGCCACGGAACCACCGTTAGATGTTGGAAGGATAAGCTGACTTCTTTACGGTAACAGACACAGATCAAGCCCTTTTCGCTTGGCGCATGTTGACCATCCATCTCTATGAAAGAGACCCCTCCCCACCACCTCATGCTGCCATTGCACGGCTCGCCGAAACCTTTACTTCAGCTTTTGCGCCCTACGGCGACTCGAGCCTCGCTGAATCCCGACGCATTGCCCACCTTGCCGATGTAGCCAAAGCAGCTGCAGACACGGGTGCCTGGCTCTTCAAGCACCCTTGTACATTCAGCTTTGTCTGGTCGGATCCTACGGCTAATGGCGAGATTGACACGCATCCGGCTATTATCAAGGTCACCGATGAACATGGCCGGCGGTTATCAAGGGGACAGGTCCTTGCTGAACCGACTCAGGGGAAGTTGTAATTTAATTACTGTTGCTTTGTGAAGTTTTTGTCTTTGATTATCCTTGAGAGATTATCTTTTTATTTTTTTCTATTACCCACAGTAAAACTATTTTGCCTTGAAATGAATATGAGATAAAGAAGACTTGAATAAAGCAAATCTGAACGAAGGACTGGACCGAAAGGGATCGTGTATTCGAAGGTTGACAAATAGCAGATGGTATAGTAGCTAAAAATAAATAGAATAAAGAAAGATGCTCAATGCCCTGAACATTCAAAACATCCCAACTCGCAAATATCAAATGGTATCATCTTCTTCCGTCGCAGTGAATAGAAACAGGCCTAAACAGACACAAATCATGATTCCTCAAAATGGCCGGTGTTTTTTGAATTTCGCCAAGCCAGCATCTCGTTCATTTCGCTCACCTCATAGCTGGGCGGCGCAGAGTGAAGAGACTCAGGACTCGCAGGGTGGGGTGGCTGGGCCTCGACATGCTCCGTCACGACTATCTGGGGGATCGGCTTGACAGAACGGGGAACAATCGGGGAGAATTCCGAGGAAAGCTCGGCAATCTCAGGGAACTGCCGGCGATCAATCACGGGCGTCTCAGCCGAAAGCTCCGAGACCACCGGTACAGACCCAGCTCCCATCTCGACTAGCGCCGTCTCGCCTGGATTGGATGCGAGTTCCGGGACGTAGGGCTTGGAGTCAATTTCCATAGGGGTAGAGTCTGTGGGAACGCCTAGGGCGTGGAGATGGCTGGATACCATGCTGAGTCGGTTCTGATAGACAAGCAGTCGCGGGTGTTTCTCCAGCGCCCGATGGCTCTCGTTGTTCTTCCAGCGCTTGCGACTGCTCAGGCTAATTTTTCCCTTCTTCATCTGCTCCACGCGATACGCCTCTAGGAGGGAGGCGAGATCGCGGGCCGCGTCCTCTGCGTCGCTGACGGTCGAATCAATCCACTTGCGCTCGATCTCGCCCAGTTGTGATGCCTTGCAGTCGCGTAACTCTTTGGCCTCGCGCACTTCAGCAAAAACACGTTCGGTCGTGTTGAGAAGTGTGCAGATCTGGTCGTTTGGTTTTTCGGGAAGCTGGTCTGTGGGTGTGCTTGGGGATCGCGTGCTGGATTTCATCGACTCGGTATCAATTTCGGGAGGCGGTTGCTTGTATGGTGGTTGCGAATCCGGTAGTGACTGCTGGGATAGGGGCATCGACTGTGGAAGTTGCTTTGGTGGCTCGGATTGAATCCTGTCCAGGCTGGTGCGGATCGCTATTCGGTTCATTCGGTCTGTCGATTGGTATAGTTTTTCTGCTTGGCGATGCAGCATGCCCACGGTCGATTGGTGGCATCGATCCTTGGTGTTGTTCCATCCATCGGCTGATCGTTGCAAGAGCTCCATTTTCGATTGATAGTACCGTTCCTTAGTGTTGTTCCATCCGTTTGCTGATCGTTGGAAGAACTCCATTTTGGATTGACAGTACCGGTCCTTCGAGTCGGACCAGGCGCTTGCGGTGCGAGTTTGCATGTCCGTCTTTGACTGCTGCCACTTCTCGGTGGATTCATGCCACTTCTCGAAAGAGCTGTGAGCCACGTCTTTGGATTCCATGTTGCGGACACAGGTTTGACACGAAAACCAGAGCGTATATGGCGTTGTTGATGTTTGTCTTAGGGTGCAAAAATGGTTCTCTTTGCACAGGCCAGGACGAGGTGCGCCTCTCTACTATGACGAAAAAGATGATGCAGGCCACGCATATCAGCGGCCCCGAGGCATTAATTTTAAACCAAATGTCGGTGATTCAGCAAATCCTTCCTGGCCGAATCCCATGCGTGTGTTGTAAGCCATGCTGACTCTGGGCTATGTTCGCGTCGATCGCAGGATAGCCGTCCAGACACGGTATAGTGCGCTATTGAAACCGGTCTCTGATTGGCTCTTTCGTATGTTTTCGTTCTCCATGCCGAATCTCGTCGGATCGGGGTTGTCCATCGGGGCCAAAGCGACTTGGCGGTGGGTCGGTTGGCTGCTTCGTATATTTTGGGGGCTGCCTGTAGTGGAACAATGGCCATCTATTTATATCCACAAGCTTGTCGTGCTCTAGTAGCTTCACAGGCCACTTCTACAAGTAGAAGTATATATTTCTGAGTTGCTGCAGCTTGGGATAACTTGTATATAGTTAGCCCCCTCCCCCGAGGTACTCATGGGTTAATCAGAAGATACTGCCTTCATTCTTTCTAGATTAGGCGTGATATTTCGTGAACTATTCTATGAAACCGGCGGGATCTTAAGCACAGGCTGCTATACAAGTTGTGGGGTGTAAATAAGTGGATTCTCTTTCCGCCCTACCTGTGGCATAGCTTAATCCACTTAGAGTATTCATCGCTGGATTGGATATCCAGTTTGAATTGGAGATTGTCTCCCAGGTCCTTTGTCAGCGAGCAGCGTGGCCACGTCGGAGACTGCATCGTCGGGCTTCTCTGGGGCTTCCTGGGGGCATCCCCTTTGACTCAGAACCCCCATGGTTCTACATTTAGCTAGTCTGTATCAGTCCGTCAATTGCGCTGGACTGGCTTGCGGATCAGCATAGACACCTGGTGGAGATCGGTTGTCGTCGTCACAAAACTGGTCTCGGACTCTCTGGCTACATTGGCTTTTTCCTCGGGCATCGTCTGACATGGTCACCGCTACAGAGGCCGCATGTCTCACTCCTGTCATTCTTCTTCTACTGTTGAATCAGCTGTATGTCTGTGTTCTTGGCATGCGAAAGGTCAAGATACTAATGGTCTTCCGAGGCGAGGTTTCCAGTTTAGTACTGCGATTGTCGGGCCAATATACAATTGATCCCATATGCGAATTACCAGCTGAAGCATACTCGCCCCGGTCGTGATTCTTCCAGCGTTATATTCGAATAATATTGAATCATCTGCCTTGCCCAAAGTCGATTCTTTGAATTTTGTACGCGCATTGATACGCGCCAACTGACCCTGCCATACCAGGTAAACACCATACCAGGTAAACAGTCTTCTTTCTCTCTTCTGCCAATTTGACAACTCCCCTTCACAGCATGCAACACGATATATTCCCACACGATTCAAGTGGATGCCCCCATCTCGAGGTGTCAATCTAGGGGTCGTTGGGGGCCAAACGGCAGTTAAAACTCCACCCACGCCCACTTTCCCCTATACAACCATCTTCCCGAAACCGAGATCCTTCGCTTGGCGGGGACTCAGCTGGCATTCGTTAGCGCAGACGATGCCTCCACGCTGGAATCATCGAAAGTCCTCCACAGGCTGCACTCGCTGCAAGGCTCGCAAGGTTAAGGTATGCTTATTGATCCTCCCCGGGGGTGTCTAGCGATTTCCAGAAGCCAAGAAGCCAACAGATGAGAGGGCGGTAGTGCGACGAGAAGCGACCGCGATGCAGCCACTGCGCTCGCCATAATGTAGACTGCGAATACGCGACTCTGCCGACGCGAGTCTATAACCTAGACCAGCGTGACCAGCGTGCGATCCCCCAAAGCTCCAGAAGACAGCTCATTCAAAATAACCCCAAGCCGGCGCTGCGCGCGCCAGAAATGGGGGCCATGCGCATCCTCGAGCTGCGACTGATGCACCACTGGGTCACGGAGACAGCCGGTACAATGAGCTCGGCGCAGGTGTCCTCGGTCCGCGACATGTGGGGAATGTCGGTGCCGCAGATGGCGTTTGAGTATGAGCCGCTCCTGCACACCCTCCTCGCCCTCGGGGCCGCGCACCGCGCAACCCTTCTCCCGCAGGAGGCCAACCAACTGCGCCCCGTGTACCATGGCTACATCGACTCCGCGCTGCAGCGGCATCGTCAGCTCACCGCGAACCTCGACACCGCGGCCTCCGAGTCGACCTGTCTCAACGCCGTGCTAATCTCCCTCTACACCCTTTTCCTGCGGTCGGAGGCATCCACGGGGCCCTACGAGCCGCCGCTACTATGGATGTCGATGCAAAGGGGCATCCGAACGGTCATGAGAACTGTTTATCACCAACTCATCCGGTCTAACTCCCTCTTATGTCCGCTCCTACTGGCGCAGCCCACGCTCTGGGACTTGCAACGTGGAGGACACGTCTATACGGGCCCCTTTAAGCCCTTCCACTTTCTACTTGATTATCGCCCCGGTCAGGAGGAGGTAGATAACGAGACAGCCGAGACCTACCAACAGGCCGTGGCGTATCTCGAAAACCTTTATATTTCTGTGCAGCTGGGCGAGACCGGGTTTGTGGTCCGGAAGATGTTCAACGGGTTTCCGGCTGTTCTTCCCATGCGCTTTATTGAACTCATTTCTCACCGACGTCCGCGTGCTCTCGTCATCCTCGCTCATCTTTTTGCTTGCGCGAAGAGCTCCGAGGATATCTGGTGGCTGAGGGGGATTCCGGAGCGAGAGATCAACGGGATCAATAGTATCATACCCCCGGAATGGGAGTGGACCATGACCTGGCCGCTGCAAGTTATTTCTGCACAGGATACTAGCAGTGGCTTGCCGACACCTGCGATGACTCCCCAGTCAATAGATGAGCTCTCATAATACCCTCGATGTAATGAATAGATAATAGAGATTTTATTGATGTGATTACGGATTGAAGATATTAGCTCGCGAAAAAAGCTAGATAGGGGTAGCACCGGGTATAAGCGTTCACATGGCTATCGAATACAGGATTCAGTGAAGTGTCGAATTAATGGTTTCTCCATTCTAGTCTACCTGGTTTCTTAGGCCGAGTATCATAGACTTTGGTCAGTATCTATTTATTATATAGATTTAGTATCTTCTTACTATTTGATATATAATATTTCTATTCTCTAATTGAACTGCTTCTGTTTAATTATTTGATTATCTAACCACTAAAGCTCGCTAATATTCTTTTACATCGATCCGTCTATATTAATAGATAGTTGTTATAGACCCAACCACAGCTAGTGTTTAGCGCGGCAGAAGAAATTGTGCAAGGCCAATCAACCCCACGGCGCAGACTCTCTCTGACGTGGAACTAATAAGGGAGGACAAAAGGACCTTCTTAAGAGGATCTTCTTAGGATATACTATATATATCACGTGAGTACGCTAAAAATAGCCTCTTATTCGCTATCTTCAACTATACTATCTTAACATTCAATGCGGGCAGCTCAATGAATGACTCAAGGACCGATGCGATTCTCAAGACATTACTGCAGACGAGGAGACACTTAACTAGCTTTACAACACTCGAGAATATAATGGGATATATTTAACTAACACCTGCTCAGTGACTTAGATGACTCGCATGCTGCCGTAGATAGGGCAATTTTTCATTTAACATCTGTTGAGAGTTCGGCACGGTTGGCCGTCATAACAATATGGTAAAGCGTCATTACCTGGGCCGCAGGGAGTTCGTCCCCTGTTTTGCGGGCTGCAATGGCACGGCTAACAATGTCCGGACAGCCCTGTTGTTGCATGGCCCATTTGGCCCCGTCCAATTTCGAAGAAAATTCACCTGTGACAATGAATCGCCAGCCTCGGCAGGCGTTGAGAACGCTGTTGACCGAGTTGAGTTCGTTTGCTTGGTGCCAATCGAGCGAATTCGCGATTGCTTCTAAAGCCCAGTGTCGGGGGATAGTGCCGAAAGCGACGGTCTTATCAGGACCGTACAGATTACGGCCAAGTTCGCGCCCCATAGCAATATCGAGCAAAAACCAGTGGCTTGACTCGTTAGCGGGATCAAGGCTGATATGATCGGGTTGGTGAAGTCCTGTGTTCAAATTAAGTTCGAACCGAGGGTGACAGCTGGCCGGATCCACAGCGCTTTGAGCATAGACCACAAACTCGAGTTTGGTAGCCGGGCAAGGCAAGGCTTCCTGGTTCAAACGGGATATGACTGCCTGCTTCTCAACAGTGTCAAGCGGATCCTTCACTATAGCCTGTACGTCAAGGTCGCTGAGGCCAGACTCGTAGGCACCATAACTGGCTGAACCGAATAGATACACCCCGACAAGCTGGTCTTTCAGGTAATCGGTAAGACGCTGGACCATTTCCTCGAGGTAAGCTTCCACCTCTTCTGGCAGGTTATTGTCCATTGTTGTCTCTTTTCTGGGTTATCGTTGCCAGACTTCTAAGTGTTCGCGCACCGACACCGCTTGGAGGTTGCCAGGCCTCTTGTAATATGGTAGGGCGAGAAAATTTGGAGGGGTAGTGGGTAATAGGTGAAAGGGTTGTGGCATTTGATAAAAGCTCGCAACGGAATTCAAGATCAAGATCCATGTGCGGGGTCCCAATGTTTCCTGCCTAAGGCATTAACTTCAACCGGAATTGCTGTCAACGAAATCCCACACAAAAATGTCGCGCCAAACTTTCCTTTGGTTTCATGAATCAAAGGATGACGGCGTACCATGTAATTTCAGATGGCGCGACCAAGATGAACTCCTTGGTCGAAAGGGTGAGAACAGTTGGGTTGGTGTGGAGTCCATAGTTGGCAGTGTAGAATTCGCTTATGTAAGCATGTTATGATTGGCTTACTACACTACAACTCACTTACCTTCTCTCTATCTATTTTTCATCGATTCATTGGATATTATTAAAGTGGCTCGTTTCTGGAAGGACACTACTACTCAGCTGTACCGGCCGCCAGTTGACGAATTGACGGCCTGGGTAGACCTACGACTGTGGACCTAGGTCCAGAGTGGGTCTACGTCCGCAGCTTCCAGGCCGGAGAAGGCTAGTCCGACGCAATTCATGTAAGATGAGATATGATAATTGAACCAACCTTGAAAAAGTAGTTGAGTTGCAAGGATCTGGTTGGGTCTATTTATGGTTCGCCACTCAGCAGATCGAACAAAGAAAATGGGCCCCCAAGCCACCAAGGTGAATACCCCGCGGGTCTGTGAGGTTCATATAGTAGTCAAGCACAAGGCTGACCGGCCCGACTGTGCCATAAATAAGGCTTCCTTCTGCTTTGTTCTTTTTACATTTCGTTCTTTGGTTCTAAATTTTTTGTTTTTGGCATATCGAGGATCGCGCCTGCCAAGAAAACACAAGTCGCTACATCATCCGCCGTGTCTATTCAAAGCTACTCCCTTGCAATTCTCCAGGCAAGGAACAATGTCATCTGCCAAAGATTACGTCTTTACCAGGGACTACCTGGACAACAACCGGTACCTCATCCAACCCCAAAGCAAGGCAATATGGAAACTAAAGAAGAATGTACAGAATTAATTTACAGCACCATCTCGCTGTGCAGCTCTTCGGATACCACATTCATCCATCAATTCCCACTGAATCAGCGAATTTGAGCATTGTAGATGTGGGCACGGGTACTGGGTAAGATCATTTGGGGTTTTATTTCGGTCGCTGAAAAATCTGTTAATCTTCTGTAGAATATGGCTCACAGATCAAGTCGACAAGTTTCCAAGCTCGGTCAGACTAGATGGATTGGATATCTCCCTCAATGCTACACCGCTGCCAGAAATGCTCCCGGACAATGTCAAGTTTAATCTATGGGATATTAAAGATGACGTGCCAGAGCACTTAATTGGCGTCTACGACGTGGTTCATATCCGATTTTTCGCCTTTGTTCTTCAAGAGCCAGATCTAGAACATGTCCTTGACAACCTGGCTAAGCTTCTCAGTAAGTTAAGCCTTCGATATCTCTGCTTTCCCGATCGAGCTGAATTGACCTCTATATAGAACCGGGCGGATACCTGCAATGGACAGACATGGACGTAAACTCGTGTCGATTGGAGAAGATCAGGCCAGAAATCGAGGCCGATGCACAGCTCAAGTTGCTGAAAATGTTTCAGGGTAATGACGACAGACTTCGCCCGGCTTGGGTACCTAAACTTCCCGGCTTGTTCGCCAAGAAGCAGTTTAAAGAGGTTGAATGCGATGCTAAAGAGTGCCCCCCACACCTAGCGTTATTCTGGCATGAATGTGGACTGCTGGCTACCGAAGTCCTTGCAAGAAGTAAGGAAGACGACAAAGATGCAGCTGCCATGTTCAAGCAAATGCTGAACCAGGCTGCCAAGGAGACACGAGATGGATCATACTTGGCCTTCACCAGATACACTGTTATCGGTCAGAAACAGTAACGGATCGCGGAATAGCGATAAACAGCAACCCACTTCGAAATTATAGAGGTATTAAATTAAGGGGATTGCAGAACCTCGTCAATATGAATCTATCTTGTGGTGCTATTCAACGGGGGGTCATCCCACCAATGATCACGTCGCCTTCTATAAATCATCATCATCGCTTTCTTTAGTCACTGAGCCAAGGACTTGGCCAGTGGGATTACCTTGGCGTACGAGCGTCGCTACTTCAGGGTTTGGTGGCGCCAATGCACATGTTATCGGCGAGCAATTTGTATCAAGCTGGGGATTGCAAAAAGCAGATATTGATCGAAATATATGCCCGTCGCGGCTTTTACTGCCCTTCTCCTACGCGTGGGGTAGAAAGGGCAAAAGGATTTCCCTTGCATCTGCCGACGCTGATCCATAAACGCGATGCAGAGGCGTGCATGCTTGAACTTGCTGGAGCGATGCTCAACCACGCCTACGATATTAACCTAGGAGCTATAAATTGCGCATTCGGAGTAGTGACGGCCAAGCCATTTAAACCGAAGCTTTTGACTTCACTACCAACCTATAGGTACGCATAGGGTGATTCAAAACAGGAAATGAGTCAGATCGAGAAAGGATTTCGATTTCCTCAGTTTTCCCTCCACAATCTTTTTGGGAGCAGGCTTCTAGGTGCTTCACCATGTGCACATATTCGGAGAAACATTTTCGGATTGGATAAACCACAGAATATCATGGGATTCAAGGTTTCTCAGACAACTCATGTTCCGGCTGCGGCGAGAGTCGGGGCTGTGCTCTCTGGCTAAGTAGGTATCTAGTATACACGACGGATCCGATCGAGTGGATCCTAGGTTTCTTCTGCAGCTGTAGACCATACTGAGACAGGTCGACCAAGACCCAACCATCAAGAGAGAAAAGGTGCGATGAGGCCAGACTCATGAATACCCCGGTAAGAGCCAGGTTGACAATCACGCTGTTGGTAAAGAAATCATCGAGCTCCTTTCTTTGCTTTCTTTGTTCGAGGTCCTTCAGTTTCCACTCGAACAATTGTGGAATGATCTTTTTGATGCGAACATAACATCTCGCAATTTGAACCTCGAGATTACCGGTGTATGGGAAGAGATTAGCCACATTCTCTCCGAAAAGAATGTTGTCATTTTTCGATACTAACTGGGGAGTCTATATTAGGCTTGTCGTCACACCAATCTTCGGGCACGTCTTCTATGTTGTGTAATAGGACTGCCCCGGAAATATCACCGCGGCTTTTTCTTATGTGTCGACGAATCAGGACGAAGAACCCGTATTTCTCTTTCGGATAGCTTGGTATCTTGTCTCCTTGCTGAGTGGGAGTATTAAGGATATTATATAATAATTTGATACTCTCGTATCAGGCTAGCAAAACAAGATTCAGTCTTGACAGCAACAAGGATATACTATTTAATCCGTCAATAACTATTCTGTTCATTTTCTTTACCTGGTCGACAGGTTTTATACCCTGCCAAGTATATTCTTTACAGTTGTATATTATTTAAAGTCTTCTCTATTAGTTCCTTTAGTTATTTAGGGGATTTAGTATTAGGATTAATATATTTCTATACCTAGTAACTAACTACGAGAATTTTAACCTCTTTATACTACTTTCGCTATTAGCTAAAATAAGAGAGCTTCTCTTTTTTAGCGATAGAAAAACTATCTATTTAAAAAAAATAGTATATTATTTTAAAGAGGCTTACTTTAATTAGTATAGATTAATATTCAATATTATCGGAATATCGAAATTTAGTAGAATTCAGGCGAGTTTAGCATTAAAAATCTTTTAATATCTACTTCTTATTCGTTACAAACTAGGGTTATAATTATCAAATTAGTAAATTAGTGATTTACTTTAATATTAATACTACGAGTAGATATATCAAAGCCCTTAAAATTCTCGAAATTCTATTATATAAATACTATATATAGACACCCAAAATCTCACTTAATTTACCTTATTCGGACTTCGTGCGTTGCTGATCTATCTGGCCGATCGGCCTCAGCATCTGCCTCGATAGGTATGGTGGCATGCTGGTCGACAAGATATCTTATTTTTGGGACGAGTATATCTTCTATTTTCCTATTGAGGAAGTTAGGTTATGTACTCCAGATGTAAAGAACATCAAGGATATTCCCGTACGGAGCCCTACAGTGGAACGCATAATCAGTGTTGGGGTCCAAAGATCTACTCTTCCTGACCGATGTATACAGCAGCCTATTCCACACGCAATCAATCTCCTTAGATTTATTCATGGATACTTCCAAGTTGAGTATATTCCCCCTCAAGTCAAAGGGTAAGCAAAATCTTTCCTCTCCCCGAATACCGCCCATTGGCATACTCATACGCCTCCTTCGCCCGCGCAATCGGAAAAGACTCCGCCACAAAAGACTTGAGCCTCCCCCGATCGACGAGATCCGCCAAAGACCGCAACACAGGGCCACTCCCCTCGACAATAAAAAATAGCGCTTTCACGCCCTCCCGACTAATCCCCCGGCGGCGATGCTCCGCCACGAAATCAAAGCTCGCAGAATCCACCGTGACCAGTGTCCCACTGCCCTTAACATATTTCCAGCACTGTGTTAACACATCCCCGCCCACTGCATCGACGATAACATCGAACCGATCGACATCATTCTCCAGCTGGCCGTACTCAACAACCTCATCCGCGCCAAGACCGCGCAGAAATGATTCATTGCGCTCGTTCGAGCTCGTCGCAGCAACGACATGCACGCCTGCACTAGCAGCGAGTTGCACGAGGTAGATGCCGACTCCGCCAGCGGCACCGGTGACCAACACCTGCAATTGCTGTGCTGCACCATCCGCATCGTCTTGACGCGTCTTAGTAGAAGTAGAGATAATTGAAGGAGCAGGAATCCCCGCATGCTCAAAAAGCGCCTCATACGCCGTCTGAGCACTCAACGGCAACGCCGCCGCCTCCTCCCACCCCATGCCCCGCGGCTTCAGCGCGACTTCGTTCGCCGTGACGAGCGCATACTCGGCCCAGGTAGACCCGCGGTCTGCATGCGCCATGCCAAAGACCTCGTCGCTGGGCTTAAGGGCGGAAGAGCCCGGGTCTCCGGAGCTTGAATCGCTGGAATTTGAAGCTCCGGAGAATACTTCCGTCACGATCCCGGAAAAGTCATGGCCCAGGACTGGGAATGCGCGCTCATACGTCTCGGGCCATGTGAGCATGTCCCGGATGATGGTTGTTGCTTTGATGCGGACGAGGAGCTGGCCATGTTCGGTAGGTTTGGGGATGGCGATGGTGTCGAGGTGTAGCGCGGAGGGCGGGGCTGGGTTTGTGGGGGAGTAGGCGGGTTCTGAGGGTGGTGCGGGGTGGACTCGGATGGCTTGCATTTTGGACTTTTTTTTATGTCTTTTCTCTGATTGTTTGTAGAGGGATGAAAGTATCAATTGGGGAAGGGGGAGGTTGCTATGTGGAAGTAGACGTAGAAGTAGAGATGTAGAGACTGTCAAGGTCCGCGTCACGCCATCGCTAGATTCCCGCAGATAGCCTATACACCACGCAAAGAATTGACTAATGGAAACTGTAATTGAAATGCCATAGACACATGCCATTAAAACTATATGCAAGGAAAAGCTATGGAGTCTGCTGTACAACCTCAAGGAGAAAAAGAAAAGAAAAGAAAAGAAAAGAAAAAAAAGCCGAAACTGGCATGTCCACCCGCATCACCCTCATGCAGAAGATCAGAAAATCAAAAAAAAAAAAAAAAAAAAAAGAAAATTCAAGAAAGAGGGTATCTTCACTCCACCGAAGGCAGCTCGACGGAGAGCGGCAGCTTGCGCGACGAGCTCCCCACGTACACCTTCTTCTGCGCCTCGGTGATGACCCAGTCCTGCGACGGAACATCCCAGTTGGAGAGGTCGCGCCGGGTCAGGGTCGTCGTCCACTGCACCTTCTGGCCGGGAGCAATGCTGACTCGGTCGAATTGGCGCAGGACCTTGACGGGTTCGTTTTCGCCGCCGAGCGAGACATACTGTGGATTCAAAAAGTCAGTACATTCATTCCTCGAGGCTCAATGCATGAAGAATATATGGTTATACTCACCAGCTGAGGTACCTCATCGCCAGTCACGGATCCAGTGTTGGTAATGGTAGCAGTCACCTGGAAGAGATCGTCGAACAGTGCCGGGTTGCCGCCGGAGCTGCCGCTGGCCGGCAGTCGAGGCTGAGCGGTCCCGTCGGTGGCGCCGTCGGGGATGTACTCCTTCGCGTCCAAGCCGTAGTAAGGGTCGGCCGACGATTTGCGGAGATCGGTGGAGTTGAGATACGGGTACAGGTACTGGCGCACGCGCATGATGCCCGTGGGGAACAGGTAGTCCGAGGCATTGCCGGCCTTGCCCAGCGTGGGGGCTTCCTTGGTCTTGCCGGTCGTCGGGCTGTACTTAGCAGCGGGGAGAGGCGTGACCTTCAAATCCGAGAAATTAAAGGTGGTGTAGCTCAGACCAAACCCGAATTCATAGATAGGCTCCTCGTTGTCCTTGTCGAAGCGGCGGTAGTCGACATGGACGCCATCATCGAAGTTGTCCTGAGGCGCGCCGTGTCCGTTGTTGGCCTCGGTCAGAAGTGCAGGGCCGTATGCCTTGCGGGTCTTGCCCCAGGTGAAAGGCGTCTTGGCTCCTGGGTTGACACGGCCAAACAGAACATCCACGATGCTGCGGCCACTTTCCTGGCCAGGCAGGCCAGCCCAGAGGATGGCAGTGATGTTGGGGTTGTCGTACCAGTCTCCAACCAGAACCGCGCCGGGGGTGTGCATGATGACGATGGTGTTGTTGCAGTTCTTCGACGCGGTCTTGATCACCTGCTCGCCATTCCTCCACAGGGTCATGTTCTTGCGGTCACCCTCATTGCCGTCAACGTTGATGAAACCTTCACCGGAGTCGGCATTCACAAAGACCAGAGCAACACTGGAGAGAGTTAATATCAAATGCCAAGCAGAGCATCTTTGAAACATACCTGGCCTGAGAGGCGACAGACGCAATCGCGTCAAGAGCCCAGTCATTCGTGATAGCAAAAACATTGGTCTGGCCATTGCCGTAGTTCAGCACTTCGTTCTGAATGGCCTGTTCCGGGGTAATCAGGTAAGGGAAATTAGCCGTGCCACTGCCCCAGCCCATAGCCAGGGTTCCGTTATCGCAGCCACGGTCAGCACAGCCATTGGCACCGTAGGGATTGGATCCCGCGTCTTCGCCCAGGATGCCAATAAAGCGCTCATTGTGTGTCAGGGGCAGGGCACCCTTGTTCTTCAACAGAACAGTGCTGTCCGATCCAATCTTGCGGATGACTCTGGCATGGTCCCGCTGGACATTGACGCGCTCGTTGAGCTTGATGTAGTTCTCGTTGACCATGAAGTGCTCGAAGCCATACTCATCGCGGGTCCACGAACTGAAGTTGGGAGGAGTGCGGAACCGATCACGGCCCACCTTGTAATAGGCGGCCATGATGCGCACGGCCATGTCATCCACGCGCCACTCGGGAACGGTACCGTTGAGAACGGAAATCGTCAGGTTAGTACCCCAGAAAGAGTAGGGACTCCCCAGGGCGACATCACCGGGCATGGACATATCCAGACCGGCCAAAGTGGCACCAACACCGCTGTGGTGGGCACCCCAGTCGCTCATGACAAATCCCTGGAAGCCGAGCTCGCTTTTGAGCAACTTGTTCAGGGTGTAGCTGTTGTGGCATCCGTAGCTGTTGTTGATCTGGTTGTAAGAGCACATGACAGAGCCCACGCCGGCACGAACAGCATCGACGAATGGCCAGAGGTACAGCTCATGCATGGTCTTGTCGTCGATGTTCGAGCTGACACTCTCGGAGATGTTGTAGCCATAACCCTGGGCCTCGCCAGACTGACGGAAATGCTCCTGCTCGTTGCCGATGAAATGCTTCGCACAAGCAATGATCCCAGCATCTTGCATTCCTTTGATCGTCTCGGCCATCATCACACCAGTCAGAACAGGGTCCGGCGCAAAGCCTTCCCAGTTGCGACCGCCTTCTGGGTATTTCCCCAGAGGACCGGCAACGGGGCCCAGCTGCACGTCGACACCCTTGTCTCGGTGTTCTTCACCCATGGCCATGCCACGCTGATAGGCCAGCCGCTTATCCCAGGTTGCGGCAACATTGACACCAGCAGAGAACCCAGAGCTGTAGTCACCTGGAATGCGGTCAGTCACCGCAGTATATATTCAATGTGGACTCAACTCACTGTCGCGAATACCCAGGGGCGAGTCTTGCATGCACATGCCCCACATTCCGAGTCTATCACAGATCCCGTCAGTTCTCTTCCATCGGATTGACTCTTCAAGACTGAGCTTACCTGGGAACACCACCGGTCTCGCCGACACATCGTTCTTGCTCCCATCTGCATATGATTAGACGCGATTGTCGATATCCCCAGTATGGTTAGGAATACATACCCAGAACCAGTAGTGATATTGACCTTCTCAGCAAGAGTTAGGTTCGACACAAACTCGACGGCACGTCTGTAGGCCTCAGACCAGTCGCCCTCGCCGGTCATCCATGGCGACGGGTAGTATGGCGGGGAATACGCCAAGTCCTGTGTTACCAACGGGTCAGTCACCGAAAGCAAGAAGAATGATAGAATGCTTCTCTCACTTTAGCACTGGCGACCGAGGCGGCCGTCAGGGCAGCCAGCTCCAACCAGCCAAGCTTCATGGTGTGGATCAACAAGCTAGGGAGAAGATTCAGGGTCCACAGGAACAGAGCGCTGCTTGGTGCCGGGGGGGGGGGGGTTGGTATACGTTAGAGGGAAGGTGACGAGGAGAAGCTTCAAAAACACGGGGACAAGACTCGATTTAAATGCAGCGGGATGGCAGGGGAAAGTGGCGTAAGGAATCGAGAGAATCAATAAAGCTGGGAGTGTGGAGAAACAGGGATCGGGTGGGACTGCATGCATTACTGTTTGTCTCTACTGTCCATACTGCCCATAATTGGACTTGCCTAGAGAGAATTAGAATTACAATCAAGGTCTATGGATTCATGAATTTACCATAATGCGAGGAGACTAAATAGAGGAGAGTCTGCCCTGCGTAAGTCAAGGACCCATCCCTTTGCAGGACCCCTTGATGTACCTACAGTAGTATAGTAAAGTAAAGTAAAGTGAGCATGCCGCGAACGGCCTCTCCTTTCTCTGTCTCGCTTAAACCTTGATTTCTCTTCTTTGCTCATCATTACTACCGTACCATATACTATCCCTGCCCCAGCCTTTCAATTCTCCGGTCAATTGTTCTTTTCTCCTTCCAGGAATGTCATGACAGGTCCATTCATTGCGGATAATGCTTCCCGCATTCCAGTTGTTCCAAAGTGCAACCCAAGTGAAAGTGTGAGAGACTCGATAAATTGCTTCTCTTTTCTTCTCTTCCCCACAATAATCCCGCAAGCGGCTATACCTCCCCTCCACCCCCAGTCGACAAGGCTCACCCCGAGAAGAGTCATTTGCCTGAATATCCTAAGCAGTCACTGAACCTTGGAAATATTATTGCCAGATATCTCCACTTATATTTGCTGAGGCAATTCCCTGGCTATTTTCTATATATCTATAGAGGAATCTCTGGATTTGCGATCGGGCTTTGACTCTCCGAAGTATACACACTTCTACCTAACTACCCTCAACAATATACTGCATATTGTACCAGGATAACGACCATTTCTCCTTCATATTGTCATGACAATGGAGTATCCCCACGCGCAGCCAAGCGTTTAGACCGGAGAAAGCAGTGCGGGGCTCCAGATGGAGCTGGTGGGACGATTTGCGCGATTAATTTGGCTGCAGAGGGGTCTGAATACTCTGAATGCAGCTTTTTTTGCATTCATGCTCTAAGCATTAGTTTTGTGTTGTTTTGTTTTTTTTTACTTCCGAGGCTCCGGGCAAGACTCGGACACCTCGCCGAGTGGCTTTACCCCCCACGCCATACACTGGAGAACATGGGGGTTTGCATTCGCTATTTCATTCGGCGCAATGAATGGACCTACTTTGCATGGTTGGATTACAATTTGCTGACTGAAAATGAGATAATCGTTCTATACAACCTTGCAATATTCTCATGTTCATGTTCTTGTTCTGTGCCTGTGCGACACGGGCCCGGCCCGACGAAGCGTGTTGTTCGGGCAGAGTGGGGAGAGCAAAGCTCTGAGAAAAGCCACTGGCCCACTCGCATTTCTCCTGGGGTGCATGATCTGGAGGCGGCAGAGAGTGGCAACTCTGTAGCAATGCGGGTGCCGGATATCCTCCGGAACTCTGTGTCCCCTCCATACTACGAAGTAAATAATATGGAGCCGAGGCTGATCCTTGCCCATTTGCCGCCTATACTCCGGATCACGGAAATCTTCACGGTCATCGATTTCCTTGTCCACGGGTAATCATCGGAGAAACGGCCAGCATTTCCACCAAGACTTTTCCCGGGTGAGGGTTCGGCAGTCTGGGGTGTCTGGGGTGAGGTGCAAAGGCCGCGCCCCATACAGGCATATCCGGGGTCGGAGACGTCATTTTCCAGATCCCCGCATGCACGGTGTACCTCGTGGCAATAACCATTGTCGGCAATGTGGTAACGTTTGCTGGTGAGTCTTTGCTGGGACTGGATGGCTGGTGATGGCGACATTCGAGATTGGCAGTGCCCAATCTTGAAATTCGGTCAAGCCTCCGCCCACGGTCCTCCTTCTGCTGGGTTGCCATGTGCTGTGGTCATCGACATCACCCAAGTTCTTTATCGTCAGCGAACTTAGGCTTCACGGCCAACCTCAGACATCGTTGCTAATATCATCCAGCACTTGAAAGAGAATATGGTTCTGAACTCTGCAGCCATCGCCAGAGACGCCCGCGCGGAATCCAGACCAGAGTTTCCGCCGGATCTGCTCCATGTCGGCGCCGCGAGTATTATATTGATTAATCAATTCTTCGGCCATGACGCACAGAGTCGTATTGAGCACATCGTCCTCAGACGGCCATGTGCCCTCGGGATTCTCAGGCGCACACCCGCATAACGATGGATTTTCTGGCTTTAGTTGCAGCAGCTGCTGCTGCTGCTGCTTTGGTCTTTGCTTCGTCTCTGAAGGGACTGGTTTGCAGGCGCTTTTGTTTTCTTCACACTGTTTCCCCGAGTCCTCTTTCTGATTCTCGGCATCACATGTCGGCGGCGAAATCGCGGGACCTGCTTCTGCCGGTCGCTGCAGAGCAGGAATCGCGACTTTGCGATGCGCACTCGTGCCCTGGTCGGCCAGGCGTAGGTAATGGTCGATGGTCACCGTTGAGAAGCCCAGTGATCCCAGAAGACCCTTGAGGTGCCGGTTCTCCGCTTCGACTTTCTGCGTCTCCAACCGCTGCTCGATATCCCTGTTCTGGGCCTGTTCTTTGCACACTGCCAGCTGTTGTTCTAGCTCCCGGATGTATTCCTGCTTCCTTGCTCGGCTCTTGCGCTGGTTCTCGCGCACTCGGGCGAGTCGGTCGATGTTCTCCTGGACTATTAGACTCGAAGCGCTTGAAAGGTGGATGAGGAGATGCTCACTTTTTGGTCATTCATGACCGTGGAAGGATTCGACAACATTTGTCACCGAGTCAGAGAAAAGCGCATGGCTCAGTTGGCGCATACTCGCAGGATGACCGTCAGAGTTGATGATGGCGTCTTGGCGGGGAATTACAGGGCCACGTGATCAATCTGTTGATCTTAACGGATGGTCCCTTCAAAACTACCAAGTTCTGGGCATTCTCACACAATCAAAAAGAATGGAAATAATTCGCTGATATATGCCTAAAAAAGAAACATGTGGGTATCCAATACATCCATCCCTTCCTCATCTATTACACCAATTACTCGTAGAACATGTTCAATCCTTAGGACATGACATGTCCCCTCCATTCCGCTCACTTGTACGCCGGCGGCTTCGGCATCCCCCGATTATCCCATACATTCGAACTGCCGATCTCATGCACATTGTAATGGTCGCCAACCGCCGATGACCCGATCTCATGCAGCGGCGGCGGCTGCGGCGGTGCCTCGGGCGGCGGGCCCTTGGAACCGGCACCGCCAAAGCACGCCACAAATTTCTTGCGCAGCAAGAACATCGCAAAGATCACGACTGCTGCCACACACCCGACCACAATACCGGCGACCGCGCCTCCGGAGAGCGAGTCGCTGCTGGAGGCTGCGGAGTCGGAATGGCTGCCGGTGTCGGTGCTGGTTGGTGTGGAGGTGTTCGGGACGGTGGTGAGGGAGCCGCTGCTGGCGACGACGGTGCCGGTGGATTGGGAGGAAGAATCTTTTTGAGGGGAAGTCATTTAGTAAAACGGCCAACTTGGTGGGGCGGTAATGGTCATGCTACTGCATGGGGCACTCACCAGATGTCGAGGGCAGTTCTCGATACAGCGTGCTGTATTTCCAGTCCTCGACACACATGTAGCGCGTTAACAGCGGCGTTCCGGATGGCGATGTGTGGGCCACTAGCATGGTATCGCAGCTGAGAGTGGCGTCGCTGTTTGGATGTTAGCACTGGAATCCCTCTACCACGCAATCTCGATATGTTTGCAGTCGACGTTGGCGCTTCGTACCATTTATGTGTCCCGCCATTATCATAGGCGAGAGTCGCGCCTCCCTTTGGTTCCACGCAGTCGGTCGCAAGGGCCGTGGCATCGGTCGCTAGACAGTCGGCATAAGTCCCGGAAATCGAGAAGATCTGGGTGGTCGGGCAAATTATTGACACTGTTGGGAGTCAGTATACTGGGCTCGTTCTTCTCAACCCATCGCAAGGCCACATACTGGTGGTGCTTGACCCCAAAAACCACCCTTGGAAATAGGGCGGTGTCGTAGTAGTCGCCATGGTGGGTGAATTCTCTCGACTATCCAATTATTCTGGTGTCTCTGTATGTAGGTGTGTAGGCGTGTAGGCGTATAGGTGTAGAAGTGGGTAGGATAATCCCCAGGAGAAGAAAAACGAGAAAAAGTCACAGCTGGATCTGCGACAATATAATCCCCCTGTCAGACTCGAGGGAAAAAGGATGTTTGATCCGGGCCGATTCGCATGGGAGATATAAGTTGGCCCCCTGGGGGCCACTAAGTGGGAGGAGATCCACCCGCCGGTTTATTGGAGCCATCCATAGATCATAATGAAGAACACTAATCGAGTCATGTTCGACCTAATTAGGGGCTCTCTCTCGTTCCCAGGGGCGATCTTACTCTCTCCAAGGCTGGACTTTGTGGGGGCAGCCTTGTGAGGAACATTCAAACATTCAGCTTTGGTCACAGCTTTGCTTGAGAAAGGCCGAAGACTTCCCACGCGAGGAAATGAAATTCGGATGCACAACGTTAGTGACTCTAACTAGTCACTAGTTCTTTAGGGGGAGGGGGGGGATTCGAACAGTAGCCAAAGCTTATGCTGGACAATGGCGCTTTGTCCACAACGCTAACCACTAGGTGTTTCTGATCTGGTGGATATAATCTGGTTGGGAACTACTCTGTACACATCTTTTGGTCGGCTTTGAGTAGAAATCCCGGTGATTTCAAGTCGGCCGAGGTTGTCACTTCGGTATTATTTTGGTCTGATCAGGGCTAATTTACTGCCAGCTAACAATAGGGCAACTATATGCAGGCCCGCATTTCCATGCAAGCTACGATGGAACGTGCTGATCCGATGGATCAAATCAAAGTTTTCGACTGGGGCTGTATGAGAAATCGGCATTAATTATGTTCAGTGATTTCAGGCAATATAATACGTATCGGGGTTCCCATAAGAACACCGCCAACTCGACAGACCCTGTGGTGCTAGTACATAGGGCTAAGTGGATCGAACTGCTTTACACCCATGGGTGAGCCAGATGGGTGAAGCTCTGGTGGGGGTTGGTGGACTCTGCAATTTCCAGCGTTCAATAATGTGATTAGTCAAATGGATCCGGGGGAGTTCCTCCCGAGCTGTTCTATGAATTGGTAGGACAAGACATACGGTGAGTATCCGGTGAGCATGGGAATCAAATTGCCCCTCGAAACTGTTGGCCCGTGTGTAGCCTCTCTCCAGGGGAGAATCTCAATAAATCTGAATTGATGTGAATGATTTGCAAGTCCCCAGGCCATTTGGGCTAATGGCCCAAAGCGTGTGTCGCAAACGATCATCGGACGACGTCACTAGCCGTCAGTCGACTTCGAGCCCAACATTCCTGGCGCCAACCTGAGTCGCGCCCTTTTCTCTTCAATGATCCCCCCCCCCTCTCTGCAGGATTCAGATCAGAAGTATTGCGAATACACGGCGTGTGGATTGAATTAAACCTATCCACTCCATTACGGTTCACATCTACACTGCGATCGCCAACGCCACCATGGTCTCCACGCGACACCACCCCCGCGAGTTTCCCTCGCCCACGCGCGCCGCCAAAGAACAGGCCAAAACATCGCCGCCCACCACCACCGGCACCGCACGCAAATGGGTCCACACCCCGTCGGCCGCGCTGACCATCTGGCTGGTGTTCTCGGTGCCGCTGGTCGTGTGGGATGCGGGGTACGTGCTGTTGCGACCGCATAGCATGCCCGGCGGCCGCCTGCATTCGCCCATCTGGGCGCCCTACGCGCTGTACGGGACGGTCGATTACATCTACGGCTGGCCGGCGTTTAATGCGCGCAATGGTTTTACGGCTGCGCAGACTGTGCTGAATGTCGTCGAGACCCTGGGCTATATCTACTACTTGTGGATCGTGTATCGGCACGGCGCGACCATCTCGCCCGGTCGCGGCTCGCAGAAACTTGGCAAGGGGTTCCTGTGGTTGTTGACGGGTGACAAGGTTGTGTCGGGGCGCACTGGTGCCATTGCGCTTCTTGTCGCTTATACCGCGTCGGTTATGACTCTCAGCAAGACCCTGCTTTATTGTTCGTGTTCCTTGCTCTGTCTGGTCTTGGGTCTATCGTTGCTAACTTTAACAGGGTTGAATGAGTTCTTTTCGGGGTTCGAAAATATCGGGCACAACGATGCTGTCAGTCTGATTCTGCTGTGGATCATTCCCAAGTAAGTGTTATCTGATATGTTCTTATTGTACCTCAGCAGAAACTAATGGTATCCCTCCTCCAGTGGCCTGTGGATTATCTTTCCCGGCTATAACATCTACGTCCTCGGCGCGGATATCCTGAGCTCGTTGGAGAGTGCATCTCCGCGCCAGAGAGTGGGACGACCGAAATCGTCATGAATCTAGCTGTGGTGAATTTTTGAGATCCTTGTGGGGAAGAGATCAGGCATGATATAGTAGTATGCTGCGCCTATGAGTTGCAGGTGCACTCGAGGGAGAATCTGGGCAACGAACCGTAATTTGTGGGATGAACTTAAGAAATCGCTAGTATTCAAGGGCAAGGTGCTTTCCCTACAACTATGAAATAATCACTTTTCTTTTCGTAGACTCTTTGACAGCTTGAGAATCTCTGGTCCCTATCCCCACCTAGCTAGCTATGATGTAGTGCTATACTCAGTGCTTCCGAAGCACGAGACCTAATGCCAATCCTCCTATTTGTTTATCCTAGAAGGAGCGCAAGTTGAATTAGTGAAAATCTAAGTCTGGACAGGGATATCCTTTGTCCCATCTATGCGTAGTTAGAGCTCTTGGGAGAACAGCTCCGTAATGTATAATGTGGGCACTGCCAGTGGACGCCATTGCCAAGCCACCCAACCTTTCCCCACATTCTTCTCTCCTCACCTTCTCCGCCTCAACTTCCCCCCGTTGAGTCCTCGACCCATCACGCTCCCAGCAGCTCCCGATATTGTTTTCTGTTGTCCTCCATCTAGGAAAATTCCCTTTGCTCTGCCCCGACCAGGCCGAACGATGCTCCGGGCTTGGGTCCCGCGGTACCCGCACCCGTCATGATTCCACCCGATTCCGATGAGTCGCCATTGCAGACTGGCGCGAGCTTCACCTTTGGGCCCGAGGACTCGGCGGCAGCCCTCGACGACTTTGATACCCACAGCCATGCAAGCTCCCGCGACCCCGATAGCGCGCTGACCGCCGACCCCGCGACGGGCCCGGAGAACGGGTCGCAAGGGAACCAAGGCGATGATCCGTCCCGGGAAGACGGCGGCCCGTCGAATTCCGAACAACTCGAGAAAGGCGAGAAACCCGTATGGAGCGAACTGAAAACCAAGGCCGGTAAGGAGCGGAAGCGGCTGCCACTGGCCTGTATCGCATGCCGCCGGAAAAAGATTCGGTGCTCGGGCGAGAAGCCTGCCTGCAAGCATTGCACGCGCTCGCGCATCCCGTGTGTATACAAAGTCACCACAAGAAAGGCTGCGCCGCGCACGGACTATATGGCCATGCTGGACAAGCGACTGAAGAGGATGGAGGACCGCGTGATCAAGACGATCCCCAAGGATGAAATGAGGGATATGGCTGCCATCGGCAGGGCGGTTGTCAAGCCCTCTGTGCCGAGCCAGACGACCAAGGCGCAAAAGAAACGGAACGCCGACGAGGCATTTACCGCGGAGATGGAGGATTGGACTCGCGGCGAGCGCCGCCCGCCACACGAGACGTTTCCTATGAACCGCGAAGCAAAGTCCAGCGATGGAAGCGGCCTTTTAACGGCGGGCGCTGAGTTTCTGCCGTCGCTGGAGATCCAGGAACATCTGGCAGAGGTGTTCTTCGATTGTGTTTATGGGCAGTCGTACCTCCTCTTGCACAAACCCAGTTTCATGCGGCGACTTAAAGCTGGCTCGGTCCCCCCGGTCCTGATTCTCGCGGTTTGCGCTGTGTCCGCCCGGTTCTCAACCCATCCGCAGCTCAACTCGGAACCACCGTTTTTGCGCGGCGAAAATTGGGCCAATCCCGCTGCGGCCATTGCTTTGAGTCGGCATGACGAACCAAACATTACCATCTTGACTGTGTTTCTACTCCTTGGTCTCCATGAGTTTGGAACATGTCACGGTGGACGCAGTTGGTCATTTGGCGGGCAGGCGTTGCGCATGGCATATGCCTTGCAGCTCCACCGTGAGCTTGATGTGGATCCGTTGCTTGGGCAGAATAATGGTAGCAACTCCCAATTGAGTTTCACAGACCGAGAGATTCGACGACGGACTATGTGGGCGTGCTTCTTGATGGATCGATACAATTCTTCTGGGAGTCAACGACCGCCAATCGGGAACGAGAGATTTTTACAGCTCCAACTGCCTATCAAGGAAACTCATTTTCAAATGGAGATTCCTGGGCCCGCCGAGGATCTAGATGGCGATGTCCCCAATCCTGTGCCAGAGGATACGGGCCAGTTATCTAATGCAAAGGAAAATATGGGGGTGTCGGCCTACATCATCCGCGCCATTGTTCTCTGGGGCCGCATTGTCGACTACCTGAACCTTGGCGGCAAACGAAAAGAACCTCATCCGCTGTGGCACCCAGATTCGGGGTACATGCAGCTCAAGCGACAAATTGAGGAATTCTCCGCAGCGCTCCCGGCCTCCTTGACCTTTACCTACGAAAACCTTCAGATCCATGCCGCTGAGAAGATCGCAAATCAGTTCATCTTTCTTCACATCATCACGCATCAAAATGTCCTGTTTCTGAACCAGTTCGCCATTCCCCTCTCCCCAGGAGGACGGCCTCCTAGGGACATGCCCAAGCCTTTTCTCAGCAATGCCGGTCGAGCAGCGGTCGAGGCGGCCCATCACATCTCCGTTCTTTTTGATCGCGCCTCGGCCTATCCGCTGACCGTCCCTTTTGCTGGATATTGTGCATATTCGGCTAGTACAGTTCATATTTGGGGCATTTTCTCCAAGAACGTCCAGCTGGAAGCTCGCTCAAAAGAGAACCTTCGCCACACTTACCGCTATCTCAACAAAATGAAGAAATACTGGGGAATGTTCCACTACATGGTGGAGAGTGCCAAAGATCGGTACCGACAATTCGCTGATGCGGCCATCAAAGGCTCCGTGGCTACTCAGAACGGCTCCTCGGTGGCACCCATGTTCCAGTATGGTGACTGGTTCGACAAGTATCCCCATGGCGTGTCGATGCTACATTGGGAAGACCCCGACACTCGGCACAAGGAATCTGGCGAAGACGCCGTCATGGGGCAGAAGCCCGATCTGCAAAGCGTCGAGGATTTCTTTGCCAGTTTGTCCCCAACACCGCAGCCCAGCGTCCCCCGCAAGTCGCGCTCGCGCAAAAACAGCCGGATTTCCGATGGCGCCCCGGGTCTGAATCAGACTTCACCACAGTCAATGATGGACGTAACCATGGCCAACACCGCCGACGTTCCGGGCAGCGCATTCCCCCAGCCGACCATGCTCTCTCAAAACCGACCCATTTCCTTTGGTCAATCTCCCTTTGATTTCAGTATTCCTCCTGACCAGTTGCCACAACTTGATCGGCAATTCGTGTATGGCTCGTTTGCTGATTTCGATCCCACCTCCTTCGTCCCCCACAATAACCCACCTATGCCTCCCCTCAATGGCGTCGAGCCCCAGAACTCGGAACACATCTTCACCGGTCAGCTGGATCCTAGCGCCCCTGCTGGAACAGGCGAATTCTATCAGCCCAGCGCATGGTTCCTGCCCTTCAACCTTGACCCCGTCGGCGCCAGCCCAGACCTTGGTCCCGGTGGAACCCCGCAGCCCGCCCCAGGCCCAGCCTCCGCTCCAGTGCCCGGTGCCGGCGGCACTGCTCCCACCCCTGGGCCTGGTCCCATGCCAGAACTCCCTACTTTGGGGGGAGCAGGAAACCTACGGCTGGGCGCATATGATATTGGGCTAGGTGGGTCCGGTCTGGGTCAAGACACGCGACAGGTGTGACCAATGTAGCTCTGCAGCTCTGTGACGACTATGATGTGGAGTTTTGATTGTTTTGATAATAAGTGCAGACGAGTGGGACATGGGCTTTATTAGCATTGGTATTTATTCTATTCCCTGTCTTTTGTTCCCTTTCACAAAAGCTGGGAGTTTTGTGTTGGTCTTGTATATAACTTCTTGTCTCTTGTCTCTTGCCAGTGGCATGGATATCCTTGTTCTGTGCTTCTTATTGTGGAATCCATAGAATACCAAAGGAATCGACGTCAGTGAATTACTGTAGACTATCCATGGATTCGTGCTTTGTATTCCCAATATCGTTAGCGTACTTAGGACATAGGTACGGTAAACTTGTGTAACCATCGATTCCTAATATAGTATCTAGCTCGCGTACTTCAGACCTTGGTGCGGCGAAACTGTGTCACCGGCAATGCCTAATATAGTATGGTTAGCGTACTTAAGACACGGGTATGGGAAATTTGTGTAATCAGCTAGGGTAGGGCATAGAGAATGCGGTCCAAGATAGTCCAAAATAGTCCCAACGCTTCCAATAACTAAGCATCATTGGTCTAGTGGTAGAATTCGTCGTTGCCATCGACGAGGCCCGTGTTCGATTCACGGATGATGCACTTACTTTTTTTTTGATCTTTCACCTTATCCTGGAAAGGTAGATATGTGTGTTTTTTTTCTTAAGCATGGTATATTTATCTTATTCTTCTCTTGAATTTTGAATATTTTTTTTAAGATGTTAGAACAGAACATATTTAAGAAATTAGTGACCATACCGAAAATATTTAGGTTTTATTTCGGGACTCAGGTAGTTATGGTAAATGATCGGTCATATTCAAAAATATTAATCTAGCTTGAGCTAACCATAACAGAGTCTTATTGTAGGCCACAAATCAGATAATTTATAAGACTTAACCAGTAGGCGTAGGTAGACAATGGGTCCCGATGGGGCTCTCCACAGGCGGAGACCTAAGGCAGTACTGATAAATATACAAACCAAAACAAAGATATTCAAGATAGACTTCTCTAGACAAAAACCTAGAAACAATTGGCAAAGATCAGACCCCGAAAAAAAATAAGCAGGGAAAAAAACAAAGGAAAGATAAAAAGACAAAAACATAGCAATGTCCCTATGCCCCTCATACAATGCAGAACGAAAAGAAAGCAAGGCCAAGAAGAAAGTTTAAAAACCACAAAAGCGACCAAGGAAAAAGCAAAAAACGAAAGTTTATGCATGCGTTTATTCCTCCCACTCTTCATCCAGTTGATCTATTAGCCGGTTCTCCGCGTCCACGTCAGTACCCTGCAGTCGAGTGGAACCACTGTGTCTGTGGGCATATGCATGGGCGACACCGTTGTTGCTCGAAGGAGCCCGTTTAAGGCGAAGAGAGTTGGATAGCGAGGACCAGGCAATAATGGCTATATCCTGTGTTCCAATGAAACGCACTTTGTTAGCATACTTCCCCAGTAATCCAAAATCCAATGACACAAGCAATCCATAACTCCTCCCTATGACTAAATAAAACCACAGGAAATGCAGAAGTGGCTAGACTTTTGCAATACTTGGAGCACTGTCTATCTAAAAATCTTCGCATGCCCCAGAGCTCCACAAGTGGAGAGGTTGATAGGTCCATTTCACATGGGCCACACGCATAGCCCTTTCACAAGAGAACCATGGCATCTTGCCCACAATGTACACACTGTGATCAACACAGGAGAACATAAAGGAAACAATAGGAATAGAAGAAATGGCCCACAAAGGAAACAAATGGCAAGATTCCAGTCCCACCGTCCTGCAGAAGCGACTGAGGCCCCAGGCCAGCTAGAGCGAGCTCAATCCATCCGTGAAACCGGAAGTCTTGCATCCGAAACCCTATACTTTCGTGATGCCATATGGGCATATCTGGATCGAGGATGACGTCGACACGGTATCAATGCCAGAATACTTACTTTGACAAAGTCGAACATCCCAGCCCAGAGACTGAAATTCGGGCACTGGCGCCAACCACGCTGGTGCATGACGGTTCGTTGGTAGGCACAACCACCAACAAAATATGCGGCCACGGCGATCAAAATACTGCGGAAGAGACCGAGTCAGCTCAACTCGTTCCTTGTCTCCAGGACTCGGGAAGACGTTTCTCACATGACACCAAACACTCCACCAGGTCCCAACCCCTTCCCATGTGGATCGGATGCGAGTCCACCACAGGCAGCTGAGCTGCGCACCTCGAAGAAGTAGGTGCAAGAGTCCATAGTCCCGACGAAGGATGGGGTGGCTTGGTCCGGGATGGCGTCGCGGTCACAGAGGAATGTCATCAGAGTCGATTTAGTTCGGATCGACGAGTTTCCACTGCCTGCAGCGGACTCTTCGGAACAAGGGGAGCCATTCGTATAGTTGAGGACGAGCTTGCGACCTCGGAAGAAAGGATCCGAGGCTTGCTCGCTATTGACAACGTTGACAACGTCAGCACTTCCAGTCTCGCATATTCCGCATCCAGAAAGACACCATACCCTATTGAATAAGTCTTCCCATCCTTCTTGTAGTATGCGCTGACGTTCTTCCATCGCGCCGAGTCCACGCCCACCACGTCTTTCACATCCTCGATCACCGGGGCGCAGATGTTCATGGTGAAGTTGGCGCCATAGTCATGACCCTTGGAATGCCAGCTCTGCTCGCGTGCATCTGGCGATACCTTCTTGCCCTTCTTCAGTTCGGGTGGGGATAGGGAGATGGCACTGAGATCGAAGTACAAGCCGGAGGTCGGGGAGCGGGCGACACACGGTGAGTCCTCCTTCGGATCATCAGAGGGGCTGGCGTTGCATCCCAAGAGGAAGAAAAGGAGGGCGTAACGAGCGGAGCCCAGTTTCATGGCTGTAAATTTGGGGTCGGAAAGAGTGAAGATGAGGTCGAGTTCAGAGGACGTAATTGGGGAAAGACACGGGAGTTCTTCAGCTTACGTTGCACTCGGGCTGATTGGCATCCCGCGGACCCTGGGGTTCCGGCATCGTATGGCCAAGCTTCTCTATTTATTCTCTTTCCCTCCAGCTTGTCTTTTTTTCCTTCTTTTCTTTTCTTTAGGAATTGCTGCCTTCCTGCGTTGCATTCATTTTCAACATGCCTCCTAAAAAGGCCGCATCGTCCAAGATCCCCGTCCAACCCGTTCCTGAGAAACGCGGCTACGAGTTCGGTGGACCGTATGTTCAAGACCCTGCAGCGCAGCTCTCGCAAAACCCACTGACACCGGCCACAGCCTAGGAGCATTTGGAATTGTCTTTGGATTACCAGCCCTGATCTATACTTTCGCCTTCGTCTGCAACGATGTTTCGGGCTGTCCCGCACCGTCACTCCTCCACCCGTCCACATTGTCGCTGGATCAATTGAAGCGCGAGGTGGGCTGGCCCGAGGGAGGAGTCGCCGCGCTGTACGACACTCAAGTTACGCTGTGGACCCTGAGCTATTATGCCTTTAGTCTGTTCCTGCAGGTATTTTTGCCGGGGCAGGAAGCAGAGGGAGTCCCTCTGGCTTGTGGAGGAAGACTCAACTACAAGTTCAACGGTACGCAGACACTTCTCGAGCTCAGATCTCATATACCTTGGCGCTGAAATGCTTGGAGCTGCGCTGACTCTTGATTTTGTACAGCATTCCCCTCCGCTGTCATTATCCTGTCGGGTCTCGCCGGAGGCACGTATCTATATGGCGCCGATTTCGTGGTGTGGACTTTCCTGTGGGATAACTATGTGCAGGTTATCACGGCAAATCTGTTGATCTGCTCCTCGATTGCACTGTTTGTCTATCTCAAGAGTTTCTCGGTCCCGGAACCCGGAAAGCCCAACCCGCAGTTGCGCGAGCTTGCGCCCGGCGGCCACACGGGCAATGTCCTCTATGACTTCTTCATCGGTCGTGAACTCAACCCTCGGGTCCGCTTGCCCATCCCGTTTGTCAGCGAGGCTTCGCGCACGATTGACATCAAGGTGTTCATGGAGATGAGACCCGGCCTGCTCGGATGGACTATTCTGAACCTGTCCAATGTGGCCCATCAGCATCGGACCTACGGCTACGTCACTGACTCTATCATTCTGGTTACCCTTTTCCAGGGATTCTACATCCTGGATGCGCTGTACATGGAGCCAGCCATCATGACCACGATGGATGTGATCATGGACGGGTTCGGCTTCATGCTCTCCTTTGGCGATGTGGTCTGGGTGCCCCATCTGTATAACGTCCAGAGCCGCTATCTCTCTGTCTTCCCTCTGGAACTGGGCTGGACCGGCGTTGCGCTTGTTTTGGGCGTGACTGCGGTGGGCTACTCGGTTTTCCGTGGCGCCAACAACCAGAAGAATCGGTTCCGCACCGACCCCAGTGACCCGCGCGTGAAGCATATCAAATACATCGAAACTGCCAGTGGATCGAAGCTGATGATTTCGGGCTGGTGGGGTCTGGCGCGCCATATCAACTACCTGGGCGACTGGACCATGTCGTGGGCCTACTGTCTGCCGACCGGCATTGCTGGCTATGCCATTATTGAAAGCATCAACCCGGCCAGCGGTGCCCTCCAAAAGCAGGCTGTGCAAACGCCCGAGGTTCGGGGCTGGGGCATGATTCTCACGTACTTCTACATGCTCTACTTCGCCATCCTCTTGATCCATCGGGAAGGCCGCGACGAGGAAAAGTGCGAGAGAAAGTACGGTGCCGACTGGAAGCGTTATACCTCGATAGTACGCAGTCGGATCATCCCTGGCATTTACTAATATTGCCTGGATAGGTAATTCTTATGCTAGCGGTCTTGATATGCAAAGTCCTGTATTCTGCATGGACACCTCGCCGGTCCAAGGTTGCAACCAAAAGTGTGTTGTTATTCTGTTGTACAGTTTTACTGTTATCTTTAATTAGGGCATTTCTACGAGCCTTCAGTTCGCCTGCCATAGCGCAATAATATATAAACAATTTCCGACTTTTGGATGGCATCAACGCTTTCGTTTCTTGGGGTCAACTAAAACCTCTAATCCCCAGCCTTCGTCTCCAGAATTGGGTATCCATCCCTCGAGAACCTTTTTAGCGTCTTCAATCGCCTGCACGCGAACCCGGATAGGGTTAAATATGTCACTTGGCGTATTTTTGAATTCGCTGTAGGTGGCGGCTCGATGGATATGTTGGAGCATGCTGTTTTGTGACATGTCAGGCTCGACGCACTCTGCTGGATGGTCTTCGGCTCGGGCATCAACTTGAGCATCATCGGATGCCAGATATTGAACCATCTCTTGAACAAGAGCCCACAATTTCGCCCGGCACAAAGCCGAAGCTCCACGCGCCAGAGGCGAGGTTGCACGATTTCCTTGCTTTACCCCATTAATGATAGTCTCGTACAGCCCGGTCTTGGAACGGCGCAAAGCCGGCAAAGACTTGCTCCCTGGATCCGGGACTGTAGCAGAGGGATGAGAGAACGAGGGAGCTACCGTCCAGACCGCGCTAACATTACCCGGCTTACTTTTCTTCTGAGTGGGTGTGGTATCACCCTGCTGTTCCGAGGCTGATGATGCAGGGCACGTTGGGATAGGCTTCGGTTTCGCAAATCGCCAAAGTGCCTGGATCTCTTCGGCTGGCACAGACAGAACGCGGAACGGGTGGAATCGATATGCGGTTTTTTGTGCGTTTTCTTCAGGGCTCGTAGGCCACGACCGTCCGGTCAGAGCTTGCATCCGGCCCGTCTCCCCGAAACATCTCTCGCATGCGGCTCGACTGATCTCGGCTTCGGGCAGGATAAGCCCAGCGAGGTATGCATTGCCAGTGGGTGCGACGAAACGGCTGGTTTCGGCCGATAGTAAGGACGATACCTGGCGCAGGGCCAATTTGTCTGAACAGGACTTGCTCCGGGTGGATTCGGCGTCCATGCGCGCTGGTTTGCGCCGAACAACCCCGAGAAGAGAGAAGTGGGCTCGGCCGTCCAACAAGACTGGACTTTTTTCTTCTCCTTTTTCTAAGTCCGTTGAATTGGGGTCTGGTTGGCGTAACACCTCCCAAGGCGTTGCGTCTTCTTGCGCCGCCATGCACAGCTCCATGCTTGCGTCGCCGCAGGGGGCACATGTGCAGTACATGTATACTGTGACATCCGGCTGGAACTCAAAGGGTGGCCAGTCTATGGCTAGCGAGGATGATGCATGACTCGCTTTTTCGATATTCCTTCTTCGGATGAACGGTGACTCTGATATGTGGTTGAGTCCTGACCCGGTATTCAAATGAGGGCTCGTCATCTGCTGTCGTTCCTTAGACAAAAATCCGTAGCATTCTGTCAGGAGCCAGTAATTGAATGCGCGAATGGCCAGGATCTCTGCGTGGCAATCGTGGAGTACGAGGCCCCTACAGCGTGGGATGTGGGATGCTGGCAGACATTTTGCGCCGCTCCTGCACAAGGATTAGTACGATGTGCAAGAATTAACCATGACCATGAGCAGAGAGCCATGAACACCGAATATGAGAAGGTGTGCTAGGAAACTTACGTGACGGCAATGCAGGTCAGACTTTCCGAGGGCGTGTTCTCTCCTAAGGTGCAGAGGAAGAAACTTAGTTATTGGGATATACTTCTACTAAATCCCGTCGCCGCTACATACCTTTTACAATCACAATCCCGGTCATTGGGATCCATTCCCTCGATCCATCGGGAAAGATAGTTGGTTTGCTGCGCGTGGGCAGGGCATCGAAATGCGCATGAACGAGGGCAGCTATGCGGGACGGTAATGGAGGTATAGGCCCCAGCTCAGACATTTGCACCTGATATACTCAAGAAAACTCTCCTCTGGGAGATAGATGGATTATTTTCCGACAAGAAGATCGGCGTACCCAAACGTGCCATTGTATCTCACGTGATCCTGTTATCCGGACATCTTCTCCCTCGGTGATCTCTGTCCGTCTGCTACTTCAACATCTCACAATCCCTTCTACCCATTCACTCTCACCAAACCCACAATGGCCGACAAGCTCCGCACTCTCCAGAACCTCGAGGCTCTGCAGGCCCGTTACGTCGGTACCGGCCACGCCGACACCACGAAGTACGAGTGGACGTCCAACATCCTCCGCGACAGCTACGCCTCGTACGTCGGACACCCCCCGCTGCTAGGGTACATGGCGGTCGGTATGGGCGAGCCCAAGGAGAAGGTGCGGGCGATGATGCTGGAGAAGATGGTCCGAGGCGCTGGCAATCCCCCAGTGGTATGTGAATCGCATCTAGCTAGACTGTCCGTCGTAGGGCAAGAAAAAAAGAAGCTGGGAGCTAACTGTTTTTTGTTATGCGATATAGACACAAGAATAATTGGTCTTTGGAAAATGCGGTTACTCTTCTCTTTTCATTTTCTCGCTGCGACATTCGACGACCCTTTGTCCACGATTACTCCGAACGCTCGGTCCAGTACATTCGTCGCTCATGATCTCTTCATCGAAATTTAAAATGTCACTGATTCGAGTCCGAAAACCTTCACTGGAATATTCGACAGAGAAATATCTGCAGCTTTCGCAATTGCCCCGCCAAATACATTTTCGACGTATCCCGGCCTGGTATGCTGCAGCTGGATCGTGGAATCCTGTCGCCACAACTGGCCTTTTGACATGCTTCCCCGAGGTTCTTGTAACGGGAGCAACTTGTGTCGGGGTCATTCTCGGCATGCGCGAGCTGTTCGGCGGCGAGCCGCTGATCAGTGGAACAAGGAATGGTTCATCTACAAGCCGAAAACATGTGTTGTATAGCGTGGATTCATTCTACAACTGCTTCTACGTTCAGGGCATTTGCAAATAAGCAGCTGTCCTTGTATGTTAGCATCCGGCTCTTGCTGTAGAATGTACTGGACAGGTGTACAAGAATCCTCAATAATATTGAAATGATATCTACCTTGGAACATGCTCAAGTACTACAAGAAATATATATAAACCGAACAGCCCAGTTCCACCTTGACCAGCACCCCTCACTTCTGCTCCTGTTCCGCAGCGAGCTTGGTATTTTCCGCCTGCAGCGACGCAACCAGATCCACCCACTTCTGGCGCTCAGAGCGCAACCTGCTCACTTCTTTCTTCAGATCTCCGACTTCCTGGCGTAGATTCTCGACCTCGGATTTAGACCGGGTTTTCTCCGAGCGCTCCGCCTCTTTCCGCTGGCGCGCCTCAATCTTCGACGCGAGCTTGAGCTGGCTGGCCTCGATCTTGCTCAGCTGCTTCAGCTGCTTGGATTCTTCACCGAAGAGCTGCGACGCAGCCTTGTGCGTGCGCACCGGCGGCTCGGAGGTCGATGTCTGGGTTTGGGTCTTAGTGGAAGAAGACTGACCATCGCTGCTGGCGGCACCGCCGGCACGCTGGCTCTTCTGTGTGCCGGCGCTGGTGGGCGTCGATGACCGGGTCTCGGTGGCACGCTTGCGCACCGCGCCGGTGTCGCCATCTATATCAGCGAGGCCCTTGCTCGGCGCTGGTGAGGAGGAGCCTTGCTGCTGCATGGGGATCTGGAGCTTGTCTAGTTCGGCGCGGATCGTGTCTAGCTTGGACTCGACTTCGCGCTTGCGGAGCGCGAGCTTGGCGAGGTCCTTTTCGTGGTGTGAGAGCTTGCCCGTCTTCGTCATCTGGATTAACTCTGCCGGCGGGACGTTGTTGTGCGCGATTTCATCGATCGCTGGCGTGGGTACCTCGGAGCGCGCTGAAGATAGCGAGACGTGGTCCGGTTCGTGCGCTTTCAGTGAGTCGAGCCCCGTGGGCTTTGTGACTGATCCAGAGCTTTGGGATTTGGCATCGCTAGGAAGAATCTTCTGGTGGACGGTACTGCCGTCTAAAGTACGATCTGGCAGCTCGTTGTGGTGCGGGATATAGTCCAGGACTGCTTGCGGTGCATATCGCTCTAGACCGGTGTTGAGCAGGCCTGTGACGCTGGCAATAAGCCCGTGGTGGGCTTGTTGCTCGTCTAAGTCTGTTGAATCGGTCTCTGAATCTGACGTGTCCCCGTCGTCGGACTCTTGGTTGTAGGTGGATAGGGCGTCTGCCGATACCTTTGCAGATGCAGACCTTGAATGTATCGCTGGCCGCTGCGGTTTGTCGTCTTGAACAGCCCAGTTCACGAACTTGGCCGCGTCTAACCCCACGCTTCTGGGAGTGCCCTTGTCCACCATCCACCGCGGGATACTACCGCCGGGGTCGCTCCGGGTGACCATGATCCATTCAACTGGGTTCATTTCTTCGTCCTCGTCTTCCAGAGCACCGTTCTTCTCATCCAGCTCCTCGGGGCATTGGGTGTTTGCACCATCAGCACCATTGTACTTTTGCTTGTCCTTGCTCTTAGTCTTGGTTGACTCATCTCGACTCGATGAGCTGCTCTCGCTACCCTCTTTCCTTTTCTTGGGGATCTCTCGAATGAGCTCGACAGACTCATACTCGCCCCGCGTATACCCATCTTTGAGCGGGACATCCGGGTGCTCACACGGCCTGGAGACCATCATCCAGCTGCGACCAGGCTGCTTGGTCCCGCCAATCTGCAGCCCAACCTCAGACGTAATAATCAAAGCGACGAAATCGCGCGGCGCCGTCGGCTTGGGAAACTGCGCTGAGACGTGATAAACCGTGACATTGGCAAGCACAGAGCCATCCCCATTCTCATCATCCTTGACCTCAAACGTCTCAACCTTCTCCTCGGCCCCAATACCCCGAATACTCTTATCAGGGGTCAGGCCATCCGCAATCTTCTTCTGATTAACCTTTAGCGTCTCGTCATACTCGCTCGCCATTTTCTGCCGCCACCGCGCAAACGATAGCCCTTCGTGCACGCTCCGTCGCCCAAACCACTGGCCGCCGCCATCGTTCGCGGTCAGCTTGTACACATGCACTCCCAGAGGATTCTCCTTGGGCCCGCCCATCTTGATCGGTTTCCCCCATTGTTTTTGTAGAGCCGTAATCTCGGGGTCTGTCTCTGCGACGCGCGCCGACGAGGGAACCACCCGTGGACCCGAACCCGCTACTGCTTCAAACTCCCCGTCTGGGTAGGTGTCGTTCTTGTAAGCTGGAAGGTCTGGGAGTGATTCGGCGACAAGGCGGCTGTTCTTGAAGATGTCGCGCACGTATTCACGGAGCTCGTTGGATGACTGCGGGACTGCGTCCCAGGATGTCGGCTTGAGGCATTGGAGGGCGTCGTAGAGGGTGGCCATGGGAAAGGGATGGAGATAATAGACCAGGAGTCAAGGTATTCGGATTGGCGTTTCAATCAAGTGTCCTTTTTAGATATATTTCTGTGTTTTGCAATGGCTGTCAGTAAATGTAGTCAAGTCTGACGTAGCCACAGAGAAGCGGGGTGAGTGCCACCAGATCAGAACCGCAGAGCAGATTGGAGTTGACCAATCCATACCAAGCATTAATCAAATGCCCCCTGGAAGAGATTCCAAGAGTTTGGGTTAGGCAGATAACCATGAAACCCCAAAGAATTGAACTGGAGTCTGTCGTAGATGTCGCACGTTGATAGAGATCGGGGCTCTTCAGAGATGCAGAAATCGTGGCACAGCCAGAATGATATTCAAGAAGTCAAAGCAAAAATCAAGAAAATCCACACAATTGCAAATCTCGCTGAATATGCTCTATGCCAACGCCCTGCTTATCCATGGATGCCTGGATTATGACGCTGTTCCGATTCCGGGTGCCTTGGCGCCTGGGGTTGGTGACGTCATGCTAGAGCTGTGCCGTTGAACGTTGACCTGACATCTATATAAATGTTTAAAAATAGTAGTTGATAAAGTCCAAAAATATTGTTGACAGTGCGGGGGGATTTTAATATCTACAAGGCATTAAATGTTATGCGTATTTTAGTCTTATATGCAGGCAAAAGGTTGGAGTGTACGCGCATTTCACTGCTAAGCTCAAAACGATACATACACATAGAGTGGACTTGAGATGCTGACGGATCAACAACAAAAAAGAGAGCAGCCAGCGTGAGGGACCCAGTTCCTTGATTGCAGACACAGATTGCAATCAGAACAAAAGGAACCCATGAAAGAACAGAAAATCCAGCATCCTGTTCCCGGCGTCAGGGGGGAAACACAGAACAAACAAAAGAAAGACTCTCTCAGCCGGTGAAAGAGTCCCCTGACTAGGCCGAGTGTGCCCAGAAATTATTTCAAAACTTTCCAGCCTGGACACGCGATAGGGGATGAGCCTATCTTGTCGGCCATGGTGGTATCTGTGTTGGTTGCAAGTTGGGAGTGAGTTCAAAGGGACAAATGACTCTTGTTCTTTCCCACCCACTCGTCGCTTTGGGGCGGGATTATCCGAGTCCCTGTCCCTCCAGGTCACAGACCCTCAGGAGGGAGGAAAGGGGCATAGTTCGGTCCTTAGCTCCCCGTTGCGCCCGGTCGTCCGCCACAGGCGGACGTCGTCGGGTCTGACGAGAAAATGGGAGAGACACAAGAGTTTTTTCTCTCAGCGCTCATCTCGCTCGATTTGCAATCACTCACAGCAGCCATGCCCGACTTCAAAAAAAATGGCCCGGTCTTGCTAAGCATCCCAGATACTGGCAATAACCGGGCCGTCACGTAGACGAGTCCTCCAAATCCCCAGATTATGTGGGAAATCTGCCAGTCTGGTACCCAGTACCAGAAGGACTGTCCTCGATGGAGACGAGGAAGCAACACGACCAGAAGAACCGTCAACGCTGAACCCAGTCAGCTCTTGGAACCCTCGATGATGTTGTCCCATTCCGTCGAACCGCGACAGAAGAACTGAACGCATAATGATGGACATTCCACATCCAAATTCATATCCCATGCCGCGAGGCTAACCTAGTCTTCATGACATATATGCGGGAAAAAAAAGAAGAAAAGGAAACAAAGAGCCGACCCGCCGCTTCTTGATGCAAAAGGAAAAAAAAAGGTAAAGAAGAAAGAAGAAGCAAAGACATAACGCTGACGCTGGCTGAATCAAAACATTCAAAAGACAGAGTAAAAATGCACAACGCGGATGCCATCAAACGGATTATTCTGGATATCATGCAATGGCGAGGTGGAGTATCACGGATGCAACAGAGTCAATCGAAGGAAACGCCGTCAAGAATGCCAATTAGTCGGAATTTGGTGCTTGGATCGTCCATGGGAGAAAGAGGATTGTCGAGAGGAAGAGCCCCCGAGTCTTTCGCGTGCATCGGGTTGAGCAGACGATCTACGTCTGGGATCGAGCACTTTGCGAAGGGGATATAACAGTGCCGAAGCCTAGCAAGGGCCCAGAGGACAAAGAACGACGTCGACAAAGGATCACCGCGTCAAGTCTAGAGACGCGGACTCTAGATGGTCGTACCGTAGGGCAAGGCGAAATCACCCCAGCCGAAGCCGGTCATATTGGCAGCCGTGCTGCAAGGCTGAACGAGCATGCTGGGGAGCGGGACGGCGGCGAGGGCAGCCGAGGTAGCGGCCATGCTATCGTAGGACGGGAACGGCGCGGTCGTGAAGCGCTGGGTGTAGGACGGGGTCGGGGACGGAAGCTGGGTCTCACTGAAACCAAGGCTAGCCCACAGGTTCGCATTAGAATCACCGGAGGTTGCCGGGGGTGGGCTGGGCGGCAGTACTTTCCACGACTCGACGGGCGCAAACGGCATCGGGGCCTGCCACCAGGGGTCGGGCTCCGTCGAGCTGGGCAGCATCGGCACAGGCCGCATCACATCCACCACCGGTGGTGGAGGCGGCAATAGCCGGGCGAAGAGCCCCGAGATGGCGGCCTTGGCCTCGTCGCTGCGCCCGCAGAGTAGCTCCCCGGCCCCGTCCTCTTCCAGTCCCTCCAAGGCCTCGGCGTCGGCCCGGTACACGAACTTGTTGGCGGCCTGCACGAACTCCTCCTGCAGCTTCTTCAACTGCGCCTGTTTCCCGGACCAGTCCCACGTGTTAGCGGCGGCGTCGACCGAATATACGTCCTTGTGGAAGTCGACCAGGGCCTCGATGGTCTCCGGCGTCAACTTGAAGGCCACCTCGTTGCGCGAGACCATGTCGACGTGCACAACGTAGGCCTCGATGTGGATCATCTGGAAGTTGAAGAGGCCCTCGACGAGCGGGTTTTCATCCTTGCGCAGCTCGGCCTCGGGAGCCTTGGGGAACATCATCGAACAAAGGGTCCAGATGGCGTTGGTCGATGACAGCGTCTCGGTCAGGCACCGGGTGTGCTGGGTGACGTTGTTCAGAGGGCGCTTGACCCGGTTGACCCGTTTCAGGGTGGCCGTGAGCCACGGCGCGACCTTCCTGTTCAGCACCACATTCGGAGACGACCGCGGCGCAAAGGCGGCGGCCGATGAGGGAAGTAAGACTGTTGGCATTATGACTCTGTGCGAAAAGTGACACGTCCGGCGTTGGCAATAGAAAAGAATGTCGAAAATCGAATGTAAATCATAAAAGGCGACATTCGCCCACACAATCCCGAGGGTTTGGGGATGGGGTGGTTCCCCGTTCAAGATCTCGAGATCTCTTGATTTAGAGATATCGCATATACCCTGTTTAGCAGTGTGTGATATGTGTGGGGCCAGAAAAATAGCGATCGATTCTATTAGTGTGCGGGCGAATGCGCGAAAAGAAAACAAAAATAATTAGAATATAAAAACGAGAAAAGGGAAAAAGAAAAGAGAGGACGTTAGAGTCAAGGATACAAAGAAGAAGAGAAAAGGCGGCAGACCGCGAGAATAAAAACCAGGCAGAGGGGCGACGACTGCAAAGGGCAATGCAGTGCGGATCTATAGAATTGTGCATTAAGCCGTAGGGTTTGTATGATACCAGTAAGACTCGGACTCTCCGTGAGATCTCCAGTGGCGAGAATCCTCGAAACAACTCGGCCTTGGGTCCAACCGATGAGGCCAGATTGTTTCAACATTTCAACAGAAAAACTCTTCGTTTCTTTTTTTCTTTTTTCTTTATGCACGAGATTTTCCAGTCTCACCCGGCGTTGCACGTCCATTTGGCTGCATGATGCCCTAAACTGCAAAAGCTAAGCCCCCCTAAGGGATCTACATAAAACATGTAAAGAAAAAAAGAAAAAAAAAAAAATGTAAATCCTCCGACTTGGGCGTATGCAGAATTAAACTCGACAGATTCCACTACTCAGCTGGGCCTGGTCGAACAACGCAGAAACAACGCAGATGGCTGATATCCAGTTTGTCTAGTTGGGGCCCCAAGCCCTAAGTGATTCTCACACCCCCACGTTTTCTTTCAACTCTTCGCCTTTTCTTATGTGTGTTTCAGGGTATCAGGGCCAGAATCACACAGATCACACAGGAAAGAAGAAACTGAAACACTGGAGAAACAAATAGCGAAAAAAAGTCTCCCTTTTCTTTTTTATTTTTTAGGGAGTAGCTCATTTTCGGACCTGTCGAGTCCCGCTTAGAAAAAAAAAAAAAAAGAGGCGTACTGTAGACCTCAGCTGATGGAGGGTCGAGGAGACGTGGGGCACGACTGGTCTTGAGCCACTTCTGCGCTTGGATTCGCTGACAGCAACCGAGTCCGGCCGATGCGCTACCAGCCGAGATCCCTGCTACGATCTGCGATTGGGCTGAGCCTCGACGACCAGACTTTGGGAGGCGCCGTGGTCTATTACCGCCGTATAACACTATCAAACTCACCTTGCAACCGCCCAACCAGCAACCTGTTTACATCGTGCATACTGGAATGTATTGGTCCAGGCCCACATGCTTTCTTTTCCCATTTTGGTGACCTCATTCCACCGCGTCTCCAGGATCAACTGACCCGCCCCTGAAACGGCACTGAAGCCTGGCGGCATATACGTTCGGTCATGTGTTGATATAGCGGTTGGCGTCGGTCGAGTAGGCGCTTGTCGAAGCTGATGGGGGAACCTTGCGAATTTCAGTCGACGTCACTGGCAAGAAAATCACAATTGCTACCTTCATCATAATCCTGTGTAAATAATACTGAAAAATGTAAATATGTAAACAAATGACGTATGTAAATAAAAATCAAAATAGAACCGCCACACGCCCCGCCACGTCACTCGCCACGGTGTGGCAGTATCGGACATGAGCGGCTGACTAACACATCTACCGGCTCGGCGGTATTCGTCGAAGGATCTATATGTGCCGAGGCAGGATCGAGTATAGATCCTGCTTTGCTGGACATTCTATAATAGTCTCAAGCCAGCATAAATGCAGTCCACTCTGTATGTGGGCCCAATCCACCCTCAACAACACATAGACTGGATGTTGGGAGCTGAAGAACTGTCGAGTTGACATCTAGTCCAGTTCACCGTGCCGTGATTCCCGAGATACACAGGCAGATGTGGTTTCATCATCGACGAGGAGCTGGATATTGGTTTGTCTGAGTCATGAGTCATTTGTGAATGGAAAATGGCGGGTTGCAAATCGAACTGCCGCGACACTCTCGAAGAAAGCCAGACAAACCTCAAATCCACGGAGTGAATGAGTCATTCTGAGGAGTGTTTCAACTTTCAAAAGTTGTAGGAATGGTTTGAAATATTTTATGAATATTGTTACATCCATTCCTCCATAGCACCTTCAGGGCTCAGGTCAAATATGTTCATCGAGAGAAAGCGGCTGCCGACTGACTAATCGATTTGGGATATCACAAGCTCCAGAGGAACTGGGGTAGTCCACTGGATCAATTCCTAGTGACTCTTGAAAGATATCGAACTGGAATTGAAGTTGACCTGAATCATTGGCCAACTGCAACGAATCATCCTGCTAGATGTGTATCCCAATTGACGAGCCCCAGGGCTTCGAAAGCTCTTAAAGGCGTGAATTTTAAAAACAAAAGGACCCGAGGGAAGGTTAAATATATGAAAGAATCAACAGACCGATCTGAAGCGAAACCAGACAAACAAGTTGACATTGTCGTTATCGGACAGGAGATTCGCCTGTTGATATTGAGGGGAACACCGCAGATGGGATTGCAAACTGAGGCGGGCTGTGTGGAAACAACAAGAGCTAATCTCTGTCCCCGTTCCAGGTGTGGGTGAGGCGCGGAAAAGACATGTCAGAGTCGAATACAATATGATATCCCAACTGCCTCGCGTCAAGTGAAACATCTCTTTGTTATTGACTCCGCTGGCATTGATGTAGAAAAATGATCAATTTGATGCAATGGTTTGGAATCTGTGAAAGAGAGTAATATGAAACAGAAGAAGAAAGCTAAGGCAAGAGAACCCCACTGGCATCGTCTAGCTCGGTGCACCATTGCTCCATGGCAGACGAAAGAGCACCAATATGCTGGTCTCGCTCAGACGAGGGCTTCGACATTGCAGCTGTGCAATAAAGGCGGATATAGATTCGTCTCTGAAGACTGCTAGTTTGATCCCAAGAATGAACAATCATCTCAGGGTTGGAGAGCCGGATTTGTGGGAAGTGAGGGATATTGCCTATCAATCTCGAAATCTTGGATATAGCAGGTTCTCCCCAACAAGAGATATATGTTCTTATCAAACACGTAGACTGTCCAAAACAGTCGACGAATGTTCTCAGCCTCATTGGTTTGGAGCTTGCCGTGCGTGGTGTCACGATGGTACCGGGGTTGACAGTGTGTGGCAGCTGCAGAAATGAGTTTACAGTATGAGAAAAGCTTAGCCTCGCCTTGAGTCTTGATGGCCTAAAAGAGTAGAAACATCAATCGACTATCCAACTTTCTGTTCGGTGAAAAAAAGATTCACTTACACCCCTGGCGAGAGTGAGTATGCTCTCGAAAGAGGGTAAAGTCATCACAGCGTACATCTCGAGGCCGCCAATGAAACTCTTCTCACACCGAGCCAGATGGACTGGAAAATGCATTCTTGACATAGAGGGGCTTGCATTGCCATATATTCTTTTGAGAAAATACAGTGGGTGTGCTGGAAGATGCACTTAATTATGAAATCGATATGATATTCTCTTCGAGTCACAGCCAGAGTACTCCAGAGATCCTCCAGTCCTGAACTGGATTTCTATGGGATGGAATTTAGTACGAAGCCTGGGAAGCCGGAGTTTGTGCGGGTGCCTTATACAGAGGCAGATGGCGTAGGACTGTTTCTTCCTAGGAAAAGGTCAGAGGGTGGAAGTGAAGTTGTGGAAGTTATGGTCATGCTGCGCAGAGACGGCATGGATGTGTTGGAGCATGATATTCCATGGGATGCTTTTCGTGCATTGAAGTTAGCTGGGACGCGCATTTCATGCATAGCGGAGCATCATGGATCTGGTAGTTCCAGCCCATTATCCCAAATCTATATTCGAGAATTCTGTTCCAATTTGCAGTCGGGGCATACTCCGACTTGGCTCGCCGGGCTCATGGGAGATCGACAGGCACACCGTTGGAGTACAATCAGGACCAATCGCATACCAGTGAGTAACTAGAGGCTCTCTCCTACCATGCATAATTTGGATAGTTCTTTATTTTGTTTCTGCAGGAAATCTGAGAAAGTTGCTGCTACTGCTCATACATATTACTCCTAATCATGACGTAGCATCGGGCTAGGTCCGACTTAACGGGCGCTAATGAGGGTCCCCTAGACTGAAATATAAGTCTGAGTGGATTTTTGTGGATGCGTCTTTTCCATGATCTAACACGAAATCAATAGATAACCAAGAGAAAAGAAAAGAAAAGAAAACTAGTTCTCGCTAGTTATCGACATTGGACACCTTGCAAGCCCTAGGATCTCCGTGCTGCAAGCACCCGCGTAGTCGAGAGATCGACTCAAGGACTCCTTTACACATTATCTACCTATATTAGTATTATTTGCTTATCGTAAGTGGCGATAATGTGAAAGAGATCCCCCGGCACTAATGCAGGAACCCAGCCAGGGACCATATCAAGTGACAGATGGGGATTGTCCCTCCATTATTAGCCAGGAACAATCGAATGTAGCCATGGTTCAGGGGAACTGGATGGGGGCAGAAAACCAAAGTCAAGAAAGAAAAAGTTAAAGAAAAGGGATACAGTGCTTCCGGAAACCGAGTGTCATCACCTATCTTCTTCAGTTGTTTCTCGAACCCTAATGCCAAGAAATGCTAAACTACATTTAGAATGGTCATAGATACCAGAGGGTTCTACTGTAGAGAGGAGAAGGAAGGTAAGGTAAGGTAAATAAAATAGGGGAGGGATGAAATATATGTTGGCCTTAGGCAAATATACGCCCCACATACTACTGAGAGGTAAAGGGGGTCCCCCGACCTGTAATCACCACAGTTAGATTCGTCTGACGCGATGCGGGCGCGATGCAGGCGCGAAGCGATCGTTGCGCTGGATGCTGCCTCTGCAGATGCTGATGTTCGCACGTATTCGCATCAATACTCGAATATCCCACAAGCAGGCATGCAGTTTAATGTCAGCCCAATATCATGACCGAAAGACATCATCGACGTCTATCTTCAGCTCCCGGAGAACAGACGAGATGAGCCTGGATACAAATTCATCCAGCGGATCTCGAACTTCGAGCACAAAGCATGGCAGGGCTCAGTACAAGATTATCGAGCACGCCGAGGACCTTGACAGATATTGTCCAGGAGGATATCATCCTATACAAATTGGGGACGACTTGGATGATGGCCAATATCGACTCGTTGACAAACTTGGTTACGGAGGATATTCGACTTTATGGCTAGCCCGCGACCTACGAAGGGCCAGATATGTGGCGGTGAAAGCAATTACCGCTGATGCCAGTGCTTACACACCCGAACTAGTCTAATACATTCTCTCGTGAACTCTCCATCAACAGCAGGAAAAGAAATTATTCCACACCTCATTGACGAATTCTGGGTGGCCGGCCCTAATGGGAAGCACAGATGTATCGTCACTACGCCCGCACAGATGAGCTTGCTTGATGCCAAAGAAGCCTCGGTTTTCGGTCTTTTCCAGCCCAAAGTCGCGCAGTCGGTCATTGCCCAGCTCATACGTGGGGTGGCATTCCTTCACAGTAAGGGTGTCGTACATGGTGGTATGTGTATAAATGAGAGTTGCTGGGTTGCCTAGCTAACCGTTGTTCGAAGATCTTCATCTAGGCAACATTTTGGTCCAATTTCCTACATCGATCGATCGATATTCTACGGCAGAGCTACGAGAGAGATTCGGAGAGCCAGAGCCAGAAGCTGTTGTTCGTCTGGATGGCAAGCCATTGCCGAATGGTGTACCCACACATGTATTCCCCCCCGGCTGGTTTGGCGTTCGCAGCGAAGAGATAGCTTTTGGAGAGGAGAAGGTCATGCTTAGCGACTTCGGTGAATCTTTCAATCCGCACAAAACGCTCAGGTTCTCCTCGAAAACCCTTCCCCTCCTTCAGCCACCTGAGGCTCGATTCTCTGACGAACCGCTCTCGTTTGCCTCGGATATTTGGACACTCGCCTGTACGATCTGGGAAGTTTTGGGCCAGCGACCTTTATTTGACGCTTTTTTCCCCAATGCAGACCGTGTCACCGCGGAGCAAGTCGAAGTTCTTGGTGTCTTGCCTCCCGAATGGTGGGTAAAGTGGCGTAGAAGAAAAGAATGGTTCAACGAAGAAGGCGAGCTTGATGTGAAACCAGGAACGTCTAAAGGCCTGAATTGCGAGCGGAAAACCTGGGGACAGAGATTTGACTACTGTATCCAGGAGCCTCGAGACGAGGCGGGCCTAGAGACGGTGACAGAGATAGAGAGGAAGGCGTTCGAGGAAATGCTTCAATCAATGCTAGTCTTCCGGCCGAAGGAGAGAGCTACAGCACACCAGGTATTGCACTCACAATGGATGAAAGAATGGGGGCAACCAGCTCTGGAAGAGAGCTTGAATACATCACGGGCTGTACCGAAAGGAGAACAGATTCAATAGCACGCAGCGCTAGAATAATATGACTATGCCTGAACAAATCACGAACATGCTTCATTGCCATTCTTCGTTCCACGTTGCTTCTCCCAATGGCCAATGTCGCTAACGAACCGCCGGCCGGCTCCTGCTTTCACACTATGTTTGACAAAGAAATCTGGATCTTGATCTTCGTGAATCTGCTTGAGGTCGAGATAGTTATTCAGGGCCACATCACGGGCTTTCTGAATATTGTCCCTGAAGATCTCACTGCTCACCCGTGATTGATGCCAGAGAGTATATTCCTCCACAGCTATATCAAGAAGCCCAGGAACATCGATCGAACCAGGCTTCCCAGGAGCTGAATGGGTAGATTCAGCACTGGTAGTCGTAGGGGTTGACACCTGATGTGGCTGAGCCGGGAGGACATGAAGGTGGATCGGAGGGCATGCCGATTCAGTTGCAGAGTCATCCGGGCTTTTCTTCCGTCGTGTTAACCGCTGACTCTCCTCAGCATAGAGCTGTTCACGAAGGCTTTCGGGAACATTATCGTGGGTCTCTAGTATCCCCTATTGCTGCACATATTTGATGAGGGTCTTTATGTGGTTTGATCGTAATTTATAGTGTTTTTCCCTATCGGGATCCTGCCAGCAGTGTTGTCCTTTATGGCGGTATGGTGGTCCTGGGTACCGCATGATTCGATACACATCCCGCCAAACTGATTGTTGACCGGAAGCTTGCTCGGCGTCGAGCTCAACGTTTCGTTCAGAGAGTATACCTTTGGTGGCCGATGAATTTCCTCTTTTGTCGCTGTCGGATGGGAGTCGGCCGTGGTCATCTATATAGTTAATAGATACCTGGATGCGGAGCTTCTTGCCTAGACGGTACAAACTGGGCTATATCAGGAGCTGCTTCTCCACCATCATCCAGTCGATACTGGTGCCCTCAAAGCGCTTGGTAAGATCCGATTGGGAACAGTCATTTACGGATATTACCAGGTTGGTGTCGTCTAGTCTTACCCGTCGGTCGCGGGCAATCTTCCTCCGCAGAATATTTCCTGCTGTTTCCTTTATCTGCTCCCAGTACGAAGTAGGTGACAGGGTCAAATCTTGTTCTGTGTCCTTCGCCACAACCCGGTTATTTAGTTTTACCCTCCATTCGATCTAGTAGTGAATACATTCTGATGGTTGTTCATCGTCTGTTTCCTCCATCTCCCCGTTTATGCACTCGAAGAAATCCCAGTTCATCAGACTGTGTCTGTCTCAAAGGCGACGAACGTTCGCTAAATATTCGCACTGGGTCTATGGGTGGAGTGCATTCACGGCCAGGGGTAGGAGCATACGAGGGAGTCCGATCCCACTGATAAGGCAGCTGAGGTAGAAAGGCATCGTCATCGTTATATACAGCGTAAGTCATCATCTCAAGAGAGTAGACGCCACTGAGGAGCCTAGTCATTTTAACATCGCATATTGGCTTCAAAGGAGAGTTCCACAACATGTCAGGTAAAAGAATCCTAGTCTGACAGGTTGAGTATAATGATCGGCAGAACCATGAGCATCCTGTGAACCTCGAGGCGTAGTTTATTGTGTGGATCAATCCGTGCTTCCCGGTTCTGAGTCAGTGCTTGGGTTGCCACTCGTATGGTACTGTGGTGTGGGAGGACGATGGTAGGTTGCCACAGGACTGCAAGATCCATTTGCTCTATTTACATTTGCATTGTTTTTGCATATCAATAGAAGGTTCTCGCAGCCCATACAGCGACGGGACAAATGTATTGTAACTTAATTTATAAAGCTTTGTATTAAAAATGGGCTATGTGTATTGATAGTTTCCTAACATAGATTAGTGTTGCGTGGTACTAGGGTTCAAGAAGCAACTAAAGAGTCTAAGTGGTGACACCGATTCCCGGAAGCACTGTATATATACTCTTGAGGCAAAGATCGTCGAAAGAGAACAATGCTCTTACCAAAACTCGGCCAGTAGACGAGAAGGGAATATCGTCACAAGGGAATGCCTCACAACCCCGGGAAACGGCGACTTGGCACACAACTTCCATAACAATCAAACCCGTTTCCCCGGACCCGGACCCAACGTGTCCATGGGTCTCAACTGTCCCGGGATGAGGATCGGCCAGGAACAAATGAGGGCGATGCAAATTATAAGAAAATAATAGTCATCATCACAATAGTGACAGATAAATGAAAACAGAGGTCTCGAAGAAAAGAAAGGAAAGGAAAATTGTCTAGAGTTGGTTAGTGCTCCTATATACAACTAGACTATATACGTGGGCTCGATGATTTACAAATCAATGGCACTCTTGGATCCGGGAGGCACATAGAAAAGATCAAAAGAATCCGAATTTCCAGCGCCCTCTCCCCGGGCTCTCCTTGCCAAAAACAAGAAATTGCCTAGGCAAGCCAGTCCACCCCGCGCTGCCGATCCTGGCACTAGCAACTACTAGGGCCCGCGCACGAACGTGGGTTACATTATTTGGTTTCTTTTTTGCGAGCGGCCTCACATGTGCCGAAAAAAAAAGAGGAAATCCTCCGAAAGTAAAAAGTAAACACAATTAGGCTCCACCAACTTAGAGGGTCTTTGATCCTTCGATTCCATTCCAAGGTCATCGGGCACCCTGCAGGAACCCTAGTTAGATGTTCCTGAGTCAGGTCAACCTCTCTTATTCCAAGAGCCACTATGTGGCTTGAAATCTTCCAGAAAAGCAATTTAGAATAGACTTGGTTCGTGAGTCACTATTCAATCACATACGCTATTCCAGGGACTCGGTCGGCGCGCGCATAGACAAGCTTCCCCACAGCACGATTTTCATTCCCCATGGGCCCCGTCCCCGCAGGGAAAATGATGACGGGAAATTCTCTTTGTAGGCGACCCCGCAAGCTTCATAGAGGCACAATGACGAGGGATAGTCGTGGTTGTGGAGCTCACTACTATGCGAGGAGTCAGAAGAGCCCATACTCATCGCGGTTTATACCTCGCTACGACGCCAAACGGGCACCTTGACCACCCGCCAGATCCAATCAGGGCGCTCGCTTGGACCGAGATCGGCACGTTACTAGAGCCGTATTAAGTGGGCGTGTGGACTGTCAATTGCCCACTTTGTCCGAGCAGGACTGCTACTTACTCTATGCCGATCTCGCGGTCTAGGGGGGAAATTGTCGAGCCCTAAGCCCAAGGCGATGCGAGAACCTGACCATCGCAATTTCCCATGCCTCTTATTTGTTCCCCCCGCAAGTCTGAGGCACTAGTGGTAGTGCTGTGTCGCTTTATTGGTTGAAACTATTCAATGGTGTGCCCTTTCCGCCTGCTTCCCACGGACCAAGTAGTGCGAAGGGTAAACAATCGGGAGACTCACGGCCCATCAACACGGAACGAAAAGGGGAAGTTCTCCGCTGGAATGGGTCCAACCGCTCCCCGTCACTGACATCAGTGAGAGAAGATAGGGTCCTCGATGGAGCCCAGAAACTGCTTCACATGTGGAGGTTCTGGTGGTCCTCGGCTTGCTCCATCGCATAATGGGTCTGCGGAGAAAACAAGGGACCAGGGACATAAAAGGAACCGTGAGATCTCCATGCAGGATGAGATCGAGCTTTTTCTCCAGACGTCAACGGCCAGCCAATCCGCCTCCAACTGCTTGCTCTCTGTGTGTGACTTGTGTGTTGTGCGCAGACCAAACGGCTCAAGATGCGTTTCTCCGCCGCGTTCCTCTCGACCCTCGCGCTCTCCAGCACCGCGCTGGCTGGTCCCGCCGCCCAGGTATCATCATCCCTGGGATCGACTCCATCGGCAAAGGCCCATACTAACCCATTGTTTGCCGCCCAGCCCGATGCCAACGGTGATTCTCTATCGGAGAACACGTCTCTCGTCCAAGCCCAAGAGACCTCGACTCCGTCATCCGGGACTCAATCTGCAGTTCATACCGCAGCTGGAACCGGATCTTCCAGCAGCAAAGACGACAATGAGTCTGTGAACGCGTCGTCGGACAGTCAGCCCGCGCAGTCCACCAAGTCCACAGGGTCCAGCAAGGAACCCTTCTTGCAGCTTGATCGCACTGCTCCCACCGGGGCTTCGTCTAGCGCAAAAGGCAGCAGCTCTGCCAAAGAAACGCCCTCTGCGACCAGGTCAGCCGAGTCGACTGGCTCGAGTGGTTCGGGCGGCTCTGGCGGCTCGGACAACCTCCTCTCTCCGGATGGTACTTTCCTGGACTCGTTCTCAGATTTTGTCAAGTTCCTCGATGGTGTGAAGGGTCTTCTCTCGCCAAGTCTGCTGTCGGATATCGAATCTTTCTTCCACCACATTGCCTATCTTCTCGATGACAAGACCACGCAGCAGACCAAGGACTTGTTGGATATGGCTTCCGGACTCCTCACCAAGAGCCTCATCCACAAGCTCACCGGTCTGCTCGACAACGCCAGTGACCTGTTGACGGCCGAGTTCGTGAAGGAAACTAAGGATCTGATCAACTCGGTTGCTCCTATGATAACGCCAGAGCTGTTCAAGGAGATCAACAGCCTGCTGAAGAACGCCAATGACCTTCTGACCCCCAACGCGGTCAAGGAGATCAACGGTCTTCTGGGCAATGCCAACCATCTCCTGACTCCTGAGTTTGTGAAGGAGACCAAGGGTCTGATCCAGGCCGCGGGCCCTCTGCTCAAGCCCGAGCTGTTCAAGGAGATCAACAGCCTGCTCACCAACGCCAACAACCTCCTGACCCCGGAGTCGGTCAAGCTGATCAGCGGGTTACTGACCAATGCCGGCCACCTGCTGACTCCCGACGCGGTCAAGGAGATCAATGGTCTTTTGGGCAATGCCAACGACCTGCTGACTCCCGACTTCGTCAAGGAGACCAAGTCTCTGATTGGCGGCGTTGCCCCGGTACTCACACCAAAGTTGCTGAAGGAGGTTGGCTCGCTACTGGGCAACGCCAACGACCTGCTGACGCCGGGCTTCGTGAACGAAACCCAGGACCTGATCGGCGGCGTGTCCAAGTCGCTGACGCCCGACATCCTGGGCAACGTGGGCACCCTGCTCAAGAACGCCAACGACCTGCTGACCGCAGACTTCGTCAAGAAGACCGACGGGCTGATCGACAACGCCAACGACCTCCTGACCCCCGACGCCGTCAAAGAGATCAACGGGCTGTTGGGCAACGCCAACGAGCTCCTCACGCCAAAATTCGTCGACGAAACCAAGGGCCTGATCGACGGCGTCTCGCCGGCCATCACCCCGGAACTGCTCAGCCACGTCGGCGATCTCCTCAAGAACGCCAACAAGCTCTTGACCGAGAAGTTCGTCTCCGAGACCGCCAACCTCATCGACGCCGTTGCCCCGGCCGTCACGCCCAAGCTTTTGAACAACGTCTCCTACCTGCTGGGCAATGCGACGGGCCTGCTCAACCCCAAGTTCGTCAACAACACCCGCAACCTCATCAGCGATGTCTCGCCTGTCATCACGCCACACCTTCTGTCCGAAGTGGGCGGGCTTCTCGACAACGCCGGCGATCTTCTCACGCCGAAGTTCGTGAACGAGACCCAGACCTTGATCGAGGACGCTTCTGATGTACGTTGATTCTCCCATCCCTTTTTCCTTTCCTTTATTTATGGTGCTTGAACCTCTTGGCTGACTCTGATTTTTAGTTGCTTCCTCTGGTCATGAAGCTGCTGGGCTCGATGTGAGGTCTCTTTTTTTTGATGTCTTTTCTTTTGCAACGAGAGTTTCATGGTAACTCATGATTAATGGTCTATGACTATGTTTAATACGACATAATTGAATGACAACTCACTCCATTCACGATATTTGGGTGCAATTGTCTCAAATGGGATGGTTTCATTGTGCTTCGTAGGCTGTAAAATTGACTTGAGACTGATGCGGGGAAAATGTGAGCGATTCGTTTAGACTGGCATATCGAGTGATGACACCGGTATCCTCGTCCATCCCGTCGGTATCCACCTAATGGTATCGTGTTTCCTGTATTGCCTAAGATATCATTTTGGACGCGTGGCTGTAGAGTATCCCTCTGCAGCTACCACCTGCAACGGAGTGGGCCTGGTTGATGGAGGCATATCAACTCCAATCGGGGTTTCGTGTCGAGTGGTAGGCCATGCAGCATCTCTAGAATCCGTCTTTTCCCATGGCAGAGGCCTATTTGCAAGTGGATGTGGGGAAAGGGGTTTGCAGATCCAGACTGCCAATCGGTAGGTGGAGACTGACATTCACACCAGATGAAACCCCGACAAATTTCAATCGAAGGTAGTCGATAGCATCCGGTTTTGTTTCATGATTTCCAGTTTGTTCGGAAGAGTGATGGTGTCGCACACAAGGACACCCGGTCACAACCAATCGTTGTAAGCATTGTTGACTTTTGTGTCCCTCCATCAAGTGTTGGAATAAATTGGCTTCTCAGGGCCGAATCACCTTTGTGGTTCCCACTCAAGACGGAATGTCCGACGCTTTCACTTCCTGGTACTTGGACAAGACCTTCATCTCCGTGTTGCGTTCCTTGATCTTCTTGTCGATATTTTTCTGAACATTCTCTCTCTTCCGCTCGGCATTTTCCAGGCGCTCTTTCACCTCTTTGGCAGCTTGTTCTTGTGCACGGAGGGCTGCAGCACGGGATGGGTGTTGTTGCCGTAGCTGCTCCAGCTCGACGCGCACATCTAGATTTTCGATTGGTTGGCAGGTAACTGGGTGATAGCGATATGATAGCAATGGCTCTCCTGGGACTTGGATCTCGGGACAGTCAGGGTGGATCGAAGTGGTGCGTATTGATGCATCAAGAGGAACGGCTGGCGCCGATTCGGACGGGGGTGAGGGGAGCGATGGTTCAGCTTCCATTGCAGTGGTGAGCAGTAAATTCGGTATTTCTGGCCAGTATGTGAGAGAGGCGATAGCAGAGATGCAATAGTCGAATGGGGAAAGCTTGGGAAAAGAAAATTGGTCTTGTCAAGTCGGTGATTGCAGCGGCAGCCCGCAAGCGGTCAGTTTTCTGCCCAATTCTGCCGTAGCTTTTAGGCCACCGCCCTAAGTATAGCAGACTGAAGACTTGAAAAATAATAAAAATAAGTATAAAAAGAATAAAAAGCAAAAATACGTCAGAAGAAGAAGGAGAGGAAATATGAAATTGCGCCACGGGATTCTTCCTTTCCGGCCTCACAATGGGACCAAAACCCGACTTAGTATCATTGTCTACAGTACGATGAAATCGAATAGAATATAGCGTTAGAAATACACACTCTCTCTTTGGTCTCATACTAATTCTGATCACCGAGCAATGGACAGTACAGAGGCTCATTTCTCAAACAAGTTTTTAGTTCTAGGTCAAGCACGGCGGGCTAGTAATTTCTCCCGAGAAGGCACCTAAACCATAACAGTACCTCATAAGCGTCAAGAACTTCCTCTATATTATGGGTCATAGGAACATAACCTACCTCAGTTTAGGTATGTAAAGCTTCGTAAGAAATTTAAACCACTCAGGCCTTACGAATGACCCATGATTTAATAGGATATTTCTTGTTACTGGAAAACTCCTTCTCCACACTATCCGTCTGACACTGATCATTATTGGGTTCAAAGTTGATGTTCAAGCCAAATTTGTTGTCAGGACAATCGGGCTCAGCCCAGTAGCGCACGATGCCATCGGTATCGGGGCCGTCAAACGAGGCCTTGATCGAGTTGATCTCGACATTGTCATCGATATTGACGCATTTGCCCCAGACTTCTCGGGCCTCGGTGTCATCATCCTTGAGCCCTGAGCGTACATATCCAGTTGTGCTCGAGGTTGTTCCGCATTCTTTGTCTGTGTAGGTGGTGACCGTCCAGTCTGCTGAGACTGACGCCACGAATGCAATGAGGGACAGAGTATTGAGCCGCATGATGGGCAAATAATGTTAGAGACTAGGCAGAAAATACTGTTGAATAATGTAGTTTCGGTTAAAAAGGGATGGCCTTGTCCCCTTTTATAGATTCCCCGTGGGGTCAAACTTGCTAAGTGCCCGCTCTATTCCGGGCTAAGGCTATGGGGGATCACCTCTGACATCTGCCAATAATTAATAGTATTCTCCCAACAATTACTAACAAAAATACCATTGATGCATCCCATGAAAGCTGTGCCAAGAAGGCGTTGTTGGTGTTGGTTGTTGGTAAGATTAGACCCGCCCCATTCTATGTCGCATGTCGATATTTAGCAAGTAAAGTGAGATATGCACATCTAGGTGATTGTACAATGTATTTTATAAGTGAGCAGTCAACCTTCATGATGCAAATTTTGCGACCTATAGAGTGTCTTGCCCTACCGACTATGCCAGTCACCCGGGACTCTGGGACATGTAACTTGGCTAAAGTGTTGTCATATATCGAGTCCCCAAGTTTCCAATAACTTGACGGTTAGAATTTAAATAATAGCTAACCTATTTTTCCTACAGTAGCTTTTTAATAATATCTATTTCGATATTATATGTTATATGTTAACCTTTACGGTCCTTAAAACATATACTTCGCGAGATAGAACTTTTCATATCTTTTTTTTTTCAATTCCTGTAATATAACACTATACTAATAGATGAGCTAGTATATAACATTCATTTCATATACTCCCACAATAACTAGAAATGGCAAAAGAACAAAGTAAGAATAGCAGATGTATGGCATGTTTTCTGCCAGTCAAAATCCAATCACGTGGCCTGCTAATCCGCATCGCACCGGAAGCGCAGTCAGTCTTCCTGATCTCAGTCTATTGTTGTGTCTCTCATGTTATCTTCGCTAGGATCCCAGTTCAAAATCAGACAAACTCCCTTATGCAGGTCCTAAGTAGATCAACTGTTGTGCCATCGTTCCGCTGAGTTCAGACAAGGAGAGGCAGTTCTGCCATTCCGCCTAGTGGCGTGACTGCCTCGGCCAACATGCAGGCATTTGGTGTGTTTGAAACTTGCTTTGGAGAGTACTTCCAATTACTGAATATGGCTAATGTGATTATTGTGGAATAGTCCCCAAGAACAGGAGGGTATGTCACTCGAAAGTACTGGCTGCAGCTATCTGAGGCTAACTTGACATCTCTAGCCGCGATTTGAGCTTGTTTTGAAAGTAAGCATTGCAAAAATTTCCCTTTGTGCCCATGGCCAAGTTTACTGACTTTATTCGAAGATCATCGACATCAACAATGTCCCACTCGGCAATAGTGTGGCTTTCGTGCGATGGCGCCTACCGGCGTCAAGCGCCACAGAGCATCAGGGTCACACAGAGAAATCCACATTGAGTGACCACAGAGCATACTGGAACTACGAAAAAGTCCTGCAAGTCAGGCTCACTATCGACCGAACGTCGATGCTCCAGGAATGTGACATCCACTTCGAAGTCATACAGGAATTCAATTCCTCTCCCACATCTGAAAAGGTCGTGCTGGGCAAATTCAAACTCAACCTTGCCGAATATGTCGACAAGGTAGAAGAAGATGAAGGGGTCGTCCGAAGGTACTTGATGTATGACAGCAAGGTCAATAGCACCGTCAAAATCGGGGTGGCCATGCGCCAGATGGAAGGTGACCGCAACTACACCACGTACGTCTAAACTCCTCAGAAATTCTCCATGTCTTGTGTCTATATCCCGTGATGCTGATCATAAATAGGCCGTCTTTGAAGTCTGCCACGGTCTTTGGGGGTATTGCAGGAGTTGTGCATTCCTCTGAACCTGGAGACTCCGATGAACTCGGGCAACTGCCATCGATCAATGCCAAAAGCCGGGAAACGGCAGATTTGCAAGACATGTATCGCCGCACTCTGGCGGCGTCCTGGACATCTCGAGCCGGCGACTTACCCGCCGACAAACTGGTGGAAGAACTCTTTGCTGGAAGCTCCTGCTGGAATAACCAAGCCCACAATACCCAGTCTGGAGTCACGGTCGAAGGTGATCACCGTGTCTCTTTGCTGGATGTGGAGGGCATGAACAGACAGACTAGCTCCGGGAAAAGGCTATCACCAAGCTTCGAGAGGCGACCGAAAAGCTCGTCTAGCAACCACTCCCACAATAGTAGCAAAACACCAGACTCTCTCTCGACACTTGGCCATGCCAAGAGTGGTGGAAGCCTTGAACAGCAACTGTATGACGGCGCGAAGGGTCGTGGCTGGAAGATCCGGAGTGCTAACAATGAACTGTCCGAGTTTGATGTACGGGAGGATCTGCGGAGCTGGGAAACCGCGACGAAGGAATGATACCATGGACTTGTTACTTTCCATGTATGATCGATTGAAAGACAGTTAGAATCCCTATTTTTCCTAGTTTCCCATTCAAATGTATGTTGGGGATGGTTGATGGATAGGTGCCTGAGGCACCGTATCTTATCGAGTTAGCGCGATGATTATCGGCAAAAAAACGATCGCGACACTGATTCATCTTGTCCCAGTTCGCCGCAGAAGCCCGGCTTGGACGGTCTTGCTTCTTTCTTCCACATGTTACGACGCCCGTCGAGGTCCGCATTGGGGCCTCTGCGCTTCCATTCACTCTCATGCAGAAGATCGTTGCCGCCATGGCACCGCGCCTTCCCCCGATTGCAAAGCACCTCCAGTGCCGACCATGAGCCGGCCCATGACCCCGAGACACAGGACGATCACGCACCAGATCGCCGAAGCAGATTTACGAGCAGGAATTCGGGCGAAAAGTTTGAGCTGGAAGTGGATTCACTTGGGAAACCTGGAGAAATCATCGTCGTGCCACATTCGCCTCGCCGCCGAATCCCGCAGCCCAAATCGCAGGTTAGCACCCTGGAAACGGCTGAGGAAGATACACAGAAATCCACTCTGTTATCGATGCTGGATGACTTGGAAAGTGAACAACTTATCCCGAGTGAAAGTTCAGTCAAGGAGCGAATCGAGCACTGCCGCCGATCATACCAACCCAAGGAGAGATTGTCGGCCACTGAATGGGAAAACATACGGTTCGATTTGGAATTTTCATTCACATATCGACAGCTAGTAGACTATATCGAGAACTACATGGGGGATGCCTCCATATTGGAACCCGGAGCGTGGAAACCGGGGCTCTCTACCTTGGTTGATGCGAATGCGCTGTCAAAGGAGCGTATTACCGAACGGAGTGCAGCAGATCAGGTCTCTGGCGACATAACGGGACGAATCTCGAAGACGAAGTACTCGAAGTCCTTGAGGGGAAAAGCCCTCCTGGCCGAAAGAATCCTCCGGGACTGCTGGCACATGTCTGTCACTGATGAGATTGGCCAGCTGGAATTTCAGATGCCATCTCAATTCATATCTCTACTCCTTCATGCGGGACAATTCTCCCTTGCCGAGGTGGCAAATTTACATGACGTCCGCATTGACACCACGCATTCCTTGGGATTAGTGAAAGTCACTGGCAAGCAGGTGAATTGCGAGCCTGTCCGCGACATCATTCTCGATGCCGCCAGCAGGATTCAAAAAGAGGACGTTGGATTGGGCCCGCATGCCCACAAATCTGGCAGCGGCCAGCCATTCACCCCCTACTTTTTGGAATGGGTCAACAAAACATACGGGGTAGTCATTCAGCATGAAGCATCTGGGACCCCGAAGAAGATTCTTTACCTTGCTGAAAACAAATCGGGGGCGGACGATGCCCGAAGAACACTGAATCTGGCTATTTACGAGACTGCGTTTACCCCGATCCCATTCTCAACCTACGTTCCCGCATCGCAGCCGGCTAGCACATACAACTTCAGTTTGGAGGCCAATGCCTCATGGTACCGTCGACAGAAGCCATGGTTCCGATGGGCTATGTCCTCGGCGCAATCTGCAGAAGCCGAGGAAATTGAGACACCCCTCTTTGAAAACCACCAAACACGACTGTCCGACCAACTATTGAAGCTTCTCCGGGATGTTCCGACTGCAAAACCCATTCCACAAGAGGGTGCCAACATCCATGAATCAGTGACGGCTGCGGTTGGGAGATGTCTTTTTATGCAAAAGTCTTCTTTCGAAGAAATGACTCTGAGTGCTTCGCAACTGGGCAAAATGATCCTTCCTAGGGCCTTCACGACTGACATACCTCGAATGTCCGTCTTCATTGACTCGCTGTCACCCACTTCCCCCAGAGATAAATTACAGTCACATCACATTCGATTGACCCCACCGGCTATACATGCTGGTGTCTTTCCAGAGCTTGACATTGAGGTTACTGTGAACCCCACACGCAATGCCAGTCGCTTGGGTAATGGTGTGGAAGTGCGAAGTGTAAAGGCCATCCTTACGACAAATAGCGTCGACTATCTGCTCCCGGAAAATGGCCTGGACCTGCGGTTTACTCGCACGGTATCCCGAGAGCTTCTGGACACATCGTCCGAATCACCAAGTCATCATGAAATGGTACAAAGCATCAAGCAATCTCTGCGTGATCTGTTTGCTCACGGTCATCGCGGTCCCGTGCCTGTGCCGGCATTCTGTCAAGTCTCCCTTCCAACTGATATCTTCGCATCTCCGGACTCCGCAAACCACAATGCTTCCATGACTAAGAAAGACACTTCTGACGAGTCGCTGGAAAGCACAGAGCCTGAAACTAATACTACTGTCGAGTACATGTTACCTCCGCTGAGGGATATCCGGGCAACTACTAGCCAGCAATACGACTTTGATGGCAGGCCTCTCAACTATCGCTTCTACGAAAGTGGACCTTTCTTGGCTGCCCATACAACAGAGGTATCTTTGGGCATGGGAATCCCCCGCGACGAGCCAGTTCTGGAAAATGACTCGTCCCCGGGGCCCCTTGACCAGGAGTTCCATTCGTTCTACACTGACGCCTGTGACCTGGCGTTCCAAATCCACAGAACAAGAGCTGAGAATTAAGCTTATCTGCATGCGCTCATGTATAATAGAAAGAACCCAGCATTTTGGCGTTGGCTATGTACTATAATCTATGTGAATATCTGGAATTCTTCTGCATTTATGATGTCGATTGTGTTCTGTCTATTTATTCAGTGTGCTGATACTCTTCAGGTATTCTTATTGCATCGATGACCAGGCTAGTCTTGCGTAGAGTCGAGAAGAGATATCCAAGCACGACCCAAAGGCAATATCAAAGAAAGAAAAATTAAGCATGGATGGTGCACCTTCATGTAACCCAAACTCGATGAGTATTATACTCTTTTCGACCTCACCATAGCGACACATTTCAAGGCTCACTTGTTGTATTTTCATAGATTCATGGGCTCGATATTCATGATATTGGAGCTCAAAAATGAGTTTTACGGTTTATAAGCTAGTCTGTCTTGGTATTTTCCAGCTCATCTTTTAACAGTTAGTAGTGCGATGTTGGTATATACATCGGAGTAAATATATTGTGAAGAGGTAATCTTTTTATGCAGGAAAATACATTCGAAGCCATCGATAAATTAACCCAGAGAGATCAATGTAATAAATATCAAGTACCAAATAGTAAGATCAAGTTCAATATTAAACAAATAGCACTCAACCCCAGATTGCTGAATCCCCCAGTGATGTTGTCGACGAGCCCCACAGCAGATCGATCCCGACCTTGACGTGTAACCGCCCTCTTCACTCTGCCCCAACTCTCTTGGAACTGCCATATTTTGGTCCTTGGGACTAAATAGTCCAGGCCATTGCTTAATTTCTTCTCTCTCTACTACGCTTGCATCGACCAGCGTGCGGTGTCCTGCTAACCTCACCTGCTGTCCTTTCCCCTCATCCAGGATGAAGATGATGCGCACCCAGTGACTCGCAAGGCATGGAGAGAACACGGATCGCCAAGGTTGGTCTAGTCAACCAAGTCTTCTGGTATACTTGATTGTGTTTCTGACATGTCTCTTTCCCCCACCCAGGTTGAAAACGTGACCTTGGCTCGCCATGGTGAGCAGGTTGACGGCACCCTCCACCTCACCCCTCACCACCTGATCTTCTCCCACGTTCCCCCGATCTCCAGCGAAGACCAAGCCAAGGGGGTAGCGATCCGACCAAGAGAGCTTTGGATCACTTATCCAATCATCTCTTTCTGCACCCTGCGGCCAGCTCCCGCGGTGTCCCGCCAGCTCTCCTCCATCCGCCTCCGGTGTCGAGACTTCCTCTTCGCCTGCTTCTTTTTCACAAATGAGACCAAAGCACGGGAAGTGTTTGATAGCATCAAGCAGTGGACATGCAAATCAGGTCGCATCGATAAACTCTATGCCTTTTCCTACCAGCCTCCCCCGCCGGAGAAGGAATTCAATGGATGGGATTTGTATGATCCGCGCAAGGAGTGGGAACGCCAGGGTATTTTGGAAGATGGAAAGGGTTGGCGTATCTCGGAAATAAATGTTGATTATGGCGTGTGTACTCGGATTATGTCCATGAGGCATTGTGCTCTGCTGACGGAGACCTGCAGTTTTCCCCGACTTATCCCGCTCTTCTTCCCGTGCCTTCTTCCATCTCGGACAACACCCTCAACTATGCAGGGCGGTACCGATCCCGAGCAAGGATTCCTACGCTTACGTACTTCCATCCCGTCAATAATTGTACTATCACTAGGAGCTCTCAGCCCCTAGTCGGTGTACGTCAGAACCGCAGCATCCAAGATGAAAAGCTTCTTGCCGCCATCTTCTCCACCTCTCGCTCAGAAAGACACCTGGGCAGCTTCACGCAACCTAGCCTGGACAAGGAGGCTTCGGACTCGAGCCAAGGGAGTGCAGAAACCAGCCAAACGGACCCTGACATAGCAAATCCCGAGGAGCTGGAAGATGACTTGCTGGCCTCGGTGCGTGGAGACGCCGAGGAGCAAGCCTCAGTTTATGGTGCCCAGCAGCAAAATTTGATTGTGGATGCACGCCCAACGGTCAATGCCTTTGCAATGCAAGCGGTTGGTCTTGGCTCCGAGAACATGGATAACTACAAGTTCGCCACTAAAGCATACCTTGGAATTGACAATATCCATGTCATGCGAGATTCACTGAACAAAGTGGTCGAGGCCTTGAAGGAGTCGGATGTAACACCTCTGGGCCCAAGTCGCGATCAGCTTGCGCGAAGTGGTTGGCTGAAGCACATTGCCGGGATTTTGGATGGGGCTGGGGTCATTGCTCGCCAAGTCGGCTTAACACATTCCCATGTGCTGATCCACTGCTCTGACGGCTGGGATCGGACGAGCCAGTTGAGTTCTTTGAGCCAAATCTGTCTGGATCCGTACTATAGGACGATGGAAGGCTTCATGGTTCTCGTTGAGAAAGACTGGCTTTCTTTCGGGCACATGTTCCGACACCGCTCGGGTCACTTGAACAGTGAAAAGTGGTTCCAGATCGAGAATGAGCGTATCGGCGGAGATTCCAACCGTGGATTTGGGGATGGCAGCGGTGCCGGAAAAGCCATCGAAAACGCATTCCTTAGCGCCAAGGGGTTCTTTGGCCGCGATAACACTAGCCGGGACTCTTTGCCCGACTCCGACGGAGAGCTCCAGAGCTATGACTCTGATAGCCCCGCGGCCAGGAAAGCCAGCTCCATGCCTCGCACCGCTGTTTCTGAGAAGGAAGTTACCAAGGTGAAGGAGACGAGTCCTGTTTTTCATCAGTTCCTGGATGCGACCTACCAGCTCTTACACCAGTACCCGACACGGTTCGAATTTAACGAGCGATTTTTGCGACGGCTGCTCTACCACCTCTACGCCTGCCAGTTCGGAACCTTTTTGTTCAACAGCGAGAGAGAGCGTGTGCAGACCAAGGCTCGCGACCGAACACGAAGCGTGTGGGACTACTTCCTCGCTCGCCGAGACCAATTCACCAATCCGCAGTACGATTCCGTTGTTGATGACCATCAACGCGGCAAAGAACGACTCATCTTTCCTCGTGTCAACGAGACGCGATGGTGGAGTGAGTCATTTGGTCGAGAAGATGCAGATATGAATGGACCCCGTCCTTCGGGTGCACCAGCGGCCAGCGATAATCCCAGTGCAAAACGAACGCCCGTCTTGACCGGAGTGGAAACTTCCCAGCAGTCTGTGAGTACTGAGGCTTCTGACAACGCTGCCGCTAGTCACACCGCATCATCGGGCATGGCATCCGTGACGGCAGGGATATCGAATCTTGCATTCTCAAAGAATCAAGAGAGCGAATCTGCCACTCAAAAGCCGGAGGAGATGGAGGTAGAGATGCAATGAATGAAGACATATGGAAAGATTTTGTTTCTTGGTCTTTTTTTCTTGGCGTGGCATATTATGATGTGATGTATGTTACGCGCTTTGAGAATACCTGTGGTTTCTAAGAAGGACATGGATATCTTTGCATTTTACGATCGCCTATCCCCAGGTCGAGAGCCATCGATCGCATGGGGGTATGATGTTTGAGTGAATGCCTTGTTGCCTTGTAAATTTATCGCCTGATATATTAGGCGGATACGCTAGTCCTGAACTGGGAAGGGGCGTGCAAGCGAGGGTTGAGCCCTGGCTGAAACGGGAAGGAGAAACCCTACAGGCAAAATTCCCCACTAAATACTGATCTCTCAAAACTGCACCACTCCGACCTCGACCTCCTCCGTCGCCGACAACCCAATTCCATCCCACCAGGAACCGCAAAAATGGCCGCTGTCCAGGGAGCTATTTCGAAGCGCAGAAAGTTCGTCGCCGACGGTGTCTTCTACGCCGAGCTGAACGAGTTCTTCCAACGCGAGCTGGCTGAGGAGGGCTACTCCGGCGTTGAAGTCCGTGTCACTCCCACCGTCACCGACATCAGTACGTGCCGCCCCTTCCGATGAATATATTCTTTTTTTTATTGTGTGGATTGCAATGGGCATAACGTGCCGGGGAAATTCTTCTTGGGCTTGCTGCAATTGGGCCGGATCTGCGGATGTTGAAAAAAAGAGATTGGAATGACTCGGTGCTAACGCATGATGTTTTTACAGTCGTCCGTGCTACGCACACCCAGGAGGTTCTGGGCGAGCAGGGCCGCCGCATCCGCGAGCTCACCTCTCTCATCCAGAAGCGCTTCAAGTTCCCCGAGAACTCGGTCTCCCTCTATGCCGCCAAGGTCCAGAACCGCGGTCTCTCCGCCGTCGCTCAGTGCGAGTCCCTCCGCTACAAGCTCCTGAACGGTCTGGCCGTCCGTCGCGCCTGCTACGGTGTCCTCCGATTCATCATGGAGAGCGGTGCCAAGGGTTGCGAGGTTGTGGTGTCCGGCAAGCTCCGTGCTGCCCGTGCCAAGTCCATGAAGTTCACTGTACGTTTGGACCCGATTTTGCTGTGTTGAGACGATGGAAGATTGCATAGGAGTGTTCTGCAAATCGGAAGCCCGGACACCGATCGACCTGCGCATGGTGCTCGGGCGAACCGATGCGCGAACCTGCTACTGCTCTGTTGCATGTTAAAAAATTGGTAGAGATATGGCTAACTCAGTGCTCTATAGGACGGCTTCATGATCCACTCTGGTCAACCCGCCAAGGACTTCATCGACAGCGCCACCCGTCACGTCCTGCTCCGCCAGGGTGTCCTGGGTATCAAGGTTAAGATCATGCGCGGCTCCGACCCCGAGGGCAAGTCCGGCCCCCAGAAGTCGCTCCCCGACTCGGTTACCATCATCGAGCCCAAGGAGGAGCAGCCCGTCCTGCAGCCCATGAGCCAGGACTACGGTGCCAAGGCTCTGGCTGCCCAGCAGCTCGCCGAGCAGCAGCGTCTGGCCGAGCAGCAGACCGCCGAGGCTGAGGGTGGTGCCGAGGGTTACGCTCAGGAGTGATCTTGTTCTCTTTTATTAGGCCTCTTCCTTTTTCCTCCTTGTCCTAACCTCACCTTATTCTCTCTACCTCATGCCATCAAAAATTACATGACACTTCAAAAAAAAAAACCACCTCCTTTTCTTTGGTTCATTTGATTATTGAATATCCTTATCTGTTGGACTATCATTGTCATTGAGAATTCCTTTTGGGAATGGAATTGTAGACCCGTTGATTGGGAGACCGTCTGGAAATCCAGAATTGTGAGATAGAAGATTTGGTACAGAGAGAGATTTGTATTATACCCAATTGCAGCTTCCATTCGGGGCTCCTTCAGGGTCGCCAACTACGAAGTTTAGATCCATGTTCTAAAAATTGGACTAAGAAAGAAGCCATCCTAATGTTCGCCGGACATGATAAAAAACTAGAATCCTTTTCGTGTTATACTTTTCGGTATCTCCCTAGCTCTCTCTACTCGAAACAAAACTCGACACCAACAGAAAGAAATCCTTCCACGTCATGTCATCATCTATCAGCGTTCACAATGTATCAAATATGCAAATCAGTCGCCAGCGAAAGGATCAAACTTTTCTTGAAGCTTCCTCGCGATTACAGGAAAGCCTCGATGTTGATCTCCAGCGTGCTGACGGGGTACCTCAGCTCGTACTTTTCCAGCACAGTGGGGTGCAAGATGCCGAAAGCGCCGACGACGTGGTCCCTGCCACCGATACGGAGGTGAATGGAGGCGGAGTGGCCGGGGAAGTAGGTCGGGTCTAAGAGTATTGTTAGCACAGGGAAGGCTGAAAAAGGATTATATAAAAAGGGAAAGGGGCAAAGACACGGGAAGAACAAGACATACCATCCAGCTCTTTGATATAGTACTGCGAATCGCCCACGGCCGAATTCTCAAGACCCTCCTCGCCGGTGATGAAAGCGCTCTTGAGCATGGCCAAAACACGGTCCAGGAGGCCGTGCACAACCTCGAAGCCGCTGGTCTTGCCGTACCATGCAGCAGCAAAGTGTCTCTCGTTGCGGCTCTTGCGCTCCAAGGAGAGGTCCTTGAAAGCAACATCGCTGACCTCGAAGATCTTCATGGGAACGCTGTGGCTCTTGTTCTCACGAATGGTCTTCAGAAGACCGGGGAGAAGGCTTGTGCGAACAACCTGGAACTCCATAGTCTTCGGGTTAGCCAGCTTGACAGCAGTGTTGCCGTCGTCCTTGCGGTTCAGCCAGGAGAAGTTCTCGTCGTGCGAGCACAGAATCAGCGGCAACACTTCCGACCAGCCGGCCATGGCAGCTTCCACGCGCACGATGTCGGAGAGCTTGTTGATGGGGAGGGGTTGAGCAATTGTGCCAGATTTGCTGGGGAACGAGCGCGGGAGGGCGTTGAAGCCGTGAGCGATAGCCACATCCTCCATGATATCGCACTGGTGAAGAATATCCGCACGAGTCGGAGGGATCTCCAAGTTTATGAGATTCGGGGCGTTAGTCGTGGGCTTCGCGTGATAAGCCATCTTCCTCAGCAGATTGCAGATTTCAACAGGTGTTAAGTTTAAGCCACAGCACTGGTTAATGTAGGAAACCTCGGCCTGTGTGGCCCGGGGAGCGATGTCAGGGGTAATTCTCGTCTGATTGTTGTGGTCCGACACAATCTTGACCGGCTCGATGCTGCCAGTAAATCAGCTCATGAGTACTATGAGTCGAAGGCGAGGGCCACTTACGTGAATGGCTCCGCAGTGTACTGGGAGAACATGGTGACCATCATCCGGTTCACAATCTCGAGCTTGGTCTTGTCGAGGGCCGTGATTTCAATCAAGACATTGGTAGTGTTCAGAGAGATTTTCGAGCGGTCACCGTTGATAATGGGAGGCAGGGAGCAGACGGTTCGGTTTGAGTCGTAGATGACCGGGTAAACCGGAGAGTCGCGAATGATATGCAGGTACTTGCCTAGTTGTTGGTGTTTCTGTATCACTATATAAGCATTGCGCTGATTCATGAATACAGTTTGCGGACCCCATTTATCTTACCTCGTAGAAAGTCATCAACTCCTCACCATCCATCTCCTGGGTCTGGTTCAACGGAACAAACTTGATGTCCTTGGGAGGCAGAGCCTCGTAGGTGAAAGGACCCTGAACAGCGTCCAGGTCATGGGTACCAATGGATACGAGGGTTCGTTGCCGTGCCAGGTTTTGGTGGAGCTTGTCTTGAAGGGAAATAAAGGACTCGTAGCGAGCCTGGTCGAACTTGACATTCCGAAGAATGGCGCCGGACACATAGGGTCTGATCTTCGTGGTCTGTTGAACCTTTTAGCCATATATTCCACCCATTATATAATGAGGTTATACCCACATCTTCCTTGACAATGATCGATTGCAGTTCCCCGTTCGAGAGTTCAGCCAGCTTATACTCAGGCAAAGGTTTGCGGCCCAAGAAGATGTTGAGCGAGAGCGCAATGCCCTCAAAGCATAGCAAATCATATCTGCCCAACTTTTCAGCACCTGAGCTAGTTTATATTCATTGAATTCGTGCGCGCATACCGATTGGCGGGGACTTCGATCTTCAACTGCGGCGGTTCCTGCTTTCCGTCCACAATTGGTCGGTCCGAGTTTGTAGTCTGCGAATGCCTCAGTGTCTATTCCGGAGTAGGCTGTAAGAGAATCGGAGGGCCAAATACATCTTCATCGAGTTCAATGCCTGTTTTACAGTGTTAGCGCATGCCCCGCGAAGATTTGTCGACAACCAACCTACCAAACTCGAAACACAATTCGTCAAATTCCTCCGTAGTGTATCTGTCAAGGAGCGGCTTGTTAGGGATGTTTGGATATCTGTATAAGACCCTGGTAGACCTACTCCTGGCCCAGCTCCTTGAACAGAGCGGCCTTGTCGACTGAGATAGTGGGCATGGTGGGGGTTCTTTCTGCGAGGGAATGCTGTAATAGTGGTGATGGTGGTGAGTAACGGAGTTCTAGCAAGAGAGGAGTAGAGTCGCATGTTCAGAGACAGCACCAACGTACCTGAAATCCACGAGCAGCCGGGGAACCAAAGGGCACGAGCAATGACTCCGGTGCGTCTCGATGAAATTCTGACCGCAAGCCACCACCGCCACGGATTCCCCCCTCTTTCGTGACGAGCGTATCAATACCGTATTTCCAGCTGGGGATGTATGGGACGGCCCCATCGCAGCAACGTATGTCATTTACACAATTGCTTGAAAGCTCTGCCCCGTCGATTCCTGGTGGATTAATGCTTCATCACAAATCTTCTGAATCCAGTTGCTTTTCTGTTGCATTGGAACTGGAACACGGTGTTTTGAACTCCCAATTGTTGAGGTAGGCCCTACTCTGCTTTGCTCTGCGTGTCTCCGGCGGCCCAAGACCCCACGAAACCTCGCTCCGGATCTCTACCACTCATCCCCTTCCCACTCCCACCTCTGCTCGCGCGACAGTCGAATCTAATCCCCATTTCGGTCAGACGTCACAGTTATCCTTGAGTTCATGACCGCACTCCCGATCTCATTCGATCGCCAATAATCCGATTTCGCTGGGTGTCGGGTCAAAAACCACCGCCCGATACCAACCCTTTCTTGACGGGCTGTGCCCATTTGTGTTGATCGATTTTAAACGACTTAATTGAAAAATCCACGATGGAGGCTCAAAACGAAAATGATGAGCTTTACCCCATCGCTGTGCTCATCGATGAGTTGAAGGTACGATGGTGCACCACCCCTCCAGGCGTGTGAACCAAGCTCACCTCGAAATTTCACAGCACGATGATGTCCTCCTCAGACTCAATGCCATTCACCGCCTATCTACGATCGCTCTGGCCCTGGGACCTGAGAGAACCCGGGAGGAGCTGATCCCTTTCCTTGATGGTCAATTCCCCTCCCCTCTCCGCGCACTTGGACCTGTCTAATCTGTTGGTTCCTCAATAGACTCCGTGGAGGACGAAGATGAAGTTTTGACTGCCTTGAGCGAGGAGCTGGGAAACTTTACAGAGTATGTCGGAGGTCCGGAATTTGGGCACGTTCTTCTCTCCCCGCTGGAGAATTTGGCAGCCATCGAAGAGCCCTTGGTCAGGGAAAAGGTAGGTTTTCTGCAGTCTGTCGGGATCGGGTGCAGTGCTGATCGTATGCATTAGGCCGTCGAGTCCCTCAACAAGGTCGCGGAGCAGTTGTCAGAGAGCCAAACCGAGGAACACCTGGTTCCCCTCGTCCTCCGCCTCTCCAAAGCAGACTGGTTCACCTCCAAGGTCTCGGCGACGGGACTGTACTCCACACCATACCGGAAAACTCCTCTCCCACTTCAACAGAGCCTCCGTCAACATTTCGGTGCGTTGGTGCACGATGAAACCCCGATGGTGCGGAGACAGGCGGCGAACAACTTGGCCAAGTTCGTGAAGGAAATGCAGACACAAGTCATTATCGATGAAATGATACCCCTCTTCCAATATCTGGCTGGCGACGACCAAGACAGCGTGCGCCTGCTGACGGTGGATATCCTTATCTCGATCGCGGAGGAAATTCCCAAGGAACAGCAGCCCAGCCACGGTGTCTTGTTGACATCGCTGCGTAACCTCTTCGAGGACAAGAGCTGGAGAGTCAGATATATGGTTGCCGATCGATACGAAAAGGTACGTGGTTTATCTTTTGATCGGTGCACTCGTGTTAATCTCTTGGGTATAGATCGCCAAAGCCGTGCATGAGGAGGTGATCACCCGCGACATGGTGCCTGCATTTGTCAAGCTCCTGAAAGATACCGAGGCCGAGGTCCGCACTGCGGTCGCTGGCCAGATTCCCGGTATGCTTTCATTCAATTTTCGCAAATCTGATGTGTGTATTAACCTTTTGTGACTAGGTTTCTGTGGTTTAATCGATCGCGACACCCTGCTTAATGAGATCATGACCAGCATTGAGGACCTTGTCTCCGACCCCTCCCAGCACGTTCGGGCTGCCCTGGGCACTCAGATCAGTGGCCTCGCACCCATCTTGGGCAAGGACGAGTAAGTTGTAATGCCAAGTCGGACGACTACATGTTGCTCACCATCGTTGCAGGACTATCGCTCACCTTCTTCCGATGTTCCTTCAAATGCTCAAGGACGAGTTTCCCGATGTCCGTCTGCACATCATCTCAAAGCTGGAGCTTGTGAACAAAGGTATGAATTCGCGAACCTTTGCGATCCCCTGCGTCATATCTCTAACTCCACCCAAGTTATCGGAATCGACCTCCTGTCCCAGTCGCTACTTCCTGCAATCGTTCAACTGGCCGAGGACAAGCAGTGGCGTGTGCGTCTCGCCATCATCGAATATATCCCCCTCCTCGCCAGTCAGTTGGGAGTCAAGTTCTTTGACGAGCAATTGAGCGATCTCTGCATGGGATGGCTGGGTGATACTGTTTTCTCGATCCGAGAAGCAGCCACCCAGAATTTGAGAAAGCTGACGGAAGTATTCGGTGTGGAGTGGTCGAAAGAATCCATTATCCCGAAGGTTGTGGCCATGGGACAACACCCTAACTACCTGTACAGGATGACGACGTGCTTTGCTGTTTCGGTGAGCTTCTTCTGTTTCGCACGCATGGAAATTTCATACTAACATTTACAGACTCTCGCGCCCGTAGTGACCCTGGACATCATTGAGAGCTCCATCCTTCCTATTTTGGACCGACTGGTGACGGATGATATCCCGAACATCCGCTTCAATGTTGCCAAATCTTATGCCGTCCTTATTGACACACTGCGCCGTTTGCCCGCCGATAAGACTCTGACTGAGGTCGAGAAGTCGGGCGAAACCGTCACGCCGTCCCCCAAAAGCCAGGATCTAATCCAGCAACGAGTCGTGCCGAGTCTGGAAAAACTGCAGGCCGATGACGATGTTGATGTTCGATACTTTGCTACGACTGCTGGCAGCAACCAAGATGAGGCCATGCAGACTTCACCGTGAACTTGTCTATGAACTTCGGTGGCTCGTATCGTCTGCCCCTTCCGGACGAATACATATTCTCTGTGTGCCAAAGGGGCACGACATCCGCATGATACGGGAGATAAGGGCATTCCGTCAGCTTAGAGAATAGCTAGCATCCGACGGAGATGATGTGTTTTTGTGGCGTTTTTTAATGTAGAGGTTTTGATCCATACAGTTCCCTGACCCTAGCTACAAAAGCAAACGCGCCAGTATGAATATGTTGATGTGTTGCATTAAAAAACTTGTAGCTCGCGTGGACGAGTCGCGAGGCTTCATTTGTCAGCGATTCTGGGGTCGAAAACACCACCTAACTTTACCTTCCTTGAACACCCCAAGGCCTTTCAAGGGGGTACACAGCAGATCGGGTTTGCTTTATTCTAAAAGAACTGCTCTCTGCAATGCTTGATTTTCCCTCAATTTGCACGCTTCTCTGTCTGCTTCCTAATCGAACCTTTGACATCTCCGACGCCCAGTAGAAAGCCAACCAGGCAGGTTCGCCTGGATATGTTAATTGTCTTGAGTTTTCAAACTGATCTCTAAGAACAGTCTCAACATGTCCTTCCCGTGGCCATATCATTTTATCTCTCTTTCTGAAGACGAGAAACTGCGCCGCCGTGAGCTGCTCGATCTTCGCGGTTTCTATGCGCAATGGTCCATCATTCTGGCAATTATTGCCATTCGAATCTATAGAGCCCTGGCAAAAGCACCGGCCAATTCATCCAGTGCATCTGGACAGCGCTGTGGGCCAATTTCGTCGTGGGACCGGCCCCTTGTCTCTGGATGGATCGAAACTCGACGGCATTATCTTGTCTGCGGTCTTTGGCTACTGTGGCTATTGAGTCTTTCGGTGTGGAATAGCGGTGATGGTATGATTCTTTCTTATATTTTGCTCTATCCTGTTTTGCGTCGATTATATGCAGCTTGGAACAGCCAATTGACGTCTCCTGCTAGACTACCTCCACGTCACCAAAGCAATGGGTCATGTCGCCTTGTCCCAAGTGCCCCTGCAAGTCCTTATGTCCCCAGCAGGATACATCTCAACCTCCAACCCGGCTGCCCCGTCACTCATCTCGCTCTTCACTTCGATCTCTCAGCCCGTTCTAACGCCCTACCACCGTCTCTTCGGCCGTCTGGTCGTTGCAACTCTTCTCGTCGGGCACGCCGCCCTTTATCTGTTGTTTTTTGTACAGTCAAGCCACCCGGCCTATGGGTCATTGCTTGCCAAGCGAGTCCGGGATTTTGATGTACAATGCGGCTTACTTGCGCTCTCATCTGCGGCATTTCTCTTGCTCTTCGCCCGACCGCGTGGTGCTGTACCCAAGACAAGGTTCCAGGCATGGTTGCCAGCAGGTTCTATCCATGAACGGAGGCGGTTGTTCTATTCAGGGCATTTGTTGTTGGTGGTGGTTTTGTGTGTTGCGGCTTATTACCATGTAGTGCAGGCCCGGTTTTATATGCTTCAGACTCTAGGGGCTTCCATGCTCAATGGGGTGTGGTCTTGGATAATGGTGCGACGGGGCAAGCGGGTATAATATTGATATTGTATACTCGATGGCGTGTTGCCTTGCCGTATGTATAGTTTAGCAGCTTGAGGTATAGATCGTGGATCGAATATTTATCTGATGAGTTATATACCTTGGTTAAACTCGGAGCTCCACAAATGATACTTCCTAAATATTCTACATAGATGCCTTAATTTGTCGATGTTACTCTTTATGCCTAACTCTGTAGCTATTAATCGTTCAGACATTGGCAGTATCCATGGATTTACTTCCTGGTGAACCACTGCGCTGCGTCGACGTAAAGACAGTTCGCCTCTTGCCAGTGGGATCTAGGGGAAAAACAAAAATATGAACCTTCAAATCCCTTAACTAAATAACAATAATTGGAATGCCAAACTACACCTCGATGTTTGCGGCTATGCGCTGTAGGGCGGTTCTGTCTTGGCAAGTATCGCAGGCCCGCTAATAAGAGAGCCAGTTGGCCCTGGCTCGTGGAGACCTGGAGATCCCTCGACTCTTCTGACAGCCAACTTTTTCTTTCCTTTCCCTCTCCCTTTCCCTTCCTTTCTCTTTTGTTTTCTTTTAAGCGCTCCTGTTCCATGCTCCCGATGGCAGGATGCGAGTCCAACGGTTGACCATCTTGCTTGCGATCGCCGCCTTCGCGTTCTTGTCCTTGCTGTTGCTGCGACCCTCGGAAGTCCCCGAGGAGCCAGTAGTCCTGCCTCCCCCCGAGCCGATCAAGCACCCCAAGCTCCATCCCGGTCAGAAAACATTCCCTCCCGAGAAGGAACACCCGATCTCGCGCTTGATCGAGACTGCGGGGGAGCAGTTCGAGCATGCACGCAAACGACAGTCGAAGACCCTCGCCGAGGCGGTGCAGGAATACAAGCGTCGCTACAAAATGCACCCACCGCCGCATTTCGACAAGTGGTTCGAGTTCGCCAAGTCGAGGGATGTGCAGCTTATCGACGAGTTCGACTCCATCTACGACTCCCTGTTGCCGTTCTGGGGCCTAAAGCCCCAGACGATTCGCGAACGCGCGCGGGAGACGCTGGGTTTTGAGAACTCGGTGATTGGGGTCTTGATTCGAGACGGCAAAGTGTCGATGACGGGCGGGGGTGGTGATGGGGATAAATGGCAGCGAGACGCCACGGCGGGCATGGTCGAGGATTTTGTGAAATACTTGCCGGACATGGATCTGGTGTTCAACACTCACGACGAGCCACGCGTGATTGTCCCCAGTGAAGATCTCCAGCGGCTGGTGCAGACGGCCAAAGATTATATCATTCCGGCGGCGTTCAAGAAACAAAACCCGATAAGGACTTGGTCCCCTCGCCCTTCGGATCTCAACAAAGGCGACCGCTTCGAAGAGGTGCGCACCACCCGTTTCAACCGCTTTGCACACCAGCCTACCTGGACGCATTCCCGCATCTCTTGCCCCCTTGATAGCTCCGCTCGCTCGCTCGACGAGGATTCCCCGGACAACTCCGATTCCTATGCCTACGGTGAGCTAGGATTCATCTACAACACCTCGGCCTTCTCCGATATCTGCAATACCCCTTCTCTCCGCTACAGCTATGGATTCTTTGACCGGCCCAATGCCTTCGATATTGTTCATGATTTATTCCCTGTCTTTTCGCAGAGTAAGATCTCCAGCTTCCAGGACATCTTATACCCGAGTCCCTGGTACTGGGTGAAAAAGGTCCCGTACGAGAAGAACAAGGATGTGCCTTGGGACTCCAAGTCAAGCAAAATGTACTGGCGTGGCTCCACCACAGGCGGATTCTCGCGAGCGGGTGGCTGGCGACGTCAGCACCGACAGCAGTTTGTTGACGCGGCCAACTCGTTGGACTCAACCAAGATTATGACCCGACAGGCCGACAAGACCTGGATCTCGCAGGAGGTCCGCCGGGAGACTTTCCGCGACGTCTTTGACGTCAAGTTCACCTATATCGGCCAGTGCGACCCGGATGATTGCCATGCGCAGACCGAGTACTTTGGCGTAGTGGAACCAGCTGGGCAGCAGGATGCCTGGAATCACAAGTACCTGGTGGATGTGGACGGCAACGCCTTCAGCGGACGGTACCACGCGTTCCTGCTAAGTAATAGCTTTGTCTACAAGATCGCCATTTTCCGTGAATGGCACGATGAATGGTTGAAGCCGTGGGTTCACTATGTTCCTCTCAGCCTGCAAGGCCACGAGCACGTGGAGAGCATGCGCTATTTTTTATCCGAAGACGAGGGCAAGAAGGCCGCGCCCCGGATTGCGGCTCAGGGCCAACGCTGGGCGCAGAAAGTCCTGCGAGAAGAGGACCTGGAGGTTTGGTTCTTCCGACTACTACTCGAGTAAGTTGATCCATGGATAGCATTGCTCTTTTGATAGGGTGCTCATGCTAATGATTGCCATTTCAGATATGGACGTTTGGTGGACGACAACCGAGACCAACTCGGCTTCTCTCTCTAATCAGGCCAGCCTCACTTCTTATTATAATGATGGCGTCCTGTACATACTCTAATTTCTGCTTCCCGCATTCGACTCGCTGAGCCTCTTATTTGCAGTTCAGATTCATGCGGGACTCGACGAGATCACGGCTTGTTTTGCGTTGTATTTTGTTTTGGCTTGTGTGCTCCTCTGTACCCCTTGTAAATACCCCCCCCTCTCACTTGATTCTCTATTTTGTCCTGCTAGACCGGTTTGGCGGCTCTAAAATGATACCTATATCTGACTGCATGTGGAGAAGATCCTGGCGTTTTCTGGGCGGGGGAGCCTATCTGTGGACGAGAACTGTTGGAAACACTGGACATGGATCCGCCTTTGGGACCTAAATACTTGTTAAGCCCATAATAAGTAGTTTTCAAGTACCAGGCGAATACATGTCTACGCATTGGAACCAACAATCTACTTGTCTGTGGAGGCAACCAAGATACTTACTTGGGAAGTACCATAGTAGGCCAAACATCCGAATTCTTGCAAAGACATGGTACCCACATATTAGAAACAGAAGATTATACTGTACCTATAGAGGACACCACATAACAATAGATGGCCTGCCAAGTGAAGCTGATCATGATATGATATAGTTTAAGCCGCGACCTGGACCCCGCTGTAGAATTGACTATCAACTTAACAAAACCTATTCAGCCCCCTAATTCCATCATGGGCTAAATATTTAAAGGATCCAAAATTCACTCAGAGATACATAAGTACTCAATAGAGTAAAGGCAACTTCATCTCTTAACACTTTGGGGGCCACATTGTATGCGCTGACTAATTTCCATGACGCGCCCTGGCCGTTGGAACCGGAGCCCACGGGAGCTTTTGATATTTGATAGGCTTGGACTCTTGCTTATTTCCAACCCTCGCACTTATTTCTACTTTGCTCTTCCACCAATTTACTTCCATGGGTGAATAGTGGTTTCACCATGGCAAGTTTCCTAGCCCGTACCTTCACCGCGACGCTCGCCTTTGCCTATGGGCTCTTCAACTTGATTCTCTATGGATGCATAGCATGCAAGAGGGGCACTTTTTTCAAACGCTCAACGGAGAAAGAGAAGTTGGAACTGCAGCTTGGTGAGTTAATGCTGTCAACAATAACCTCATCTATCTTTTCAAATCACTAATCAAGAATCGAGGCACATAGCCCAGGATCGTCTCTGGAACCTTTCCAAGGACTTTTCTGGCCTCTCCCACCACATCCTGACTCTGCGCAGTGGCTTCAAGTTTCACTTTGTCAGCAACCATGCTCCTGGCTCACCAGAAGTCCAGAAGTCCAGCAAGCCCCTGGTCATCTTCATCCATGGCTTCCCTGATAGCTGGGCCATGTGGCGCCATCTGATCAGCTCCTCTGCTTTGCAAGATGCTGCAGCTCTGGTTGCCGTGGATCTTCCTGGCTTCGGGGCTTCTGACAGCTTGGATAAATATTCGGCAACCAACGTGCTGGAGCAGCTGACCGAGTTCATTGTGACCATCCGCGCTCAGTATGGCGTGGACGATGGAAACGAGAGCAATAAGAAGCGGACTATCGTTGCTGCCCATGACTGGGGTTGTGTCCTGGCCATGCGGCTGGCAGCCGAAGCCCCGTCGCTGGCCGATCGATTCATGCTGAGCAACGGACCCTTGGTACGTCGGAGATGATTGCCCTGGAAATGAAAAAAGAAGGGCAGACGAACTGCACGGCATTAGCTAATGCTTCTGTTTTCAGGTACACATGGTCATGTCTAACATCCAACGACTGGTATCGTCTGCGCGGAAGATGTTCAACACGGCGCTGCGATCCCCACTTCAGTCACGCACTCCGTTGCTTCAAGCCTTCCGAACCCTCGGCCCCCTGTTCCGCCAGATCAGTCTGTCTGGATACATCTTTGCCATGCAGCTGCCCCCACCGTTTGTGGAGTACTTCCTGACAGGAGGAAACTACTCGTTCATTAAGGAAATCCACAAAGGCTCCTACGGCCAGGCCGAGTTCACTCCCCGCGATGCAGCCGAATGCATGGCAACCTCAATGGGCCCCTCAGCCGCCGAGCTCGAGACCCAGACGGTGGACGGCGAGACCTACCCGACCGTTCTGCAGGCCCAGCACCCCTTCGCGCGCGCCCTGCACATGGCGAGCTACTACCGCGACGACACGAGCGTTGCGCGCTGGCGGAAATCCGTCGAGACTGTCGCCAGCCTGCACGGGCTTGCGGGCGGCGATGAGCTGCGTCGCTCGAGCAGCGGGGCCGGCATGTTTGACGAAGGCGCTCCGGGTGTGCTCAAGGCCAGCGCGACTGTGTTCTGGGGTCAGAAGGACATTGCGCTGAACCGTCAAATCTGTCTTGATGGCATGGCCGATTACCTGGTTCCAAATAGCCAGGTGGTGCTGCTTCCTCGGTCGGGTCATTGGACTCCGGTCGAGGAGGCGAGCCGCGCCGCGTGGGAGAAGGCTATTCAGTGGGCTATTGGTGGTGAGCAGGGCGACATTGAAGCGGCTGTCCGGGTGGCGTATCCGGATGCGAAGGTGACAGTGCGCAAGTGAGCCTTGGAAGATCCCTGGAAAGTTCTCGGGAAGATGAAGTGGTTGAGTGGTGAATGAGAACCAGCGCGGATCTATTGCGAGTTTTCTTGTCTGTACGACTGGCAGCGCTTGGCGCTCCTTTGGACCTCAAATCAATACCAAGTCTACAAGAGCCTATTAGTATTCCTAGCATACTAGTATACTCGTAAGAACTACTGTTTCACGCTAAAAAGTCGAGATATCCATGGAAGATTGTCGGGCACTAAATTCGGAGTGGAGTGAGGGGGGACCTTTCCCCGCGACAGCTCCTTGTCTTCTCCACTTATTGCTCTTCCTCCTTCTTCCACTTCTTCTTCCTTCTTCATCTTAACAAGCTCAAGCTTCAATATCCAAGCTCTCTGAGCTGGTTTTTCGCTCTTGCGCAACCCCTGATTGCCACACTGACCAACCTCCCCCTCGCACAACCTCCGGGCGCGATGCAGCGGTGAAATCGTTTTCGTCCTCTCGAACCTGCGGTCCGGTCCAGGTACCACAGTCTTTGTGCTTGCCTGTTGGCGCCGGTCCGAACTGTCATCGAAAAACAGTCGGAGACTACTGGATAAATATACTCGTCTCGCCGTTGTTTTTGTTGTTTTGTTGTCTCTTTTTCTTGATCCGTAAACCTTCAGGGGGATATCCTTTGTTTTCTTTTTGTTTTTGTTCTAGCTGAGGGTATACCAGCGTGATGGCCTCCGAGCGAGATGCGGTTTACTGCACGGTTCGTTGCTCCCCCCCTTTTTGCTTTCCCCACTGGGTCCAGGATTTGAGTACTGATGATAATCGCAGCTTCTCTTGAGTGATGATTACCTACCGGGTAAACGACAATCTTTTTTTTTCTGTCATTCTATTGCTGGTCTGATTGTTCGAGCTTCGTCTAGGTGCCGTGGTCCTGGCCCATTCCTTGCGTGACAATGGCACGAAAGCAAAGCTAGTTGCTCTGATTACTCCGGACACGCTACAGTCGGCCACGATCGGTGAGCTAAGGGTGTGTTTTTCTTCGTTGAGCTTCGTGTTCCACGGAGATAGCCATTTTGGTAGCTGACTCGAACTAACATTTTCTTTATCAAGACCGTCTACGACGAGCTCGTCCCCGTGTGCTCGATTGTGAATGGCACACCAGCAAATTTGTGGCTTATGGAGCGCCCAGATCTAATTGCCACATTCACCAAGGTCGAGCTCTGGCGCCTGACACAATATTCGCGGATTGTATACATTGACTGTGATGTCGTGGCCTTGCGAGCGCCCGACGAGCTCCTCTCTTTGGAGACAGATTTCGCCGCCGCGCCAGATGTCGGCTGGCCAGACTGTTTCAACAGCGGCGTGATGGTTTTCCGCCCGAATCTGCAGGACTACTACGCCTTGAAAGCCCTCGCTGAACGCGGCATCAGCTTCGACGGCGCCGACCAGGGCTTGCTGAACATGCACTTCCGGAACTGGCATAGGTTAAGCTTCACGTATAATTGCACTCCCAGTGCCAACTACCAGTATATTCCCGCATACAGACATTTTCAGAGTACCATCAGTCTCATCCACTTCATTGGATCCCAGAAGCCGTGGAATTTGCCTCGGCAGGTGGTCCCGTTAGAATCGCCCTACAACCAGCTGCTGGGCCGCTGGTGGGCTATCTATGACAAACACTATAGCCCGCCTTTTGTAAGGTTCCTTGGTGACTGGAAAAATGGCTTCCGCTGATTTTTTTTTTGATCAGGTATCCACCTCCCAGCCTTGGAGCGGTCCGTCCCCACTGGGTGGGCATGATATATCCGCTTTCGAGGCCCCGACGGAACCCATTCTAAGCTATCCAGTCCAAACTCATCAAGCCCAAGATGAGGATTTTGCACCTCAACACCAACGATGGCCTGAACCTCATCATGTTCATGTCGATGAGAGTGGCTCTGTGAGATTTCATTACGAAGAGGCTCAGCAAGATGAACATGTGCCGGCCCTTGTATCTGCAGTTAGCCAACCATCGGATACCTCAAGACCACAACCACAGCACTATGAAGAGCCTCACAATCATTACCCAACACATCACGCAGCTTCTTCGGTTGAAGTCCCGGTACTCAGCGTGGTCCCGCGGTATGTACGCGGAGAAGAGCATGTCTCGACTTACATCCCGCCTTTGCCTCATCAACCAGCACCAATATCCCATGCACCGCAGCCAAAAGAAACCCATCAAATGCCTCCGACACATCCTGCGCCCAGCGACAGTGAACGTCATATTCACCAACCACAACCCGTGGCACCTATACCTCCAATAAACGAGCCACATCAGCAGGCTCCCTGGCCGGAACCAGAGACCCCAGCCTTCGAAGCACCCAAAGTAGAATGGGATGCCTCACGGTGAGAGCCTCGGTGTTTTATCAATTCCTGGATGTCAGCTGCTAATACTTCACAGGGAGCCTCCGCCACTGAATTCAAAGCCAGAGGGGATCAGCTTGCAACAGAAGACATACATCATGTCGGAAGACCCGAATTTATTCCAACCTCCTCCGTCGTATCCAGAGGCACCGAAAAACATGTATTACCAAGTTCCCGAGACCAAGCCCGAGCCAACCAAAGTCACTCAGGTGTTTCCCTGGGAGCACCGGGCTCCCAAACCCACTCGTATCTTTGCCGACGAGCACCCTGTTCCAGAACCGTCGCCTCAGGACGAGCCTGTATCATCACCGCCTGCTCAGCCTGTGCCTACTCAGGCATTGTATACTCGAGCACCGTATGAACCACCAACAGCCTCATGGGAATCATACACCCGATCCAACGCCTGGGACGAAGACCCCCAGATCCAGCGCTACATCGAGTCTATACAGCAAGCGCGGTGCGCACGAACACAGGTGATTTCGGGATCAAGCACCTCAAGCACCAGCTCTCATCCATCTGTACCATCATCGACCTCCACCGTCACAGGCCCTCCATCTGGAATCCGACCAAGCATCAAGCTCACCGACTTCCCTACTGAAGTTGAACGTCCCAGTCTGCCTGTCACGCCGGCGCCCATCCGGCGCCCCGCCGACGGAGGCACAAATGACGGCAACGATGCCTCTCATGGCGCCCTCCCTGTTGCAGAAGGTGTTCCGAGCCAAGAGGATTGGGTGGGTATCACAGTTGATGTGTTTTCTCACCTCCTCCGAGCAACGTACTTACTGTGGGAGTCCACAGAATCCCCTGGCTCGGCTCGAAGAGCTCCGTCGCCGGCAGTCCGAGGTCTTGGAGATCCCGCAGCGATTGCTTGATCGGCTTTCTTCTTTGTCGGGTCCATCTTCTGGGTCTGGTTCTGAGGGGACTCGAAGGGAGGGAAATGAATGAAGCGGTAAGCCATCCGTGGATGATTATTTATAGTGTTCAGATATTATTAATGCTAAAGGGGTGATGATTGGGACTGTATAAGGGTATGTTTGTTTTGAAGCCTTGAAGATACTGTTGCAGCATGAGCTAGAATTAAGTTTCTGTTATTCATATGTTTGAGAGCATTTGTTTTGGTTTTTTGGATTCCCAGAAATATTTGCGAAGTAGATGAGCTGGGAGATACGCCCAACAACCAGTCAATGCTCAAAACATGCCAAGCCAAGATATGTCAACACCGCCACAGTCCCCGAGTCACCAAAGAGCGGGACCTTAATTTGACAGCCTCGCTTATCTCAAGAAGACAGATACATAATACATCTTCCACATTAGAGTCTGTCAGGTCATGTCACAGGTCTTCCGCAAAGACCAAGCGGCTCCCCAGATCCCCGACGCGCATGCGTGGGTCATCGCCCCGCAACTCTTTACTCCGGCACGCAGCAGCGAGGACGAGATCCAAGTTCCCGACCCGCGTGTCTTTTTGGGGGTCGCGGCGCCGCCGTGCTATTTTGCTGTTGTTGCGCCCAGTATTAGTGATATACTGCGCGCTAGGCTGCTGTATCCGGTGCCGAGCCAGCTGGCGGTGCATTTGTGTTTGGTGGAATGTTTTTTGAGATTGAGAGAGGAGGTATTGGGTGCTGGGAATGATGGACAGGTTGATAGGGATCCGCCGAGGGAATACGGAAAAGAGAGAGAGAAAAAGACAGAGAAAGAGGAACAGGAAGGGAAAACATCTAATCAGAGTCATCTCTCTCCACACCATAAATGGGATCTGTTCGTCAAGACAGCCGTCACTCGGTTCGACCGCTGGTGGCTCAAAATCAACAATATCATCCAACATGCAAAGATATACACGGGGTCTACCCCGTCACCGATTCTCACCACGCTCTCCAAGGACTATCTTCCTCCCCTGGACGTGCTCCTGGTATGGTACAGCTACATGCTGCAGCCATCGTACGCACGCGACTGCGAAGAACACGAGAAACCAAATGCGCTCAAGCTCGCCTTTCCATGGTCCAGTCTACACGGAGTCATTGATCCCAAGACCCTGGAATATAAACTGCCATCAGCTGCAAAGACATTATTCCGGACGATGACATCGCAACCTGCAGATTTGCCCTGGGATCTACCCATGGATTCTACATCTACATTCATGTCCCCAGACCCAGATACCGACCCAGGAAAAGACCCAGTCCCGTCACTCACCAACCACGAATATACCGTGGACCTCGAATGGGCAGTCCACGACCAAACCCCCTTTTTCGAAGAAACCCACCAATACAACTGGCTGCGCTCCCCGAGCTGCACGGAGTCCCTCGAGCGGTGCATCGAGCGCTACAAGCAATTCCTGTTTGTGGCGGGCCTTCCAGAGGCTAAAAGCGAGCACCTGGATCCCGCGTGGGATGTTGGTCTTGCGTTGAGGACGCATCAGCTGTATCCGCGCAATTTCCAGAGCTTTGTGCTTGAGTTTCTGGGTGGGGATATTCGGTGCATTCGGGATCCGCCTCCTCTGAAGAAAGAGGAAGAGGCGTTGTCTAAGAACTCGGCTGATGCTGCGAGCGAGCTCTTTGGGAGGCATTTTGGGACGGTCTTTCGGTGTTGCTTTTGTTGGGCTTGTGAGTGTCTCAGAAGTGCTGTTGCTGGGAACAGCAGCAGCAGCAGCAACAATAATACCACGGCTGCGTTCCCGTCGAGTCTCTCGGACAAGCAGACCATTCAGATCCGGAAAACTCTTGGTCTTTATCTGGCTATTGAGCGGGCCCGCCAGAAGGGCGAGCGCCTTCCTCGTCCACTAGATCGAAAACCCCAAGATAAGAACGAGAAAAATGTGGACCGCCTTGCTGAGTATCAGCGCTGTGGGCGCTGGTCTATTCGGCAAACGTTGTCTGAGGTTTTGAGGCAGGTTGGTACGGTGCCAAAGCAATATGGCTGACATTGGCATGTATTGCCGGCAGTATTGAACCTCTCCGCGGGTATATATTCTGTTATGAATAATGAATGACTATCGCGCGAAGGAACTGTTCAGGTTAATGATAATGCCTACGATTGTTTATTGAGTCATGAGTAGTCATTCATAGAGATAATCATAGAAAAGTAGCAATAAACGTATCGCCTCGAAGCAATGGGTATCTCTCTTCCAACAGCCAAGAGCAATGCTAACTCGAGTGCAACGCTAGCTCATAGGGAATCCAAAGACAGAGCGGTAAATGACCAGGTGTGGTCTGTCCAGACGGAGCTGAATAGGCGGGGAAGAATAAAGTACAGGATGATCAGAAAGAAAGCAAGCAAGGTAATTTCCAGGTTATTGTCCTCCGTCGTCGACGCGCTGACCCCGGAAAGAGTAGAAGTTGGTCTGTTTGATGTGCTTTGCCTTGCCAGTCTTTTCGTCATAGAGACAGAAGCCATAGTTGGCAGCATTGGGTGGTGTGTACACTAGTAAAATGTCAGTTCTGACTTAGAGCCCATTTTTGGACAGGGATAAGGACAGGCAACAAATGAATGGAAGTGGAGGCACTTACGGTGCAATGAAATAGCAACGTTGTTTGGGTCTGGATTGGATATACGGTGCAGACCGAGCTATAGATGTATTGGTTAGCTTTCTTTTAACTACCATCCGTGGGAAAGAAAAACAAACCTTGTCAGACATGTAGGTGACCTGGTTCTCACCATACACAGTTTGCTTGGTGATTTCTGGCGGGGAGGTTTGCCCGTGCTCGATCTTCTCTTCGTCGGGCCATGAGTAGAGAGTTTCTTGGAGTTTGCCTTTAAGGATCTGTATAAAGAGCACAAGGTCAGCCGGGATGTCCAAATAAAAGATACTTGAAATAACTCGAATTGACCTTCATGACGCAGTGTGCATTGGCGTGATCGTGGATGGCACTCCCCTTGCCTGGACTCCAGACGAGAATCAGCTAGAGATGTTTCATTAGCTTCAATAGATTCAAAACCTCTGAACATAGACTTATTGCAATAGCTTTGTAGCTCCAGACTCGCTAGTGGCTTACCAGATTACTTTTGCCGTTTCCCTCATCAATCAAGTTCCTAGTGTATGTCCTGCTGAGGTCTCCGAAGGCATATGGTCCCCATTCCCCCGACTTCGAAACATAGTCCTCCATGAACCTCTGGATTTTCACCGGGTCGACATCCTCCGAGTCGAGGCCCGAGCTCGGGCCCAAGGCCGCACTGAGGTCTTGCACAAGCTTCTCAAAAGCATCGGGGACTTTCTCGGGGTCCACGGGCGAGCCGGACCCGTTTTGAAGGTATGGCATGTCGGACTCTCTTTCTCTTTGCTATCGGAACACAGGCTTGGAGAAGGGAACTGTGTCGGGAACGAAAGCGTGGTTTCTGTACAAAATAGCCTAGCTCTCCGTGACGAGACTGTGGCAAGGTCAGTCGAGGCACACCACACTATTGATCATCGAATCGTGAAATGGCGAGATTTGGACCAGCGCCGCGCCGATAAGCGATAATGATTATGGCCTCAGGTGTCACTTATGACATAATTTGTGGCCTTAGGCCTGCACCCCGCCGTGACTAAGAAATTGAGTGCCACAACGAACTTGAAGTCAAAGATTGTTTCTCCGCAACTCACCTCTTTTTCTCGGCGTGTTCTCTCCCTCTCGTTTGCACTGCGAGGGAGTCGATTTTTAGCATTTGTCGCTTGTGTTTTAACCTTTTTTCTCCTCTTCTTTGTTTTCCCTTTGCGTGTCGTGCGAAGCCGTCAAAATGTCGACCACTATTGAAAAGGTTAGTGCGGTGACCTGTACCAATTCTTTCGCGCAGGCTGGCATTAGTAGACAACGACTAACATGTTATATTTTGGAAATAGATCAAGGAGATTGAGTCCGAGATGGCTCGGACTCAGAAGAACAAGAACACCTCCTTCCACTTGGGTATGCGCGCAGAGGCCGACTCGGATTGTTGGACTATGGAAAGGCAGCGCTGACAAGCGATGCAGGACAACTGAAGGCGAAGCTTGCGAAGCTCAAGCGAGAGCTTCTGACCCCAACTGGCGGTGGTGGCGGAGGCGGCGGTGGTGAGTGCCTTAGCCCTAATTTCGGTACACTGGCGCGGTTGCTAACATTCGACTTTCGCAGCCGGCTTCGACGTTGCGCGTACGGGTGTTGCGAGTGTGTAGGTCATACCCTGCCAATGGAATGAAATCGACGCATAGGACAATGCTCACGAAATGCGCTGCAGTGGATTCATCGGTTTTCCATCCGTTGGCAAGAGTACATTGATGAGTCGATTGACCGGACAACATTCGGAAGGTTCGTGCAAGCTCTTTTCTGTTGGCGGCAATTTCTGACAGTGCCTATAGCTGCGGCCTACGAGTTCACGACCCTCACGACGGTGCCCGGACAAGTGATGTACAACGGCGCCAAGATCCAGATTCTCGACCTTCCGGGTATTATCCAGGGTGCCAAAGATGGCAAGGGTCGTGGTCGCCAGGTCATTGCAGTGGCCAAGACTTGTAACCTCATTTTTATCGTCCTGGATGTGAACAAGCCCTTGGTGGACAAGCGAGTCATTGAGACTGAGTTGGAGGGCTTCGGAATCCGGATCAACAAGCAGCCCCCCAACATCCTGTTCAAGAAGAAGGACAAGGGTGGCATTGCAATCACCAGCACTGTCCCTTTGACTCATATCACACCAGAGGTCAGTTGTGTCTGAAGTTTAGGATAGTGCAAGATTGCTGACCTTCAAGCAGGAAGTCAAAGCTGTGATGAACGAATACAAGATCTCATCTTGCGACATTTCCATCCGATGCGACGCAACCATCGACGACCTCATTGATGTTCTCGAGGCCAAGAGTCGCAGTTATATCCCTGTCATTTATGCGCTGAACAAGATCGACGCCATCTCCATCGAGGAGCTGGATCTTCTGTACCGGATTCCCAACGCGTGCCCGATCAGTTCTGAGCATGGGTGGAATATTGACGAGCTGTTGGAGATGATGTGGGAGAAGCTCAACCTGCGCAGAATCTACACGAAGCCCAAGGGGAAAGCACCCGACTACACAGCACCGGTTGTGCTTCGTTCCTACGCATGCACCGTCGAGGACTTTGTATGACCTGCCCTCCTGTGCCCGAATATGCCATGAGTGCATGCTAACATTGCGCAGTGTAACTCCATCCACCGAACGATCAAGGACCAATTCAAGCAAGCCATTGTCTATGGCCGCTCCGTCAAGCACCAACCGCAGCGAGTCGGTCTTTCGCACGAGCTTGCGGATGAGGATATTGGTGGGTGATCTTCCCAGGTCCGATGGTGCAATTTCAAAACTGACTGATGGCTGTAGTATCGATTGTCAAGCGATAAAGGATTTCACCCAAATCCTTGACCGTCACAGCCCGCGTGCGAAGCGGGGAGCTGGTCCAGGCCGTGCCGGTGGCAAGTGGTCTGTGCCAAGGTGGACTCCCCCTTTTTTGGGAGGAGAGATGCTGACAGGCACGGGGATCTGGATGATAGCTCTCTCTGTTAGGGACGCCACCGAATTCGGGCATGGTTGGACCGCAATAGTTCACGCACGGGTCAACTAAGCTCTCCTCGAATGTGGACTCGAGTCGCACAAGGGCTACATTGGCTAGGAGATTGATCAATGGGCTGTGAGCGAGCAGGACGTATGTGCCGCGCCTCTGCTTTACTGATGATTTTCGTTACCTTTTCCCGTGGTGCCGTGTTCAGACACAATATGTGTGATCTGACTCGGCAAGGGACTCGTTGAGTTGGAGACGTGCCTGAGGGAGTCGCATGGCGATCCCACGGCCCGTTCGAGACAAAACAGGCCATGGGCATTTGCGAAGGGCCTTGGCATGTGCATGTCTCTCTTTTTGTTCATTTGGCCATTGAAGCGACCGGTCCATATTGCAGTCCATATTGTTATGGGGATCTTTTGTTTCTGTTTTGATGATTCTAGCGTTTTCGAACCAAAAAAAAAGTTCTAGAACGAGGTCTTGGTGACGTCCTCAATCAAAAATCACGATGAATGGGTTCACGTTGTTTTTTTCTTTTCTTTGTCTTATTTGAACCTGTCCTGGGCCATGTGCGGTTCATGGCAATGGTTGCCAACGAGTCCGCAAGACCGGGGGACAGAAAGCCACAATCAACCTGGAGGGCTTGGAGTATGGGAAAGAAAATGCGACAATTCGCAGTCCCAGCCAATGAGTCCCCCGGTGTATAAGTGGGCTATGGGCTTATAGCAGTCAAACCAGGCACGCTTATCGGATCCCCAATGGCAATTCCCAACCGAGGACGCCTGCATTTGCGGTGCGAACGAGTGTATTCTATTGGCGACGCCGCCTCATTTTCGTCCCGTCCTGCACTATATCCTTGTATCCTTGTATATCCTTGCTATATTATTTTCTTCATTCTAGGTCATTGGCAATAGTTCTAGTCTGATGTCTGGTTCTTTGTCTTTTTCTCACTCATCGATGCATTATCTCGTTATTAGTATTAGTATTGTTATTGTTTATTGGCATCTTCTCACCCCTGTCCAAGGCTGAAAGTCTGGCCCCTTCAATCCTGTTTGCCCTCGTGTCGATCAGTCCTGAAGAAGGCTGTCATAATGGTTAGCCCAAGCTCCGAACTCGATAGCTTCGACGGGAAGAAAGGCAATCATGGTGTGCATGCCGCCTAAGATAATAATAATAATGATTTAATACATAATAGTAATACTAATAGTAATACTACTAATAATAATAAAAGGAGGGCAACGCAATCCACCGCATTGACCTACTGCTAATATACCTTCGGCAACGGTGATCATGATATAATTTTCTCTGATTTCCTGCGTATCGCCGTACCCACGAGAGCTCTGGATGGTGGCATACTATAACTCTTAGCGCCAGGGAGGGGCTGCCTGAATTCTCGCTTCTTCCGATACGGTCAGATCTTCCATGGGGCCAGGAAAAACATCTGGATTTTACCACTAAGAAATGATCTGTCAACCAAGCAGGGGCTTCTTACTTTCTTGTTACTTTCTTGTTACTTTTCCTTTTTGCTTTTTGCGGGCCGTGTGTTCCTCTCTCTTTTTTTCTGTCTCTCTCATCCCCCCCCACTCACTTTGTTCTCGTGCTCGGTACCAAAATTTGGATCGGCTCTGCCAAAAGTACTGAGGGCTGTGCTCGTGAAGGATCTGCAAGGTGCTTCCGCAGGATTGACAGGTTGCATTGCCGTTCAGATTGCATGAAGAACCATACCTAGGTTCAGGCATGACGGTGAGCAGAAGTAGAAGACAAGCGGTGTATATATGATCAGTTCTCATGACCATATTTATCTGATCAACTCCACTCAGCAGAAGACCAGGGCGATGTAAGTATCCTATCTACTCTCCAATCATAGGGCAAATCGGGGGGATATTCTCACCTTCGGTTTGTGCCCTGGCGGAGACTTGCGGGGCTTTGTTTTCCTTTCTTTCGCTCTTTCTCTTCTTTTTACTTGAGCAGAGATAAGTGGAGCCTATTTTTTTGCCGATCAAGGGCCGATATTCCAACCCCGATGAGGAAGAAGGGGGCTGTTCACGATCTGGTCCGTTCTCAGATGGATGTGAGATCGACGGGGTTCGCCGTCGAGTATACTACAGTAGTCTACTGTAGGTATCTCTCTATTTCCATCTCTGACAGTATAGTAGGTCACTGACAGGATAAGAAATCAACCTGCTTATCCCATCAGGTGATTGTTCTGACACCGATGCCGGACACGCCTACATAAATTCCATCGGTTCTCGTGGATCGGTCATCCCCGTCTCGCATTGCATTGCAGGGCGGGGAGGGGGCTTGCAATACCATTTCCCCGGAGTCCTAGGGTTCATTACTCGTGAAGCTCACTTTTCTTTACTTTACACTTTGTATTTAAATCATTCAAAATACATGGGTCCATTCCTCCCGAATAGGTCTGGTTCATCCGTTCGACTCCACCGGGCACGGCCCTCATCGGGATATCTCCAGGGGGGGGGGGGGGGGGGACAAAGAATTGAATTCAGCACTTTTTCCTCTCTCTTGTTTTCTCTGTGTGGGTGAGGAACCGGCCCATCCAGGCCGAATTGAAAGACACAAGTAAAAAAAAAACCCGCATCGTGCATGAACACTACCGTCTTACCTCTTGTCGATCGGTACCTGACCTCAACCCAACCACCAACCGGGCTGGGGGTTGCACCCGTTCCTGAGTCTGTCCCGGGATTATTTCCTTTTTTTATTCTGTCGTTCTTTGATGATGTTACTATTGTACCACCGGGGATATAAACCTCTAGGCCCTAGTAAGGGCAGTGGGACTATAAGCCAAGAAGCTAGAGGTGACCGAGGAAATAAAAGAAGCAAATATAAGGAGTGACGCCTGTCGATAGGACTGCTATTTTGATGCTGACCGGTCTAGACAATTGATTTTTCTCTCATGATTCATTCATGCCCCGGTCGCTTTCCCGATGATACCCTAACCGATCGGAAATCCTCCAAGTGACAGCCCCAGGGCCCTCTGGAGGGAAAGTTGCCAGCGATCTTTTTCATTTGATTTGTCTGGAAACTAGTCAAAGTTGAAATGAAATTAATTTGAAAATGGAAAAAGCCTGTCAAACATGGCATGATATTGACCATTTGTCAGACCCTTTGTTCTATTGTCGACTAGACATTCCATCCCCGAGTTCTGGAGACTGCAATTGCCTGGTGGTTTAGTTGACAGAGAGTCAGAAAAGAAAGAAAAAAGAAAAAGAAACACCCGCCTGATTTCAGATTGGCATTCCTCGTGGCTTGAACAAGCGGGGAGTCAATAGTTCAATAGCCCTGGACTTGGTCATAGTGATATCCCAAGGAATATGCAATTTGTGTTTATACCAACCAACTACATCATTGACCTTCTCCCCAATGTGCCCCGTCTCCCCCCTCCAGAGATCCGTGCAGACCATTTTTGACGGATTCTGGTTTACTGAAGGTTCCCGGGCCGGATGGGACCGCAGTGGGTCGTGGTGGAGATTCAGGAATCGCATCATCCCCCCTCTGCCAAGAGATGGCTGCTATGCCTTGTGATAGGGCCAACTCCAACCTACTTGTTCGGCCCTTGTATCGGTTGCCGGCCACATCGTATCGATCACAGACGAATGGTCGTGGCGGATTCGCCCAGACGAGATGATCCATGTTGCTCCTCATTTGCCCATTTGCCGTGTCATCTCTCGTGGATGTCTGATGCGTTCGGATCCCTGAACGCCCCAAAAGCAAAAAAAAAAGACAAAATTACCGTCAGAAAATGAGGCCACAGATCGGCACGGTCTTTTGAAATTCATGAGATCCCCATCCTACTCCATCCGGCAATAGTCTCCCATCTAGGGATTTGCTCCCTCTCACCACCCCAAGCCAGTGATTCGATTTGCCGGTGTTCAGGCATTCGGCTTTTCATCTCTTCAATTCCCACTATTGAATGAGGCGGTGCATATGCCCCTGAACCCTTGTTACATGGGATGAGACTTGCCATCCCATGCCTCTGTTTGGCCGCTTTGGTAAACAGACCGTTGGACTTCCCCTCCCCAAAGTGGTCCCATAGCCGGGAATGAAACCACCAAGTAAAAGAGAGAAGAGAGAAGAGACAGAGAGAGTCCACTTCTCGCCCTGGCCCACTTGATCGCCATGGGCCAACACACATACGGATGTCATGCGGGCATTAGGTTCAGCGGTTTATCGATCCGCTATCCGGCCATCAGCAAATCATCAATCGTGCCTGGCCCTCTGCCTTATTCCTTTTTTTTTTTTTTGATATTTTCCTCCCCGCGGATGATCTGCCCCCGATTGACTCGGGGTCCTTGGGAGGATTCTTGAAACCAAGGCCCCTCGAAAACGGCGAAGGATCAGACACCCGTCATGATCGTGCAGGATCCGCTTGACGAGTAGAAAGCATGAACTCGTCTGTCCATCCATTGCGCCCGTCCTCTCCATGCGAATCGACCGCTTAGATTGGATGCCTTCGTAACTCTCTCTCTCTCTCACACTCTTTCAGAATCAGCCCCAGCCGCACTCGGGGCAACGGAGGAGAAACCGTGAGAAAAACAGAGAAAAAGAAAAGATCAAACAGCCCCTACGAAGAAACCGTTCCATACAATACCTCGTCCTCGTAATACGCTGACCTCGTGGAAGATGCAACCCCCTCCTGCCGCGCATATATCGAGCCCTGAACCAACCAGACGCCGTTCCCCCCTCTATTGGCAGGGGTATTTTCAAATTCGAATATTGTATTATATATTATTTCTGAGCCAATCACCGTCCAGATCGGCCTTGCTTTTGGGGGAAGGTTATCATGGATTTCTCCGCGACTCTGCTTTCTCGTGCCAGTTGCAATCGAGATTCAACTGGTTCAATCCACGTTTTATTTTCTTTATTTTCTTTTTTCTTTTTTCTTTTTTCTCTTTTCCTTTTTCTTTTCTCTTTTCTCTTTTCTATTTCTTTTTAACTCCGCCCATGGCTTTACCTGCATGTTGCCCGGACTCTTCTTCATCTCTCTTGCATATTGTATACATACTTGCCCTCTCTCCCTCTGGAGTAGTTTGGTGATCGCTCACCGAGAATCTTCATTCCTCTGCCCTAACTTGCTCTTTTACTCTCTCTCTCTCTCTCCCCTACTGGAACCTCGGGTTTCGACATCCTCGCCTGTAATTTTATCGCTGGGTTACGGCGTGGAACATGCATCGTCGTTCATTGTCTCACCTCTAGACACCGTCATTGTTCCCCGGGATTTCTTTTATCATTGTCTCTCTCTCTCTCCCTCTCTGTCTCGGTCTTTATTCACACCAACCCCGACCTGATCAAAAGAAAAAACAAATCCCCATTTTGGTTGATATCCACACCGTCCCATGGAGGAATCCACCACAATGGAAACTGAGGCGCATCATGCGCCAGACAGCGAATACGGACATTCGCCATGGGTGGAACTGGGCGCTTTTACCTCGCCGCGACATTTCCCCCCCAATGCCCGAATACAGCGGCTATGACTATGCCCCCTCCCACCCCATGATGGCCGTCGATACGCCCTATGGCATGTCAATACCGCCGCCCTACGCCTCGATGCCGCTGCCCATGCCCTCGCATTCCTGGCCCAGCATGCTCACTACGCAATCGTCGTTCGGCGAGTCCGGGTTGCCCCCCGCGGCAATTCTCAATTCCGTGTCGCCGTCGGCGCCCATGCCGCCAATTCGCAAGACTTCGACGGGGGGTCGACGCCGCGTCGCACGCTGACCGATGAGGATCGTCGACAGATGTGTCTATACCATGAGGAGAACAAGACGGCAAAACAGACGGATATTGGAGGTGAGATTGTCAATGCCTCTTTAATTTGTTGCCGCAATGGAATGGACTCGGACTGACTTGTGTTAAAACAGCCTTATTTGGCGTGGAGCGAAGGTAATTAGGCTATTTCTGATGAATTATTGCGATTCGTGCCCTAACATCTACTTTTTTTTTTCTTTCAATTATACAGCACCGTTTCCAAAGTACTGCGCCAAAAGGAGAAATATCTCAACCCAGACGATGGCAGTCGATCTCCCATCAAACGGGCCAAGGGCCGAGTCCCCGATATCGAGAAAGCCCTATCCAACTGGGTGCGCAACTACCATCGCCAGGGATTCCCGCTCAACGACGAGATGATCAAGGAGAAAGCGCTGTTCTTCGCCAGCACCTGCGGATGTCCAGAGGGCAAGGAGAAAGTGTTGACGACGAGCTGGTTGGAGAAATTCAAGAACAAGAACGGGCTGGTCGGCGCCAAGTCGCGCAAAGGATCAATTGATGCCCGTAGCGGATCCAACAGCCCGACGCGCATCAACACCGACTCTGCGGGCGAATCTGCAATCCAGAGCCCTAGTGGGCCTTCACCTACCTCACCCACGAACGGGTTTGGATCGCCACTGTCCCCAACCCAGAGCCAGGAGGGCGTGAAGAAAGAGCTGGCTGAGGCACTGCCCGACCTGGCTGGCGGCTACCAGCACGGCCATTCCAAGAGCACGACCTCGCTGGACACGACCTCGTCGGCAGGGATGGTCAGCCCAACCTCAACGCTGGTCTCTGACAGCCCGTTCACGCCTACCAGCCAGTCTCGTCTGCCCTCCAGCGGCACCAGCACCCAGCCCAGCCGACCACGCAGCCAGACCTTTCCCCTGGTCCCCATCGACCCGAGCCTCCTATCAGTCGACGAGTCAATGGACCACCACCATCACCACCACCACGAGCACCAGAGCAACACCAAACCAGACCTGCACCGGCCGGTATCAGTAGCAGTCCTCGACTCGCCCCTGGAGATGGGCGACAATCGCACACTGGAGCAGACCAACGTGATCAAGCGCAACCGCAGCAACCCCGAGATCAAGACCAAGGTCATGCACCCGCCGTCAAAACCCAGCACTGTCTCGCCCGTGGGGTCACCGCCGGGCTCACCTACCCAGGACGAGGCTCGTCGAGCCCTCGAACTCGTTATGAACTACTTCCAGCACCAGCCTGCCGGGCTTGCGGCTCAGGAGTATGTGACTATCGGCAAGCTGATGGAGAGGCTTGAGCTGGCGAAGAGCCACCAGAGTACGCTCCTCGGTGGGCTGACGCGCATCGATGAACACGAGGATGTGCCCCGTGTGAGCAAGAAGCGGATTATCCATAACCTGGGCTGAGACAGTTCAGCTTCAGTTTCGCTTCAATCTTCTGTTTCTGTTTGTTTGGTACTCGAGTTTCCCCTCTATTCACATCATGAGTCTTTTCTCCCCCTTCCCTTCTCCCCCTCGCTCTCTCCCCTATCAACACGCCCCCCTCCCCCTCCCCTTCTATGTCATTTGCAATATTTCGTGATTCCCCACCTCGTTGAATTCCTTTGTTTGAACCCTTTGCTTTATTTGCCTTATCTGCATTTTGATTCCTTTTCTTTTCTTTTGTTTGCTTGCCTTCCCTTGCATCCGTGTCTGTACGAACCTCGTTTCCTGCAAAAAGAGACTCGGAATCATACACCGACACCAGAGGGCGACCTCGACCTTGTTTCGACTAGGATATTGGATATGGGATATTGGATTTTCGGTTTTTGGTTTTGGTTTTGGTTTTGGCGCTGCGCTGTCACACATTCTATATGCCTGGGGTGTGTCATGTCCGGACGAGATATCCACGGATAGTATGGAGACGTGGAACATGGGTTATACGGGTATATGGTATATGGGGGACACACACATTGGGTTCCTTTGAGGAGTTTGTTCTTTGGTCTTTGGTATTTGTGTGCTTTTCTTCTTTTCTTTCTTTCTTTTCCTTTGATTCTTACCTTCTCTCATCATCCCCACCCCATTGTACTGAATTTCTCACTCTTTTTCTCATTTTTCTTTTCTTTTCTTTTCTGTTCTGTTCTGTTCTTTTCTTCTCTTTTAAATTGGGCCGCTCGCGCGAAAACAACATAATTTGTTGGGACTTTTTCTTTTCTTTCTTCTTTCTATATACACGTCCTGCACTGGTCTTCTATTGGACTCGTGTTCCTTTATATGTACTTCTTTTCTCTTCTCTCGGCAGGAATATCTGAGAACCAGGGAATAGCAATATCTTCTGGTATTTACAGTCTACACTATCTTTCCTTTTCTTTAGACATATCTTCATCTTTTCTGGTATGTATTTTCCATGTACATACTCTGACTGCACTCGGAATTTCCATTGAAACCACACTTTAACTCAACTCGGTGTCTACAGGATACGTTACCAAGAAAAAGACATCACTCATTGAATGGCTATCCCATCGAAAAGGGAAAAAATGTATTAGGAAGACCAGCCAAAACTCTTATCTCCAAGTCTGAAAAGCACCAGGCACAGGGGGAACGCCGCGATCCTCCATCAAGTCCTGGACACTGCGGTCTGCAATTTCCGGGAGGATCTTCGCCAGAATGACCTCGATGATGGAGTAGATCAGGTGGCGATTACAGTACTCATCTGCGAAGAGATCCAGCAGATCGGTCTCTATTGCAGCCAGGAGATGCATGTCCTCTGGACTACTACTGGGTGGATTAGAGTCTGGCTGATGGGCAGTGGCAACGCCGTCGCGTAATAAGGTTGGTAGAGAAGAAGCAGAGCTCGAGTGCGATGCAGACGATGATGATGCCTGGGAAGATTGCTGCCCCTTGGACGCGAATCGGGAATGGTCCCCGCTCTCCTCGATCGCCGATGAGAGCGGGGCCGGGGAGGTGATGGCGGTGGTGGTGAGGGTAGACGAACTACCGGTGGTGGTGCTGCAGGTACGATCACGGCTGCCGGGAGCCGGTGACACCGGTGATGAGACCCCGAAGAGGGTTCGTGCGACGCTGGGCGGGATCACGGCCAGGAGGCTAGCTGCACATCGCCGCTCAATGGCGGCGATCTCCGCGCTGGTGGGCCTGAGTCTATTCGCGGTGGCCGGCTGAGTGGATGAAGGAGGGGCATCAGCAGCAGTCGACGACACTACCGACGCCGCAACAGGCGATGTGGCTGTCGCGGCAGGGCCGCTGTCATGATTATTATGATTATTTCCGGGGGCATTGCTTTTTCCGCTTTTACCAATCGCGTCGCCTGCCACCGCTGGTCCCCTGACCCCGTCTGCAATCGTAGGGACCGCCGGCACACCCGAGGGCGCGACGGCTTTCTGACTGGGTGCTGGGGGCTGCGCGGGCACCTGCGGAGCCAAAGCCGTTCCAACATTCACGGCTGCTCCCTGCGATGACGGACGCGTATTGGCTGGGAACAGGGTCATCCTTGTTGCAAGAAGAAGGTTGGGCAACAAAGTGGGGGTGAGGACATACTCCTCAATGGTTTGCCGGAGGAATCTGTGGAGTCAGCAAAGTCTTTCAAACCATGACGTCTGATGAACTTGGGGCCAAGACGACAAAAGAAAAATCCCTCTCGGCCTGTGGAGCTTGCCGGGACGTTGTGGTCTATTCTTTTCTGCTAGTTCCGTAATGAAAAGAAGAGCCCTGGTTCACGCCAATTTAGGGCCCTTTAGGCCCGGAGTGGGGAGAGAAGGCAAGGCGGAGCAACGATCTTCGGGAGAAGTGCGAAAGGAGCTTGGGCCAGCCGGTAATGACTGCGACAGGGATGGCACTCCTCCCAACCTCGAGGCGACCAGCAGAAAACGAGGCGGCCCCCCCTCGTCAGCGGGTAACATATCCCAGGGTGCCTGGCGCACAAGCGGGTGCCATGCACAAACCTTGGTCGGAATGCAAATTCGAAATGTCTCGAGGAATTTCGCTCATTGGGCCGACGACGGAAAATCTTTCGTTTTTGCTCTTCATGCAAGTTCCTAATGGGGCATGGCTGGGCTTATCTCGCGATGCGTGATCGGCGCCGGTTGAATTTTTTTCTCGCTCGTGCGCGATTAGCCCCTCTGCCGAGGAGAATGCGATTGCCTTCAGCCAGCCAACGATGGACGATTTTCTTGCTTTTTTTTTGCGCCCTTTCCGATCTTCGCTCACCGACTCGGCTATGCAAATCAAATGGAACATCCGGCTGTCACTGGATTGTCGAGCGCAGAAAGTGGACAAAGGAACGGCACGGAAAGGGCCGGGCCCCGTCACATCAAGGGTATAACAGCGAGACATTATGGGCGTGGTGGGTAAGTCGACGAGATCCCTGTTCCTCGCAAATCGTGCTCGCTCGGACCAGTTCGGAGCAGCCAATCTCACGCCAGAACCCCAGTGTAAGCCTGACGGTAACTGACCGTACAGTTCGTCGGCGACACCGTAATATGACCGTATGGCCAGAGTATCGTTACCAGATCAAGTGATCGGTGCAGTATGCGAGAAAGACGCTTATCCCACCCTTGTCCAAGTGCCACTTGACCTGAGTCGATCGTAGTTCGCCGTTGCTCCACAGGTCGAGAGTCGCTTTCGTAGGCCTGAGCCCGCAACGGGGGCGAATGAAGGAAGAAGGAGAAGGGGGAAAACTCCGATCCGAAGCACAAACTCACCTATCAAGGACCCCATCCGTACTACCAAGCCTGCCTGGACCCGCCAGAATCAGGTGTTGGAGTAGCGAAATCATTCCACCCAGCCACGGCATTCTCTCGGGGATGCCCACTAGTTGCGAGACCATGGAATATACCCGATAGCCCAAAACCGGGCGCTTACCTGCGACGCCGGACGTCGACTCGAGCGGGTCTGTCTTGTGGTTGACTGGCGTTGCAGAGAATGACACACTCGCCCCGTGCGAGGCTCCCGGGCTTGGGATGGATGCAACGCGGAACAGGCCCACGGTGATAAAACGGAGGGCAACATAACCAAGGTAGAGACTCTGGAGAATATTCCATATCCAGACGGCGACAGGAGACTGGGCGGCTGACTGGCTGCTGGAGGGCTCATCTTGGGTCGAGAGCAAGCCAAATCTCTCTAACCGGCTTGATTGGGCGCCCTGACTCGGATCTAAACCCTCAGTGTTTTTACGTCGTTGCACTACAGCAGCCAGCTTGGTTATGGTTTCCCAGAAAAACCACCCTTCGCATATCCTGCCGCCAACTTCATTTCCCAGGATCAGGTCTGCCAGGATGTCGACCAGTAGGGTACGTAAGCTGCCGTTTTCGAGATCCTCGCTGGGCAACAAAACCGCCAAAGTTCCGTTGGCTAGTAGCCGCCGATAAACCGCCTCATTCTCCCGTTGCACAGCAATGGTCTCTGGATCGGATGCATCTGGCACTGGTGATAGCCCAGGATGAGGATTCAACTCATGATAGAGTGCACGTCGTGAGGTCGGTAACCCAAAAAGTTGGGATTGCTGCATGGCTAGTCTATATGCTATATGGATGCCACACTAGTCAGCATACATTATCTCCCTGGTCGCCAGCGAACCATGGTCGTCGGCGATAAGTCCCCGATGGCCAAATCTTACAGAGAACATGTGCTTCTACCAGCGCAGGTATCTCGTCCAAGACCAACTGTGCAACGTCGACCTGGCGCACTCGCTGCTCAAGTGCACGTGTGCAGTGGGCGATGACTTGGATGATTTCATTGACGAGAGCCTGATCTGGAGTGATCTTTGAATACCACGAATAAACAAATTCCTTGATAATGATTGCGAGGAGCGCGTAAAGCTGACGGTCAACGTCGTTGGAGCTCGTGAGGGGAGGTAACAGCTCTTCCGGAGGCTGTGGAGAAGACGCGCCGTGAGTGCCTGTCGGGGCGCAGAGGACGCGTCGGATTAGGGTAATGGTGGCCTTTTCGCTGGTCCCATCAACCGATTCATCTCGACTTGAGCTTCGCTGGGTCCGTAGTCGAGAGGAGGGCCGAGAAGGCGGCGGCTGTGTCGAGGCAGGTAGCGCGGTGGACTGGGAGCTGGAGGTGGTCGGCCCAGCTTTGAGATGGGAAACCGGCCGGAGACCAGGACGAAGCGGGTCGGTCATCTCATCTCACCACAAAAGAGAGGGAATCTCGGGGATAGTCGCATAGAAGACAAAGAGATAAAGAAAGAAAAGAAAGAGAGCTCTTCGGCGACGTCAATTGATGAGTTGCAGCTTCCCCGATTTGGACAGTAGGGCTTAGGGCTGGAGATAACCGCGTTATCAAAAGATGCGGGGAGAGAGTTGACGCCAGGACACCACCTTGACACACCATGTTGGAACAGACTCCCATCCCGCTTTGGTTGGACTGCGATCCTGGTCGGTTGACCTGGCACTTTCTTCAGTCTCGGCATTACTGACGTTGCTCTCAGGCCACGATGTAAGCCTCTCCGGGGTTCATTTGGGGACAACTATTAATAGCATCTAGGATGCATTCGCAATCCTTATCGCCGCTCATCATCCCTCGTTGAATCTTCTTGGCATTTCCACCATCCATGGGAATGCCTCGCTGGAGAAGACGACAAACAATGCTGGGAGTGTGCTGGAAGCAATCGGCAGACCCGACATCCCGGTCTATCCTGGTAGCCAGAAACCATTCTCTCGGCCTGCTCTTCACGCGCCTGATATCCATGGTGAGGCTATTCTGATAGCCAAAATCGTTCCAGAAGACATTGAATGTTAATTTCTTGAAATAGGCGAATCGGGTCTAGATGGAACCGACCTTCTGCCCAAACCATCTCGGTCACCGGTCAAAGATAAGAACCCCATTTTGGCAATGCGAGATGCTCTCCTTGCGCAGCCGAAGGGGACGCCATGGGTGGTAGCTACAGGCACCTTGACCAATGTCGCATTGCTATTTGCAACATTCCCCGAAGTTGTAGAGCACGTCCAAGGTCTGAGCATCATGGGCGGTGCCATCGGAGGAGGCTTCACTGATGCACCTATGAGCCGGCTACCAGGCGAGAAGTCGCGAGTTGGGAATGTGACGCCGTGGGCAGAGTTCAACTTTTACGTGCGTATCCTACATCTTTGGCACCATGCCAATGCTGATTTAACAAATCATTTCAGTGCGATCCCGAATCCTCAGAGTCGATTTTCAGCAGTGCCCTACTGGCTTCGAAGACCACTATCATCACTCTCGATTTAACTCACCAGGTTCTCGCATCTCAGGCGGTCCAGACTCGTATCTTGCATGGCTCAAGCGACCCATCCAAGCCGCCGACGATTATCCGACGGATTCTTCATGCACTGCTGACCTTCTTTGCTGCCACGTATAAAAATGTGTTCGGCTTGGCTACTGGTCCCCCGTTGCATGATCCTCTCGCCGTTGCGGTGGTTCTGTCGTCTTTGAACCCGGCATTTGTGCAGAAGCACCCTGGCCAGGCCCTTCATTTTGACGACAAAGGCGGCGAGCGCTTTGCCGTGAGTATCGTCACGGATGGACGTCATGGAAAAGACGTCTCAAGTACGGGTCAGCTGGGACGCTCTGTGGCGGCGCCAGTTGAGGGACCCGGTGTGGCCATTCCCCGAGGCGTTGATCTGCCTGAATTTTGGGATCTCATACTTCGGTGTGTCCAATTGGCCGACGACTGCAATGCAGCCCGGGCGGCTTGAAGGCTGTCGCCGCGTAGATAGAACGCTTGTTTTAGATTTCATTTTGCCATCGTTTGCTGTATTTTGACTGGGAATATTTGGATGCACATACAGACTTAACATTTCTTGAAGGTTTTCCTCTTTGGCTGAAGAGACAAATTCTTTACGGCCGCTATTTGTATGGTCGCCTTGATGATGTCTGCTGCAAATCGATGTAAAGACTCAACGAGTATATACTCCGCTATGCAATTTCTAAACCAGGAACCCAGGGTTCTCCGAGAAAGCCGAGATTTCATCTACCATTCTCGAATGGCCCCATCCGGCCCAAAGAACTCCTTGGGCTGCCAGGCCGGGGTATTCTGGGCCACCCGTCGCACGACCTCCTCGTCCACCTCAATCCCCAAGCCGGGGGCATTCAACGCCTCGACATAGCCATCATGCACATCAAACACTTTAGGGTTCTTGACGTAACTCGTGATATCGTACTCGCCAGCCTCGGTGTTATAGTGGATCCCAATGCTCATCTCCTGGATCACGAAGTTGGGCGTGACAAGATCCACCTGCATACAAGCGGCCAGAGCAATAGGGCCCAATGGGCAGTGCGGTGCAATGGCGACATCATAGGTCTCCGCCATGGAAGCAATGCGCCGCAATTCAGAGATACCGCCACAGTGACTAATATCAGGCTGGAGCACATCGACGCTCGCATCCTCCAAGAACCGCTTCACATCCCAGCGGCTAAAGAGCCGTTCGCCCAACGCGATCGGGCAAGACACTTGATCAGAGAGCTGTTTGATACCCTCCGGGTGTTCAGAGAGGAGCGGCTCCTCCAGGAACAAGGGGCGGTGCGGCTCCAGGGCCTTGGCTAATTGTTTAGCCATGGGCTTGTGGAGGCGGCCGTGGAAGTCAAGGGCTGCATCCAAACCCAGGGCCTTGACGGTCTTCAGGCGCTCCACGCTGGAATCCAAGACGCTGGGCGAGTCCAGCCAGTTGACGTCCTCGGTGGCGTTCATTTTAACGGCCTTGAACCCCTGCATCAGGCGTGCTTTGCCGGCTGCTTCCACCTCTCCGGGACGATCACCGCCAATCCAGGCGTAGACGGAGAGCTTCTGGCGAACTTTGCCGCCGAGTAACTGATACACTGGCACACCCAGACGACGGCCTTTGAGGTCCCAGAGGGCAATGTCGATTCCGGAAATGGCAGACATGAAGACAGGGCCGCCGCGGTAGAACCCTAGACGCCATGCCATTTGCCAGATGTGTTCGATGTCACTGTTGGTAAATTACTTAGTCGGGAAATCGTCAAGAGAGCATCATTCTGCCCCGTTAGAATTATCAGCCACTCACTCGGCCTCGTAACCCTCAAACCGTTTGCATAACGCATTCAGTGTTCCCTCCACGGCTTCCGTGTGGCCCTCGAGCGTACTTTCACCCCAGCCATATTGACCCTCCTCGTCAGTGACCTTGACGAACAGCCATCGGGGCAGGACCCGGAAATATTCAATGCTCTTGATCTTCACCATGGTGTTTGTTGATTCACGCTCTTCCTCTAGATTCTGCGAGTCGAATGAACGCGATAATGGCAAAGAAAGAAGAAAAATCAAATCAATGTAGCCAAGAGGAGGGGCTGGAGCACTACGAGCCGAGAAAACAATCGGAGTTGCTCCGGCCGTGTCTGCTGGACAACCGGATTGCCGAAATCACGGCGGAACCGCAGTCCGGGGAAACAGGGGGCTCCGCAGGGTCTCGGGGAAGACTCCGGCCTCCCGTCCCGATGGAGCTGTGGTCGATTTAGTTGACATTTGCCTGGCTTTTCCTTTGCTCTGGTCGATCAGGCACTGGTCTGAGACCTGTTGATAGGCTCCTTTTGTCATTGGCGTTGATCCGGGGGGGATTTGCATAGTCTTGGCTTCGTGGGGGTTGATGTCTTGTTTCTGCACTCGCACTTTTTTTTTGTTTCGGGTCCAAAAGAAAATATTTCCAAAAGGACGAAAGAAAGAAAAAGAACACGCGGATTGTAAGCAAAGTCCCGTGGATGATTTGAGTCGGTTGAAAGGAAAAAAAAGAACGTCATTTGTTTTCTCCACATTTTTCCATCGAAGGTAGCCCAACGTTGTTCCGTCGACTTCCCTGGCCTTTCGCCATTCCGTTTGCTTCTCGTGTCTGCTGGCTTCTCTCCCACCACATGTCCCTTTCCCCGTCGATCCCCCAGACCCCTCAAAGGCGGATTCCGGAGCGCCAGAATGCCGCCTCCTAACTCCGCATCAGTACGCATCTCTCCCATCACTGCATCTATGGGCTCATCTGATCTGATCCAGCACGGCACTCCCACATTATCACCCACACCTGCCCCCCAGCCGTTGTCGCGATCATCGAATTCCGCCTCACCGGCCTCTGCGGAGTCCGATAATGCCCACGATGATAACGTGAGCTTTCTTCGATCGCGCTCCGTACTCTCCAACCCAATATTGTCATCCCTCAACCGCCATCGACGTCCTCGGCATCAAATACCCCCGCCTCCGCCCCCACGGCCGATGGAAGACGACGATCGGATCGACCTAGATGATCCCAGTATGAGCCTGTCCGTCGAGATCAACCGCCGCATTCCCATCGTACGCCGCCAACGAGAACAATCCCGCAATATGCCGAATTACGAGGGTCGCATCTCCAACACTCGATCGCTGTATGGCTGGGCTCCTGGGTCCGACGATGAGGACGATGATGCCGGCGAGGACTCGGATGATGATGCAGTCCAGCCTTTCCTTCATGCTGTTTCAGATGGCAACGCCGCCCCAGAACGATCTCCACGGAACGAACCGACCGGCCGCACGCCGCCCATCATATCGGGAGACGAGCCGACAGAAGGACGCAGTCGATTTCGGAATCCACCGATCACAACAATGGAGGCTTTGCTACAGTCGGCAAGACGCCAACCGAGACTAGCGAGAACCCGCACTCTTGAAAGCTACCTCTTGGAACGATACTCAGACCGCCCCAGCCAGATTCCCGAAGATGGTGAGCGTGCCGCACCATCCGCGTCCCGGGCGTATCGATACCGACCACCCAATGACCCCCACCGGCCCCTGACTCATAATGACTTGCGTGCTCGGGCTGCGGCGCATCGGCAGCTGCACTTGGACAACTCTGGGAATGCGCTTTTGAAGGAGACGATCAACTACCTGGATCGTCTGCGGTACTCGAACTCGTACGAAGAAAGCCTTAGCTCTGCCGCCGAAAGAGGGTTCATATCGATGGATAACTTGTCTTCCTGGAAGGATAACGACCTCGTCCTCGACACCGGAACTATCGCGCCCCCACCAGCCTGCTCATGGCTTCGGCCGGGAATGGTTTTCTCGGGGTGCCAGCGAGCCGCAAGTGCAGGGTGTTCAGTGCTATCCCAACGTGTGCCCAGTCCGCATGCTCCCAGTGACCCGGTGATCGTCAACGGCAGTGATAGCGCGCGGATCAGCGTGTATACGACCAGTGGCCGCCGATATCTGGCGAACAGCCGCGACGAGAACTGGCCCGTCAAAGTCACCATTCACAATATCAACCATGAAGACATGACCCTGGCCGGGACGATGGAGGCGTACAACATTCCCGACAAAACCTCGCCCACTCATGACGCGCACATTGTCACTTTCCTCGAAGGCGAGATTATCGATTTCAATGCCCACACCCTTGAAACGAAGAACTTCAAGGCGGATGCCGACATCGATAGTACATACTGGCGCGAACTCCAACCTTTCAAAGATCTGACCGAGGACCAGATGGTCAAGAATCTCGTGAGCCGGAAATGGATTACGGAGCAATTAGCACAAGGGTGGATCTTGATGCGATGGAAGGGTGAGTTCGCGGCGCAGTGCACATTTCACACTTTTGTTGTTTCTTGCTAATTGTGACTGATTTAGAGCGATGCTTCATCACCCCCACCAACTCTCGTCAAGGTCTTACCATTTCCGGGTTCTACTACATCTCTCTCCGCCGCGACAATGGCCACATCGAAGGACTCTATTATGATCCTGGAAGTTCGCCCTATCAGCAGCTGTCCCTCAAGCCGGAAATTGTGAAGATGGTTCAACCATCCTACACCTTCCGGTAGACAGCAGTTTTGTGTACAGGATCTCGATTCTCTTTGCATTGCTTCTTTTTGCTCCTGATTCAAATTCTGCTTCTAGGCGTTCTGGCATTCTGGCTTGTGGGATGGCATATGATTGATTATTACTTCGCATAGCCTGGCGTGTTTTTGCCATCGTTTCTGATCTGGTCACTTCTGTACATTTCTCACGAAATAGCCGTTTCTTGATTCATTCGTCTGTCTGTCCTGCTTGTGGAGCGCATTTTCAGTTCTCTCTATTTACTTTCTTGTCGCTATGAAGCAAATTGACTCGGTGAAGACTAGTCAACAACTGTAGTCCTGTGTGGATATTGTACACAGACCAACGTTGAAAACCCCATGCTCCCCAGTATTTTCTGGACATTTTCTCGCTTGCAGTTACTCATTGCCCATCGCAACGTAATGAAAATGAAGCCACTTTATCTGGCGATGCGGGGATGCAGAGCTCGGGTCCACCGATCAACATTCGTCCTTGATCGCTCTTCCTAGCGTCGAGCCATCCCGCCTGTACCTACCCGATTGCGTGCATGTAGGGGGGGGGGGGATTCGGAACTTCCACGAGCTGCATGGCCCTGTTGATCCTTCGACGCTGCTCTTATCTCTCTGTGATAATACCTCACGCCCTGGCCTGCATAGCGGCATGCTTCGCAGTATTTATTCCCGCGATCGACCCTCGCCCTCTTTTTATGTCTTACCTTTTTTTCTTGTATCTTTCTCCCAAGGTATTGTGACTCGAAAAAAATGCTTTGCAAGCATTTCTCCTTCGTGGCGGCAGTAGCAAGCTGGGCTATCCAGCCCGTTGTGGGTTATGTGCCACACCAGCCAAGAGACCAAGAGGCAACATGCAAGAAGACGACGGTGGCTATTTTGTAAGGAATCCACTCTCCAGCTCAAGGTAATTTTGTACTTATACTGTCAGGGGAGGTGGAATGGCTGGTATCTCCGCCGCAGTAAGTGTTCCCATGTCATCCCTTGTTTGGAACTGTGTGTTGATAATCCACAGCAAGCATTGTCCAATGCTTCGGTCCATGACTTTACGATCCTCGAGTATCGAGATAATATAGGTGGTCGGGCCTGGCACAAGCCCTTTGGGAAGGATGCTAATGGCAAACCCTATACGATTGAGATGGGTGCAAACTGGGTATGACACCCACTGCCAGCATAGGAGCTTCTCTGACAGCTCAATCTGAGCAGGTGCAAGGTCTTGGGAATCCAGGCGGGCCTCAAAATCCTATCTGGACTTTGGTAGGTTGCCATATCTGCTGGTATCACAACGTCAACCACATCTGATCCTTCAAAACAGGCCCAGAAGTACCATCTGAAAACCCACTACTCTAATTATGACAACGTCTCCACCTACAATAAGAATGGCCACTCGGATTACAGCCATCTGCTTGATGACTACGATGAGGCCTATGATATTGCTAACAAGAAGGCTGGTGAGATTCTCCGTAAGAATCTCCAGGACCAAACCGCCCAGACAGGGTTAGCGTTGGCGGGCTGGAATCCCAAGAAGCACGACATGGAGGCACAGGCCGTGGACTGGTGGAAATGGGGTGAGAATTACCTTTATCCTTGGAAACTATGAGTATCACCAACTAACTGCATCCACCAGACTTCGAAGACAGCTTCACTTCTCTGGAAAGCTCTCTGGTTTATGGCTGTGCTGGCGACAACCTCACGTCCAATTTCTTCAGCGATCATGATAACTTCGTGATTGATCCGCGTGGGTTCAACACAATCATCAAGGGAATGGCATCGACTTTCCTGCGCAAAAATGACCCGCGGCTGCATGTGAACACCCAGATCACCGATATTTCGTACTCGAAAGATGGAGTGACAATCCACAGCAAAGATGGCAGCTGTGTTACTGCAGCATATGCCATATGCACTTTTTCCCTGGGGGTTCTACAGAACGACGCTGTAAAATTCACCCCAGATCTGCCTGAGTGGAAGAAAACCGCGATCCGGAAATTTACAATGGGGACCTATACCAAGATCTTCATGCAGTTCAACGAGACCTTCTGGCCAACGGACACCCAATACTTCCTCTACGCCGACCCGACAACTCGCGGCTGGTATCCCTTATTCCAGTCACTATCAATGCCCGCATTTCTACCAGGCTCCAATATCCTATTCGTAACCGTGACCAACGAAATGGCCTGGCGCGCGGAACGCCAATCCGACGAGCAAACCAAAAAAGAAGTCATGGAAGTCCTGCGCAAGATGTTCCCCGACAAGAAGATCCCTGAACCCACGGCTTTCATGTATCCACGCTGGAGCACCGAGCCCTGGTCCTACGGTAGCTACTCGAACTGGCCACCCTCAACGACACTCGAGATGCATGAGAACCTGCGCGCGAACACAGACCGGCTCTGGTTTGCCGGCGAAGCCACCAGCCCGACGTTCTTTGGGTTCTTGCATGGTGCTTGGTTTGAGGGCAGGGATGCGGGCAGACAGATCTCTGCGATTATGCAGAAGCGATGCGTTAATGCTAATAGCTCGATGCTGCGGGAGTGTGGACCGAGGAAGCATTATGAGACTTTGCATGGGACTTCGCCTTTTGCGGACTATACGGCTGTCAATGGGTGGACTGTGAGCAGTTTCTATGATAACAATAGCGACTAGACTCCGACTTGGGGCGGATCGAGCTGATGCCCGCAGTAAAGGGTGCTTTAAATATTCTAACAAAGAAGGTTTATCCAACGACTCCTTTCGTGCCATCTTTCTCCTATAAGCGCCTGTAGCTAAGTGCCGGGTTGGCAACTCGATCCTCGCCAAACCGAGACAGTTGTTTCATATCGGCTGGGGTATGTTTCAGCAGCAATAGAGATAGATATCTGAATGGAGTGATCGCCAAAGATGTCAAATCGAGCTATCTTCAAAAGGTCCTAAAAGCCCGCTCAGACGGAGGTCTTTACGCCTGGGCTACGTCTTTGCATCCTAGAAAATTGTCGTGCCGTCTAGATGGTGATTTCCCCGACGGATCCTACAACCTTGGTCAAAAGCTTTTGTTTGAGGATGGCACCGCTTTACTACTCCGCTTCCCTCGCGTTAGTAGCGTCTCAGGTACGCAGATGAAAAAGTTGCAATGGAAGTGGAAGCTCTCTGCCTTGTTCGCGAGAGGTCTGCCATCCCAGTTCCAGAGGTTTGGGGCTGGGGACTAGCCGATGCGAACCCTCTCCATCTTGGCCCATTTATACTAATGGGTTTTATCGACGGCGTCTGCCTTAGAGATATCTTGACAGGTTGGTTTACAAGATTTCACTCCACCCACAGCTCTTTAAACATTCCTTGACCTAGATATCACAATACCAACTGCTGGAAGATCTTGCTTTTCGTCCTCAGCCATGGACCATAAGTCCGGAATGCCAAGGGAATCGGCATCATGATGGCAGCTAGACATCCTAGTAGCGTCCCAGCCCACTGGACACCCATGTTCTCAAACATCTGTGTAGAGAATAAAGGGAATCCCGCGGCCACTGCTGATCGGAGAATGATATTGGCCGCAACAGCGGATGCAGCCCTATACATGAATCACATTAGCTAAATGTCCCTGGCTCCTATGTTTCATGAGGGGAGGCAAAGACTCACACGGGCAGATAGGAGTCAACGAGGTAATTGAAACACGGAAGAAATATGCACAGTACCCCGAATCCAATTAATATCCCAGCAGCCGCTGGCACGGCCCAGTGGATAGTGGAAGTAAAACCCGTCCATCCAAACCTGAGAATCACTCTCTTTTTTCAATATCACTTCAGCCGGTAGAGATACTTTTAAATTTACTTACCAGAATAGACCAATTGTAAATGCCGGGGCGCCTAGAAGTGTTGGGGAAAGACGCCATTCAGGGACCGGGACATTCTTGTTGTCCGCAAGCTTTCTTGCATAGATACCATGTTGTGAAACAATCAAGGTGCACGCCAGTACTTGGCCAATGACAAGACCAAAGAAGGTCAGGCCACTCACCCCGGGACGCATGCCATGGATCTGCTCAAAGACATACGGGTATGCCTCGAGCAGGGCATAGACCAGACCATATATAAAGGACATGTAGAGCGACACCAAGAGAAGAATCGGCTCGGTGATCAGCATTTTCAAGGGGCGAGTGAAGTACTTGTTGAGTAGATCACGAAAGTTCACCTCTACCTCCTCTTGCTTCGCATGAACACCCCAGTTATGTGTTTGGCGGCGAATCGCAGCGGCCTTGACTATGAGGAGACACGGGGCATATGTTTCCTTCAGAAAAACCACACACAATGCACCAAGGACCAGGCTCAGAATTGCCGGGATATAAAGCGTCCATCGCCAGCCGAGATAACTCGATGCAATGAAACCACCAATAAAAGGAGCGCTGAAAGGGCCGATGAAAACCGTAAGAGCATAGAGCGAAATCGCAACTCCGCGATATGTGTTGTCGAAGACATCGGCGAGCACTGCCGGCACCACGGTGAGTTGGCTCGCCCCGAATGTGCCGGCAAAAAAGCGACAGATAATCAGCGTTTGGATATCCTTCGCGACGGCCGAGCCTATGGTGAATATCCCACCACCGAGCATGCCGATGGTCAACGGCCACTTTCGGCCTCGCAGTTCTGATGCAGGCGCCCAGATTAGTGGACCACATGCAAACCCGAGGACATAGAGAGATGTTCCTAGTTTCCCAACCTCTGATCCAACTCCAAAGGCTTTGCTTGCGCTGTCGATGGCTGGGGCGAATACGGCACTTGTGAAAGAAACCACCAATGTTCCAGTGCACACCATGATCGAGATGTAGAGCCTTGTTGGCGAGATTAGCAATTGCCCTCTTTTCACGCGGGATTGACCAATATAAAGGACTTACTTGATGGAAATTTTCCAGTTGTATGGATGCATTGGGTCGTCGATGCCATCAAACTCAACAACATAGTGTTTCGCGTCTGGAAGTGGTGGCGGGAATGGCTTGCCCGCTCCTATAGAGAACCTTTCATGCATATAGAGTTCACCAGGAGCCTTTTCAACATCTTGTGGTAAAACCGAAGCCATTTTCTGGGGTTCCAAAGTTTTACTGTCACCTTTGGTGAAGTAAATATTGAGCGTAACCCTGTTGTTGTATAAGCTGGAATGGATGCAGTGAGTCTTGATCAAGGTCGGCTGAAGTGAACTCAGAAAAAGAAGGTCAAGATTGAATTCGTCATGATCTTTAAATCCAAATTGACTTGGAGTTGTTTTCGGTTATGATGAAAATGCAGGATCGGGCCTACGCTGCGACGGCATTTGCGGCATCTGCGGAATACCCTCCAAAGCCACGCGGAATGACCACCAGTATGATTAGTGACCCGCCTTCGAAGAGCAAAGACTATGCGGACCTAGGCATTTGGGGTATTTCGGGATGCTGTAAATTCAGTGGCATAAAAGCAGCTTTCGGATTCCATTGAGATTAATGGTTACTCCCTTAGTGGTGCTACAGGTCTAGGGTTGTTTAAGAACATCCAACTGACTAGTCTAGAAATATTTTCTTCATTCAACATTGTCTTTCAAAGCAACGTCTTTCATCCAGTCTCACCGAGAACGCTCGGTTGGTCCATCATATCTGCATTCAAGAACTGATCGAGATCGACTCTTTGCAACCCAGGCAAATCCGCAACCAATGCCCCTAGCCAGGAATATTCTTCGGCACTTGGACTTGGCTGCGAGGGCGACTCAATTTGAATTTCTTGTTGATTCATGTTGAGAGCCTCATGGAACACAGCAATATCGTCTTTCCGGCGTTGCTGATGAAGCATCACCAGCAAACACGCAGCACTATATGCTTCTCTCATGGTTCCCGTATCATATGTTGAGGCAACAAGCTTCAGGGTTTGCATGGCCTCCGGTAGCATTGCTAATGAGGACCGCGTATCCATCACAAGAAGAACGCAGGTGATTTGGAACGGCACATTCGCCACTTGGTGCCATGGACAGCAGTTTGTGATCATAGCCCGCGCACATAGAAGACCCTTGTTTAACATCTCCAGGACTCTCCCTGCGAGTGATGGCGATATATCGAGATTCTGGGTGTGGATGCGACGAAGGACACAGAGCACCAAATTGCACTGTGCCAGTATTGATGGCGGCTCAGTGTGCGTTCTGTTTATGATCTCCAAAAGGGTTGACTGAAGATTTGCCTCATCGTTTGCCTTTCCTGGATCCAAGCTGACGGATATGGGCAACAGACCCAACAATTCGGTTGTATAATCGCCCGCTCGGCTGGAGGGAAGCAACGGCAAGTCATTTTTCTGAAAGGACACCCTTGAAAGACCAAGATCAAAGGACGTCCACATATTCAGGTGCTGTGCTACCCCGACGAGCCGTCTTCGAATATCGGGATCGCAATATGAGCTTCGCGGGAGAACTGTGTCGGAGGATGACTCGAGATGAAACCCCGAGGCCTCGACAAGGTGCATCAAAGTCGAGCTGGCGATCCACGTCGAGTGTGGCGAATCCGTCATTCGCAAGTAGATGACTCTGAGCGTCCATCCAGTGAGAAGATCCACCGATGGAGCGCCCGACAAAACATGCATCTCCAAGCCGGAACGAGCCAATCCCACTAGATGCACTTCTGTCGCCGTGAGATTGCGTTGCGAAAACAAACAGCCCAGAGCAGCAACTCCTCCCAGAACACTATCATACAGGTCAGGGGCCAAAGAGATCTGCCAGCGAGTAGTCAGCCGTTCAAAAAACAAGCGACGATCAATGAACCCATAGCACGGATCGATCTTGTCAAAATACACCTGCGCGAGAGCCTTGATATGGTCCAGCGATGTAATCTCAACAACTGGAAAGGCAGAATTAATCCCAAGCCCTGAGGAAAGTTGTCTTGCGCCGATATTCCACCCAAACAGGCTCAGTTTCGGCGCTTTGGCTGGGTCAATCTTGAGGCCCATCCTTCTCACAAAGGCAGCTCCCGAATTAGCTTCAAGGCGGCGGACCAGCCCATGGGTATCTGGTGCTGTAACTTCTGGACTTTTTTGTGCTGTTTCTATCTCCGGCCTTGGTGTGGGATCATCATGTCTCGGGATGCGAGATTTGGTTCGCTGCACTTCATAGTAGCACTCGTAGCCCCATTCTAAGCAAGTGGCGCACGGCTCACCCCCGTCGCATTTGCGTTTGCGATCTCGACATGGGTTGCAGGCCTTGCGGGCTCGTTTTCGTTTTAAAGAGTGCATGGTCGCTTTGCACAGGTGAAGGGGGATGATGAAAAGGAGGGTTCCGGGGATTGCGGAGATGTGGCGGATATTGCGGAACACGACGGATCATCCCTTCATCTGCCATTTCGCAAGTGGCAAGAAGTTTCTTTCGAGGGCAATGGCATTCTTGGGAGTTTTGGAATTTATTTTTCTTTAGATATAACTCAGAAATATTTGGCTTCCTTTGGTCCTCATTGCGTATAAAGATCGGCCGTAGTGCTTGTGTCGGCTGTCATATGCCATCGGGATGGATATTGCGGAGATTGAGGTGTAACTCTATGACTTCAACGTCACTAAAGGACGAAAGCCCTCGGTGTTGAGTGCCCCAACTTACCCCTCACATCCATCCAGTACACTCCCATCTCGGTCTATTGAACGGCGCTTCTTGTGGCAATAGACCTAGCAGCACGTCAACCCCTTCGTGCCATTTTATTCACCCAGTCAAGGCCGACATTCGTTCCTGGGCAAAATGCCACAGCCACTGAGCATGGCCACCAAACTGCTGTCGCAATACCCCTGGGCATCCAGCCCGTTTGTGGTCAGCGCCCCGATGCGGGTTATGTCCGGCCCAGCCCTGGCAGTCGCCGTTTCGCACGCCGGCGGGCTGGGATTCATCGGCCCGGGAGTTCAGACACAAAACACAAGTGTTGACCTCGAGGAAGCATCATCAATGATCCGCAAGGACCCTGGTTCATCCAGCTTTAACACCCAGTCCATCCCAAACAAACTCTTACCCGTCGGGGTGGGCTATCAGCTCTGGGGCGACGATATTAACATTGCAACAGCCACCATTGCAAAGTTCAAACCATGCGCCGCCTGGCTGTACGCTCCCCGCCACGGCCCTGCAGAGTTCGACGAGTGGTCTCGCAAAATCCGACACGCCTCGCCTGGCACCCAGATCTGGATCCAGATCGGCACGCTCGGCGAAGCAAAGCAGCTGCTTGTGAACTCGCAGCGACCAGACGTTGTCGTCGTGCAAGGAGCAGAGTCTGGCGGTCACGGTCGGGCTAAAGATGGCATGGGGCTTATGACGCTGTTTCCCGAGGTGGCGGACGCGATGGCAGGCAGTAAGATCCCATTACTTGCGGCTGGGGGCATCGCAGATGGGAGGGGCGTCGCGGCGGCATTGTGTCTGGGGGCGTCGGGCGTGGTGATGGGGACACGGTTCCTGGCTGCGCATGAAGCTCGCATTAGCCGCGGGTATCAAAACGAAGTTGTGCGGGCGTCGGATGGTGCAGCTACGACTACACGCACGTTGCTGTACAACCACCTCAGGGGGACTTTTGGATGGCCGGAGGAGTACAGTCCTCGAACCATTGTCAATCAGTCTTTTGTGGAGCACCAGGCAGGGAGACCCTTTGCAGAACTTCAACAACTCCATGATGAGGCCTCCAAGGCTGGGGATGGGGGCTGGGGGCCACAGGGCAGACTGGCAACCTATGCTGGGGCATCCGTTGGGCTGATTCATGATGTGAAATATGCAGCGGAGATTGTCCGTGACGCCCAAGATGAGACACGCAAGATCATCCACGCGTTGGGGGCAGCATAGCAATGTTCAAATGTCAAGTTGATTCTCACAACTCCCGAGGTCTTCGGAGGCATTGAAGACCACGGCATCTGCATAGCGAAAAAGATATGCCTTGGTCGTTCAGCGAGTCAGAAAAGTAGGAGCACTCCACCAAGAAGATTACCGAAAGCCCACATAGTCACTGGGGAGGAAAAAATCAAAAATCAATGAAGATCACCACCGGAAGCCAGGTCAATTACGGAAAACATTACGAATTCCACCTCTCAGTGTCCGCCGATCCTGCACTGAAAACAGTCCGTAAAGTGAGGCGAGAAGAAAGTTAGCTCAGAAACTAACGATGAAATGCAGCTGGGACAATTGGTTTCAATTTGTAGGCTTCACAGAGACCGAGTGAAGGAATTTGGCATCTATCAGGTCGGGAAGCGAGACAGCATGATGGAAGTCTGCAAGAAACCCATCTCAATTGTACTGGAACAGGTAAATGTAGGAAAGTCTATCTCAAAAAGAGACCAGAGAAGAAGGAAAGAAAAACAGTCAGGGCTGACAAAAGATAAAATCGCCCCGAAATACCTAGGTTAAATACAGCTATTGACTCGTAGTGTAGTGAGAGGCCCAACAAATTCTGCGTTCCACATCTACCAGATGTCTCTAGCCCTCAAAATTGCTTCCAGCTGCGATCCACAACCTCACAACAACAGCCTGGCTGGGCGCTTAGTTGGAGTCCTTGGGGGGAGCGCAGAACTGCTTGTCCTTCTATTATGCGTAGAAACTGTCAGAGAATGTTCCCCAAAAACAAAGTATCAGGGGAAAGGGTGTAAACTTACAATAATCTGGCAGGTCAGATGCTTGGAGGAATTGGCGCAGTCCTTGTCAGAGTGGCAGTCATCGCCAACCTAGAAGTTCATGAGCTTTGCGTTCTGCTGGGAATAGCAAATTGGGGCCATGATAAGTGCTTACATCGGCGCGCTTTTGCTTGGGAGGCACACAGGTGTCCTTCTCACACTCGAAGTCCTTGGGGCAGTCCTCGGTGACCTTGCACTTCTGGGGAGCAGGAGCATCACGCTTGTTCTTAGAAGGAACACAGGTATCCTTCTCACACTCAAGATCCTTGGGGCAGTCCTCCGTGACCTTGCAGTGCTTAGGGGCCGGGGGGTCGCGCTTGTCCTTGCCAGCAACGCAGATCTCCTTCTCGCACAGAAGGCCCTTCTCGCAGTCACCAGTGGTCTTGCAGTGCTCGTTCAGCTTGGCCAAAGGAGCATCCCGGGCAGCCCTTTTGGGGACACAGCTGCCAACCTCGTTGCAGTGCTCGTGAGGCTTGCAGTCCTTGTCAACCTTGCAGATAGGGCCGCTCTGGGGCTGGGTAGGAGAAGCCAGGGCAAGGCTGGCGAGCATAGCAGAAACAACAAAGGTGGCCTTCATTCTGACGAGTGGTTGCAGGAGAGTGGTAAAAATTGAAAGATGGTTTTGTTTTGGGATGAATGATTGATGGTTGATGAAGAACCTCTAGGAGCAGGAATTCAGAGGCCTTTTATATCTTTGATTTCGGTTCTCGTCCGAGGCTTATCGCGCGGTCTTTGGTCCCATATGGTCTGGATGTCATCGCCAGCTGCTCAGTGCTTTCCCCGGTTTTCGTCTATGTTTTCCGTGTCACGCGTTGCTTCAAAGGAACCGCCCTTCAACATGACGCGTATACAAAGACATGCACAAGATGTCTTCAGATCTCTGGCTGGAGAGATTCCAGACCTAATACCGAAGCCCACTTCCCATGCAAGGGTGGGTCCAAGCCTGAGCCGCAGTGTGCGGGAGTTGCGTGGCTGAGGCGTGGTACCTGGGGAGGTGGATCAATTCAATTCAGTTTAGAAAATTAACTTAGTCTAAGCCTTATGCGTAGAGCGTAGCAGTCAATAGTTTTAATAGCTGCCTAAATTCAAGAAAAGATTGGGATAGGACCCAAAACTTTCTATTTATATACTCGCTCTCTCTCCCTCTCTCTCTTTTTTGAACTTCATTTTCTCCTGCCTTCTTTCGGGATTTCAATTCAGTCACCTATAGCAAGCACAAATTAACTGCAGAATAGGCTGTCCGGGGAAATACATCATCAGCCGGTTTGCGAAGCTTATTTCAGAACGATCATCGCCAAGAGTCCGGCTCCACAAGCCACGAATCCTCGAAGACTTTGGGGCAGCCTACAAGGTCGTCAGGGGGGGGGGGGGGGAGGTCTACGTAATCTGCATGGCTTGCGGTTGACATCGTACGACGACAAAGGTCGAGCCCTGTTCCCCACACAGCCAGTATGCGCTCGCTGGTGCCTAGGAGCTAGTGAAGCTTCAACATGCATCTCTTATCATTTTGGCCCCAGGGCACAAATTTTAGCATTCTTAACTATCCCGCGGCAAAGGCTTGGCAGAAGGGGGCTTAGATCCTCTCTCGCGCGTACTATCCCATTTAGCGTTAGAAAAGATCAATAACAGAGCCCAAGTGTCTTCTGCTATGTAATTGAGAACATTGGGCATCATCTGGTCTCAATGTCTTGTTTCTTTGTTTTGTTGGACGACGCGCAATCTATGCGATCTCCGTCGACATTACTTGAAATATAAATGGCAGGTCTAGGCTACCGGCAATTCTTGTTTCCAAATCTATCTCCCTAGATTTGCCGAGGAAAAGCAAAGTCGATTCAGCCTGTCTTTTTCCAAGCCGGCGCAGTTGCTGCCCAAAGCTGTTACGGACCAGGTGGCTTCCCGGGTACATAGCCAGGGGAAATGCCAATTCATCTGCAATTCGCGCGCACAAAAGGGTATATGAAGAAGGATGAGACGAGAAATGGCAATTTCAGGGTGCTTTTCTTCCCGTTTATCAGAAAGCGAGAACTAATCTGCTTTGCCTAGGTAGGTCCTTCACGATTGCAGCATGGTCTATGCGATCTCTTATTATCCAAATCTCGGCTGCAGGATCAACCGTCGACAAACAAGACGCAATATCGAACCTAATCTAATCTTTGACTAGTGGCCGCTTGGTGTCAAAGAAACGGGCAGCTGAGCCCAGGGATGCCAGAGCAAAGATCTTTGAGGCCAGCGAAGATAAATAGAACATTAGCCCGAATGAAGTAATCAAAAAGAAAGCCTCTCTCCTGCATTCAAGTTGCCATATAGAGGATGCGATGGAAACCAGGCGTTAACGGATCTGCCACCCTCTGCTTCTTGAAAGGCAGCGTTTCTCCTCTCTCATTTCATCTCTTCATACTCTCTTCCCAATTCCATCATCATCATGCTTTATGACCTCTTTATCAGTGGCTACTTCCAGTACAAGTCAGATACCAATACGGTGGCACCATGGCTGGCAGCAACTGCGAAGGAATGTGACTGCACCCCAGACCTTCAGTGTGGAACTGACGAACAGAAAAAGCCACCATCCTCCACACGACTCAAAGTCAAAGCCAGAAAGATCTTTCGGGAAACTCAAGCCAGAACCAACCCAAAGCCTACTGTGGAGTTGCCGCCCAAAGAGCACAAGTACATTATCGCCGTGAAAGACTTCGCCAGCTTGGCAGAATACATCGTCGAACACACTAAGAACCCTTTTGAAGTCCCAGAGAGCTTTTCAACTGCGCTCGACGGCGCAATCTCTCTTCGACAAAGCCTGAACAATCAATTTTCTACCTCCACAATCCAGAGTTCTCAAGATGGTCATGGGTATTCCATTGGAATACTGGAGCATGTGAGAAGGGTTCTATGCCCACTTATGCCTATGCCAAGCGAGCGAGCAGGTAATCACTTTAGTTGTTCCTATGGAACGCCAGAAGAGCGACTGGCCAACAAGTTCAATCTGCTTGGAATTCAGGAACCAGAAGAGGAATTTCTCCAAACATCTGATGCCGCCAAAGCCAGCCACGCAGTACCTGAGACTGACTACGAGGCCGAACTACTTCGTGATGCTGATGAAGCACGGTTCGCCTTCCACCTTCTGCTTCAAGATGCCAACAAGCTCCGCAATGTCATTTTCGAGACATGGGTAGGCTATCGACTAGGGATATTTGATTTAGTCTCGGCATCTCTCACCACAAACACGGCAATTGATCTTGTGAGGGGGATTGAAGAAGAGATAACCCCATCCTTGAGGAATGTGGCTGATCCGAAATGCTTCTTCGGTGTTTCTTTTTCTCTCGGTGTAAGTGGAAAGGGAAGGCTGAAGACTTCAGAGGAGGACCAGGTGATGCGATAAACTTTCGGGTCTACGACGACGTACAGGACCTCTTTTACCTGCCTACCTGATTCTCAAATCGTTCGTTTGTTTGGTGAACCTTAACAAGATCTTCGAATACAAGTCTGGGATGTTTGGGACATATGATCCAAAGAGTGACAGTTCGGCAAAGTCTTCAAGAGAAAAGTTTCAAAAGGATCAACATCTTCTGAGGGAGGTCTTTCTGAGTTCTGCTATCTCTGCTTCTGGGTCAATCAATGTGCTTATTAGTTTGAAGGAAATACCTACACCGGACAGCCTGTCCCGCCGTATTATTGATGCATCAAATAGTGAGATATCTATCTTTATGTATCTATAGGAGAAATTCACATTGACCCCAAGATCTCCATCATCCACGCCTCATCAAACCCACTCAAGGGTGCAACATCCGCAAGCGCCGAATCAGCCTGAGAAATATCGCTTTCGACCCCATTGCAAGCCACACCGGGATACCAAACCTCCATAATCTTAGGCTCCCACGCCTGTCTCAAAGACATCACCATCTTCAAGCCCGTATTGAAGACATTCAGTTCGGGGTCATTCTGCGAAGCGATTCGCTCCGCAGATTTCCTAAGATTGCATCGGATATGATCGAGAATCTCCAGGATGTTTGCCGTGTCCCGCACCAGATTCTTATCCCAGGCCGGGTCTTCCAGAGTGGAAAGCTTGTATAGATCGACGATGGCGCGACAGAACTGGAAGAACAGAACGAACGATATGCCGATGTAGTTTTCTGGTGGAATGGCGTTCCAGTGGTCGAGCCAGGCTTTGGATGCTTGCAGAGATGCGTAGAGGCTTTCGAGACGGTGAAGGTCTGGGGAGTTTGGGAGGGCGGGGGTTCGGATGGCGATGTCGTGAATGGTTAGTTCTGCGTTGGCGAGGTGCATGAGCACGGCTCCTATTTTAGCAAAATTTAGCAACTATCCCATAGTGACAACAATTCAATAAAGAAGAGAGTTTACCGTGTTGTTGGAGATGGGTAGGGATTTGGCTTTTGGCGGCGTCCAGCTGGGACTGGAGGGCTTGAGTGTAGAATGCCATCGGGGGTTGAGTGTCCCCATCGCGGCGAAGATGGTAGACCCTGTCTACGACCAGCTGGATCTTGACCAGCGAGACCAGTAGCTCATCTTCGATGCACTCTTTGGCGTCCATTAGAATGCTCAGGCTCTCTTCCATGTGCGGCGTCCAGCGCAGGGCGTCGATCCGGAACATTGCCAATGCGATACTAGAAGGAAGAGAATAAGCCAAAGGTCTAGAAGAAGTCTTGAAGGATCTAACACGTACCTCGACGTTAATAAGAAACACCCTAGCACAGCCCTTCTTTCCTCCATGGTTCTAGCTGTAGGTGTTCGCGGATACAAGCCAACTGCACATTTGAATGCTTGCAAAGTCGTGTGCTCTTTAGGAATCTCCTTGTCAATGCCAAGGTCATTGATTATGCCCATCACTACGTGGGCATGGAAGTTGAGAAAGGGTTTCCGAGAGTATGTTGTCCTAGTAATCAAGTTAGAGGTCAAGTAACCCCAGCTGGCTTTTTCTTTTGCCCAAACTCACCATGAGATAAACGTCATTATTCCCAGGAGGATATCCATGTTGATCGCATGATCAACAAAGACTATTTGGTTGATGAGCTCATTGATTTTCTTAAATTGTATTTCCCTCTCCTTGGTTTCTGGAGTCAGGACCGCCGTCATACAGGTCCATAGAAACGGCTTCGCTTGGCGGAGTTGCTGCGAGGTGACATGAGGAGGGATATATACAATAGGGAGGTACTTGAGGTTCTGTGTACGGAAGCGGTTAAGGATGTCCTCAGCCGCCTCTGGTGAGATGGGAACTGAGCTATATAGATCCAGTGGCGAGGGATGTGTTGACGGCGAATTTGTCGTACAGGGAGAAGGAATCCCGGCCGACATGATTGCATGCGATGAAGCCTCTACAGCTGGGCCTTGTGTTGCCTTCTGTCTTTCGCTGGCATTTGTCAATTCCCAATCGACAGCGAGCCCAGACGGAGCCCCGCCAGATTGAAGCATCGTGACAATGTTGTCAAGTTTAGCCTCGAGATGCGCCGTCCGAGAAGACGCCGATGGGCGCTTGCCGCGTTTGCGAGCTGGAATGGATGGGCGACATTCCTTGTTCAGGCGATGACATCTATGGGCTAGTTAGTCTATACCGCTGACAGGACGGGGTTTTACGGTCTGAACACCGACCTTTCGCAGTCCGATCCTGTGGTCCGGAGTACACATTTGCACTTGGCATGGGAGCAGTTGACACATGCCCGGCCATATGGCGCAGGGGTTCCTCTTGGGATCTGACTTGACTGCATTCCGATGTCCGTTGGGATTCGGGATTAAAGAGATGGAGTGTTGACCTCGAGCGTGGAAAACCCCGGTCAGTGCCCGACACTAAAATCTGCTTGATCTCAAGGAAACAAGAGAATTACAAACAACAAAAACAAAATAATTAAATCCGCGACAGAACTGGAGGGAATCAACTCAGCTTCGAGCGAGAAGAAAGACGGAGTCGGGATACGCCCCAAATCCGACCTGAAGGAACGCTGACTAAATCTGTCTGGGGGGCATTTTGTGTGGATTCTCGCTATGTTCGTGGTGGAGTTCGGGTTTCGGGATTCAATCCAAATCCGGTCGAAGGAGCTACATGGAGACAAAGTACACAATGCTGAACTATAGGGGGCTGTCAGGTTGCCTATTTTAGATAATGGCTTGTGAGCTTCTCAAGATAAATGACAGAGGATATCACCTCCCAGACCACTCAAACTCTGGTAAATCTCTACTATACCAACATCAATTCGACTGAATCACAATGAGAGAAAAGCCCTCCAGCATCAAGTCCACGCAGTCTTCCAAGATGCCCCAAGAAACCAAAGTTCTTTCGAGTACATGCGAAATATCTTCTGTCCAGACAACATCTCCCAGTCTTGCAGCAGATGCCCCCAAAGAGAATGCAGAAGTGCAGTCAGAGGCAGTCAAAGATAAGGAAAGAGAATATATCACTGGCACCAAGCTGGCAATGGTCATTGTGGCGGTAACTTTAGTTTGCTTTCTGGTTCTGCTGGACACTTCGATCATTGTGACTGTGAGTTGATCGGTTTCCGTGTGTCAGCCCTAATTAACTTGAGACGCAGGCGATCCCGTCGATCACAACCCAATTTCACTCTCTCCAGGACTTGGGGTGGTATGGCAGTTCGTATCAGATTGCCAGGTATGAATGCTTTAAGCTATACTATTCCAGAGAAATAGTGCCAACACACTACCAATTTAGTGCTGCTCTTCAGCCTCTGACGGGCAGGGTGTATACCAACTTTAAGACAAAGGTATGGGATGTTCTCACATTCCTTTTGATTCGAGACTACTTGCAAGACTAACCATTTTTTTTTCTAAAGTGGACCTTTTTGACCTTCTTTTTTATCTTCGAACTCGGCTCGCTTCTCTGCGGCCTTGCGAACTCCTCCAAGATGTTGATCATCGCGAGGGCAGTGGCAGGATTGGGGTCATCTGGGTTGATGAATGGCTCTATTACTATCCTCACCTCGTCGGTTCCTTTGCACAAGTCACCTCGTACGATATTTCATTCCCTCCTATGAATTATTTAGGCTAATATTTGCACACAGCGTTAATCGGGGTGCTGATGGGCTGTAAGCACCACATCCTCATTTTATACGACGTGGTTATAGTATCACCAGAGACGTGCTTACTCCATAATTCTAGTTTCTCAAATGGGTGTTCTTTTAGGCCCATTGCTAGGTGGTGCATTTACAGAATACTCGACATGGCGATGGTGTGAGTATATCTATTGCATTGATCTCGTTCAATGAACATGCTCTGACCACCAAACCAAAACAAACAGGTTTCTATATCAATCTTCCTATTGGTGCCGTTGTCGCAGCGCTGCTCGTCTTTATCCACGTCCCCGAGCAAACTGCCAAACCATCTGGGATTTCGACACTCACCATCATCCGCCACAAGCTCGATCTACTTGGTTTCGCCCTCTTTGCTCCGGCCGCCATCCAGCTTCTGCTTGCGCTTGAATACGGCGGAAAGCAGTATGCATGGAACAGTCCAACTGTAATCGGGCTCTTCTGCGGTGCAGCCGCCACCTTCATCGTGTTCCTGTTGTGGGAGCATCGCCAGGGAGACGAGGCCATGATTCCTCTGTCTATGGTCAGCAAAAGGCCCGTTTGGTCGAGCTGTCTGATGATGTGGACTATCTTTGCGATGATGCTCTCCGCCTCTTATTGCTTGCCGATTTACTTCCAGTCTATCAAGAATGAGACGCCCATGATGAGCGGCGTCTACCTGCTTCCCAGTATTCTGTCACAGTTGGCACTTGCGGTGATCTCAGGGGCATTGAGTGAGTCTTCCTCTGACTGCTGCTATACTTGATATTGACCGGACTAACAATCTTTCAATAGTTGGCAAACTCGGATACTATCTCCCATGGGGCGTGGCCTGTGGTGTCATCGCCGCCATTGCCAATGGCCTAATCTCGACTTGGACACCACATACATCCCCAGCCACATTAATAGGATACCAGATCCTGCTTGGCGCCGGTCGGGGAGCCGGATTTCAGACGGTAAGGCATTGCAACAGCACCTCCCAATCCCGGTCTCAACCCTATCATTATCATTTTTGACTCATGGTGTGATCCAAACAGCCTCTCATCGCAATCCAAAACACCCTCCCCACCACCCAAATCTCCATCGCCATGTCCATTCTCATGTTCTCGCAAAACTTCTCGGGTGCCATGTTCCTCACCTTTACGGACGTGATCCTCGACAACGGGCTCAAGAGCTTGGTGCCCAAGTATGCGCCCCATGCTAATGCCCAAGCCATAATCGCCGCAGGGGCTACTGGATTCCGAAGTGTGGTGGCTGGTCGAGATCTAGCTGGGGTGCTGCAGGCTTACTCTAAGAGCATCAATCATGTTTTTTATATGGCTGCTGCTCTCGGGGTGTGTTGTCTGATATTTGCCAGTGGGATGGGATGGAAGGATGTTCGAATGAAAAAGCCTGCGGCGGGACAGGTTTAGGTGCATTCTTGTGAGTTGATGGTATACCGAACTTGAGCTTGATTGTACGGTCTATTCAAGGTCTTGGGGGGATGGAGGAATACATAAAACAAGCAGCTCAAAGTTAGACAAACTATATCCAAGCCTTCTTCCATTGCCCTATAATCGGCTTCGATTGCAGAAATATTTAGCATGAGTGATGATGTTTGCACAATCCTCGAACCCTCACAGGTGATCTGTTTCATGTATTACATAGCTCTTGATAAAGAGCTCAATCACTCGATCATCTTAGCAATCTCAAAAGACCCTGGTTCAGACTAAATTCACGGATAAAAGCACAAAACTCCCCTCCAATCTCATCGGGCGACTAGCACGGAGCGATGCGACTCAAGTGCGATCGAAATTGCGGTGTATAAAGCCAGTTGCCCTATCCCGACACGTAATTATGGCGGGGCAACGCTAAACAATGATCCTTCTGGGGTCTGAACCGCTCAAGAAACGGAGACGGGACAAATGGAGACGGAGCAGCCCTGAAGCTCACCGTCTATTATTTAGTGTTGATCTTGCAAGATATCGACCCCTCTGTTGTGCTTTTGTTTCTTTTTCTTCTTCTTGTTCATAGTCCATCCACTTCTCGCATAGCCAAATGTCTCAGGAACTGTTCGTCTCTTTCTCTCTCTTTTTCTGTTCCACTCGAGCCCTCCCCCGCTGACTTGAGGCGATATCTATAGAAGCGTTGACGTACTCGTTATCGGTGCGGGGCCTACAGGGTTGGGTGCCGCTAAGCGCCTGAACCAGATTGTATGAAGCCATTGCCGTGTGTCTGCGATCGCATACCACTAATACATCAATGCCGTGAATTAGAATGGCCCCTCGTGGTTGATTATCGACTCCAACGAGAAGCCGGGCGGTCTCGCCTCGACCGACGTGACACCGGAGGGTTTCGTAAGTATATCTGCTTTTTTTCTTTTCTTGATTACTCCCATGCCGATATACATCATGTAAGAAACTAATCGTGTCACGAGTTACCTGGTGATAGCTCTACGACGTCGGCGGCCATGTCATCTTCTCGCACTACAAATACTTCGACGACTGCCTCGACGAGGCCCTCCCCAACGAATCCGACTGGTACACGCACCAGCGTATTTCCTACGTGCGCTACAAGGGCCTCTGGGTGCCTTATCCCTTCCAGAACAACATCTCCATCCTGCCCAAAGAGGACCAGGTCGCATGTATCGATGCCCTGATCGACGCCGCGCTCGAGGCCCGCGTGGCCAACACCAAGCCCCAGAACTTCGATGAGTGGAACGTTCGCAATGTCGGGACTGCGATCACGGATATCTTTATGCGGCCCTACAACTTCAAGGTGTGGGCCGTGCCGCCGAGCAAGGTAAGAACAACAGAACAAACAAGAAACGCAAATATACGTTGAATAACTTTGATGATGCACTATACTAACCACGGTATAGATGCAATGCTCCTGGCTGGGCGAGCGCGTCGCCGCGCCCAACCTCAAGGCCCTGGTCAACAACGTGATCATGAACAAAGTCGCCGGGAACTGGGGACCCAACGCCACGTTTCGATTCCCCGCGCGCGACGGCACCGGCGGCATCTGGACAGCCGTCGCGGGCACTATCCCAGACTCGAAGAAGCGGTTCGGCAAGTTGGGGTCCGTCACCAAGGTCGACGCCGCCGGCAAGAAGGTCACCCTGGCGGATGGCACGACCATCAAGTACCAGAAGCTGGTCTCGACTATGGCGGTGGACTCGCTCGTCGAGAAGATGGGTGATGCCGAGGGCGTCAAGCTCTCTAAGGATCTGTTCTATTCCAGCACTAATGTGATTGGTGTGGGTGTTCGTGGGCAGAGGCCGGAGCGTATTGGTGACAAGTGCTGGGTAAACCCCCTTTCTTTTCTCACTCTATCTTTGCTGTCGCAGTTGAAGCTAATCTGCTATGCCGCCCACAGCTATACTTCCCTGAGGACAACAGCCCGTTCTACCGCGCGACCATCTTCTCCAACTACTCGCCGCACAACCAGCCCGAGGAAAACGTCACTCTGCCGACGCAGCAGCTTGCCAACGGGCAAAAGACCGACGGCGCCGCCAAGCCCGGCCCGTACTGGTCAATCATGCTGGAAGTGTCCGAGTCGTCGATGAAGCCCGTGGACCAGAAGACGATTGTCGCAGAGAGTATCCAGGGACTGATCAACACGGATCTGTAAGAACACCAACCTCCCCCTTCTTTCTCTCCATTCTGTCTGTTTCTTTTTCTTTTTCTTTTTCTTATCATGTGCCTTGCTGATACATTGAACCCAAAATTTAGCCTCAAGCCCGAAGACGAAATCGTCAGCGTCTACCACCGCCGCTTCGACCACGGCTACCCAACCCCAACGCTGGAGCGCGACGGCGCTCTCAAGGACCTTCTCCCGCATCTGTACAAGCAGGATATCTTGTCGCGAGGCCGGTTCGGATCGTGGAAGTACGAGGTCGGCAACCAGGATCACTCGTTCATGCTGGGCGTCGAGGCCGTGGACCACGCGGTGAACGGCGCCGTCGAGCTCACGCTCAACTACCCGGACTTTGTCAACGGGCGCCACAACACGGAGCGCCGCCTTGTGGATGGCGCGCAGGCCTTTCGCGAGTTGGAACTTCGCCAGAAGTCATGATCTTGCTTTGGAGATTGCGACTGTGGGGATTGGGCTGTTTTTGACTGTTCATTCGTAGTTGAGGTGACTTTTTGATGTAGATTTGCAATATTGGTCGAGATGAACAGAATAACTTTCTTATGCACTTTGATATACTCTAGAGAATAAATACGGAGACAATATCAATTCAATTGTATTCCCGGATCTTCATGATTCTACTTGGACAGGGCTGTTTCACATCATATGATCACATCTTTACAAGTGCTACAACGACTAGAGTATCATCAATCATGATGGAATTTTTTTTTTTCGTTTCTTATTTTGTCAGGTAGATAGATGTCCAGGTAACCATTGGCGCCACCGAGCGAACGGAGCGCAGCATGACTAGGTATTAGGTGATCGACAGGGTCCCAAAAGATCGCACAGAAAATATCAGGACAATGCGTACTTCCCCGATCAGAGGAACGACCGGAGACATATCCCACCGAATCCCATTCCGCTTTCTTCTGTCCTTCCTCGATCGAACTCCCCAGTCACATAAACCAAGCACCTGGGACAAGCAACCTCCCTCCTAGACCAGCAGTCTCAACCCCGTCCATTTGAAAGACATAGTCAAATCAAACGACATGGGAAGAAATCTACTGCTCAGTCTGGAAGTAGTTGAGGAGGACGGAGCGCTCCTGGGACTCCTCACCCCAGTCCTTGACAACGACGCAAGAGCAGTTGACGACCTTGCGGGCGTTGCCCTCACGGTCGAGGGTGCCTATTGAGAATTAGCAAAACATTTCAGACACACACTGCATATACCAATCACAAGAAGAAGGGAAAGATGAACATACAGAGACCAACCCACTCGCCCAGCATCTTGCCATCGGGCACCTTGATGAGCGGGATCTTGTGCTCGGAGCACAGAGCAACGACGAGCTTCTTGTAGGCCTCCTCCTCGCAGCCCTCGTTCAGGACGCACATGTGCGCCTCGCGGCGGTCGAGGGCCTTGGCGGCTTCGCGCAGACCACGGGCAAGACCGTCGTGGATGAGCGAGATGCGCAGAACACCCTTCAGGGCGTCCAGGACGGACATCTGGCCGCTGCCGGCGTCGGCAGAAACCTCGACCTCATCAGCCGCGGCGACGGGGGGTTAGACTGAGTCTCTTCTCCGTCCGACTGTCAAGGGGGAAAAAAGAGAGATGTTAGAATTGCCTTGGTCTCGGTTTTTTTTTTTGTGGTGTCTCTGGTTGGGTGGTCATGTCGAACAATTTTGGCGAGATGGACACAGCTGCGAATTCCTCGAGGCCTGCATTTGTTTCTTCTGTCTTTGTGTGTGTGTGTGTGTGTGTGTGTGTGTGTGTTTTGTCGAGATTTCCCTCCTTACAGCGCAATGCCTCTCGCAGCCGTATCCATCCCACCTCAATCGTTCGAGCGACTCGATGTGTGCGGGGCGTTCGGTTTCGACGTTGCACGTACCATTTTGATCGCTACTAAATCTTCTGGGTAGCTGGGATGTTCAATTCAAATGTCGGATGATCCTCAAAGAGGTATGTATTTCGATTGAGGCGATGAAGATAAAAGCGGTGGTGTGGGATGCTCCGTCAATTTTCGGTTTTCCACTTTTTTCGGCTGTGTGTGCCCTAGGATTATGTCATCATCACGTGACCATATTGCATCCATCATAATCTATGAGAATGAACCCATCGATGCATAAAATAGACTCGCAAACCATTGGATGACACGGAATTTAAACTACCGAAGAAAGTAGATTCGTCACAAGAACGCAAGAGGTATCATAATCGTACAATCAGAGCCCGCCCTATACACCAGCTGAATTCCTGCCATCGCGCCAAGACCCGAATAGCTAAGATGCTGAAACAAAAGACACTAGACGTATGTACTAGACCGAGAAGGGCCAAACCCATTGAGGAACGTAGAACCGTTGGTCTCCGGCGCGTGACCGTTGGGCTGAAGAGATCCGAACGTACCCGGTACCGGTTCCTGATCGATGTGCATGCTCAGGAACTGGAATTCGAGCCCATTCAGATGAGGGATGTGAGGAACAAGGTCCATGAAATCAGAAAGCTAGAAAAGAGACCCAGTCAGTTACGATGCTCAATAAAGCATACCAACAAAGCCACTTACTCGGATCCAAAACACATGCTCCATCTCGAAATACTTGGGGCGTGTGTCGCAATCCTTCTGCATGATTTCTCCAATCGACGCATCGTAGAACTCGCGGTCATCCGCTTGAATTAGCATGCGTCGGGTAACTCGCCAGAGATTCATGCGTTGGGTCGGCGTCGCCTTGCGTTTCTCCCAGCTGGCATCTGTGTCGCTCTCAGTCAGCGAGGGTATTTGGTGCAATCATTCACAAGTGCCACTTACATTGTGAGAGTTGAAGATCATTGGTCGCCAGCAGGGGAGCAACCAAGTAGTTCGGAATCCACTTCTCGTCGGCCACGTCCACAGCACAGCCTGGCTCAAGTTGGCGGGTAAGCGCCGTCACCATGGGCATGAAGTTCTTCAGCCACGTATGGTTTCTCGCACGGGAATCATTTGATCCCACCAGATTGGCTGCAACGCGGAGGCGACTGGGGAGAGCATCGCGGCGTCGTTGCTCCTGTGCCTCCTGGTCGCGGCGCATCTTGGCCACGCGAGCACGTTCTTGTTCCAGCCGCTTTTGGCGTTCATCCTCGGCTTGTTTAGCCCGACGCTGTTCGCCTTCTTTGCGCTTGCGCTCGTCCTCCGCCTTCTCACGGGCAACGCGGGCTGCTTGGTCGGCCTCTTCCTTGGCAATTCGAGCACGTTCAGCTTCTGCAGCCACCCGCTTTTCTTCTGTTGCACGTTCCTCTTCATCTTTCTTCGCCTCTGCCCGTCGACGCTCTTCGGTATCCTTTTCAACTCGCTTCTCATCCTTGGCATTATCGTCCACGAGGTGGGGGTTGGGGTCTGGCCCTTGAGACTCCGATTTCACATCCCCATTTTTCTTCGCGGGTAAGTCGGGAGATTGCTGACGAACAGTTGATTTCTTCGAGGGTTCGGTAGTAGACTTCCGTGGGATGGTTTCTGCTGGTCGCGAAGATTCCTCATGAGTCTGTCTGGGTTGAGGTTTATGCCCATCAGGCGCATCATCGGAATTTCGTGCACTGCCATTGATACCACTGGGTCTCTCGTCTGAAAAGACTCGTCGCTTCTTCTTTCGTGTCTCGGGGGACAGCCGGTCGCTATCTGCGCCACGGGAGCGAGATCTCTCAGGCGACGTATCAGTGCGGATGCGCTTCAGAGATGAGATGGAATCAGGGGCCATATCGGCTCGAGACTTGGGTGCTTCTTCACGCCCGGACAGCGAATCCGATGAAAAGAGGCTGGATCGACGATCACGATCCTGAGGGCGACGTCCTGCAATCAGCCGTCTTTTTCGACCGTCATCATTGCGTGCCACGCCACTGGACTCGCTGTCTCTTCGTGCTGTAAGTGTCGTTGAGGGTTTCGAGGAATCAGGGCGAGCAGAGTCATGATCAGAGCTAGCGAGTGCGTTGTCACTCGTGTCCTTGGGAGAGGCCTTGGCGCGGGAATTTATTGCGTTAAGCCTCTCTTTTTCACGTCTCTTCTCTTTCAATGCGTCGATATCTTTCAAAGAATCGCGAGGACGGTTGGCATTGGGGCTGTCGGGTCGCTTTCTCGGACGCGCCGCAGGAGATGATGAGCGCCGACGTGCTGGTCGTTTGTCATCCTTGCCCTTCACACGAGGTCGTCGGGGCGATGAAAAGCCATCCTTGCGGCCCTTGTCAGGGCCTGCGTAGTTTTGGTAAGCGGCCTTCAACACATCATGTTCTTCTTCCCAATTCTCCCCTTGGCGGGCTCGAGATAGTTCAAAGTACGTTCGATCTTCGAACAGTCGGCGGGTGGGATTGAACCCAGGTTGGTTCAAGATCAGTTGGATGACACCGGTGTTTCCGCGGCCGATGGCAGCTAACATGGGGGTATTATAGCCAGATTTGTGGCCGGCACCACGGAGCGGGTTTGGATCAGCATCTGCATTGCCCATGGCATACAGCAGGGACAGCACATCATGATGGCCACCTTTTGCAGCCGCAATCAAAGACGCATTGTCGGCCTTTTGCAAGATATTCAAAATGCTGACCACCCCTGCCTCATCGCCCTTTGCTGCAAACTCTCGAAGATTCTCAAAGGTGGGTTTTGTCCACAACAAATCGTTCCTTGTGGCTTCGCTTCGGACTGTCTTGCGTCGATTGGATGCGCCCATGGGAGGGGGCTGCGCAGCGGAGGAGAGTCACGAGGGCTGGCAACCGATACTCGCCGCGATCGAGGTTCCCTGCTGTCCGACCCATTCTGTTCTTCGGATCGTCGACCAGGTCGGGAAGTTGCCTTGGCATCAGCAAGAGCTTTCTTCATCTCCTCGTACTCTTCATCATCGACAAACGATGGAACAAGCTCATAAGGCTCATCGCCCTCCGCGTTGACGGTCCGAGGGTTTGCGCCTGCATCGAGCAAAACCTTGACCACGTCCGCATTCCCATTTTCCACCGCGTCAATCAACGGAGTGTCCTTGTCGATGTTTTTCGTGTTGATCTCACAGCCGGCATCCAATAAAAACTTCACGATCGATGTTTCGCCATTCAGAGCCGCAATCTGCAACGGTGTGTTTCCGGCATTATCAGGAATATTCAAATCTCCCGGTCGCTCCGCGTGGCGCATCACCACTTGGTCGTATTTCCGATCGGCGCATGCTCTCGCCAGGGGGTGCGGCCACTCTTATCGCGTAGCTTCTTGGGGCCCATTTGTTTCGCCGGCGATGCGGATGCACCCGCGCCGGAGCCCAATCTCCGAAGATGGGCTCCGGGCAACGGAGAGCCGCTGGCGGAAGAGGATGTGGATTGCCTGTCTTCCGAGCCATGTCGCTGGAAGCCCGTGAGAGGAGTCGGCGCTTTCTTCTTGGTAGGGAACTGGGACCCAGAAGCGGTTCGCTGGTGAGAAGGGCGATTTGGCGAGAGAGATCTTGTGTTAGAGGTTGGTTGTGAAAAGTGTGTATGGTTGGGATGTTTGAGGTCTCGCGGGGGGACAATCGAGGCCTGCGAGTCGGCACGACGGCGCTCGCGTTGCTCATCGACACTGTCGCTGAAACTCCTCTTGCGGTAACCGCGTGGCCGTTCTACCTGTCCAGCGCCTTCTTCCGGTACATCCCGCCCGTCTGTGATGGAGTGGGGATCATCCACCTTCTCGATCTTGACCACCGACGCGGACGGCGAACCCACCCTCTCCAGCGGGCTAGGAGAACGCGAACCTCGAGCTCCTTCATCTTCCACCCTCGGCTTCTTCCGTTTATTTCCATCGACACCATCGATCGCAAGCCGCTGCGGGTCGTGTTTGATATGTTTCCTCTTCTTCTCCGGCGACAACGACTCGCGACCCGACTGAATTATAGTTTCTGCCTCCGAGTCCGCTCTGGGGCTAGGCGGCCCATCCTCCTCCGATCGCGCATGCTGCGTCGGCCCATGGCTGCTTTCCCGGGAAGGGGGGTCTGTCTTGGGGGCTTTTCCGGGCGATGGGGGGCCTGCCGAGTCCGGCCTCACTGCAGCAAGCGTGTTGTGACCGACGTCCAGAGCAGCTGGTAGGGAGGCTGCCTCGACATCACTCATAGCGATAACACTCGATGTCTCAAGATTCCGCTCGTCATTTTGGGGGGATACGCGACCGGTAAGACAACCGTGGTCGACAACGCCAGCTAAGCGTGGACGCTGATCCTCGACCACGGGGAGAAAGGTTCGAGAGAGAGCGAGAGACTCGAGGGAATATATAAAATCCAAGAGCGTATCACACCCAGGATCACGCACGAAACAAATGAAAAAAGAGTCGAAAATGCGAAAAGCCGACCAGGGGGGGGGGGTTTGGCAGAGAGGAGGAAAAGAGAAGAGGGAGGGAATGGGAGGAAAGCGGGAAGGGCAAGGAATGGCTCCCCATTATTGGCCTTGGGTCCTCGCCACGGCATCATCAGTCTTTTGCTTCTACAAAATGCCTGTCTTTGCTGCTCCCTCCTTCGTGTCTATCTCCTGGATTCTCTACGCTTCAACGCTCCCTCTTGTCTCCCTGTGAATCTGGAAAGACCACCATCTCCTTCCCGTTGGCGTTCCCCCCTTTCCATCACGACGTGCAAAGTCTGCAAACTGCGACTCCACTTCAGTGGCGATCGTCTGCTTGCGGCCATTCAGCTTATCGGCGCGGAATCGTTTTCGAGGAGCATCGAATCGAGATTAAACTCATTTAGACTCTCAGCCACATTCATAAGCTTGACAAAAATAGAGAGACAATAATGAACCCTGGGGAGATCAGAGGTCATGGCTTGGGTCCGGAAATGGCGGAGAGCTGAGCTGCGGGTCTCCTCAAAAACACAAGCCACCTTGTGCTAATCCACGCATGTGCAAGTATCGGATTGACCATGGATTTCATTGCCCATCGCGTTGATTGTGTCCTCGAGGCCACGGGCATGGATGCCGTGGACGCTCTGCGCACCTTTTATGTCTTGGCTGCTGCCACGGTAGGTGTCGCCTTCCCTGTGGTGTGAGCCAATGGCCACTGACAAGGCAACCGGTACAGACGCTCTCCGTCAGCATCCCGGGCTCCCTGCGCTCCCGCTTCCTCGTGTATGGTCCGCGTGCGACCTCGACCGGCTTCGGTTCCCCCTCCCAGCCTTCTGTGACGTCGGGTCTTCTCGACTACCTCGCAACATGGCGCGTGCCACACAGCTACTTCGCCCAGTTTTACATCGCGTCGGTTCTGTCGTCGGCATTCTGGGCGTTGCAGCTGTTCTCCCGTGGTTCTGTGTTCCAAGCAATCGCATCGCGACTCAGCCTTGAGCATCAGCAGCAGTCGATGTCTCTAAACCAGACGTTGGTCTGTTGGATATTGCTGGCAATGCAGGGCGCGAGGAGGCTATGGGAGTCGTTGACATTCTCGAAACCCTCGTCGTCTCAAATGTGGTTTGTCCATTGGTTGCTGGGCATCGGGTTTTACCTAGCCACAGGGGTTGCGATCTGGATCGAAGGGTCAGGTAAGGAGTCATCTGCGACTGAGAGCGAGACCGAGCTACTCACGTTTTTATGCCAGGGACCTTGTTGACGGAGGATCTCACCCTGGAACACGTACAAATGACCAACGCCCCAAAGCTGCGCACCTTTCTCTGTGTCCCGCTCTTCCTGATCGCGTCTGGTCTGCAGCATGACTGCCATCACTATCTCTTTTCGCTGAAGAAATACACCGTCCCAGACCATCCCATGTTTCGCGGAGTCGTGTGCCCTCACTACGGAGCTGAATGCGTCATCTACCTTTCTCTGGCGCTGGTAGCCGCACCGCCGGGCCAAATCGTCAACAAGACGCTTCTAGCGTGTTTCGTCTTCGTGGCGGTCAATCTCGGCCTGACGGCTCGAACCACCCGGCAGTGGTATACAGAAAAGTTCGGCAAAGATGCGGTGCAGGGATGGTGGCTGATGATTCCCGGGATCTACTAACAAAGAACTCTGCGGGATTGTTTGCTCGACGCTCGGGTCATCTCCCGCCCAGAAACTTCATCGTATTTCCCATCTTGGCGACCTTGAGCACGTCTCGGTACGTGAGGCTAGTCCTCGTCTCGCGTTGGTAACAGCCATCCTGATACGGATTTATCTCTCGCAGGAGATCCCAGTTGCAGATAGATTGCGCATCCAGATGGGCATCCGTGGTCGTCTCGGCAATACCATGCAGAAAATCAGTATAAAGCTTGCCCCTCGTAATCAGCAGACTTCGTCTTTCCTGCAAGATCCGGAACTGGGGAGCTTGGTTAGTCCGAGATGTCTCGGCTAGTGCCTCGCTTTCTTCCATGCCATCGTCTGCGCTGGTTTGACTATGATCTTGGGTCTGTTTTGCATGCAGGTCGAGCACAATTGGTGCTCCAAGACTCACGGTTGCCACGAGTGGGTAATAGGCGGCGCCGTCCTCGTGCGGCATGATCCCTGGCCTGGTTGGTACTCGTTTACCAGCACATGGTTTGGTGCGCCGTGCGGCGCGTCCTCGAAGATTCCCAGTGATTTGAATCGCGGCTCGATGATCGGAGAAACCAGCCATCCAGGCAGCGGAGACGCAAGCAGCGTATTGGTTTTGGTGAGTGCCGACGGCCAGGTCTGGAGTCGGCGGCGCGAAAGCTGTGTCCAGCGTGGGAGAGGCGCCGATGTCACCTAGATGCAGGCAGTGAGCGGGAAGGTCTGAAATGAGAAAGAATTGGTTCAATTGCGTGTATTCCCTTGCGATAAAGCAAGAAAAGAAAGGAAAGATAGCAGCCAGGGGAACTCACTTTCTGTAAAAGCCATCTCTCCTCGTCCTCGCTGAGAAAGTTCGATATATAGAATGCATCCGCCGGTAGAGCAGAGATACGCGCTGCTTCGAGGTTGAATTCCGTCTGTCCACCCGTTGAACCCAACATCTCGATTGCCCTGCTCAGTGCTTAGACCGATTCATCTCATGCGTGTTTCTGGAAAGAAGGCCGATGGACAAAAGAGATCGGCCCGTATCAACAAGGCGACAAGCATCCAGAAACAATGACTTGCACAAAGCCAGGCTCGGGTCAGCGCTCCAATACACCTAGAGAATCAATCCCAAGATCAAAGCCCATCGCCAATCCCATAAAGTGATAAAGAGAGAAGAAGAGAAGAAGAGAATGAGAGAACAGCAACATCAACCAAGTCACGTCACGCCCAACCTGAGACCGCCACACATGCCAGCCCCACATCATCAGAAAGAATCCCGCGAGTTTCAAGATCCGCCCTCCAGTGGGATAGCCACATATATCATACTACATTGCATCTCCTCGGCTTACAATGGCACCCAAGAACAACGCCAAGGGCGGCGACAAGAAAGCCGGCAAGGGCAAAGGCAAAGAAGCCGCCGATGACACGGGCAAAGGCAAAGGCGGGAAGGGAGGATTGAAAGCAGCGAATGCGCTCAACGTGCGACATATTCTTGTATGACTGCTCCCCGGATAGTATGAAAATTTTCATGCTAAGGTTTCTTTGCCAGTGTGAGAAGCACTCCAAGAAAGAAGAGGCGCTGGAGAAACTGCGCAACGGGGCCAAGTTCGACGAGGTGGCTCGCGATTTCTCGGAGGATAAGGCAAGACAGGGTATGTTCCAAGATTTATCTTTTCTACTGCTTACTGCTATTTCTTGCAAGCTATTCCTTGCAAGTTGTATATATGATGGCCTTCAACTAACTTATTCCTCGCAGGAGGCTCGCTCGGGTGGAAGACGCGAGGCAGTTTGGATGGCACGTTCGAAAAGGCTGCGTATGAGCTGGAGCCCAGTACGACGGGGAATCCCAAGTACGTAGAGGTCAAGACGGGGTTTGGGTATCACATCATCATGGTGGAAGGGCGGAAATGAGAAGGGATCAATACGAAATCCATAGATGCACTTTCATCTAATGCTCATATTCTTTATTGTAGCTCTACAAGCAATGCTTGGAATGCTGTATATTTAACTATAGGCACAAAACCAGTCAACACCAACCAATCCAACTCTTACAAGGCCTTTTTAGCACTCTCAGCCTTTGCCCGCTCCTTGGCCTTCTTCTCCTGGCGCTGCACCACAGCCTCGGCACCAATGCCGCCAAATACCAGGCCGATACCCAGCCACTGACCCGCCGATAAGGAGTGTCCGAACCAGAACACGCTCAGAAGCATGGTCAGCATCTTGCGCGTGACGGTGACAGTGACCAGCAGCAGGGACGAGAAGCGCGACAGGGTATAGAAGATGAAGAGCTGGCCGACGGCGCCGCATGTCGCGAAACCCAGAACATTCTTCAGGGCCTCGGGGTGGCGCTGGAGGAACGAGATGGCCGATAACAGCTCGGTCTCGGTGGAGGGGGGATCGGGAAGGGCAGGAGGTTGTGCAGCACGCCGCTCTGCGACAGATGCGGCATCACGACGAGGTAGGCGGTCGTCAGCACGGTGGACAGGACGTTCTGCGCGACCATCATCTGAGGCCCGGAGAAGCGGGTGTAGCGATTCGGGGACGAGAACACATGGTCCTGTGTGGTGTTGGTGAGGCCGTCGAGGAGAAGATTGATGGACAGCAGGAAGATGCCCCACATCGAGGACCCGGACTGGTCCTTTGCCGCGGCCGCGGCGACTTTCTTGCTCGTGCCCGGGTGGTGCAGCGTGAACGTGGCCACGCCCAGGGTAACCAGCAGCACCACGCCGTACTTGTACAGCGGGTATCGCTTCCGAAAGATGGTCAGGTGCAGGAGCATGACCGGGAGCAGCTTGCAGGATTTGGCCAGGATGAAGGTGAGGTAGTCGATGTGCACCAGACTGGCGTACCCAAACGGTGACGCGAGCGACGAGGAGATGCTGACCAGGAGCAATGGGAAGAGAATCTGGCGCGTCGGGAACACCGCCGGCACATTCTGCCCCCTCGGAGTGGAAAAGAAGAGATAAGCAAAGCCGGTGATGGCCGCGAACGAGGACTGGATCGTGTTCAGCACGAGCGAGTAGGTGAATCGCTCCGTCGGCGGGTTAGGTTCGGCGGCTGTTGCTGGGCGGATGGGATAGCTTGTTGTTGTGATCGCTTCTTGGAGGACACCCCACGAGAGGCTATTGAGTGTTCTCTGTTAGTTATACACGTTGTTCTAGATATTCGGCGTATACACTTACAACGCAGCGTAGATCCCGAGAACGCAGATCAAAAGCTGCATCAACCCCGGAGTGTCGGCGACAGCCTCGAGCGCTGCGGATGCTTTCTCTGATGCGCTGCCATTGGCACTGGTTTTTCCAGTTGCGCTTCCATTAGCCGCTTTTTGGGGCTCTCCATCGTTTGGCGGCATGTGCATTAACTGCGACGAGGGAGAGCGCTGGAGCGGCGTTGCTTGCTTTTGTCGTCCCATTGCGACGAGCTGGACGTGGTCTGATTGCGAGACTCGGGAACTTGAGAGAACAAGTTCGGATTAAATAAACGAAGGGATTAACGGACCTCGTGCTGGCTAAGAAATGTCGACAGGGCCCGGAGCGCAATGAACAAATCAACAAAGCAAATCAAAATAATAAAAAAAAGTACGATGATGCCATGTGTTGTCTTCGGCAGTTCACGCTTATCGATTGATCGCCCGCCCCACACTTCTACTTTGATACTATCTTGAGCCTTGAATCTTTACCAATTGTTTTCCTATAGCATGCTACGTTAAATATTAGAGTAAATTGAGCTCATGTATAGACATGGCTTTAAGACAACATACTGGATAGCCTAAAATAGCAAGCGGTGTAGATAATCAATCCGATATAGCAGGCGGTGAACCCTCGACGATCCCGGCTCTGCCGCAATTGCCATAATATCGCAAGCTTCTCGCCGGTGCCGCCTTCGTCTTTTCAAAGCTATAACCCGCTCAAAATAACCCCCATAATGCCAAGCACACAAGAAGACCCAGCACCGCCCAAGCTGTCCTCGCTCAGCCAGCTCATCTCCGCCGCCTCAGCATCCGAGAACCCGCTCGCCGCAACCACAATCCAAATCCTGCACAATCTGCGACACCAGCACCTCTGGACATCTCTCCAGATCCATGACCTCCCCGCACATATCAATACACCAAAGGCTCCAGGAACAATACCTCATGGCTCTCCATTAGACTCGACAACCCAAAAGAATAACAACATTCTCCCGACCTCCCTGATCTCCGGCATCCCCCCGCACCGCGTCTACACGCACCCGGACGAGCAGCTCTACATGCTGGAAAAGGGTCTGCACGACGACGACCTGCGCCAAGAGCGGCTCTTTGTAATCCCCACTGCACAGGGCCAGCCATGGAGTCTGCACCGTATGGCTGCGGTCTTCGACTCGCTCGCCGAGATCAGAGTTACGGACGATGGAGCCGAGTCGAGGACAGAACAAAGTGTGGATCCCGACAAGGCGAGCAAATTGGCGGAATACTATTACAAGAAGGAGCAAGTGCGCGCGACGGGGGAGTGGGGTGGGAAGAGGTTGCTGCTGGCCATGGTGGATAGAGGCTTGGGCGGCGAGGGAACTGTTGTGTACTATGTTGTGCAGGAGGGTGAAGTCAAACCTCGACAGAACTAAGTTGTCTGTTCGAGCATGACTTTTCAACTACGAGCCTTACGGATGATATCCTATATATGCGCCATACGAAAACAACACCCCGTGGGAGAGAGCCTGAGAGCTATGGCATGTGTCCATTGCTGGTCAAGATATCAGTTAAAAACGAAAGCAAAAAAAAAAGAATCAGCCTGCTTGCATGAATACGCTGAAATATCCACAAGAAGGCAAAACTCCCTGCATATCGAATACGGACCACCGGGTATAGAGTTGGGCGCAAAACACAAGACAAAAACGCTAGATGGCGGTTCAGAAGGTCGAACTTTTTCTGGAAAAGAGAAAAAGAAAAACAGGTGGTTGCAAGCGAAGTTGAGCTTTTGTCGCAAGAAGCTCAAGCAATCAGATTTCCACGGCCATTCTCCTTGGCATGTTCCTGCTCCTTTCGACAACTGGAGCAGTATCCCTCGTACCACTGTTTCACATTATCTGCGTGTTCGGCGAAGACACGCTCAGCCTGTGCCAAGCGGCCAGCCTTCAGGTTCAAATCGTCCTCTCCAGCGTCGGTACCGAGGAGGATCTCGACTTGGCGACAGCGCCTAACCTCCTCGCGCAGCCACCGCTCCCATTCGGTCTGAACGACCTCTTTCTCGATGCTGTTGACGACGCGCAGCGCGACCAACAGGTTGTGTCGGTACAGGCCAAGGCGTTCGCGGGTTTGGTGGAATCGTTTAGCCGCGCTCTTGGCCATGGCATCCCGGGAACCGAGGGTGCTGAGAGACAGAGGCATTTCAGCGAACCGCGTAGTCTGCTCGTGGAACGTGGCGAAACAATCACTAGCATTGCCGGTGTCGGGCCAGATGGTGGTGTTTGCAATTGCCTCGTCGATGTCTCGCATGTAAATAGCTTTGCCCATAACGAGATCCGGCTGGACCCCGAGCCGAGCCATAAAGTTGCTGGCATGTCGCTCGTGCCACCAGTCCCAGCCATCTCGGGACGAGTAAAATCCGTTCATGAGAAAGCTGGTAGCCAGCAGAATCAATATCACCTTGTGGGCACTCACGGTCTTCCAGGACCATCGGACAAGATCGAACGTCGACAGCATTAGTAGCGAAACCGTGCTTTCCAGTAGAGACAAGAATGTCTCGATAAGGAGCTGAGGCATGGTCCGCTGGATCCGAGGCTTGTGGGATTCCAGCTTCAGATTGCCACCGGCACCGGTAAAGTGAGAAACGTGACTCTGGCGGCCAACATGGCCGAAGATCGTAATGGCCTTCTTCGTGCGGCTGTGTCCTCCAAGGCGGCGCACTTGGTCACTCACCAAGTCAATTAGATCCAACGCGTCGTCCTCAAGGTCCTGACTTGCTTTGCTGTCGATAATGTCTAGTAATGTTAGAATCACGTTTTTTTATTCTAGTGGAAAAAAGAAACTTACTCTTGAGGCCGTGAGGAGACCATAGCCACTCGACCTTTGTATAGACAGCGAGCTTACTCTTCGACTTGGCCACAAACGTGATCACGACCTTGCTGACCAGCCGGAAGGATCGCCGGAATGGAAGATGCCAGGGGGTTTTCTTATCGGTGATCACGTAGCACAGATGATCATTGAGTACGTCGATGATCTGATAATCCGATATTGTGTTCGGTTGAGTTCGGCCTACAAAAGATTAGTCAATAACCACTTCACACGACATTCTGAGGGATGATGCTCACCGAAAAAATCCGGCATGTCAATCTGATAGTGGAAGTCTCGTCTCAGATGTTGTGATTCTGTGCTAGCCCAAGGACCCTGCTTGATGTCTAGATAATGGGTTAGCCATGCACAAATTGTTGATCAACACGTCTTGACCTACCTCGAGCTTGTCTCTCGTGCAACAAAAGCTGCCACACAGCACTCTTGTCACCAAATAGAATGTGGAACAATGCCTTGGGGCTAACGTCGAACACTCGCTCGGTCGACAGAACCAGGTCGCCTTGTGGCACATACTCGACTGGCTGGGTAGGCAGTCTGAATTTCGGCATATCCCGTGCCCGACCAGCCTTTCCTCCATCCAGATCAAGATCCTTATCAATATAAATGGGAGCCCGGATATCCTTTCCGCGGGCAGCGGGCTGGCCTCCATCGTATTTGATGTCCGCAAACCCAGAGGAGACATCCTCCCAGCTGTCCGCACTGGACTGCCGAGTTGGAGTTCCCGTGTCCATCTTGATCAGCGATTTAATAACAGCTTCCAGAGTCATCGGCTCGACGGCGATGGAGCCCTGAATCAAAAAGTTCAATCGCTTTTGGAGAACCCGGAGGGGCTCGAGGAAGGTCTTGATCGTCACTCTGCCAGGGGTATCGCTCCCGAGAGGTGGGATGGTGTGGAGGAAGAGGAAATCACAGTCCCGTCCAGGGGCCGCCGTCACTTCTTTGATACTGTCCAGAGAGACACTCGTAGTCAAAACCAGGCCGAAATGGTGGCTGTAAAAGTACACATTTCGGGTTGTGACATAAGCTCTGCCAGGGAACTCTTGCTGGTCATTCGGGCTCCAGGTGGCCCTGAATACCAAAACCAGCGCCTCCTCCCTTTTGACATCAGGGAAGAGCAGCCGGAACTGAGCATCCTGGATTCTCAGCTGCTGGGGATAGTAGCTAGGATACTCATGTGCAATCCCCAGCGCGGCACGCTGGATTTTCGATTGATCCCCATCAAGACTGACGGTCTGCCTGTGGCGGGGACCTGATGGCTGACGAGATGCCGGCGATGTGCCAGATAGATCTGTCTGTGGGGTTATCGTCTCTTTGGAGGAGTCGCTCATGATAGAAGAGGGCCTTCCTTCTAATAAGTCATGCTCTTCGTTGGCCTGCTGGAGGCGTTCACGCTGAAGTTTGTTCATAAAGCCCCAGTTTGAACTACCCCACAAGTTTGCCATCATACCGCTAGGCATTCCACCCGTGCTGTCCACGAGTCCTAATCCAATGCCTCTTTCACTGTTCACGACCACGGCTGCCTTGCTCATGCTAGTGGGAGCGGGAGGGTTGGCCAGTGTTGGAGGAGCAAGGCTTGAGCCGGGCTCATCGATATTGCTCAGGCTGCGACCTCGGTTGCCATTCTCTGCTGCGTTGACAGCAGCAGTGCCAGCATAAGGGAGGATATTATGGCTGGCAGAGATGAGACTGGCTATACCACCAGCAGGACCGGGAATGGAGGGAGATGATGGGGGTGCGTTATTCGACTTGCGATGAAGATCCAATTTCTGGATGATTCTGGACGTGTGCTCTCTCGTGGAACTTTCACTTTCCATCCCGCCTCTTTTGCCGTTGCCGATGTCAGTGCTGTTTCGGAAAGCCAGACCATCGCGCTCTGGCACAGGAAGGGTTTGACTACGTTCTGTCGAAGAGCTTGGCTCGTCATGTGTATGGGGAGTAAGTGAGTCAGCCGGATCCGCGGCGAACTCGGGGGCCGGCGGCTGAGAGATGGAGAAGGCAGGGTCTTGGACGGTGACTTTCCCAGAGATGGATAGATCTGTGCTTGCCGGGTTTTCCAACGCTTTCTGCTTGGCAGCCTCAAAAGCGCCGATCCACTCCATCAGCTCCTTTTGAGTTTCTGTTTGCAACACAATGTTGTTGTTCTTGGTCTTCACTTGGAAGCAAAACCGACGCTCCTCTTGAAAAGCAGGACGAACACTGCAGAGCAATACGCCAATGCGCTCGCTTTCCTCGACACCACCGGTACGTGTGCCTTGCACAAGGCATCCGAATATACCGTGTTTCAAGAATGCCCATCGCCGCACCCACACTGTGCGAGTCGGCTTTCCTGACAGCGTTCGCAAGTTCAACCAGCCTTGCTTTTCTGGTCTCACATCCTTGGCCACATTGAGTGCGGATATAGGGCGAGACCCGAGGTAAGGGACAGTCGAGATCGAATAGTCCTCTAACTCACGAGACGGTCGAGCCACCATCTCCGCGGCCTCCTCGATTTGCACCCGAGTAGAGAGGAGTTCTCGTTTGGATGATCTTTCACTCGATTCCATCTCATGGATCCAGCCCTTGATTCGATCCATCTCATGTGCCCATTTCGAGAAAGTAGTGCTATTATTATTGTGGAATGACCGGAACTCTCGCCACTGATCAAAGGAGATCCGGACCAAGAGTCTGTCGAGAGCATTGCGGAGCTGGGGAGCTTGCACCGAGAAGTCCATGGAAGCTTTAATATAGGCCTTGCGGGCCTCATGGAGCTGAAACGCTTCTTCTCTCAGGGCCGAGCTGTCCTTGGATTTGGACTGCGATGAATATCGAGCTTGCATGTAATCATACTGCTTCTGGGCGTGTTCGAGGGCACGTCGAGTTTCCTACAGCGGTATCGGTCAATAATGCCCACTTGCCACGCATCCGTGTTCCGTGTTCCGTGCTTACCTTGAAATGCCGCAAGTCCTCATGGATGAACGTCCGGATGGGTTCGGCGATCAAAGACTCCAGCTTCTTAGTGCTGTTGACCAACCCGCCCCATAGATCCTTGGAACCGTCTCCGCACCTCCTCATCGCCAACAAGGTATAGTCATGATCAACAACCGCTTCCGAGACGACAAGGGGATGTGTGGAGTAGGAAAGAAAGTTTCCCACAACACTCTCCAATGTCATCAGCTCAGAGGTAACCTTTGTCGCGGCCTTGGCGTATCCGTCCAGCCATTTTTCAAGAAACTCGATCTGGTCGCAGAAGTGGAGGGTGGTGGCGCGGAAGGTTGGGGAATCGAGAGCAGCTTCCTTGAGGCCGACGGGGCTGGGAATCGCGGCCAAAATCAGCATGAACCGTCGGGTAGCCGAGCACTTCCACACTTACACGACGCTCACCAGCTTCCCGACCTGGGGTAATGAGGTGTGTGCTTGAGTCGACATCTAGTGCATGCCTCCAGCCATACACCCGACGCGAACGAAAGGATAGTCGAGGCGTAAAGAGTCCGCAAACTTCAGATACACGCGACGTTAAAATATTATTCGAAATCCGATTGAATTTCCAGGGGAGCTTGAAGGGCGCCCACGTGTAGCCGGTCAAGCCAGAAAGCGCTGCAACGGTCTGGACTAAAGCTGGACTAAAGTGATTGGCGACGTCAGTACGCTTGTAATGCCTGAGAAACCAGGCGCCACAAGGCAGGCCCTCCCAAAGGCGGTCGGTGAATTTTTTTCTTTCTGCCGGCCCAGCATTTCTCTGCGCAACCAGCGATCTTAATACAGTACACTTGACAGCAATGGAGCCTCCATCAAAAAAGATGCGGAAGCTGCTGGATGAAGACAGCTCCAGCGACTCTGGTGATGCTGCTGGAGGAGTTCCCCTGGGCAAGCAGTCACCTAACTCCGAGTTCAAAATCAATGAGGAGTTCGCCCGCCGATTCGAGTATAACAAGAAGAGAGAAGAGGTGCAAAAGTGTATGTATGGCCTGCATTTGTCTTTATTACAAACTACTAACATTCATCGGTGTAACAGTGGAAGCCAAATATGGCAAATCATCTGGTCTGGGGAAACGCCAAGCGAACGATGATGCCCCCGAAGGCTCGGACGAGTCCTCTTCTGATGAAGAGGAAGATGAGGATGGAGAGCTGGCGACGGAGGCTGTTGATGCCGAGATCATGGCGACCCTGAAAGCCATTCGATCCAAGGACCCGCGGGTGTACGATCAAAATGTTACGTTCTACACCAAGCCGGACGACGCCAATCCCGAGGTCAAGGACAAGAAGGAAAAGCCGATGACGCTGCGGGACTATCATCGCGAGAACCTGCTGAGTGGGGTCAACCCGGCCGACGAAGAAGAAGCCCCCAAGACCTTTGCAGAAGAGCAAGCCGACTTGAAGAATGCCCTTGTCAAAGAGATGCATGCGGCGACAGGCGAGGAGAAGTCGGGAGATGAAGAGATGGAAGATGCCGACGATGACTTTCTGGTTCGCAAACCTGGCCAGGAGAAGACTTCAGCGCCGAAGCCCGAGGTCAATCTGGACATCGAGAATGCGGAGAAGGACCCCGAGAACTTCTTGTCCAATTTCATGTCCTCTCGCGCGTGGATTCCCACGGATCGACCAGAACTCCACCCGTTTGAATCAGATGACGATGAAGAGGTGGACCGAGCCGATGCCTTTGAGGAGGCGTACAACTTCCGTTTCGAAGATCCCAGCAAGCTCAACGAGAAAATCGTCACCCATGCCCGTGATTCCACCAACAAGCTCTCTGTTCGTCGAGAGGAAAAGAGCTCGCGGAAGAAGGCTCGTGATGCCGAGCGCCAGCAGAAGGAGGAAGAGAAGAAAGAGCGGGAGACGGAAAAGAATCGTCTACGTAAACTGAAAGTCGAGGAACTCCAGAACAAGGTCAATCAGGTTAAAGAGGTGGCGGGCCTACGCGCATCCAAGTTCACGGACGAGGACTGGTCTCGGTTCCTGGACGATTCATGGGACGACAAAGAGTGGGAGAAGGAAATGCAAAAGCGCTTTGGGGAGGAATACTACGCTGAAGACGACGCCAATGAGAGTGACAACGAAGGAAGCAAAAAGCGGAAGCACCCCAAGAAACCCGAGTGGGACGATGACATCGATATCAAAGACCTTGTGCCAGACTTTGAAGATGAAGAGGTGCGGCCCATGGTCGAACTCTCCGATGCCGAGGGCGAGGAAGATGATGATGCTGCCTCTGGATCCAAGAAGAAGAGCAAGGCCCAGGAGAAACGCGAGCAGAGGCGCGATGCTCGCAAGGAGCGTCTCCGTATTGAGGAAGCGGTTGACCGCAACCTGGACCTTGATATCACTCTCCTTCCCGGTGCCACCAAGAAGAACGCGACTCAGTTCCGCTACCGTGAAACCTCGCCTCAAAGCTTTGGCTTGACGGCGCGAGACATCCTCATGGCGGACGACACGCAGCTCAACCAGTTTGCGGGTCTGAAGAAGCTCGCCGCCTTCCGAGACGATGAAAAGAAACGGCGTGACCAAAAGAAGCTGGGGAAGAAGGCCCGTCTTCGCCAATGGCGCAAGGACACCTTTGGCAATGAGGAAGGCCCCAAGTTCTCCTTTGACGGAGGCGACGCGTCGCGTCCGGCTGCAGAAAAGGACGATGCCCCCGACGAAGCCAAGGTCGACATCCGCGAAGGAGATGGGACAAGGAAGAAGAGGAAGCGGTCGAAGAAGCACTGAGTGCAAACATGATCATGTAGCCATTGTCCATAGTTTCATATAATCCTTTTTATATGCACGAAGACCTGGTAAGCTTAGCGTAGCTAGAGAAATTTGGGTTTATTTTTTCGCCGAATGGAGGTTTTGCTCGTGTTCTGATTCGCTTGATAAATGCATTTTCATGGGTAGGCTCCTGATTCTTGACGGTCTCTTTGTTGCCAGACCACTCGGATATCCTGCATGGGTCAGATATATACATCGGCACTCATAAACCGATTGAAGCCCAACTCGTCGTTAGCTGGTTGATAACCAAATAAAGGAATAAATACACAGGCACCACAGCAGACCACAGAACCACCATTCAAGACCATCCTACCACTTCGAATAAATCTCTTTCTGCACTAGTGTTGCCGTTTGCCTCGATAGGGCATCCCGGAACACCCAAAAGGGTAAGCAGCCATGCGACCGAATCTCTATTGCATCTATTCCTCGAGGTACTCCCGTTCAATATACATTGTTATGATTATTATGACTAGATTTTGTTTCTGGCTATAAGTTCCCCTCCATGCTTAATCCATGCGTCCATAATTGCCATAACATGGTCACTTTGTCTGGTTTCGGTCCGGAAGTAAAGTGGGCCTGCGCTATTATTGGAGTGTCCCTGACCTTGTCCACGTACCCAGGTACTTGGTCCATGCAGAGTTCCTCCACCATCAAATTGGTACCAGTGACAGACACCAAGGGCAACAGTAAAATGGCTCATACTACACAAAATCTGGTCATTCTTTCCAGGACAACTCAGTCCTGGAAGGTCTCTTGAGAAGCGTGTAAGCATAGTATAAGCATAGCATGTTGAAATCACGATAGGGATTCTTGGCCGATAGATTTGCATAGGCTCAAATTATAAGCTAATCCTCCACAGACAAGGTCTGTTTTCCAAGCAAGGGAATTTGCAAATTATTTAGGTATTTGGATGGAGAGTAGGCTACACTAATCACAAGTGAGGTATTCAAAATACTTCAGAAAATCTAGAAGCAATAGGATCAACCCCGGGAAGCCAGAGTCTGGGGCAACCGGTGGCAAGAGAGAAATTTTTTTTTATACAAAGCCGGTTGACTCGGGTGGTCGGGGCAGGGAAAAAGGAGGTTGCCCCGGTGTGGGCGCAGAGGCTCGGCATTGGACGGCGAACGATACGGATCTGTTACTTGGTTGCTCGGGACTACCGTCATCATGAAGCTGCCAGATACAGTAGAATAAGTATAGATGAATAAGAGAAAGGACAGAGAGAATAAAATATCCATGGATAGCTCAATGATATAGATATTAATATTATCTTCTTGACATATTATTTGAATATTAAAGTACCTCCGTTATACTGTATAACTGCGATGCAGAATTTTCCAGGGCATCGGGAGATATCGGCAGGCGGACGTGACGGCGTAATTTCACCCCCTGCTCTGCCTGATTGGGCTCTAGCGTCTGCCGTTCGCTTCGGCCAGTATTTTTCTTCCCCCTTCCGCCCCTTCTCGCTTTCTCTTTTTTTCTTCTCTCCCATCCCTGTGAAGTGTCCATCCTTTTCACTTCTTCCCATCTCCCCTCTTTCTTGTTGTCGCATTTATCTCTTGCACAACCTTCAAAATGTCTAAGGGTGACGTTAACCAGGCCGACAAGTCGGTGTTCGGCATGCCCGTAAGTTTTTCTGCTGAGCTGGCCATCTCGACTGCGCGCAATGGGTGCCATGGGTATGGTATTTGGTGAATTCCAAAGCATCCATCCAATCCAAAATACGCAGGAGAAATGGCCAGCAGACATATCTTCCTCGATCTCGCTGAATTGGCCATGCTAACGAAGTTTTTTCACAGGGCTTCGTTGTCGACTTCATGAGTATGTGACATGCATTCAGCATTCAAGCCTTGCTCATCCCTGGCTTGCAAATATCAATGATTGCAACGATACTAACTGGTTTGCAGTGGGTGGTGTCTCCGCCGCTGTCTCCAAGACCGCTGCTGCCCCCATCGAGCGTATCAAGCTCCTGATCCAGAACCAGGTTGGTCAATTCTGTTCACCAACTACCGATCGACACAGATCGAAAAGAATACAGATTCTCAATGGTGGCTTCGACTGCGTGCTCCAACAAATGGATGCGACCGGCGATTCACATGTTTGAGAAGAAAATTTTTTTCGGCCCGGGTCGATCGGCGGCCAAAGCTTTGACATCCGACCACGGTTTAACATGTCGACTATTATAGGATGAGATGCTCAAGGCCGGTCGTCTTGACCGCAAGTACAACGGCATCGGTGACTGCTTCAAGCGTACCGCCGCCTCCGAGGGTGTCGTCTCCCTGTGGCGTGGTAACACCGCCAACGTCATCCGTTACTTCCCCACCCAGGCCCTGAACTTCGCCTTCCGTGACACCTACAAGTCGATGTTCTCCTACAAGAAGGAGCGTGATGGCTACACCAAGTGGATGATGGGCAACCTGGCCTCCGGCGGTGTATGTATTCTCCTGAATCTCTGGCTTGAAAACTCCGACTAACGGCTACCCAGGCTGCTGGTGCCACCTCCCTGCTCTTCGTCTACTCCCTTGACTACGCCCGTACCCGTCTGGCCAACGACGCCAAGTCCGCCAAGGGTACCGGTGACCGTCAGTTCAACGGTCTGGTTGACGTCTACCGCAAGACCCTCGCCTCCGACGGTATTGCCGGTCTCTACCGTGGCTTCGGTCCCTCCGTTCTCGGAATCGTCGTCTACCGTGGTCTGTACTTCGGTATGTACGACTCGATCAAGCCCGTCCTCCTGGTCGGCCCTCTCGAGGGTAGCTTCCTTGCCTCGTTCCTGCTCGGCTGGACCGTCACCACCGGTGCCGGTGTTGCCTCGTACCCCCTGGACACCATCCGTCGCCGTATGATGATGACCTCTGGCGAGGCCGTCAAGTACAGCAGCTCCATGGACGCTGCCCGCCAGATCGTCGCCAAGGAGGGCACCAAGTCGCTCTTCAAGGGTGCCGGTGCCAACATCCTGCGTGGTGTCGCCGGTGCTGGTGTCCTGTCCATCTACGACCAGGTCCAGCTCCTGCTCTTCGGCAAGAAGTTCAAGTAGATGATTGCCTGAAAAAAGTCAATCTCATGCCACTGTAGTTATACTGGAGTCGGGGTTGAATCCCTGCCCCAGTGTAACTGGGTGCGGGAAGATGAGGTTGTGGGAACAAAAGATAGATGCGTCAAGAAACGGGTTCGGGGGGATCTTGAAGCATAGAATGGTGTGATTCTTCCCCTTTTTTGTGCCCGATGTATTTTACTGCCTGCAAACTCTTTCTTTTTCTTCAATTTGTACTCCTTTTATTGCGATGTCTCAACGTAGCGATCTGCTTTTCCGTAAACACTCTTGGGAATTAATAGTAGCCAGTAAAGCTGGCCTGCCGTATATATTCGACTGGTCTTGGTTTCACAGGCAGGGCATCGACGGCGATGACACTTGTACAGATGCCTGATAGTATCTCTCACCAAACCTCATATTATTGACCGCGTATTTATTTCCTGTGCGAGCGCAAAAACCATATAGTCCTAGTAGACGGAAAACTATGCTTAATCGTCCTAGGACTGCTGTGGCGGTTTAATAGACAAGTGTACATAGTTGTACTTGACTATTTGACCAACTCTTGCTTGATCGAATGCGGAAGTAATAATGGGGAGCGGCTATTCATCTCTTATAGCTGAGTCTATTTCCTACCTGTGTAAATCCAAACAGTAAGGGATATTTGTTTTCTTTGAGGATTTCCCGTAAATAGTCCCCAACCTACTAGATGCGTCTGTACTTTTGTCCCAGGTATTCCCAGTATGAGTTTCGTGCCCAGAAGATACCCCTGTCAGAGGTACCTCCACACCGAAGCGGCAAACAGCCCCACACATGACGTCCGCAAGCGCCCTGAAAGCAACTTTGTCCTTTTAAAAGTAAACTGACAACTTTCCCTTTCTCTTTTTCTTTTTCTCCCCTCTATCTTCTTCTCCCAACATCCACATTTCGAAACAAGACAAAGAACAGAAGAAAATGGCTGGCCCCACAGGAATCCCAACCTACGCGTCCGCGCCCCTCAACTCCAACAACACAGACGCAACCACCCACGGCTCTACCTCACAGCCTGGACCCGCAACCGCAACAGAAACCGAGGCCTCCGCGACCGCGACCCCATCGCAACCCGCCTCCACCTCTGCCACCGCAACTGCGCCCTCGTACTCACCCATCTACACAACCGCGCAACCCGTTGACTCATCCTCTGCCTCTGCCCAGCCCGGCGCAGCACCGAGCCTCGCAGCTCCAACAGCAACGAGCATCGCGCAGCCGCCCCAGCCAGGCACATCTTCTAATTCTTCTTACTCCCTCAGCGCAACCCCAACAACCTCAACCTCTGGCTCTCCGCCTGCCCCCCAACCCGGCGCACAACCAGTCCCCACCGCATCACTCGCACCCGCGCCTACATCATCGATCCCCCCCACCCCCCAAAGCAGGAGAGCCTGTTTCGTCTACTACAGCTGCTGCGCAGCAGACACCATACACCCAATCATACGCCTACCAACCTCCATCCACAGCAACAACAACAATATCAACAAGCAATCCCTCAATCCCAAACTCCACCTCCGCCCCCTACGCCACCCTCTACCCATCCACCTCTACTACTTCCTCTGCAGGCGCTGCGCATCTCCCGCTGCACAATACCAGTGCAGCCGGTGGTGGTGCGGCGAGTATCTTCCCGGACGAGGAGCCCGGGGTGATGGGCACGGCCAAGGCGTGGATACAGACGGCGGGGACGAAGTTGGCGGAGGTGGAGGCGGAGGTGTGGAAGCGGATTAATAGTGCTCATGATGGGGAATAGGGAAATAGTGTGATGTGTATCTTTTTGTGTGTGTCTTGCAATATACTTGCGATATCTCTCAAAAGAAGATGATTTGGCATTTGGTTATTTAAAGCATTGAGTCTTTGTTTCTGATTTTTGAGGTACTTGCAGTACATATGTATGTGGACTTTTGCTTTTGGTGTGGACTCTCTTTTGCATGCTCTGGCCTTGAGAGGTAAAAAGGGTAAAAAAAAACATTATCTTTGGTGGGGTTGAATCAAGCATACTTGAATGGTATTTGGAGTCTGGTGTGCAATTGACCAGGGTAGTTAGAGACCGTTGAATGAGATATACAAGTCCTGTACAGTGCATGATATCCATGGATTCAAAACAATCTCTTACTATGAGCCAGCTGCTTCAACCATCAATCTACTAGACAAGATCAAATACAGCTCGAATAAAACCTTGTAAAATCAGATCAAGAGACACTCTTGGATCCAAGATTGATTCCAGAATCCCAGCATGCAATGGCACACCAGATCCAGCTACCTAAAGATAACCCTATGTACTTCTGTGGCAGTCCCAACTGCCATCCAATTCAACCCGAACATGATCCCGAGAACCCTCCGGTAACATGTACACGAAGGACCCAAACAATAAGAAACAACAAAACTCAGTTCAATCAATGAAGATGACCGAGACAAAACAAAAATCAGTTTGCCAGACAAAATGCGAGGACGCGCGAGCCAGTACTGTGCAGTTAAGACGACCGACACCTCACTCCCCGTGTTCCGTGTTAGACATTCTGATCATGATGGGGGAGTTTCCAGAGACAATAAACAAATAGCACCAAAACCCAGAAAATATTAGAAAAGAGTACTCCCTGGAAAAAGAGGGGGCAAAAAGAATCATGACCATGGGCTGCGGCCCGAGAATGATGCAATGAGAGAAAAGAAGAATGAAAACGCCAAAGACAATCCAGAAGCTGCGAGCTTCACAAGGAACTCGCAAGCAGAGGGGGTATTTGCACTTGTCATTCATGCGCAGACCATTCATCGTCTGTTCGGAATCGGCCATGACAAGCGTGTCGTTGCGAGCATCAAACAAAAACATCATAAAAAAAAAAAAACGCCGCCTTTCAAATCCCAAACCCAGAAAATCTCTGACGCCGATATCCCAGCAGTCGATCCAAGTAGTCGCACTGCAAGCTTTTCCAAGACTCTTGGTAGCTTGTTTCTTTTCTGATTAATCGTAGAAAAACACCGTGAAGCACGTCAAGAAGCGGTCCGGACCAGCCTTGACGACCTCATTATGGCTGAAAAGGTGTATGCCGAAGAGAATGTAAAAAAAAAAGCCGAAGAAACAAATAATAACTAAAACGCCGGTGATGATCATGGTAGAGCCCTACATCGAGCCCAGCCGGAGAAGGGCTTCCACCGCGGCGCGTTCCTGGGTATCGAAGGTGCGGGGCGCCGACTTGGCCATCGCCGAGGGAGGGCCATTTCCAACCAGGCCGGGAGGCTGTGGCTTCGCGCGGGCCGCGACATGGTTGCGGACAAAGCCGCCGCCACCGTTGAGCGAGCGGGCGCGCAAGGCGTCTGCACCGATCTGCTTCCAGTCCTCCTCGTCGGTCACATCACCTTCGTCAAACTCTTCGTCCTGCATTTCGTCAGGCGCTTCAGAGGAAGAGCAGTACTCGCGGCCGTCGCCGTCTAGCGACATCTTGTCGGCCTCATGTTCAAGCATGTCGAGGTCCTCATAGCCTCCGTAATCCTCGGTATACGAGAACGCGGTGGAATCGGGCATGCTCGCACCGTAGGGGTCCCTGCGTTGCGTCCAGCCAGGACGGCCCTGGATCTGCAAGCCGCGCTGCTGGAACGAGTCTGCCAGGCTGGAGGCAGGCGACGACGCGTTGCAGGAGCGATCGCGCGCAGGCTCTCCACGACGGCGCGCGTCCCAGCGACCCCAGCCGATTTTTTCGAAGATGACATCGCCATCTGCATCGCCGGCGTCGCCACTGCCCCGACTTTCCAACGCGGCCACGACGAGCCGACGCGCTTTGGCGGGAGGGATGCGCGAGAACCCCGGGACAGACGTCGTCAGGTCGCCCATGACGTGGCGAATGGCCATGGGACCCTGCTGCAGCAAGATCTCGGGCAGGTGGTATTTGGCCAGCATCGTGGGCGTAATCGCGCCGGCGCTCTCCAACTCCTGGCTCGGCTGGGGCTGGTTCTGGCTGTTCGCATGCTCGACCGCGTCCTGCAGATCGATATCCGAGTCCAGCTGGGGCACCGTGGAGAGAGGCGACCCAGGCGACAGGGCTGGGCGATGTTTGAAGGCTTGAGGAGGGAGGGTGGGTGAGATGGAGTTGGGTGGCGTAGGCAACATGGCGAGTTGTCCGAGGCGAGAAGGGGCGCGGCCACCTTCAGCGAGACCGGAACGGGGTTGGGGGATATCAACAGAGGCAGTCTTGCCAGCAAGAGCCATCGCAAGGCTGGAGTTGGTCTGGGAAGCCATGGTTGATTGAAAGAAGAAGAGGGTGGACAGGTGGCTGAATTGGGGGTTAATAAATGAGTCAGAAGGCGTTTCATACGCGACAAAGCCACGCCACAAGATGACGGATCTGGTGGCGACCAGGCAGCTCCATGAAAAGGAACAGGATACAAAGAAAAAAAAAAAGAAGTAAAACACTCACCTCTTGTAAAGCACAAAGAGACACCGTTGAGTTGGGGAGTTGTAAACGCGACACGGCAAGCGATAAGGACACCACGATGCGACGCGGTCAGGGGGGAGATAAGTCGCGATAAGAGCAGATCACCGAAGACTGGAATGGAGTGAAGCGAGCAAATGGTGGAATGGAGGGGGAGGATTGAGGAATATTTAGGAATCACGAAAGAAGCATCGGAGAGGGGGGGGTACAGTCAGACAAGTGTGACTTGTACTTGGGGGGGGGGGGAGTACCAGAGGTACCTCGAATCATTAGTCTGCGACAGTACAAAGGGCAAGTACTCCCTAAGTACCCATTGGGAAAGTATGGAACTCCGCAGGCGCAGCGCAGACGAGGCGCGTGGGGAGTTGATTGGCGTGGAGCCCGGGAGGATCCGGTTCACGTTCTTATCCTCACCATCTACACTCTCCATCACCATCATCTCTTCTATCAAGTGAATCTTGGAATCTTGGAATCTTTGATCCTTGGTAGACAATACTAATGAACTCATATCCATAATCACCCGCTCCCTAAGGAATCCTCTTCCAGGCATTTGCACTGGCCGCCAAACCCCCTCACGCCAATGCTTGTTATCGGCCAGTCATGAGGCCTGGTGATGCTCGTGCGTCCCAGGGCGTAACCCTATCCCCGTGATGGCATCCCCTGCCTGCACGTGTCTTTTTCCTTTTCTTTTGCTTTCCTTCCTTTTCGCCACAAAATTTGATCGATGACATGATTCTTTCATGATTGTCTTCATGATTGAATGTCCCCTTAATGTCACAATTTTTGATCCTCTCCACAGCTCCCGATATAGGACTGGTGGAGGCTGACGTCACTAGGGTGATTCGTGGAAATCAATACTTGGGATCACCTAGGTACCTAGGTTCCTAGGCTATAGTGGCTGCATGATTATCATTATCATGACCCTCAGCCATTATTAAGAGAATGAAGAGAATGCAATGCATGCCCCGCCCTGACAGCCGAGCAATGCATTGCATTACTTGACCTTCCTACCGGGGATGGGTATACTTACGTAGTATACCCACAACCTCGGTCCACTATATACAACCTGGTTCTCGAATTGATTACTTGAGGTCCAATTTAGGTACCCGAAATGATGCTGCTCATTGATGAAGTGTCCAAACACAATCTGACTTTGAACTGAACAACTCCGACTTGTCCATCTTCTTCCCCTCCAACTGATCCGATGCCGCATCTCTCCCCACCCGCTTCAACCAAACCTTCAAGTCAAAACACCCCTCACTCAAATCCCGCGGATTCCTGAACAGAAAAGCGGACCCAGGCTGCTGCGCTGGCCATATCCCATCGGTATACGTGATCGCACACGACACGGGCTGGTAATTGCGCGTTTCGTAGGCAGCCAGCTTCGCGGCCTCCGCCACGCTGCGCACATTATATACAGCACCCTTGACAATATCGCTCGGGACGCTTCCCACTAGAGCTGGGTACTGACCCCACAGTTTGCATTGGTACCCCTCGATGTACGCTGGTCGCAGCTCAGGCTTGGTGTCTAGCCCTAGAATCTCACCGAGGATCCCTGGGTCTAGGAGTGATCCATAGAAGAAATACGGACCTGTCGGTAGATCAGACGGGTCTATAGGAGCGTTGTTGATAATAGGGAAGAATTTCTCTGGAGGTGTACTTCGTAGTTTGCGCACGGCTGGCGAGATCTTTGACTCGGGGTGCGCGGGTGGAGGTGGGGGTGGAGGGGCAGAGTCCGACATGACTGCATGGGATGGTGGGAAATGCAACTATGGTGTGTGGTGGAATTCTGGGTATTTGTATTGGGAAGGGATCCCTGCTGAAACAACCTGATCAATGCACTCTGCCGTCTTCGCTATTCTCCTAGAAACAATATGCCTATCTGCTTCTACTTGGCATAATCCATAGTATAGCCTATCGTCGGAGTATTTTTTTGGGTGAATAACACAAGTCTCTTCCTTTTTCACGACATCTAATATGGGCCAAACTATTCATATATCGTAAATATATGATAGGAAATGTTACTTCCCAGAGGCTAGAGATAGTCCAACTTGCTGGGATAGAACAGTATAATCGTTATTAAAACAGCTAATGGGTAAGTCCATCCGCAGACTTCAAAATAAAATCTCTGGGGAGCTCAATCTGGCTTTCTAGAGGTCCAGCCCAGTATCGAGAATTTAATATATCAGCGCAGGTACAATCGCAGCCAGTGCTTTTGCTCGAGTCCACAACACATAATCTACTACCAAGATCCATGGGTCAACTCGCAAGTGCCTGTGCTAGCTAGTATACATCCCATTGCTGCCATATACCTGTCGACCTGTGGATATTTATATCAACCTTGCCATATCTTAGCCATCACAACACGGCAAGAGATTGGCAGCCATGCGGCCGGCCCCACAGGGGGGTCCATTTGTTTCTTGAGAGTCAGCGCAACGAGATTATGCGATTGCGCCCGGTTACGCTCAGGGGCAAAGCAATGAGATATCTGGCCAGATACATTGACAGTCCCATGAGGAGTCAATTTTCTACAACACAAGCAACGCATCTCTAGAACGCAAGACCGTCCAAGGCTATTATTACCAAGACCCACGAGGGTTCAGGATCGACAGGCACTCCTACCGAAAGATTCTGTCGGGGGCCAATTGAACGGGCCACGCGTCGGGAATTGATCGGTGACCCTCATTTCTTTTTTTCCCGTTTATCTGAGAAAACGGTTGGATCTGCTCCTTTCCAAACCCCATGCGGTTTCCCCATCTTCAACCATGCCACAAGGCTTGAGGCATGGAGCCAGCCGGCGGATCCTCGTGATCTTCCTGACGGGCGTGCTGCTTCTCAAGACGTATTGGCTATGGCACGGCGCCTGGGGAGACCCCATCGCTGCCATGCCCCTGATCGTTCGCCAGGCGCGAATGTGGCAGGATTTCCATTCGCTGCTGGAGCAGCATGCGCCTACGGGCTCGCCTCCGCTCATTATTCTGGGAGCAGGAGCCCAGCGATTCAATCCGTTGAGCGACTCTGTTCGCCAGAATTATATTTATAATGCTGTCGACCTGCTGCAGCCCATGCAGGAGGCGCACGACGGCTTCGTTAAAGCTATCCAAGCTCCCATTGACCCGGCCTACGTTCCCAGGACGAAGGGAATTGTTTCGGCCGCGGGGGGCACTTACTTGCCGACTTTTGTCGTGTCTCTGCGCATGCTCCGCCGCACGGGGTCCACGCTGCCCGTGGAGCTCTTCCTCAAGGACTGGGGCGAGTACGAGCCGTACATCTGCGGGATCGTGCTGCCGGCGCTGAACGCGCAGTGCAGAGTGATTTCGGCGATCTTGGTGAACCAGGAAACCGAGAAAGGACACGCGCACAAGATCGAGCACTACCAAATCAAATCGTTCGCGATGCTCTTCTCGTCCTTTGAGAGTTTCCTTTGGATGGATGCGGACTGTTTCCCCCTGCATGACCCGTCAATCTTGCTCAATTACAAACCGTTCACCTCAACGGGTCTCGTCACCTGGCCCGACTTCTGGACCAACACCATGTCCCCGATATACCTCAATATCTCGCGGCAGCCAGAACTCCCGACATCGGCGCGGCAAGCGACCGAGGCCGGGGTCATACTGGTTTCGAAGCGATCTCACTTCCACACGCTTCTGCTGTCCGCGTATTACAATTTCCACGGGCCCTCCTGGTATTACATGCTGCTAAACCAAGAGTCGCCGGGAACAGGCGACAAGGACACGTATCTGCAGGCGGCCACGGCGCTGGGCGCCAAATTCTATGCCGTCAGCGAGCCCGTCGCCGATCTGGGGAACCGCGCCGGCGACGGCGGCGTGCAGGGTGCGGCGATGTTGCAGGCCGACCCCATCCAGGACTACGACCTGACGAGTCGGGGGAAATGGCGCGTCAGGGATCCGTCGGTGGCGAAGGCCCCGCGGGGTTTCTTTATCCATGCCACCAATCCTGAGTTCAATCCCGGGAAACAGCTTATGGGGGAAAAGTCCAAGAAGACGGATGGTACTCCCGGCCGGCTGTGGACGGCCGATGAAAGCGCTCTCCGCCGTTTTGGGTATGACGCTGAAAAGGCGTATTGGGAGGAGGCAAAGACGGTGGCATGTACACTAGAGCATAACTTTGTCACTTGGCGGGACAAGTCTGGTATCTGTCAGGGCATGCAGGAGCACTGGGGGGCTATTTTTGAGGATCCGGACGCCGAGGCGCCCATATTTACGACTGGCCTCTTCTGGAGCTGATGATCGGGGAAGAGATATGACCACAAGAAAGCAATGTATGAATAGTGTCGTTGATTTTTGAGCAATGCAGAGTGTATATATCCTGACGCAGAAAGAAAACTATACAAGACCTGCCATCTAACTTGATTGCCTCGCATAGTAAGAGCAGTAATAACGACAAAGAAAATTTGAGAGATCACTCCAGCAAGAAGACCAGAAGTAGAATATATCAAAATCACCTACTGGAAAATCAAATTAAAAAACAACGTCTGTACAAACTATCTATGGATATAGATCATGGACAAGATCACGTGCCGCATCCGATCTTATCGCATCCGAACCGGCCCGTCGCCTTCGGATATTGCGGGGAGAAAGAAGAGTGACAGATGAAGTCAACTTCCGTTTTTGCCTTGAGCCGATTATGCAGCTGCGCCCACCCGACGCAGATTCCTCGTGAAGTCCCATATAACGCCATGGTCGCCCGGGGCGTCGATGTGATTTCGTTTTCTTTTCGCTGTTTCTCATTCCTGGCTGGATCAACCTTAGCGGAGCCTCCCTGCGCGACATCTATTGAGCACATAATACCCACTTCCTTCCACCGCTGATCGCAGAGTGGTCTCCCGCGGGCTGCATCTATATAACCGGCTATTCAGAGAGACAACCAGGCAAACCAGCCGAGGCTGCACGCATATAAACCCATTTCCAAGCCAAGAAGCCAAACAATCATGGCAAGCGACGGCAACGTCAACAACTCACCATATTCTCCGATTCTCGAGACAAGCCGGATCTTCTCCGAGCTGTGTGATCAATCCGAGCGTCTCAACTTGCCGCCAGAGGTGCAGGCAAGCAAAGACCGGGTGTCATTCTCCACTAGCCACAATGAGATCTACTTCCCGATCCCGTTCAAGGAATCCGAGACCCTGGCGGCGCTGAAGGGCGTCGAGGGTTCTGTGGCTGCTGCTATCGCGGACCTCCGCTTCGGACGGGGTGCATCGCCGCGCAGTGTCCAGGTGAGCCTGGAGGGCGCGACGGCGTTCGGGTGCCAGGCGTACATGGCCAAAGTGGATGGGTTGTCGAAGCTGGATTCGGCTGTGAAGGCGAAGTTGAAGGGTATGTGTTCTTTTTCTTCTTTCTTAATTATCATCATCTTCTTTTATACATCCAGGCTAAGAACTCTGACTGACCATCGTGCAGATACGGATTTGTTGGCTGCCCAATCAAATGGCTACCGTCGTATGTCGGCCAATTTGTACAAGACAAAGAACCCCGGCGAGTTCTTCCATATTCATGGCTCGTTGGAGGCCACGTCGACATTCAATATGATTGGACTCGAGGGCCACCGTCCGGATCTGACGGACTACGAGGAGGTCATTAAGGTGATTGAGAGTCGTGTGCAGAAATACTCTGCCGCCGAACTGGAAGAAATGAACAAGGAGCGGCGGCAGGCGGGTGTGACGGCCTTGAAACATGAAGACTTTATCAAGACGCCTCACGTATGTATACATCCATCCACCAAGAAAGAAAGTAATCCAGCTAACACACCAACCAGGGAAGACTAAACGTCGAAGAGCCAGCGTGGAAAGTTACTCGACTACCCGGGGATCTCCCTCCAACACCATTCCCGACAAACCGCAGCGGGAGCACCAAAATTCTTGAAGGCGTCAAAGTGCTAGAGCTGTGCCGCATCATTGCCGGCCCGACCATCACACGGATTCTGGCCGAGTATGGCGCAGACGTTCTCAAAATCACTAGTCCGCACCTGTCGGATGTGCCGTTCTTCCAGGTCGACGGCAACATGGGCAAGCATGCCGCAGACCTCGATTTGAAAAGCGAACCCAAACGACAAGAGTTCGAGAAGCTGTTGGCTGAGGCGGATGTTATTGTTGACGGGTACCGTCCAGGAGCGCTAGAGAAGCTTGGCTACGGTCCGCAGGCCATGGCGGCGCTGGCAGAAAAGCGCGGCAAGGGCATTGTCTATGTGAATGAGAACTGTTTCGGGTATGAAGGCGAGTGGGCGGACCGCGCGGGATGGCAGCAGATTGCAGATTGCGTGAGTCTCCTTTGAGTTTTGATTACCCGAAAATCTCAAAACCAGAAGACTATGATTCTTAAAGAAGCTAACACATGGAAAGGTCACCGGAATCGCATGGGCCCAAGGCCAATTCATGGGCCGCTCGACCCCAGTCGTTCCCCCTTCCCAATCTCCGACTACGGCACCGGCTGCATGGGCGCCATCGCCGCCCTAAGCGGGCTCTACCACCGAGCCAAAACCGGCGGCTCCTACCACGGCACGGCATCATTGATGCATTACGACCTCCTCCTGTTCGCCGTGGGCCAGTACCCACCCGCCGTGCAGGAGGAGCTGCGCGCCGCTCAGCCACCAGAGTTCTTTCAGCTGCGCCACTGCGACAGCGTCGACCGCATCTCGTCCACCGTCTTGAAGAGCATGCAGGCCCGCTTCCCGCACCTGTACACTCCGGCCGGCGTCGGGTCCGGGGACGGGCGCCAGCCGCTGACGGAGCGCTGGTTCTCGCATGCTTACAATGCTGATGTTGAGGTTGTGCGGCCCGTGGCTGTTGTTGAGGGGGTAGAGAATCGGTTTGTGCGGGCTAGTCGCCCGAATGGTGCGGATCGGGCGTCGTGGGAGGGTTTCCGGGCTGAGGAGGGGGATGTTAGGAAGTGCTAGATTCACTTCTTGGATTTTCTTTTTTATCTTTCACTTTCACTTTCACTTCCACTTCCACTTTTTCTTTTCGGGGTTTCTTCGTTTCTATCGGCTTGGGTTGGTACATAAGGCGTACGTGAAATGCATTGTATATAGATCAGCATTGATCTTCGAACCTACACCATTCTTTCATTCCCCCTACAACACCGTATAGCCGTACATTCACCAGAGATCCGACAGCTGATTTTAAAACCCTTGGCATGCTCCATAATAACCCGGGTCCATGGCCTGCAAGGGTGGGAATGCAGTCTGTAGCCGTCGGAAGACGTGGAGTAGCAGGACACAGCATCAACACGGAGATCGGATGCCGCCATTCAAGAAGCCGAAGGCTCTGCCGATAAACTAACAAAGACAAAATGCACACAATTTGAAATTCATGAAAACTTTGACCCATATACAAATCATTTTTAGCCGGTAGGCAACTGATATGCGGATGTCCCTGCTAAATCCTCCACGATAAGATCGGAAGCGAACCTCTTCCGACGCCTTCCCCTCATACCGACGACGTAGGGAACAGGAAGTGTCCGATATTCTTCGATCCTCATATATTTGTCACTATTTCATTGATGCACTGTACATCCAATTCATTTCAGTTCCCCGAACTAAGATCCGACTAATTGATCAACCCACCATAATGTCCTACCAAATCGCTTACGACACCTCCCTCGCGCCACCCCCGCGGCGCCGCCCTCGTGGCATTTATGGAAGATTTCTATCGCACGAGCGACACAGAGTCGCTGCATGAGAAATACGTGCACAGCTTCACGGACGATGCTACACTGATTATGGGGCCGAAGCAGGCCCAGGGAGCGAGTGGTATGTTTCCATCCATCCGTCCATTCTACTTATATCCACCCTACCATGTACTATTATATTATACTCGACATCGAGTATCCTCCGAATATATATAGTACATAGTAAGATGTAACTAGAGTAATTTACGACCCATTCTTCACGCAAGAACTAACACTGTCTATAGAGATCTTGACACTCCGCCACGGTCTCTGGACTCATGTTGCCTCGCGCCACCATACACCCACGCGCATCTTCTTCGGCGGCAACGACGAGATCATGTTGTATGGCGGGGTCAATTACAGACTCAAGGCGGACCCGGAAAAGGATGTTTATGTGCCCTGGGCAGGAAGAGTGGTATTTGCGCCGAAGACGGAGGGCGAGGGGATGAAGATGCGGTTTTATCAGGTGTATCTGGTATGTCTTCCCTTGTCATTCCTTGCCTTGCCTTGGTACAAGGAAGTCCTTGAAGTGCTTATTCTTTGTAGGATCCGTCGGCCCAGTCGGGGAAGAAATAATGGTTCTTTTTTTTGAAAAGTGAGGCAGGGGTGCGTGTGGCTGCATGTGTATACTTAGTAGTTCGAAGAATCCATGGTCACAAGGAACCATGTCAAATGAACCACTCCTGCAGGATCTACAGGATCTACATGCTACATCTGGCACATTGAACGGTTTTAACGTGTTTAGTCAGACATGCTCTTTATTTCCAGGAGACCGCGAGAGAAAACAGGAACAAAGACGCCGTAGGGTTGGTCGGGTCAAAAGAGGTTGAGGGAGATCGAAATATGTCAGGGAAAAGAATACCCCCTCCCGTCTAACGCACAAGTTCCCCCAAAATGTGGATGGGAGAATATGTGCCTCGACAAGAAGAGGGGCCGGGGGTGTCAAGTCTTGTCCTCTTCTCTCTCGGTGTTTTTTTTTTTCAGCTCTCGGAATGCCTTATGCACAACTTTTCCCCCACTCCCCTTCTCTTCGCTAGCCCCGTCTGGTCATGAGATATTGCAAAGGAGAAAAGAGAAAAAAATAGATGGAAAAAAAAAGCAAACGGGAATCACCGGGGAAACCTAGCTCCCTCATTTTTTTTGGAACAAAAAAATAAAATTAAGTCCATTTGTGTGATAACGTTTACTCTTCATCCGACTCCTCCTCGTCGACGGTGGTCTTGGCAATTCGGTCCAGATCCCGCTGGCCGCTCTGGGTGATGCGGCGGCCACCCTTGTCCTCATCGGTCTCGAGGACACCGATCTTCTCGAGGGCCTGGAGGGCCTTGCGGTCGACCGAGCCGGAGGCGTCGACGTGGTGGGCGGGGCGGGCACCACGGTTCTTGGTCGAGCCGTGGACCTTGCGAAGGCGGCCGACACCGACGGTCTTGCGCATGTAGATGTGGCGGGCGACGGCGGCAGCACGAACGTAGAACCTATGGAAAGTGTGTCAAAATTCCATTTCCCGAGACACTCCAGCTGCCAATTATTCTTACCAGTCAGCGTCCTGGGGAGGGAGCTCGTTGGAAGCAGAGGTCTTGACGGTGTCGACCCAGCCGGGGATGGGGAGCTTGCCCTGGCGCTTCAGGAAAGCCGAATAGGCGTTGATGAACTTCTGCGCCTGTAAAGAGGGAAACAAGAAATTAGTGTCATGTTTTCTTGAAGATCCCGAGTGCGGGCCATTGTCACGCGTAATGTGCAGATATGTCGGGTTCGTTTCTGGCAGCATTGCGTCCGGTGCCAAAGAAAGTGTTGTGGGAATTCTCGTGTTGTAGTCTCCAGGCCCGGATCCCACATTGATAGCCTCACGAAGGCAAAATCTTCGGGTTCAATTCCAGCTGAGGCACAGCAGTGCAACGTTTTCCCTCCCACTTAGGCAGTAGACCGTTTCCGACCTCATGCACAGCCTTTTCCCAGACGATATGACCATCCCAATATTCCCATTCGAGGTTCCGGGCACCAGAAAACGAACCCATCCACATCTGCAGGCGCAACGACCAGGCCGGATCTCAAAGACAATAGCAGTCGGGGGACACTTACGTCCACATCGCGAACGGTAACACCACCCATAGTTGCGACTTGTTGACCTCGAGGGCACGGAGAGGGCGAGAGGATTAAAGAGAGAGTCGTTGGGCGGGAGACGTCGAGGTGGGCAGGGTCGAAGTCGTCGAAATTTCCAAAGGCGCCCCGGTTTGGTTGGGTTGGGCTCTTGTGTGCCGTGGCTTCGCTTAGCCTGTTTGGGTTAGCCGTACCCTAACCGGTCATGTGATTTGCATGTTAGATTGGTGCCACAGGAACAAGGCATAAATATCTTGAATGCCGTGTTATTCAGGTGTCATTATTTTGCATGAACCAGCTTGTCAACTTGTGGTTGGTAGAGACTTCCCTGTTTTGGTAATTATTACTATAGAGTAGCAAAGCTTTCAAACTGAAAGAAACTGGATCTCAATAATAACACACTTCTATGGGTAAGAATTATCGTTGCTCGTAACCGGAAAACTCCTTGACCAAAATGCCCTAGACCTTCTCTCCGATCCAACCAAAAAACGCCGCAAAAAAAGTGACAGAAAAGAAAATCTCAAGAAAATTACAGAGTGGGCGCTCGCTGCAGCCCAACACAGTACCGTACAAACAGTGTATCGACAAAGTGTCCATGTCGTATGCCCGGAGGCCGGCATCGATTAAACTCGTCGATGGCGTCTTGAACACCAAACCCAAGCCGCTCAATGAGGTAGCAGACAATTAGAAACCCAGTACGGTTGTAGCCGTAGTGGCAGTGAACACCGACCAAGGGACGAGGCAAAGACGGAACCTCGCGCTTCTCCATCTGGTCATCGATGTCCCGCTGGAGACGGTCGATCAGAGCAATGAAATCGCGCGTTTCGTCAGGGGTTGGCGGAATCTTGGACACCGTCGGGTGCTTGTAGTAACGGATTCCACCCTTCTCCATTTGGACGGGATTGTAGACCGGGCTCTCATGGCTGATGTCGACAACGGCGTGGATGCGACCATGGTACTTCTGCGAGAAGATTACCGGATTATGTTGGTCGTCGACCTCGCGCAGCATCTTGAGCGCCGCAAAAGTGTTGGCGATTGGCTCCGAAACGGGTGCGACCTTCTGCCACTTGGCAAGGTTCTTGACATCCCATTTCCCCGACGTGTTCATGTATTGCAATTGCCAACCCAGACCTAGACGCGAGTCGATGTTTTGGGACAAGAAGTCTTGAATGATGCCTGAGAGCGTGCGATAGGTTGCGCGGTCGTAGAGGAGGGCGTGTGACGCAGGCGCCGGCAGAACGACTGACTTGACTAGTCGCTTTCGCTTATCGCCAACAAATCTGTTTTGTTTCTCCTGATCGGTCGGCTCGACGCCATAATACTCTTCATGAGCGAGAGGATTGGGCGATGCTGGAGCTGAGTCATGGACTCGAGAGGCATCCGGGATGATACTGCTCCCACTGGAATCAATCCTGGTATGGGTTGAACCCTTGCCAAAGAGCTTCAAAAGCTTCTGTACCTCTGCCGGCTTGGTAACTGAGTCCGCTTCACCGGCAACCAACAACATCGGAATGTGAATCCCAGCCCAGACACACTCTCCAGGGATACCTCCATTGGCTTGGTTGTCCCCATTCTTGTAGTCGGGAAGAGTGCCCCATGCCATCCGGCGCCACACAGGCGTCTTGCTCTGTTTGTTGAAGCGAACCTGAAGGTCTCGTGTCTCCAAGTCGGCATCATCACCCACCATCCTCATAACGCTAGCGCTCTTTGCGCCGCCACGTCGGTCCCAACAACGCCAAAGGTCAAAGAGAGGACCAGGAACATAAAGCAGTCGGCGAAAGACAGTCACTTCTTCTGGTGACGGAGGGGATGCCTTCGGACACACAGCAACGAGTCCGAGGATGTGCTCTTTGAGGTTCTTACCGATAGGCGAGTTTGACGAAGCCAGCAGTGCAGACAAGGAACAGCCTAGGCTATGGCCCACCAAGACTACTTCCTGACCGGCATCTCGGTCCCGGTGCTGTTCAATTGCTTCGACCAGGAGTTCAGCCAAGGCCTCGACGGTGTATGCGTCCCAATTGGTCGGCGCAAATTTGGACAGACCACACCCGGGTAAATCAATGCCAAAGCATGACCCGACATTAGACAAACTAGTAAGGAGATGATGGAATTGTGCAAGAGATCCGCCGAGTCCGTGGACAAACACCAACAATGGGACCGGAGAGGGTTCGGTGGGGAGACGGTTCAGGTGTGGGTGCGGACTGTAGAAGGTCCGAATGGCCGGGTAGGTCGCCACGGAGGTCGTGTAAGACGCATAGGAAGTGTATTTCTTCAGAAGACCGGGGTCGGTTTTGAATGCTGGGAGAGAGTTAGCCAGTGGTCTCCCAAAAGAGTTTGAAACCCACGCACCATCAGAAGTTTGCTGCTGAGGCCGAGACGACCATTCGTCGTCGGGCTTGTAATTGGGATTGGTGCCATGATGCAAAGATCCATTACTGTCATAGTCTTCGTCCTCGTAGTCGTCGTCCGATGATGACGTGAGGGTCTTGGAGGATTTAGTGGAGCTTTTGCGCAGGGATGACCGAGCCGTCTGGAGGGATCGCCTGCGCCTCGCCAGAGACGACAAGAGCCCACACCCAACCATTGTGATCGCGCAGGTGGTCAAGAACACTACCTGGCCCCAGTTCACGGTGTCATTACGGTAGAGAGTGCGAAGGTCGTTGACGAAGGAGGTGAAAGTGGCCTGTTGGGCCGCCGCGCGGACTGAATGAAAGAACCGTATGATCGCTGCGACTCCAGACCGAGGATAGGCGTGCGAGGTCAAGGAGTCATAGAGGGTGGACAGGGAATTGGGGGAGCCATCAGGCCCCATGGCGGACGGTTAAGTATCTCGAATCTGGGCTTCTGCCCCCAGCTTTCGCAGGGCCACGCGAAGGCGCACCGGGTCCTCCTTGGACAATCGAGCTGAAGGATCGCAGTCGAGACCAATGGGGGCGGTGAGATCGACAACGTTGAAGGTCGCAAGGAGTTGGAGAAAAAAGAAAAGAAGCTGTGTGTCGGCCACTCAGAACCTCGGGACGCACGGCGTGGGGGGTGACTCATCCGCGGTGACCCACTTTTTGATGTTGATCTTGCGGTTTGTTTTTGGCTTATTCGCCTTGTCTTTATTTTTATTTTTAGGGGGTTGCTTTGGGTTCTTTTTTCTACTGGACCATATAGACCACATGACACGGCTAAGGGGATTTAATTGTACTTCATCCAGGGGTATGCTGGTTGTACACTGTAAGGAGGCCTGGACAAACAAGCATCCGATTTTGGGATGAACAACTCTGATCCTTTTAAACTGGTCTGGCGATTGATAGATCGAATTACCCACGGGGAGGTAAGTCTGGAATCCCCTGACAGGGCTTTGACGGTCTATCTATATGTGGGAAGTCGATTGGTGCTGACTGCCCTAACTCATCTGATGACCATTTTGCCCAGGTGGACCCTGACATGTGGTTGTATAGATAAGGTTAATTTTATGATTTGCGATCAAGTATGTGTTGAAGGATGCCAACATGTCCCAGTGATATTCGTCGGGGAAGTGATGCTGATAATGCAGGAGGGGCGCGCCAACTACAAAGCATTGAGCAGATACGCCCATATTCCCCACATGGGCGACAATCAAAACATGATGATTGGACTTGAGCCTGAAGATGTGCTATACGGCGCGCGAGTAGTGAAACTACCAGGATAAATACTTGATTTCGGTAGCTGATGACCCTCAGAATTATCGATAAACTCATTGATTACTCGTGTTTGGTTAGTATGTTTGGCCTAAGTTGCATATAGCGGTAGACTAATTCTCCCACGGTCATTAGAGCGAGCTAATTACCACCTGGACACTGACGTTGAGATAACGTCTTATTCCTCTCTTTGGAGAAATTGACCAGGTGGAACTATCTCGAATCCCGACGAGATACTATCTTATTTTCCCTTGATAATCAGCTTGCTGAACTGCAGCTAATGCAACTATGATACCAAGAAATGCAGGCCTTACGCTTTATGGTATTGACTAAAATGATGTACAGTTATTTTTGTCGGCCGAGGACCTGCATGGAACTAGACATGATACCAGCGCTAAAAGCCCCTAGGGCTGATCTTTTCGTCCTATGGATAGTGTTGTTTTCGCCTATAAGTGCCCGAAGGATGCTTAACATAAGGCAAGCCTGTGCTAGGTGCAATTGCCCTTTGTCAATATAAGATTTTGAGCAAAAATGCTGTCTTTGCTTCCTACTGTTGTTGTGTTTCTACTTATAATTGAACCGTCCCTTTCCTCGGCAAACAATACAACACCTACAACGTCCATAAATAACGAACCCTGCCCTGACATCTTCTCATCCAACATCACAAAATTGAACAACTGCGGTCGGCGAGGATGGGTTGACGAGCCGAATGGAAGAGGAACCATGGATATAATATGGAGTTGCTGCTTTACCATGTTTCTATGTTCATGGTCAAGCCTATGCCTTAACGTACCTGGGCCAAACGACTCCCAATGGAAGATCCTCTGGCGAAAGGCTTGCCTCACAGCCTTGGCTCTTCTGGGTCCGGAATTCATTTTTCAAATTGCACTATCTCAATGGGAATCAGCACGTCGGTCTGTGGAAGACTTCGAGGCTTTGGGGGTTGAAGGGTGGACCATGACGCATGCATTCTATACCGATATGGGTGGCTTCGTTCTTAAGACAAAGGATTCGGAGCCTTTTCCGATCAACGCAAAGCAACTTCATTATCTGATCACAAAGGGGCACGTCGAATTCCCCAAGATCGATGAGCGATTGATCGCCGACAAGAATAAGCTTGATGGCATGTTACGCCTGATCACGATCTTGCAAACCCTTTGGTTCGTCATTAGCCTCTGCGGCCGCGCATCGCAGCAGATGGCTATCACGACGGGTGAGCTCACGACTGCTGCATTTATTGTGTGCAGTGTTGCGACTACGGTGTGCTGGTACAACAAGCCAGCCGACGTGCAAACCCCCGAGATCATCGAGACGAACACCCCACTCGAGCAGATACTGGCCGAGGCAGGCGATGCGGCCAACAGGCAATACCGACAGACCCCACTTGATTTTTTGACGCGCAAGGAGTGGCCGTGGTCTCTGTACTGGTCAAATTGGACCAATATCCTGCGCAAAATGCGCATCATCATCCAAGTCCACCGTCGGCCGGTCGATCGATTTCAGAATACCATCGTTCCCGAGCCCTCAAGGCTTGGCTATGGACTATTCCTGGCCCTGACGGTCATCTATGCGTCGATCTTTGTTTGTGGCTGGAATTACAGCTTCCCGACCCGGACCGAACAGTATCTATGGCGCATATCATCCGTCGCTGTTTTGGTTTGCGCGTTTCTTTTTTGGGCGGTTGGGCATTTCGCCTTTTCTGTGTATCCGTCTCTGACCAGGCCATTTCTTGAGTCGAGAAGAAAAGGAAATGGCAAAGTCGACGAGGAATCACCGCCGAATTCTACATGGCACGCTTTCAGGCAGCGCGCCAGCCGTGTGGGGGCTCGAATCAGGAACAACTCCATTGAGCGAGATCCTGAGCTTACTATCCCGCTGAAAGCTATATTGCCGATATACGTCCTGGGGGTGGTTTACTGCCATGCCCGCACTTACATCTTCCTCGAGGATATCCTCGAGCTTCGTTCGCTCCCAGCTAGTGCCTATAGTACCGTGAACTGGATAGATTTTGCACCGCATGTTTGAGGAAGCAGTGCTTTGTTGGCAAGGCTGGAATAATATCTCGTTACGTACATATCTCATTTTTGCAGACAGGCAACACGTATTCCAATAAATTTCAATGCTGTAAAAAACAAATGCTGTAAAAAAATGAAGCACAAAAGTAGACCATGTGTCAGGCTTTGACATTTGAACAGAAAATCCGCTTATAGTCATAACAGCATCACCACAAGACCAAAAAGAAGAACGTAACTTCACTGCTCTTTCTTGGGTTCGAAAGATGGTTGATCGGGATTCGCAGGTTTCGTAGCGCGAACTGTTACGTATCGATGAATGTCGAAGTATCGATATCCCACGATCGCGGCGACAGTGTTGACAAAGTACTTTTCAATCCCCAAAAACCTAATGATGATGTAGGGGATATAGGCAAGCAGGAAGAAAAGACGCAGCATCGGCTTCACGTTCTCCGAAAGATCACCCATCTCGACCTCTTCAAAACCAGCACCCTGCACCAGCGAAGGAAGAGTACCATGCTCGAAATCTGCATTGGCCGGCATGGCGGCATACTCGTTGACTTGGTCAAACATCTTGGCAACCTCAGCGGGCGCATCCTGCGGAATAGAATGGGCGTATTCAAACAAGACAATTGAACCACCGGGTTTCAGCACTCGAAAGAAACCCTCCAGCACAGCCTTGGGGTCGGTCGCATGCACAATCGTCTCCATGGTGTAGACGCCGTCCAAGGACTCGGTCGGCACCCCTTCCAGGTGGTGATAATCGCCCCGCTGGACAGTAATGGCGTTTGGCAGCCCCGCCGCGAGCACATTTCTTTGAGCTCGGGCGACATGGCGCTCAACGACGTCGATTGCCTGAACGTTCAGGTTGCGCCGCGCCATGTGTATGGCGACGTGGCCGTGGCCGCAGCCGGCATCCAGAACGGTGGCACCGGCAGGTAGCCTCAACGTGTCGAATAGATGGTCTTCCATTCTACGCAGTGCTTTTTTCACAGGGAACGGCCACCAGGTTCCGGGCTCGTAGTAGCCGAAATGGCGCGTGCCGCCGAGGATCAGGCGGTAGCCAATCCTAGACTCCAGGGAGGCATAGTAGGACTGCAGATCCGGGTTTTGATTAATCAATGGTGTTGTTTCTGAAGTCCCCATGGTTTTTGTGCCGTGAAAGAAACAAGTATATAGAATGAGAGTGGTTGGAAAGTGTTAAGATGAGGTGGGTTGGGCTACCGCCTTGATATGCAAAAGGGGCCAGCTGTTCCCCACTGCCCGTCCTCGATAAATCTGCGGTGTTTAGCCGCTGGGCCCTCGGGAAGACCCGCCCGGAACCTCACCAGTTCCGCTATCCATTTTGAAGCGGTTAATGCTACCGCGCTATTGGCTGCAAAATAATGTATTTTGTGTGCTCGTTTGCTAAAAATATCTCGAATATTTTAGACTCAAATGTGAAGCGCATTTCGATATAGAAGGACCAGTTATTTATTTTATTCTATTTTGTCTAGTTAAGGCCCTGGGCCTAAGAAGCGCGGGTATATTGTGTCCCGTCATGTTAGGGTGAGACAAGCCTTATTGACAGGTAGATTGTGGAGAGATGGCCATTTCAAACATAATGAATGCCAGCACCAGGGTCGTGATGTGTAATACATTCCACTATCCTGATATTCTAAGTGGAACCTGTCCATCCATCGATCGCACAAGAGACGGAGATAGGATTTAAGACGGACCATACAATTATATACTTTGAGTTATTGTCCAATCAGGTGCAGGTTGCCATCATATTGCGGGCTATAGCATCTATGATTTTCATCTCCCAAGTGGCACCGTCCATCCCATGGTTATAAAAGCCTGGTCCTTTTCCAAAGAAAGCTTCAAAGTCCCAGATCCCCCAGTCTTTTGTTTTTCTTCAATCCATCCAGAAGCGGGTTCATCAACGATCCAAAATGAAATATGTGCAACTCGGAAGTAGCGGTCTCCGCATCGCCCCAATTGGCGTGGGATGCATGAGTTACGGAGACCCCGAGGGCCGATTCAAATGGTCGATTCCCGAAGAAGATGCCCTGCCAGTGCTCCACCACTGCTACGAATCCGGCCTCAATTTCTTCGACACCGCAAACACCTATTCCAACGGGCTATCCGAAGAGATCCTGGGCAAAGCCATCAAGAAATACAACTGGCGCCGAGAGAACATCGTCATCGCAACAAAGCTGTGGGCACCTGTTGGCCGCGGCACCGAACAGCCGCTGGCGATGAGCGATGCGGAAAGAGACAACCGGGGCTACGTCAACCAGTACGGGCTGAGCCGGAAGCATATCTTCGAAAGTGTCGATGCCAGCTTGAAGCGACTCGATCTCCCGTATGTCGATCTGCTTCAGATCCACCGGTTCGATCCCAAAACACCCGTCAAGGAGACCATGGAGGCGCTCCACGATGTGGTCAAGTCTGGCAAGGTGCTATATATTGGTGCTTCGTCGATGTGGGCTCATCAGCTCCTTGAATACAACTATACCGCGAGGATCCATGGCTGGACGGAGTTCATCTCCATCCAGAACCTCCACAATGCTATTTACCGCGAGGAGGAACACGAGATGTATCCTGCGTGCGCCAAGTTCGGGATGGGTGGTATCCCCTGGAGTCCTGTCGCAATGGGGTTCCTGGCTCGGCCCTGGCGGGATTTTTCCACTACCACACGAGGCGCGGGACAGGGCCAGGGCTTCCTTGGTCAGCCCACTACAGAGACAGACCGCATGATCAATGAACAGATCGAGAAGATTGCCAACCGGCGGGGAGTTTCCATGGCGACTGTGGCGATTGCTTGGTCTTTGTCGAAGCCCTTTATCACGGCTCCGATTCTGGGAATGAGTAAGAAGGAGAGAGTCGATGAAGCCGTGCAGGCTATTTCCTTGGAACTGGATCCTGAAGAGCTGAAGAGCATTGACGATTTGTACGCACCCAAGAAGGCGATGGGCCATCATTGAGGAATTTGCACAATAAGCTCACATGGAAGCCATGCAATCTGAGGCTAGGGATTGGGTGGTTGTTTTATTTTGATTCCAATACCAGCCTTATATAACCCAAATCTTCCGATCAAGTCATGCGAAATAATGGCTTTTCATCCCGCTTATCCCGCCAGTGATTTGTAGATTGAGCCAGGTCACGACAGTTCCAAATAACTAGTAGGGTTGACATGGCGTCCATGGAGATTTGTGCTGCCGACATTTGTTAGTCATTATGGGCAACATCCAGAGTAGATGGGACCTGTCTCGCAAGAGAGTAACTGCGATGATCACTCTCTTTTTCCTAGGGCAGGTTTGCTGCTAGTTTATTCTGTAGACCTGTGTGGGTGATCAAGATGATTGCCAGTTGGTAGGGGGTAGTAAAAAGACTTACGTCGGGCTCGTTGGTTCACGCGATTTTGCAGCCTTCGGCGGATTTTAGGATCTGTAATCCCCGACCAATCCTCATCAGGCCAGGCACGGAGGCGCTGCGAGAATGATCGTAGAGGAATGCCCTTTTCTGGGGGATCCTTCATTGCAATCGGGTAAAGGAACATAGGTTGGGGGGAATTTCGATAAAAAGATTCATGCACCTCGATGACAAGATGGAAAGAACTTAGAAATAGGATCCCCAAAGGGAAAGTCCATGAAGAATGAATCCTTGGAGAATACTTCGTAAATTCCAATCACACTTCTCTCTGATGACCCACTTGTCATCAATCTGCATGACGCTTAGCCGTGTTAGGGCTATGAGGATCATCATACTTGGCATTTGATATCTTTCGGCCTGTAGCTGTACACGTCCTTGATTGCACAGCCTACACTTGACGTACGCAATTTATGTCATTTGGTAGCCGAGATCCCTTGCTGAGTGGGTGGAGTGTATATCTTTGAAGTATAAGGGAGAAGTAACACATAAATACCCTGATCCAACTCTCGACAACGAAGTATCATACGTTTTAAAGATATCCAAATTGCAATTTTGTTATACACTATACCATGCTGCGGTGGTGCAAACCCTGTTCAAGTATACGAGGCCCTTAAATCTCGAAACCTGTCCTTTGTTGGTGGACGAGTGGGCAGCATGGGCGATCCACACTTGGTGGAGGAACATCCCCCCTTCTCGAACGAGTATGGATGGTGGACGTCTACGAGTATGAGGTGTGTGAAATCACTAATAAAATGTAAAGATTGATACTATACACTGACAATCCTACTCTAGGTTGTACTCGCCAATGGCACAATCGCCACTACCTCTCAGTCTTGCAATCCGAATCTCTACTTTGCTCTTCGCGGCGGCGGCAACAGCTTCGGCATTGTTATAGCCTTTACATTTTGTACATTTGCCCAAGGCCCTGTCTTTACCGGCATGACATCCTACGCTGCCAACCAGACCGAGCAAGTTCTCGACAAGGTTTACGATTTGTACACGGACAAGCATCTCACCAGCGATCCAGAAATGGGCTATGACCTATTCTATATATACTATACCTACGACTCTGGTAATGACGAATTTGGCCTGAGAGGCACGCAGCGCTATGGAACGCCAGTTCAGAATCCTCCTTTCTTCCATTCCATTGATCAAATCCCTCCGTTGAGAAGGACCACCACCATAAGCACCATGAGCCGTGTGGTGAACGGGTCTCTCCCACTGGGTACTATGCGGTAAGATTTGGGCTCTACCTTTCCTCTTATCTTTCTACTATTTTCCTCTAATCTATTGTTCTATTGTAGGAGCTTGTTCGCTACACTAAGCGTGTCCCTCTCTCGCTCTCTGTTCTCACAGGGTCTTCGGGATTTTCAAGCAGGAAGTGGAGGCCATCCAGACCGTACCAGGTCTGGTTCCAAACTTCATTTGCTACCCTTTGCAGAGGAATGCCATCGCAGCCATGAAGCAAAGACGAGGTAATGCTCTGGGTATTGAGCGCGATGAACCACTTTTGAGTAATGTACCTTCTAGCTAACTCCAACTCGCGTGAATTATCTCATATGTCATATGGACTGCTAATGCCATTTTTCTCCCCAAGTTATTCTAGTTTCTACCGCGTGGTCTCATAGGAGCGACGACGATCCTGTTAATAGGATGACGACAAACACGATTCGAAGAGTTCAGGCGACGGCCCAGAAACTGGGCGTTGCGAACCGGTCTATGTATATCAACTATGCGTCTTCTGAGCAAGCTGACAAAGTCTTTGCTGGTTATGGCAAAGAGAATGTGCAAAGACTCAAGGATATCCAACGGACGGTGGATTCTCGTGGAATCTTTACGTCGAAGGGACTGGCGCGGGAATTTATCAAACTTCCTTGGGGCTTTGGTTTTTTCTTCTCCTCTCTTTCTCTCTCTTATTCTTATTCCCCCCCTTTTTTAAATGGGACATATAGACCATATGGCACAGAGGAATGCGGACTAGAATGCTCGCTGTATTGCTTATGCTTGGTGGTTTTGTCCGGGCAGATTGCTGAACCTAAACTCACGATACAATATCTTTTCTTCAATTTGGACTCATTTCATTTCATGCATATGTATAGCTTTACTTGCTTCAATTTTGTAAGACATGAAATTATCTCAATTCGATCGAAACCACCTCAGAAAAGATCAGTCATAGCACCATGCGACGCATCGCCCACCAAACGCGCATATTTCGCCAGCACGCCGCGCGTAATTTGCGGCGGCGGCGGCGTCCACTGACGCAGACGCTCCTGGATCTCTTCCTCGGAGACATCCATCGAGAGCTCGTTCGTCTCAGCGCTAATGGTGATCATGTCCCCGTCGCGGACGATGGCAATAGGGCCTCCCACAGCAGCCTCGGGCACGATGTGGCCGACAATAAACCCATGGCTTGCGCCGGAATAACGGCCGTCGGTGATGAGAGCAACATTGGTTAATTTGGCGCCCATCAGCGCCGCACTAGCCTTGAGCTGCTCCGGCATCCCCGGACCACCCTTGGGCCCTTCGTAGCGCACGATAATGACCAGGTTTTCGCCGCGCGGGATGCGGCCCTCGTTCAGGGCGTCGTTGAGCTGATGCTCCTTGTCGAACACCCGGGCCTTGCCCGTGAAGCTGAGCCCCTCCTTGCCGGTGATCTTGGCGACGGCGCCGCCGGGGGCGAGGTTGCCGCGCAGGATTTGGAGATGGCCGCTGGATTTGATCGGGTTGTCCAGCGGGCGGATCAGAGCCTGGTCCTCAGGCAGAGAGGGGAACGAAGCTACGTTCTCGGCGAGAGTCTTGCCCGTTACCGTCGGGATATCCCCGTCAAGCAGGCCGGCGGTGATCAGCAGCTTTTGCACTGACGGAATGCCGCCAATCTCGTACAGATCCGCCATGTAGTATTTGCCGCTGGGGGCCAGGTTGGCAATGAAGGGGATCTTGTTGCTGACACGCTGGAAGTCGTCCAGGGTCAAATCCACCCCGGCGGTTTTGGCCATGGCCAAGAAATGGAGCACGCCGTTGGTACTACCACCCAGCGCCATAGTCATCACCAGTGCGTTCTCGAACGACCGCTTGGTGAGCAGGTCGCGAGGCTGGATGTTCTTCTCCATGCAGACTTTAATGGCATCGGCAACACGGACGCACTCACGCATCTTTGATGGCGATGCCGCAGGTGTTGAGGACGAGCCCGGCAATGACAGACCCATGGACTCAATAGCCGTTGCCATCGTGTTCGCCGTGAACATCCCACCGCAAGCGCCTGCGCCAGGACAGGCATGCCGCTCCAAGTCGTCCATAATTTCGTCCTTGGTTTTGCTGGTGTCGCCGCCGTCGTCAGGCTGGCGTAGAGTATCGTAGGTGTAAGCACCTGCGGCCTCGAAGCATGTCGAGACGTTGATGGGCTTCCGCAGGAACTCCGAGTAGCCAATCTGGATGGTGCCTCCGTAGATCATGATGGAGGGACGGTTGTGACGAGCCATGCCCATCACGACACCAGGCATGTTCTTGTCGCAGCCGGGGATGGCAATACAAGCGTCATGGTATTGGGCGCAAGTCACCGTCTCGACACTGTCGGCAATGACTTCTCGGGTTTGGAGAGAGAATCTCATTCCTAGACCAAAGGGTGTTAGTAATCTTCTCCCGATATGAATCACAACCGACCACGACCAACCCTCGCTGCCCATGGTGATTGCATCCGACACGCCAATGGTGTTGTACTGCCACCCGATCATGCCCTGGTCCCCAATCGCCTTCTTGACAGTTTTCCCCAGATCCATCAAGTGCATGTTGCACGGGTTGCCCTCCCACCAGACCGAGGCAATGCCTACATGAGGACTCTTGGCCATTGCATCTTTGTCGGGGACACCGGCCGCAAAAAGCATAGCCTGCAGTGTGTTAGCTGGTGTCCAAATAATGCCTGCAACAGCAAATATACCCGTGCACCGGGGAAATCATGGCCCCGGGTAATAGTCGAGGAGTACCGGTTGAGCGCGGGGGAGCCATCGGAGTGTTTGGCGTCTGCGGGCAGACTGGGGAAGTTGATGTATTTGGCTTCGCCCAGACTGTTGGACTTCATTGGCTTGGATGCGTCCATGGTGCGTATCAACCTAGGAGATGGACCTAGCGTGAGAAAGAGAGAGAAGAGACGACTGTAGCAGAATGCTCCAAATCATGCACACCCCATCTCCAGTCTCGCACCCAAGTCCGACCCTGGTGGACCCCGCGATCCTCGGGTTTCATCCACTCAGTGGCGGCGGATTGCTCAGATCGGAGTTGCGCCTATTCTCCGGCTCGGTAAAGGCTCCGCTGCGGGGGAGTTGATCATGATGCTTGTAGGGCTTGTGGCTGTTGATTTGAGGGTATTCATCGATCGAGGATTGGGCTATTAGTAGGGGTGGATGATAGTTGCAAATGCCAAACTGCGACCGACGCGAAGGACAAAACCCGCAGAGGCCGAGGCTCCGTAGAAACCGAGTCTTCACGTCATAACCAAATAGCTGCACCTCCCAATTCATAGTTCCCTTTTTTTCTTCCATTCCACACTTTTCTTCGAACATCACCCAGTCTCTATATTGCACTCTGTACAATAAACACATCCAAAATGACCAGTGACATCAAAGTCGCCCAAGCCATCGGCACCATCGGCTGCGCCGTTGTCGCAGGTAAGAACTCAGCACAATACAAAGGAAAAAAAAGAAAAGAAAAGCCCAGCTAATCAACATCCCAGGCGGCGTGGGCACCCTCTCGGTCATTTGTGTCCCCAATCTCGCCCTTCCCGCCCGCCAACCAGCCTCGACAACTTCCTCCCGGCAAGTGCCAGGGACCCCAGTCGCACACCTCAGCCACCAATGGCTCGATCTCTATGATCGCGGGAAAGTGACCTTCCCCGGGATCGCAGTAACTGCATCCATCGCCCACGGCTACATCGCCTGGGCACTGCGACACACCCCCGGCCCGGGTCTGCTGGGCTGCAGCTGGTCTCGGTATTACCTCGCTACCATTGCGATCACCATGGGTATCGTGCCTTATACGCTGGTGGTGATGGCCAAAACCAACAATGCGCTGAAGGCGCATGCCACTCGGGATGATGCGTCTGCGGCGGAGGGGACGAAGGGCATGGTCGTGAGTGAGCAGGAGAAGGCGCAGCGCGCGAAACAGGATGGTGAGGTGCCTGGCTTGTTGCAGAAGTGGGCGGCGCTGAACTTGACGCGCGCGGTTCTTCCGCTGGTTGGAGCTGCCTTGGGATTCTATGCGGCGACGGCATGAAAACTGGTAGTAATCTATGTTGGGGGTCTTTGATAATTCTTTAATCTTGTTCAGACTCGATTTCTCTTCTCTCGCCCCAACAAGACATTCATAGGATAGATATGGGATGGGTATCGTGAATTTCAAACGAGCAGCGAGTCTTCTATGAGGGACTCGCCAATATGCCCGCAACAAGGCTATATAAACCAAGAAAAGAGAAGCCAGTATGTGTCGGCTACGGAGTCAAGTGGTATGAGCCAAGGCATCTAAGACTGGCTCTTAGTTCGAGCCGGGCTGTGCCCCGTCCGTCGTCCCATCCGTCTCATGTTCCGACGTTTCCTTGTCGACGGTTGACCATTGACTCGAATGTTGCAGAGCTTCATCGGCAGTGATTTCCTGCAACGGGCTGGAATGGTTGGATGTATGCTTCTCAGTCTCTTCCTTCTGGCCATGAGGGTCGGAGTCTTCGTCTATGGCAAACCCAACAATCTTTCCCGTGCCGGGCTGCGAGCGAGCCTCTTCCAACACATCGCCATTCCATGGTTGGCATTTCTTGACGATCTCGCCACATCGCAGACAAATCCATCCTTGCCCCTCCTCCCCTTCGAGCTTCTGCACAATGCAGATAAAGCAATATACACACCCACATGGGATCGTCTCGTACGGGTTGGTAATGTCTGTCTGGGCTGAACCAGTAATGCCACCTGCCGACGCAGAGGCTGCCATTACATCGTTCTCCGTTGTGGCGGCGGGGTTCTGGTCCCGGTAGCAGATCGCACAGGTCCGCTCTGGGAGGAAGGCCAGCTCCCCCTTGCTTCTCGGATTGTTCGTCGTCTTCGCCACTTGATTTAAGCGTCTTGACGGTTTTGCGCCAGGCGCGGGAGATCCACCGCCGCCAACGACTGATGCCGACGAGGGGTAGTAGGAAAAGAAGGAATTCGGTAAACGCATGCCAGACAAGTTGTCGGTTCAAATATTCAAAGGACACCTCCCGACTAGCCTGTGCAGACGGCGGGGTCAGACGAATGCGCAAGATGCGGTCGACTAGAGTTCGGTATCGGCCGTTCACCAAGAACACAAGGAAGGAAACGAAGGCGGCGATCGAGTGCGTCGAAGAAATCCAGTCGGTTAGTTGTGATAACATCCGGACATCCTGTGATGGCTTCATTGTGGGTTAGCGGGAATATGTCGCACCGGATTCATCAAAATGACGAACCTCTTCATATCCGCCTTCTTGTCCGATCAACCAGCTCTCCCACTTGTCCCAAGCGTAGCGCCCACCAACTGTCAGGAAACCATACAGAGTCTTCTGCCATTTTGTCGGAGGAGAATGCACGGGTCCTTTGCTGCGACTGTCTGTATATTGCAGGCCTTGAAGCGCAGCACCGTACGACGCGTCGTGGTCCCATATTGAGAGCTTGAAAAGAATGGCTCGCAGCGCGAAGAGGATTTCATGGGACCAATCTTCCCGCATTTGGGGCTGTTTTTAATCGACCTTGTTAGCATCCTAGAGCTTCGATACATGATATAGCCAAGCGTGCACGTACCCCGAAGTATTTGAGAGCATCCCCAACCTGGCCCTTCATCAGGCCGAGCAGCTCCTCGTCCAGCAATTCGGCATCGACCTGGCCGACTCGGAACGCCGGGCGCGTTCCCTCGCGGCCCCTGATCGAATTCCATAGCCGCCACCCCGATGATGGCAGTCGGTTTATTGGGTAGGGGAGACGTTGGACGGTGGCCGAGTTGATCGGCGATGCCCGTTGCTGTGCCGCCAACCGGGCGCTGGCTTCGGCCTCACGCAGGCGACGACGCTCTAAAACCCGCTCCTGTGCAGCGGCAAAATTGGTCGAGCTCATCGTGCAATCATGGTGCGATCGGGAGATGGAAAGAGTAGCATGCGAACGGGTCGCTCATGACCCTCTCGGTTCCCCAGACGGAGAGCCGAGGTAAGTCTCACGTGACCGGCGTCGGATTGGCCGATGTATAACATCGATGTAGTTGAGTCTATTCTTTGTGTTAACCATGGAGAGCTAGAAATATTCTATGGTGATTCTGGATAGGGTTTTAGCATCAGTCTGGAATCAACAGACGACACTTGATTGCTCCCACAAACTTAAGAATAGCACAACGCCCGAGTCGGGCGTTTCCGATGACGGGACTCCACTCGGCAATCTCGGACAATAAGTGAACGCCAGTAGAAGACGAGGCATTTCCATATCATCGCTTGCTATTCTCCAAAGAGAAGCAACATTCTCTGCACGTGTCGGTATCTCGCGGGGGCCAAGTACATTTGCCCTGCGCAGGGTGGAGCTTGACAGCGACGAATCACAGTGGGGAATGGCACATCGTGGGTGAGTGCCGATCATCGAGTGCTCACTGAAGTGGAGTCCTACTCGCGTGGGCTTGGGAGCTTCGATCCTGAGCTCTCGTGAGGTGAGGTTGCTGCCTGTTTAAAGTCTCACTTTTCTTTTTTTTTTTTTTTTCTGTCTCCCCAGCCTCTTTATCTCCCCTTGCTGCGTCCACCCCGTCTCGTTTCTGTCATCTTGCACCCAGAAACACAGTGACCTTGTTCTGAACCAAGATGAAAACTGCGATCGCACTTCTCGTCGCGGGCGCTGCTCTGGCGCATGCCCAGACAGCCACTACGTCTGAGCCCCCTCTGAAGGCCATCAAGGCAGCCGCCGCGACGACCAAGCCCGAGTCTCCCGTCTCGGATGTCAAGGGTCTCGCATTTAACCGTTTTTACCAGGTCTGGCTGGAGAACATTGTATGCTGACACCCGCAAGTCCCAGTCATGTTGGAGAAACTTATGCTAACCCCCTCAATCAGGACTACGAAGATGCCAGTGCCGACTCCAACATGAAGTGGCTTGCCACGCAGGGTATTGAGCTGTATGTATCGCGTGTGCCCAACGAAATCTTTCGCGACAGAGCTAGCTCTGACCTTCCCCAGAACCAACTTCTTCGCGGTCACTCACCCTTCGCAGCCTAACTACTGTGCGGCCGCCGGTGGTGACACTTTTGGCATGGACCATGACGACTTCATGCAGGTCCCTGCCAATGTCTCCACTGTCGCCGACTTGCTTGACACCAAAAACATCGCGTGGGGCGAGTACATGGAGCATATTCCTTACCCGGGCTTCCAGGGCTTCAACTACTCCAACCAGGAGACCTACAAGAATGACTACGTACGCAAGCACAACCCTCTGGTGCTCTACGACTCAGTCACGAAGAACGAGACGCGCGCGCGCCAGATCAAGAACTTCACCGAGTTTGAATCGGATCTCGAGCACAAGAAACTCCCGCAGTGGGCGTTCATTACCCCGAACATGACCAATGACGCGCACGACACCAACATCACTTTCGCCGCCAAGTGGGAGCGCAGCTGGATATCGACCTTGCTCAAGGACGACTACTTCATGAAGGACACCGTGGTCCTGCTCACCTTCGACGAGGACGACACCTACACCAAGACCAACCGGGTCTTCAGTGTGCTGGTGGGTGGTGCCATCCCGGAAAACCTCAAGGGTACCAAGGACGACACCTTCTATACCCACTACTCAAGCATTGCCAGTATCTCTGCTAACTGGGGCCTGCCTTCGCTGGGTCGCTGGGACTGTGGTGCCAACATCTTCGAGATCGTGGCCAACAAGACCGGGTACGTCAACTACGACGTGGACACCACCAACCTGCGTCTCAACCACACCTACCCGGGCCCGCTCTCCAGCGGCGAGTACTCCAAGTTCTCGCCTATCTGGGCCAACCCGACCACCGACGCCAAGTGCTCTGCGGGCCACGGTGTGCTGGACATCGTCAAGAAGACCTTCGGCAAGACCACCCCGACCTACAACTACACGACCCCGTACCCATGGGACGCCAAGAACGACTACAACGTCAAGGTCACCGCTACCCGCAAGTCTAACTCGACCTCGGACAGCAGTGAGACGCCCGCTCACAACGCCGGCGCCACGGTGGTTCCTAGCTTCGCAGTGATTTCCGGGGCTTTGCTGGCTTCTTTCGTTTACCTTGCCTAATTTGGCGTGGTAATCGTTTCAGTCACTGGGAAATGAGTTCACGATCAAGGACCGTGCAGTTAGACGCTTGAATTTCTCGACACGAATGGTTGACGATATCTCTCGGAATGATCACGCTGGGACGCGATCTCAGCATTATGCTCTAATGTCTTAGCAACGATTTGCGACTGGATCTTGAAGCATACCCAGCCGTAACTATTCTTCAGAAAAAAAAAATACATGCCTTTCAAAATGTTCATTTGTATCATTGCGACAAGAAAATCTGGTGTGTAGACTAAAATACATCATAGTAGAATCGCGCCAGCACCTATCGTTAACATTCCACCCCGGGACACATCACGCTGGTGCAGTTTTAATCAAGACAGTCTTAACCTCCAGGAAATTGTCCAGACTATACAACAGTCCCTCACGACCAGAACCACTCATCTTGAGCCCACCGATAGCGCCATCCTTCGCATTCGTCGGACTGGTGCAATTGACGCCGACAGTGCCAGCCTCGAGCGCCTTAGCCAGCCGCACCGCACGATCAACATCCTTCGTGAAAACCGACGCATACAGCCCAAAATCACTGTTATTTGCCTTCTCAATAGCCTCCGCCTCGGTCGAGAAGGTATTGATAGCAACCACCGGCCCAAAGATCTCTTCGCGCATCAGCCGCGAGTCCTCAGGCACGCGCTCAAAGACAGTCGGGCGCACAAAGAACCCGTTCTCGGCATCGTCGCCGACCGTCCGCGTCCCATCCTTGGCCCCAATCGCCAGGTACTCCTTCACGCGGTTGTACTGGATGGCGTCGATTTGCGGGCCGTGCGTCGTCGCAGGGTCTAGTGGGTCGCCTATCTGCACGGCGGCGAATTTCTCGCGGAAGAGCTGCAGGAACCGGTCGGCCACGGATTCCTGCACGTAGATCCGTGAGTTGGCGACGCATACTTGTCCGCTGTTGAACTGGACGCTGAATTGCGTTTGCGCGGCTGCGGACTCCAGGTCTGCGTCTTCGAATATCACCGCGGGCGACTTGCCGCCCAGTTCCAGGTGGACGTGCTTCATGTTGGATTTGGCTGCCGCGGTTTGGACCCGCTGGCCGGTCAATGATGACCCCGTGAAGCTGAGACAGCGCACCAGCATGTGCGACGCGATGGCAGAACCAGCGGGGTTGCCGAAGCCCGACAGGATGTTGACGACGCCGGGCGGAAAGCCAGCTTTCGCGATGAGCTTGGCTACATAAAGCGACTGAGGATATCGTCAGTGGACTGCCGCGCATTCGCATTACACGCTCAAAAAGGAAAAAAAAACCATACCGTCAGAGGCGCCTTCTCACTACTCTTCAGAACCACTGTATTCCCCGCCGCCAGGGCGGGAGCCATCTTCATCGCGAACGCAATGAGCGAGAAGTTCCACGGGATAATCAGTCCCGCCACGCCGTAGGGCTGTTTCAGCGTCATGCTCAGCAGACCTGGCGTACTGAGACTGGCCGTCCCCTGCGCGTTCCAGCCGCCTTCGGCGAAGTACCGGAACTGGTCTGCGGAGAAACTCGCATCGAAGAACTGGGAGATCGGACGCCCAGTGCACAGTGTCTCGAGCTGTGCCAGCTTGGCGTGGGACTCGACCAACAGATCGGCCAGCTTGCGCAGGTATCCGGCGCGCTGGTCGATGCCTAGATCGCGCCAGGATGGGAAGGCTGCGTTGGCGGCTGTGACGGCGTTGTCGACATCCTGTTCATTGGCTTCGTGGACTATATATTGCGGGATTGGCTGTTAGCAAGCCAGAATCACTTTTAGTTGCGGCTCATACTGGTCACACCTTGCGCTACCACCTCTTTGGTGTAAGGGTAAACGACTGGGAATGTTTTGTTGCTGGTCGACGGTCGGAACTGCGCGATGTTAACCCATGCTCCCACCCATGCACATATATGCCTGGATAAGTCCTCCAAAACGATTGCGCGACACGGCTACTTACCTCGCCATTAATAAACAGACGAGTCTCAATGGACTCTGAATCCTGTGCGACTGAACCCATACTGTATGAAAGTCTGGAATGACGTATAGGGCAGTGATAAGCGCCTCCTTTCTCTCCTGATCGGCCGGGATCCAAGGCGCAGACGGGCAATAAATATGCGTGCTTGAGTCAATATTGCAATTAGGGCCACTAGCGGTCGGCACTCGATCAAAGTCTAATGCCGACGGAACCTTTGGTCCCTCCTGGCCCTGGAATTGTTCCAGACTTCCATAATCCCCGTGTAGTTCCGTTTGCGGCCATTGACTGCCACACCCCATGTTTTGTCCCGGTGGTACAGTTAGGGCCCCCATGTGTTCCCAGATTCTCGATTCTTCGATCGGCCAATTATCACTGTTCCAGAGGGGGAAGGGTCTGGTATGGGTGGGGCCGGGGACTGGGGGCCGCGTTGGTGCAGCGGGAACGATTTAGGGCTTACTCGACTACTATGAGACTGCACTGCCTTGGTCCTTGGTGATGAAACATCCAAGCACACTATAACTATGTAGTTAGATGCTGATGAATGATGAATAATACCAGACAACATGGATCAATGCAGTGAATAAGGCTATGAAATTATTCAACGAGGGAAATAGATAGCAATGATCTCGGTATTGGTCACATCATGATCATATACATAGATCGTTATTCAACATTTTATAATACATCTTCAGCCCGCAATTCCCCGGTTCTTCATATCCTGCAGATTGAGTGTGTCCTGATCACCAGGACGGTTTTCCGACTCAACCTTGACGTTGTCTTCGGGGCCACCGGGGCCCTGGAAGTCCTTCGCTTCGGGGAGTCTGCAAATGAAGGGCATATTAGCACTTTGTGAAACACCACAGGTTAAAACATCATCCACCCCCCCCCCCCCCCCCCACCAAAAATCTTACCTTCCACGGTCATCACGCGTGCCGCCCTCGTCCTCGGGAACCTTGCGGTGCTCGCTGCCCGACGCCGTGGAACCAGGGCCATATTTGACTCCGGTCGGCTGGGCGAATCGCTGGTCGACCATTTCGTCGACACCGGACTCGAGGGCTATTGCAGTATTGTTAGTATCATGCTAGAAAAATTGGGCTATAATGCTGGCTGCATACTCGAGTCGCTCTTCTGACCAAGACCCTGCTTGGCCTGGTAAGAGTTGAGGTTTTTCTCGGCTTGGAATGCCGTCTGGCGAAGCTCTTCGAAACGAGGCATTGTGTGGATTCTGGGTTGAATATGGTTTGACTGAAATTATTTGATTGAAGACCAGAGTCACCCGAGAACTGCCTATAAATACCGGTCCAGAAACCAAGCCCTGCTGGTGCTGGTCTCTGCATCATGATACATCATAGCGATGTCACCCATTTTGGAGTAGAGGAGCACACTATCAACCGTGGTTTGGGCTAGCCTTCCCAGTCCTGGGCTAAAACAGGGTTGGCCATGAACTCCAGTTTATCCTCGCGTGCCTTGTTAAGGACTCGATGCCGGCCTTGGTGACTTCATCTGTCTCCCCGGGGCAGATCACCTGCAGCCCTAATGACATGTCCCAAAAAGGAAAGTGGCCAGGGTTCGGCCCTAGGGCTGGGCGGTGAAGGGAAATCTATTCTCCGAGTGTCCGAATGAGGGGAGGAACAACAGTCGCGTTTGATAAAAGAGCGTGCTTGCCTGGCCACTCATATCGTCTATGGATTTTTCGTGATCGGAGTTCTCCCCTTTCATGTGGCTCTGCATACCAGGAGCAACCTGTTTCCTGATACCTTGACCTTCATCCCGTTGACCACGGGCACCATTCACCATGGCACATGTTATCGAGGTACCGGGCGAGACCAACCCGCTGAGTCCTCCGAATGTCCTCAATGCCCTGGTGCTTGCGGCAAGCTCCACTCAGCAGCAGGTGCAGACAGGCACGCAGCAGCTTCAAAACTGGGAGAAACAGGCGCTGTACCATTCCTTTCTCCAGGTAGGCTGTTAACTTCGTCCAATGAGCAATCGTGGGCAGGAAGTAACATAGGATGAGTTGTAGGACGTCTTTCTTGACCATTCAGTTCCCGCCGAAGTTCGATATCTCGCCATCATCCAGCTGAAGAATGGAATCGATAAGCACTGGCGTAAGACCGCAACCAATGCGATCAAAAAGGAAGAAAAGGACCGCATTAAGACAAGGGCCTTGGAGGCGGGTGTTGTTGAGCCGGCTCCCCTGCTCGCCCTCCACAACTCGTTGATGATCGCCAAAATCATGCGCTATGAATTTCCTCAAGACTGGCCCGATGCCATTTCTGCGGTCATTTCCTTCCTTCGTTCATCCACTCAGCCCGGTGCCAACCCACTCCAACTCCCTCGAACACTCCTCATCCTACTACAAATTATCAAAGAACTGTCGACGGCACGGATTCAGCGGACGAAGGCAAATCTCCAGTCTGTGTCACCGGAGATCTTCCATTTGCTTGGCAGGATCTATGTGGAGAAGGTCAACGGATGGGTTGTGATGCTGGAACATGGCGGGGCAGATGAAGGGTCGCTGCTGGAGACGATTGAACAGAGTCTGGTTTCGTTAAAGGTCATTCGACGGCTGATCATTGCTGGCTTCGAGCATCCAAGTCGCGACCAGGAAGTGCAGAAGTTTTGGGTATTGACCCATGCGCACTTTAGTAACTTTCTCTCCCTTGTTGAGAGCTCTGGAAACCTCCTTGAACATGTCCAGCGAGCCATTGAAAAGCACCTTCTGCAGATGTCGAAGCTGCATGTTGAGATGGCCCGGACTCATCCCGCGTCCTTTGCCCTCCTGCCAGACAGTATTACTCTCGTGAACTCGTACTGGACACTGGTCGTTAAGCTTGGTGAGAAATATGACAGTCTCGGCGCAGGTGGGGAGTCGGAAGGGAAATCCTTGACTGAGAAGACGGGTCTTCGAGCCCTGCTTTTGATCAGAGCTTGTGCGAGAATGGCATTCAACCCGGTCCAAACCTTCAAATATCAGACCCCGCACGACAAGGAGGAGCGGAAGCAAGCTGTTGAGCTCGTCAAGACTCAGTTGTTTACGCAGGGCTTTGTGGTTAGCGTCATGGAACTGCTGGTTACGCAGTTCTTCAGATTCCGGAAGGTCGACTTTCAAGAATGGGAAGAGGAGCCCGAGGATTGGGAGAAGCGCGAAGATGAAAATGCCGAAGCTTGGGAGTTCTCTATTCGGTCATGCTCCGAGAAGCTCTTCCTAGACCTGGTCATCCACTTCAAGGATCTCCTCATTCCCCGGCTACTAACCGTGTTTTATTCATTTGCAAGTAAGTATTTCACACTCTAAAGAAATTGGTTTCTCTTGCTGATGATTATTTTGCAGCCCCCGAAAACAGGGATGTCCTTCTGAAGGATTCCCTGTACTCCGCGATTGGCTTGGCCTCGGCTAGTTTGGAGCAACATCTGGATTTCAATGCTTTCCTGGTGGGGACCATGGTTCCCGAGGTTCAGATTCAAGAGCAAGAATACAAACTGCTGAGAAGGCGAATTGCGCTTGTCCTCGGTCAGTGGGTCCCTGTCAAGCCAGACGAATTGAACCGGGATGCCACCTACCAGATCTTCCAGCACCTGCTCAACAAACAAGACCCCTTGAATGATCTGGTGGTCCGAATCACTGCTGGGCGGCAACTCCGCAATGTACTCGAGCCCTATGAATTCTCGCCGGAAGGATTTATGGCGTTTGCGCCGTCCATTCTCGAAAATCTCATGTCCCTCGTTCAGGAGGTTGAGACATCCGACACAAAAATGGGGCTGCTGGAAACAGTCCGCGTGCTTGTAGTCAAGATGGAGGACCGTGTAAGTTATTTTTTGATGCAGACTCGCTCCGGCAGCCACTGACAGTCCCAGATTTCCCCTTTCTCCGACCAAATCCTTTCATTGCTTCCTCCATTGTGGGAGCATTCTGGGGAGGAACATTTAATGAAGCAGGCCATTCTCACCCTGCTGTCGTCCCTTATCAGTTCACTCAAGCAGGAATCCGTGAGATATCACTCGCTCATTCTCCCACTGATTCAGAGCTCAGTAGAGCCTGGTTCTGTATGTTTATGCATGTCCATTCCCAACCATGGGCCTTTGTTTCTAACCCGGAATGTATCTAGGAAACCATTGTATACCTGCTGGATGAGGCATTAGACCTTTGGTCTGCCATCATGGTGCAAACCCCGGCACCCGCTTCTCCGGAAATTCTATCTCTTCTCCCATCCCTATTCCCAATTCTCGAGCAAGGCACCGATAGTGCCCCACAAGCTCTTCACATCGTGGAATCTTACATTCTCCTCGCGCCGCAGGAGGTTCTTAGTGACCGGAACCGCTTCCAATTATTGGTCTCTTTCGAGGCACTCCTCCAATCGACCACAAAGCAACGAATTGGAGTAATCCCCAGGCTGGTAGAGACGATGATCCGCGGCGCTGAGGCCGTCGATGGCGGTAGCGAGTCTACATATCATGTTATCTCCCGGTCCTTGCTGGATAGCTCCTTCCTCTGCGCTCTCCTCGAGGGCCTGTACTCCGCCCACGAAGCCAGCCAAACAACCGGACCAAACAGGAAAATCTCGTCCGTGGTCGGCGTCGTAGAAACCGACTATTTCTCCGTACTGGCACGCCTGGCCCTCGCGAACCCCACCATCTTCGCATCTGCCGTCGCCGCTGCAACCAATTCCACCGAAGAACATTGCCTCACCTGGCTTCTCACCGAGTGGTTCCTGCATTACGACAACATCGGCAGTGTCAACCAGAAGAAACTCCACGCCCTGGGTCTAACCCAACTCCTTGCCCTACAAGGACCAGCCACTAACCCCTCACACCCGCCTCCGCCGCCTTCTTATATCCTCGCCCACCTCCAATCCTACCTGACCATGTGGACCGACCTCATTACTGAACTGGCCGATGGCAGTTCAGACCCCAATGCTGATTACTTGGTTTATTGGAATGCCCCCACCGGCTCTGTAACCGCTGTTCCCGAACAGTCTAGCGAGGCCGAGCAGCCCGAGGCCCAGCGTCGCTCCGAGTGGCAGTCTGCCGATGCCATCCACCGCTATCCAATCCGCGACTTTGTGCGTCACCGACTACAGGAACTGATTGTTGCCTGTGGGGGTGCGCAGCGGTTCCAGGAGGAGTGGTTGGTCAATGTCGATACGGAGGTAGTGTCGGCGTTTGGGGCTTTGGGGCTACTCTAGCCCGTTTATTTTCCAGGGGGGTTTTCAAATAGAAAGAAAGATGTGTTTATCTCATTTTGCATTTGATCCGGTTGCATAAATCTGGGATCGGGTGCTGTCGTCGTTATGGAATCTCTGGGTGTTTTTAGCTACATACCCCAATGCATATTCTTTTTCATCAGATTATTGGCATCGTTCAAGTCTACCGTGGAACTTTGACTAGATGCTGTTCACATCCCCTTTATGGTTCTAGGTACATCCTATCTACAATATGGACGAGATAGAACATACGCTAAAAAAATAAACGAGGTGCAAAGAGAGATGGGTCATCTTGACATAATCCGTTAACTAGTTAAACCAGCAGCCGACTGTACCCAGTCAAGCTTCATTGAAGCTTAAGTGTATATGAATAGGCACCTCGTTTCTTCAAAGATCTTTTCGACCATACAAGAATCAAGCCGACGGGCCTCGAAACAGACTGGCCAATATGCGCCTAGTCAATCGGGCCTTCTGCCAAAGTGCAACGAGGCGGCTATTCCGCCATATCATCGCCAAGCCCTGCTTCCTTCGAGAGAAGAATCCACCACTGAAAACAGCGCCTCTTCGTGAGCTCTCCCAGAGCCCCTATGCCGTGCATGTGCAGCAAATCGATTTTTGATTTTCCGTACCTTTCTAAGCGATCTTCAAGGCTGCTTTTTCCATGTACAGACGACCTATCGCTCAATTACTCTCTTCTTGCTGGACCAGATTCCCGAAGCTCAGGGCATTGGGCTGCTCTAAACCATCTTTTGAACCGTTTTCGTCTTCGCCACCAGAGTCTGTCTATATCAGCGCCTTTGCTAGAGCGTTACATCATGCCCGGCTGCCCAACTTGGCAGAGCTTCAACTCGCATTCCCTCTTGCGAAGGACTTTGGAAGTTTCTCTTCAGGAGCAGGCAGCTCAGTCCATGCCCCTATTGGAGATATCCTGTGACGACTTCGCCATTTGGACGTGGCAGCTGGTGCTATTGCAATTCACCAAGTTCCCGCGACTATGCGATTTCGATATCGATCAGTCCGGCTATTGGCCCAAAGGGACCAGCTCCCATTTCGTGGATGGAGGAAATGGGAAAACCCATGAAACTCACACGAAAAGCTCTCTTGATCTTCTCTCCCTCGCCCTTGGAGATTTACAGCGCCAAGTCAACGTCAACAGGGAAGCAGCTGGGCTTCGTCCGTATTCGGCGGATTATTACAAACAACTACTTCAGCCAACTCTGGAGTCAGTGGTACAGGACTAGCAACTTTGAAGGGAAGAGTTATCTTATTCATCGCTTGGCTGGTGGTTTTCTTTATCTGCTGTGTGATCATCTAAGAAGAACTGGATATAACTCGACTTTATAAATGGCCTTGGCACGCATTTGTCTCAAAAACAATATCGATTGTAGAACTATTAATCGTCGATCCAGCCAGACCTCGAATAGTAACCTATACGCCAAACCCAAGACCCTACCCATGGTCTCCAAGCCATATACCTATAGCAAAACGAATTTGAATTACAAAAGAAAGAAAGAACAATAAGCGATAATCACCAAAAGACTATAGCTGAGGTTGGAATAAGAGCGCAGCAATTAGCACTGGCCAGGGAATTGGCGGTCCGTGACAGGGTTAGGGAAGACGCCGCCGGCGAGCTGCTGTTTCATGTCCCACTCCGGAGCGCCCTCAGTCTTCCAGGTCCAGTACAGCCAGCCGCTGCCCTTCTCGTAAGCATCCAGCTGGGCTTCGATGAAGCGGCGGGTGTTGGTGCGGTCGTTGTCGGAGAGTGCCGCGACGGTGCCCTCGGACTTGCCCTGGCAGCTGCCGATGTTCCGGCTGCCCTGGTAGGTGCCATCGTAGCGAGCACCGATGCCCTTGCCGTTGAGGTACTTGGCGCAGTCGGTCATGGCACCAGTCCACTCGCCAACAATGGTCCACTTGTCGTTGGTAACAAGGTGTTGATCCACGAAGCCGCAGACGTTTCCGACGTGGGCGTTGGTGTCGACCGAGAGCAGGCCGCTGTCAAACACTTCGTAGTGGTGTGTATCCATCATAACATACCAAACGCCGCTGTCGCCGTTCATGAACCCATTCCATGATTCTGTCGGCAGGAATCCATCGTGGAGGATCAGGGTGGTGTCCTGGCTCGCCTCGCGGGCGACACCCCAGGAGTCATAGTAGTACTGCTTCAAGCCATCCGCGTCTACGCCACCGGGGACATTGGGCTCGTTCAGGGCTTCGATCGCGGTAACCACGTCGCCATCGCCAGCATACCGCTTAGCCAGGCTGCCGAGGGCAGACTTCGTGCGGTCGACAGTGTTGCCCTGCTGCCAGTTGATGCTTCCACGCTTTCCGCTGTTATCAAAGCCATTCTGAGAGCCGGGAGCTGTTTGATTCTCTCGTCAGTTCATGTTATAGGCAAAATGATATAGATGTCTCCACCTACCTCCGTGCAGGTCAACAACAACCTTAAGACCAGCCGCACGAGCCCACGAGACCGCATTGTCGAGGAATTCCAGCTGGCCATTAACGTAAGGCTCGCCGTTCAGATGCTCCGTGGCCCAGTATCCCACAGGGATGCGAACGTGGTTCATGCCCGCGGCAGCAATCTGACTGAAGTCATCTTGAGTGACGAAAGAGCTCCAGTGCTTCGACAGAACCGATCGGCACTCATCCTGGCCGAGGGTTTCACAAAGAGACCATTCGTCGACCGCAGCATCACCAGCCGAATCGAAGATCGAAGGCGTGATCCAAGGCTCCAGCACCAGCCAGCCACCAAGGTTGACACCGCGAACTTTGTCGCTGCCGTATTTGAAGTTAAGATGACTACTCCCATGCACGTTAGTTCGATCACATACAACTCTCCCCGGCATTCATGGATGGTGTCGCGGTGGAGGAGTCTTGGTCACTTACGATGTCGGGGAGGCCTGTCCCAGGGCGGCCAGCAGAGACAGCCCCAACAGGGCCTTGTGCGAGAGGTTGGATGGCATGATGATCTTCCTGGACTTAGTCAAAAACCCAAACGTCAAAAGCCCGGGCTTCGCGAATGAGGAATGAGAGGGATTGTGTCAAATGGAATGGAGATCGACGGTTATAAGTAGACCTTGTGACGATACACGAGGCTTCGGTTGGCCGGATGCAGGTCACTACCTGCTTGACAGCGAAGAAATGGGTGTCTTCAAGGTTGCTTCGAACAAAAGAAACGACACACCTTTGGATGAACTGCCTGTCGATCCCTCCTTGTCGCAGCTTGGACCAGCTCGAAGAACCCGAAAGAGGAATGTGACAGGAGCTGAAAACAGAGGAGTGGGCCGGAGTACACTGGAGTCCGGGGTTGATAAAGGAACAATGCACTTCTTGGATGGAGAGAGTAACGGGATATCTCACTCCGGTGCAGTGGGGTGTAAAGATGGTAACATGGAGAATATGGATGGAGCGTGGACACAACGCAAGCTGGAAGAATGAAAAGCCTCAGCTGGAGAGATTATGTTCTTTCTAATTTTGCAGCCGACACTGGTCGTTGTTGCCGTTCTTTTCCATCCAACTACTTCGAGTGACAGGTGCACCTTGCCTCGATCTTGTTTACGGTTTTTTTTTTCACTTTTTTTTTTATCATTTTGAACTGTACCTAACAATATCGTCACTCAGAGCCAGTCAATATAATCTCACTCGAGTCTGTGGACCAAGGTCACTCGGTCAGAATGATGTGCTGTTTGCGGCCAAAAAAAGATCTCACATTCCGCGCTCTGACGGGAATCGGCCACGCGTGTGGTCCGCAAGGAATGCTTGGCAGAGAGAGAATTGAGTTTGTAGAAGCAAAAAGGAACAATTTAACAATATGATGGGGGATAAAAAAGAACAATGGACTTGGTGGTTGTGATGGTGATGGGGAGTTAGCCCTAATTGTAGATTGCGTGTGGGGAATTTTTGCTGAACAGTTTTCATTGTACACAGATCCGGGGAGAAAAGGTCCGCTGCATTGATTTCGAAGCAATTCAATATTCAGTAAATCAATTTTGTTGTGATGCTCATATCTCCAAATGAAATTGACTGAATCGCCCGTTGTTCGGCCTTGTGTTCCACTGATCGCCGATGTACTTCCGTTCCCGGCGACAAGTACTTTGTCCAACAATGCACCCACCGACCACCCAGGGGCATGACGCATTTCCCTCTGATGGTTACTGTAGCTGACACTGAGGTTGTAGTTACACCATGAGTTCCATGGATCCTGTCGGCTTTGGGCATTGTGGATGCTGGACCAGAACAGCTATCCGCGGGAAACGAGACCTTGAGGGCTATGGCAGTAACGCGGTGATGCAAGGACCCGATCGGAGGAATCTGGATTTGTTTGTTACACGTAGAGCTTGAGAGTCTAGACTTCTGGGGAATGCAGAGGACTTCGGAATGCAGCCGTCGGAACTTACCAGGTGCATGGCATGTCCAAAGATTTACATCTAGAACCTGGAAGTCTTCACTATTGTCCACAGAGGAAATAAGAAATTTAGAATTAAAAGGCAAGGGGAAGAGGTGAAGCTGAGAAAAGTGGTCGCTCTGGAATATTTGTCAGGAATAATGGATGCGACATCGGCGTGGGCGTGGATGTATCTTGCTGCAAATCTATAGAACAGCTACTTCTCACTAGCGTAAAGCATTGATGATAGAGTGTAGAATTTTATATCAACTCTAATTATTGCCGAGACATACAGAAATGCCATCAAGCTACGATTTCTTTGTCTCGAGTGAAATAAATAGAGGTATCATTTCTACCACGGCGAGAGATACTTGAACTTATTCTCCAGAATCCCAGGTAATGATAGCTTCGATTCCAAATCTTGGACTCATGAGTTTTGATTTAAGAAGCACAAAGATACACTTCCCTTTTCCTACACAGCCGCCAAGCTAGCTGTCTTATAGATCACATTCGGAGCATGACCGAGTCAACAGTAACCGTCACCGCTCATCTTCAAATGACCATTTTCTGAGAAAAAAAAGGACTTCCTCGACAATATTTCATCTTTATCACAAAGCCCACAGATGACCAGTTCTACTTGCGAGTGATTCCGACTCGATCAGTTGAACATATCGCAACTCTTAGTATCGACACCGAGAACTACAGCCAACATCTGTGCCAACCCAGGTGATCCCATAACAGTTTACTTGGCACAAGCATTATCTCGATCGCAGCGAAGTCTTTCGCTCGAGTAGTTCCGCACCTCAGTCATCCGCCATGTGCCGATGTGCGGGGGTGGGGGAAACGAGTCATTTCGATCCTCGCAGCGGTCAGATTCGGGCTCGGGCTTGACCGAGATTTGAATTGTTGAGAACCGAACACTGCACTCCGGATCTCACAGGACGGGGGGGGGTGGATAATACCACGGTACATTCATCCTTTTCTTCCAAATCAGCTGCTCCACAGTGGACCATCGTGCGTGATGGATGATGGAGGGGGTTTTCTTCCCCCACCACTCGGAGAAAATGAAAATGCATCAAAATTGAGAGCAGCCCGATCGCGGGGAGTCGGAAATAAGCAAGATACCCTTAAATGCACCCCCCCAACCGAGCCATCATGAGTCGCATGGATATCTGATTGGCGGTAATCCTCCGCACGAGATCACCTTCTCTTTGTGTGTGTGATATCACGCGGTCCTAAGCGACCAGCGTGGAGAAGCATAGTGAGAGAACACGCCATCTTTTGTGATTCCTCGGGGCTGAGGAGACATTTAGGGTCAGTTCCAATCACAACTTGGCGATCGTCGCGCCAAGTGCCGGGGTGGAGGACGTGGAGGGGTAAGGCTGGTTGATGGAGTCTGGAGATTAACAAGACCAACACGATACAACGCCAAAGTACCACGTTCAGAGGGATAACTCAAAGGTGAGAGATTTATGTTGGTTTGGTTAGTGCCATGGCTATCTAACATCTAAACAAAGATGTCTCATCCTGGTATGTACGAACGCAAGGGATTCCAGTAAACCCTCGGGCAGAGACTGGACTGTCAATGCACGATCAGTCGATTTCATGGTTTTTGGACTTCTTCTTCTCGTGTGCCCCGTGGTCCTTGGCAGTGATCCTTGGGCATATGAGCCCAACAAAAAGTAGCCATCGTAGCTGTAAGTCTGTCCGCTCCTGGCAGGGCTATGGTCGGAATTAGGCCCGAGCAACTTCCCTGATGCAAGGTCACCAAACCCAGCGAATCGCCGAGACATCACTTTGCCCACTTGTATCTGTTGATGTCTTTGTTTATCCGAGGTACATGTACATATCCCCTGGCGAAGTCTAATGAACCTTGGTTCATCCAGATGCAGCCTCGCTCCTTCAGAGGGGAAGCTAAACAACGCGACTCAAGAAACCAATTTCCACCATGTTCCACTCCAAGACAGTCCAATCTCTCGAGCCTGCCGGTTTGTTTTCTTAGTTCTTGGTTCTTGATTGGGCATGACACTCTTTGGCCCCCTGAAGCTCTCTCTCTCTCGGGAAGCTTCTCCCCCAACGCTAAGTAGCCCGAAGGGAACCAGCACCGGCCACTAACATTCTCTCAACAGTCAACTCAATAGAGCCGACCTCTTCCATCCCGAATCGGAAATTCCTGTGATCTCCCGCACTTGATCCCCCCCTGCGGGGTTTTGTTAGCTTCTTGGTGGGCCCGGCCAAGAGGCATGGCAATGCTGTTGAGCGATGCAGGTCAGAGGTCATCGTGCAGGGCCGCAGGTCTCGGGGATTGCTCGATCCACATTTCCCTAATTTCTGGGCAAGCACGGCGGGAATTAGGGTCCGTGGGAAGTCGGGTTTGTAGAAACGGAGGGCCCCCATGTACATAAAGCCAGGGATGCGCTGTTGTCAGGCATGGTCTTTAGCTTCTTTTTTTAAAAGGTCTTCTTCTCTAGCTCTGGTGCTGAGTTAGTGGTTTCTTCTTGTTCGTTGTTCAGAGGGTTGGATTGTATACCCAAAGCTATGCGTTTAGACCAAAGTCTGGTCTTGGGACTGCTGGCCACTACCGGCCTGGCGCTGCCTAGCAGAAGAGACAACGGTGTTGCGCCGAAACAACTGCAAGTGCGCAGCTCCAAATATGCCGTCAAGCAGCCCCCATTGACAACGGAGTGGACGGGTAAAGTGGGAACTCATCCTTGGCCCGACTATCCGCGGCCCCAACTGCAGCGATCCCAGTGGCAGAACCTCAACGGCGTGTGGCAGTATCAAAATGCATCCAGTGTCGACGCGGTCAAGAGCCCGCCGTTTGGAAAGGATTTGGGGCGAGAAGTCCTTGTTCCGTCGTGTCTAGAAAGTGGATTATCTGGTGCGTTTGTATTGCGTGGTTGTTTTGGCGTGGATGAAATACTGACGGTTCTTGCCGCAGGAATCCAAGAGCAAAACTCCTTGTATTCGTGGTTTGCAACCTCGTTCAAGGTGCCCTCGTCCTGGAAGGATGAGCATGTGTTGCTTCATTTCGGCGCTGTGGATTATGAAGCCACGGTGTTTGTCAACGGCAAGCAGGCGGGCTTCCACCGCGGAGGCTATTTCCGCTTCTCTGTTGATGTGACCGAGTTTGCCAAGTTCGGTGAAGAGAACGAGCTGTGGGTTGACTTGAGATTGTAAGATGTCATAAAAGATTTGAATAGCTGACCATTGCAGCCTTGTTTTCGTGCATGATCCCACCGACGGGGGTGACCATGTCATCCCCATTGGCAAGCAAACTCTCAATCCAAACCACATCTTCTATACGCCCTGCAGTGGGATCTGGCAGACTGTGTGGGTTGAGACTGCACCATCAGACTATATCACCAGTCTGGATATTACGGCCGACATGCACGGTGAGGGTAAGCTTCTTCCCACATGAAAAAGCGTAATGATTTGCAACGGTTCTGACGATTTCTAGTCAATGCCACCGTGCACAGCTCAGACACGAGCAAAAGCTCGGATGTCGAAGTGACTGTGCAGGACAATGGAAAGGAGGTTGCCACCCACAAAAGCTCATCCAACAAGCCCTTCCAGTTCAAGGTGCACTCTCCGAAGCTGTGGACCCCCGAGTCCCCCAAACTGTACAATGTCACCGTCAAGATGGGCGACGACAAGGTGACAAGCTACACGGGATTCCGCACCATCTCCAAAGACAAGGTCGACGGCGTGGTCCGGCCCCTCCTGAACGGGAAATTTATTTTCATGTTCGGCACCCTGGACCAGGGCTACTGGCCGGATGGACTGTACACGGCGCCGACTCGAGAGGCCATGGTGTATGATCTGGAGGTGCTCAAGAAGCTGGGCTTCAACATGGTCCGCAAACACGTAGGTGGCCTTTGCTTTTCTATGGTTGCAAACTTCAAGCGTGTTCGTGCTAACTAACCCTCTGCGTAGATCAAAGTCGAGCCTGAGTTGTTCTACCGGGCGTGCGATGAGCTTGGTCTGTTGGTGATTCAGGACATGCCCTCGCTGCGACCACTCCAGACCAAGACTCTGGACAATGGAACCCAGGTGGATGTCATGCCGAATCCGAAGCAACAGGTTGAGTTCGGTCGTCAGTTGGAGCTACTGGTCAATCAACTGAAGAGCTTCCCTAGCATTGCGATCTGGGTAAGTGGAACTTCCACCTTTTAGATGGAGTGATCTCCCCCGCTGATAGACGCAGGTTGTCTACAACGAAGGCTGGGGCCAATTGACCAATACGTATCCCGAATTTGGATTGACCGAGCGAGTCAAGCAGCTGGATCCTACACGGCTGGTCGACTCGACGAGTGGCTGGCACGACCACGGAGCCGGCGACTTCAGTGTAAGTGATTGAAATACATCAAAAGAATAAGAATAAAATTGCTGACTGACTGACTTGTAACAGAACAACCACCACTATGCCAACGCACAGTGCGGCACGCCCTGGTACTCGACAGACTCGAGTCCCTACGACGACAGCCGAATCGGCTTCCAAGGGGAATTTGGCGGAGTCGGGCACAATGTGTCTATTGAGCAGTGAGTTTCCTTTCTCTCCCAAGAAGAAGATTACCAGAATTTTTGTGATTGACAAATTCAGCCTCTGGAACGACCAAGCCGCCATCAATTCCATCAATGAAACCTACGAGATGGACGCCTCCATCGATGTATGGAACTACCGCAGCCACTTCCTCCTTAACGAGCTGGAGGATCAAGTTCATAAGTACGCATGCAGTGGCGGAGTCTGGACACAGACTACCGATGTAGAAGGCGAGCTCAATGGGCTGATGACCTATGATCGCCGGGTGAAGAGGGTTGACGAAAAGCAGTGGAAGGACGATATCCAGGCGTTGTATTCTGCTGCTGCAGCGCGAAGTAATGGGTCGTAGTGGACAGGTGTATATGGTTATTCATTTTTATTCTATGGGTTCAAGCATGAATATATGACTTCAATTTCCTTCCTCGTTTCCTAAACCCTTAAATCAGTTTCTGACAGAGAATATGTTCGAATATTCCCCAAGAGACAACGAAAGAATACTCCTTATGAAGGTCTGTTCTCATCTCAAATTAATTTATATTAGCTTGGCACGTCTATCCACGGATACGCATTCCCTGGCCGTGGAACGCGGAATCACCAGTCACGTAGGACAAATCAACCTCGGGAATTGCTCTAGACCCAGGAGTGGGACTGATCACCGCAGGCATAGTGATCGTCTAGCGCTGCTGTTTGACTATACAGTAGTGCGTCTCAGATTGAACGCCGATCCATAGTATGCCCGAGATCATAAAGAATACGAGTGAAAATGTCGGTTCTATCATTTGGAATGAGCTTGGAAGACAGGGCATTTTTCTCATTGATTTAGCTTTGTTTCTTTTCTGGTGACATTCCCCTAATACTAAGAAACCCTACAGGACCGGTGCATCAGGCCATACCCACTGCGAATCCACCCGACATGGCATCAGGCCACGCCATCACCCGGGAAATCTCGATATCGGTGATTTGGGAGGGTTTACAAGTGCTTGCTAGATATTTCAATCCTATCACTATGGGCCATTACTATTATTGTATTCTTCTGCTATTAAACCTGATCTGACATTAGTATGTTTTGCATTCGTAGCCCCGCCGATCTATATTTTTGAATTGCGTATCTTCTAGAAGCAATCCACACCCACGCTCAATTAAACAAATGCTTTCTCTTTTCTCATGAACTGATCCGACGAACTATATTCCTCCCAAAAGAAGTTCATCCACACGTCGCTTATACCCTCATACAAATACCCAGCCTGGCCCCCGAAACCGCCGGCTCCACTTTCATGTCGCGAGACCGTTGGGACCACAACGGAGTGCGTCAACGGCCAGTCACCGGCTCGATAATTATTCCTATTCATCCGAGTGTCTTTATCTTGACCTCTCTCTTATTCCCCCTCCTTGTGATCTTTGAAGAGATCAAAGCGCTATCCAGGTATGATATAGATGAAGGCAAATCATCGTACCTGTAAAATAAGCGGCTCCCGATCTCCGGGTCCCACGCGCTCGCTTGTTTCAACAGGGAAGACTGTACAATTCGTAGGGGCATGTTAATCCTGGCACCAATTTTCCACCGGTGGAGAGATTGCAGGGAATCAGCCCACACACTCGGTCCGCTTCTCACTTGCGGAACTATACTCCACGGCAATCCTCGGTGGTCTGATTTGACACCATAGTCTTTGACAACAGTTGTCCAGTAATCAGGACGTTTCCCTGTTTTTGGATAACCCCATGTGGTCACTGGCTTGTATCGAGCGCCTCGTGGTGGTGTGGGTGGGAGAAGCAGGTTATAAATACTGATCTCACCCAGGCCACGAGGCGTCCCAGTTATTCTTTCTTTTTTCTTTCTTTCCATTTCGCTCTGGTTATAGTTGCACAAGTATACTTCCTCTCTGAGATATACCTTGCATCACCATGGACTACAATCTGGGCATCGGCCCTGAGCCAAAACATGTCGACCGCAAACTACTATATACCAGCCTGGAAGAGAGAATCAAGTATCTGCATGCCTTCCTAGACTTTAATTCCGGTAAGTGTATCCTACCCAAAACCCACATCACACATCTGACAAACATCTTACATGCTAGCCGACGTCGAGGCGCTCATGACTGGCACAAAATACATCAAGCAGCTAATCCCCGCCGTCGTCAACCTGGTCTACAAGAAGCTGCTGCAATTCGATATCACATCCCGCGCCTTCCACACCCGGTCTACTGTCGACGAAACAGAACCAGAAAAAGACTATCTCCATGAAGAAACACCACAGATTAAGCGGCGGAAGATGTTCCTGCGGTGGTATCTTGTGCGGCTGTGTCAGGATCCGACGACGATGGATTTCTGGCGGTATCTGAACAAAGTGGGGTGAGCATCGGTAACAGAACAGATGAGATGAGCTACACCCAGCTAACTTCCTTCTTTTTGTGTATAGGATGATGCACAGCGGCCAGGTCCGCATGCACCCCCTCAACATCGAATACATTCACATCAGCGCCTGCATGGGCTACATCCAAGACATCTTCGTCGAAGCACTGATGTCACACCCACAGTTGTCACTGCGCCGCAAGATCGCCCTCGTGCGCGCCGTCACCAAGATTCTCTGGATCCAGAACGACCTGTTTGCCAAGTGGCATGTCCGCGACGGCGAGGAGTTCGCCGACGAAATGTCCGAGTACAGTTTCGACCCACGCGAGGGCTTTCTGGATGACACGCGCATTCTCGGCGGCAGCAGCATTACCACCACTACCACCAACACTACCTCTGGTGGGAGTAGCTTGGTCGATGAGGATCAGACTAGTATTGCTAGTAGTGCGGCGCCTTCGGCTCATAGTGGGGCGGCGCCGGCGCAGACGGGGGCTTCGAAGGGGTCGATTTGCCCTTTTGCTGAGATGGGGAAGGGATCGTCTGAGACGAAGATCTGGGCTGATTGAGTGTGTTATTTGTTGGATTTTTTTTTGTTTGGATGCTGCGGTTTTGAGCATAGACTGGGAGCGTCATTTCTGGCGCAATCTGGGGTTCGGCGTGCTGGCAGTTTGGTCCAACTATTTCAGATCATCAGTATTTTGGAGTATTTCCGTTGATCTGCTCTCTATATTCTCTTCCCGGTGCATCTCCCGTGGGGAGAATCGGAGTCAAGTACGTTCCCCCGGATTGACGTCAAATCTTAGTGATCCTGGCCCATCGGCATTGCTCCCCCACACGACTGCCGATGGCTCTGTCAATGAAGACAGATGGGATGAGATATAATTAAGACAGCTTTCTCTCTCCGTATATGGGAGCTATCACCTGCAGCTGCATTTGCAGGGGGGTTCTCTGCTGGTCCCCGCCATCCCCTTTTTTTATTTCATCGAAGTCAAATCTTCCCCCTTGACCCTTCGCGCCGGACTTGCCATCAACTGCGATTTCGCGTCTCGAGAAGTCCACTCTGTGATTCTCCTTCTCTAACCCACTGAGAGCTGTTCACGTTCCAGGATCATCATCCTTTGCCCCACAGCAAAAGATAACGAAACACACGCACACACACTCATCCGCAATAGCAATGGCGCAACCCGATACACCAGTCACACCGCTCATCATCAATAATGAGTCGGTGGTCACCGACATCAAATTCGACGTGCGCGCTCCCGCAACAGGCGAGTTGTCAGGTCACTGCACCGGCGCATCCGTCGACGATGCGCTGCGCGCCGTCGAGGCCGCAAAGGCTGCCTTCCCCGCATGGCGCAAATCAAAGCCGTTCGACCGTCGCGATGTGTTGATGAAGGCCGCCGATATCATGGCATCGCGCAAGGAGGAGCTGATCCAGTACCAACGCGAAGAGACTGGCGCCGGACGACCATTCTCCGAACATACCTTCAATCTGGGCGTGGATTTCATCCGGGATTTCGCAGCGCGTATCTCCACGATCGAGGGTTCCGTACCCAATGTCACTAGGGACGGGGAGGGCGCGATGGTGTTGAAGGAGCCATACGGGGTGATTCTGTCGATTGCGCCATGGTGGGTTTTTCTTGGCCGCGTTTTCCCCATGCGCTGATAATGGACATGTCGAGGTTCTCTTTTGCGGAAGCAGAGAGAAGGGGGGGAAAGAAATGTAAACTGACCGGACCTTGGTTTCTAGGAACGCGCCCTTCATCCTAGGCACTCGCGCCATCGCCCTTCCGCTGGCGGCGGGGAACACCGTCGTCCTCAAGGGCTCGGAGCTCTCCCCCAAGTGTTTCTGGGCACTCGGCGACATCTTCCGTCAAGCCGGTCTTCCGGCAGGATGTTTGAATGTTGTCTATCACAACACCCCCGACGCTGCGCAGGTGACCACCGCGCTGATCGCCCACCCGGCCATCCGCAAGATCAACTTTACCGGTAGCACTCAGGTCGGCGCGATCATCGCGGCCACGGCGGGCCGACACATCAAGCCCGTGCTTCTTGAGCTGGGCGGCAAGGCGTCGGCGGTGGTTCTGGACGATGCCAATCTGGAGAAGGCAGCCATGAACTGCGCGATCGGGTCATTTATGCATGTAAGTGCAAGTGCGGGCATAACTATCCTTGACATTGAAAGTTTCAATGTTCATCATACTGACACCGTTGTTCAGTCCGGTCAAATATGCATGTCGACCGAGCGCATTGTAGTGCAGCGCTCGATCGCGGCCCAGTTCCGACAGAAGCTGGCTGAGACGGCGGAGACGCTGTTTGGCAAGGATGCGCCGGCGTTGGGCTTGGTTAACTCGGCGGCCGTCTCAAAGAACAAGAACTTGGTCGCCGATGCCGTTTCCCGCGGCGCCAATCTGCTGTTCGGGGATGCGCAGTCAAACGAATCCATCAACACCATTATGCGACCCATCATTGTGGACAATGTCACCAAGGACATGGACATGTATGCGACCGAGTCCTTTGGTCCCACGGTGTCTTTGATGGTGGTGGATACCGAGGAGGAAGCAGTTGCGCTAGCCAACGACACCGAGTATGGATTGACTGCAGCCGTCTTTACCAACAACCTGTTCCGCGGGTTGCGCGTGGCTAGACAGATTGATTCCGGGTGAGTTGTCCATCATGGTCTTCTGATGACGCTATTCCCTGAAGAGTTGAGAAGTGGAGCGCGCTAACATCTGCTGCCTTCCTTGTTTTTTGTGCAGAGCTGTCCACATCAACTCGCTCACCGTGCACGACGAGCCTGTCTTGCCCCACGGTGGATGGAAGAGTAGCGGGTTTGGCCGCTTCGGGGGAACCTCGGGCTACGACGAGTTCTTGCAGACCAAAACTGTCACTTGGATGGAGTGAACTGGGGACTTTGGAGGGGCCGCCACCGCGGCTATTTTTGTTCTTTTCTTTTCTTTTCTTTTTTTTTCCCATGTTTTCTCTCTTTTGATGTCTTACCTTGGCTCCATTAGGAGCCTGCACCGACCTTGGCGTGGCTTGATATGATGCCCTGGATCCGCATGGGATTGGATCGGGCATGGATACCCTGTTAACTAGCGACGAATTATACATGTGACGACCTTGTCATGAGTGTCTTTGCTGGAGCCAGTTCTGTTCATTTACAGTCTTGAGTGATTCTGGTGACCATGCCCGATCTTCAGGGACAGGCCGAGTCCCAAGAACTAAGAATTATAAAAAAAAAATTAAAATTAAAATTAAAAAAAAGGAAGCAAGAAAGTAATAATCAGGCACAGGGATGTCAATTATTGTTTCTTGCAAAATAGAAAGCTCGAACCGTGGAAACCGACCAGAGGCCAATGCCAATAGTCTTCAGAACGGAGTCGACTAGCCTGTCTGCACATATATAACAACCCTGAACAGAGTAATAAACAATTAATAATCGTGGAAGTAACCTCCAGTTAACTAGTTGGTTAGCATTGAGCTCATAAGATGAATAATATCATTTTATTTTCTTATTCGATGTTTTTATTATTGGGACTCCACACTTGTGTTTCAGCCAATTCGAACCAAATCTCCCGGTATTCATGGAGGTACCGAGGGACCAGCCTCAGCAGCCACACGGGAATACTTATGATATACATCTGACCACTACAGATAGAGATTGATGTCACAGAACAAGATTTGCACAGCCCGGCAGATGAGTTTCTCCAGCACGCGCAAAACCAGCCACCCCTGAATATCAGGCGTTGATCCCTTCCACTGCGGCCAATCCCCTGACGAACGGGTGGGATCGACAAGGCGAGCGGGTTTTGGTTCGACTTATCGCTGGGCTGGAGGGTGTGGGGAATGAATATCGTTATCACCTGGACGGGAGTGTGTATGTTACTGTAAAAGTGTTAAAAGGGTACACATAATCTTCAGAGTGGAAATTGCTTCCTTCTAAGTTCTTACTACTGCATACATAGGAATCATGTTCTTCGTATGGCTACTCTCATTATTTCTGTTCATTTCATGTTTAATCTCCAGGTGAGACAAACTCACGCTTTGGTCGCGGTAAGACATCGGAGAGTACATCCACGGATGGGTGCCTGCCAAGACCAGTAAACACTGTACCATGTCTGTATACTCTACGTGCATGTATGCATATATGCGCAGTAAGGAGACGTTTAGTTTAGCTTGTGTTCTTTTCCTTGCTGAGATCAAAACCTCGAGAATCTCATCTTCCAGTCTCTGTACTGTCTACTGTACTGTATATGCACTGTTTGTACATGCTGTATAGATGCTTCTTCCAGAAATTAAGCCGAAGATCTTTCACCAATCAACAAGCCTCGGAGTCTTTTAATGTAAACCCCCTGATTTTAGTCTCTTATTGAAATCAATTAAATACGAAGTCCACCAGCCACACCACGAGGATGTATGACTTTCTCGCCAAAAAAACTTCCAATTGAACAACGGTTTTTCTTCGAGGCCTGTAAAGAATAAGCCGAGTTTTTCAACAGACACAGAATCTTAGAACCCTGAGAGACACCGGGTGCAAATGACTCTCGAATGACCCACTATGATGCGTGGTTTACTCGTGCTTGGGCCCTGATGGGGCTCGGGGCGTCTCCTCACTGGACAAATGCGGGCTCGCCTCCGTGCTTGGTCTCTTCAGGTAGAAATGTAGTTCTCCTCGCTCTCTGCTCTTCTTCTCTTTCTTTCCTTTCCAACCACGTTCATTCTTTCCAACCCAGTCATTCTTTCCCTCCCCCAATCTAATCCCAACTTCAGTCATTCTTTGTCAACGCGACATATACTCTAACCATGCGTTTCTTCACCGCGACTATCATCTCGGCCCTGGCGGCCTTGGCCATGGGTCACACCCAGCCCGACTACTCCAAGCAGCCCAAGGGCAATGCCATTGTCAAGCCGGGTCTGCACGAGCAGGTGCCCGAGGGCAAGCCCTACACCATCCACTGGGAGCCCAGCACCGAGGGTCCCATCTCGCTGGTCCTCCTGCACGGCCCCACTGAGAACGTCAAGCCTCTGGAGACCATTGCCGAGAAGATTCCCAACTCGGGCAAGTACGAGTGGACTCCCAGCACCAAGCTGACTCCCGAGGACACCCACTACGGCCTGCTCCTCGTCGTCGAGGGCTCCGGCCAGTACCAGTACTCGACCCAGTTCGGTCTGACCAACAAGGAGGGCTCGGGCTCGTCCAACGGTGATGGCAAGACCACCACCGTCGTCGACGATGTTACTACTACTATCTGCCCCGAGAGCCAGTCTGCTACTGCCACCCCGACCTCCACCCCCTCCAGCACCGTGACTGTCATCGACGACGTGACCACCACCATCTGCCCTGAGAGCCAGTCCGCCTCTGCTACCGCTACTCCCTCGGCTCCCGTCTCTGCTGCTCCCTCCGCCGGCCCTAGCGTGCCCTCCTCGCCCGCTGGCTCCGCCCCGGTCACCCCCTCGGCTGCCCCCTCTGCTGCTCCCTCGGTCGTCCCCTCCGTTGGCTCCTCGTCCACTGTGACCCAGAGCTTGGAGGTCACCACCACCATCTGCCCCGAGGAGAGCAAAACCCCCGCCGTCACCCCCGGCGCGGGTCCCTCCGCCCCCGGCGCGGGTCCCTCCGCCCCCGCTGCCGGCCCCTTCCGCCCCGCCAGCTCCGTTCCCTTCGTGCCTGGCCGTGGCCCCAGCACCCTGCGCAGCTCGCCTGCCTCCGCCCCGACCCAGGGTGCTGCTTCTCCCTCTGCGTCGTCCTACAGCGGCGCTGGCCGCAACGCTGTCAGCCTCGGCGCCGTCGTGGCTGCCATCCTGGCCGTTGTGGCTGTCTAAGTGTTCTTTCCACTTGAGTGGAGCACTTAGCTGGCTGTTCTTTATTTTTCTCTTTTCCTTTTTATTTTAACTCTCAAAATGATCCGGTTTTTCTTTTCACGGGAGAATGATGGGAGCTAATCTTACTGATCCTTGATGTGGAATTCTTTTTCTCTTTGATTCTTTGGCTGAGCTTGCCTGCATCTGATTGATACCTTGTTTTCTGTCTATCATGTATGTTTCAAAGAAATACAAGTCTTCAGCTGTCTTGTAATGTCAGTTCATGTTCATGTATGAGTATTATTTCAACTGTAGTTGGACACTTTTGGCTACGACTTGATGGTAGAGCTAGTATAGTACAAGCGGGGTTCCCCTCAAGGGCGGTCTAACAAAGACATATTGCATCGAGGGCTACCCCATGCCAGGCAGACAGCCAAGTACAGGATGTTTATCAAAATATTGAGGTATCGATGTTGGTTGAATTCAGATTGTCGAGGATCTCCTATATCCATCCATTATATCCATGGATAGGTCATGGACTATCACGTGAGGATAAGCCCGATAAGGATTTTTCCTGCGATCGCCAACCCCAGCACCACCTCTTGGATTTGACTATCCAGCGACTGAATTACTCCTCCTTCTTCTTCCTTCCTCAAAACCTTTTTCACTTCGGTATATATCTATCTTGAAAACTTCTGAACCACCATGGCTCAAGGCCTCCTGAAAAAGAGCAAGCCCACCACGGCCTCCTCCAAGCGGTACGTCCTTCCAGCAACGCAATCCTTGCAACGAAAGACAATACACACCATTTCCTTGACTAGAAGAATATACTTCTAACACTGTTTTATTCTTTGTTATCTTCAGTCCCTCCTCCAAAACAACAAAGCCCGGCCCGCGCCAAATCGCCCCGAAAAAGACTTCCCTGGTGAAGCAACACAAACTGAACAAGGTACGAGAGGGAATTTCCAGGGACATATTGATAGATTGATACCTTTTCCTGTGTCTCTTCTATTTTTCTATTTCTGTTTGGGGTTGGATCTGTGGATGTGGTTGTGGTCGTTGTGCTGACTTCTATTCCCTCGCAGAAACTCACGTCCGGGCTGGCGGCCAAGACGGAGCGCAGTTTGGCGCAGAAGGCGGGGCATCTGGAGATGTTGGCTGGTGGGAAGAAGGATAAGGGGGATGGGAAGGGGAAGAAGAAATAAATAAGGGGGTTGTCAAGTTTTGGATCTATCGGTTTCTTTTTTTTCTTTTTTGTTTCTATTTTTTTTTGCTTCCATATTCGATACCCTCCTATCTAGCTGCAAGTAATCCGTCCTGCTTTCTTCTTCTTTCATTCGGAAGTATATCTAAGGAAAGGTCTTGAGGGAAATGATCAATATTTATAATCTAGAAAGATATCCATGTACAAAACCACTGGACAAAACATCCACGGCGAAAAGACACAAAACAAAAAAAAAGAAATCATCAATCATAAAACAATATTGATATCAAGTCGTGATCCATCCAAACGCAAACACATAACACAAAAACAAATAAAAGACAACAAAAAAGAAAAGAAAAAAAGGGTATCTAATATTCCAACTCCAGTCCCATCATGCCATACCACCAGCAGGCCTGCTCAGCAGCATGTTACATTTTGGAGATCCGATTCGGAACCCCGGCTTGCTCAATCAGGTCCTGGCCGCGTTCCATCCAGGAGAAAAAGCCTATATCGGTGGGGTCCGAGGGGAAGTCATCCCACACAGAATTCTCCGAGTCGGCGTACGACGACCATATCCCCTTGGGAACATCGGCCATCGACCACGAGGGCAGCTTCGCCATCACGCAGGTGTAATAGACATAGAGGATGCGGCAGAGCAGCTCGACACGGTCGACGTAGTGCTGCTGCGTGGGATCGGGGGTCTGGCCGCCGTCACCGAGCCGCTTCCACCACGAAACCCGCCACCGCAACGACAACAGGATGTGGCCCAACTCGCCCAGGAACCGGACGTGTGTCTCGTGCGAGATCTGCTTCCATTTGATGTTGTAAAAGTCCCGCTCCAGCTTGCGGAATCCTTCGACTTCCAACATGCGACAGACGATGCGCGAGAGCTGTGCCGCTAGGAGGATATCGCGCTGGTGCTCTGGGTTGTGGATGTCCATGGGCTGCTCGTCGTCGCTGTTCGAGTCCAAGGAAACAAAGCTGTACTTGGCACGGCTGGGCATGTTGTTCCATCGCGAGAGCAAAGTCTATAAACAGAGTCAGCATGTTGCTTTTCGGAGGTAATAAGAAAGGCGGCGGAACGTACGTAGGCCTGGTTCATCGGATCACAGTTCTTCACGCAAGACAACCAGTTCTTCGATTTGTCTTTCGACTCGACGATTCGGCGGTCGATAAACTCCAGGAAACTCGACTTTGAGTTGCCGTTGTACTCGCTCAAGCTCTTCAAGAACTTGTAGGTCTCTCCCAAGTCCAGGACATAGAGAGAACCCCATGCCTGGCTGGCGCGGATGTTGAACCGCCCCTGGCGCTCGGAGAGGGATGACAAGAGCTGGCCCAGGTCAAATTCAGATGGGATTTCCATTCGGATTCTGCTCATGCCATCCACTGTTGGGTGGTTGACAGCTCGTTGAGCTACAGCCAAGTTAGTCTAGTGAACACCAGCCACGAAATCTAGGAGAAATGGAAGTACATACAGATGTAGTTGCAGGTCCCAAACTCAACAATACTGGAGAAGCACGCGCGGGCACACGGCTGCTCGTGGAGCGTCGGCCGACAAGCGTCGCAGGGTGAACTGCCATCACACTACCAAATGTCAGCTAACTTAATCGATGCTCAAGTCCGAACCCGAAACTCACCTTGCGTTTGTTCAATCGGCACTGCACACAGGTGTCCTTATTCTTCCTGCGCATGCCTGCGTTGGCCCTTCCGACCATACTCAAGGGTCCCTTACGACGGGCGCCTCGCGGGGGCGAGACGAAGTCTGCAGACGCAATAGAGCCGCCTTGTCCATCTTCCTGGACAATCTGCAGCGGCTTCGGTTGGTTCTGATCCATGGAACCTGCGGCTCTGTTTTTGCGTTTCCGGACCGTGGCCACAGACTGCATAGCTAGCGGCGTCGGTCGGCCTGAGGCGCGTTGGCCAGCAGACGACGAAGCCCTCGGTTTCGACGAAACGGTTGATAGCATGGATTCTCCTGGGCCTTCGCTAACCATAAATGCCGTGGTCTTGGGCACTGGATGCGACGTCTCGGGGGAACTGCTGCTCTGTGGGGCGTGTTTCCATTGGGCGTCATCCTCCTCCAGCTGGTCAGCGAAAACCGGTTGGTCGTCGCTGGTGGCGGAATAGGAGCACTCATAAACCCCCGGCACGTCGCCCGAGATCGATGAGCTCTCGGATTTGTACTGGTACCTGTCTGGGCCCATCTGGCCGGCGGTCTGTGGGCCGATGGTCTGTGAAGTGGAGAGGGACGTGGGAGTCATCTGCGTAATCGGGAGCTGTGACTCCATATTGTTGATCCAACGTGTTTCGAGTGATCGAATGGAGGTCTGGAAGCTGCGCAGGGAGTGGTCCTTGTTGGCCTGCGAGTCCATCGACAGCGGAATCGGGTCGTGGGTCGGGGCCATGTTCTCCACGGGCATGTTGTGCGGCACATCGGGCCACTGCTCATTGACCATGGGGAAGGACGGCGGGATCTGTTGGAAGGACATAATGGCCTCGGCGGGGGCATCTGGAAACCCATGGCCTGGAGGCATCTCGCCCACATCGTCCACGATGACCGCACCCGTTGAGGGGTTCGGTCCTTTCGCATACGGGTAGAGAAGAGGCGCCTCCATGGGCATGCCGGCGGCCACAGAGTTGAAAAGTTGAAAGTGCGGCCATGTTTCATCCGAATGGAAGTTGTCGTCGGCGGAGGATGGCAAGGTCCTCGGGCTGATGGTGGCGCTGCCGGTGCCCTCGACGACTCCGTCGGGGTAATTCAGGTTGTCCGGCGCTACATCGTGTTTTCTGAAAAGGCCATAACCTGTCAGTTATTGTATTCACCGGTCGGGTGTTAGATCAGGGGGGGTCTCCAGACCTAGTATCCAAGCGCTGGTACTCGTTCGACTGGTCGAGGAGCGACCTGGTCAGGGAGCCGGAAAAGGTTCCTAGATCGGCGATATCATCACACTGGCTTGATTCCTGGCTCGTATCCCACTCGGGCGGCTGATCATAGCCCAGATGTTCCCACGACGCGACAGAAAAGGCACCGTCGGTTTGCCAATTATCCAGAATTTTGGGGTCGATACCCGCAGCAGTCCCGGCACTTCCAGAGTCCATCCAGGGTCACGGGGGCGCAAGAGTCGAGATCAAGGCAAGCAAAGATCCCAAAAAGACAAGAGCTTTTTGCGACTTTGCAGAGGCAGATGGGGAAAAAGGCGCGGATGGAAAGGTGAAGGTTGAGGGGCGAAAAGGTTTTCCCCACCAGGAAAAAGCGTGCAGCGATGGCGCACAGGCCCGTCTGCAGGTATAAGAGTCGGTGTTTTCGATATTTTCGAGATTTTCGAGATATTCGAGATGGGTGAAATGTGAAAGAACTGAGAATCAGGAACAGGAATTATTCGAGCTGGTTATAATTTTCCAAGGTTGAGCATGGGGACCTCGATCGGTGGATATTCGGCGTTACGAGAGTTGATCGTGTCAGAACATCACCCCTGATACATGTGCAGCGGGAGGCTCCATCAGTGGTTCCTATTTTTTTATATATGGATATATATATATATATCTATATATGAAAATATGAAAATATAAAAATATAAAAATATGACTATTAACTGGCTATACTATACTCTCATGAATTAGAATAAGGGCTGTCGTCCATATCCATATCTACACGATGTCATAGCCCCGCGAAGGATCATGAGGATAAAAAAAAATCACAATATAATATTAATATGCATATGCTAATATTATATAATATTAGTTCTTATGAGAATGTAATAGCATCTCCATGGATATACTATCAAATACTACAAATCGCAGGATTCGAATTTTCACCGGCTCACCGCAGCCTCGATTGGGCGGCCTCCTCTGCACCCCAAGCTTCCCCATCCGGCGCCGGTCGGGCGTCATGGAGATTCGCGTATAAGGGGCCCAATGCCGCATTCTGGGGTGGCAGCCAATACCATAAAAAAAAAAAAAGCAAAGATCTCAATTCCAAGATTTAGAACTTGGCAGAAAAAGAAAAGAAGAGATTAGACAATTAGACCTCTCGCTCTTAGCGCTGCGAAATTCGGTCATGCATATCCTGGTAAGTTGATATGATCTGCATTTGGTTTCTTTCTTTCTTTTCTTTTCTTTTTCGACTGTTTCTATTGTTCTTGGTCCAATGGTCCCATAGATAGCGCGATCTATCTCTAGAAAAAGAAAAAGCAATGATATTAACACCCCCCAGGTAGTCAATGACGACGGTCCTCCCAACCAGCGCCTCTCGCCGTACATCCGCCCGCTGGTCGCCCAACTCCAAGCCGCAGGCCACCTCGTGTCGGTCGCCATCCCCGCCGCCTCGCGCTCATGGATCGGCAAAGCACACCTGATCGAAGCCTCACTGAAAGCAAACTACGTGCATCCCGATGCATTCCACGCCGATGGAACATGGGACGAGAACTTCCGAGCCCAACATAATGGAAACGGGCAAGAAGAGAGCGAAACACCCTCCGATGATGAGTGGGTGGTAATCACCAACGGCACACCCGCCAGCTGCGCCCAGCTGGGCCTGTACAACCTCTTCGCCGAGCGCCCGCCCATCGACCTGGTAATCTCGGGCCCGAACCACGGCCGCAACGCTTCAACCATCTACAACTTATCCTCGGGGACGGTGGGCGGCGCGCTCGAGGCCGTGTTCTGCGGCAAGCGCGCCATCGCCATCTCGTTCGGCAGCAAGGATCCGCAGCCTGCTGCGATCATTGCCGCCGCGGCCCGGCTGGCTGTCCGGGTGGTGAACCACCTCACTCGCCACTGGGACGCGCGCGTCGAGCTGTACAATATCAATATCCCCATGCGCGAGGACGTCGAGTCTCGTCCGGTCTGTTATACCCGTACCCTGCCTTACTACTGGTCCCGTGGCTGTTTGTATGCGGAGACTGCTGCTTCAGATAACACTGCGCCCAAGGCATTGCTGAATGGTGACGCTGCTACGAATGGCCATGCTGAGGCCATGCACCCCACGGAGCGCCATTTCAAGTGGTCGGCTGATCTGTCGGATATGAAGAAGTCCCTGCAGGCAAGTGAGGAGGGCACGGATGCTCATACCGTGCTGAGTGGGTCGACAAGGTATGTTCGAACTTTTCCCTGGCTTCTTTCAATATTTTTATAGTCCGAGCGATTTGCTAATCAAACCCTCTTGCTAGTGTGACTGCTCTCCGCGCGAATTTCTGGCACGTCCCTGATCTCGACGGGCCCTTGGAACTGGATCCGTAAATGAGGCAGACTTCGTGCCAGTCGAATGCATATATGTCCTGGGTTTATATTGTTTATTCGTTGATGTTCCTCTTCCGGCGCAGGGCTTCTTGGTTTTGCATTTGGGCTTATCTCGTTGCATCCTTGACTCAACAGGAAGACAGACAGAGATACACAGGTAGAGAGGCAGTGAGGAGCATTTCCAGCCGGCAGGGCCATTTCTTTGTACATAGCATAAGAACTGCAGCCGCGCCTCGCGTGGCCTTATTCTTGTCCTCTCGGGGTTTAGAGACCACAAATAAGATAAGAAGAAGGACGAAGTTCATAAGATAAAGAATAAACTTGGAAAGATACGGTAGGTTTACGTATTCAACTATGGAGCGCTTATCATTATTATACTCTAGTCTAACGAAACACATTCTACGAGGCTAATATATATCTAAAATTTAAGAATAGTTGAAAAAAAAACAGTTAGAAAATTAATAGAAAAACGGTAGAAGTAAAAGGTAGAAAGCAGTCAGAGAACTCGGGTTTTGGATAGGGTGAGCTACAGCAGAACTACCGGGTCTGAATGTATACTTGTTGACTTGAGATTTTTACAGGCATTTGTCAATTGGAAAGAAAAAAAAGAACCCATTTACGATTGCTCTCGCTTATCAAACAACACGAATGCGACACAGAATCAGAACCAATAACCAGGAAGATTGGCTCGAACGGGGGTGTATCATATGAACCAGAGACTGGGGAAAGAGTAAAGTAACAACGAGAGCTTACATCGCACGCGCCGCTTCACCCGCGCCGCTCTCAACAGTGGACGCCTGCTCGGCGCGCATCTTGCCCTTGGCAAGACCAGCCTCGCCGACGCCCATGCGGCGGGCCACGTAGCGCTGCGCAATGACTCCCGTGGCCAACGACAAGGTTTCCTCGATCCATTCCGCAACCCATTCACGTGGGTCCACGCCGCCAGTCTCGATGATCTCGGCGATGTCTTCGGGCACCACGGCACGCGGCACCTGAGCCTCCTCGGTGTCCGGGTTCTCGGTGGCTGGCGCCGACGCATCGAGCCACTCAATCCACTTCTGGGGAAGCGTCTGGGAGATGGTGTGGAAGGCGATGCCGTGGATGGGGTCGTGCAGGTACAGCGCGAATGCGATCTCTTCCTCCGGCTCGGGGACGTCCACCACGCCGGGGGTTGTTGCTTTCTCTCTTGTCGCGCTCGCCTGGAAGAGCTCCTTCGAGGCAGTCTGGCTGATGGCCTGAATGGCCAAGAAGATGTCGCTGCTGCGGACGGGGTTCGATTCGCTCAGAACCTCGGTGGCATGCTTCGCCGCCTCTTCAATTCCACCGCGGGACGAGAAGTATTCCATCGCGTAGGACTCGGCGCTGGCACGGGCCAGCTTGGATGCCTCGACCGTACCGGGCACGGCAGAAATAGTGCGCGGAGTTCCCGGGGTGACCGTCCGCCACCAGGGCCCATCGCTCCAGCTCGTGCTCGACATGTATCCGCCCACGTCGAGGCCGCGCTTAGGGGCGGACTCCTGGCCCCGCTGGATGACCAGCAGATCCCCGCCCTCGACTTGGGACATCACTCGCGAGAACACGGTGTACACCAGCGGATCGATCCCCGGGTAGCCCGAGAGGTCGTGTGTGACATGGATCTGAAGACGTTCGTGCGAAGAGATGGGAGGCGCAATCGTGTGGATCAGATTGGTGAAGGTCGGGATTGCCATGCTGCTAAGCTCGCCACCTGCCAAACATCCCCTTGGGAGTTAGTAAACATTGCATATCGACTCATGGAAACATGTCAGATGGATATATAGGGCGTGTAGATTACCGAAATCCCTCAAGGCTCCCACATTGCCTTTGACTTGCTGGGCCCATTTCTGAGCCTCTTCATTGTTCTGGATCTCCTTGACAGCCGCCTCGGCCTGCTTCATGGCTGCGTTGGTAGCCGCGCTGGCCGTAGCAAACAGCCCGCCCCACCAGCCACCACCCTGGTCTGACTCCTCCTGGGCAGCTGGCTGTTCAGACTCAGGCTTCGGCTGACCCTGGCTGGCTCCAGTACGAGAAGACCGGCCTATTTCCTCAGACTGCGGCTTGTCTTCGCTGGGTCGGTCGATTGTCGCACTGGGCCGAGGCGACCGGGCAGAAGGCCGAGGCTTGTCCGACGAGAGACGCGGAGTCCCTGTGCCACTGCCCGGACGCTGTGTAGCTAGGTGGTCCAGCTCCGCGAGGATGTCCTCCTGCTCTGACTTGGCATTGTCGGTCGCCGGCGCAGCGGGTGCTGGGGCTGGCTTGGGTGCTTTCTCGGCGGCCTTGTCGACGCCGAGGTTGTCGAACTGAGCAAGAAGCTCGTCGCTGGTTGGTTTCACTGCTTTTGGAGGCATGGTGAATGTGTGTTTGGAGAGGAGTGGAGGGTTCAGGAGAGGTGACGCCACTGGGGATGTTTGGAGCTCCCACGTCGGGGCTGTGGAGACGCCTTGCCAAGACTCCATCGCATGCTTGAATGGTGTGGTGTGTACAGTATGGGCTATTTATTACTATGATGATGATGATGATGATGATGATGATTATTTAAATAACTGTCTATTTAAATATCTGCTTCTTCAGTGTATCAGGTATACATCTCGAAAAATGGCTATTTACTAGAGAATTGCGTCGCTGGGATGCATCGACAGATATATCGACACATTTCCCGCAACGCTCGACCACTTGCAGTGACTTCTTGAATACTATTAACTATCACCCATTGTGGCCAAGCATATAAAACCCCCCGGCGGCACCGTCAGCGGAACCAAGCCGGCTTGCACCCGACACCCGCGGCATTGGCGTATCGGCCCCATCCCGCGCGGGGAGGCCGATAAAATGCGCCAATACTCTCCCCCGCTGCCTTCAAGCCTTCACCTTTGGATGTCCCACTGAAGTCGAGAACCCTCAGGTTATTTCTTTCCGAGGACTGTGCTGAGTCATTGGAGTGTATCTGACCTGTGCTCATAGATCCCCCCCCCTCCAACATTGGAACCTCGAAGCGCATACGCATTCTAGCTAGCACAACAGCACCATGCGTCTCCCCTACGTCCCCGACCCCCCGCCAACCAGTGATCCCGACGAAGCGAGAATCTTGGTGAGTGTGCAAGCCCGACGGGCACCACGCCCGCTTCTCCCGCTCGACCTCGCTCTGCTGCATTCGTTCCCCGTCGCCGATGGATGGAATTCTTTTATTGGAGCCATCCGGACTCGAACTAGTCTTTCAACCGTTATCCGGGAGCTTGCCATTTGCCGTGTCGCCGTGATCAATGGAGCTCTGTTTGAGTGGGAGCAACATGCGCCTTTACTGCGGGAGGACGGATTGAGTGATGAGGCGCTGGCTGTGGTCGGGGATGCCCACGTCGACTTTGCGGGCAAATTGGCTGGTAGTACCCTGACGCGGGATCAGCGGGCGGTGTTGCAGTATACGGATGCAATGACCAAAACGGTGACGGTGCCGGACCAAGTGTTTCAAGAGCTGAAGGATTGCTTCACTGAGAAGGAAGTCGTCGAGATCACGGCGACAGTAGCTGCCTATAACTGTGTTAGTCGGTTTCTAGTGGCATTGGATGTGGGAGAGAAGAATCACTGAGATCATAAAATGGAAATGGACTCGAGGGATGATAGGGGCTGAAGGCATTCACCTCGAGCACGTCACTTTTGCTGTACGAAGTAGATGTCGATCTCATGTTCTATAGTATAGACTGAAGACTATTTAGTACGGATTACTGGGTTTGGTCTTGTGGTGAGATCGCTGCCTAGAAAATATCCGTTGAATTGGATGCCTTGCCATAGACAAGAATGATTTAAACCCGTGCTCTACATCCATAGTGGTCTTTTTGACTTTTTCATCTATTGAGGGAATCCAATAAAGGGGGATGGGGACTGGGGAGTCCTACCCCCAAGGATCTGCTCGAATTCACGTTACTTCAGCGTCCAAAGGAATACAATAGAGAATCATTCAAATACTTCCTTCATGATCTTGATCTATTACTATAGATCTTCCTATTGATCTATGGGGCCATTGTGGCTAGTAGATAGCAGTCGCGTGATTGGCCGAGCCCTGTGGAGCAAGGTGTAATGCTACAAACTAAACGCCCTCAATCTCTTCTTTCTCAGCTTCATCTTTCCATCCTTACCCCCTTCTGTCCTTTCATCTCCCCGTCTCTTTTCTTCTTTTTTCTTTGTATTTGACCCTTACTACCCTTCTTTATCTCTGTTTCTGTTCTTCCGTGTTTGGAAGACCCCTTTTACATACCTGCGTCTTCAAGGGTCGCTGCCACGCTGGAACACCTGCAAATCGCAGACCAGCGGCATTGTGGCCCTCTGACATCCTCTTGCTGCAGATCTTCCTCTGTCTCTTGTACCTACTGATTCGCCTTGTTCTTTCTCCCCTGGTGTGGTGCTTGGACAACTCAAGGCCTTGTCATCCGCCCAGCCTTCTCTCCAACCAAGAGTAAGTACTTATCCCTGGCGGCCTGGCACCCAGCAACCCCCCTGTTCAGCGGCAGAGCTCATCACTAATATTCATCAGTAATTGGTACATTCATCCTGTGCCATTCAATCTCTGGGCTTATTTCAACCCTCCATCCCTCATGGTAGGTCTTGTGTTGTTTGATGCGGTTTTTAGTAGTCTGGCAGTACTTCCCGACGGGTTAGATCCTGATCCACACAATGCGCCCCCCCCCGACCGTGTCGACACCCGTTCCCTTCTGACTTGTTTCTTTTTATTTATTAATTTTTTTTTCGATTCATGTCTTGCCTTTGAATGTTTTCCTCTGGAGTTTCTTTGAATTGTCTTGTTTCTTGGCATGCTGTGTGTTTCCTCATACTTCACCCTCCTGTACTCCCCTGACTACTGGGAGTGTCCACATTGCGCTGCAATGACTTGGTTTCTTGGCACCGCAAGCGAACCGGACACCCGAAACTGACCATCTATAGACCGCTGCCATTCTTCGATCTTGATTCCACCAACTTTTCTTCTCTTTGATCGCATTTTCGAGTTTCTTGTGTGTTTTTCTTCTCTTCCATTCAAAATGGCCCCTATTCCCCGGGCCGACTTGGATGTGGACAATCCCTCCTCCGACGTGGGTGACAGTCAGGACTCTCCGCTGCGCCGACAATTCTCCGAACCTTTCCGCCCCCAGTCTACTTCCACTCAGATATCCCAATCACCAGAGCCTCTGGCCCAGAGATTGAAATGCTCATGGTGTGGGAAACTCCTGGATTTCCCAGATGATGACACTCTCACTGAAGAAGATGTTTTAAATGCTCACGTCGCGTCGGCTCACCCAAAGACTCTCCGCTTCTCGGACTATGAAGGCGTCGAGGAAAGCGATGCAGAGAATGGTGACCTTCATGAAGAAGATGTCGCTGATGAAGACATCGGTGACGAAGAAATCGCCGACGAAGAGCTCACCAATGGGGCAACAAAGCCCGAGGAGGGTGACCCCGACGAAGAAGAGGAAGAGGTTGCTACCGCATTGGCTAATGGCGACCACATCGATGGCGTCAATAGTGAAGGCAAGCCGGCCGTCAGTGCCAAGGCCAGCCAGGAGACTCGAGAAAAGCTCGATCAGCTGGAATGGCTCGCCAACCCACGAACTTCCTACCCGGAGGAGTATCGCCAGCGCGTGTCGGACTGGCGGGATGCCGATGTGAAGGAGCGCCTCGCTCAGCACTGGAATGTTCACGACGTCGAACAATTTTCCCCCCAGTACGAAGAGGAACGGGCCAAGCTGGAAATTAGATGGCAGCAGGCTTTCGGCGACTCCAAGTCCCGAAAGCGAGAGGCACCGGAGCTGATTACACGGCCTGAACCATACAAGAAGACAAAGGTCGAGAAATCCCAGTTTCTTGAACTGAGTTCATATGAACCTCTGATTGAATTGCTCCGAAAGCCCGAGAATCTCACGGCCACTGAGCTTTATGCAGCCACCGAGGCAGCAGGGTTCGCTTTGAAAGTTGTCCAGCAAGAATGGATGGCTCTTGATAAGCTTGAGGACCTGGCGAGCCGGCATGTTCGAGAGCCATTCCCGCAAGATGCCAAGCGATCGTTCCTCATGGGGAACAAGAAGAAAGATGGACGCCCGGTGGCCGAGGTCCCGGAGCATGACCGTGACTTTGAGGACCGGAAGGAGGCTATGCTGTACGGCTACAAGCATACTTATTTCCAGGGAAACACCTCCACCGCTAGTGTTTGGGCCCCACAAGATGCGTTTGTTCAAGGAGGTCTTGCTCCGACCCCTGCGCAAGCCCGAAAGATGGCTGCCAAGGCAGACCCCGACAACCGCAACCCTGATGGCTGGCCCACCATCACTAAGAACGGAGTGGAACATGTCCCCAGGCTGTGGGAACCTCACAAAGAGCCTCTTCTCCCCAAGTTCACCCGCAAGCGCAAGGCCGCTGAGGTTGAAGCCGCTGCCAAGCCCGATGATACCGAAGAAACGCAAGAAGAGACCGGTGACGAAACCGAGGCGGAGAGCCACCCTGCGAAGCGGCGCACGCGGGGTCGTGGCGGCAGACGTGCTCCAGCAATCGAGACTTCCCAGGGTGATGCTCTTTCCGTTACCTCTCGTCGGGGCGTTGGCCGCGGCCGCGGTCGTGGTCGAGGTCGTGGTCTGGCACGCGTATCATCTCGTGCATCTCTGGAAGCCTCATCGGAACCTGTTCAGACTTCTACTTCTACGCGCGGCCGAGGTGGTCGGCGCGGTGCTAGCACCACGGCTGGCTCGACGGCCCAACCCAACCAATCGACAGGCGAAACGACTTTTGCCACCATTTCTCCCAACCCCACAGCGAGTCCCGCTGCGGCACCTGCAAGGAGGGAGACCACCGAGTCGATTGCGGAAGCTCGACGCTTGAAGATTCTCAACTCCAAGAACCCCAAGCGCACCAAGGCCATGCTTGACCACTGGGACCGTTTTAACCGTGAAGGACGCATCCGCAACCCCAAGCGATCCAAGGCCCAGATTGAAACTGACCGCGTTCACGACGAGACCAAGAGAGCCCACGAACCTCCCAAGCCCAGTGGTCGCCGCAAGAAGTCCCCTTCTCTTGCTCCGATCCCCAGTGGAAACCTTGCACCAAAGGCACCCAGCACCATCCCTACTCTGCCGAGCCCACAGCACATGGGCCCAACCCTGCCCCCTATGGGAATCCCTCACTACCCTACTGCATTTACTGCTCCTCCGCCTCCGCCTCCTCCCGTCTCGCAACTTGGCCAAGCCATTCAACCTCAGTTTGCGCCCTTCCCCTACGTCCCCTACACTCTGCCGCCTCTTTCAGCTCCCCAGGGACCCCCAGGACCCCCAGGTCCTCCTGGCCCTCCGCACGACCCCCACCGCCGATAATTGAACATTCGAGATATCTGTCGAGAGTAGTTGAATACTCATGTTGGAGAAGCAAGCCACAGGCCGGAGACCAGAAATACAGACAAAGAAGAGAATAGTGCCGTGGAGCCGACAGAAAAGAGATGCTGGCGACATACAGCTGGGGCCGTCTCCATGAGTCCGTGTCTTCACACTGGGTTTTGAGACTGGCCCCTGTTTGTCCCCTCTGATTGTGCCCGGGTGCTGTTACAGTTTGATTTGTTTTGCATTTTAGCTATGAAGGAGTACTTATGGGTTTGTTATTTTGTTGTTGTTCATGGATGCAGGACGGGATTTGTACATACTACTGGGACGAAGGATCTGGTCCCGTGGCTTGGGCCCTCTTCCGAGGGACCGCCGCTGGGGCTGGACGTATTCTACATTGTATATCCCGTTAATTTCAGTTACTTCCATATTAATTTCACGTTAATTCCACGTTACTTTCCCGTCGGTTGGCATCGATGGCCGTGACTTGCTTATTTTTGTATGAAGTAAATGCCTCCAGGCTGCATCTAGTACTTCCGTTTTGGGGTATTGTGTAATGTCACGTGTAACCAGGTGACCCTCGGACTTGGCAGTGGTGCACTTGGAGCTTGATCCTCGCATCTCCTCATCTGCGAACATTGCCTTCTTGTCGCATTTAACGTGGAACTGCGTCTCTCTACACCTTCTACCCCCTCGGATTGACGTCATTATGGGAAAGAAAAGACGTGGCCCCACCCTCGACGAGCTCCTGGCTCGTCCGTGGTGCTATTACTGCGAGCGCGATTTCGATGATCTCAAGATTTTGATTTCGCATCAGAAAGCAAAGCATTTCAAGTGTGAGAGATGTGGTCGGCGACTCAACACGGCTGGAGGTAAGTGGATTGCCTCCTCACCCCCTTTTGGATTAGACAAAAACCTGCCCGGTTCCTGGTCTGACAATCTTTGCGCCATAATATAGGATTGTCGGTGCATATGAGCCAAGTGCACAAGGAACAGTTGACCGAAGTTGACAATGCGCTGCCAAACCGAGTGGGCCTCGATGTGGAAATCTTTGGCATGGAGGGTCTTCCGGACGACGTGCTTCAAGCCCACCAGCAGCGTGTCGCAACCCAATTCCAGCAGGCTGAGGCTGAGCGCCAGGCTGTGACGGGGAATCCTCCGTCGGGGGGTGGCTCTGGTGGTGGACAGCCGGCGAAGAAGCCGAAGCTTGAACAACCGTCGGATCTGAAGAAGCGGTTGGCAGAACACAAGGCGAAGCGTGCAGAGATGCTTGCCGGTGGTAGTAGCGGAGAGGCTACTCCCGTAGGCGCCGGGCAACCTGCGCCGACGCCGACACCGACACCGGCTGGATATGTGAGTTTATTGTTTATACCCCCTGCCTTTTTAACAATTGATACTGACATCTGAGATTCAGAGCCAAACACCTCCTGCCGCTGCGCCCGCTTCGCAATATCCTTATCCACAACCCTACGGAGGCGCCGCCGCCCCGCCCTTCCAGCAGACCGCCAGCCCGGGCTACCAAGCGTTTTCTCCAGCCAGTGGGAAACAAACTCCAGTTGCTGCGCCATACCCTCCATCTGGATATTCACCTCAACCCTTCCCGGCCGGTGTTTCCGGTCAGCCCCCCGCGCCTGGCTATGGTGCTACTCCTCCACCCTTCCCTCAACAACAACCGACCCCTACCGACGCCAACCTTCCTTCGCGACCCGGAAGTCTACCGAGTGCATCCGGTCTTCCTCAGCGACCAGCTTTCGGTGCGCCTCCAGTCAATGCCCAGCAGATGCAGCAAATGCACATGGGTCATCCCATCCCACCGACACCCACCACAGCCGGTCATGCGAATGGCGACACAAGCAAAGAAACCGGTCAGGTTTCCTCGTCTGTGGACGATCTCATTTCTGGCGCCGCCAAGGATGCGGCCGCGAAGGGCCCCGAACCGAGCGAGAAACCTGCCAAGAAGGAAAAGTCCAAGCTTATGCGAATGATATTCTCCGACGAGACGACCAGTCCGGAGGAAAAGATGGCCCAGCTACCACGGTACGCCTTCGTCCCCGATCGAACCGCGCCAACGGCCCTCGGCGAGCTTCCTGGCGCCGTAGTGGTCGGCACCATCCGCGAGTCCGACACAGTGGTCGATCCGACGCATTGACGTTGCTACTATTTTTTTTTTTTACCTTGGGATGGGGAAGGTGTCTGAAAGTGACGGACCCACGGACTCCAGCTAAGTTCGACATATTCAAAATTCTAGCTACACTTGACCATTTGTTTTGTTCTACTATCAGCTGGCTGCTCTTATTACTGCCCTGATCCATCAGTAGTTCTGGCCCGAACCCTCCCAGGGTATCCTCACAGGCTCTCTCTCTCTCTCTTTTTACTTTCCCCGCCGAGCGCAACGCATGTGCACTCTTTTCTCACCGTTGGTGCAACCGACTACAAGATGGGTCCGCTGTTCCTGCCTCGGAGTCCAATTGACCGGCATCAGTACGTGACTTGCGCCCCTGAGTATTAACGCTTTTTCTCTTTGTTTTCTATTTCTTCTCCGATCCGGCCCAGTCTTTTTCTTGTTGGCAACCCGAGATGTTTGGTCCGTCTGGGCATGATGCCCTTTGATCTGTAAGTCAAGTGTGAGGTAGGGAGACAATCTGATATCTGAGTGGTCAGGTGCGTCAATTTATTACAATTGGTGCATCTACGGTGTGTAGCTCAAGTCAAGAAGAATGTTGCGATATCAGAACTGTACCTGAGTAGCGTAGACTGTAGACTGAATATCACAGTTACCTAACACCTTTCTGAATTTTAAAATTCCTGCCATCCACAAGTGAAGCCACGTCCACCCAGTTCAATCCATTTTCAATTGAACAAAAAAAATGATCAAACCCGTCGATCCTTCAAGGCAAGCCCAAAAACAACAGCCCCATACGTCGCCAACAATGACAATCCCAGCGGGACAGGCTTAAACCCCGTCTTAATCGCCCGCGGAATTGAGCTGCCCCCCAGCACCGCCGACGCCAGCAGACCCACCTCCTCGCCGTACGACTGGCCCGCGCGCAGCCGCGCGAAGCTGAGCATGTACAACGCGCCGACGGAGACACCCGCTGCGATGGAGGGGATCGACCCGGTGCGCGCGTACCCGATTGCGCCGCCCAGCGAGGTGAGGGCTGAGAGGGCGAGGGCGGAGTTTGTGGTTGTGGTGGTAGGGGTGGACTGTTTTTGAGGGGTTTATTAGTTCTGGTTCTCATTTTGTTTTGTTTGTAGATGAAGGGGGGGGAGAGAGAGAGGCTATAGAGGGATTCATCTCTTGCAATTGTGCATACTTACCATTGTGAGTGAGTAAATGATTGATTCTGTGGTTGTAGTGGTTGGTCTGGGGAGAGAGCGAAGAAGAAGCTGTAGGTAAGGTTCAAGTTGGGGGATACGAGGGGGGCCAATTAATAATGGGCCGAGGTACGCGTGGGGAACTTGCTCCAGCGTGGTGGGTCCTTTGTTGTGGGATGTAGACAGATGTACATTTTGTAGGCAGGTGTATATACATTGCTATCTACAGATGCACTCTCTGCAGTTCTTTTTGTTAACATGGGTTGCACTCGAAGTCTCGAGACAAGACTCGAGGCATCGAGTATATACCCCCTCCCCCCCAATTATGCAGCCACCATCATGCAGTCTCCGAGCGTCCATTTTTCGAGGCATCCGCTGCCCCATACCTCTTACCCCGAACTTCCACCCCAGTCCGAACATCATAATCATGATCATCATAAACCTCATCATCGTCATCATAATCATAATTATCCTCCCTCTTCGGCCCCTCCATCTCAACCAACCAAAACACCGGAACGGCACTAAGAGCAGCCAAAAGCGCCAGCACCCACCACGGAAAAACGACATACCCACGCGAGACGCCAAACGAGAATGCCGCCCCGGTCAGCGCGGGGCCAGCGGCGCGGCCAACCGCGCTGAAAGTCGTGGCGACGCCGTTCAAAGTGCCGAGCACCGTCAGCGTCGACGCCGAATTGGTGAGCAGGATCGTGCAGCAGGGAACCCCGAAGATGCCTGCGCTGAGTCTGACCAGCATGATGGACAGCACGGTGGGGATGCGCAGTGTGACGGGTACGAGGGCGGTGAATGGCGTGATGAGGTAGGTTAGTGGGAGGATGATGACGGAGACTTTTAGGCACTTGAGGACGCCGTAGCGGGTAGCGATGGGTGGGAAGCACAGGAATTGGATGACCATTCCTGTTGTGCCGATAATTGTGTAGAATAGGCCGATGGTTTGGGCGTCTGAAGTAGATGGTAAGGAGACATATGTTAGTTTAGGGGTTTATTATGATTAATAAACGTAGAAGACTATCAGAACTCACCAACTCCAAAACCACCGGCAAACTTGAATGGCAGCTGTACATCGGGGTTGCCCTCGAACTCTTGCACCGGGTAGTGCAGGAAGACTGGGAACACCGAGTCAAAGGCCATGCTGTGCATTGCTAGCAGGGAATAAGCCAGGAGCACCAGGTTGGACTGCGGCGTGAAAACCTGCGACCAGCTGGGCTGTCTCACTGGTTTCTTCTTGCGAGGTGGTTGCCCATTCTCTGGGAGAAGGGATGCTCGCTCATCCGAAGTCACTGGGCCAGAGTCCTGATGTTTGCGTGAAAGACAGGACCTGGTGATAGCCTTGCCCAGAAACAGACCATAATCCCGACGGTCTTTCTGAGTCTCCAGAGTTTCCTAGAAGTATAGAGAAAGAATGTGTCAGACTCAATACTCCCATACTTTCCACGGACATTTCACAGCCAGACATCCACTCACTCTGAGAAACAAGAACCCAGTGGTAATCCCAATGATAAAGAAACAAGCAGCCGCCAAATTCGGCAACGCAAAGGGAAACCGGCGCAGAAACCAAGAGTCACCAAACAGCGCAGGATGCTTCTCAGCAGGGCGCGCCAGCATCCCGCCAAATGCCGGTCCGAAGATACTACCGACAGTCCAGACAAGCGGCAGAATACTAAACGCGCGCGGCTGCAGCTCGCGCTCGGGCACCATCTCGGCGACCATGGTCCGCAGAATCCCGACGTTGCCGTTCATCAAGCCGAGCATCATGCGCGATATCAGCACCATGGTCAGGCTCTGCGACATGCCGAACATGATCGAGCACACCATCGTGCAAGTCAGTCCGAATAGAATCACTGGCTTGCGGCCTACTCGGTCGGAGGCTGTGCCCCAGGGGACGGCCATCAGGGCCTGGCTGAGTGATGCAACCGCGGAGCAGATGCCGACCCATTTGGCGACTTCGTTTCTGGGGACGCCCACATATTCAACGAGTTCCGGCTATTTCCAGTTAGTTGGATAGATCTAGTTGTTCAGGTAGACCATAAGAGAGAGGTAAGGTAAGTGATAAATCAGACATACCAAGTAGGGCAGAATCGAAGTAAAGACGACTGTGACGATAATACCCCGGATATTTAGCTACAGCTCTTGAATGCTATAACCCTCACGCTATCAGAGAAAACACATACTGGGTTCTGCGAAGCGACATATTGCTAAATCCGAGGTCAGTAAGCAAGGTCCTCGGCAAATGAGTCAAAACCAGACACAAACATACACAAAATCAGCAGCTGCTGGACCGGCAGCTTGGGCTGGTGCATCCTATTGTAACACGGCAGGATCTGAGCGACACTCCACCCTCAGCCATGCACCGAGAAAGCAAGAAGAAAGACAGAAACGGAGGAAAGAAGAAAAATAGAGCGAGCTGAAGGAAGATGGTGAGAGCGGAGAAGAATCCGCGTTCGGCGCCGACCCGCTGCCGACTCCACTCCGAGGACCCACGCGCCGGTTGCATCAGCACGCTGACGGTGGATGAATATTGAATATTTGGACATTTAAGTGCTATGAATACGCAGAGGACAGGCATATTGCTGCCAGAACCAAACCCAGAATGCTAGAGACGCAGCTATGGTGCAATTTTCCACATTTACATCCATATCGAATCTAAATGATATACCCGAAAACCAGTACCCATGCCCTATAGTGGATATACGTATTTACTGCAGCAACCGGGTCGCCGCATCGATCCGCTCTTGGATGATGCCCCGCCATTTCTAAACAAGACAAGCAATTAGCCGCTGTAGATCATTCCATGCATTGACCGCGGTGCTGATCAATAAACATACCTTAGCATTCTCCACATCTCCCGCCTGTAGACTCTCCACCAGTCCGGGGTAGGTGGCGCCCGAGTAGCCGGTCCAAAGGCCCGGCGCAAATACCACATGTTTAAACCAGTCACGGCCATCTAATCCCGGCTGATACAGGAACGCGCGCTCAATGCCCTTGTACTTGTCATTGGCGAGTCGGATCTGGAAAAACAGCTTGACCTTCTTCCACCAGTGGTACCACGGCACATCCTCACCGAGCTGCGAGGTCAGGTCGGCCGTGTACGCATCAAAAGCCCTGGAAGCACTGTGGAAGCGGGAGATGGTCTCGTCCAAAAGTCCAAAGTCAAAGTGTACACCTCCCGGCAACTTCTCCGCGGCGGGCTTGATTCGGTTCAAGTATGAGCCGAGTCCCAGGGCGTAGTCAGTGGCATTCAAGGCAAGCACGGGAGCTTCCACCAGTCGTGCAGCTGCCGCAGCCCAGAGCTTGGTGCACGCGGTGTGGTACTCCCAGCCCGGGTCTCCAAACCTGTCCATCCACGCAAAGCTGTCGTAGTTCGAGTGGTAGTGGTAGACCGGATCTTTCTTACCACGGTTGAATCCGAAGTCGAGACTCGCAACACCAGCAAAATCCTGGAAAGCAGTGAAATCACTACCACTACCCATCGTTGCGACACGACCGTCCCAAACGTCACGGATGGTCTGGCCCCGAACGGTTTGGTTGGGCGACTGCACCAAATCAGTGACCTCGTAGATCACACTATTCAACAAGGGACTGGCCCGAGGACTGAATTCAGTACCAGCCGTCGCCACATCGACATTCAAGTACGCGACGTTGGCCTTGGAGAGCCAAGGTAGGTTCTCTTCCACCCACTCGGTCGACCCGAGCAGACCGTACTCCTCACCATCCCAGCTGGCGAAGACAATGGTGCGCAGAGGCTTCCATCCTGCCTTGAGAGCCTCGCCAAAGCTACGGACAACCTCGTTGAGTGCCGCCGATCCACTGTTAGGGTCACCGGCACCACCAGCGATCCACGCATCACGATGATTACCCAAGACGACTACCTCGTCAGGGATAGATCCCTTGATGACACCAATGACATTCCACAGCGGAGTCGTCACGTACTCCTGCAAGTTGTCCAGATTGATGACAACCTCCTCGGGAGATGGTCCGATGTTGTACTCCACGCCCTTGTAGCCCAGACCACCACCTTGCCAGAACTCGTTGAACTCCGAGGCCTTGGGGCCATGGCCATTCAGGGCCTTCAAGAAAGGCAGGATCTCCTTGTAAGAGACTGGGAGAGAGGGGATCGACGGAATCGCGTTCTTCGGATCCTGGCGCTCGCACCCGGGCTTAGAAGGATACCCCGGGGTTGTGGGGTCACCAGGAAGGAAACCTGATTGAGAGAAGTCAGTGGTGTAACACTATTCACATAAAAAAACAAAAACGTACTCAAAAACTGCGTGCTACCTCTCTGGATAGCACTCGGGTTTCGTGCCGGCCCCTCAGGATACACCTTGTAGCCGTTTTGCTCGGTGATCTCGCCGTCTTCCTGGGGGTCCGTATATATGATCACGCCGACCATTCCCAGCTCCTGTGCCCGCTTAACCTTCAACCCGCGGAAGATGCCGCCATACTTGGCAATGGCAATCTTGCCCTTGAGGGTGACATTGGCTTTCACGAGATCCTCGTAGTCTTGGTACGTGCCGAAGTTGACATACACAAACTGGGCGGTGACGTTGCCACTGGCCGAGTAGCCATGGAAGACGGGAACGCGGTCCGGCAGACCAGAAGTGGGATCATCCTCCAGCACATCCTCCTCCAATGTGGCCTCGAAAGAGACCTCGGTCTTGTCTCCGGATTTCTTCAAGAGCGCCAGACGATGGTCGAGAGGATAGTTGAGGTAGATTTCGTACGCGGAGAGAGTGGTGTCCTCGACGCCAAACTCCTTCCACTTCTCCAACGTCCACAGGGCCTGGCTCAAATTCTTGCCGGCCAGGTGCGGTCCTGCCGTATAGTAGGAGCTCCACTCGCGGGCCTTGGCTGCGGAGGGAGTGTTGAGGACGATCTGCTGGAGCTGGTCGTATGGTAGCCCGTAACTCTGCGGCCACGACTGAGGCAGTGGGTGAGCCCAAGGAAGATAGGACCAGATTGACCCGTGCTCTCTCGGCAGGATAGCAGTGGGGAGCAAGAACAAGGACACGGCCAGCACAAGTAGTGTACCGAGAAGGAAAGTACAGGCTTGTCGAAGGCGGTGATGAGGATACCGATATCGCTGGGGAGCGACATGGACCTCAAGGAGAGGTGTCGTCTCTGAGTATGGCATGCTTTTCTCCTTCATCTTCTTGACGCGGTGGAATGAAGAAGGATCGAAGGTCGGTGACGATGCTTCTCCGCATCTTATCGGATGACTAACGTACTCTCCACCTTCCTCTTTGGGTTGATGATGCCATTGCATTCGCCGATGAGATCAACACAAAAAGACAACATCATCCTCGCTTCACAGAGTGTCTCGGTGATATTCGAGAATAAAATTTAAATGATAATAACCACAATAACAATCAACAAAAGTACAACATATGCACGCCCAAACACAGGAGGTATCAAGATGGTGATCTAAATACAGTTCGCTCCGATCTCATAATCGACGCCGCAAACACACAAAATAAGATATACTAATGGACCCCAGCATCGCAGCTAGTCCCGGGGATGGTCCTCGGCTTCCGCCGGGAGAGGCACCACGTCGTCGAGCGTCGGATTGAGCTTCTCGCCGAGGTCAATGCTCTCTCGCAAGATCTGGCGCGCCGAGTCATCCGCCACGCCCATATCCTCTTTCACAAGCTGGACTGCCAGCTCTGGTACTAGAACAGTTTGCGCGTAGCCTGCCACACCGGCAGTTTTGACAATATGGTCGGATGCAGCCAGGCGACGCAGCTTTAAGGAGTAACGATCAATCACCGCTTGTAGTCTGTGAAGAGATGAGATAGTCAGCCTATGAAGCCAAGGAAATCATTGCAAATCAACTTACATCTTCCCCGCACCCTTCGTCCCATAATACCCGCAGGAGATCGTTTCGAGCCCATCCCCAGCCAAAGTCAATCGGAAATTCTTCGCTTTCCCGGACTTTAGCGTACTGTCGAGGATGTTTCGATAGTAAGAGGAGCAGTCGGGGACCATGAATCTCTCAAGACCAGAGAAATGTCGCTGGACCCGCTCGTCGAACGTGTCCCAGTCAATCTCGGGATACCCCTGCGCTTTCCATTCTTTCTCCGCACTGTCTTGTTTATGGGAAGCGCAGAAGTGCTGTTGTTCTCGGACGCGCTGCTTGGGCTGCGCTTCGAACCGTAGCAGCATCTCTGGATCTACCTCCGCCTTACACATCGGGCAAAGTGCCTTGCGTGGCGGTGATGGTTGCCGATCACTTCCATCAGGCAGCCCTTCCTCTCGTGATATCCCCCCAAAGATTGGCGAGGACGGGGAGCTAAGGGCGGTGCTCAGGGACGAAGCAGGGGAGCCATCGTCTAACATCATCGGCTGAGGATCTTTCGAGGACGAGGTGCCGAGCGAAGAGTGGGAGATGGATTCAGTGGGGAAGGTCGGGGGCAGCTTGAACTGATTTTTGCGGGCACGAGGCTTCCGTGGGCTCGGGGCATTGATCTCCAAAGGCACCTTGAAGGCCACATCTGGCTCCTCAGAAGATCCGTTCGTTTTCGGGGCCGGTTGTTTTTTCGCACCTGCCTTGGACTTCCGAGTTTTATTGGCGGGAGATGATCCTTCGGATGTCACACCTGAACGTGCACTCGAGCTTGGAGCTCTCAAATAAGCGCCCGGCTTTTGTTTCGATTGGTACGTGTTGGTCTTGTGTCGCTTTGAGCCCTGCGAGGAGAGGAAAGAAGAGGGCCAGATACTGAGCTCATCGTCACTGTCCGCGAAGCCACTGGAAGCGGGGGCACTCCTTTTCTTGGGATTTCCATATCCTTCGTCCGCCAGTTTGTTCTCCAATGTCTTCTTGTTCTTCTCGTCGCCAAAGCTCTGGAGAAGGTCATCATCGCTGGGATCCTCCTCGGTGGAACTGATTGGTTCTTCATCCGTCGCGGGTTCAGGCCTGGGCTTCGCGACTTCGTTCAGATCCTCAATGGAGCTGGGAGGGTCGCTCAACTCCCCAATGGAACTAAGAGGTTTATCATCTGAGTCAGGCGCAGGCTTGGGCTTCTCCTCCACATCGTTTAAATCCCCAAAGGAGCCGGGAGGCTCCTCGTCTGTCGCGGGATCCGGCTTGGCTGTGGTCTCGAGTTCGGGCTTGTCCGCACTTGGGTTGTTGGCCTTCGACTTGTTGAACGTGGACAAAAGGTGGCCCCCAACTGGCAGGTCGGACTTAGTCAGACGATTCGACGACCAGCTCGAATCAGGCTTTCGTCGAACTCTCATTATAAACGGGGAATGGAAGGCGGTCGACTAGCGGCCTCTCGGAAAGTGGTTGGAGACGCCAACGCGGGTCGATACGCGCTGATAAGGCGGAGATCTTGTGTCGGGAAGCGACGCGTGGAGACGCGATAGCAATCTCTCCCCGTCCGCGCAGCTGGAATGAATTTGAATCAAAAAGAGGCTAGGGCTGGGATGCGCATTGCATCCCCCAAGACAATGCGATTGCCGAGGGAATTGAGAAGCCGACAGGCGAAGGAGGGGAAACCGGGAAACCTCGTGACTGACAGGAATGCCCGCACGACCTACATCTGTACAACTGTAACATCTACAATTTACTAATATGGTTCAATTCATGAGTCTGAAAGCCATTGGAGAAAATATAAAAAGCCCTGCTGTTATACATGGCTAGATCCAAATATACACAAATCAACAGCCAGACCATGTGCGCCCATGCAAGCTATGCGCCCTGTATCCCACGAAGCTAGCGAGAGAATCCGTATAGAAAAAACGAATAGAAAAACAAAAAAAAAAAAAGCAAGAATGGGTTGAGCAGCCCCATTTTTACTCAAACGTCATTTGTATCTCGCCTCCATGTTCGTCCTGATCGGCCCAGGCATTGGGTTCTAGGGCCATGGCGCCAACAGCCGTGGTTGCAATATCAGGCATGGTAGAAGATGTTCGCAGCTCCGGTCGTGTGGAAAAATCCGGGGTGCGTTTGGGGGGTTCGTGAACGGAGGTATCAAAGGTCATTTCAGGTTCATCTTTCGAGGGAGAGTACGGGGCTGTGTTCAGCTGTGGCTCCGATGCAGCCCGAAGAACGGATGGAGATGCGGCAGTCTTGGGATCCTGGCCACTTGGAGATAAGGTCTGCGCAGGTGATGATTCCGAGGGGGTAGGGGGGTTGAGATCCAGCTTCATCGGAGGCAGGGTCGATTCCAATTGCTTGACCTCAATCGCTTCCGAGGCCAGCTCGGACCGGATAGCCTCAATATCGAAAAGGACGCTGCCGGGTGCGCTCTGGGCTTCGCTGGAATTGCGAGGCGCATTATTTCGTTCCACATCATAGGTCTCCCATCCCTTCTTCTCTGCCATTTTGCCCCGCTTGAAAAGACCGAACCGTTTCTTCTCTGGTTTTGATTCCGCTTCGCGGCGAGCCTCGTCGATCTCACGGATCAGCTCTCTCTGTCGTTCGGCATGATTGTCTGGGTCCGGGTCTTCGATTTCCGCGAATTCATCTTCCAGAACTTCCCAGCCAACCTCCCTCAAGAGGCGAGGCATGGCAGAACGGTAATCCATATGGCCATTGACCAGTTGAGTGACATCAAAGTTCTCCAGGCCCGGGATTCCTTCCACAGCCGCGAGGCCGGCAACGCGCATGATACCGCCGCTCGTGGCCCGGAAGAGATAACCCAAAATCCAATCATTCGTGGAGTATCCGTTCACAAATCGGCCTGAGACCACGCTGCGAGCTTTAAGATACTCGTCTTTGTTCGCCACCATCGGAGATCCGAAAAGATACACGTTTTGGATAAGGCCATGGGCACCTCGATCGGCTAATTCCTTGAGACACGAAAAGATCACTCGTGCACCGAGGGAGAATCCGAGCAAAGTCACTGGCCGGTTTCCTAGATTCCGCTCTCGCAAAGAGTCGGCTAGAATGAGACCTGCAGAATTGGCGCGAGCCAACGAAACGGTCCAGGGATTATCGATCAGATACGCAAGCTTAGTGAGAACAAGAGGGAGTTGCAAAGAGGCCATCAAAGCCATCAGAACAGTACTGCCAAGCACTTGTTGCAGACCGTTGGCTAATGCCTGTGGGAAACCCAGTCAGTATTAAAAACGAATGACAATGCACAACCAAGGAAAGATCTCACCTCTGTGGCAAGGATGTTGATGGTGTCACCCATGCTTCGAAGCATCTCAGGCTCCCACAAGACGGAGTAGATATCACCCATGATCGGATCGACGGTACTAAAGGGAAGCCGGACATCGTCAACCTTGCCCGTCATCCAACCAGAGACGGTCACAATCAAGTTGAGCTTCTTGTTGTTATGAAGTGGCCGATATTCGAAAGTTTGAACCGCACCAGTACGCCGGTGCGAGGCCTTCATACCGATGGCGCTGCCGCTCAGAGTGGCACTTGACGCGATCAGAGCAGTGCCACCAGCTCCTCCCAAGAATGCACTAGTCCCAGAGATCCCTACTGTTGTAAAACCAGCAGCAAGGCCGGCACCGATGACGGGAGCCAGCAGCCCGGCCGAGAGACCGATAACTAGGCCACCGCCCACCGTCGCCAAACCCATGACCATGAACTTGCGCTTCATGGACATTTGACGACGCTTCTCCATATGTTCAGTCTCGTCCCAGGTCTCCTTTTCGGCCCGCTCTTGCATTTCAAGGGCGTCTGTGACGCGTTTCTCGAAACGGGAAATCTGAAGCCATGTTACATCCATAGCAGCACCCACTTTTTCCAGGAGAGTTCGAGATCGGGAATCATACGCCGAATCTGCGATAAGCACAAGAAAGAGGTCACATAGAACCGTCCACCGAAGATCAATATCAATTCGGTTCGACGTCGGCATCTGAGAGGGCGTGCGGACTTCGGGCAGCTCCTCGTTCTCATGTGCTTCATATGGCGGCGGAGAACCGAGCTCCGAAGACATATCGGTCTCGGTAGATAGCCTTATTTGAGGATCGTCTTTCAATCCGGGTGACGTGGTCGACGAAGCGGAATCTTTCGAGGCGCCCTCATCGGCCATGGGGTTCTTGACACGAGCATTCTGCATAAGAGGCCGGACAAGATCTTCGGGCTGCACGCCATGTTCAGCAAGTTGCTCGATCATGATTTGCTCCGCCGGATCAATATCCATGTGGACATAAATGCGAGCCATCATGGCCTGGCCCCATTTTCTCATACCGTCCAGCGCTTTCTGGATCGTCTTTCGCGTAGACTTGGTCGTAGGTACTTTGCCCAATTCCAGGTTCATCGAGTGAATAGTCAATCGAACTACCCCCACATATGCGATTTTTTGACTCTCATTGAGAAAATCTTTGGTGGCCTGGAGTTGACTGATAGAATCGCGGAGCTCTTCGCCTTCCACGCCAACGGAGTTGCCCCCGGCTTCCCGGAAAAGGTAGCTCGTATCCTCGTCCAAGCTGGTGGCAGACTGCGCATCTTCGTCGAGCTGAACTCGAGTATAGCCTTTGCCAGCTCCCCCTAGACCGTTGTAGACGGCCTCATCATCATCCTCTTGTTGCGCGCCGCGCGCAATAAGCCTCCCAGTATCATCATAGTAGTCGAGCTCACCGAGAGCCGGCATCGCTTTCCAATCCCCGGTTTCCTCCTCTTCTTCGCTTTCACTTTCTGGCTCCTGGTGCTTCTGGGCCAGTCGTTGATGCGACCATTCTGATACTTCCGAAGTTCTTGGTTTTGACTTGGACGTCCGCGGCTGAGCAGAGGTATCCGCGGTCTGCGATTTGTTCACAGGTAGAGCTTGAGAATCCTGAGTTTCAGGCTTTTGGTCGTTTTGTCCCGCTTGTTTCTCAGGAGCCTGCTCCGTAGCTAGAGGCTTGGGCTCCGCCTTGTCCTTCAAAGCTTCCGGTTCGGGCGTACTCTTCTCAGCTTGGCTACCAGTTAAAGCCTTCGCAGGAGTATCACGGGTTTCGTCAGGTACGTGGGGAGCCTTTTTTTCGGGGGGGTTGCTGGCAGACCGGCTGGGGGTGGCGCGGGGTCGAATGGGGAGGCCGAAATCATCCACGTCTTCCTGCGTCTCGCTGGGCTTTTCCCCATTTGGGTTTGTTATTGATCCAGCTTGCTCAGGTCCAGGTTTCGCATCATCCTTCCCGTTTTTAGTGCCATTGTGGGGTGCGCCCGCGGCAGGCGAGGGGTTCTGCTGGGACGGATGAGGCGCGTTCGATGGACTCCCGGACGGAGCAGAGGGGTTGGTGTCGACCGTGACACTCGGGTCAGCGGACATTATTTCATGCACCAGAGACTCCCGGGAGCACTCAAGATGACTGGTGTGTGTCTCCGACTTCCAGATCTTCCTGGGTGCGGCCGCGCACGTTCCTTTTCGAGACCTTGGGTCGCTCACCCATCCGACCTCATAAACGATGTCAGAGCTCAGTGAGTGCGTGCCCGATTTCCTGCGATCTGATTTATGGCGATTGCCCGTCGTGGCTGGTCGTGGGGCTCGGGGAGGTCATCGGATAGCTTGGGGAAATCGTCAATGACGATCGGTAGCCACGCGGGAAAAAAGGAGGTCGACCGGAGTGGAGAATGTGGCAAGCCGGTATCCGTGTAAACAGCTGATATGAAGCGACCGAGGAGACAAGAGGCGGAATTCAGAGACAGTCGAGGGAATTGCAGATTGCAAGGGAAAATAGGGGGAGATTCTACGAATGGCCGGAAGCGGACATGTCTCTAGGTATCTCGGCAACAAATAAACAGCGAACCCGGCTACAACAAAAACAGAGACTGGCTTACTGACTATATACTGGCTATTTGATATAGCTTAAGCAGCTGGAAATACACGAGCTGTCAACTGCTACAATAAACACCAACAGTGTGCTCCTTGCGACCTCCAGATCAGATGGCGGGGTGAAGGGATCCACAGACGATTTCTCTATTTCTTATTGATCTTCTTCAGTCTTGATTCAAGTTCTTTGATGTCCCGTCTCTCGAAATTTCCAAGCTTTCAGACCCATAAGAAATACGAGGAAATAGGGAAACACTCGCTCAACAACAGAGCAGACCGTGTCTCGCCCGGGTGTTCAACTTGCAGGGTCACCGCAGATCATTCTTCTTACCAGACACCAAGATTCAGTGATGCCGGTGACGGGGCAGTGCCGTCGGGTACTTTTGCCACAACTCTCCAACAGTCCTCATAGATCGATTCTCGCACTAATCCTCAATCAGCCGAAGATCGACTGGGGGCCCCTGTTGCAGGCCAAAGAGAAGCCGCTCGGGTACCAGGCCATGGCGTCATGAACGGCGAGTGCTCGGACTCGCTTGGGTATGACGGGCGTTGAGTCACTTGATATGCAAGTTTGCGGCTCAAGGAGCTGTATGTTTGGTACATTCCTCTCAACTGCGTCTTCTTCGCCCCAGCTCTTCTCGCTTTTTACCATGTATACTGAGCTGGTGACACCTGAGAAGATACCCCCAATATGGCACAAGGTAAGGTTGACTGCCACTGTTTGCAGGCCTTGTAAGCCCTTCTTCTTTGTCTTGCTAATTAGGCTGTCTTATTTTAAGGCTCCGAAGCTTCGATGGTCCGAATCGCCGGCGCCGGGTTCCGCCTGTCGCTGCTGTTGAACGCCGCGGCCTGTCAACTCGCACAGTCCAGACTCGAGATACACAGCATTGCCAAGGGTATCTCGCTCTTTGCACTGACGCTCAAGCATGTCGGACAGACCCTGAACGCCACGGGGATGGATCGGTTGCCAGAAGCGACCGAAAAGGCCTGGGAGATTGCAGACCAGGGCCAGATGGTTTTCATCGAAATCGAGCACATGTTGGACAAGCTGAAAGACACCGACGCCCACGACGAGCTTCGCAGGTTCCCCCTGCAGGAGAGACTCAAATGGTGCTTTCGCAAACAGCATGTCACGTACCTATTGGCTCAGTTAGAGTCGCTCAAGCTCGGTCTGATTGTGATGTTGCGCATCTTGCAGCTGGGGCACTTGATCAAATCCTGCGCCGATGATGGCAATTCAAGTGCGCCGGACGATGCCATTGCCCAGGATAAGGCAGAGGCCCAAAATATGGTTATCGTCCGATATTGGTCAGCCAAGCGCCTTGATCGCCTGTGGGATCTGGTGGAACAGGAAGCTCTAGACGCTGCCAAGGATCCTACCAGCCAGATGATCAACTCGAGCTACTTGCCGAACACGACCTCGGCGCTGAGGCCGCTGATTGACGTGACCAAGGGTCCCAATTTGACCCGGCTCCCCGTTGTAACATTCGGAGAGAGCGACGTGGGTCTGAGTGATATTGAACGATCACCGAAGGATATGGTGCATCTTTCTGAGAGTGCCATGATTCGCTTGCTGTCGCTTTGGATGCCCTCACTGGATTCTTCTAGATTACTAGGCGCCGGGCGACCAGCCCAGAAAGCATGTCCACCCCGAGTAGAGGTCCCATCCGATAGTGAAGAGTCCGATGATCTGGACTTCGACGGCCATGGCATCCGCGGCTACTTCCTGGAGGGGAAAACGGGGGACTGGCGCAAACCCCAGTCGCAGGCGGCTCGGCAACAGGCTGCGGAACGCCGCAAGCGATACTCCAGCTACCAAGCTCATGTCGACAGCGACCCGGAGTCAGATGAACATGTGCAGCGGCGGAACAGCCGACGATCATCACCTCGGGTAACAGACTCCAGCGACGAAAGTGACCAAAGATCTACTAGCCGACGGCCCTCAAACGGCTCCAGCGTGATCAGTGGCGGCCGAGTCCACTCCAACAGCGTGTCTTCCAGATTTCCTCCACACCTTAACCCCGATGGCAAACCCGCTGCATATCCTTGCGGCAGCTTCCCACCTCCAAACCCTCCAAACCAGGCTATGCCCCGTTCCCAACCATCACCGCAGCCCCAGCCCGCCCCGATATATATCCCAGGTTCTCCCCCACAGCCATACAAATATCATCCAACCCAGGAATATGGCAATACACCACGCTCAATGCCCATCCACCAGCCGAGCACCTCTAATACCATGCCCAATCCCTCACCTCGAGACACGCCCCCGGTCCAGTTCGAGCCGCCTTGGACGCGAGCCCCGACCTACAACGGCAATATGCTCCAGCCACGCCGCCACAAGTCTGCTTACCCGCTCTCATCTTCGTCCCCCGAGCCCAGTCTTCGTCCCTCTCCACCGCGGTCTGTTCAGCGGTCTCCGTCGCATTCCCACCGGCGGACATCACGTGAGGATCCCAAAGAGCGGCATAAAGCTTTGACGCGAGATGCGACTCGGGGACTGGTGGGGATAGGGGCGATTGCCGGGTTCATGGATGCATTGGAGGCGTTTTCGATTCTTTAATTCTTTAATTTTTACGCCCTTTCTTTACATTTTGTGTTTCTTCCCGTTTCCCGTTTCACATGAAACCGTTCCGGGTTGTCTTCTGGACTTTTTTTTTTGGATGTCCATGTATGATTGTATCTGATGCCACGACGATCTCTTTAAACGAGTTTACGAATAAACGTCACAATACCCTCAAGGATGCTGGAACACCTTTCTTTTCTTTTCTTTTCTTTTTTTTAGCTGAGAAATCTTACTATTCTTTATTCTATACATCACATTTGGGGGCTCAGGGTAGACCAAAAGATACATTGTCCATTCCAAATCTGTCAAAAGGCGAGAATGGGAGAGAGAGGAGTAGGTGGATAAATAAAAACGCAAAGAAAGGAAACCAATCTTGTCCAAGTATTGTCTGTATCATCGGACCTCATAATCAAGCCGAGCAACCCGTGCCCTCATCGGCGGAATTTCCGATTCTACCGACGCTCCGATCCCAAGCCTTTCCACAACGCAGTTGATTGGAGTTTGAGGATGAGAAATTTGTCATTTTGGCTAAATGGAACCTCGGGAGAGTGATTAGCCTGGAAATATAAAGTCGGGTTTATGCACATGTAGGAAGTGAGCCATTTTCAACTATGCACATGGACAAGAGGTGAGACTTGATTCTGGTTTTTTTTTTTTTTTTTTGGAAAAGAGTAGTGAGATAAACTGATTGTTTCTCTAGTATTTATATACCCTCTTTGTTTCTTCCCTTTCATTGATTCCCGTTCTCAAAAAGTAAACCAGATATTTGCAGAGCAAAGATATGCATATATATATACAGCTGGGTATAATACTCCAATCTGCATACCAGCCACTTCATTCAACACCGAACATCGATTTGACGCCCAGTTCTCATTGACTACCCATATGCTTGGACTGAGATCCAGCCAATTTTCCATCAGAACTCAGGCAACGGAGGCATACCAAACACACTCCCATCGGGAAGCCACCCATCCAGCTCCATCCCCGTGCCCGGTATGGTACCCCCGCTCTGAGGCGGAGGCATTCGCTGTGGATCATACGCCACAGAGGGTGGGAGAGATGTGGATTGCGGGTGAGGCTGCTGATATCCAGCAGGGAGAGAGTGAAAGAAATGGGCATTGTGGCCATGCCCGCCCTCCATGGGCCACATGCCGGCACTACTCATGACGTACCCGTCTCGCATGCCCTCCATCCCGGGACTGAGGTGAGATACACCGGGCCCTACAGAGAAGGATTCCATCGCGGATGGGTTCATGGGTTTTGGTGTACCAACCCGCGGGGTAGCGGATGGCGGCACGGGTGCTGTCAAAGATCCTCCCGCGTCGGCATCGTCGCCAGTTAATCCGCCCTGCCGGCTCTCCAGTCGTTCGTACCAGCCCCGGCCTTTAACTGCCACGATATGGTACCACCGACTCGGGATCTTGTACTTGCCGCCGCCGCTCGCCTCACCTAGCTTGGTGGCTAGACCGTCGAGGTAGACTCCTGCGTTGACCGTCTGTGGCGTGACCACCTCGCCGAGCGCGCCGGTCCGCACGGCGAAATGGAGCTTCAGGAGTGAGGTCACCGCCATAACGATCCGCGTGTACATGAGGTTGGGGAGGCTCCGCATTGTTTCGTTGCTGCAGCCTGATACGGCGTCCAGGAGCTCATGGGCTGCGTTCAGCCATTTCATATTGATGTCAATGCGGATTGCACTGAGAGGATCGTTAGGGGCGATCGTGTCGCTGGCTTCGTCGAGCGTTGGAAGTGTGAAGTATCGTCGTTTTATGGCCCCAGGATCGCGGTATCCCTCGCCTACGCCTAGCTCGTACATGGCAAGAATGGCAGACCGATACTCGAGGGTCATGGGCACTGGAAACAGAGATCAGCTTGCTCCCCTGGAGAAGAAAGGAAAACCAAAGAAATATCTTACTGGTCAGCATATCCGCAGGAAGATTCTTTCTCCACGTCTCCATCCGTTTGTCAAACCATCGCAGCACGGCTTGGACCCGGGACTCGGTTAGGGGCGAGGTGGCACTGGTATCGTCCAGTCCAAACGAGGACATGGCTTCATCGGTGATTCTCTGAAGCTCGAACCAAACCGCCAGGTGCTGATCTGTTCGATGCGGCGATTGGTCCAGGTGTTTGACACACTCGGCCATCCAGTCGTTGAACTGAAGCAGATTAGGGCGTCGGGTTTTCATGGCAACCCTATCCTCACGAGTCAGTTTGTGGAATTCTTTATCTGGTGAGCTTCAAAAAAGAAATTCTTACGTGGAGCCCAAATGATAGCAGCCCAGAACGGCGCGGGCTTGCTCAGCCAACAGCTCGTCATGCAGGTAATGTCTGCTCTTACGCTCGGAATTCCTTGAGACGCGTTGTTTGGTGGCGAGCCCTATCTCCAGGGCCATGGTCGAGGCAATGTGGGTGTACTGATAAAACTGCAGCTTGAGGGGCGAGCTCGGTGGGAAGTAGAAGATGATCATGAGCAGCAGCGCCTGGACCAACTCTAACGACTTCTCGCCCTCAATGAAGAACCGCTCCGCATAGAGGCGAACCATCTCGCGATTGAGAACAGCTGCCAAACCGGCGTCAATGGAGAGGGACGCGGCCGCGATGACAGAAAGGAACAGTACCGGCTTGGTTTGTCGCAGCTGTGCCGCCGTGGTTGTGGATGGCAAAATAACCAAGGGGAATAGGGAAGCCAGCTCGTGGATAAAAACCCCTACCAGTTGCTCTGCCTGTTCCAGAGAAATGATACCTCGATCAATTACGTCGTTGACAGGGGGCCTGTCCGACTCCGGCGAGAACCTCGGCATCGCAGCAAAAGACGGGGGTGCCGAGAGATCTCCATCGTTGTGCGTCGCGGGATGCGAAGTGTCGATTAACTCCGGTGAGTATTCCATGAATCGAATGGAATCAGATGTGTGGCTCGAAGCCCCGGGAACCGTATCGAAACTATCTTTGACATCCATGTCCCCGAATTCCTGCTCCCGGGAGTCGTCGACGTCGCTCCCCTCAAGAGACTCTTCACTTTCCTCACGGATTCGATCCTTCAGCAGCGAACGCATCATGCGCATTTCTTTTTCGAGCTGTGCCACTCGCGAATCCGTTCGTTTTCGGGGCCGGCGCCGTTGCGGGGCCACGAAGACGCAGGGTTTACTCCCCCTGGCGCATCGCTGACACTGGTTAGGCGTGGACGGGTTGGGAAGGCAGCGGACCTTGAGACTTCTGCAAGACTCACAGGATCGGTTCAACTGCTGCGTCGGTCCCGGCTGGAGTGTGCTTGGTTCATGAGAAGTCACGGGCGTCTCTGGCATGTTCACATCGGGTGAGACGATGCCAGAGCGAGAATAAAAGAGGAGACGAGAGGAGAAACAAGAAAACAAGTACGTCCAGCCAAGAATGATTAATCCAGGCTATTATATCGTCTCATCGTATCAAATGGCAATGGCAAAGTCCAGGAAAAGCACATGGGCGGCATCAAGCAGGGCTTTCATTCGGGGCAAAAGCAGAGACTAAGACACCGAAGGGCGCCAATTCTCGCATACATTAAACTCCCAGGATAATACACTCGCAGAATCACCTTTTTGTTCTTTTTTCACAGAATCACAAACTTTCGGGAAAAGAAATGCAGACTTGGCATCATGTGAGAAAGACTACATCAACCTTGGGAAAGGCTCAGAATGATTCATAGCAGCAAAAGTGTTAGGTAAGTGGAAGCGAGGGCGAGAGGGATCTCGCGAGCTCCACCCAACGGTCAGTCTCTGGGGTATAAAAAAAGAAAAATCAGGCCGAATCGAGGATGCTCCAGGCTCAGTGGCTGAATGAGGGAGGAACAGGCAGCACTTCGCTGGGAGTAGAAGCCTAAATTAAAACCTGGCCAATCATCGCCGTTGCCCGACGGCTACGACCGACGCCCCAAATCGGGCGTTGAGATATTAGTCAGACTTGGCATGACGACCTGCCCGTTTGGGATTGCCCCGAATTTCCCGAATTCCTCGGCATTCTCGGGGAATTGACCGAACTATAGCAATTTACCGTCGGCATTGTCTGCTTCGTCTATGCGAAATAGACCAGCGGACAGAGGATATAAAAGCGGGAGTATGGTCATCACTGCAAACCAATCACCAATTCATCTCCAACATCCAATCCATATCTTCATTTATCTACCTCGGCACCTGTAAAGTGTATACTGGAGCTTATTGCACTATGAGCATTCCCGAACTAGCTCAAAAACTCGACGCGGTGAACACTGCCGATGAGGAAGAACGAAAGCTACTGCTGCAAGCATGCGATCGGCTCAAGAGCAGGCTCGAAACCCCCTTCGACTTTACAGCTCGTCTGTCGTTCTCGGTATGGATCTATGCAGCCTTGTGGGGACGGGTGGCTGACACGGGAAACTTAGGGCCACCAAGCAATGGCGATCCGATTGGCAGTCGATCTAAAGCTCTTTGATACAATCGCTCGACTCTCAACTCAATCGCAAGATGGATTTTTCACCACTGATCAGCTCTCCGAATCAACCGATGCAGAACCTTTGCTTGTCAGTAAGTGGCACGGGTGATGTGGGATATTCATCTTGCGACAAAAGACTGGCGCTAACCATCTCCAGCGCGGATCATCAGCTTCCTTGCTGCCATGGGGGTAGTCCAAGAGATTGATCGAGGCACATATGTCCAAACAAAGTTGGCTGCCTCCTATGTGTCCAGCTCTCCTCTTTCAGCGGGGATCATTCACAGGTATAGTGGATCTCCTGTTATGGAACATGTCCGAGGAACATGCACTTCTAACCAAACCAAAGCACGCATTTCCTCACGGTCCTGTCGAGACTGCCCGAGTACTTCCATGAGAAGGGATGGCAGAGTCCAGGCGACGCCTGGGATGGGCCATTCCAGTACGCTCTGGGCACCAACGCCCATTACTTCGATTTCCTGAGCTCGCACCCATACTACCAGCAAGCGTTCAACACTGTCATGGCCATGTCATTCCGGCGACACGGAAGGGACTGGTTTGAACTCTTCCCGGTCGAGGAGCGGCTGCGCGTGCAGAACGACACGGATCCACTCATCGTCGACGTCGGCGGAAGCCAGGGAAAAGATCTGAAAATGTTCAAGGAGCGATTCCCCCATTTGCCTGGCAAACTCATCCTCCAGGATCTGCCGAGTGTTACTGCAAATGCCCAAAGTCTCCCACCAGGGATCGAGGTGCAGGGCCACGACTTCTTTCACGAACAGCCGGTCCGCAATGCTCGGGCATACTTGATGCGTACTGTGCTGCACGATTGGCCTGACAAACAGGCGGTGCAGATTCTGGGCCGGCTGCGGGCTGCTATGAACCGTGATTCTCGCCTGCTCATTAGCGAATACATGCGACCCGAGTCCAATGTCTCGTTCTCCTCGGGGTTGGCCGATATCCACATGATGACCTCCTTTGCATCACTGGAACGAACTCAACAACAGTGGAAGACTCTTCTTGAGACCGCCGGTTTCGAACTCATCCAAGTTTGGCTACCCGATGGCTGTGATGCCGCCTCGGAGTCTTTGGCAGAGCAGGCAGCTTTGCTCGAAGCTCGAGTGAAGGAATAGTCATTTCGAGGGATATTTCCCCGTCTGTTTTGGAACAAGTTTTCAATCTAGACCCAGAAAAGTTGAATGTGGGAGGTCTCTAGACACTGGGAACAGCACTGTGAAATGGTAGGCGGGGCTTGGTGGATGGCGACGCCGATGATGGAAGCGGACGCGTACACTTCGTTGGTCGTCATCAAGCAGTTCTGCTAGTGTTTAGTCCACTAATTTCTTTTTTATCTCATCGCTTTCAATTCTTGCAGTGTCGATCTAGGATGATACTTATGAGCAACTGCTTCCAGACACTTCGGTGTGTTGGCCAAGGCTTGTACACAACCAAACCGGTCAGCATCAGAATCAAGCTCAGCCGATGTGGCAGTAGTGGGCCAGTGGCGGGAAGATGTAGACTCCGCTTGTCCACAAAAGTAGGAGCATCTAGCCACTGTTCGGTTCTTTTTCTGAACAAGTCCGGATCCATGACCGATATTCAGGGTAGAAACTAGAGACATTCTCTGGGAACGCTGCATGCGCGCGTAATCAGACTGGGCCACAAAGAATGATTTGCCAGCCTCAGCCCATGGCTATTCATCGGAAAGTCGGCGGCATTAAAGGTGTACGACAGCAACCTCTGGGATGTTGTCATGAGCTGAGTTGGCCACTTGGTTAAAGTTGTTTCACTTGCTTTTTTTCTGCTACCATTCTGACATTGAAACTACCGCGAGGCTCCCGAATAGATTACATCCAGGACGACCGAGAACAATTCTATATGTCGCCAGAATAAGCATGGTACTCTGGGATCGGTGACGATCAAGTTGCAGTACAGAATGCGATTCTCGGCCTCGAAGCCGCTATGCTTCTCTGGGTTATTATTGGTGACGGTCTTCCTTCCAGTCTGTGGTTTCCACTTGATGAGCTTGATGGGGAGTAGAGTCAACGACTATGAGAGCCATGAAGACATTCCGACCCAGAAATACTTTCGTGAGTTTGTTTCTCATGGCCGCCAAATAAATATTGTTTTAGAATTACGCTAACATCCAAATCTAGATGAATCAACGTATGTCAAGCTCTTTGATCTACTAGGTGTATACAGACCTGACGAAATCTCATGTCGATTCTCCAGCTTCCACCATCACTACGACGACCGGTACATTCTCTTCTTTCTCGATGCTTCAACCCATAGTTCTGGCACACTAACTGCCAACTAGATTCGCCAATGACACTCTCCCATATGAGCAAGTCATTCCCCATCTCAAAGCTCTAATGCAGACGTACCTCTCGACAATGTCTGCAATCGGTGTAGAGACATGGATCATGCATGGCACACTTCTCGCCTGGTGGTGGAACGAAAAGGTCTCGTCCTCCGAACTTATGTACAGGAATATCACTATTAACTATCTTTTTTTTTTGGTATAGATCTTCCCATGGGACAATGATCTAGACGTGCAAATCTCAGAGCCGGCAATCCATATCTTGGCTAAAAGCTTTAACATGACGCAGCACCATTTCGATCTCCCCAGTGTCGAGGGTGGTCGCAACTATATGCTCGATGTCAATCCCTACTACGTGGTGCAGAGCACAGAAGATAAATTGAATATGATCGACGCCCGGTGGATTGACATGTCGTCCGGGCTGTTCATCGACATCACGGCAGTACGCAAGGACGAGGAGCGACGGAGAAAAGGCAACCCCGAGGCGCTGCGGTGTAAGGATCGCCATCGCTACCATGTGCGTGATATCTCTTTGCCCCTGACTTCTGATTGATCATGCTTCCGTGGGATGGTTATGACTGACGAGAATGAGACGGGATGGACGAGAGGAGTATAGGCCAGTGAAATCTTCCCGTTGCGTGACAGTTACTTCGAGGACGTACCTGTCAAGGTTCCCTATGCCTATACTGAGTTGCTCAAGCGGGAATACGGGTCCAAGGCTTTGGCTCAGACGGAGTTTTCAGAGTATGTGCCGTTCTCGTGGGGTTCAACCCTTGGTTTCTATTTGAGAAAGAGTCTAATCGCGCACAGTCATCGATTTAATGAACACACCAAAATCTGGGAAGCTATGGGATGAGTGGCAGAATGCCTTTTCAAAAAAATATAGGTTTGTGACAGCAAAATCCAATGGATTCTGTATCCAGATATAGTTGGTATCTGGGTCTACTGATGTTGAATAGAGCATTGTGTACAAATTTACCGTCGTCGAGCAGATTTCAAGAACCATGGATAAATTTATTGTACGGACAAAGAAGTAAATGAGCGTTATCAGGGTTAGAAATTCTGGTGATCTTCCAAAATAGGCACTTTCCAACCCTTCAATCTCTCATCATCCCATATAGCATGGCCCCAGGCCCACCCATATTCGCGCGTCCCATCCAGATCAAGTGCGTCTTCAAGTGTGTCTTCCGGCGAATAAGAAGTCAGGTGCATCTTTTTTCACCCCAGATGAGGCTGTTCGATGACCGGCAAGGTAGACCAGAACTGTTCAAAATCACGGATTGCATGTCGATCGGCCGGATAAATCACAGGAAGCATCTCATCTTCTGACACAAACATGCGACTCCTATTCCCGATAAAGGCGTTCGTAAAGTCCGCATTGGCCAGCACCTTATTGCGCCGAAGCAATGGCGTCGCATGTAAGAGGCGGTGGAGAAAGTCTGGTCCGATTGCGACCACGGAGCCTGTAAAAGTCGCGAGGCTGTCAAGATCTCGAATTGATTCGATGTTTCTTATTGGGGGTCGCAGGCCCTCGGGAAGATACTTAAAGTAGTCATGGTACAAGGGGTCCTCGCATCCATGGTTCTTAACAAGATCGTGTAGACCGTCGGAAATCTCCTTATAGAGAGGCAGGTCACACTTCGTGTTGAGGTATGCCCATACACAGCCCATTTCTTCATATCCCCATTAAGGCATGGTCGTAAAGAATACGCGATATGCCTCTTCTTCGGTAGAGTCATAGGGAGCCGGTGTCTTCTGATAGCGCCAGTTGTTGTAATATCGAGGCTCTGTGGTGTCCCTTAAAGCCTCTTCGTGCTGTGCGAAAATGTTGGCGTGGATCTGCAATCGACACAATGCCCTGAGAAAGCGGAACTTTTCGGTTGGAGATAGCTCGATGGGGATTATTGATTCCTCCCACTGCTGTTGTGTGATCTACGCGGGCCGGGGTGCTTTCGTGGCATAGTCCTCCAGAAAGAAATAATCACAAAGATGCCTGCTCTTTCTCGGGCATCGCTTTGCTATCCCTCGCATTCATCTTACTGTGATTGATCTACTTCTTGAAGGTATTCAAGTGTTCCACTGCATATCTTCTTTGTAGAGATTGGGTGGTGTCTTAATAGCCAATCCTTCCATCCATCTATAAGTGCCTAGATTTTCTTTGTTCCATCCACGCACCTTTCGACCCCTAAACTTGAGCGAAATGCTTTGTCCACGATGCATATCAGAAACGTTGACGGTTCTCTGAAGCTTGATAAGGTATTGCTGGACAGCCGTCAGATGCAGGGATCCAAGATGATCTCCTTGACCTCGGCCTTTTCGTATCCAGTCCCCCATACATCGATCATTCCACCAAAAGCTGCATGGGCCGGCTGATCACTCTCGTTCAAACCCTTCGACTGCAACATCAGCAGACACCGTTTCCCTCGGACATGTCCTTTTTTGTCGACATTCCATAAAGGGAGAAACCATGCATCCGTGAGAAGAGGATCCTCCGCCAAAGTAACCGACTTCGAAGACACAATCCGCAGCCCGTTTGCATCCTGGCGGTAATGACGGAAATAGGTGACATGATTCTTTGATAAGTGAAAGAGGCCCAATTTTTGACCGTCGGGTGCTTTGATGCGCAATTCCTCGGAGCGGAACTGCTCATCAGAAAAATGAAGTATTGGCTGCTTCTCTTCAGGTAGCTCTGGATCTGTATGAGACTCGACCCCGAAGAGATGAACAGGTAGTAAGGCGCCGTCAACAATATCTGTCCACTGAAAGGGCCCTTTCTCGGTCTCTGCGATGCGCTGTTTCTCGGATTGACCCTCTGGGAAGGGAAGAAAAAGCATCATCGCCTGATACTTTTCGACCAGGGCGGCTAGAAATCTTCTCTTGATTTCCTCCATGGGGAACTTGTAATCGACCTCGATATTTTCCAGCTCCATCGCGCCAACCAATGCCCAGCACGAGTCCTTAGGCAAACCATATTTTCGGCTATTCTTCCCAGCCAGGATAGACAGAGGACTGAACTCAAAGAACCCCACCAGCCCAGACTCAGTTAGGGCTTTAATGGACTGTCGCAGCCAAATCACCGATTCTGGTGACTTGGGGAGCGAATGTCCGAATTGCCCAGCTCCAGGTCTCTCGGAGTCCGGGTCATGGCCTTCACTTTGGATGAAATAGGCCGAGGCGAGATTATGACATAGCACCGAGACAGGGATGGAAAGATCACGAACGACAGCCTTGTGTCCATTGTAAAACCTGCTGTCGGAGAGAACATTCCCATGTCCGTCGAGCAGAGTAGTGTCCCCCAGTAGGACACCTTCCTGCAATGTCCAGCCCGATTTCAACCAACGTTCGTCTTTTTGAGCAATCCGAAGCCAGCTTTCGACCTTGCGCGTGTACGCCTCAACAATTGCCGGGTCCACAAAGCCAGGCCGTGACATCTCCAGGGAAAGCACTTTTTTCAGCGCGGATTCTTCCTCCCACGACGTTGAATGAAGCCAGACAATGCTTCGCGTCGACCGTTTGTAAATGTGCCTAAGAGTGATTAGATACTTTGTTTAACAAGTCTTCTTTTTCTGTCCACATCCAATTCAGAATCAAAATGAGGGAGCCTGTCTTTGCTTACAGTTGTTTTGCAATCTCCTGCTTTTGGGCTCTGAGTAGCTTAGGGTCAAGCTCGTGCTCTCGACCTTGAGGAACACACATCCAGTCCCACCAGATATACCGAGTCCCAATCTTTCGCATCACTTCCCTTGCCTTCGACAAGGGCCACTTAGAAGTGGTGGGTACCTTCCACACGACACCCTCCGGAACGTCTAACTCTGGCTTATCCCATTGGGCAATATAACCCCAGGTATACGAGACCACGCCATAGCCTTCGCTGCTGAGGATCTCCTCTGGAACCTCAGTAAACGGTTGGATCCTCCATTCTTGTAGGTCGAGGAGCCATCGTGGAGCTGTTGGAATATTGTCTGGCACCTTGATAGTTGTCATAATGGTAATGAGTTCGGAGCTTCAGAAGAATGATGGTAGTTGAGAATGATGCCCAACAAATGATCAGGATTGGAATTGGGGCCACTGCTTTTATCTTCGATCATGGGCATTGTTAAGAACATGCAGTTGTCTTCCTTGCCCCGCCACCCGATGCATCCTGAAATTTATACATCCACTTCAGCTGAGAATGGACCCAATCATGAATCCCAGGAGGAGCAACACTTGTACATTGTCGTCATATTTGACCCACAGAACACCTGGCATTCTCCACAACAGGTCTGTCTACCCCTCAATTGATACGGGAAAGGGCTTATGCTTGTTTGAACAGAAAGACTTACACTACCAAATTGAGAGAGAAAAGGCGCGTAATAGCTAAGAATATTGGGTATATTATTGTGATTCTCGTCATTTTAACACATTTACATCCATTTATCACCTACTATGGCATGAATGATGTTAATTGTCCCTCGATGGAACAAAATCCTGCATGGCGTCTGGAAATGTGTAATGAGTCGCCAATGATCAGATCCAGTGGCTGAGCTGAGGTTTATTGCCAACGAACAGCTACAGTGTAAGTGGGGGCAGCTCTATATCTGCGCTGTGTGATCTATCACATCACGGCATGATCTACGCACAAAGAAAGGTACATGCAGCTCGGGTCAGGAGATATTGGCTGGAGCTTGAGGAATAAATCTATATCTTGCTTTTGCTAATTTACATCTTATAGTTCGATCATGCAATTATCTTCTATATCACCAGTCAGATCTATTGTTATAAATTGAAGCCCCTTCGTACATTCCTATTAACTTAATAGATATTATTCAGGAGCAATGGGTTGTAACATTTACAGCTCTACAGAGTATTAGGTGGATAAGATAATGAAAAACAGGATAACATATGATCGACGGCTGTATACTTGCGAATGTCTGGAGATAAATCCCGGAGATAAGACCAATTACCTGATTGGGATAGGTCGATGACTCAGACCAGTCACGAGGCCGCAGGCATTTGCTGGCATCTTTTTTCTGCTGAGAGCTTCGTGGAAGTGAGACAAGCTCAAAGAAGAATGTGGAAGGCTCGTCCTGGCTTTTTGCTTATTCCTGCACTATGTCGTTCCCTCCAGCATCTCCCGAGCTGAGCCACCACCCCACCATTAGCGATAATTCTCCGACTCATGCCACATTGCCCGCCACCGACTCCCGCCCCGCAGGCCCCGACAATGGAAGCTCAAGGAGCTGTGTCACCTGTCGCCGCCGCAAGGTTCGCTGCAACAAGCGATCGCCATGCTCGAACTGCGTCAAGGCCGGCATCGAATGCATATTTCCCCCACCCGGTCGAGCTCCCCGCAGGTTGAAACGCCCACCGGACGCAGAATTGCTCTCGCGGTTGCGACGCTTGGAAGGCGTGATTGAACATCTGGGCGGAAAAAATGCAGAGCCCAGCTCAAGCTTGAGCCCTCCGACTCAGACCACGCCGCCCTCAGCTCATCCCTCTACCGCTGGGAGCGAGGCGACCGCGGCCACCACCTCTCCCGAGGGGCCGGCTCCAGATGGCCCTTGCCCATTCGCCTCAGACCCAAAGAAACCTCCATCGGGCAGGTTTGAAAATGAATTTGGAAGGCTGGTGATCGATGAGGGCCGGAGTCGATATGTGAGCAATAGGCTCTGGGCCAGTATGGGCGATGAGGTATTCCAGTCTACCCTTGTAACTTCTTTCTTCGATTCGATATGCTAATCGGCCTCATTGTAGATCGAAGAATTGCAGGATATTCTTGACCATTCTTCGTCCGATGAAGAAGATAATCCGTCCCCAGGATCTTCTCACTCTACCTCTCATGATGGGTTTCTTTTTGGGTTCTACTCCCTGTCGCACTCTCTTCGAGACTACCATCCACCATTGCCCAAGGTCTCGATGCTCTGGGAGACTTATAGGGAGAACGTGGCGCCTTTGATCACCATTATTCATAGACCGACCGCGAGAAAGCTGCTCGTCGAAGCTGCGCAGCACCCGGAAACTCTAGACAAGAATTCCGAAGCGTTGGTGTTCGCTATGTACCTGTCCGCTATTGTCAGCATGAACCCCGATGAATGCCTGTCTCGATTCGGAGAAGATCGCAACTTGGCTGTCAAGCGGTATCGATTTGCTGTCGAGCAAGCGCTGGCTAAAGCCGGATTTCTGAATACCCAGAGTCTCGTGCTTCTTCAAGCCGCGATTTTATTTCTGATCTGCGTACGCAGAGAAGATGACAGCAAGTTTGTGTGGTCTATGAACTCAGTCGTTCTCCGTCTCGCGCAAGGGTTGGGCCTACACCGGGATGGTACTAATTTCGCTCTAAAACCATTTGAGACCGAGATGCGCAGACGACTTTGGTGGCATATCTGCTTGATGGATATTCGCTCATCGGAGGATCATGGAACCGATCCGCTGATTCACGAGAATATGTATGACACCCGGCTGCCGTTGAATGTCAACGACGACGACATTTCCCCCGGCATGCAGGAGACGCCGGAAGAGCGAGAAGGCTGTACCGATGTGACGTTCTGTCTTATTCGCTGTGAAATTACAAGCGCTCTCCGACGGGCAAATTATGCCTGTCCTGGCAATCGATTCCGCATGGAAGGCTCCGGGCCATCGTTGGATCGTTGTGAGCGAATGATCCAAATAATCAGCGAGCGCTGTGAAGAACGGTATATTAAGCACTGTAACATGGACATCCCTATCCACTGGTGCTCTGCGACAGTTGGGCGTCTCATTCTCGCCAAGTTGTGGTTGATCGTTCACCATCCGATGACACGAAGAGATCGCGTCACCAATTTGCCGCAGGCGACTCGCGAAAGTCTGTTTCTCACAGCGATTGAGGTATTGGAGTTTGGCCGTCTTCTGGAGAAGGACCCCAAGACAGCTAAATGGGGCTGGCTGTTCCGGACGAATATGCAGTGGCATGGAGTCGCGTTCGTTCTGTCCGAGCTGTGCGTCCGCCCGATCTGCCCCATCACTGATCGTGCCTGGAATGCCGTCTCTTCTCTTTACACAGACTGGAGACAACAAGCAGGACACAAAAAGGGCATGTTATGGCGACCTCTGGCTGCTCTGATGAAGCGAGCGGAGGCAACCCGGGCTAAGCAACATGAAGAGCTGCGATCCAAATTCGGGCCTGTGCCCACTCCATCACAGCCCGCCAGCGCCCAGGTCGCCACCGGGCATCATCATTCTCTCCCTCAAATTCATTTGCCCACGGCGGCTCCAACTCCCCCATCCATGCTTCCAGCAGCTATTAACACCGCACTGCCGTCGTCGGGTTTGCCCCTGAACTTCAACCTTGGCAATGAGCCGTGGGAGGCCTTGCAAGACGTTTTCCCGAGCACAAATTTGTTGTCTTCCAGAAATCTCTTCGATACTTCTCCATCACAAGATCCGGTCTCGGCAGCAAGCATTCCAGCCGACTTTTCTTTCAATGTCGCCCCGAGCAATCCATTCATTAGTCAAGACCCCCTCCCGGAGCCTCCGCCACTCAGCTGGGATGAATGGGACCAGGTCATGCGTGACTTCCAGATGGACGTGGAGAAAGACGAGAATCATCCTTCCAAGGGGACTAATGTTTCAGATTGGCTCACATGAGCTCTATCTTCAAATTTGACGAGACTGGTCATGTTATCCTGGCTTCGTGGTCCTGGCGTTTTGATGATGAGAAGCGGAAAACATGCGTGCAGGCGCTGTGTTTGAAAATTTATGATTTGATGATATATGCTGTTCAGATACTCCTCGATTTTATACTCCACACCCCACTCTGATGTGTTTATTATACTCTTCTCTACCAACCTGGCAATATATTGCGCCTGATGCATTGGCTGATACTATAAATTACTCAAAAAGGTACAATTTTTTGCGTTACAACAGAATTCTACATCATATTGCTTCACCAGTTCTCAATCTAGGCAGAATATGGTCAATCTACGATCGACGGCGTATACTTCGGGAAGGTCACCGTGGACGATGAATGCACGTGACCCGATAAGCTCCCAGCTGGCATCAACCGCCGTGCTCCCTCCACACCTCCGTCCCTTTCCACTCGGATTGTCTCGAGCCATTGAGGTGCTTCGTTTACTGCAATTTATTATCCTCAATCCCGCTTTCCCAATCAAAGATCTTCCACCCTCCTCTCACCATAACACAATGCCCTCCAAACGACACGCGGCCTCAACCACCTCCGCACCCGCGGCATCCACGCCCACCTCGACGCCGAAATCGCTTTCGTCCGGCCCTGCCACCCTAAAAACGAACGCCTCCGCCGCCGAGATCGCCCAGCATGTCTGGCAGCAATACCTCACCACCACGCCGCAGCGTACACTGCTCCTCGACGCCTTCATGTTCTTCCTGGTTCTTGTTGGCGGACTGCAGTTCTTGTATTGCATTCTGGCCGGAAACTACGTAAGTTCAATCCTTTTGGGCCACTTTAGATGACTACACAGAGATGAACAGAGACTAATCAATTGTTTCTTCTATAATTATAGCCCTTCAACGCCTTTCTGAGTGGTTTCAGCGCCGCTGTTGGTCAGTTCGTGCTCACGGCTAGTCTGCGCATGCAGACTAGTGGCAGCGGTCCTGGGTCGAGCAAGCCGAGTTCCAAGGGCAAGAACGCACGGTTCGCGGGTGAGGATGAGGAGCAGACAGCCGGAATTTCGCATGAGAGGTGAGTGACAACCCTTAGCCTTGGTTTTTTCCTTTCCTCTTCTTGATCGCCTATTCTATCTTAACCAATTCTTGTGGAACATTGACTAATTCATGTAATTGCTCACAGGGCCTTCGCCGACTACATCTTCGGGAGCCTCATTCTACACTTTTTCTGCATCAACTTCATCAATTAAGCTCTGCGATACCCTGGTTGCAACACTCCCCCGTCCCAATTCTGTCCGGTCCGCGAAAATCGCTTTCTCTTTTGGCGATGCAACAAGCTTGTTGGTAATCACAGAGGGATTTTCTTTTTTCTCTTGTCGAACAAGCCAGACATAGTTCTCCCATTGTACCTGGCGCTCTCTGCTTATAAAATACAATGCTGAATGATTATGGCTGCTACTTGCTACTCGTACGAGCTATCAATACATTAGTACTTGTAGATGAGTGTCATTGGTTATCCTTAGCAGAAGGGGCTCGCTATTTGAGTTGCCCACAGAGGGATAAGATATCCCAATGGATCCAGTGTGAAATGAGAAGTGAGCTCGTGGGAATGCAACCGACAGTGGGTATCTATTTTCCAGGTGTTGAATGCATCTATCCCAATGCCCCAGAAACATCGCTCTATATCGTACAAAAAAGGGTCTAAACCCTAGAATGCGCGTCCCGGCCGCCGAGGCACTTTCGGTTTCTTCACCACACTTCCACCCGAGCCTGCACTTCCACCGCCATTGGCACCGGGCCGAGACGAAGAAGACGAAGCAGTCAGGCCACCGACTTTGCGGGCACCCTTGACAACAGGACGGCGAACGGCGGATCCGCCGCCTACCTCGACCTCTCGCCTGCGCCAGGATGGATCGTCGCGCTCCTGCTCGCGAGCCTTTTCGGCCGCGGCACGTTCGCGGTCTGCGGCCATTTGGGCTTCAATTTCCATTCGGCGGTTGAATTCTAGCTCTGTGACACGGCGATCGCGCTGTGAGTAGCCTTTTTCTTTGACGGAGTAGAAGACGCCGCCGAGTTCGGCGAGCCACTAAAGAATAGAAAGTTAGCTCAGCTGTCGCAAGTGTAGAATTGAGAATAGGAAAAAAAAAAAAAAAAAAAAGACTTACGTGGGGGTCGACGGCCGTCACGGTCGACATGTACTCCTTGGCGGTCAGGATCAGCTCGTGGTAGACGACATACTCCGGCACATAGCCGAGGCCATAGAGCGCACTCGTCGGGTGCAAAGCCATGGTCACACTAGTGCGAAGGTTGATGAACTCGCCGATGCCCTTAACCCGGGCAGCTTGGTGGTAGAAGCCAGAGCAGATGCACTTGCGAATGGTGTCCCAATCCGTGCCGCAGCTAATAAGCTCCATCTTCTGGGCAACCATAATGTCGTAGAGCTGATCACGGACTTCTTTGGCGCGCCGCAGCGCTTTAGAGTGCAAGAAGTGCTTCGTGCACCACGAGTCGGAGAACCCGTTGGTTTTCCACTGCGTGTAAACATGTAGAAGTGTCAGGTGGTCTGATTCAGGGACGAAGAACTTCTCACGCGCTGAATCCGATTCCTCCTGTCGCTCCTTGGGGCGGTAGAAGACGCTGGGCACCGACAGCATCGAAACGATAGTCAGCATCTCCTCACTGCAGCCGTATTCTTCCGAGGCCGTAATGAGAAGCTTGGCAAGAGGCGGGTCCATGGGGAACGGCGTCATACGGCGTCCCAACGCTGTGAGGTCACCCAAATTGTCCAAGGCGCCGAGTGACCACAGCTCGAAAAGGGAGGTGCTGATGGTCTCTTGTGGCGGTGGATCCATGAAGTCAAAATCAAGCAGATCCTTGACACCGAGGGATTTGAGGAGGAGCACGGTGTTTGCAAGGCTTGTACGCTGAATCTCCGGAATCGTCTGCAAATAGAGCTCGTTTTTGTAGGCGGTCTCGGTGAACAGGCGATAAGCCTTGCCGGGACCCGTCCGACCAGCGCGGCCGGATCGCTGGTTTGCGTTGGCCTGGGAGATTGGTGTGATTTGCAGAGTGTCCATGCCCATACGTGGGTTGTACACCTTCAGCTTGGAGTACCCCGAATCCACGACATACATGATCCCGTCGACGGTCAGACTCGTTTCGGCAATATTTGTGGCTACAATCACTTTGCGCACACCAGGAGCAGCCTTCTCAAAGATTTTGGCTTGTTGCTCCGCTGGCATCTGACTGTATATTGGCAATATACTCAGTTTTGGGGGGTCATTCAGTAACTTCAACCGTTCGGCGACTAGCTCGCAGGTCGCTTCGATATCCTCCTGCCCTGTCATGAAGACAAGGATATCACCAGGACCCTGGGAGACATGAATGGCCAAGACCTGCTTGACCGCGCTGTCGACATAATCTTCACAAGGCGTGCGTGAATAGTGAAGATCGACTGGGAATGTTCGGCCAGGAATGATGAATTCGGGGGCACCACCGTAGAAGCGCGAGAAGCGCTCTGCATTCATGGTCGCGGAGGTCACAATCAACTTGAGGTCTCTGCGCCGAGCGAGAACTTTCTTGAGGAGACCCATAAGGACGTCGGTGTTCAGTGCTCGTTCGTGCGCCTCGTCCATAATGATACACGAGTATTTATCAAGATCTGATTGAACTAGGGACTCTCGCAGGAGAACACCGTCCGTCATATCTAAGAGAATGGAGGTTAGCGACTCCATATTTCCAAGAGCGGAAGAAGGAATACTCACATTTGATGACCGTATCATCACTGGTACAATCCTCAAAGCGAATGGCATATCCTACGAGTCCGCCGAGGTCCACCTCCATTTCTTCGCTGACACGTTTGGCCACACTCATGGCAGCCACGCGACGAGGCTGCGTGCATCCAATCATGCCGTTCTTTGAGTAGCCATCTTCGTGGAGAAACTGCGTCAATTGAGTTGTTTTCCCTGATCCTGTCTCGCCAACCACGATGACAACCTGGTTGTCTCGAATGACGCGCAAGAGATCCTCGCGTACTGCAAAAGCTGGAAGAAACTCTCTCTGTTCGCGCATGGTTTTGCTCTTGCTGAACGAGCTAGCACCCCCCTTGTCTTTCTTCAAGTGTTGTGCAAACTTATTCCCACCCTTGTAGGTCTCCTCCACGGGCAGAGCAACTGCGCTATCGCCTTCATCTTCCTTTACCCCCATCAAGTTTCCCAAGGCCGTGCCCGCCATGTTTGTCGCTTCCTGCGCCTGCTTCTGTCGTTCCCTTTGCTGCCGACGTTCCCGCACAACCTTGCTTCCTTTTCGGCTGAAGACTGCCATATCACTCTGCGGGTCCCGGATGGCAGAGATCGGCTCCAGCTGCTGGGTGAAGATCGTACGGCCATCGAGAAAAGGCGGCCGGAGGTCGTGGACCAGTAGATGGACACGGGTTGCCTCTTCATCTTCGTGCATGAAATCGCCATCATGATCCCGTCTCTGCGCAACACCTGACGTGAGCATTCGATTGGTTTCCCAGGTGTCGATATCCTTGCGTTTGGCGTCGCGTAGCTGTGGAGGGAGTGTCGAGCCACTCTTCAGCCTTTTGGCTGGAGGGCCCATGTCGTCGCGGGCCATGATATTGTTTGAGCCTGGGCGACAGGCCAACTGAGTCCTAAGTGAGCGGTATCACCAAGCTGCTCGTTGGAAGGCTGGGGCGAATCTGGAGGGAATTCCCTATCGCAGACAAACAGTGCAAATATCATTATCGCTCACGTGACCCAACCACGGTGTGGAATGGCGCGCGAGTTCGGGGCGGGTTTTGGGGACATTTGCAGAGTTTCTGTTTCTGAAATATTGTGGTTCTTTTGATTAAGGGTTTTCTCGCATCTATTTCAACCCGTTTCGTTGGAAGTGGTGGATGACATAGTCTTTGTGGCCGAGAAGCCTCGAAACAAATCGCACCCGCCCCGCACCCCCCAACTCTCCAGCTTCCTTCCGTCGCATTACTTCCTCAAACGCCGTCATGTCGAGCCAGCAGCAGATTGATCCGAAAAAGCAACAGGGTTCGTCTTTTATAAGGATCCCTCCACACCTAATACGATTTCAACGCCGCTAACATACCCCCCACTTCAGAGCTTCAACTCCAGTATAGCAACTTCAAAAACACCCTCCAGCAACTAGCGCAAAAGATTGGAGACATTGAACAGGAAGCAGAGGAGCACAAGTAAGCTTTGGATTGATATTTCCCGGGGGTTCACTTCTAGTGATGACCCGGCGAGCGCAATTGACGGGATCTTTTGAGAGCTCCGATACCAACTAACGTGCGCCTACCTGTATAGACTTGTCATCGATACACTGGACCCCCTCCCGCAAGAACGAAAGTGCTTTCGCATGGTGAACGGGGTCTTGGTTGAACGCACCATCGAAGACGTTCTGCCTACGCTCAAGACCAACTCGGACGGACTGAAGCAAGTGCTGGAGGATATGTTGAAGCAGTACAAGACAAAGCAGGCAGACCTGGACAGTTGGAAGGTGGGCAACCCTCTTCCTCATACCAATGCCTCCAAAACATTTCGACCAGAGCAGCTGGCATTTATACGACTGGTTTGTGGTGCTAACCTGGAAATTCGCCTCTACAGAAGAAAAACAACATTCAAGTCGTGCAGCCTTGAGCTAGATGGCGACTGTATATTTCTTTTTTAAACTATCCGGTCTCAGGAGAAGAAGAAAAAAAAACCTACTGGCGTTCAGGGTAGCAGCAAAAGATTAGACATAATGCAGCGTTCTGTCGATGTTGGAAGAACTTTGCCTATTCAAGTTCATCTGGGGGCATAGGGCATAGATCCATCTGTACTGTGTCCTCGGGCTCTCAGCAGCTGCCGTCTATACTCGAATTCGAGGTTTCTAGAACAAAACACCACACAGTCCTTGAGTGCCCGAATGCAACATTGGATATAGTGATGCAAGCCGCGATGCCTGATTCCAGCAAGCATCCACACTATTGGGCCTCGATGGATTAGATCAGACTACTATTTAGGTATTAATATAAAGCGCAATCTAAAGCTAATCTATATCAGTATCTCTGTCCATTTGAACATTCAGACGATGACGATGACTGATCTCTATCGCTGTGTATCGACAATACAGTGTATTACCATAAGTGCAGATGAATTGGATATGGAATATGTAACGTTTTGTAAATAATGCCTGAGGCCATCTCGGGTGCGATCACCGATTGCGGTGCTCGTCTCTCCCCTCACTCTTCTTGCTGTCTTCATCCGCGTGCCATTTAGTATCGCGAAACCTGTTTCTTGATCATCTAAATCTAAGAGCAGTTGTTGTGGCCATCATCTGGATTTCAGACATCTACTTGGGTAGGCGACCAACCGAAGTGACTCGATCTGCCAGGGAGTTCTGGTTCGCCAATTGACCTCAGCCCGTGTGGATGAACGGGGCTCTCTCTCTTCCAGTCACATACTGTGATCTCCCATTGCCCTGATCTCTCAGATTCAGGCGAATCGGAAGCCTCAAAGATCCATCCTGGATATTCCCCCAGAGGTAGGGCTTCCCCCTCCAGTGGTCTTGCGCAGCCGACTGTCCGACAGTTGGGCTTCCCCCGATCTGACCCACCCTTGCTGCTTCCGCGTTGCATCCCGCGTCACCATCACACCCCCCATCAAGCTTCACTTTGCTATTTGTTCCCCCAACTCGTGAGGCGTCCAGAATTGGCTTTCTTCCTGAATCTAATACTGCGGCGCGATCGCTTTTCCTACTTCAAACTTGACAATCACTCGGAAATCCATACCTTTTTCGGAACATCAGACTAATCGGTTGTGATTGCGCGCTTTCGCGAGTACAGAGCTACTGCGCGATATTGCCAAAGCCACCCCCACTCAGCTGATACTCTCCCCATCGAGGCTACTGTGAAGCGGTTCGTATCCAGCCAATCCAACCCTGTCCCCTTTTTGATGCAGACAATTCTGACTTGTCTGTAACAGAGTCGATCGCGCGCCAGCATTCAGATCTGACGTGTCTGCCAACAGAGCACGCGAACAGACGTCTTGCCGCCCAAAACCCGTTTCTACTATATCCAAACCACTCATAATCATGTCGTCGACCTCTCCCTCTAAGGAGCCGGAAGTTGAGCCCGAGGTGCAATCGGGTGAAGACCCAGAACAAATGGAACGCGAGCACGACCAACTCCATGGCCAGGGCGAGTTCGAGGTGAAGGAGCAAGATCGGTGGCTTCCGATTGCCAATGGTTAGTTGCGTCTCTCTCTGAAGCATCCTGTGGTTCTAATTTGTGCGTCCCTGGCTTTTTGTGTCTTATTGTCTCCCCGCTTTGTCCTTCCAGAAGCTTGTTTGCCCACCATCCTCGAGACATGCGTTGATCTTTCGTTTGTTTCTTTGAGAAAATGCGCCTGCGCGATGACTCGGGAAATATTCACCCCAACATTCGTTTCGTCCCATCCACGATGGCATTTCTCCGCATTCAATTTCGAAAGATGCTAATCCATCCCCTTCTCTGCAGTGGCCCGCATTATGAAGCTCGCTTTGCCCGACAACGCGAAGATCGCAAAAGAAGCCAAGGAATGCATGCAAGAATGTGTGAGCGAGTTTATCTCGTTCATCACGAGTGAAGGTGGGCTTTTTGCCTTGACTCTATTCGGTCAATGTTCCATGCTGACAAGTTTCCAGCCTCGGAAAAATGCCAGCAAGAAAAGCGCAAGACAGTCAATGGCGAGGATATCTTGTTCGCGATGACCTCGCTTGGTTTTGAAAATTACGCTGAGGCTCTCAAGATCTACCTTTCCAAGTATCGTGAGGTAAGACTGATACTCCCCCGAGACACCGGCACTCTTGGACCTAATATACTGGTTTCCTATAGACTCAATCTGCACGAGGCGAGAACCAGGGTCGACCCCCGAGCAGCGGCTATGGTGCCGGACCCGTGGGTGGTCCGAGTGGTGCCCCTCGCCCTACAGGGTTCCCGGATGCTGAGAGTGCGAACAGCATCTTGAACCCCAGCCTCGATCCGTCGGAGCAAGAAGCCGCTGCCTACGGCTATCCTTCCATGGTCCCACAACCTCACAACGGAGCGGGTGGTGACACGTACTAGTGATCCTTCATGATCAGTTGGCATCAGTCGAGGAAACACTAGAGTCAAATTTGGTTTCTGGAAGGTGTTCGTGAGATGGCCGTTCCCATGTGGATTTCAGAAAGATGGCGTGGGGGCATGCAGGCGTCCTGGTTCTCTTTTTTTTTCAGTCTATCTGTGCCCCGTCCTGATGTTGCGGGCGCTCGACGCGATGGTGGCCCTTTTTGTGAATTGAATGGGGTCTATATACTCGAAAAGCAACATGTCCTCGACAGCGGGTACTCCGAGTTGAGTGCTATTCTCGGCAAGTGTGTCCTTGTATAGGGCTAGTTTGGCCGCCACATTGATTTGTTTCGCGGCGTTCATGTGGGTTCTCCAGGTGGAATGATTGATCTGGCAATATCTGTACCTATCCATGACAATTCGACGTCTTTGCAGACCGGGGAAGGTGGATCCTGTGGAGGGCTTGTATACTTCCCGATAAGGCGTTATCAAGGCCGGGTGGCCTCGCACGCCACCTATCTCGATTTCCCAAGTATACCCAAAGCACCAGGCCAAGTAGACAAACCAGGACCCGTCTTCCCCGACTTTTCCCCTATATGATCATCCGTGATTCACGCCAGGTATCCACTTGTAGACCCACGATATGGCCCAACTTGAAGTTTTGTCGGGGCTTTTACATAATCGCGTTTTCGCCTTCTCCGCACGTGAGACTCCACCAGACCCGATCCCGCAGCCCTCATCTTCCCGACTTTTTCGAATCTCTGGGTGAATTGCTAGTACCCTCGGCAATCGTTTGACCTCGCAGGATGCCTTGAGAAACTGCGTGGTTCAAATGCAGACTCACGATCTGCACTTGTAGGATGATGTCGATGGTTCTCCCGCCATGTCCTCCACCTATGATAACCCTTCCTCGCCGCTCCCCGACGGGGTGAGCAAGCGCAAGCAGGGTAGGAGCATTCTCTCTTTTGATGTGTTTGTTTTGTTTCGTTTTCCCTATCAATCATTCTACGAACTGATTCAACCGGTCTCCCTCGATTGATGAGATTTTTCTTGTTGTGTTCTTTTTTTTAGGGCTACCGATACCAATCGCAGGTTTGGCTGACCGGTGACCCGAAATTTCTTAGGTTCCGCGGCCTGCGTTCATTGTCACCGGCGCAAGGTTCGCTGTGACGCTCGAACAGTCGGAATCCCTTGCACCAACTGTCGCACTTCTGGAAAGACCGACTGCCGCATCCACGAAAAGAAAAAACGGCTTGCAGTGCGTTCGATTCTCGATCCCGTTCCGATCCGATCTCGGCCTCTGCCAACCTCTGATCATACTCCCAACCCTCCCACGCCCGCAGGCACGGCGCTACCTCCGAGCTTTCCAACGCCGTTCCAGAACAGCCATGCATCAACGCCCACTGCAAATGGCCTTCCGCAAAATCGGTTCCTGTCTAACGCGGGGCCCGAGACATTCCCCCGCCAAGGCCCCGACATGTCGCATGCCCGCGAGGCACACACGGATATGGAGCAGCAGCTCGTGAAAATTATTGATGAAGAGGAGTCTGGTCGAAGAGAGATTCAAAGAGGCGTGCGCGCCTTTTACGTCGGTCATGAACTTTCCAATATGTCTTTCTTGATCCGCCAACAGCGGGACCAGGACGACGATGTGTACCATTTCGCGAGCAATGAAATCCCGCGCCGGCAAATGAAAACAGGTCATGATCAGCTCCTGACGGATGCTCTCACGCTCCCAGAACCGGCCCTGGCGGACCAGCTAGTCCAAGCCTACTTCGCCTACGTCAATACCGGCTATCCCATCGTAGATGAAGACTTGTTCATGACGCAGTATCGGAACCGAGATCCTGCGGATCCCCCACCGGTTCTCCTTCTCCAAGCCATATTGTTGGTCGGAGCTCATGTTTCCCGCCCGAAAGCAGAGCGTGATGCCTTGAAGGAAATCTTCTTTCGCCGCACCAAGTACCTGTTCGACAATCGCATTGAGCGAAATCGGGATATTCTGGTTCAGGTAGCATTGCTATTGACCTGGCATTCTGATAGCGCTGACGACGATGTCGCTGCGGATGCTCACTTTTGGGTTGGTGTCGCCGCGCGGATTGCCATGGGGCTTGGAATGCATCGCGACCCCGTCTCAAGCCGCTTCGTGACCCGTGACCGACGGATGTGGAGACGAGTCTGGTTCATTTTAGTGCAGTTTGATGTGCTAGTGTCGTTGTCGTATGGCCGACCTCAGGCTATGTGAGTTTCGATGGAACCCCGCCAGATGTTTGTAAATGCTAATCAAGTTTACTTCAGCAACCTTGACGACTCCGATGTGTCTCCGCTGACACCGGCGGACTTTGAAAACTGCGGACCCCGAGTGCAAACCGAGTATGTCATTCATTTTACAGAACTCTGCACGATGATCTCATATGTCATTCGTGATCGGTTCGGGCTTCGGACCACCGAAGAACGCCGGAAAGCGGTTCTCCATGAAGCAGATGGCTCCCTGGCCAATTGGTCGCTAAAGCTTCCGGACAACCTGCGTCTTCGAGCGTCAGACATGGATCCATGGTCCGCTACGCTCCACTTGACCTACAACAACTTCCTCATCTTGTTGCATCGGCCGCATCCAAGAGCCTCGGCGTATTCGGACGATTATGGTCCCCACGACGCGGAGATTTGTAGCGCTGCTGCAGGAGTGATCGCCTCGATCTTCGAAGAGCTCCGACTGAATGATCGTCTGAAGTTCCTCTGGTACACGGGAGTGCACACCCTATTTACGGCCATGATCCAAGTACGAGTGGAGCTGCGATTCTCCAATCCTGTTCTGGCGATCAATGCCCTGCGACGCTTCGATTCGGCTTCTTATTCGCTGCGCGAGCTGGCTGAATATTGGGTTCATGCAGGGACGATCCTGCGGCTCTTTGAGGACTCCAAGCGACTGCAAGAAGACCTCCGCATGGCGACCAGCGAACGGCCCAAGCCTTACGGTGGTCAGCCTTCCGGCAAAATACCCGTCACGTCTCCAGACGCCATGCAGACTGCCCCCACACCTCAACCACTATCCTTTGGGGTGCCCACTCCTGAATCCACTCCGATGCAGCAGACCACTCTATCGCCACAGCCCAACACACAGTTCGACAACTGGATCACCGCCCCTCTCCGACTCAATGTCGGCCCCTTGGAGCGAAACGACCCTTATTCGAGCAGCATGCAGGTGGACCAAATGGAGCCAGCGCGCGACCAACTAGATTGGCGGCAACTCTTTTCATTCACAGATTCAGATCTGCCTGTGCCCATGGGTGTCGAGGGTCTTCCAGAGCTAGAGGACGAGTGGCGACAGATCTACTGGCAGGATCTGCCCATGTCAGATCTCATTCCGGACGGGGGCTGGATCCACGGCTAATTTGCCTTTTTTTTTAAATTATTATTTCTTATGGATGCATTCTTGATATCGCCCCTTTGGGTGGCATTTGGATGATATGCCCTTCATTTCCATACGACCTCTTCAAGCCGCAAAACCTTTGGCTGAAACCCCTTCCTCTACTTTTACCACGACTTGAGACTTGATGATGAGATGAGATGAGCTACGTCAAGGCCACGGACGCACACGATATAAACAGGAGGATTGTTCAGATGAGAGAATCCTACAAGGGGGGAAGGGGTTCCTATAAACGGGCTTGAGCCCACGATACCACATATCAACGATCCTCTACATCCCCTATATATACTTAGCCATACACTTGTTATATAATTGCACGTTCTGAACATTTAACAAGGAAGAAAAGTGTTCCTCTTTTTTCCTTTAATCATTGAATTTATGTGTTTTCATGTACTTTGTATGCAAATCGTACATCTAGGCATCCATTGGCCTGTGAAACTCTACCGCGCTATGCAACAGAACCATAACACCATCCCATGAAATTCTGAAAGAAAAGAAATGCAAAAGAAAGAGCAACAGAAAGACCCACTCAGCCAGCAACAAATCTCTTCCAGTTCTCTGCCAGCTGCTGCATACCCTGCCGCAGCCCCCAGCCACGCAGCTCGCAGATCTGGCGTGCCGCCTGCTCCAGCAGCTCGTCCATCTCCGGCCCCGCTGTGTGGAGGTCGCTTTCGACGAGCACCCGGTCAGCAGGCAGTGCCTTGATCACATCACCCACTTTTCCCACACGCGCCCCACCGAAGTTGATGACCGTCGAAAAGGAGAAGTAGATGTCAGAGGGGTTCGACCGGTTCAGGAATGGGCGCACCGGCTCGATGGTGCCGGAGTAGGAGTGCAGGCAGATACGTGGTGGGAAAGGCAGGGATGGGGGAGAGGGCGAAGCTGCGTGGACTGAGGTGGCTGAGGTATGGTTGATACCGCCGGGTGTGGTGGTGGTAGTATGTTGTTTACCATTGTTATCCTTTTGATCTTCCTCCTCGGAGTCGTCGAAGACCACACCCTCTGCATCCTGCAGCTTCTCTCTCGCCCGCTTTGAGAGCACGACTCGCTCATGACCTGCCCACAGCTCCTTTAGGACATCCAGGACAACTCCATGTGTCTTCACACTGTGTAGTGATACAGCCCGAGCCATTTCGCCTGCCAGCCGCAGCTGTGCCTTGAGTACCACCCGCTGATGGTCCAGCTTGACGCAGTACGGCGAAAGGCGACGGCCCTCCCGCGACCCGGGGGTAATTTGGGTGTCTCGTGTATTGAGCTCCTGTAGCGTCCACGCGCTGGGCAGTCTGAACGAACGATCCAGCCCCACCTCGCCAACCAACGCACGGGGGAACAATTGTAGGCGGGCGCGGGTATCAGCGATAAGTGTGGACAGCGGAATCGGCGTGGGCAATGCATCCACAAAGGTCGGGTCGTCGACCGACGAGGGTGTAAGTACAGAGGCGTAGTGGTTGATTTTCTGTTGGGTAGCATCATGATCATTCTTCCCGTGCTCGGGCTCGTTTGTGTCGTCCCGGATCTGGTGCGAGAACCACGGATGCCAGCCGAAACATGGCAGTATGCGCTCTGGGTGGGACTGCGCTGCCTGCTGGACCAGGGATTGGTCTTGCCCGCGCGTGGCCATCACTGTCAGCGTGGCTGCCTTCATGTCTGGGATGCTGGCGATGGAAGGCATGGTGTCGGTGGGGTGGCAGTGGGCATCATGGACACCAATGTCCCAGGGGAAAGATTCCTCGGACATGGTGGGACGAAGGGTATGTAGACTTGCAAAGAAGAAACGAAAAGAGAGCTTGACAGCAAGCTCAGAAGCTAGTGCATTCTTGGCGCATCTCTTAAGGGCATCTAGGCGGTAGGTATTCTTGCCATGACGTAGTTTTGCCGACCCACCTTTCTTTGATCTATATAAATGTCAACGATGTTTTTCAGATCTCAGGCTTAATAGTGTGAAATCGTATCTGTGTTTATTCACCTAGGTTAATTATTCACCTTAGGGTGTTCTTCTTTTCTAATTCTTATTTTTATCTCATTAAGTTACTAGGTCAATAGAAGAAAGGATCTAATAAAAAAAAAGCTAAGAGGAGCCGAACCATGGACCTAGGCGGCTTCATGGTACCGGGAATCCCCCGCACACCTCTGCTCCTGCAGTGGCAGGAACCTCAAGACCGCAGCCTCATAGAGGATAGTATACGTGTCTCTTTCCTACTAGGCCACCTGGCCCTGGTTGGCGATTGGGCAAACTATCCCAAAAACATAAGGGAGCAAACAGTTTCCTAATCAAGAAAGAAGCCTCATCTCACAGACAACCCATAGTTTGCCTAGATATTAAGGCCTCCTTAATCCTTCCTACATGTCATAATAGCCCTGGAGGTATTAAGAGAAGCTGCTATAATATTTGCTTTATTCTATCTCCCTACCAAGCGGACGTGGTTATCCATATATGATATTAAAGCCTTAAAGATTAGGCACCCAAACTTCTTATGATATTCCAAGAGGATGAAGAATTCTTGTTACTTGAAAAATGTGCATCGTGAACTTCAGGAGATTCATAGTCTTGTGTGTTGACGTATTACCAAAACAGCCGTAGTATACCCACCACAAGAAGACTGGAGGTGGAACCAGGTGGGGGTGAGGTAATTCCGGGGGGGCTTCACATGCATCAACAGCTAACTCCCACGAGGCAAGCTTGTTTCTCCTGCTCGCCATGGATTTTGATCCAAGCCATGCAGTTCATGCAGCTATCCACGCTGCTTGTGCTGCCAGTCCTGGGCCTAGTAGCCATTCCACTCTTTCTCTCAGCATGGGTCACCGTTTCCTTCGCGCTGCTGACGCTGTTCATCCGGCTGACAATCGTCTACCTGGAGCTCGGATACGGCCTTGTCACTAGCTATTTTGTCATCCCAACTTCATCGACATCCTCCCTGTTGACCTTCGCTCTCTCTGAACCACCGACCCCCGCTGGTCCATCCAGACGGAACTCTGGCTCGAGCCGAACCCAGTCACGCAAGACCCATGAGGGCAACGATGTGGCGCTCGCTCTCCGAGGCCTGAGCGACACCCCAGATGACCACCTTAGTGGGAGAAGAGCCTCCTATGCCCGCAGTATGGCCGCCGCCCACGATCTGCCGGCTACCGCGCCTCTAGGCTTGGTCAGTGGCGACGCGCGGCGGGATTTCGAAGGCGTGGGCGGCTGGCGCTCATACTCAAGCTCCTCACGAGCCTTCAAGCACCGCGGGGGTCTAGTTTCTCACGAGAAGCCCTCAAGCTCTGTGTCATCCTCGTCGGCACACAGCGCCAGCGCGGACTTCGGTCCCAACGCGAATGCCGATGCCGATGAACGCGCCTGGCTTTCTTTAAACCAGCGTCTTGAGCTGCCATCCCATCTGGTCACCCTGGGAAGTCCGGATTCCATCCCCGCATCCGCTGTGAACAGCCCGAGCTACGCCGATGCCGACTCTGGAAATAGCTACCCAGCTCTAATGCCGCCGACCACCAGTGCTGCTTCCGGACACGCCTCCTCTCATCTGCAGCCCGGAGCGCCCCGCCACCACCATCCCTCCCGCACGACCTCCTCGCTGCCGGTGATCGGCCGGCGGTCCGGAGGCGGAGGACTTTCGCTCGCGCTATCGACCCGACCCGATGTTAGAGATTATCCCTATACCCACGCCGTGTCCCCATCCATGGCGCGGCTTGTCGCCCCGTTCATGACACCCCAGCCCTACCCATCTTCCCGGGTCTATTCACACGCCGGGTCATTCTCACGGGCCTTGTCGGGACCCAGTGGCCCCCACACAACCACCTATCTCCCTGGCTCTGTGGATGGGGTTGTGACGGGATTGGGTGAGAATAGCAGCAGTTCTGGCGGAGGCTACTTCGCCCTTGGGTGGCCTGGAACCTATAGCAACTATTCGCTATCGGGCATGGCCAGTCCAAGTCGCAGTGGGTACACGACTCCAGGGATCGGTGTCTCAACTGAGGATCGCGATGCAACGCTGCATCTGAGCCGGTCGATGGCACATTATCCCGTGGGCGTTCGGCATCGCAGAAGTAGCATCTCGGGACCACATGCGCGAAGGATGTCTGCTGGCGAATGAAATGGCATGGTGACTGCATATCTTTGGTTATTTATTGTCTTTTCTTTTCTCTTCTTTGCACATGCCATTTCTTGTTTATAGTCAACAAGCATATAGTCACAACAATTGCACGCTTTACGTTCATTCTAGCCTGATTGAATTGTTCAATTCCTATTTTTCTATCTGGAAATATGAATCCCGTATTCCAAATTTTTTTTTTTTTTTTTTTTTTTTTTTCACTTTACTTTCCTCCCTACCATATCAAGCTGTCCAGAAATAAAAGCAGGGATCGTACAAGCCACAAAGTATACCAATATGACTGATCCATGTCTATGTCTAGAGGTATGTACCATAGTGAATATATCCAACAGAGCAGAGAGCCGCACACAGGGAAAGAAGAAAACAAGAAAAGAAAAAAAAAAGGTATCCGGCACACAATATCCAAAAAGAAAACCGACGCTCCAAGCTAAAAGAGAGATATTCATGGCCCATGATCCATCCCACCGAGGACATGGAGTCTTTTCGTCACAAGTCAAGGTCAAGGCTGGCGGCCCCTCTCCCGCCGATCCACCTCCTCCATCTCAGCCAGGACGACACGGTTGAACTCTTCCCATCCGTCCAGGTAGAGATGGTGGCCAGCCCGCTTGACGACTACGACCTTGGCAGATCCCTCATCATTACGCCGCTCTTGCGGCGTTGCCTTTGTAGAGCACGCTGTTTTTCTTCTTCGAGGCGGGCTGCTGCGGCGTGACCGCCTTCAACATCCATCCAGTCGTGGTCACCGTACATAAAAACCACGGGGAGACCCTTTTCGCGTTGAGCCGGAGCTTCCGTCTCGGGTGTTTGAGCAGCGCCAGGGGCTTCTGATAGTGTGGATGCAGGAGGCTTGGGGGGAGCAACGGATGAAGTGGCGGCAGTAACCGGATGAGGCAAGTTTGAGAGAGAATTAGACTGCACCATTTGCCGCCCAACACCGTGTATGCGGTGGATGAGAGGACTGCGAGCGAATGCGCCGGGTGCGAGGATATACGCCAGGGCATATTCGCCGCTGCCGCGGAGGCTGAATATCGAATATGAATAATCGTGGAGAGATTTGGCCTCTTCGGCTGGGAGGTGCGAAAAGCGGCGTGAGGTCCACCCCGATACCAAACGAGGCCCAAACGGACCAGTCCAACGCACCAGACTGAAGGGGGAGATATTGCAATCCCACAGATAAGCAAACCACTTGGGCAGATTTCGTCGCGGCGGCTGAATTGCGTGCTCGACGTTCGGTGCGGGATTTCGCCCCGTAATGAAGCTACCGTCAGAAGTCTTGGGCGCCGTACCCGGAACAGCCGCCGAAGCGGTGATTTCACGCTCATCCTGGGTGAACTCGTTGGCCATGGTTGAGTCGGAAGGCTCGGGCACATCCGCGGTGACGGCGTATGGGTCCTCCGGAATACCCACAGGAGACGCCAGGATGAGTTTGTTCAGATGCCCGGGGTATTTAAGCGCGTAGGCGACTGCCATATACCCACCGAGACTGTGGCCGAGCAAGGTGAACCGATCAATCTTGCGCTTGGCACGCCATTCTTCCAGCGCGTCCACAAACCAAGCCTCGGCCTCTCGGATGGCGGCTTCTCGCTCCTTTGCCTGTATTTTAAATGGTGGCCGAGTGCTCCGGCCCATGCCGAGCATGTCAACTGCATGCAATTGCCAGCCCTTCAATCGACTTAGTGGCTCGAAGTTCTTGTAAAAGAAGCCGAGCCCTGCACCGTAGCCATGCAACATGACCAGATGTTGGTCCGCATCCTCACCGACTCTCTCCACCGAGAACTCATTGAGTGCGCGATCTTTGCCACTGAGCTCTACCATACTCGACCGCCATCGTCGCGGACCATATGGATCCCCGAGAGAGTTAGTAGTAATCTCTCCTTGCTGGTTTGGATCTGTGGCCTGAAGGCTGCGGGGGGTGGCTCCGTCGGGATAGTCTGCCGTGTTTCCGGTTTGAAGGTGGGTAGGAGGCTGGTGATGCAAATACGGAAGATGGGAAAGAACCTTATGTTCGGCAGCGGCAGCAGGGAGACGAGCCCACTAGAAGAGAAAAACGCGACACGTCAGCGACAACGAAACCAGAGGTTATCAGTCTGCCCGGCGTAGAAACGAACCCATTGACTGAAGCCTTCTCGGTACCCCAACGGGAAGAATGACCGCGCGGCTGCTGCCCCGGCGGCAGCGCGAGCAGCATACGGCGTGCCTTCTACCGTCTGTGCATTGGGCCGGTGTTGGTGGTGTTCGCGGACGTCCTCTTGGGACGAATTGAAGGATTCTGAGGTCATGGAGGATGACGGGCGGATCCCAAAGTGAGTGGCGAGGGGTGTGCGAGCGGGATAGACCCAGAGTCGAGGATTTGCAGAGGATAGTATGTGGCACGTAGAATACCTTGGTGACAGAGAAGCAGAGTGACAAACTGTTTCCGCCACAAGAAGAAGGGCGGTGCTCATGGGGGTATAAGAGGAACCGGAGACGGATCAGCCACGCCGCTTAACCCCGACAGGCAACCAGACGTGCACAAACCCCGAATGAACACCCGAACAATAGAAGACGGGAGATCCCTGAAGAAAAAAAAGAAAGAAAGAATCAAGACTCAGGACACGGAAATGCCAGACCCCAAGGGCAGCGGAGAGAGAAGTGGGAAAGATGATGTCGCGGATCGGCCGTTTCTTGATCTTCCGCTTTTCTCCTCCGTTCTCCCATCACTTCCTCCCCCCATGCTTCTCTCATGAGAGCTGCGCCAGGCCGCCACGGCCGAGTTTGATTAACTGTGTTTCTCTTGCTTCATTCTGTATGATTCTTAGACCATGGCAACTCCCTTGGATCAGCTCGTCAAGGGCGCGGTCCCCGATGCTCGCGCGTCTGCACCAGACCCGGTTGCTTCACAGCAAGCTCCTTCGGACTCTTCGTCCCCGCCACGATCATCGACTCCTGATCCGCTAGCTACATTACCCTCATCGCCACCGCAGATTTACCTGAACTTGCTGATTCTCGAAACCTCGCTGCGAGCCCAGTATCTGGCCTTGCGCGAGCGTCGCCGACAAAACACTTTCTTCCTACTTCTCTTGATGACCTGGATCGCCTATTTCGCATACGCTCTATTTCTCCGCCCACGAGAAGATGGTCGTGGGGTGGGCGGCTCGGTGTACTGGGTGGTTGAGATGGGCGAGAAAGTCGCGCTACTTGGCGGGGTGGTGACTGCGCTCCTGGTCTGGGGAACTGGGCAATGGGAGCGCGGAATTCGCTGGCCACGGCGCTGGCTCGCCGTCGCCAATCGTGGCCTGCGCAACATGAATACAAAAATCATTGTGATTCGCGGCCCTTGGTGGCAGGAGCTGCTATCCTATGTCTCGTTCCTATTCCCATTCTCCGTCCCGTTCTTCCCATCGCCCAGCGGCAATTTCCACTGGGTCGAGCGAAATCCCTCAGAGCGACGTGCCGGTGGTCGGCAGCACTACCAACAGTACTACAGTGGTGGCGACAGCGAGTCCGGTATGGTAGAAGAAGATCTGAGCCCCGGAGGGGACTACATCCGTCTGCTTCTGCTGCCCAAGTCCTTCTCCCCAGAATTCCGCGAGAACTGGGACGACTACCGCACGGATTTTTGGGAGAAGGAGAACGAGCGTCGCGCTCAGTTGCGACACAAACTGCGCGAGCGCGAGCGCCAGCTTGCCCAGACCGAGGGAGGCTGGCTCGGACGTCTCGGTCTGGGATGGTGCGCTTCCCACCGCCGCCGTCTTGTTGCTGCCACCATCTACCGGCCCCTCGAACCAGAGACCAAATACCGCCCATATCCACACCACCATCACCAACCATCTACCTCGTCGAAACTCAGTCAAGAGACTCGCGCACCCTCCGCGCGCCGCAGTACTCGCTCCGAGTCTCATTCTCGGACCTCGTCCCGCAGCTCGACCCCGGTCGATGCAGGCCACGATGACCGGCCTCCTTCCCGCTCCTCCGCGTCTGGCCGGCCGCGCCGCGGCAGCAACACTCCGTCACTCCCTGGCACCGATTCGAGTCCTCAACAGCGAAAGCGAAAGGGCTCTAAATCGCTCCGCCGCGGCCTGTCGCCTCTCACGCAGGCACAGGTCCGTGAGGGTGTGCGAACCCCGTCTTTTTCCTCCGACGAATCTGGAATGCTTCCGTTGGATGAAGATAAGGAGGAGGCTATACCAACATCTGTACCGGAACAGAATTCTGCAGCATAGCACGAAATGTCTGTCATGGCGTCCATGTCTCTATCTATACCCGTTTTGTTCTGCGTTCTGTGCCTGGACTGTTTTGAAACGTAGTTAGAGGAAGAGGTTATTTTGGTTTTGCAAATTTATCTTTCCTCATTCCTGCTATACATAACCATCAAACGATGCTATCACGGAATGTGCCATGATCGTGTCCTCGCATTTGTATGCCGTAGAAACTAGATGCAGAAACGGTGGTCCATTTACATTGTTCTGCAACTCAGCCATGGATGGAGTAATCATATATTCAGGACTTAAAAAAATTCACATGTCCCGGACGATCCGACTCCATACTCCCAACACAAAATGACAACAACTTCCCAATGCAATTGTTTGCAAAACGTGCTCGTAAACCTGGACAATTGACGCCCAGCAACATAAGACAGACCGTATTAGATCCGGTACACATTGTCATCGTCCTCCAGGAACCTATCACAGAAAGAAAACGAGTCAGTGAATGGCTCACACTTAGAGCAATGGGTGGTAGAGATTACTCACATCAGCAGGTTCTCCTCGTTCATCAGCCGCAGGGCCTGGATGGCTTCGGGGAGCGCGAACACATGTGCAGCGCCGAGTGTTGGTGCGGCACGAACAGCCGTGTTCACAGCCTCGATCAAGTCGTTGACGTTGGTCATGTCACCATCGGTAAACACGCGGGTGCCCATCAGGGGACCCAGTGTCTGGCGGAAGACGGCCATGCGCTCCGGAGTGATTGGGTGGTCCGATGCAGCAGTGGATTGCGAGTTTTCAGTCTGGGACTGGACAAGCTGCGAGGCGGGCTGCGAGGATGCCACAGATATCTGTGATTCGGTCTGCGTCTGGGTGCGCGTCTGTGAGGAGCGCATGCGCTGGCCGCGCGGGCTGAGGGTATACAGACTGTTAGGGTCCTCGGAGCCGTCGTCGGGGACCTGAGCGCTCGATCGCGTGGCCGCAGGGCCGCGAGTCCGCGTTGACGTGGCCGTCGTCGAACCTCGGAAGGGCGTGTCGTCATCATCGTCATCGTCAAGGTCGGGCTCGCTCTCGTCGTCTGAGTCTTCGTCGAAGGCAGTCACCTTGCGCCTCTTGCGGCGCTCGTCCTCGAGGACTTCCTTGAACATGGCAAAGCGCAGGATGGCCTCGGCACTTTTGGCGTCCTTTTCATCGACGCGGTTGGACAGGCGTGATTTGGCATGGGCGGTAGACAATCGAATGAGTGTCTCGAGAGTACGCGGGGTGATGGGTGAAGTGCGGCGCTGGTTACGGGAGAGCTCGTCGTTGCGCAGAGCGGAATAGGTGGCAATAATGTGGTCGGCAGCACCCTTCGTGAGGATCGGCTTGACACGCGACTTGGCATATTGTATGTACTTCTTGATGAACGGGATACTGATGATTTCCACGTTCTTCCCGCGGTTGCGGCCCGTGTTGACCATGCCGCCGTGAAGCATAACATTGAATTTCTCGAACACTTCCGTCGGCGCATTGGCATCTTTGCGCTCTTCGATCCCTACACCTAGGGTCTGGTTCAATTGCTCTCGGACCGGTGCACCCTCCTCGGTGCCGGGTTGGCGGTACCGGTGCATGCGCAAGACGTGCTCCGACACAGTCCGATCCTTGGAGTCTTCAATGTCATCTGTGACGACGAAAAGCAAATCGAAACGTGACAGAAGAGAGTCAGGAAGTGCGATATTTTTGTGCGGGTCCTTGTGCGGATCGTACTGCCCGTAAATCGGGTTGGCGGCAGCCAGGACACTGCATCGCGCGTTCAAGCTCGTGTGGATACCGGCTTTAGCAATCGTGACGGTCTGCTGCTCCATAACTTCGTGAATCGCCACACGATCTACATCACTCATCTTGTCGAATTCATCAATGCACACCACGCCACGATCACCGAGTACCATGGCACCAGCCTCTAGCCGCCGCTCGCCGGTTTCCTTATCAGATGTGACAGCGGCCGTTAGACCGACGCCCGAGGAGCCTCGACCAGTCGTGGCAATTGCCAGCGGCGCGGTGTTCAGCACGAACCGGAGGAGCTGAGATTTCGCGGTCGAAGGATCACCAACCATGAGAATGTTGATATCACCACGAAGATGAGTGCCGTTGTCCAAATTCTTTTCCATTCCACCGAGCAACATGAGCAGAATGGCCTTCTTAATGTAGTCGTGCCCGTGGATACTGGGTGCTAGTGAGTGAGAAAGCAGCTGGAAGACATTCTTCTTCTTGGAAATCTTGTTGATATTCCGAATGTCCGTATCCGTGATGTTTGCTTGGGCAATCCCTCCACCGCTCTTTGAAGACAGCTGAATAATGTTGTTGGCCATCACAATCGTGCGGAAGGTCGACGACCCGGAGCTTGCATTTCGGTTTCCGAGGGTACGGTAAGTGCCGACCAACTGGATTCTGTCACCGGGCTTGGCCTTGTCGACGAGGTCATCGTCTAGGATGACATCGACACTTCGAGGCAACTGACCTGCCGGGGCTCGTTCGGGCATTTCTTGGATGGAGATAGTCTGGTGGTCCATGTATGTCGAGTAACCGTACTCGGTGATGAGCTAGACACGAGTTAGTTTTCTTAATAGTCTCTTGTCTTTTCATAATGCACCCACCGGGTTCTTCTCGTCATCTTCTTGGGGGTAGACGTTCAAGCTTGTTGCACCGCTCGCGGTCATGGTCTGGTCACGATACTTCCGCGCAAGAAAACGGTCCTTCCTTTCGCTGTAGTGAACACTTTGGATCACCTTTGGTCGGACCAAGGAACACTTGGTCACAATGCCCTCGAGCGACACCATACGATTCAAGTGCTGCGATCCCAGAGTTCGCGGATTGCAAGAAAACTCTCCGAAAGCTCCGATATAGGCGCAATAGTAGCTCTGTCAACATAATTAGCCCCGTAATCCGCGCGCAATAGTCCCATTTATATACGCACCACTTCATCCAAAGACTGTTTGGGTAGTTGGTTGGGCAAATTCTTGATCACATCCTTCAGTGCTTGGTCGAACGCCTGCGAATACTCGAACGGTGACGTGAGGAGCCTAATCGAAAATGAAGTTTAAGCATGTGGCGTGTATGGAGATTATATATCCACACTCTGCGAATACTGAGCAGCGAAACATACCCATCTGCAAGCTCACGGTTGTGCGCTCGGATCTCATCGATGCTAACCTAGACAGGCTATTAGCAATCACCCATGGGGGACACTTGCGAATCAACCCACTGTCAGACGCCGTAATCCTCGATTCAGCATCACCACAATATCCGCACGGTAGCTGTTTGGCTTAAGTCAGGGCTGCAATTCAAAGCAGCAATCGAAGGACCGACATACCTGCGGGCTCGGGCATCGTCTGGAAGTACCACGTATTAGATGGAGCGATGGGCAGGGAAATGACAATACTCACTCGGGTCGAGAAATTCGCTGGCAGCTCGCAGGCGATCCTGCGCAGCCTCATCACGCAGCTGGGCCCCGTCCATGATGGCTTGTAGAATTCAGTGGGGTGGCACAATCGAAGGAGCAGATGAATGACAAGGGAGGGATGGGATTTGCTCCCGATCCGGCAAAATTGGAACGCGTCGCAGTGGACGCGTCCCGCGTCTGCTGATGTAATAGATCATGTGACAGGTATGCACTGAATCGGTACCTTCCCGTTCAGGCAGGAACTGCCATGGATTGCTTCACCTAGCCATCCAGGTATGGTAAAAATCCAAGCCTCAGTTTGGGGTCAGCTATAGTTTCAAGTTGGCTGTGGATATTGCAGAGATATTCTGAAGGGATAGTGTCGGTCCCGGAATCCAGAATCGCATAACTTGAGATCTAAATGCAGAATATAGTACATTGAAAATCTATATAGTCGCTATGCAAATACAATAACTATACAAAGGATATATCTCACAATGTCCTTGTCTCCTCGTACATTCCCACAACAGCATTCAGCTCTCGTTGCCCCCGTCTTGGCCTCACCGTGGGATTGGTCGCCTCCCAAAGCATCGGTCTACCATGAAACAAAGACTTCCTTATTGCGATTCACGTTGGTTTTCCAACTCGATTGTTTCATTTGTGGGTGATTGGTGGCTCTCACCGAGTCCATCATGCCTTCTCTGTCGAGGCAGGATAGGACGTCGTTTGGCCAAGCCTTCGAATTGACCGCGTTGTGTACGGAATCCAAGAGGTTGGTTGCTCCCGCGTGTGATGATGGGTTTGCTCAAGATAGAAGGCAATATTGAATCAGAGAATCGGGCCGACTTAGCGCAAGATTCACGCTCAAGCTCTGACTGATCTCGCGGCGTGATTACTGCATCAAGCAGGTTTTTGCGATGGCGTCGACGGTTGGAAGCTTGCATCAACATCAGCCGCATTCGTAAATCGGCAGATGCTGGCCGTCCGGGCATTTTGATGGAACGGTGCTCGCGGGTCACAGATGGGGCACTGCGGCCAAGACCCTCGCGCACCACCGGTTGCCTAGGAGGGAACTTCTTCTCATCGGGTAGCAACTGGGTGCCACGGAGTAACGTGCCCTGCAATTTATCCGGCGAGTAGGGCATCTGAGCGAGTGTCTTGATCGTCGCACCTGCTACGCTGTGAAGACGCTCCAATTCCATGCTACCGCTCTCAATGCTTTTTTCGCGAATTCGCAATAATGTGGAGGCGAGATGGACCATAGCGAGATAGGTTGGTTGCATGAAGTCGGGTCTGATCCTGCCCCAGAACAACCGCCCAGCCTTTTTGAGAAAACCGTGTGTGCCCCGAGGAACATGTGAAGATTCCATCTCCTCGATGCTAGTAGGGACGCCTCGAGGCTGCAAGCCCTCGCTGCGCAAAATTCTGTTCCAGCCGGGGAAATTGCGGATGAAGTGGTCCTCAAACACTCGGAAAGCTTCAAGTTGGTCGGGAAATTCATTGGAAGACGCGAGGATTCGCACCATGATGGACCGGTTGAAAGTGGACAACACAAATCCAGTTGCCTCGACCTTTGTCACGACGTGATAGATTTTCGAAATCTCGTTCTGGCGTGCTAAAGATTCCATATATATCGAGAGAGGCCGGGAGAGAAGAAATCGCCGTGACGGGAGAATTTCAGACGTCTTTTTCTGGGACGGATCATTCGGTGTGGTATCCGAGGCTTGCTGATTGGCGGGAACACTTGGTCGAGATGAAGTCCGAGGGTGTTCGGAGGACAACTTTACAGGCGAGGAAGAAACCAAGGCCGGGGTCTGAGAGGCGAAGAGGTCGTCAAGATCAAAGCGACGGGCCATGTTGACAGCGCTCGAAAATGCAATTTGCCAGCACTCTTCAACGCTTTCATATTGGCCCGCATTCAAATGTGCATCCATCATAGCAGTAACAAGGCGAATCGGCACAGGTTCGATTTCGTCCGAATTCAGCAGTGCCGTGGACTGCTTACTCTGTGCATATGCGTCAAAAAGCTCACGCGCTTTTTCAACGGCGCCTTCTGCCCCGTATGTCTTGATGAGGTATTCATAGTGCACGATGGGAAGGCCATATTGGTTGGTTTTCCTACCAATGGTGGCGGCCTTGAGATTCAGCAAGGGACGGCCAGGTGGTGTAATTGAGCCCAGCATGAACCGTTCGACGTTGGTCAAATTGAGATTGGCGGCATTAGCTTTCTCGCGGGTAGAGAAAGGATTGTTAACGATTTGCAGGTCTCGCAGGATCTGGGCCCGAAGGCTCCAAAGATTTGAAGCAAGTCCGGTTTTGCCGAATCGTTCGTGAATCTCATCGAACAATATCTGTGCCATAGCACGATTTCGCGTCTTCACATATCCGTAGAGGACGAGGCCATAGTGGGCTGGAGTTGGCAGGAAATGATGGCCCCCATCAAGATACGCAAGAGTTTTCTGTGCTTTTTCCGGTTTGCCAACAATAACCCGACTAAGCATGGTAGCAAAGTGTGTTGTTGAACTTTCTGGCAACTGCTCTCTCTTGATGCGTCTCAAGACTCGATTGAGGCCCGGGAGGTCTGCTCTGGAGGCGTATCGTAATGCCAATTGATTCCACATGTCGAGACGGCTTGTGCTCTTGGCCACAAAGTCCGCACTGAGCCGGGCAAAGCTCTCGGCCAATTTCAATTGTCCATCCATGATGTAACCCTCCACGACAGCATTAACTAGCGGCATTGTAATTACCACTTGTCGCTTCTGAGCCTCAGTGAGCAACCGGCGAATATTGTCGATATCTCCTTGGTGAGCACAGAGCCCCATCGCCGTCTTGAAAGAGTAGAAATCAGGTTGCATGCCCTTCTGCATTATCTGTGACAGAACAGAGAAAGCGCCTGTGGAATCACCGGCGGTTGCGTGTGCCACGAGGACAATGTTCCAGCACGCCAGGTTTGGCTCAAGACCAAATTCTTCTGAAACCCTTCGGAACTGCTGCATCGTTTGCTGTACATCGCCAAGCCGCGCATGAACATACAGCAGAGGAGTAACCAATCTCCGGCTTCTGGGTTTACCATGATCTGCCACAAGCTTTTGGAACATATAATGAACTTCCGAGGCATATCCGGCTCGAGAGAAAGCAATCATGGCTAGCTTGTACGCCTCGAGGGACGGCCTTCTCCAAAAAAGTGCCATCTCATCCAGAAAGAAAAGAATGCCACTTGTAATAGAGCATGACACTAAAGACTCCAACAGACGATCCACAAGCCTCGCAGGGGGTTTCTCATCCGGCAGCGTCTGGCGGAAATTGCGATAAAACACGATAGCCCGTACGAGGGCTGACCTTTGACCCACGGATATAAAGGCGTTGATCAAGTTGAAATGATGGTAGGGTCTCAAGAAGCCCAGCTCATCAAAGTTGCGCATGACTTGAAGTAGTGCCTCCGTCGAGGACTCTTGGGGAGGCCGGGCAGGGTTGAATAGGTCCTCAAGGAGGAAGGACGCAAGGCTACGGAGCCCCCCAATTCTGAACGCCTCGTTCGTGTCGTAGGTAAGGGGGCAGGGCGCATATGTTTTGGGCAAGTTTCGGTCTGTGGATTCTGGACAGTAAAACAGGCAGTTGGGGCCGGCCATCTCCCGGGGACCGCGATCTCAATCCCCATAGAGACGCCGCGTAAAGCCAGAGATTGCATTTCACGTAATGTGCAAAAGCCTCCGCGCAGGCTGAGTCCCCAAGGCCGCGGAGAGCTGCTTTCTCGCAAATGGAAATGGCTTTCGAGTTCCGTTTGAGGTTAAGCTGGGACTGCGTGAGACGGAGAAAATCGTCGGGAGAGAGCCGGTCGTATTCAATTTGCTCCAACAGGCGCTCAACCCGTTCCTGATCCACAGGCTTGTCGGACCTGCTCAGGTAGAGGCAAAGATCAGACCTGTTTTCCGGTGGCTGTCCAGCCAAAATATACTGGAGCCATGCCTTATCAAAATGCAATTTCATCCGTTTCAGCATCCCACGAAGAATGTTCTGCGCCACCTGAGCTTCTGTTTCATGAATCCCGTGTGACCCTTCTTGTGGATGAATGTTGTTGCTGAGAGCCTGGTGGGTGCTCGTGGCCTCTGTAGTATAGGCTCTCGAGAGGTTGGCGGGCATTCTTCTCCTCCGTCGCAGCCCAAGCCTCTTCGGAGTGAAGGAAGACCGCAAAGACACACACTGCTGGAATTTTCGAGGGTAAAGAAAGTCAAGAATGGAGGTTGCGCCATCCTTGGTAGCTTTGCTTTCGGCCGAATTACTGAGAACGGGGGACGAACGCAAGGTCTGGAGTAGAGCAAGGAACCAGAAGGGAACATCCGCTGGAGTGCTATTGTGCTTCCAAAAGTTTCGAGCCAGGCATCTCCTTGTTCGGATGGTGCCATTGCGATCTCGAAGAATACGTCGTCCCGCGTTCTCAAGGCAGCCGGCCGTCCGTTCGAGCATCACCCTCGAGCTTCGCGGTGTCAAGCCCGTGAAATCACCGGAAATGGTTTATCGTGTGCTTCATGATAATGTACAACATCGACCTATATGCCAAGAAAACGTTAGAAAGGAAGTTCGCGTGCAATGGAAGATGCTGTTTGGGATGTCAGGCCATACCGGACAAGAAAAAGAAAACAAAGACCAGGTGCTGGCAGCTGGAAAAATTCCAACGAGAGATGCAGATAGAAATACACAGCTGTGCCAGCTTCAACAATAAAACCCGTAGTCAGGAAAGACAGGCAGGTCAGTGTCAAGCAAAAGGAATGGAGCTTGGGGGAGCGCAAAAGATTCGGGAGCAAATTATTGCCAGTCGGTCGGGATTCCACCGCCTTCATCCACCAACTCACCCGCCCCTCCGTCCTCCTCCATCCAATGCCCAAAAAATGGAGGTGACCGATTTCATCTTTAAAGAACGAGAGGAGGTCCTCTTGGCAGGTGATTACAATGCCTATTGGACCCATACCGCTCGCAAATTGCACAAACTTCGCAAGAAGCTTGGGCAGACCACAGCCAAAGGCCGCAAATACACGGCTAAACCGGCAGTGAGCACCGAGAATGTCGGGGATAATGTGGCGTATGTAGCCTTCATCTACTTTCTACCCAATGCAACTATGCTGACTGGTTTGGGGGCCTTAGATATGTGCATCTGTTGCTTCTCAGTTCTGAGCGAGCATGGGCGCAAGCTATGCACATGAAATCGACACACTCCGCCGACCCATCCGCCAAGGGAATTTCCGGGGCTGCTAGACGTCATATCATTTCGCGATTGAATAAGGCTACCGGGTATGCTCAGAATTTGGTCGCAGTACTTCATGAGCAATCGGTCTCGGGGGCGAATGATAGCGACATTCTCGAAACGCGAGCTTACCTTGCGATGATCGCTGGAGCATTGTGGTTGGAAAAGCGCAAATGGGAGCAGTGCCTCCGTGACTACTCCATTGCCCGAATCATCTATACAGCTCTTGGCCAGAGAGCCAGAAAGGATGCTTTTCGGGATCTTCTTGCTGGAACCGTCGACCCCAGTCTCCGATATGCCGCCTATCAGATGAAGCTCCCTCGCTCCAAGCCCACCTCATCCTTGGCCATTGAGTTTTTCCCATCGGACTCAGACATCCGGGCTGAAGTCGAGAAGATTGACCCCACCTGTCTCGCAGAAGAGGCCGCTGGAACCCGAAGAACGGCAGAAGGGGAGGTGCAACAACTGCCCGAATCCATTACATGGAGGTCCCGCACGGTTGCACTAGAAGATGCCTCAATCTCTCAGGCCTTGGCTGCTGCCTCTGCTGCTGAGGCTCGTCTTGCTACTTGGCTGGCTGACGCAGGAAAACCCGCGGCGGCTAAGGACAAAGCTGGGGCTTATGACAACGTGATTATTGCTAGTCAGGATGCGGTCGATGCGACCAAGACTGCCATTGATGACTTGGCTGGAGAAGGTGTCGATCCCGGTGATAAGAGAATGCAGGCTCTCCAAATCACTCGGACTGCCGTCAATTACACTCTGGTCGGATGGCGAGTTGGGCGCAACCGGGTGCTTTGTGGCGAGCAGGACGGTCTGTCGTTCGGGGAGGAGCAAAATTTCAAGGACGGACAGGGCACGAAACGAACTGCGGGTAACGGGAAGAAGTTGAACAGGCTGCGTGAGCGTGTGGTGCTGTATGACTCAACTCTGCAAAGTCTGGAGTTTATCCTCGAGCTTCCCGGAGTTGCCGCCGATTCTGCCTTTGTGCAGGATCTAGAGGCAAAGCGACACTACTTCCGATCTCTCAGGTACAGTCTGTTGTGATATCGGTCGCCTAGGTCTTACGCTAACCCATTTGTGTTGCTAGGTGCCTGGCCCTGGGCCGATCTCATGGCGTTCTCGGAAAACCGACCGAGGCCCTCGCACTGTTTTCTCAAGCTTTGAATCTTGCTGAATCTGCCTCGAACCTTTCGTCGGTCGATGCAACGGGTCCTCCGAAACTCGATGTCTCTCGTACACAGGTTATCGCCTTAGAGTCGACTCTGCGAGAGCTGGTCGCCCAGCATCGTGGGCTCGTTACGCTCGAGCAGCTCACCGCCGAGAAGGGTTTCCAGGCCCATCCGCGTCCTCTGGTGGAACGACTAGACCAGTTCGCTGGGCCAGGGACGAATCTCAGTAATCTGGTGCCGTACCCGCCACAAGTGCAGCCTGTGCCCGTGAAGCCGCTATTCCTGGATGTGGCATGGAACTACATTGACTACCCACATGCTAGAGCGGAGCAGCAGGGCCAGGCTGAGGAGAAGAAGGAGGGCCGCCGGGGATGGTTTGGCTTTGGTCGGTGAAAACCGTGTGTAGATCGGGAACTCTTCTATCCGGATCACGCTACTGTATTTCAGTGGATCTCCATAGTCGAGTTGTAAATGACATATCGGCCTGTCATGATTTGGTCTGACCATTCGTGCGGCTCCTATTGATGCATCCATTTGTACGGCTTTCTAGAAACACCATAGACTGATAGATCCGAGATCCAACGGGGCATAACTCGCTCATAACCCACAAGGCGGTGGATCTATACAAAAAACTCAATTGTGCGGATTTTTCATTCAGGAACGAGGATAGCATAGATGCATAGATGTTGATATGTATATTTATATATTGAAGCAATATCAAAGATTGTGAATAAAATAAATACATGCGTCTCATATATACTACATAAGACTACAGAAAGAAAATCTCGTGTGCCGGTCGACAGACCCGGCACTGCGGGCCCCGTAACATCCACCCCCTGATTCTTCTCCCCTCCTCTCCACTTCTTTTTCATTTCGTCTGGTCCGTGTCGGAGAACTTTTTTTCTTTCTGGGCTGGAAGAAAAGCACTTTTTCCCCCTTGTTTTGTTGTCGTTCTTTTCTTTCTCTTCCACTGGATCTGTCCATCCCCTCCCGACTATAGTCAACATGACTGGGAGCTTCGCCTCGCCGTCGGCGGATGCCACCGTCTCCCCCCAACTGTTCGCGCCCGGTCTCCTCGCCACGGTGCTCGATGGTTTTAATGTCTGGAAGGGATTGCTGACACTGTTCATTGCTGCCGTCATCTATGATCAGTGTAAGTGCGACGGCAAAGCCTGGTTCTCAAGTGCCTCGGGCGCGTCGGGTTATCGCTAACATGAACATCCCCCCCCTATTCAGTCAAGTACCACTACTACAAAGGCTCGATTGTCGGTCCCGCATATAAGTTCCCTTTTATGGGCCCGTTCCTGCAATCCGTCAACCCCAAGTTTCATGAATACAAGGCGAAATGGGACAGTGGAGATCTGAGCTGTGTTTCCGTCTTCCACAAGTGAGAAAACTACCCCGAGGAAGATGTTGGGGATTTCTCGCTAATATTTTCTTTCTTTTGCACTGCTCAGGTTTGTAGTGATTGCGTCTACTCGTGACATGTCCCGGAAGATCTTCAACTCGCCCGGCTACGTTAAGCCCTGCGTCGTGGACGCCGCACACAAGCTTCTCGGCAAGACCAACTGGGTGTTCTTGGACGGCAAGGACCATGTCGATTACCGGAAGGGTCTGAACGGTCTCTTTACACGCCAGGCCCTGTCGCTCTACCTGCCGCGCGCTGAAGAAGTCTTCAACGACTACTTCAAGCGCTTCCTGGAGAAGTCCACCGCCAACAACTTTCAGCCTACCCCCTGGATGCCCGAGTTCCGTGAGCTCATGTGTGCGCTTTCCTGCCGGACATTCGTCGGCTACTACATGCCCGATGAAACCATCCAGAAGATTGCCGACGACTATTACCTGATTACGGCCGCGCTGGAGCTCGTGAACTTCCCCATCATCCTACCGTACACCAAGACCTGGTACGGCAAGAAGGCTGCCGACATGGTGCTCGAGGAATTCTCCAAGTGTGCCGCCAAGAGCAAGGCCCGCATGGCCGCGGGTGGTGACATTTCGTGCATAATGGACGCTTGGGTCAAGGCGCAGTTGGATTCGGCCAAATACCGAGAGAAGATCGCCAAGGGAATCCAGGTGGATTCGTCGGAGAAGCCTTCCCAGGTTTTGCGTGACTTTACCGACTTTGAAATCGCCCAGACCGTGTTTACGTTCCTGTTCGCTTCGCAGGATGCGACCAGTGCTGCCTCGACCTGGCTGTTCCAGCTGATGGCGGACCGCCCGGATATCCTGGACAAGGTCCGTGAGGAGAACCTCAGCATTCGCAACGGCGACCCCACCGTCCCTCTTTCGATGGATCTGCTCGACAACCTGCCGTACACCCGTGCCGTCGTCAAGGAGACCCTGCGCTACCGCCCTCCCGTCATCATGGTCCCTTACCTGGTCAAGAAGGATTTCCCCATCAGTGAAAAGGTCACCGTCTCCAAGGGTTCCATGATTATCCCGTCCGTGTGGCCGGCATGCCACGACGAGGAGGCCTACCCCAACGCAGACTCGTTCGACCCGGACCGCTGGATCACTGGTACCGCCGAGCAGCAGTCCAAGAACTGGCTGGTCTTTGGCACGGGTCCCCACTACTGTCTGGGTCAGACCTATGCTCAGCTGTCCCTGATGGGCATGATTGGCAAGGCCAGTATGGAGATGGACTGGGAGCACACCTCGACTCCCAAGTCCGAGGATATCAAGGTATTTGCTACCATCTTCCCCCAGGTATGTCTCTCCTATTCTCTCTTCTTTTCTCCTTTCTCGATTTACTAACTAGTTCCAGGATGACTGCCTGCTCAACTTCCGTCCTCGGGCATAGACCCATTTTCACTTCCGAACCAAAAGTCATGATGCTGGAGCCCAGCCCCATCCTCCGGATAGAAGAGCTTGATCACGTCCACACAAAATTGCCATCCTATCCTGGAGATGGGGAGGCCCGACTCACCGTTCTTTTCTCAAATTTTTTTTTTGGCCGCGGTGTATTCTCTGCGAAAGAAAAGCCCTTGACTGATTTGTGATACCTGCGTCAATGGGCATGTTTGTATTTTCGTTGGTCGAAGTGGCCGTCGGAGTCATGCGCCTTAGAATAATATTAATGCTGATTTCTGGTTTCTTGTATACATTTGTTTGATCCAGTAGATAGTCATGGTGGTCGAATAGTTCTATTTAACGGTTGTGGTTGCTGGATCTCTAGGGCTATCCGAGGATATATGTTCCACGCTTCTAAGATATATATATTTCATTGTATATATGTAGAATGCGCGCCATACTTTCTCGGCCCCCTGAAAATACATATTATTGGTAGGAAATAGACGAGAGAATGACAAAAATACAATATTTCACAAATCCAAAAAATATCTATACCCCTCGACTATCGAGTCGTTGAAGTCGAATCTCTCATACTTGCATCTCTTAATGGAGCAGGCGGTCACCGGGCCCTGACATCACGCATCGCATCCGCATCAATCGCAATTCCAACTTTTCCCCTCCAACTGCAATCTCACACACATATACACATTCCTTAAGAGCATGGCAAAATTACCATTTACAATGTGGCGGTCCACCCTTGCCCTCTCCACCGTCCGAGTCCCGGCCCGTCAGACGGCTTCGTTTGCCCCGGCCTTCGCGCGTAGCAGCCTCTCCGCCACGAGCCGGACATTCAGCGGCTACACCCAGACACCGCGGTTGATTTCCTCTGCTTGCACAATCAGCAGACAACAACCAGCTACTCAACCGCAGACACGAGTCTCGTCTCAGCTGCGCCGGAAGAGCGATGACGCTGGAGCGGGCAGTCTCCGACAATGGGGCTTTGAAGATGTATGCCTCTGTCCTACCTTCTATTCTCCCTTCTCGACACACCGATTCCACAAAAACACACACAGACATACACAACATAATAAACATCTAGCTAACCCGTTGGCTTATTGTACAGATAACATCCGCCCTCCCCACCGACCCCAACACCCCCAGCCCAACCCACAAACCACTAATCCTCATCGACGTCCGCGAACCCGCCGAGCTAACCTCAACGGGGATCATCCCATCGGCGCTCTGCATTCCGCTCGCGTCGCAGCCTGACGCGTTCTACCTCACGCCGGATGAGTTCGAGACGCGGTTCGGGTTCCCCAAGCCCGAGGTCGCGGCCGACGGGAATATCGTCTTCTATTGCAAGGCCGGCGTGCGTGCGCGCGCGGCGGCGCAGCTGGCTGTGCAAGCTGGGTATGAGCCTGAGAAGCTCGGGGTTTATGATGGGAGTTGGTTGGATTGGGAGAGGCGTGGGGGGAGGACGGAGAAGTGGGAGGGGTATGATTGGTAGTTTGTTTTCTTTTTTTTAGATGGTTATTTCTGGATGTGATTTATGTCTTCTGTGGATGCGCTGTATATATATACTGCTGATGCTGTCGACGTGTTACTATGTCGTAGTCAGTCTTGTAGACCCACCACATTTACTGGATTGCAGAGTAGTTCTCATAGTCTGCAGCTAGGGAGTTAAGGCATACGAATAGGATGTCAGGTCTAACTCCATTCGAATCACTAGCACAGCAAATCAACATAGAAAACCCGGTTTCTCCCAGGCCTTGCTTTTCTTCCCAGCTCATATACAGGCGGCGTCTTTTTCCTGTCCATCAAGTCGTGGTCGGTCATGGTATGTCCATATCGCAATTAAACAAAGCAACTTTTTGAAATTCCATTTGGATGACAACTGCCACACCTTGAGTATTCTGAATAGCTCACTTCCCCCGTCAACAACATGTCAAGGCCATGCAGCCCAAGGTTTGGGGCGACTTCTCGTTGGATCCCATGGGCCGGTGCGCTCTGGGAAGCGGGCAGGCCCGCCGAAATGGGGAGAGCGGAAGGAAACCCAAGGATTCCGGCAGAGACGGCCTCGAGCACCAGAAAATCATGCGGATGATTGAGATCAGGGAATGTCGAACACGGGCTTGAGCTTTTTGACCAGGGCCCACTCCTCCATCGATACTTCGGTCCGGTAAAACTCCTTGAGAGTGTCGATACTGGCGCGCGAGATGTGCGAGTACAGCTGGTCCTTCTCTTCGAGGTGGCGGCCGTACATGGGCTGGTTGGAGCCCTCGACCTTGACAGCGACTGAGGGCTGACCTCGCTTGCAGACTTGGACAGGTTTGTGGTCTCGCTCGATACCCGTTCTGTGCCAGATAAAGTTAGCCAAAATGAAACAGAAGTAAGCACAGGAATAAATCCAAGGAAAAACGTACACTCGACCAATGTCGATAATCTCTCTGGCACCGGCAGCGTTGGTCCGGATCGCAGCCAACGGGGTATGGAGCCGCAAGCTTCCCTCCAGGACATCGATACCGATAACAATCGGATCGGTCTTGTTGAAGACAGCCACGGGCTTAATAACACAAGGGAAGATAGCAAGGAGCTTGCTCTCCTCCTTCCTCTGCTCAGTCAGTTCCGCCATGTGCTTGGTGAAGTCGTCGAACAGGTGATAGATAATGTCCGCAGTGAAGATCTTGACGCCGATTTCGGAGGCGTAGGCATATGCGTCCTTGTCGACCTTGACATCGAAGCAAAGCATGACGGCAAACTCCTTAGCTTTCTCCAGCATCGTTCCGGCCATCAGGACATCACGCTTGTAGACAGGGCCGATGGAAATGTTGGCGACGGGAATCTTGGACACCCGGAGGAACTCCAGAAGAGCCTCGAGCGAGCCAAGGGTGGATGCCTGGACAGTGACACCGCGCTGATCCGTGGAAACACGGCTGAGCAGGTTCTCCAGATCGGACATCACCTCTTCCTCCAGGTCCTCCTCGTCGTCATCCTTGCCGACAACGAGCAGACGAGAACCGGCGATGGCGTGCTCCAGGTCATTGGCAGCGATCTTGACACCAAGGGAGGCCTTGACCTCCTTGTTGTGGACGTACTGCGACTTGAGACGCAGTTCCTTCAGTGGTGCCGGTGTCAACAGTGCTCGAATATTGGTTGAGATAGGTCCATTGAGACCACACATCACAACCCGATCACCCTCGCGAAGAATACCGTTGGACAGAACGACATCAATGGTGGTACCGAGACCCTCAATGACCTTCACCTCCAAGACTGTACACTCCACCTCGGACAGGTACATCAGCGCGTTGGTCATACGCTCTTGGGTCAAGGTGGTCAGGAGCTTCAGCATGTCAGGAACACCCTCACCGGTGGTGGCCGAAGTGGGTACCAGGGACACGTAACGAGCCATGGACTTGTTCTCGTAGAAGAGCTCTGAGTTGAAACCCTGCTCGGCAAAAGCAAGCTTGGTCTGCTCCAGACGGGTGCGGAATTCATTCTGGACACCCTTGTTCTGCATTGCCAGACTGTCCTGGAAACCGTTGTTGTCGATCTTCTTCCAGCCGTACAGACGATCGATCTTGTTCAACGCGACGATGAATGGAGTCTTGCGGTCACGCAGCAGGCGCATCGACTCCAAAGTTTGGGGCTCAAGACCGTGCATGATATCCACAACCAAGATCGCAATGTTGCATAGCGAAGATCCTCTTGATCGCAGGTTGGAGAAGGACTCGTGACCAGGGGTATCGATGATCAACAAACCGGGCACCTTGAACTCGAACTTGCCGTCCTTGTTCACCACAGCGGTCTTCTGGCGCAGGGCATCGACAGGGAAGTATGTGGCACCGATCTGCTGCGTAATACCACCGGCTTCACCCTCCTGCACGTTAGTCTGTCGGACCTTGTCCAGCAGCTTGGTCTTTCCAGTATCGACGTGACCCAGAATACAGCAGATAGGAGAACGCAAGTTGTCTTTCGAACGAGCTGCCAAGGCTTCCTCGTGCTGCTTCTTTCTTCGCTCGGCGGCCTCGGCCTTGCGCTGGGCAATGGCTCTTTGGTTGGCAGACTGCTCTTCGTCTTCGGAGTCTTCCTCGGACGACGAATCTTCCTCCGATTCCTCCTCTTCCTCTTCATCTGCTGCGGGTTTCTCTGCAGGCTTGGCTGCCCCATTGGCGGCGGGCTTCTTCTCCTCTTCCTCGTCCGAAGGAGCATCCCAGCTGTCCTTCACATCGTCCATCTCAGCGGCCTGCTCCCAGTCATCAAGGGCATCATCGTCCTCAGGAGCTGCAGCAGCGGCAGCGGCTTCGGCTTCGGCCTTGGCTTTCTCTTCCGCCTCCTTTCTGCGGCGCTCATCTTCGGCCTCACGCTGAGCTTGAGCCCGAGCAGCTGCAGCCTCTAGATCATCTTCCTGCTTCTTGCCGCCCTTCTTCTTCTTGTTATCGTAGGTAGGGCGCTTCTTTTCCGCGCCACCCTGTTCGAGACCCGCAACCTTGCCCGCGCCGGCCGCAAGCATCTGCTTCATGCGCATTTCATTGCGCTCCTTGGCCTCCTTTTGAGCCTTGGTCAATAGTTTGCCCTCTTTGCGCAGCTGTTCTTTCTTTTCCCTCTCCTTCTCCTTCTTCTTTTGGCGGGCTTCTTCCCGCTTCTTTTCTTCCTCGGCATCTAAACGTTTCTGTTCTTCTGTCGCAGCCTTCTCTTCAGCCAGCAACCGCTCTTCTTCTTCACGCTGCTGTCGGAGCTGCTCCTGCTGCTTCTGGAGAGCCAGCAGATGGGGAGGGAGCTTCTTTTTGGACTTTCCAGCGGGCTCGGCAGCTGGGGCCGGGGCGGCCTCTGCTTTCGTTTCGGCGGTTGGCTTGGCCGATTCGGCCTTGGGAGGGGGTGCAGCCTTCTTCTTCGAGGAAGCCTGGATAGAAAAAGGGGCAACATAGTTAGAAAACCATTCATATCGGCTCAGTATAAAGCTGCCCGACATACCTGTTCCTTCTTCCGTTGCTTCTCGCGCTCCTTCTTCTCCTTCTCCTTCTCCTTCTTGGTCTTCACCCGGAACTCCCCTTCCTCAGGCTCTGCCGGCTGAGGCGGGGCCACGGCCTTGATCGGCTTCTGCTTCTTCCCGGCGAAGACATCATCCTCATCGAAAGTCCCTTCCTCAGGCTGCTTGCTAGCCAGATCGGCCTCGGCGCCGGCATCCTCACCCTCGACGAAGTCGTTGGTGGGCTTCCCCTTCTTGGCCTTCTTGGCCTTGTTCTTCTTCAGCGCGGCCATGAGACCACCGCCCATTCCGGCATCGTCTTCGCCTTCCTCCTGGGGCTGATCCTCGGCCGGTGCCTCTGCGCCGGGAGCGGCCTCACCCAGCTCAGCTTCCCAGTCATCCTCCTGTCTCTTGTTTCCCTTCTTCTTCGGAGCCATTTTTTTGGGAGTTGGGGCTCTCTCTCTGTGTTTTTTTGTCCCTTTGTTTCTGTTCTGTGGGGGCTTCCGGTCCGTGTGGTGATCGGAGGGGTGCAGTGGGCGCACAAACGGAGCTAACCGTTCACTTGCGAACTGCAACTAGCCGTGAGAGAAATCACAGCCAAAGGGCGCTTTGAAAAAAAAGAAAGAGAAAAATACAGTCCCAGAAGTCATCAAATATGCCTAGAATGAAAGGCACAGAGACAGCTCTGGTTGATGGGACCACAGGGAGGGTTGGAGTGGGAAAGAAAAGAATTTCGGGAAGAATCAATGGTGGGGAACAATGCGATCTGACTTTACCTTGCCACATTTCATCCTTACGCTTTGCTCTCAATTCCCCGTGTGAATGCCAGTATATTTTTTCAGGATAAATTGAAATCAACACAGATACTCTAGGATCTACACACTTGCCAATTGAACGTAAGCAGGCATGCATTTGCTCCATATGTGGCGGGAGAAAGGCATAGATACATCGCACATTGGCTAATCTAACAGATATGACAGACATGAATTCAATCGAATTCTTTCAGAATGTGCCTTGTAAATATCACAGGTAGTAGAAATTCACATCTCGACATGCACCATTTGCCGCAACCATCCTATGACGACCTCATAATGATTAGGTGACTCCCCCAACACAGCATAGGCTGCCTCACGGAACCAGTCGACCAGAACAACAGACGATTCAGTAGCTGCATCTTGTGAGATGATCAAGTTCTGAAGGTATTCCGGACCACGCTTGGCCAGAGAATCCAGGATATCTCCATCGACCTCAAACCCTTGGTCCGAAGCCATGACAGCGGCAGAAAGGGATGGAGTATACATCCTGCGCGATGACGAAGATGGCCAGATGCTTGTATCCCTTTGGTACAAGTTCTGGAGGAGACGGAGGAGTTTTGTCTCAGGCTCCTCGAGAGCGACCAACTTGTAGACCGAGCCATTGAGGCCGAAGCCATACACCGGAGCCCTAGCCGGGAAGAACGATGGGACCCTAGAGCCAAGAGCAAGCCTGTTCAGTGACACAGGAAGCTCTGCCCTGCCGAGGAAGGGTGGAAGGGTTTGATCGTCAAGTTTATCCTCGATGTCTTGGAACATCTGGACAGTGCCGCTTCTGATACTCACGTACATGAGGCTCGGGTTGTCGGTATCGAAGCAATGGGACAAGCCATCATGCTTGGCCACACCCGTGGCGCGCCGAACTAAAGTGCCATCGGCGATAATGTAAATCATCGTCGAGTGTCGCGAGGTTGTAACAATCACAAGGTTGTGGTGCACTGACAACGCTATGGCTGGAGAGGGCAGGGGGATTTCGGCATCGCGAGTCCATCTCGTGGAGGAATTGCTGGATGTCAATGGTACAACCGAACGTCCAGTGCCAACGAGCAGACTATCAAGGTAAGATGCCATGCAATGAACTGGCCCGGGCATCACTTGCATGTGTTTGTGAAAGCAGTCAATCCGGGAAGGATTTTCAGGATCTCGAGCAGCCTTTAGCAGGACTACCCGGCCACGGCGTCGGGTCTGATCTTGAAGGTCCACGAACGAAGTGCCAATCGCGATCAAGTGATATTCCTGACCGTCACGCTGGGGAGTCCAGTCGAAAATGCAAGTGATAATCTCTCCCATAGACGATTGAGGTCTCCATGGCTCAGTATCGTTATTCATAGCAGCCCTGCTTCGATGGGCTACAGGGACCTGCGACTCTGGGTCCACGAACTCGATATAGGACTGCTCAGTGCGCTCAAAGGGACTCTGGGGATCCTCGGTGCTGTCGATTGTATAGGACACAATGAGACTGCGCAGTGCTTTCGAATAAGTGAGTCTTTTGGCATTGCCCGGTAGACCAATCCGCCGAGGGACGGGTTTGGCCTTTTCGTCGAAGGCGCACAGCAGAAGCTCTCCATCTGCAAAGCAGAAAAGGCAATTGGACATGAGTCCTGAACCTATCCCGGGGTTTTTGACAAGTTCAAAACCGTAGAGCGTCACGGGAAAGTAAGCAGGCTGGTACTCGGGTCAGGTCACTGTCCCAAAAGGGGCGATATAGTGAAACTCACATTGTTCTGATCTGTGATCCAAACCCGCCAAAAGAAGAAATCGGGCGGACTGTCGCCCGGGCCATAGGCCACACGCCAGAACTCAGTGCCACAAGTAAACAGAGCATAGTTATCTTTACTCTGGAGCCTCAGGGCAGTTCTCCCAAAGCGTCGTGGCTTCTTTTGTTTCAGCCCTACAGGTAAACCCAGTGTTTAGCTATATATCAATACCAAAAGAAAAGCGAATTCAACTCACCGATGATAGAGGAAGCATTAAAATCGATCTCGAATGGAACGAGTATGCCACTCCGCAGACCGCAGAATAGGATGGCGCGCAGAGATCCACCCGAGGCAGTCCGGATGACCGCAAGGCTCTCGATCGCCAGAGAAATGTCGTCTGCGACATCAATTGAAATTTTGACGTCGATAAGAAATGTGGCGGTGTCATTCTCAATGTAGAAGATAAGAAGCGTTCCCTTGCCAGTGCCCATAAAGACAAACACTCCATCTCCAAATGCCTGAATCAAGAGACAGATGGGCTCTTTGTCAATATTGAGAGGCTCGCCGAATTTTGATATACCGACAGTCTCCCCAATCGGGTCTATCCGAGCGAAATGAAGACTCATTTCATTGCAACGTCTAAATGCAGAAACCACCAGAGAACCCGGGCCATCGACAGCGGCTGTGATAATCGCATCGCGGGGCTCATACTGGACGCGAGTGTTTGACGATAGTTGGTGGGGAACAAATAGGTGGATTGCTTTTTCAGTGACCTGAACAATCACTCCGGAGGGCGTGCATCCAGCTGCTAGTGTCTGGGCGGTGTCTAGCCCCGTTTCCTCTTCATCAAGGGCACTGATACCATCTTCGAGATCGGGGTTCATAAAGAGAAGCACGGAAGACATAGGATGGGAGAGAAGAACATAAATGCCGCCATTGACGTCGTTGGTCATGGCCCACATGTCCCGAATGCTTAACAGATCACCGAGGGGAGCTGTCACGCCCACTTGCGCCTCTATGCCATGTCGAAGCTCCGTGATTGACCCACAGCCCGAAGTGGATGCGGAGCAGACAAACAATCGATCGTGCGCTATGTCTTTCTCCGAGGGGTCATATATTTCCGAGGGTACAACCACTGCATCGAGCATCGGAGCCCAGTTAAGGAACCGCTGCACACATTTTGGTTGATCTCGAGCCTCCTGAATGAAGAGACCACCGTCGCCGGTCTCTCCAGCTGCGAGGATGAAATCAGCACCCTCGTGGCCCACATCCAGGACATCGAAGGCATTGTCAACACCACATTCTAGCTGGCCCAACGAGGTCTGGCTCTCGAGTTCGGCCTCATTTCCAAACTCCAGATAGTAAATCCAACCATCTTCTCGACAGAGGTAGATCCCATCATAGTGCTTGCTGTACATCAAATTGCGCGATGGTCTCGCCCAACGGGTCCACAACCCAGCTCGGTCAGGCTGCGTGTCTGGCAGAATGCTGGGATACCTCTTGGGTGTAGTCAAGTCATGGGTCTGGTAGACTATCATGGACGTAGGTGTGATGAGTAGAAAGGCAGATTCCTTGGTCAATGGAACAACCATGGTCGGCAATCTGTCCTGGTCTCGGAGCTTGATCTCCTTGATCTCTGGACGTCGCGTGCCCTGGCCCTCTTTCCATTCGTAGATCACGGCCTTCCCCACTCCATCCTGGCAGGTAATGAGAAGCAAGATGATCCTCTTGTCATCAGCTGATTGAGGATATAGGAATTCCATGAAGAGAATATCACCACCTGCCATGTAGAACCTTTCCTACAAGAAGAAAAGGACTGATGAGCTTTGAATATAAGAGATCAGAGGGAATGACTTACATCACTTATCGGATCCAATTTGTCCCCAGCTATCTGTTGTTGCAGATCATCAGGAGACTTGAGCCAAAGCATGCCAAAGTATTGGGTTGCTGCGCCGATAGCAACTGCGCGAGACCTAAATATCCAATTAATTGACCCTGCTTGTGGCATAGGGGCGACAAGAGAATGGTAGAAAGTGTACTGACTTGGGATCCACAGCCAGGTGCGCGCCATACTTCTCAGAGAGATTGACTTCACTTGGCATCGGCCGGTAGTAGGTAAGGAAGGAAGCGCATGAAGTTGAGTAGTAAATGAACAGAAGAAACCTTTCATCCAAGGCCAGAACTAGAATATGAGCCGGTGAGTTGTCAAGATCTAGATCAATCTCATTTCCCACAGAGCTACCAGGATTGAATGACGAGTCGCGGGGGAGCTGAGGATGCACACCGATGACCTGTGCTCCAAGGATAGATCCAGTCATGCCGGCCAGATTGATTTCAGCTACAGCATCCAGCTCCACAAAGGCGACCGCCTCTTTGATCTGGATGCATCGCTCACTGATAAAAACCACATCACTGTGGGATTTGCTTCGGATGCGAGCCGGGATGATGAATCGAAATGTGGGACTGGGGAGAATAGACTGTTTCATGAGACCCTTGATATGACGCGTTGGACGCGTCCGACGCGTAGTGATCTCTTCCAGTTCTTCATCCATTGTGGGTAACAACAAATGCTGAAGAGGGGTGTAGATATTGAGATAGGAGGAAATGAATGAGGTTGTGGAAGTCAAAAATGAAGGCAAAAAGAGGCGTAAGAATGGAATAGAGCACTTAAATCAAAAGCCTAGGAAAATAGACCTAGGATTCGTGATCCGTGAAGGGAAGAAAACTGGGAGATGGGAAAAGAGAAAGAAAGTGGGCTGCGTAGGTAGCAGTCAGGTGGAAAAGGTAAAGCACTGAAGAGGGAAACTCAAGAGGAACATTCAAGAGCATCGATCTTGGTTCAGAGGGTACCTTGCACTTGAGAGGGCAGGGGGGAACAGCAATCAATCCATCGTCAGGCTAGATATAGATGACACATGGACCATAGGCACATCAGCCTCGATTGATTCTTCTCACAAGCAGACCAAAGCAAAGAGCTTTGAGTTTGCTTCAATGGACACAGCTTATAAGCCCTAGAATACATATGTCAATATAGGAAGACCAGGCGGGGCACAAGAGGGGGATATAGGCCTTACTTGTATGCGGACACCACCAATCCGACTTTTAGGTATTTTATTGTGCTGCGTCCTAGAAGCTCTATTGACCTCTGAGCTTCAAGCAGAGACAAGTTTAGCTATAAAGGAATGCTCAGGGAGGAACAAAGCCAGCGTCTCCACCAGCTATGCACAAGGCTTATCGAGGTGGGGTGAGATGGTAGTACCGGAGGGGACTGTAGACATTGAAATGTCCAGCATGAGCCTTAAGCAAATGCTTTTGACCCAGTACTTCCCCGAAGAGACACTTGGAATTATTCCGGTGGACGCATTCAAGAACATCGCGCGCAAACATACGTCGGAAAACATGTCATCACGTGTATGCCTTAGGCGATATTGGGTTCTGCACCGCCCTCGTTCTGCTGCGGTTTGCAGCTCTCCTGTAACCTGCCTTGTCAATCATCCATCTGAGAACTTGACACACGAAGAGACCGAAGACAATTTCCACATATTCTTGCTATTTTCCATTGAGGTTCAAACAATGATATGGTGCTTACAGCAGCCGTGACAGCCAGGATCCATCTACAGCAGTCCGCTATAGATAACGCCATATAGCTAGATTCTGACAGACACCAAAGGCCATAGCACCTGCTGGATGGCAGATAATTGAGACCTTGACCAGAGCTCTTCTTGTCGATACTGGCTGTTGATCCACTGTTTTGCCGAACCGCGCGTTGATAGTGAAGCAACCGTGACCTCTGACAATGGATCGTTCCCGGTCAGCTTCCGTTGATGATGAAAAGTTTTCAGCTGCATCTGAGCAGTCGTTGAGATTGCGCCAAATTTCCGAGGCCAGGGCTGAGAAAGCAGAGGCGATTCGCCATGCATGCGACTCCCATGACCTGAAGGCATTGATATCGCATGCCACCACAGAAGGTGGCTTGTTGGAAGATGAATTGCGACAGATAGCATGTGAGCTCATTCAGGAAGTTGATAGAGAATGGACTGGAGTAACTGGGTGAGACAGGGCCGATCTTGCTTCAAAGCGATGAACACGCTCGGCGACACAGCCTAAAGCCTCAAAATGAACTACCCCCACACGCCGACGATGACCAGGTCCAACTTGATGTCCATCGGTCTTTTGTCTATTACCCAAATGGTCAGTATATCCCGGTGGTAGGATGTCTGCATCGTGGCATCAATGCTGACTCGAGCCCAGCTCCGGAGGACGAGCTCTCAACAAAGAAAGAGCAATTATCTGACCTTATTACGCAGGTCCTGCGAAACTACCCAAGACTATGTTATTTCCAAGGATATCATGACATCGTCCAGGTCTTGCTCTTAGTTTTGGGTAACCAGAAGGCTGCGCCAGCCATGGCACAGCTATCACTATTCCGCATTCGAGACTATATGCTCCCCTCGCTTTCACCCGCCTTGAAGCACCTCCAGCTAATACCCGCAATAATTGAAACGACGGACCCTGCATTGCGGCGACATCTCGGCAATATCCAACCATTCTTTGCTCTTGCCGCTACCCTGACCTTGTACGCCCATGACATCCAAGAGTACAGTGACATTGCACGGCTTTTCGACTTTCTCCTAGCTCGGGAGCCAGTCGTCACTATCTATCTCTTCGCGGCCATCATTCTCTCTCGCAAAAAAGAGCTCTTGGAGATTCCGGTGGAAGAACCAGAGATGCTTCATTTCACGCTTTCAAAACTCCCCTGCCCGCTTGACCTCGATAGCCACATTTTGAATACGGCCCAATTGTTTACGGACCACCCACCAGAATCGCTGCCCTTTGGGGCCTGGAAGCGTATTCCTCGCTACAGTGTACTCAAGACCTCCCGAAACCCATTCCACAAGTACACAGTAGAAGAAGCAATGCAACTGTTTGACCAGCAGACACGGCAGCTACGGAACGAGGAGCGCAGGAAGCGGGCAGTCGAGTTCGCGTGGAGTCACCGGCGTACGGTAGGGTCTGTGGCACTGGCGATTCTGGTCGGGGCAGCATCAATATACATTCGAAAGAAGGGCCTTGACACGTCGATTTGGGCATTTGTTGGCCGAATCTACGCGGCGATCAAGAGCTAGTATGGACTGCGTACACTATTGCAATGGGATGGGCGTCAACGGGATTGAAGAAGCCAAAAAAAAATGACAAGAATGGATTTAATCCTATTTATTTAACCCTCTCGACTATTCTTGTAAAATCATTGGCAATGGAACTACGAAAAATAGCAAGCAAGGCTGTTGAACGAGCCTGTCAATGCCGTGTGTCGTGTGGCTTGCGTGTGGCGTTATCTGTCCGGGGGGAGCCGATGTGGACACTTGGAACCGTCCTCCTCCCAACTCTCCCACTCCAAATACATCCAACATGGCAAACCGAGGCTACGACGTGGTAGTAGACGTGGATGCCGAGGTGAGAACCGGTTGATTGACATCTTATACCCATTTTATCCTAACGCGCTAGAAGGGTGACCTCGGGCATACCGACCTGCAAGAAGACCTCGAATTCCACCCCTCCAGTGAGTTGCGGTCCTCTCCTGAGTCTCCATTTAAAAGACACAAAAGCCACTTTTACTCCAGACCGCTGACCGTTGGGATGTAACCCGCGCACACCAGACTTCGAGAGCGACCAACGCAACGCCAAAGCGCAGGCTGACTCCAGCCCGTTCCTGGGCGGCGGACCATCACGCGGTGGCCGGGACCGATCCCCTGGCGGCACGCCGACCAAGCACAGCTGGTGGTCTCTGCACTACTACGAGCAGTTTTTCGACGTCGACACGAACGAGGTGCTGCGCCGCTGCGTTGCCGCGCTGTACCCGCGCACCAACTTCCTGGACGTGCTGGAGGGCAACGCCGACCTGTACGGCCCCGTGTGGATCGCGACCACCGTGGTGGTGATTTTGTTTTTGACGGGGACCATCTCGCAATGGCTTGCGCACCGAGACCAGTCTCATTTCGAGTATGACTTCAAGCTGCTGTCTGGCGCTGCGGGCTTGATCTACGGGTACACGGGCATCTTGCCCATTGCGCTGTGGGGCGCGCTGCGCTGGTTCGGCAGCTCGACTGCTGATCTTGTCGAGTGCTGGGCTCTGTATGGGTACTCGAACCTTGTCTGGATTGGTGTTGCCCTGGTTAGCTGGAGTCCGTTGACGGCGCTGAACTGGGCCCTTGTTGGGGTTGGCTTCGGCTGGACCGTTTTCTTCCTCTTGCGTAACCTCTACCCGGTCTTGAATGCTACGGATGCCAAGGCGAGCAAGATCCTCTTGATCTTGGTTGTGGCACTGCATGCTGGTCTGGCTATTGCGATCAAGGTTCTTTTCTTCGCGTAAGTCTTACCTTGTTTTTCTGTTGGTTTAAGACTCGTCTGCTAACCCTCCCTCTCTAGACATGCAAGCCCGGTCGCGAAAGGCAAGGATTCATAATGACTACAACGATCACGGCCGGGGAGTGCGGGCCAGGGTATAAGCGAGACATGGAGATGACGGCATTCTCGTGGGGTGCCAGAGTGGACGCCCGAGACTTGTTTCGGCCGCACTTGGTTTTGTTCTTATGGGCGCGGTCTTAAACCACGCAGTGTATTGTACCTGTATCTATCACAGACTCTGAAGAAGAGCGCGGGAACAATTCGATATTTCTCTTTTTTGAAGTTTACACAATCGAGATCATGGGATTGCAACTCGTTTTTGTCGAGAGGAGCCAACTATAACAGCGTGACTGGCGTGACTGTGGCCGTATTGATTATTTCATCATTTCTAACGCCATTTCATTTGTAAACCTCTCCATGTCACATTCCAATGTCCCAGATCTGGACTCTGCCCCACAGCACACCGAGCACAACACCGATAAGCGAGTCGTCTATTTGAGCTTCTTCTTGGGACGGAGCTGGTTGGTGTGGCCGCACTTCTTCTTACGGCAGTTGGTGGCACGAGGGGGGAGGCGGGCCTGTGAGGGGTACCAGTCAGCATTCGATGTTCGTTAATTCCTCGCCTGATCATATAGAACGGCAAATAACAGATCGAATGGAGAGTAACGTACGTAGCACTTGCGGCAGATGGACTTCTCGCAGTTGTACTTGGAGGCGAGGGCCTTCAGGGAGGGCTCAATGATACCACCACGGAGACGCAGGACAAGGTGAAGGGTGGACTCCTGTAAAGAGACAAATCCGTATGTCAGCCACAAGCCACCGAGACAATCGCTCAATTTCCTTCTCATCGATGTTGTCGAATAGACCGTATGATCGGGCGAGTCGAAACCTCCAATCCAACCGGTTCCAACCCTCAAATCACAAGGGTATGCAGCGAGTCCTCATACCTTCTGGATGTTGTAGTCGCTCAGGGTGCGGCCATCCTCGAGCTGCTTGCCGGCGAAGATCAGACGCTGCTGGTCCGGGGGGATGCCCTCCTTGTCCTGGATCTTGGACTTGACGTTGTCGATGGTGTCGCTCGACTCGACGTCGAGGGTAATGGTCTTACCCGTCAGGGTCTTGACGAAACTGCATCGAGCGGTATTAGTCCATGTTCTCAATTTCCTCCACGTGGGTGTTGTCGACGGTCGGTGGCGGTTGGGCAGGTCATCGTGCGCGCGCGGAGGGAATTGGGGATGATCAAGACCTACATCTGCACTGGAAAGACGCGGAAAAAAGAAAATGTCAGCTCATGATGTCCTCAAGAAACATAGCGGGAACTTTGACGGGGTCCATTAGACGTACTGGTTGCGAGTTTTCGTTGGTGTCGGCTGTCGGTCGCTGAGAGTTCACGGCGGAGGCGTGGCTCAATTTGAGGATTTCTCGCTTAGCAAAGGTGGACCGATGCCAACTGCCCTAAGCCCTAAGTGTTTCCATTTTGGTCTATGCACGTGCTCTCATGGGTATTTTCTCCGCCTTCCTCTTCGGTCTTGGAAACGAAGTATGGGCAGAATTATTGTTTAGTAGATCATTGACTCCCTTATGGTAGAGAGGCAGCACTATTAAGACTGGTCCTATTATTGCCAAATTCCCAAATTTCGCTACGCACTTCTGTGTATGGATGAAACATCACCTGTCTTCATCCACCCCCAGTTCGGACAGTTGTCCATCCACCTCATCCAGCGCATCGCCCATGTCCATGTCCATTTCATTATCAAGATACTCGGCACGTCGCTGGTTTTCCAGCCAGCGTGCAATCCGAAACTCGCCCACGGTGACAGCCCGTATCAAGGTTGGCAATGACACTGCGGCGAGCTCTGCCGCCAATTCGTAAAAGGCGCGTGCAGGCCCGGCGAGTTGAGACTCCCATCGATACCGGCGATACCATGCCCCAGGTCGGGGCACGTCTGTCTCGTCCTCTTCCAAAATGACACGCTTGGGCTTCAGGTCCTGCATGACTGATTGTAGTAAGGCCTGGAGAGCTTCATCTGTGTCACTAGTAGCGGCTGCCGTCGAAGCAGCCGGAGGATTGGACTGCGCCTCTGCCTCTGGCCGGTTGATAGGGAACATATCGGCAACTCGGTTCAGGACGCGGGGTGTATCCAGCCAACTACTTTCGTACCAGTCCATGTACTCGTCCAGTTGATCGGGCGTCATAGTGAGCACGTCTTTGTCTGTGAGTTGGACCACATGGTCCTTGCCAATCTTCCCACCCACGCGCTCGTGGTTATTGAAATGTCGCTGGGCCCGCTCCCATACTGACCAGTCCATGAACTGGGCCCCGGGCTCCCGGTTGGTAGCGGGGTATCGCTTCAAATCGTCCAACGGGAAGAATAGTTTCGTGGCAATGACAGTAAGCACCACCAGTTGAACCTCAGGAAGATGATAAGGACTTCTGCGAAAATTGCCCCGGAGCCGAGTCGGATATTCATATGTGAAGGCAAGCAGCTCTTGTAGTTTTTTGATGGCCTCGTATACCTCCACTGTAATTGCGTTAGCACAAGTCACAAAGATACTCGAAGAGGGGGGGGGGGGGGGGAGTTCATACCTGGGATAGCCAGTCTCTTTATGATCCGGTAGAGGACTAGGGGTGAGTTTAAAGGAGGAATTGCGAGTCCGAACCGACGTTGATAAAAGAGTGAGATTTCCAAGACCCCGCGGTGAAGATGCTCGGCCTTGGGGAGTTTCTATTGAACAAGAGTCAGTTGCTTCTTCCGAAAATGTAGAAACAGGTCAGCCACGGGAGAAAGAAAACGTACATTAACATCTAGTATTGAAACAAGTTCTGGCGGAAGCTTGTCCCTCATCTCGCGAGGAACGATGGTTAAGGCCCGAATGTAAGGTACGTCCTGTCGTATGATCATGCTGATTGAAAATCACAATATCAGAACAGATGTTACCCCTGCAAGAGCAGAACCGCGATTTTTGCCCCAATAAGATCACTAGTAGACGTACCGGTAAAAGTCGCTCACGCATATTGGAAGTCGCATCAAGAGCGCCGCCAGATAACAGAGAGCGACGGAATCGAGCAGACGAGGCCACTCGAGATACTTTGATCCCGGCTTAAACCCCATCTCATCGAACTCATCTTTGTCAGTAGGCTGTGAGCTGAAGAGCTCGGGATCTTCATGTTCATCCTCTGTAGATTCGTCAATCCGAAGTGAGAAGTCTTGCAGTCGTAGAGCCCATAGATCGCGAACAACCGCCTGATATAACTGGTCAGCTTCTCGAATTCTTAGAATTTGTCTGGCACACAATAGAAAGAGTTGTGCATAGACTCATTAGACTGACATCGAATGGCTCGGGAAAACCGTGATCATGCACCAAGGCATGGCATTGTTTCCAGAGGATCAACTGATAGACCTGCAGAAAAAGGGTGTATGCCTGTCGGCCATGATAGGCTTTTTTGTTCCTGAACGTTAGCTCAGCCAGTGACTCTCTGGAAGAGTACACGAGACATACTCTTTTTGGATTTCTCGGTGGTTTCTTTCTTCACCCGATGCTTTTTACCCTGAGTCCCGAAATCATCCGGGTCTTCTTCAATTTGTCGGCCCTGCACAGAAGAGATTAGCCCATGATCCCCTATCATTCGCTTGCAGATTGAATAATATAATATGCGGAGACAAGAATGCAAGACATCAGGCGTCTTTGTTTGCATACCTCCTGCAAGTGGCCGCGCCGGCAGAACCACAGTCCATTGTCCAGATAGTATCGGATTTCACGGCATCCCTCTTGGCCGCAGACCCCTCGGGTAACGTATTCCATGCCGAGGCAATTGGGTCATGCTGGTTCGAGGGGAATGTTCGAAGGGAGTGATCGTCCGTACATCAGTGGGACGTTGAAGGTTCCGAACTTTTTTTTTCTGCCTCATTCCAGGTGACCGCCGTTTCTTCACCACACTATGCTGTCCCAAGTCACGTTGATATGTTCTGACATGAACAATTGACGTGAATTTATTTCGGATTTAGTGTAAAATCAGAAATTACCCTTCGAGCTGATAATTACTACCATACTACGCGGGAGAGAAAACAAAACCGCTCAAGCAAGAGTTCCACATTTATTCATTCGTCACACTATCATAAGATGCTGGGACTCAGAACTGGTCTTCGGACAACACATATCATGCCAACCAAAGCAATTCTTCGCGGTCCAACCCACATCCAAGGCCAAAATGATGGATAGAGCTTGATGTAACGGGCAACCCGTCCACGGCTCAAGCAATCATATCCTCTACTGAACCATTGAAGAGGAATTTTTGGGGGGCATTGGGCCCTTTTGAAACATAAACGGTTGGCATAACAGGTAGGAGGTCCAGTGGGGTATGGCGTTTATTTAGGGGCCTCCTTGGCGTCAATGGGAGCCTCCTCACCCATGGCGGTCTGGATGACGATGTCTGCAGAAAGATATCAGTATTGATGAAGATGATGAATCACCCAGCAATGCGACTTACTGAGGTCCTTCTCCTCTTCCTTGAACATGCGGTGGATGCGCTCGCCAAGGTCGTTGTCGGGCAGCTTGACGTCGTCCTTGGTGTCACCGTTGTCGTTCATCAGGGACAGGTAGTCATCGTCGGTGATGTCCAGCTGCGTCATTGTCAGTCAACCGTTTCTTTTCAAGTCTGAGTTGATATCCGGGCCACTCACAAGCTGGTACTCCTTGCGGGAGACGTTGGGGACGTCCATGTTGTGGGTGGAGGGAGACAGATCCTCCAGCTTCTTGCCGGTGAAGATATCAATGGCAACCATGTGAACCTTGGCGTGACCGTGCTTGCCGGTCTTGGAGGTCGACATTTCGACGATCTTGCAGGGGCGGCCCTTGATCACGACGTGACCGTTCTTCCGCAGAGCAGAGCACTGCATGGGGAAGGTGGTGGACGCGCCGGCATCCGCCGACTCGAAGGTGATATCGTGCTAATTCGGATCATGTTAGTGGCTATGAAGGAAATCGAGTCTTGGGTGAGACCAGAGAGGGGCGACTCGGGTGAGAGAGGAGCCGCATGGATGCGGGGCAAGAGACAAAAGGCAGCGCATAGGCAAGAAAGAAAAAAGTTCGGAAGAACAAAGACATACCTCATCGGCCATGGTGAAGGGTTTGTAGGAAATGAGAGATGTTTTTAAAGGGGGAAGAGAGGACAAAGATGGGGAAAGAAAAAACGAGAGGAGAAGAGGAAAAAGGATTTTGTTCCATTGTGGCTGGCGGGGTCGCTACGTCGCCCGATTAGGTTTAGTGCCGTGTCTCTGCCTGGGGCGATCATCTGGACCTTCGTGTCTTCTCCTGAGCTTCCCTTGAAATTCACGAAAACCATGTGGCGTGACCGCATAGCCAGTCAGTCGCCTGGTAATCGCAATGCTTCTCTTCCCCGATCGCAATTATCCAGTCCGTACAATGGTCGGGCCAACGCCGCCCGAGCTTCCTCGACCTCGCTTTTGCTGACTCCAAGTGACTCGACAACCTCTCTCCCGGGAACGCGTGCGACCAACGGGTCTCCTGTGAAGCAGATTAGTGCCCAGCAACCGCGACCGGCCAATGTTCCGGACCCCTTGGAGGTTTTACGTGGAATCATCGGGAAGGAACATCATGCGGAGAAGAACATACCGGAATTACTACCGCAAGAACGACCGACACAGTTGGTGGGAGCAATTGATTTTGACGGGCTGAGCCTCGAGGAGTTTCTGGCCAAGGAGGAACCGACGCCCCCAAAACGGGTCCAGGATAGTCATGTCAACGCCCAGACTATTCAGCAATTCGAACAAGAGCGCGACAAATTCCAGGACCTGCATACATCCATCACGGGCTGCGATGAAGTGTCGAAATCGGTTGAGGAGTATTTGAATGACTTCCAAATCGAATTGGGGGCCGTGTCAGCGGAAATCGAAACCCTGCAAACCCGTTCTACACAGCTTAATGCAATGCTGGACAATAGACGGAATGTCGAGCGGCTGCTTGGACCGGCTGTGGAGGAGATCAGCATCTCTCCCAAAGCCGTGCGGTCGATTGTCGAGGGTCCAATTGACGAGAACTGGGTGCGATCCCTGAATGAAATCGATGCTCGTACAACCGCGATTGAAGCGAAGGCGTCTTCCTCGAGCGGTTTCAAAGCCATTGAGGATGTACGGCCGCTTCTAGTAGACGTGAAACACAAAGTGAGCATCCACTGTCACAAAATGGAAGAATTGAGTCCGAACTGACTAGAAGCGCAGGCGATCGAAAGGATCAGGGACTACTTGGTGAAGCAAATCCGTGCGATGCGGTCGCCGAACATCAACGCGCAGATTATCCAACAGCAGCGTCTGGTGAAGTTCAAAGATTTATTCAGTTATCTTGCCAAAGTACATTCAAAACTTGCAGGCGAGATCTCCCAGGCGTATATCAATACGATGCGCTGGTATTATACTTCCCATTTTAATCGCTACCTTCAGGCACTCGATAAGATCAAGATCTTCCCGAGCGACCGAAATGAAGTCCTTGGAGGTGATCCATCTGCACCACGGACAGGTGAGACTTACTCTTGGATAAAACAATGCGGCCACTGATTGTTGGTAGGAAATATTCTTTCAAGCGGCCGAGCTGGTTCTGTGGCGCATGATCCGTTCTCCTTGGGCAGACGCATTGATATTCTGCGCGGCGGAAACCACCAGGCAATATCCTCATACTTAGCGGAGGAGGATCACACTTTCCACGGAATTGAAGTCCCCTTCCGCAATTTCAACCTCGCTGTGGTAGACAACATCTCTGCCGAATACTCCTTTCTCACCGAGTTTTTCTGTGCCCAAACATTCGATCAGATATCCCGTACAGCCGTTGAGATATTCCTGCCGGTTTTCACACTCGGCAAGAATCTTACGAAGAAGCTGATAGAACACACTACGGACTCGTTGGGTATCTTGATGTGTGTACGCTTAAACCAGTATTCGGCCTTCGAACTCCAGCGACGCAAGGTGCCGGTCGCGGACTCATATGTGAATGGCACCAACATGCAGCTCTGGCCACGGTTCCAGGTCGTCATGGATTACCATGGCGAGTCGCTCAAGCGTGTTGGGTCCAATACGGGGCGCAGCGCAGTGTCTGCTCTCTCGATCGCGGGCGGCGATGACCTCAAGCAGTCAACGGCGCCACATTTCCTCACCCAACGGTTTGGGCAGCTTCTGCATGGAATCCTCGTGCTCAGTAGTGACGCCGGCGACGACGAGCCCGTATCTAACAGCCTTGCCCGACTGGCCGCAGAATTCGATTCACTGCTGGCGAAGCTGAGTCGAAACGGCACAGATGCAAAGCACCGGGAGCGATTTTTGTTCAACAACTATTCATTGATCTTAACCATCATTAGTGTATGCTACCCTACGGGATTTTTAATGGGTTTATGCTCACTGGACATCACAGGATACCCAGGGCAAATTGGCCACCGAGCAGAAGAAGGTAAGATCTTCCACCCCGGCAATGCAAGCTCGAACTAACGCGTGTAGCATTTGGATGAGATGCTCAAGAGTTGCAGCAAGCGCTAGCAGTTGAATTTAGACCTTCTAGATACCAATTTCTGGACATAGCGAACATTGAATTAGCATTGGGGCTCGGTACTTTTCTATAGACTTTGTAAGCGACGTCGGGGATCGGCGCGGTCTCCGATTTCGCGTGGGGTTTCCCTCCTTTATCTTCCTCGGTTTCATCCTCGACTCTGCGCCAATGTCATCGCGTGCGGTTCTCACATCCAAGGCACCGCAGCTCCGACGATGCTTCTCTAGCACGCGTGGCGCCAATGCAGATTTCACACATGCAGTAAGTGCGCGCCGTCTGCCATGCCCGCGCTGTGTTGCGCGGGCCGTGGTGCAAAGTCCTCGAATCAAGACCGGCTCAATTGACTCAACGCAGGTTATCGGCGCAGGCGTCGTTGGACTGGCAGTCGCCCGGCAACTAGCAGTCCATGAAGGTACATCGACGATTCTCCTGGAACGGCACGATGCACCGGGGACCGAGACAAGCAGTCGCAACTCCGAGGTACATTTCTTTCAACCCGAAGCCCCACGACGATGGATAAAACCTCAAATTCAGTTAGAAGCAAAGTGAACAGACTGACATGTTCACCCCAGGTGATCCATGCCGGACTCTACTATCCCGCGACTTCCCTGAAAACGAGCCTCTGCATCCGCGGGCGCAACATGCTCTACGAAACCTGCGCCAAATACGGGATCCCACACCGGAACACGAAGAAATGGATAGTCGCACAGACGGCAGCGCAGTGGGAGGCGTGTCTGCGAGTACACAAGCACGCACAGGCCCTCGGCGACGCACCAACACGGCTGGTCGGGCAGGACGAAGCGCGGCGGCGCGAGCCAGACGTAAAAGCCGACGCGGGGATCGTCGAGAGCGAGACAACAGGCATTGTCGACAGCCACTCGCTGATGACATACTTGCAAGGCGAATTTGAGGACCGGGACGGAGATTGCGCGTTCAAGACGCGGGTAACAGACATCCAGCGCGTGCCGGACGGGTACCAGATCACGGCGGTCTCCGACGAGGACGGGTCCGAGACCTCCATTACCGCCGAAACCCTGATCAACAGCGCCGGCCACGGCGCCTGCGCCATCAACAACCTCCTTCTTCCGCCCGACCGCCACCGCGTCCCGCACTATGCCAAGGGCACCTACTTCTCCTACGCCGCTGCGGCCCTCCACCTCCGTCCTGGTTTACCCGGCCACCTTGCCCGGCCACGGCGGCCTCGGCACCCATCTCACCCTAGACATGGGCGGCCGCATCCGCTTCGGCCCTGACATCGAGTGGGTCGACGATCCATCGGATCTTCAGCCGAGTCCGGCCCGTTTGGAAAAGGCATTGCCGGAAATCAAGGCGTACCTGCCTGGCGTGGATTTGTCTGCCATTGCGCTGGACTATTGTGGTATTCGTCCGAAGCTGGGCCGCGGCGGTGCAGTCAATCAGGGTACGGGCTTCCAGGATTTCGTTATCCAGGAAGAAGAGGGGTTCCCCGGGTTTGTGAATCTGTTGGGTATCGAAAGCCCTGGACTGACGAGCTCTTTGGCGATTGGTGAGATGGTTGACGGCATTCTTTATCGCTGAACGTTAAGGATATGCATAACCTTGGGTGTCTTTGCATCCCTGGGCTTTGGTTTTGGAGCGGCATCACAACCTGAACTTGATGTATATATTCTTTTGCGCACAGCCTGTTTATTGCATATAGAATTTTAAAAGCGGATTTTGAATACTAATCAGGTACTGCTATGATCATGTTGGCTTCTATGGTGGTGTTAACTGCTGTAATCCTAAATATCGATGAGGATATTGAAGAACCGCCGGCTACAATGCCTAATTCCAGGATACGAACTGCATCGCCTGATTACTTTCCTGGATTTGCCAGCGGGTGTATAGATCATCTCTTCGTCCAATATTACTTCTCTCTCGCTCTCAAAAACACAAGAACATATTCATGATCGCATAACATAGGAGTCCACCATCTCAAAACTCCACAAAGAAAAGCCCGCGGAACTTCTAGCCCGGGTATACCAACCTCACTCGACATCCATGAGCACATCACTCATGATATGCAGCACATAAGAAAACTTCCTAACACCCCACTTCCCAGAATCCTTGAGGAGACCCGCATAGTCCAAGAGCACGCGGCGTGCCGACTGGTACCCAGGCTGGAAGGGCACGCCTCGGAGATAGATCGGAGCGCCGTTGCGAATGAAATTCACGGCGGAGTCATCAGTGGGCGAGAACGCCTGACTACCCCCGGATCCATGAAACTCGTGAAGCCCTCAGTGCCGACCTGCGGCCAGTCGACGTCGTCCATCAACTCGATGGACCCGACCGCCGGGCCACTAACTGTGGTGGAGGCGGTGTTGGGGAGCATGAAGGTGTACAGGCCCAGCACCAGGGCGGCGGCGAACAGCGAAACCACCGAGTGGAAGGACGGCTGGTCGGAGGCTTTGCGGTTGGTCATGGCTTTGTAGATGTGGGCGGCGTGCAGGCAGGCGCGCCGCGCAGCCGGGGTCTGCGACCATTCGGCGATGTCATCGAGCGCTTTCTGTGCGGGGCCCGGCCCGGCCCGGCCAGCGGCCAGCTCGAAGATTTGGAGATCGGCTGTCAGCGTCATGCACATGTGGTGCCACATTATGACGGCGTTGGGGTTGAGTTGGTCGAGGGTGTCGGCGTAGTGGCGGGCGAGTTGCGATTGCAGTGATGGGAGGCATCTTGCACGGCCGTCCATGGCGTATGTGTGGCAGGGTGCGAATGGGTAGCTGGCCCGGTTGGAGAGTAGGCGGTGATAAGCTTCTGATTGACGCAGTTGGACCATCGCGAGTACGGCCTGGATGCAGAAATCGTCCATGGGCCCTTCAAGCTTGGGGATATTAATGTTTTCTGACGGCGCCGGCACCGTCGTCATTAGGATGCGGTTTCCGCCTTGAATGAGTTGCGTCCAGCGCATTGGCGAGTGTGCTTGGAAGAGCGCCTCGTTGCATGGGAGAATAAGTTGGATCGAGTCTGGTACAACGATTGGACTCGTGGAGAGGAACGATGAATACCAAGAGTCTAGCAGCAACAGCCCGGCTATGATCCTATTCCACCTCATCATATTAACACCCGCATTGATGCAAATGACAAGGCATGGACGTTACCTTTTGGCAGACTCGACTTTGCTCCATGCCTTCCATCGCGTCTCGATGTCCGGCACCGTCTCAAACAGACTCATGCCGAGAATTTGGCCTTCTGTAGCTGCGAATAGCCCGTGTCGCTGTGCGATCTATTATTTATGGTATTAGCACCATGGTTGACAAGGATAGACTGAGGTTACGACTCACCGATATGAGATTCACATAAAGCATCTGGCATTGTTCCAGGTGCCTTTTTTCCTATACGTCTGTTAGCCACGGGGGCCCTATCAACACATTTTTGCATATTCATACCCCAGTCAAGGCAGCGAGATTCAAGAATAGCAGGGCCGTAGCAAAAGTAGACACCGTGCCAGTTGGACTCTCGATGCCCACTGTACATTTTGTTAATTCGGCAGATACTTCTTCTAGTACGTTCTAGGATGATAAAATTAGCATCTAATTCCCGGGAAGATGAATGAGACACCCACAGTGAAGTTTCTCGAGACAAAAGTCGTTGTCCCCTTAGTCCCCAGCAACATCATGCCAATAAGGCACATCACATAAAGAAGTGGCAGACGCGTCTTCTTAGCAGAGAAAGTTGGCAGGTGCACAAAGGGCACTAGTGGATGAAAAGTGCGAAAATAGAGATCTAATGCCATGTCGAGGATTTCTGCCGGAGGAAAGTTGGGGAAGGTAATCGAGGAGATAGCTGGAGAGACGCCGCTCGACGACTGCATCTGGTGGACTAGCGGTGCTTGGCCAAAAATTGCCTGTAAGCGTCGTTTACAATCCTCGTCCACGCCACATCGCGACCCTTCAAGCATAATGGGCTCAGTGGAGAGGTTTAAAGAATGCACAGAGAAAATGTTGTCCAGATCACTGCCGGCCATGTCCTGCCACAGAGTGTTCATGAGCCGGCCGGTGTGGTTCGACGGGGCCAGCCAACAGCGCTGTACTTTGGCAAAGCGTTCATTGGGGATATTTTCGCCTCCAGATTTGCCGCTGTCAACGGAATGTCGGGGCTGCGGGTCTGGCGAGACTACAGGGTCACTGATCAACGGGAGATGGCTATCCTGCATCAGATCGAGCGAGCCGGGATGAGAGCCGCTATCAGCGCGGGGCTCGAGCCACATATGAAGCATATCATTCGGGTCGGCTTCAAATGCCATGCCGGCTCGGTGTGAGGTTTGGTCAGCAGGAGTGACCTCATTCCACCCGAAATACGGCTGCTCCTCGTTGATCATCATGGGATTGATATCAGGCTCGGTCCTAGCCTGATGAGCCGAAATATCGGCTAGGAAATCCAGCGATGTCGGCGGTATCCCCGTGGTCGAAAGGGACATATCGCGCGACGTTGAAGAGAAGCCGGTTAATTGATGCGCGTCTGCGCCAATCGTTGGCAACAACTGAGCACCATCTCCTGAACCAGCCATTGGCGATGCACCAGTCATGGTGGAGACTCGCCGGTTGTGCGGGTGCTCTGCCGCGGCACCCCGGTTCCTCGTTGCAGAGGCTATCGCGGCATCTTCGTTGTTATGGCCCTTTGCATGCCGACTCAAGACATCGCTAAAGACGGATTAGTGTGGTGATTTGCAAGCCCCAGCATAATGTACCCGTTTGCTTACCTTCTAGAAAATCGCTTATGACAGACATTACATTCGTATGGACGTTCTTTGGTGTCTGGAATTGCAAGTTAGGCCAAGCATGGTTATCGCGAGGGTACTTGACTGACGTGACCGCTCATGGCGCTTGAAATGCTCTGTTTTCTTGAACCGGCGGTCACAGATGTTGCATTTTCGGAGGACCATGACGCTCGCAGTAAGCGAGAGAAGCTTACAGAGTAGAAGGCATACTCTCGAGAATAAACCAAGGGAAATCTCCAGAAAAGCCACAGATGAACATGGAGAGCCCGGGGGAGGGGAAGGTTAGTCAGCGACTGGTAAGCCGACGCATTGCCAGGGCTGTCCAGACATTTCTTTCCTATCATTGACCGATGGTTTAAGGCGTTGGGATTTATCTGATCCTATGCGAAAGACTACCTAGTTGAATTTCAAGTACTCATCCCGTTGTCTAACATGATTTCCTCCCCGCCCACTCGGCCAAGCGGGCATCGTCGTAGTACGTGTCCAAGCGCTGTCTGCGCGCCTCATTATCCGCCTTGACCTGCTTCAGGATATCTTGAATATGAGGGTACGAGGAGAATTTGTCCTGAGAATACGACAAAAGAAATTAAGAATGGCCATGATCTCGGGTTGAATTGAACATACCGGCAGAGCATCCCAAACCTTTGGGTCTGTTCCTTGATTCTTGAAGGTCCCGCAGCCTGTACGGGCATACTCCGTGAACAAAAATGACCGGCTGCTCTCAATCATGATAGTCATTTGATCTGCAATGGTCAGCTGGGATTCTTTTTCTTTTTTGAGTCCTGGTGACGCGGAGACACCCACTTTCAAGAATCTTCCGAGGCTCGTTCACCTGGTTTCTCATCTCATACACATAAGCGTCACTGAAATTGCCGTGCGGCGTGTGGCTGATCTCCACGCTGCCTCCGCCGGGCAGGAACTCGTCGGAACGGCCCAGCCCGCTGCCATACAGACACGCCAGGAACTCGGTGGCCGAGTTTCGGTGGAAGTATGGGAGGCGGAAGGTGTTGGATGCCACGTCCCACCGCGGTCCAAACCAAAGAAAATCGGCCAGCGGCGTGACGGGGTCGCGAGATGGAGCAGTAAGCACGCAGTTCACGGATGGGTCGGTGTGGTCAATGGACGTGGCGTTCTGGGACGAGAACTTGGTCAAGTCATACTATAAAGAACGGTAAGTTGGGGGAACCTCAACACAGGCGGTACTAAACAAGCACAAACCTTATACGGAACGACATTGCCATGCCAGGCAACTATATCGAAAGGGCTATGGTCCTGCTCGATGGCGTTGTATATCCCGTTCGCCTTGTTTACAATCGACCAGTCCTCGTGCAAGTTCTCATCGATATACGCCACTGGATGCAAGAAGTCTCGAGGGTTCGCCAACCCATGTCCTCCCAAAGGTCCCAGATCCGGCAGCTCCCATCGAGACCCCCAGATCTCAGTGATATAGCCCCGAGCCACTGAATGACCAGGACCCCGCCGCACTGCAAACCGGATCCCACGAGGAATGACACAGATCTCACCGGGCTGCAGGAACAACTTCCCCAGCTCAGTCTGGATGTCCAGGTTGCCGAGCTGGGCCACGAGGAGGAAGTCTCCATCGGTGTTGCAGAAGGCACGGTGGTCCATGTCGGCATTGATCATGAAGACATATAGGGCGATACCCTCGCGCAGGTTCGGGTCTCCGCTTCCGCCCACAGTATGCAGCCCGTCGACGAAGTCTATCTTCTCCTGCTCCGTGGGCAATGGAAATGGCGCCCATTCGCCTTGTTCTGCCAATGTTGTGACCTTAGGGTTGAGCGTGAGAAAGCAGTTCTCGATATCTGCTTTGTGTGGAATATTGGCCTTGTAGCCGTCTACACAAATTAATAGTCAGTCTGGATACGAGATAAAACTTGATACTCCCAAAGAAAAGACGTACTGTGTGCTGCAGCCGGTCGCACCCGGTACATGTAGGTGCTGAAGTTGGCATGCCGTGGGGCTGCAAATGCCGAGTATGTGATGCCCTCTGTATACAGACCGAAGCGGGATTCCTGGGGGTTGTTTTGTCCCGCTGGTAGAGTTCCGGGGATGACCTCAGACTGGTGACGGTTTCCAAACCCTGCCTGGTACTCGTACGGGTCGTTATCTCGGGTTGGCTTGCGGGTCATTGTATCCGTGTAGTGAAAGACCTTCTGTAGGTCTTTGACCGGCTCTCTCGGTTGGACTGGGGGAGCAGACATTTTCTCTTGATATTTCTGATGTGACTTTGAAGCAAACAATTAGCACGGTATGGGTGGGAAAAAGCTGCTTTCATTTATAGCGAAGACTTTTCAGCTGTCTGACTCCACGAGGTTAGGGTTTGGCAGCTCCCACATCGCGGCCCACATGGAGCTCATCTTGCGGGGCCATGCGGATGTGGAGAACTTGACAACAGCAAGACAAGATCAACCTGCTATTTAATATGTTAAACTCTATATGCAGCTGTAGTAAACGAGAATATTGCCTGGCTAATCCACAGCTAGCACGTCGTCCACCATTCTCGTCGACGCACCCAAGTAGTTCACCGGGTCGCAAAGCTCGCTTAGTCGTTCATGGCTCATCTTCGCAATGACCTCGTTCTTCTCTAGGAGACACTCCAGAAGACTCCGCTCTTTCTCAATGCTTTCTCGACAAGCCTCGTAGACAATATCATGAGCTCGTTGGCGGCCGACATGCGGCGCCATCCCCATCATGACAGCCTCAGCCACAATCAATCCTTTGGTAGAGTGAAGGTTCTCCAGCATCTGCTTGCTGTTCACCGAGAGACCTGATAGCGCAAAGTGTGTCTGTGACAATGCCCCAACGGCAATCAAGAAGCTCTCGGGGACAGCCACCCACTCCAAATGCCACGGTCCCGAGGCGCGTTCAAAGTCCGCCACCATGCCATCGAGGACCAGCCCCGCGTTCGAGCGCAGGATCTTGGACGCGGCCAGGATCACCTCACTGGAGATTGGGTTGCGTTTCTGCGGCATTGTTGACGAAGCACCCCGGTGAGGCACGAAGGGCTCGGCGACCTCGCTCAGCTCGTTGGACGACATGACAATGATGTCTAGGGCCAGCTTGCCCATCGAGCCGCCCATCAGCGCGAGGAAATTCACTATCTCTGCCACGCCATCGCGGGCCACGTGCCACGTTATCGGGGGGTCCGCCAGCCCCAATTCCGTTGCCAGTGCCTTTCGCACGCGCAACCCGTCATCGCCAGACCCCAGCGACGCAAGCGAGCCAGCCGCGCCACCGAATTGCACCAGGAGAGTCCGGTCTCGCAGTTGCTCCAGCCTCGCCAGATGCCGCTGGAACCCAGAGAGCCAGACGGCACACTTGTACCCAAAGGTCACAGGCAGCGCATGCTGCAGATGCGTGCGCCCAGCCATGGGCGTATCCTTGTATTTATCCGACAGCTCACGCAGCGTTCGAATGACATCCTTCAGAAGCCGTTCAACAATAGCCAGCCCCTCTTTCATCTGGAGAACGCTCGCCAGGTCCATGATATCCTGGGTCGTCGCGCCCCAGTGTACATACTTGCCTGCTTCGTCGCCGCAGATCGCCGACAGCTGGCGCACCAGCGGCAGGATCGGGTACCCGACGATTTCGGTCTCGTGGCGCAGCCGGTCGAGGTCCAGGCTGGATTCTTGCACTTTGCGGGTCACCATGGCCCCGATCTCTGACGGGATCACGTCGCATCGAGACTGGGCCCGTGCCAGGGCGGCTTCTGCGTCGACGCAGCGCCGGATGTATGCTTCGTCATCGAAGACCTGGTTGAGTTGTTAGATGAAATTGAATAATTGGATAAATCGAATAGATGGGCCAATGGATCAGGCTTACCTTGCGAATCTCGTCTGTCCCGAATAACGTCCGAAAGATGCTCGAGTCGATGGCACTGACCGAACCTATGCATCTCCGCCCGCTGGGTACAGACACGCCGGACCGAGCCCGCGTTAGAGGCCGCACAAGCCGAGTCAACATGGACACTGTGTATAGTGGAAGTGGATGCGGAGCGTGTTACACTTGCAAGCCACAATTCTGCACTTAGACCCCCGCAGTAAAAGGGACTTTGTCGCTGGAGATACCGGCGAAGTTGTGCTATCACCGAGGTCAAGCTCGGGCCCCACCGTGTGCAGGCCGATGTGGGGTTTTGGGGGGAGCTCTACAAACAGCTTGAAGGGCTTGGATATTGCATAAAATTCAGATTAGTAGACAGACGATACAATTTGCAATTATTGATAGATATATAGAGTGTAAAATAAGAGCGACCAGTTGGCATAAACGTTATGAATGAACTGATTCCGTCTAACACTATACTCGCGGTAGGTATAGTCTGCCTATTTACAGCGATGGTAGCTTAATCGCAATAAACCATTCACTCCCGAATGAACAGAGACGCCACGCCCATCCCGGTGCTATATAACCCAAATTAGCTGAGTCCGAAAGCAGCAGCCAGAGACAACTTACCTCGCGCACATGCTCACAACCCCCAATTCCTTATCTGATTTCTGCAACTCCGCTAGAAGTGTCGCAGTCTGTCTGGCGCCAGTGGCAGCGATGGGGTGTCCAAGAGCAATAGCTCCTCCGTTAGGATTAACCTTGGTCATATCTAGGCCTAGTTCGCGGACACAATACAACGACTGGCTGGCGAAAGCCTCGTTCATCTCAAAGAGGTCCACGTCCTTGTTTTCAATTTCCAGATACTTATACAAGCTCCGGATGGCATAGACCGGGCCAATTCCCATCTCGTCCGGTGCACATCCGGCCACCTGGGTGCCGGCAAACCGAGCGATGGGTTTCAAACCATGGGCATCGGCCCAGGACCGACGAGCGAGAATGGTACTGGAAGCACCGTCGGAGATCTGGGACCTGTCAAAGAATAAAAGAGCATGGTTAGCGATACGATGTCTTGAGAATCACACCCCCGGGTAATTTCTAGACTCACGAGTTCCCCGCCGTGCTAGCACCATCTTCCAACACAGGCTTCAGCGTAGACAGCTTCTCCGTCGTCACACCATGGCGAACACCTTCATCACGCTCAACCATCTGGAACGTCTGCTCGTCAATACCCTCATTAATCAACTTCGCAAGAATCGGCACAATCTCCGCCTCGAAGCGACCCGACCGCTGCGCACTACTCGCACGCCGCTGGCTCTCGGCGGCAAACTCATCCTGCTCGCGCCGACCGATCCCATAGCGCTGCGCGACATTCTCCGAGGTTTTCAGCATGGGAAGCAGACAATCGCGGGCATCCTTGACGGGTGACTCGGTCAACGTCGTGGAGACATCGGCGGGGATTCCTCGCGTTGCATAGTTGCGTGTCATGCTCTCGACTCCGCCCGCGAGTCCGACATCGACCTGCCCGGCCAGGATCGAGTGCGAGATGTGCGTGATGGCTTGCAGGCTGCTGGAGCACTGTCGGTTGATGGTGTGGAAGGTAGTGGAATTTGGGAAGCCTGCTGCGTTCAGGGCCGTACGCCCTGTTTTGGCGAAGCCCAGCTCGGCCAGCACGTTGCCAATCAGGGTGTCGTTGACTTGGCCTGGTTCGATGTTGGCTCGCTGCACGGCGGCTTGCATGACCTGGAGGTGTTAAACATAATCGGAATATTCATGATGATGATGATTATCACAGAAATAAGAAAATAATTAAATACTCACTGGCATCAGGATCTCCTCCGGGTACGAGTCCTTGAACCCGCCCTTGAACGCCCTGGCGACGGGGCTCCGCACGGCAGACAACACCACCACGTCGTTCGGGCTCTTCTTGAGAACTTCGCCCGCTGTTCGCCTCAACATGGTGGCCGTTTGTTGTCTCTGGGGGGTTTTCTTTGCCGCGAGTGTTATGTTGCAGGAATGGCCATTTAAGATGCGGGATGGTGGAGGTTGTCCCGGGGTTTCTAACAGCTGGGGGAGCTGCAGAGCATCACGGTGGGGCCTCCGCACTCGACGATCATTGCTTTGCTTATTCTTTCTTTTACATGATCCGATATGTCGGGGTTTGGTGGAGTAATACCCGGGCTTCACTTTATTGACACTGATCTAGAGAGATATTGGGGATAATACAATTACTTCGGTATAGAGAAGGAATCAACAAGCCTCATTGTAAGGTGAAGTACTCCCTCAATCCTTGATCATCACGGTTAGCTTCATGAGTAGGTCTTAGTTCAACTTGTGTGGCTGCGACCTGACCATCAGCTCCAGGTGTCGCAATATACAAGAACCCCAGCTTGGTTATATTGCTAATCGTTCCAAGGTTCTCCAGGAATCCCGTGCAACAGGGTCAGGTAGGACGAAACTCCATGGGTGCAATATGTAGACGCGTCGATTAAGCGGAGACGTGTGGGGAGCCCCTGCCATAAATCACGGGGACCTTGGCTATAACGCCAGGGAGAGGGTTAATCTTTTCTCTGAGATGTAGCTGAGGAGGATTCGATCAGTTCGCAGCGTTGCCGATGCTCGTCGCCGATATAGGCGGTATTATGTCCGCAATGTCATCCTATTTAGGATATATTGATGCCTGAGGTGTAGGCTGTTGATGCCTCGACAGCGTCGAACGCTTTTTTCTTTGAATCTTGTTTATCAACCTGATATTGAATCTCATACTTGACAAAAATAATCTCCGCAAAGATTGTGCCCCAACTCCCCGCACGGGTCAAGGCTTCTCCCTTGCAAGGCACTGAGCATCGGGTAAACCTGTGGAGTCGGCTTCCGACGGCGGCAAAAGCCTTTGGATCTGTGGGGAATCCATGCTCCGGATAAGCGTTTTCTCGGCTGTGATGCCTCAGTCCCTAGCCGAAACGTACTTGCGAAATGGGGTGTTGGGATGTTTTTTTATGACTTTTGTTAATCTTCCTTGTTTCTTTTCTCCTCTCTTCTTTTCTGCTGGTTCAGAAATCATCATTCCCGAGACCATTGAAGGCAGTCGACAATGTCGCGGCCTTTCCCTGCGGTGTCGGTGTTCCGCCCCATATGGCGGCGCAACTTTTCGGCCTCGACCTCCAAGAGAGCCATTGACAAGCTATGCGGCTCGGCGGAGCAAGCTGTCAAGAACATGAAGGGGCCTGCGACCGTCCTGGTCGGTGGCTTTGGCTTTTCGGGTGTCCCGAACACCCTGATCAATGCTGTGCGCGACCGTCCCGACATCAAGGACTTGACAGTTGTCTCGAACAATGCTGGGATGCCCGGTGCTGGTCTCGGTATGGATATGTCAATGGAGCTGCGGTGGGACTTGAGGATGTTGAATATATACTAACAAATCCAATTCTAGGCCAATTGCTCGAGTCCAAGCAGATCAGCAAGATGATCGCCTCGTTTATCGGCGAGAACAAGGTGTTCGAGAAGATGTATCTTAGTGGCGACCTGGCGCTGGAACTCACTCCCCAGGGCAGCATTGCTGAAAAGTGTGCTGCCGGCGCTGCTGGCGTCCCGGCTTTCTACACTCCCGCGGCTTATGGAACGATCGGTGAGTGACTTAACTAGCACTTGCGCGCGAAATATAGGTAAACGGAAACTAAGACACGACCATTGCAGTGCAAACCGGTGAACTCCCCGTTCGATACAACAAGGATGGCTCCGTGGCGGAAAAATCCACGCCCAAGGAGACCCGCACGTTCAAGGGCAAGGAATACGTTTTGGAAGAATCGATTTTCGGTGACTACGCTCTGGTCAAGGTCCACAAGGCCGACAAGCTGGGTAACTGCCAGTTCCGAAAGGCCATGAACAACTTCAACGAGGCTATGGCCAAGAACGCCAAGGTGACTCTGGTCGAGGCCGACCAGGTCGTCGAGGTTGGCGAGCTTGCCCCCGAGGATGTGCACTTGCAGGGCATCTACGTCGATGCCGTGATCCAGAGCACCGGTGAAAAGCAAATCGAGAAGTTGACCTTTGCCAAAGACCCGAGTGAAATGCTCCAGGCTGGTGAGTGCCATATTCTTTTTCCTGGCTTGGTTTTCAACCATCGAGGAAGCTGACTGACATGTTCTTTTTGTAGGATCCGGTGATGTCGCCATTCGTCGGGAGCGCATTGTCAAGCGTGCTGCCAAGGAGTTCAAGGACGGCATGTATGTCAACCTCGGTATCGGAATGCCCCTCATCGCCCCGTCCTACCTGCCTGAGGGGGTCGAGGTAGTGCTGCAGTCGGAGAACGGAATCCTGGGCCTGGGTGGCTACCCCAAGCCCGGTGAAGAGGACCCGGATCTTATCAACCCAGGCAAGGAGACTGTCACCCTGGGCCGCGGCGCTTCGCTGTTCGGATCGCACGAGAGCTTCGGTATGATCCGCGCTGGTAAGATCGATCTGACCATGCTGGGTGCTCTGCAAGTGAGCCAGTACGGAGGTACGTTCATGCCCCCGCCCTAGAAGCTTGTTTTCAACACTGACGTTCTATAGACTTGGCCAACTTCATGCTTCCCGGCAAGGTCAAGGGTATTGGCGGTGCCATGGACCTAGTCGCCAACCCGGAGAAGACCAAGGTTGTTGTGACGATGGTGCGTTTTTATAATTCTCGCTTATTTCCCACCCCGTACATCCAGCTGACAATTTGATACTAAAGGAACATGTCGACAAGAAGGGCAATTCCAAGATCCTAGCCGGTGAGTTCCTCAGGGGATTATAATCACTTCATTTACCACCGCAATGATCACAATGCTAACTCCACCCAGACTGCACCTTCCCCCTCACAGGCCCCCGGTGCGTGTGGAAGATCATCACTGACCTGGCCGTGTTCGACGTTAGCCCGGCCGAGGGCCTGACCCTGACTGAGTTCGCCGAGGGCATCTCAGTGGACGAGATCCGCAGCAAGACCGCGGCTCCGTTCAAGGTCGCCGACGACCTGAAGCCCATGCTGTAAATGCATCGGTGCTGTAAATATATTAAGACCGATATTCCATATAGTGCCATATAGTGGGGGTCGACAAGATTCAACGATATAGATATTACAAGATCGTGATTATGGGGATCGACTTTTTTTTAACAGTCCTCTGCGGAAACAAGTTCAAATTTACCCTGTTTTCAAGTTTCAAGAATAGAAAGCAAAAGAAATACAAAAGCGTAAAAAGCATGCTCGGATCGAAGCACTCTATTTTGGTTATGAGATGTGTGAGAATATATGGCTTAAAATAAGCTTACTCTCTCACTTTTCGCATCCACCCCTTTGTTTCCTAGTTCAATAGTACTGGACAAGAATCAATAATAATTATTACAGCATCGTGCCTACGTGAATTTATACTGTGATTTGTCTTTTTTTTTTTTTTTTTGCCTTCTATAATTCTCAATCTATCCATACTTTTGAGTATTCTAGATGAGCACTCTTCCGCTTCGTCTGTCCTGTCGTGAGTCTGGCTAGGAGCTACATCATGTACCGTTGTAGAAGATGTCGTGTTTATGCCCATCTTGTCTTTTTGACGTCAAGCGCGTAACGTGCAACTTGCAACAGAGAGAGAGAAGATGGCGGAGAGATTTCAGGTGAGGGGTAGCCAAGTCCCTTCTTGAACATGCAGCTGAAAAATCCTTCTGCATCCCCTTGCATCACTACGCTAGGTGTGAGTGTCAGAGTTGGGGTAAGATGGCAGAAGCATGCAGATCTTCATACAAGTACACAGATATGCACCTATGAAGGCGGGTTTCGAACGGTGGCAACGGATAATAGCAGAAATTTATTGAGATCACTCGCGTCAAATTACGTGTATAGCGAGATCGTATCACACTGCATGTTGTGAAGCTGAGTTGTGGGCTGATCCGCAGCTATTCGTGTACCTTTCCCAAACAAATATCGATTCAACTCAACACATAGTGAAACCTAAGTGCTTAGGTGTCAGCCTATCTGGACATATATTACCCTTGTGCAGAAGAAACCCAATTCTAAAAGGGCCGATATGATGGAGAGAGCCGACGACGCAAGGGCAAAAAAAACCTCTTCACCACCCTCTCCCTCTTAGCTTGTGGCGGCCGGAGTCACTGTGTGGTTTGCACTATTTGTCCCGCAAACCAGAGATGTCCTCTGCGTAGCTTCTATCTAGAATTCTTTCTTTCCTCCCTATGCAAGATGTTTGGTTAGATTGCCGCTCATAGGTCAATATCATCTATTTGAACGAAAGGATCATTACAGTAAGCAGCAGATAGCTAATTAATTATCCTCGTCTTCCTCCACATCCACGATCACTCCGTCAAGGTAACGCACTCTTTCAATATCGTCTTCATCGAGCCTAAAGTTGAGTCAGGAAATTAGTATTAGTCTATTCATAAGATATGTATAGAAACAATATCGTTGTAAGAGGGGCCATACTCATCAGTGACCATTATCAGTGGAGGAATGCTCATAGTTGAGGGGTAGTCGTCGGTTCCAGTCAATTCTCGAAGTATGCTGAGATTGTTAGTCATAGTCTACTCAAGAAGTCCCAAGGACCTTTCTGATTTAACATACCTATTAACTTCTTCTTGAGTATTCTGCCACGCGTCAAAGCTTTCGAACGTTATAGAGATCTATATATAAATCAATATTAATAGCAGTTGTCAGGGTTGAATTATATGTCCCACCCGTTTAGGCATTGTCTAATAACCGGAGGCTTGTTGAATATAATATTCAAAACTCCTTGCAGTACTGGCTTGATAATTGCTGACTCGGGAGAAGTAGTAGTCTTGGGCTGATATCAGAGCAATTTATACCTACAGTACCATGCTGCAGATATGGCTGGCGGAGGGATCTGCATATCTGCAGAATTAACATCATGGATACTCCACACGCCTTCCTGATCAAGAAGTGATCTCTTTTGTACGGTAAATACACCTCTTTAGTCCTTTTTGAAGCTATACATACAGATCATAATATAAGCCTGTAGCCCTTCAGGAGCGAAAACGCATCAGGACTAGTCTCAACCTTGATCCCGACGTCTTATTAGCAGGATATCTGATCAATTTCGCTCCGATAGTTTAAAAAGGCTTAGGAATAGCTTCAAAAACACTTATTTAAGCGCTATGTCAAGTTTCTATGTGCAACATGAGCTTTATTATGCGTGTCTCATTTTTTATATGTTTCTTACTGTAATCAAGACAGTGGCGTGCCGATCGGTTAAAATATAAGCTAAATACGCTAATTCTGCAGTGTCAATATGCAGGCCAGAGGGTGTACAGTTTATCATGCATATAGCCCCAGTTTTGTCCCACTTAAGTGATCATTCATCACGGGCAACTATTGGCAAAACCCATGGCAATTGTCCAGCTGAACCCCGAGGTGAGAGGGTTAGTGGCTCCACTTCAGTGGATTCAGTGTGACTTGGCTGTTGTATCCTGCCTGCGTTTTGGAATTCAGCTTTCATCCTGTGGAATTGGATTGACCTTGTGATTCACATTTGATGGTCTGAGCGTGGAAGCGGGGATATACTATTATCAACGTAACTCGCACTGAGTGTAGCGTTCACCCCAGTGTGTGGGGTCTAGTATCATGCAGAATCCTATGACGATCGATTGCATACTTTTCAGGTCGAAGCTGAAGAAGCGATGACAACCTGCATCCACTTATCGCACCCAGGACTGCCAGTTACAGATATGCAGGTCGATATTGAGCTCCACTGCAACATTTTTGCTACCGTTCATTTTGAAGTCCTGTCCGTTCTGCAAAACGCATTTGTCGTAAGGGTGCTGCACCCGCTTTCACGCGGAAGTTGCCCGATAATCCTGGAGCTGATTGGTTAAACGCGAGATATCCACAATTATCATACGCCATGGTGGGGGATGGACCTGCACGGAAGGGACGATCAGTTACGAGATTCTCAATCGCTGGTGATCAGAGAGTGGTTATTACGTTATTTGCACCTCTCCGCATGTTCATCGCGGCCGGCTAAATTAGGGATCTGCATTACACAACCAAACTAATCCAATAGAATTCAGTCGCTACTTATGATTCTCGGCGTCAAATCGATCGTCCATGTGCACATCATGGCAAGATTAAGATAGTCTCTCACATAATCTAATCATCGGCACTCGATCGGCAGTGCAGGCTCGGTGTCCCCGATTAATTCACCGCAACAATTAGTTAAACTGTTGGTCAGTTGCTGTTATCAATGCCCTGTAGCCAATCGTTGAGCGCAGCAGTGGGTGGCTTACGTATAGCCATCGGTAGCAATCCAATTTTTCAGTACTTAAGAGCGCTAAACCGAAAATGTCAAGGCTAAGCCAGGAGCGTAATTCATCGGACCCGTCCGATATGGTGTGAGACATGGAGTATCCTCAGCTTGACTACATCAGCCCCGGAGTTGCTAGTCTTGTCAAGAAGCATGCGGGGTTCTCTGATTGGACTATAGCTAATCGCGATCAGACAATGACGTCTTCATCTTGTTTCCACGACGCAAATCTTAACTACGATTTTTCAATAGAATGGGCAGTATACTCAACACTTGGAAATCAAATAATCCAATATTATACTGTATACTGACCCAATCCAGGCACCCCCACCAACATCGCCGACGTGAGAGAGGCCTTGAACTCGCCAGAGGCAATTTCTTCTATATACTGGTAGGCTGTGACGTTTCTTCCGGATCTGAGAGACAGAGATGTTCGTTGTCTTGATTGTACCTTTTTTTCAATTGTCTCGCTTTTTCAATTGTCTCGAGCAGCTGTCTTTCTCTCAGACCAATTCTGCCCGCTTTGTTTCTACTATTCCTCTACTCACTTGGCTTTGATCCATTGCAATGGCATTGTGATGACATGGCCTAAAGAGAGTGCTCAAGAAAAGATATACAAAAACCTTGTTCATTCCCTTCCCTTTACCCCAACTTGACAATCTCTGCGCAGACAGCATCCACCACTCCCTGAGTGTCAGCAGATCCCCCCAAGTCCGGCGTCAGAGTCCCAGCCGCGCAAACCCTCTCGACGCATCGCATGAGCTGCACCGCAGCATCCTTCTCCCCGAGCCACGAAAGCATCTCAGCCGCCGACCAGAAGGTAGCAACAGGGTTCGCAATCCCCTTGCCCGTAATATCAAAAGCACTCCCATGCACAGGCTCAAACAGCGATGGATTCTTGCGTGTCGGATCCAGATTGCTCGAAGGCGCAACACCAATCGAACCAGCCAAGGCCGCAGCCAGGTCCGACAAGATATCCATATGCAAGTTCGTGCCGACGATCGTATCAACAGACTGCGGCTTAGCCACCATGCGCACCGTCATGGCGTCCACGAGCATCTTTTCCCAGGTGACGTCCGGGAAATCGTGGGCCACGGCCGCGGCGACCTCATCCCACAGAACCATTCCGTTGCGCATGGAGTTGCTCTTCGTCACGACGGTAAGGTGCCGCCGCGGCCGCGACTGCGCCGTCTCAAACGCGAATCTGATAATGCGCTCGATCCCGACCCGCGTGAACATCGCCACCTCTGTGGCGGCCTCCCATGGTTGTCCAACGTGCGAGCGCCCTCCCTGTCCAGAATACTCGCCTTCTGAGTTCTCGCGCACGAGTACCCAGTCGATGCCCTCTGTCGCTGTGTTAAGTGGGCATTTCGTGCCCGGGAATGTGCGCACCGGGCGCACATTGGCGAAGAGTTGGAGCGGGCCTCGGATTGCTAGGAGCAGACCCCAGAGAGAGAGATGGTCCGGCACATCTATTACTATGTATAAGACTGTGCACGCCAAGGAGTAACAAAAGAAATCATCGAGCCTGCGTACCGGGTGCTCCAACGGCCCCAAAGAGCCCTGCGTCGAACTGGCGCAGCGTCTCTAGACAGTCTTCGGCGGCATATCGCCCATGCTGCTTGTAGTATTTGGTTCCCCACGGGATATGGGTGAATTCAATTTGGAATGTTCCCAGGATTTTGGCAAGTGTCTCGACGACTTGGATGGTGGCGTGGACGACCTCAGGGCCAATGCCGTCGCCGGGGATCGAGGCTATGCGGTATGATGGTTGGGAAGCCATTGTGAATATGAATATTTAGAGGATATATCAGGGACTTGATTCGAAGAAGCGAGGGCATCACTGCTCTATTTGTCCTTGCATTGGACCTCGGATCCTCATACATCGCCTGATAGTTCTCCCGCTGGCATGGCTGGCACGCCCTCGCATTATATTAATGCTTTTTTGTTTATTCATCTGATATATTCAACATAATAAAATGTCCATAAATACAAATTATCAATATATATCTTTTGCTGTACCTGATAACCTATTGGTGACTACCTGAGAAATCCGGAAAAGTAGAAGAGCAACCGGGCTCTTTTTCGCCAGATCATTAGGATTAAAGTATCAAATAGTAGCACATCTTGTTTTATTCAGCTTCTGCTGAATATCAAACGTAGAATATGTTGCAATCCGAATTTCTTCTTCCTCCCAAGTAACAGTGTCCAGTGTCCGGATATGGTAGTCGTGGCAGAACTTTCAGGCGCTTTGTTTCCCCACCTTCAACTACCTCTCGTCCATCCATCTGAACGTTGCGCCTTCAATTTTCCCGGGAAACGAGATGCCGCCGAAATCAAAAGAGAAGAAACAGTCACGTCTTACTGTGGCATGCAATGCATGCCGTTCGAGAAAACAGAAGGTATGGTTTTTGCTTCTCGCATTGCCACAAGTGCCTAGCGTCTGCCGTACTGATTCAACTAACAAATCTTCCAGTGTAGTGGAGATAAGTATGAGCAAAACTCCAGCTTTGAGTTGATCTCCCTGGACTTACTGCTGGAATCCTGAAGACCAGTCTGTGGACAATGTCTCAAGAACAACCGGCCATGCGACTGGCCCGAGCAGCTACGACGGTACGTTCCAAGGAGATCGGGGAAATTTCCCCAGATAAAGTATAATATCCACTAACTTATATATAGAGGACCCGCCAAGGGCTATGTGGAGGCACTGGAGCATCGCCTTCAAGTAACGGAGAATGCACTCCTGAAACTCCTGTCACAAGTCTCCGATGCACAGCTCTCGGTTGCCATGCCGCAGAACGGAGATTCCATACGAGAGCCAGATAATACGTACCAACCGTTTTCCAGACTTGGAAAACAAGGCGTCGATGACTGGGCTCGGTTTCCTCTTGATACGCCGCGGAATGCGCGGCAGTGGCAGCAATCCTGTATGGGTAGTCAACAGTTTGCTTCCGGTGACCAGCTTCGCAGCATGTGCCAATCACCTCTCAGCTCTGGATCTGAGCAGCGAAGACCAAAGCGAAAGCGTGTTCAGCTTGAGAAGCAGAGTGATCCCGCTGTGGGGGAATCGCGTGCTGAAAAAATCCCATCTTCTCTGTCGCAAAATGCCTCCAGTCCAGTTTCATCACATCCGCCAAACCGACAAGATCCACACAGCCCTCCGCATATATCTAATCAAGGAGCTGATGAAAACATTCGGTTGGCGACAGTGCAGACCCTGAGCTCTTGGGACGCAGCTCCTTCGCTCAGCTTTCAACGCCAGTTCCTTTGGTGAAATTCTTCGGAAGAGCTGAACTAGGAGAGAGCTCTTGTTCTGAACACATGAATCGGGAGCTGGCCCTCCCGATCGTCGAGATCATGGCAGAAATCGCCCGGAAGTCCAGTTTGATTGTCAAATGCAACCCATCTACGACTGCAGACAAGAAGCTGGCTGAATCGCTAATTTAAAGTGGGTTTCGGTGGCGCCGAATTGCCTCCAACGTGTTATACATGAATTACCACGATATTTCAGCTGAGACGAATCTATGAAACCGCAATCGCGGCATCGATGCTACGAACCCCTGCCCGATAATTCGAGCTGCAAGAATATGGAATCAACGTTAGTGGTTGCAGGCAACAGCAGCAGTGTGTTCTAGCTAACTTGCGCTATAAGAATTGATATAACGCAATTCTCTACAATGAAACCTCAAGTCTCAAGAGCTGGCCAATCCATAAAAGAGGTTATGCGCTGAGCACATTGCATCAAATTAATTTTAATCACATTATTCATAATCCATAGTGTCGTGTCTTCTATGTATATCTATTCCGGAGTACCATTTCCTTCAAATACCACCGCTGCTCTCAAGTCCCTGTTCAAGAACTCGCTCATTAGTGAAAGGGACACTTGCCCGTGCGGAAGCCCTTCAACTCCTCCATAGTAACGTCCATAGTCTTTTTGCCCTTCCCCTCAAAATGCCTCGGCCCCATATCCTCAATTTTGTATCCTGCTGGGCAATACCTATCTCCATTATCCCCAGGGACCGGCCGGCCAAATACACCCCAGGTAATCCACGCACCGGGGCCCCAGCGGTTCCAGAACGTGGGTTTCACATAGTAGGGCGCAGCCTCCCATGCTGTGAGAAAGAAGCGCTGGTTCTCATCTGCCTGCTCTGTATATGTCGAGTGACGCATGCAATGTGGTCTGGGAGGACTCAGGTAGCGCAGGAAGAACTTGCGGACGACAAGGAATGTCGAGAAGAATGACGACCAGAAGGGGGTCGGCGGATCATAGCTGATGGGCCATGGTTAGTTTGCGTCCCCATAGAAGCCGTGAGTCTGGATGGAAACTTACTACATGGCCTTGCGTAACCGATCATCAATCATAAATGAAGCGAACTGCAACGCCACAGGATGCAGCGGCTTGGGCAGCATATACAACAGCACAGACATAGTCTGATCGCCCATCTCCCGGTTCTTCATATCGGGAACCATATGCTTGGTCTCATAGGCCTCGCCCCAAACTTGAAGCTCCTCGAGCCAGTGGATCCCATCGCGGAACCCGGTCTCGCCGGAGGGAAGTCCCTTGTAGCTAATGCCCAGGCCGTCCCCAAGACTTTTCCAGAAAGTGCCGATAGCACAGCGCTCCAGGTCGCTGAGGCTGCGCCACTCGAACTGCTCAATAAAGCGGATTGGCTGCCATGAGAGCAACGCAAGCGTGTACAGCATGTCGTCCTCAAGGAGCTTGCCCGAGGCCCGGTAAGGACTGTGCAGGTACCGCGTGCGGGCTAAGGAGATGTACGTGCGCGGCGAGGTCGGGCTGTTCCCAATCATCTCTTGCACCAAGGCGCTGGTGTCTGTGTAGCGCTTGAGCGAGGTATCGGGGTTTGCGAACTGGTTTGTTTTGACCAGGAGATGCGAGATTGAGGGGATGCCGTATGTCTGTGATCTGTATCAACCCCGCTGTTCATACTAAGTGATACTAAGTACATTCTCGATCATACCTTGAACAGGGCTGATTGAAGAGACCGTGCGAATATGAGCGGAAACTCCAGCGTCGCGACCACTTTCTGGATCTCAAAGGCCTCGTCGTCTGTCATCTTGCCTAGGGTTTCGCGCGTGTACGGGTATTTGCGGTGCAGCTGGCGCAGCCGTCTGAAGCGCAGAGAGGCAATGAGGAATGGATAGACAACAATCAGCCCCAGTGCATAGGATAGCCACTGTGAAGGGAAGAAGGGCCTTGGGGCCAGGGCATCGGGGCCCCCGATTTCGGGGAGATGCACAAAAAGGGTATTGTTCATTGCAAATCTTCAAAAGACTAGACAAAGGCAGGAAAAGTGTAGGCTTGCGACGAGAATTTTTGAGCAGCGCAGTCCTTCTACATATAAAGAAGTGCCCATGGGAGGCACGCCCCCTCGGGGACAGGGCTTCGGGCACCGGGGCAAACTTGGTGCTAAGAGGATCAACAAAGCCAGAACAAGACCGCAGCTGAGACGCCTGAGACAGAAAGAAAAAAAATCTACTCTCGGGCGAGTGTCAATGTCAGAAAGGATCAGAGAGTGTCGACGAGTATAGATTAACGACTGCTCCACCGGCAATCCATGCATTCCAGTCATTTGCATGCATTTGTGAGGAATCTGTTAGTCAATCCTTGACCGAGTTTTCATTGATAATCAATTTGTATACAGCTGAAGCATGATAACGGACACGGCACGGGCTTTGTGTGGCTTGTAGATCTGATTTCGCGATGAAGCAAATCGAAAAGGAATCCTTTCTCGTAGGGCTTTCACCTACCTGCTCGATGTAGATAATCTCCGAGACGATCGCAGAAAAGAATTCTTCGCAGGAACGATGGCACATGCACGCGATGCAAAGAGAGGTCTTGACAGGAAGACTCTCTGTTGGTTGTCGTAAGCGGCGTAAATGTAGTAGATCCCCGGATGCGCCCTGTTAGGACAACCCGGGGGAACCAGAGCGCATCGTTCTAGAACGATAGAAACAGATGTCTCGGGTGCAATCGACGACCATGTCATTCTGAATGCCGTTGCCCGGTTCGCCCAGGACTCGGGACTCTTCACTTTCTCGCAGCAGAGAAGAGTTGTTGGACCCCCGTTGGCCCCTGGTTGGAGAGCCCCATGCGCCGACTGAATCCTTCGATTGTCCTGCTATTAACAAATCTATGAGAAATTTCAATTGCCGAACGTGCTCAACGGGATGACGGAAGTGGATGGCGAGTTGGAGATTTTTAAGAGCTGGTGGTCGTCGTCGAGATGGAATTGCAAGATATCATTCTCTCTCTCTCTCTCTCTCTCTCTCGCTTGCTTTCACCAAATCCCATACTATAATCACCTCCCTGTGGGTGTGCTGCCCTTGGCCAAAATGTCTCTTCGTTGCAGTCCTGGCATCATGCCCATTTTTGCCTTGGGCCATATTGTGCCCGCGTTGGGTGCCATCCACAGTGCCACGGGGTCCTACCAATGCCCCATCGCCGTGCTAGGCATGGTTGGCCTGACCATCGGCCTTGTTGATGGTACGAATCCGACGAAATCCATCTTAGGCACTGCCCTTCTTCTGGTGCATGGCGAATACTAACAGGGTGTCTATTTGTAATAGCATACGATTCCTTTAAAGATATACCAGTCCCAGAGCGGCCGCGCAACTGGTCATATAAGATCTGGATCGCCAGCCTGACCTTCGCCTGGCTTTTTTGTGTCTTCTACAGCGGCATCCAGACTGTGATCCGCACCCAGGTCTTCCTGATTGTGGGTCTCTCCTGGAAGGTGCCATGCATCCCAATGGTATCAAGGTCGAAGGGTGTGTATTTGGCAACGCCCAAGGACACGGTGAGTTTTCCACTCCTCTCTCTCTCAACAAACGTAGAAATGCATGAATGCCTTATGAGATCCTTGGGGAGTCCTTCAGTCAGCTAATATATTCAATAGCTCCGCGAGGCCAAGTCCCTCTTCGTCGCCGTCTGCATGGGTTTCTTCACTGCAGACGCAGTGATGTTCCACTTCTGCCACGGCCCCAACGCCACATGCAGCCAGGAATCGCTGCGGACCAAGAGCCTGGGCCTGGCAATTCTCTATCACTTCTTCCGCGAGACCGCCAACGACACGCGCGACATCGCCGAGGACACCCACAACAGCATGAAGACGCTGCCCGTGCGCCTTGGCAAGACCAACACCATCACGCTGATGACGGTGCTGGGACTCATTTCGGATCTGTTCCTCACCGGTGCCATGGTCAGCACCAGCAGCGGTCTCCGGCTCAACCCGTCTTTGGCGATGGAGAGCGCGATGCGCGTGGGCCTTACTATGGGCGCGTACTGGAAGATTTTGAACTATCCTCGCGAAAATGGCTGGGCTTGGGGTGCCATGGCCCTCTTGGGGTTGACTCCTGTGCTGTGGGCTCAGTCGTCTCTGCTCAGCTCATCTAAGCAGGGATTTGGTGTATTTCAGTGCATCTCTAACTGGAGGACTTTGCTCTGCTTCTTGCATAGCACCAGGGAAATTCCTGGGATATGACGAAGGCCGAAACTTTTGAATGAGTGAACCCCATAATTTGGGAGTGGGTGGGAGACTGGATACGGCAGTCGATAGAGATTTCAAAGACATGGAAGGAGCGGAAGGGCATAGAGCATAGACTTTATAAAACTATTTACATTAATGACGTTAAATGAGGGAATGAAAACAGAAAAGCTCTCTCTCGAGATATTATTCAAACCTTCATTCTGACCACGACTCACTTTTCCAATATCCTTAAGGTGGCCTACCTATGCTTAAAAGCTCGGGTATTGCTGTCCAGTAATATCAAAAAGCGAATCGAAATTGGCTCCCTGGAGTAAATCCGCCATATTCAAGTCAAAGTTCGACCCGCCAGGGAACGGGTCAGAGTCAGCATTCTGAAAATTCAGCTCGAGAGACGACGGCGTCTCAGCGAGCAAGACGTCCGCGCTCACCCCTGCTGGATCGGCAGACCCCGCAGGAATAGATGTGGATCCGTATCCACCGGCGAGAGGAGTCTGTGCATCGGGATTTATACTTAGGGATGGATGTAGAGTTTCTAGTTGACTCGGGCTGTATTGTCTTGCTCGACGAGATGGTCCAGCGGATGGGCTGCCATCCTGTTGTGTCTCATTCTGTGAGAGTCTGTGCGAGGGAGAATGTTGTTGAACGATAACCGAATGATCGTTCGAAGTCGAGTGCCGTTCAAGAATCCTAGTCGCATAGGCCTGGGATTTTGCTGCACTCTCTCGGTGGGGATCTGTTCGCCCGATCCTCATGGACAAGACTGAGAGTGCATTGTGGCACTGCTTGGCTGTCTCCCACTGGGTAGACATGAGACGTAGATATTCGGAGCACTCGTCGATTTCTCTGATCAAAGTAAGCAGCGTGTACCATAGAGAACAATGAAAGGTTTTTCACATACTGTAAACCTTTGGCGAGAACATATTGGTTGAGCTGACACGCAAAAGCTAGGACCAACCCCGACATCCACGCCGCCGATAGGAATCCCGGCCAAAACAACGCTTGTCGGCTCGCAACCTGGGTTCTCAGCGCGGATAGGATAGCGCGAGCGGCACCAATGCAGGTCTGCAGCCCCGAGCAAAACTCCGCGGTGGACGGATCTATTGACAAAGAGGGCCGGTGAATAATCAAGATGAGGTGTTGGTACAGCACCGTGAAGAAAGGACCAAAGTCAAAAGAGACATCGGTTGTCGAAGAATCATCATGTTTCTTCCCGATGTTCTTCGCTTGCAGATCGAGTGGCAGGTTGTTCCACCACTTGTGAACGTCGGTCACAAGGAATAGAACGGCACTTCGGCGGACAGAACGGACGAGAATGGACTTGTGGAAAAGCTCCAGTGCCCGACCGGTTAAGGTACCTGAATTCACATAACTTGCAAGTACACCCTCCCTTCCAGGAGTGTGACTTTGGTGCTCATCCCCGGTAGCACTGTGGACAGACCGGGAAGGCTGGCCGTCGCCAGCACCGTTGGTTTCATGTTCTGATGGTTGTTGCCCTTCAAAATAACCGGCTATGGCAGTGTTTGCTGCTTGGGTGTCTGAGACTGCGCTTCTAGCCCGCCGAGGAGAATGTATTTCACGAGCTGCAGGGAGACACACATCGATATCTGAATCCTGTATGCCAAGAGGAAGACCGAGTGCTTGGCTCAGGTACCGGTCAATAGCGTAGGCACACCAAAAGATCCTCTTGCGCAGCTGTCGATCATGCGAAGATAGCTCTTTATACCGGAACGGGCATCGATGCAAGCCCGCGTGAAACATACAGCGCAAGACACATCCACCAACGGTAGACGCCGGGCGCAGAGACATGATGGCAACCAAGTACACCTGAGCCGCCAGGAGTGCCTGAAGAGACACGATATCATGGCAGGATGAAAGAGAGCCAAGTAGAGAGCTGATACTGGCGGGTGATTGGATCTTGCAAGCGGGCGAGAGAGGCAGCTCCGGGCGAAGCAGACTGCCCAGGTTGAACACGCATTGGAGAATCGTCGTCCAGCAGGAGCTGCGATGATGATCCAAGGGCGGCTCCGCGGCAGAGGGCTCAGGGCTGCTGCTAGAAGAGTACAGGCTCTGCATCGCCTGCAGGAAGGTGGGGCCATGCAGGAACGGGAACAGCGGATGCCAGACTTTGAAATACACAATCATCAGGTCCTTGGCCAAATCCAGTGGCGGCGCGCTGCCCAGAGCGGCAGCCACGGCTGGGTCGTAAGCCCATTTGGCTGGGGATTCGCTTTCTTTGGCGGATAGCGCATGGTCCGTTTGAGAGGACGCGGTGCGTGGCCGCTTTGCGCGAGGCAAGTCCTCGGCTCCCACGAGGGTGTCTTCGGCTGTTGGGAAGTCTGCCGTGGATGAGCCAGAGGCATCCAGGCCATTGGAGAATGCCCGCTTGACTGTGTTGATGAAGTAGACTCCGCTGGAACTGCCGACAAATTGACTGTCCTCGTTGGAGTGCGCCGTCAAGGATCCGATTTCGGATGATTCAGGTACGAATTCCGGTGACTCCATCGTCTCCGGTGCATTGCGGGAAGCTCCAGTGCTATAGCAGTTCACGTCTTGGTCCACAATTTCATCTCGTCCGAGTTGAGATGCTTAATCAGCACCGTCTTCATCCTGGATATCACGAGGAAGCAGTCGATGAATATTACCTAGGTAGTAAGAGTTGACGAGAACTTCCTCAGACTTCTCAAGCAATCGGAGCATATCGTATCCTAGCTATCTCATTCATTCTCCAGGATCGGCGAACAAGTCATAACTCTATGTTACACTCTTGGAGAAAAAAGATATGGGAATAGGAAGAGAAAAAATGTCACAACTCCCACCCCGTAAAAAAGGAAGTGCACAAGACCCAGATAAAAACTCAAGTCATAAGATAGACCCCAAATCCAACGCCTGAAGGAAAGAGAAAAAGCCACTTTTACCGACCCAACTGCTTCCGTGCCTGTCCCCGAAAGTTATGTCCCATCGAGACCCATCAGGTAGAGCTCAACACCAAGAGTACGAAGGAGATGAGAAATTTTTGAAAACCGAATGTCGTGCCACGTTCAAGAAACACCAGTAGGTGACTGCCTAACACAAGAACTTTTCAAACCGAGGGATATCAGGATCAGAGGGGAAGATAAAAAAGGTGAAAAGGTGGAAAGTGGAAACATAGGAGAGGGTGAAATAAAAAATAGAAAGAGAAAAAAGAAAGTCATCAAAAACGTGCATCCAAGATTTCCGAGCGGTCAGAGCGCAACTGGGACGAATATCCCACTTTGCGATGCGTTCGAGGATGGAGACGCGTAGTTTACGACTTGTTCTCCTCCGTCGAAGCCTCCTTGGCGGCCTCCTTGGAGTCAGTCGCCTCGCCCTCGGTACCCTTGTTCTTCATGTACTCGTCATAAACGCTAAGAGCCTCGTCGACCTTGGCGCGCAGAGCCTCATCGTCCTCAAGCCTAGTGAACATTGTTAGCAAACCCGCGCCTCGCAGAAACAAGGAGCAAACCAAGAGTCACTTACAGGCCAATCAGCTCGGTGTTGTCCATCTCCAGAAGCATACCGGTGATCTTGCCGGCCAGCTCGGGCTGCTGAGCCTGGATCTTGGGGTAGAGAGCCTCGCCGAGCATCTGCTTTTGCTGGGCCGGGGGAGCAGAGGTGAGGGCCTGGGTGACACCACCAGCCTCATCACGACCAGCAGGCTGACCAGCAGCGGGAGCGGGCTGGCCACGGCCACGACCCATCTGAGGACCACCACGACCGTATCCGGGACCGCCACGCATACCCTGGCCCATCGGCATACCCGGGACCTGGCCACGGCCACCACCGCCACGTCCGAAAGCCTGAACCTGAGCCATGGGGTAACCCATGCCGTTGGGAATTCCACCGGGGCCCTGCATTCCCATGGGCATACCCTGGAAGTTAGGAGGAATTTGCTGGTTGGGGCCCATGCCGCGGCCACCCTGCTGACCGGGGAAGGGACCGGGGAACTGGCCAGGGCGTCCACCGGGGATGCCAGCCATGACCATACCGGGCTGGGGAGGGAAAGCCAGACCACCACGACCACCACCAGGAATGAAACCTTGCTGGCCAGGGCCGTAGTAAACGGCAGGCTGCATGAACTAGAGATGAAATTAGACGTTGGCAAGAGACACAAACAGGAAAAAATAAAAATAAAAATAAAAAACTTACAGGCTGGGGCATGCCAGCGGCGGCAGCGGCTTGCTGCTGACGGATGGTGTTGCGAGCCTGGATGCTAGCCTCGAGCTGGCTGCGACGGACATCCTTGCGCTGAGCGAGGGCCACATACAGGGGCTTGCCATTGACCATGCGCTGGTTCATCTCGGTGACAGCCTTGGAGGCCTCGTCGGGGCTGCTGAAGCACACGAAGCCGAAGCCCTTGCTCTTTCCAAAGCCCTTTTTCTCGCCCTTCTTGGACTCGTCATCCTGGTCCTCCTGGGACTCCTTCTCCTCGGTCTTCTCGGTCTTCTCGCCCTCGGTCTTGGGCTCCTCGCCCTCCTTGGCGGCCTCCTTCTCCTTGTCGGAGTCGGGAGTTGGGGTGCGCTCAATCGCGGAGTCTCGCATCACCTTGGCCGAGGTGATGGTGCCGTAGGGAGTGAAGAGGTCACGCAGCTTGTCGTCATCAACGTCATCTGTCAGGTTCTTGACGTAGAGGTTGACACCCTGGTACTTGGAAGCCTTCTCCATACGGGCAGCCTCGTACTGCTTCCGCAGCTCCTCCTCACGCTCGTGCTTCTTCTGAGCACGGCCGACGTAAAGCTTCTGGCTCTTGATATCCTTCTCGTTCATCGCTTCGACGGCGGCCTGCGCACTTTCGTGGGTGGAGTAGTTGACGAAGCCGAAGCCACGGCTCTTGCCCTCCTGGTCGTGGCTAAGGGTGGCCGAGGTGATCTCACCGAACTTCTCGAACATGGTACGGAACTCCTCGTCGGAGATCTCCTGGTCGAGGTTCTTGATGTAGATGTTAGTGAAGTTGGCCTTCATCTCCTCGAACTTGCTCTGGCGGTCCTTCTTGGAGATGTGGTGGCCCACGAAGACCTTCTTGTCGTTCAGCAGCATGCCGTTGACGTGCTTGATGGCGTTGTTTGCAGCATCAGCAGTCTCGTAGTGGACGAAACCGTAACCCTTGGAGTTGCCAAACTCATCCTGGGCGACCTTGCAGCTGAGAATGTTGCCAAAGGCCGCGAAGGTGTCGTGGAGAGCCTTGTTGTCGATCGCGTTGTCGAGGTTCTTGATGAAGACGTTGCCCTGGCCAGTCTTACGCAGAGCGGGGTCACGCTGAGACCACATGATACGGCAGGGCTTGCCCTTGATCAAAGTGTAGTTCAGGTCCTCCAGCGCGCGCTCACCGTCGGCCGTGTTGTTGTAGTTGACGTAGGCATAGCCGAGGGAGCGGCGGGTCACAGCGTCACGGCAAACACGGATCGATGCGACCTGGCCAATCGAGGAGAAAAGCTCGTAGAGCATGGCCTCGGTCACGGAGGTGTCGAGTTCACCGACATAGAGGGAGGCCGAGTGGGGCTGAGTGCTGGGGGTAGCAGCACCATCGTCAGTACTGGCCTCGGGAGCGGCGGCGGCAGGGGCACCGTTGGCCTCGGGGGTGCCGTTGACAGTGTTGTCAGTGACGGGAGCGGTAGCGGCTTCGGCAGACATTTTGAGTGCTGTTGTTACTGAGGGAGGGGAAATTTTTAGCAGGTGCTCGAGTCTGTTGTGGGGGGGGGGAGTGAGGTAAAAGAAAAATCAAAAGGGAAGTTCAAAGAGGTGACACCGCAGACCATGCAGCCTCTTTGACAAGAAGTCATAAAGCAGATGAGCAGGACGAGGGCACGTACAGCAGGGTGTCCACGAGAAGAAGGGCTTGGAGAGATTATGCACAGATCAAAGCACACTGGGAAGCAATCAGTGGATTACCCCAAGCTTGGCGCATCAAGTCCCGACAGCGAGTGACTCTTTTAATCTTTTCGAGCGAAAAGAAACTGATTGTAGAAGAGGAGGGGGGCGAAAGTGATGCGACTAACCAGATGAGAGAAGTGGAAGGAGAAGGCGGTCGTGAGAAAATCTTCCACACAACAGACCGCACAACGGAGGGATGAGATAAGATAACTGTGTGTGTTTTTTCTGAGATTTTTCAGGTTTTTTTGGGGATTTTTGTTTTTCTTTCGATAAAGATTCGAAAGGAAAAGGAAGAAGTTCCCTAAAGAAAGAGAGAAACGAAGACTCGAGGGGGAGACAGTGGATGAAGAAAGGAAAGAAAAGGGAAAAAAAAAAAGAGTCGATCAAAGGCAGCCAATTCGGGCGTTCTGGAAAACTCAGTGAGGGAGGGGCACTAGTCTCAATGGGGAATTTCTTGCTTGCCGCTTTACGTGCTTGTGAAAAGACTCGGGTGTCATGGATTTCACGAGAATAGCTAAAAGACAGAAATCGAAAATTAAGTGAGAAAGAAATTGACAGACAGGCTATTCGACCACTCTTGAACAATACCAAGAGGATCTCAGGCCTTCATTCATCTACATGGACACAACACACCAATCAACGCCTGTAGATTGCCTCGACGCCGATGCTATGGATCTACAAACACAAAGAAATAGAGCAATCAAAGAAAAGAAAAGAAAAAACATTCCCCGAAACACCAACTTAACTCAGATCAAACCCGGCCCCCGAGCTCACCGCATATAACAGCTTGGTTCGGAGCATGTCGGCACTAGTATAACGCGGCAACTTCAACAGGTTGACGCATGTACTTGTGCTCGGTAGTCGCTCCTGGTCCTCGCTGGAGTCGCGAATACTGAACCGGGGGTTCAGGTGGCTGAAACCTAGCAGTGGAGCACGCGGGGTCGACGTGACAAAACGCAGCACCTTCTGCCGGTCTTCATTGTTCATGCTGTGCATGACCTCCCAGAAAAGCCGGATGGTTGGGTGCTCCTGGTGATCGTCGCCGATCGTGTACACACCCCCGTACAGCGTGTTCCGCCGCAGGTCCTCAACGTCAATCTCTCCGGTCTCACCACTCACCAGGGTTTGCAGCTCAGACTGGTTGAACATGGACAGCCAGCTGGGCTGGATGATCTGCCCCAAGCCCTGCAGGAAGGCATTGGTTTGCAGAGAAGGCTGCAACTGGAGACGATACCGGGCAACACAGGAGATGTACACCAGCCGGTTCTGGTTTGTAACGGCTGTGCTTGAGCCATGGGGCTTGAGCTCTTTTGTCACCGTATGCTTTGTCGATCCGTCTGTCGGGATCGTATCGGTGACGGTGAAGTCGAGAGCGAAGTCCTCGACATTGCCGGGATAGTTTTTCAGTTGCAGCTAAATAAGAGGGAAGCAAGAGTTAGCAAGGAAGCTCAAGGTGCACGGGGTATCAAACACTCACAAGCCCCTGGTAAAGTCCCTCGTCGAGATCCCTCAAATCATTTACATTGGCGCGGTACGACGACTCCCTGACGGCGGATCCAGAGCCCCCAGTCAATGCCCATTTCAAAAGGAAAAATGGCGCGAAGTGAACATCAACCAAGATCCCTTCGTAGAGACACTTTCCGATCACCCGGCCGAGGAATTCATAGCGGCGAAGCAGAGCGCGAATTTCAGCTGTCCAGTAAACGGAGGATTCGGGCGATCGACTTTCGTGGAGGGTCTTCTTGAGATGTTCGACAGCGACTGGGTTCGGGTAGAGCAAATGGTGGTCATTCTCCACAAACATGCTCGATTTATCGTCGGTCTTGAAGGCCTCGGAGATAACGCTGGTTAAAAACTCCTTCGTTACCCCACCGCCATCAATACCCGCCTCCATGTTGCCAAACTGGTCAATAAAACTGATCTGGATTGGCTCTTTGAGGCCGTCGCCCAACGTGTAGAATTGGGAAAATGCGTCGTCAAACACGCTCCCTCGTCGAATATCAGCATGATGCCGAGCCAGGATATCTTGGCCAGACGGTTGGCCATGAAGATGTTGACCCGTAGTCTGGGCTACGAACATGCGCCACATATCTGAGTCAACGTATCCATTCCGACGATACTTCTGATCCCGAATAATAAATTCGCGAAAGATCTGCACGCGGGTCGTAAAGGGAACAAAGAACGGAACGTTTCGAAGGATCTCAAGACGGGGTATAACGTGCCCCAGAAGTCTTCTCCGGGAATTTTGTAATTGACGGAGACTCGAGGCTTCGTTGCGCATAGCCCATTGAGCGTGGCTAGTACCGGCCAGGCCGAAGGGTTCGAATGCATCCTCATCCATAAGGTCAGGATCTGTGGCATCCTCGCCTTCATCTTGAAATTCACGCCGCCTCTCTTCTTCCTCTACGACGGCCTGAGTGAAATGCTCGATGTCAAATCGCGTGGTAAGCCAGTGATCGTGAGGAAGAAATCTCCGCCGCGAACTAAACAAACTGTGAGTATCATTCATCTCACTGTGACGTCTAAGTTAACTTACTCTCGTTCGTAGATCATTCTCAGCAGTCCAGTCACGATGCCCTTGAAGTACTCCAGGGGGATCCCCGTCACTCCTGGCAGATCACCGTTTTGAGATCTCTGATCTCCATCCGGAGGCATCGGGGACTTCGGCAGACGTTGAGACGTTCTGTTAAAGTAGCTGCCAATATCCACGAGATTCTGCTGGCTGGCTTCTTCGGGAACCAGGTCCGCGGAGTTCCAGTAGAGGGTGAAGGCGAGGTTTTTGAGGAATAGAGACAACTCCTTGACGTCTTGCAGTGGCAACGCACTTTCCTTGGTCCACGAGATATGTTGAGTTTCCGAAGCCGTAAATGAAGCTGCCTGAGAGAAGAATTCTTCGTCATCCATGACTTTCAAGACGAAAGTGTACAGCTCAAGGAAGAGCAGGATGATTGTCCACTGCTGATTGCGTTCGGAAAATGGAATTTGGATAGGCAAAGCCATGTCCATCTGAGGCTGCAACAATGAGAGGACACTGTCGGGGTCATTCTTGATGGATTCGAAGACTTGACTAGATCTCGATGCCTGCCAGAAGTACTTGATCGCTGGAATCCTTGCGTCCGACCGGCCAGCGAGCGGTCCCTCTGAAGGGGCCGAGCCTAAGTACAACCACATTCGAATTTCATCTCCTCGTCGAGGGAAAACCCTCAGCAAATTCAGTGCGTATGTGGCAAGGATCTTGGTCTCCTTCGATGCCCCAGAGTTGGTATTTGCCAGGTCAGCCTGGGATACATTGGAGGATCGGATCCGAGAAAGCAATCCGGTGACACTGTTTTGGTTCGCAAGGCTCATGATCTGGTCTTTGATGAATGGGGGCAAAGGTTTATCTTCGCTCGACGTGTCTTCAACCATCAGACGTGATGTGATATGAGAAGCCATCGAGGTCAGCAACTCAGACACCACAGCCACAAATTCCAGCTCCGGAGCCTGAGAATTTTCCTGGGCTCCAAGTGCATATCTATGAAAGAAAACCAGATAGGATAGCACCCAGAGACGAGTCTCTGTATCATCCAGAGTGCGAGAACTGCCCCCGGTGGAAGCAAGACAGGACCCCACCGCCGAAGCAAGCATTTTGTAGTTGATTTGACGGGACAGTTCATCAAGCGATCCCAGGTACATTTGAAGATCAGGGACACTGAGGTATGAAGTAGCGAACGCCTCATATGCCGACAATGTCTCCGAGGTGATGGGTTTGAGCAGGGAAATAACAGCCTCAACCATTTTTCCAGAAGTCAATTCAATACTGTGAAAGGTATGAGTGAGCCTCAGCGTCAAGGACGCCATCGTGGTGTAATAGAGGTGCCCTATTGCCGCCATTTTCTTCGGTATCAAGCGGGTCAAAAACACCGCCATCTCTAACAGAGGAGTCACTGTGCTCGGTACCTCCCACAAGAGTTGCTCCCTTCTCGGGCCTAGTATCTGAAGGATGGCAGCAGCGAACCGCTTCAACAGCTCGGTCCATTCGCCTTCTGTAGCGATCGTAGGGAGGGAGTGGAAGGTCTGGACAAATGCATCGGAGAAATACACCAAGCGAAATGCATCATCGGACTGCCGTGAGTGGCCCACAAATTGGACCAGGAGTCTCAGTTGAGACAAACACTGCTCCGCAGTCGCATATGGTGCGGGTGGCTGCAACCGATGCGAGATGTGATCAGGCCTCGTTGGCGACGTCTCGGGGCCATTTTTCATGGCCCTTTCTTCCCTTATTCTTTCATTCACATCCCACTCAAGTCTAAAAATTTGGTAGGTGCCTTTTCGGTTGTGATAACCTCGCCAAACCCGCTGAATGAGTCGGCTTGCAGCCTGTCGGTCTCTCTCTTCTTGTCTCAAAGCTCGCTCCTGCTGTGCAATAGCGACGGCACTCTGGGGGTTCGTGGCATGCGGTGTCTGTCTGCTCGGGGAGTTGCTCGGGAATGCAGCGAAAGGATTTGTGGTTCGGCCACGGAGGTTCACCTGCCGCGGACGACGAGCGTCACCGGTGAAGGAATGGAACATGGTGACTTTCGTTTTCAAGTTGGAGAGATAACAAGGCAGGCTGAAAGGATGCAATGAAAGGTCGCTAGAAATACAAAAAACAACGGAACAGCACACTCATCTCAAAGGCTTGGAGCATGGAGGAGATGTTTGAAGAACTATGACATGCGCTGAGTACGATACGGGCGTCCCAATTGCGAGCTTATCGCATATATCCACGGGCCACGCACGAGATTGGTGAGTGTTCAGGGCGGAGAGTGAGCTATTTCCACGCACCTCATTGCCACACACTCGAGGAAGATTCTGGTGACTTTCTCAGGCTACAAGGCAAAGTCCATGGCTAACAAGGCACTCTCATATGTGGTATATTGTTTCTAGGAGCTGTCTGAACATCAATGACAATATATGGTTATCCCATCCCGAAGTCAAAAACCCTGAGGGAGTGGGCACCAAGTAGATATATCCATTGACACCTCATATGGGTTCCAGTTAGGTCGAATTTCCATTGGAAAGGGAAGGGTTATAATACACGGATGATGCGGTCGGCCAGCGAGCAGGGGAGAAGGTAAAGCAGGAGGCGGGAGTGGTAATTGGACAGCTGTGCGGCACAGTCGAGGGCTCATTGAGGACGGCCTCTGCATGCCAGTCAGACTGCGTTCGTTGTTCTGAAAGGAGTCAAACACTGACTCTCAGCTTTAATCCATAGCCATTGTCCAAATCATGTTGAGATTCCCCGACCCTGAGCATTGCGCTGCTCCTTCGCCTCGCGCTCTTGACGGCTGTCATAATCACCGGGGTTGTCATCGGCCCATTTTTGAAGAAAGTCGATACCCTGGAAGCCTGCAAGAGCCTTGACAGTCTTACCACCCTGCTCCACCTCCTTCCAGTATTCATCCTTGGTCGGTTCCATGCGTTTCGTCACAAAAGGAGTAAGCTTTGTTCATGTTAGTTAGACAATTCTTGAAGCTGTGTATTACAGAACCAACCTTGAACGTCGACATTTCAGGGACTATATAATTGCGGATTTTGCTCCTGTCGAGCTGGTAACTGCCGTTCTTGCGGAAAGAACCCATCGAGCCAGTCCGGTTTCCCTTGTAGTAGCCGCCATTGACTTGCTTGGTTGTCAAGCGCAAGCGCGCCATCATTGGTTGTGAAGGTTTGACCATTGTGGTAGCGAAGGGTGGGTGTCGAGAGGATGTCGAGGGGAAGAGGGAAGGTGGACGGGGAAGTTGGCAAAAGTCGGGTCGGAGAGCGCTGATCGCCGAGAACTTTTTTTTCCCTCAAAACGCTTCACCACTTTGCTGAACCCCCACCCAGCTCACAGAGATCGGATTTTTTTTTTTTTTTTTGGTCTTTGCAAAATCGCTTAATTCTGAACTAAAGCTGGTGTTACTTTTCAATTTCCTGGAAGAGTTTTGCTCTCGCAATCATGCCTCGCAAGCAGACTCAGTCACGAGGTCCGAAAGACCGGTCTACCCAAAAACCGGCACCCAAGCGAAAGAACGGACGGGCGCTGGACGCACTCTCTATTGCTGAAGAGCAAGTTCCTACAAAACTGGGAGTCCGGCGCAACCGCTTGGGCCACTCTGATGATTGGTCCCATCGCAAAAGACATTCGGGCCGCGACGAAGACGACGAAGACGACGACGAAGAGGGTCCAACCCATAAACGCCGCCGAACCGAGGGATCTGACGGTGGAAGCGATAGCGAGGGCCACGAGTGGAAGCTGGGACAAGTGGACAGCGACGATGACAGCGAGCTGGACAGTGACGAGGCTCTGGGCGAGAGTGACGAGGAGAGGTTCGAGGGCTTCACTTTCCGCGGAAGCTCGTCCAACCAGTCCAAGCCTAACCCGAAGAGAACTGCTGCTGCATCAAAGAAACGTCCCGAGATCAGCTTGTCCGAAGACGTCGAAGAATCCGAGGACGAAAAATCTGGTGAGGATGAAGAAGACGGTGACTTGGGAGAAGACGCCGTCGACCTCGCCACTGCTTGGGATATGAATACAGCTGCAGAGGAGGAGGAAGCCAAGAGGGCGGCTGCAAAAACCAAAAAGGCCGCAGCAGGAGATGAAAGTGAAGAGGACTCGGGGTCAGAGGGCGACAGTGAAGAAGATCTCAGTGATGACTCTGGTTTGTCTGTGTCGGACGATGATGCCGATAGCTCCAATACACAAGGGTTGTCGAAACTACAAGACTTTGTCAAATCGATGGAGACCAAAGGAACTTCGAAACGCCCGCAGAAGTCCCAAGAAGCAGACAAGCCTACGGAATACGGATTGACGTCTACTAACAAGTTGACTGTTGCTGATCTACTGCCCTCGATTACCGACTCTCGTCTCAAAAACTCGCTTAAACATGTCGATTCGGATCCTCAGACATCCAAGTCGGGAATCCCGGGGAAGCTCGACGCTCCCCTGGCGAAACGACAGCAGGATCGACTCGACCGGGCCGCTGCCTATGATAAGAGCAAAGAAACCCTCAATCGGTGGCTTGAGACCGTCAAAGCCAATCGCCGGGCCGAACACCTCATGTTCCCTCTCCCCGATCCTGACGCCCAACACTCCCATCGCATGGACATTGCCAAGCCGCAAACGGACTTGGAAGGCACCATTCAGAATATTCTTGTGGAGAGCGGACTAGCTGAAGCTGGGGGCAATTCGGCCGAGAGCCAAGTTCAAGGCTTTGAAGAGCTAAAATCTCGCCAGTTGCCTGTGGAAGAGATCCAGGCCCGGCAAGCAGAACTACGGAAGCGACGTGACCTGCTCTTCCGGGAGGAAGTGCGCGCTAAACGGATCAAGAAAATCAAGAGCAAGTCATATCGCCGGGTTCATCGCAAAGAACGCGAGAGGCTGGAGCAGCAAGAACGACAAGCACTTCTGGAGGCGGGTGTGGATCTGGACGAAAACGAGAAGGAGAAGAACGAGCGACAGAGAGCTGAAGCTCGGATGGGCTCCAAGCACCGGGAAAGTAAATGGGCGAAGAGCTTGAAGCAAACGGGTCGAACTGCCTGGGATGAAGACGCTCGCAATAGTGCGGCCGATCTCGCACAAAGAGAGGAAGAGCTACGAAAGAGAATCGAAGGGAAGCGCGTGTCTCATGGCGACGACGACTACTTGGGATCTTCTAGCTCCGAATCAGAGGATGAAGATCGTTGGCAGGAAGATGGGTCTGATATGGAAAAGCGGAAATTGCGTCGAAAACTGAGTGCTCTCGAGGCTGATGTCGCCGATGAGGACATCAAGGGACCCCACTCGAATCTCTTTGCCATGAAGTTTATGCAAAATGCCGACGCCGCACGTAAGGAACAGAACGACGCGGAAATCCGAAAACTGAACCGTGAGCTGCACGGGGAGGAATCACAGTCAGAGGCCGAATCTGAGGTCGGTCGACGAAAGTTTGGCCAATCCGCGAAGCCTGGAACCAAGTCCAAGGCAAAGTCCTTGCCCAAGAATGAATTTGAGGAAGCTGCGGGCTCGGATGATGAGGCGCAATCAGCGGAAGATCAGGATGTGGACATTGTCGTCGACCGTCCCTCCAAGCAAAAGCCAGCGCCCTCGGCTGCAAAACCTGCTTCGCGATCCTCAAACAAAGCTTCCACCAAGTCCAATGACCACGTTGAAAACGAGAACCCATGGCTGGTTCAAACAGAGCGAACCAACCGTCGCCGGGCAGGCCCCGACACCCAAGAGACTGTGGATATTTTGCTCGATGACCAACCACAAAAGAATGCCCGTGCCGATGATCGTGGCAAGAAGGGCAAGACTGCAAAGGCTGTCCCCGCCAAATCACATACTGTTGGCGAGAACGATAGCGACGATGAGGACAACGTGCTTGTTCTGCTTAAGAACCATGACCTGGTGAAGAGGGCCTTTGCTGGCGATGAGGTTGTGCAAGATTTCGAACAAGAAAAGATGGACACTGTTGAGGACGAGGGCGACAAAGTTGTCGACAACACGCTCCCCGGATGGGGCAGTTGGGCTGGTGACGGGATCAGCAAGAAGCAGCAGAAGAAACAGAAGCGATTCCTGACCACCGAGCAGGGAGTGAAGCCCGAGCACCGGAAGGACGCCAAACTCTCGCGGGTCATCATCAATGAAAAACGAGTCAAGAAGGTAAGACCAATCTCTATCATGGCCAGTTTACGAACCACTGCTTACCCTGTCTTAGAACACCAAGTACATGGCCAGCCAGCTTCCTCACCAGTTCGAAACGCGACAACAATACGAGCGGTCGCTCCGCTTGCCACTGGGCCCCGAGTGGTCTACGAAAGAAACGTACCAGAGTGGAACCAAGCCTCGGGTTATGGTCAAGCAGGGCATCATCAAGCCGATGGAGAAGCCGGCATTGTGAGTGTATCTGTGGTTTGGTTACCTGTAGATATCTATATATTTGGGCTGGATATACATCTGGCATCCCTAGAGTCGGGCATGGTCCATGGAACGCCACACCTTGTTTTTTTCTCTTTCACAAAAGCATTTCAATTGAACTCATCCTGTACAATGCACTCTATTGGTACTCCATTTGTAGAACCGAACTATATCTTTGGCTCCTGAATCGTGTTGCACTTGACTCTATAGTCGTCTACATGGCGTGCAACCCGTCACACAGAGCAACCCCATCGAGTCTGGTGACGATCCCAATGGCACTGGAATGCCCGTCAAGGCCGAACCGGCTGATCTGAGCTGATCGACCCGTGGTTTTGCCCGGTGATTCACAGCGTTGACTTGGCGCTCCACAACGGTGTTGCCTGGCCGCGACTCATAAATCGCCTAATTCAACACCTCCATCTCCAATCAAACCATTCAATTCACGCCGGCCAAGTCCATTCAGGTCAGATTCCCATTTATGCAGCTGAAGTACATCCATTGAAGGACTGTTGACGCCGCGCATTCCTCGTAGTGGGGACAACCTCGCCTGGTGTGTGCACACCCCCTGCCAATAACGCGGGTTGTTTTTGCTCGCCTCGCGCCCTACATTGCTGGCCGGGAGACGGCTCTGCGATTCGCATCTCCGCCTGTTATCCTGTTCTTCTATCGGGGCAAAAGAAGTCTGGTTCCGAGGAGGATCGACAGCCGGGAATTCTTGCTGTAAACCACCCACAACAAACCAGGCGTCTGATCCGCCATCTGGAGCTGGCGCACCAGGAGAATCTGGAGTGCTCCAGGAATTCATAGCACATACTTGTAAGTCCACATCCCTCGATTTCGGGTTCTTTTTCCTTTCTGCTAGTTTCGAGTCGTCTTGGGACGGAAGTGTGTATCTGCTCGAGTTCATCTCCCTGTATGGAATGAATTGAGGCATAGATCTGGCTTTCTAACCCCCCCCCCCGTCTCGACACTTGGTGCTATTGTGTTTCCAATTGGCTTCTAGCCATGGAATTCAGGTCAAAATGGAAGGCTGCAGCCATACTGACATGGCTTTTAGCCACTGAAACCGCCTATTCTCTCCCCAAGCAAGTGGAGAGTGCAGAGAGTATCTTGCAAAAGACTGCTGCAGAACCGACGACATCTTTTAAGACCCAGTATCCGCCAGATAACGCGGAAGATCGGCTGCTGATCCCTCAAACGAAGCCTGTGAGTCTGGTTGAGGCTTACCGATTTGTAGGGACAGTGTTGACACTGTACAACAGGCCTATCGGACAGCGTTGGACCACGAGGGCCGTCCCTCGCAACTTCCGTTTCCGACTGTCAATGTGCCTCACTTCCTGGACGGGTTGACTGGATTGATCTCTCCGCCTGAGTCGGCAACTGCGTCTGTTGCGCAGGACAAACCGCTTCCCTCAACTACCGCGGAAGATACGAAACCTGAAGTCCCTTCACCAACAAGCACTACGGACGAGAAGCCTGCCACTCCCATCAAAGGTAGGAATGATATCCGTCGGTATGTGCGGTCGCCGCTAACTTGTACAAGGCTACGCCAATACTGGTCACCCAGATCATCCTTCCACCATGGCCCACCAGGACATCTTCCACCCGGTGGCACGAAGTCCAATCCCTCCACATATCCAAATCAGACATGACCACCCTGTGGAGAACAAGCATGTGAGTACTACTCCCCTTCGCAACAATGCGTGGTCCCTCTGACCCACTATGATAGGCGAATACCACAGGCCCAATTGAAACCAACAAGTTCTACGCCGGTCTGTTCTTAGGATCCCAGACCAATGCCAGTTTCACCCAGCCTTATTCTCTGGCTTGGTCTAAGGGTGGCGGATCGCTTAAGAGCTGGGGTATGGCAGTTTCCCACGTGGAGAGCCACCTGCTTGCGTATGGTCCAAAGAACCACAAGATTCCCGGTGACCCGGTCGAATATTATATCAATCCCGTTAGCCTTCAGCACGTCATTCTATCCGCAACCGAGCTGGATAAGTCCAGTATCCTGAACACCGAGAACGCCAAAGCTTTCTCGGCTCAAGCTGTGCTGAGGCGATCCGGGGGCTCTTCCAAGAAAATCACGTTTCCAGTCGTCCAGGGCATGGGCTATGTGACTGCTGTGTACGATGACCTGCAGCCGCTGATTGAGAGCGGTGTTTTCTTCCGCAAGGTTGTCAGTGCTGGTTCCCCTCGGAAGGGTGTCTTTAAGTACCAAGTATTCCTCGAAGACAACACCACCTGGCTTCTCTATGCTACGCCTGCCAACGGCCAGGATCCAGATCTGAAACTGGTATCAAAGGCAAACCTCCGCGGTCCGCGTGGATTTTCTGGCACGATCCAGGTCGCCAAGAACCCTGCCGGCCACTCTGGGGAGAAGTTCTATGATAACTCATCCGGTGTCTATCCGGTGGAAGGACATATATCTGGCTCCGTCTCCGGTGATACCGGCACATACAGTCTTTCATGGACCAAGGCCGGAAAGGACGCCCACGGCACCCCTCTGATCATGTTTGCCCTTCCCCATCATTTCCAGTCTTTCGACCACAGCACCAGGGGACGCGCAACCGACATTCACCTCCGGAGTACGACTAAAGGCAATACTACAGCTGTGATCGGAGAGCACTGGATCATGAGCGAGCCCCACCTCCCCATTGACATGGGATTCGCCCCGTGGTCGCCTACCCATGGCAACATCCAGGATCTTTCCGCGGCTGCTCAGAAAGTCATCCTCCAGGTGGCTCCCCACGAATTAAAGCAGGACATGGAAGGCCAAACGAATCTCAACAGCATGTACTACAGTGGCAAGGCACTGAGCAAATTTGCGACTTTGGTCTACACAGTCAACCAGCTTGGAAACAATGTGGAGCTCGCGACTGAGGCCTTCCAGGAATTGAAAAAATGCTTTGCTCGCTTTGTGAACAACCAGCAACAGTACCCACTTGCGTACGATGCCGTCTGGAAGGGTGTTGTGTCGACCGCTGGTTACAAGGGCGACCTGAATGCTGATTTCGGGAACACTGCCTACAACGACCACCACTTCCATTACGGCTACTTCATCCAAGCTGCCGCCATTATCGGGGCTCTCGACCCGAGCTGGCTGACAGCCAACAAGGAGTGGGTCAACATGCTGGTGCGCGACGCTGGAAACTCAGTGGAGGATGATCCTCACTTCCCTTTCTCTCGCTCGTTCGACTGGTACAATGGTCACTCCTGGGCAAAGGGCCTTTTGGAGTCCTTCGATGGAAAGGACGAGGAATCCACTTCGGAGGACACCATGTTCGCCTACGCCGTGAAGATGTGGGGACGTACGACCGGGGATTCCAGCATGGAAGCCCGTGGCAACATGATGCTGGGAATTATGAAGCGATCTCTCCAAAGCTACTTTCTCATGGAAAGCGACAACATCCACCAGCCGTCGAATTTCACCGCCAACAAGGTGACTGGTATTGTAAGTGTCGTTGATCGCCTTCGTCCGCGAAAGAGCCGCTACTAATCACTTTTATAGCTGTTCGAGAACAAGGTGGACCACACCACCTACTTTGGTAATAACCTTGAATACATTCAAGGGTAAGACCCTTATATTTTGCTTCTTCTCCGCGCCATCTGACATGTTCCAGAATCCATATGTTGCCTCTCCTGCCAAACTCGGCCTACACTCGCAACCAAGAGTTTGTCAAGCAGGAGTGGAATGCGTTGTTTGGACCCCACGCCTCCACCCCTGCTTCCAAGGTGGTTGGTGGTTGGAAGGGGGTTCTGTACGCCAATCTTGCGCTCATCAACCCGAAGGCATCATGGGAGTTCTTTGCATCCCCTCACTTTGACTATAGCTGGATCGACGGCGGTGCTTCACGCACGTGGTATCTGGCATTTGCTGCCGGTAAGTTTCTTACCGTCCTCGATTTTCTGTCAAGGCTCTGGACAAAGCTGACTCGATGTAGGTTTGGGTGGAGCTCCTTAGGCTCTCTATTTTTTTTCTCTCTCTCTTTTATGCAGGTATTTTATGATGTCGTATTGGGGTATCGCTTCCAAACCCGAAATTCTTTGCTGTGGAGCTTGTTTCTTGTTTGGGGGATTTCCTGGTAGCTATTATCAGTGAGTCGGTATATATGAAAGCGCCAGGTGGTTACGAAGAGTTACGCACTGTTCAATATTCGATAGCAGTAAGATCAATTTGGCTGGACGACCCACCTAAAAACACGCCTAATGTAAACTCATCTCGACTCGGGCGTCCTTCCTGGTCTTCACTTTTTCCAACAGGGTATAACAGAATCCTTCGCCCCCAAGCTATTCCGGACGAGTATAAATTCGTGATACTCAGCGAGTGGGGCCGTTACCTCAAGGCTGCATCTTTGTAAGATTTCAGACCTTTCACCAGAATGGCGTTGGGTGAAGATGGCTGTTGGTTAGTTAGGGCTTGGGCGTGGCCTGCGGTGATGGTATATACCTCTAATATTTCTTGGAGAGTGTACCCATGGATCCTTTTTTGAGGGGGGGTTTCTTCTTCCAACGATGGTTTACTTTGCGGGATTGTGGAATCCACTGATCAACAGGTCAGCAACCTTCCAAGGTTAGTTAGTTGCTAACGTATGAGTAGTGGTATCTTAATGTCTTTCCCGGTATAGACCAAACAAAAAGAGTCAGCTTCGCGAGAAAAGAACTGTTTCTGATTGGAACCCCCCTAGCGGACGCATGCAAGAATACTCCGTAAAAGCCCTCGGTTTCCAATTCCTTCTGACGTTCTCCATTTCTTTCTTGTTTCCCCTTGGTCTCCCAAACGGGCAGGGCTTTTTTTTTTTTTTTTTGATATCTACATCTACACACACACACACACATATATATATAAAGAAAAGAAAAGGAAATGAAGCTCAACAACCTCGCCCTCCTGGGTCTCATCGGAGGAGCCTTCGCTCTTCCAGCCCCTGATGGCGGCTGCCCGGAGCCCACGATCTTCGCCACCCCACGGGTTTACAACCTTGAGACGTCGACGCACACGCAGACCGTGACCCACGAAGTGTCACACTGGCAAGTGATGACCGCCACGCGAACCTTCAAGGCCGGCACCGCCAGCACCAACACCAAACCCGTGCCCAAGAACCCCAAGTCCAGCAGTACGGTCACGGCGACGCCCAAGCGCACCTGGACGCCTACTTTCACGCCTGCGGCCACGTTCTCCCCCGCCGTGACCTCTGGCGCTGTCGCGTCCGGAGCCGCGGCCTCGGGCTTGCAGAAGCGTGACCAGTGCGAGACCGTCAAGACTCTCAGCGCTATCACCGTCGGCGATAGCACAATCATCACCACGACCACCACCCACATCACTAACTTCGTCTTCTATGGCCCTGTCGTCACCGTTGACCCGCCCGTCGCGCCGCACACTTCTTCTGCTGGCCGTCACCCGTTGTCGGCGAAGAATAGGCCTTCTGGTCGCCCCACTGGTCGTCCTACTGGCTGGCCTACCGGTCGTCCTAACTGGGCTACCGGCTGGAATGCTCCTTCGCCGAAGCCCTCCACGTCCTCCAACAAGCCGTTTTTCTAGGCGAATGAGGACTGACGAGTGAGCGCGTGAGCGAATGTGTGTGTGTTTGTGTGTATTTTCTTCGAACGAGTTATGGATTCATCCATAATGCTTTTAATGCCGCTTTTGTACACGCCTGAGATGGACCCTGTATCTGGAACTGCACTTGCCGGTATAGAACGTTAAAATGAATAGATCTGTGTACTTTTCAACATGACTTTTTAGTAATTTTAGTAGCATAGTAGCAACAGCAAGAATATTCTTTTGAGCCCCAAAGTACTCGACATGAAACATGGCAGTCCGAGATGAATGATGTCTAGAACGACCATGTTTATCCAAGCATGGATATTACTTCCTCTGATTCTTGATCCTCGAAGAAATAATATTGAATGCACTCTGGTAATGTCTTTTATTTCCAAATAGAGTATATAGTATTTTCTCTCCACTTTCTACTTTGTGTACGCTTCATGATGACATCGTCAACAAACTCATCAATTCATCGCAAGAGACTCGTTTGGCCTAATTCAGCGAGAGAGGGAGACATGGGGGATAAAATAAGCAACGTGTTCAGGTGGCAATTTTTCCGTCGGACCTTCCCGAGACTGTACTGCCTCAGTCTGAAGAGATTCGCGGCCAAATATGCTAAATCGCTCGAATGCTCGGCTCGTACGTATTCACTGCATGATCCTGTTAATGTCCCCGAGATGCGGGACCTCGTCTTGAGTCCAGGAAAAGCTGGCATCTCCGTTGCAGGGAAAAAAAAAAAGAAGAAGAACAGGAAGCAAAAGAGACCACGACCAACATCCACAAAAACCAAAAAGCCTCGAGTCAATCCCATACCCACCAGCACACCAGCCCACCCATCAGCTCACCACATGTCCCTCCGTCCCAAGCGCACTTTCAACCCACGCAACATCCAGCTCCCCATCGACATAATCATGCTAATCCTCGACTGGCTCGTCAACCGACGGGAGATCCTAGCTGTGCTCTGGGTTTTTCCACAGTGGTACGACAGTATCCCGCAACAATACTAGAAAGCGCCGTTTCGAAAGGACTTCCTCATAGGGCGGGAGGAGGCGCTGCCGGCTGCGACGACGCTGAACTGGCGGCGCTTCTATCTGGATATCGATGAGCGGTTGGCTCTGGCGGAATCGGTGGCGTATTGTGAAAATTGTGAAGGGGACTGCGAAGCTTTTCTTGGAGTTGGTTGCTCAGGATAGGGCTGAGGATGGGTTGGAAACTTGTTGATGACATACTTTGATTGGGTGAGGATTGTGTATCCTAGGTGATGCAATGCTTTATAGAGGATAGTATGTCAGTCCCAGGTTATGTAGTTCTTAGGGTTTCAAATAAATAGACTTAGTCTGCTTGTTGCTCGTTTTAAATGAGATCTGTGGAAGAATGCATTGTGGAATATAGGTCTAATGGAATAAGAGCACCCCAAAGGCAATTGATCAATAAAAGCCAGCCATCTCATCCCAGTATTCTTCCCCTCCCAAACAAGAATGGCTCTGAAACAGATCGATGCCTATTCTGCAGCCCGTGGAAGCTCCAGATCCACCACCCACGGCGCATTCCGCGGCTGATACGCCACGGTATTGATGCTGGCATTGACAAACAGAGTCTCCGCACCAAACTGCAGCTGCTGTTCTCCCTGCGAGCTCATATCATAAAATGCTCCACGGTTCTCCATCATTTCCTCTGGGTCAGTAGGTACGGGCTCGAGCTTGACCCCCCGCTCTGCCTCGGCATCCCAGATGCCCCGCAGTGCACCCCAGCCTTCGTGGATATGCCCGAACACATGGATCCGTGGCCGGGAACGACCCGCTGCACGCAAGAGGTGCACGCAGCCAACATGCATACCGGGTCCCACCCGGTCCAGAACTCCCTCCGGAGGGCCGTGGGTCAAGAGGAAATCAATGGCCGGGTGATCGGGGACGGGGTTTTGAGGTGGGGGTGTAGTCGTAGTGGAGGAAGAAGAAGACTCGGGAGGATTGAAACGGTCCTCGTTGCGCTTATATGAAAACGCCCAGTTACAGAACTCGGGCTGATAGGGTGACGCATACACCGTGAAAGTTGCGCCAGTGGAGAGCGTAAAGGAGTGCACGCCTTCCTCGAGATAGCGGATGCCCGCCGCGCGGGCCTCGTCGTTTGTATACAGGTCCTGAGCGCGCTGGACATATGCCCGCACATCTTCCGGGCGGGATCCAGGGTCGGAAGCCTTGCTTTGGGGGGTGTAGATGGCGTCTTTTTCTTCAGTGAGAACGTCGCCGAGGCCCAGGAGCTCGGGATGCCGGTGACGCCGGTACCCGCCGCGCATGAAGTAGTCTTCGTCGAGAGTGACGTCGTGGTTGCCGGCGATGACGAGCTTGAGCTCGGCATCGGCTTTTTTGAGCATGGCGATCATCGCCTCGTGCTCGACGCGGTACCCCACCTTCGTGAGGTCGCCCGCATGGAGCAGGATGTTGGCCGTGGGGAGTGGGTGGCGGTAGGCATTCCAGGTGTACTGGCGCGGGTTGGGAGCACAGGTGTGCGTGTCGGATATCATACACACCCGGGTTTTGATGCCCGTCATCTTGCCTTGGGTGTGTAGATTTGGGTTGGTGGAAAGAGTTGAAGAAGCGGAACTGAGAGGGTAAAGTGGGAGAATGGCAGGGGCCAACTCCCCCGGCAGTGCCCAGGTATACATCCATGCCCGATCTACAAAGGCTTACAGTAATACCAACCAAGCAAAAAAGTAACAACTAGGAATCATTCCCATGGATTTGACGGCTCAGAGCTCTACAGACATTTGCATCCGTGGACGCCCCAGATCGTGACAGTTTTCTGGTGAACATAGCTGAAACTCCGATTAACCGTGTGCAACGACCACCCACGCGGCCTTCCCCAAAAACCTTTTTTTGGCTATTTCGTTTACTTCCGGATCGCACGCTGGTAGAAAGCCAGCTCCTCACCCTCGAGGATGTACCCGTCGACACGGCCGCTCTGGCCGGGGCGCGAGGCCACGACGGCGAACAGGCGACCGGACTCGAACTGCCGCTCGATGGCGGACTCAACCTTGCCATTTTCGGCGAAGCGGGCAGCCTGCTTCTTGGCGACCGAGGCGCTCTTCTTCTCCTCGGGGGCATCGGTCTTCTGCTGGCGTCTGCGGCCAATGGGCTGGCCGTAGTGGGCCTCGTACCATTGGCGGAAGGGGGCGGCGTCAATCTGGACGACGGCCGACTTGGTCAGGGTGTTGGTGCGGACCAGCTCGTTGTTGGACGGGTGGAAGGACACGCCGATCACACGGGTCTTGCGGGCCACGCCCTCGGAGCCCCACGAGAAGTTGCCGGACTCCAGACGCAGAGCACGGAACTTCTGGTTACCACCACGGGTGCGGACCAGGTGGATGCGCTTGGTACCGATACGGGTGTTGGAGGGCTGGCGACCCTTCTCGAAAGCTCTGTAGAACAAAAGCACACACAATCAGATTCTTGCCCTGACAATTCCTGGTAATATCATGACTGGGAGATAGCGTCCACCGTACCTCTTCTTGCGGTAGAAGGCCCGCTTGGCACCGGTGGCCGAGCGCTTGTGGCGGGAGTCGCGGGAGATACCCATATTTGCGGTTGATGGAGGGGTCTGTTGGGCCAGAAAGAAATCCAAGATTAGTATTATGATCAATTTGCAGATTGCGGCGGCAGTCCTGAGGCGAATCCCCAGTCTTCTGTTTCGTTGGAGCGCAAAACAAGATCGGACTCGGATCGTTGAAAATTTTTCTGGCGGCGAGATGGTCGATAGTCGGCAAGACCAGAAGATATCGAATTGCAAGCCCTCCTTTCCTCGTAATTTTTTTTTCTGTCCTCTTGAGGTATTCCCCCTCCCTTCCCAATGTCCCGAAGCGGTGCGTAGACAAATCGAATGATCCCGATCGAAATTGTTGACTCGACGAAACAGAAAGACCGGAAAGAAAAACCTTGCAGGAGTCGAGGCGGAAGAAACGAGACTCACCTCTAGCTCTGCAGCCCTTCACCAGAAACGCAGAAAAGGTTGTCGATGGGTGTCGTGGAAGTTGGCGGTCGTGGACCCGTTGAATTTCGCAGAGCGCAGTGTGTCGCTCGCTTGTGTGCGGTTGCCCTAATTCACACTAGACCCAGGTTGGTTAGTGTTACACGTGATGTTGATGAGTCAGTGTATGCTGAGTCAGTGGAGGGGTGGCCCCTTCCCATTTGGGCAATTCTTATTCCTCTCATGAAGCACCATGCTCTCCACTACGTCGTCCACTACGGCCTTTTCTCCCTTTATGATCTACCTTGGCACTGCCTTGGCTATCCTCAACAGCAATTCTTCTGAACTTGATTTTCCCCAGGTTATTTATTTAGATACACAATATACTACGTCTACTGCTGCTTCCCCTTCTTCGCCCGCTCCTCCTTGACGATCTGCGCGATGCGCTGCCACACCCCAAACCCTTCAATAAAGCATGAGGACACCCACATCCACCACAAGCCCGACATCAGAGGCACGCCAAGCGGCTTCAAGCGCTTGACCGCCAAGAAGCTCGCCTCCAGCAGGTGGATGACCAAGACACCCGGGAAGAGGTAGGGCTGGATGGTATACACGAAATGTGCAAAGTCCGGGACATACTTGTAGCCGAGGTATTCGTAGACGGAGGCGCCGGGGAGGAGATTGCTGCGCTGGAAGCAGCTGATGTAGGTGAACACGCACAGCGCGAACACCACGGTCTGCACCACCCCGCGCGGGCCGCGGTACTCGGTGAGCGTCACGTCGCTGCGGCCCAGACGCTGCAGGCTGTCGTTGTGCATGGCGACTAGACGCCCGCGCGCGTCGGAGATGTTTTTCAGGGGCGGGTCGATCGGGACGCTGTATCGCGTGCCGTGGGCGCGGATCACCAGGTGCGTGTTGCTGATGTCCTCGAGCTGGGCGGTTTGGGCCTCGCGGGCGCTGATGGCGCAGTATGCTTGGAGGAACAGTTCGAGGGATTCCGGGTGGTTGGCATTCATGTGCTTGATGACGACGTCCTTGGAGGCCATGGTGAATGTAAAGGGCAGTTGTGGCCGTTTGGGTAGTTCTGGTGAGATTCTTGTAGCCAATTGGGGCTCAATTAGGGTTGCCGATGTATACTCGAGTTTATCGCAGAATGGCGCCCAGGAGATGGGCCATGGATGAAATATAAGCCAATGCCAAGCCCGGGCCTCGGTTGGATCACTCCACATGTGCGAACTTACAATTGTCCCAATATTGAGGCGTGATATTGGGATACGAAGAACATGGCATACAGAGTGCCCACGTGAAATCGGTCCATTTTTCAATGTGAGACTCCATAATCGTACAGGGGTGTATTGGTTTCTCTCGAATCTCGGGAAAAGAAATAAGAAGAGAAAGAGACAGAAAAACAATGATATTACGAACCCACGCACGGCTCTATAGACTCGGCCACATGAAGAGATTCAGTCATGACGACGTTCAAATATGTTTAAATATATATCCCATCGGGCTCAGGCCCTGCGATCGACGATATCAACTCCTAGTCCACGTTGAGCGAGGTTCTAGCAGGGAGAACAGAATATAATCAAAGAAACTTACATCAGAGCCAGTGTCAAATCACCGTGGATGCGTGCTTTGAGCTCGACCTCAATCTCCAGGTTTAATTCCAGCTTCAACTTCATGCCTTCCTCGTCGTCAATCGACTTCTTCTCCTGCGGAACCGGGTTCATGCCGCCGGTCGGCTTGAGGTCTGAATTTTGTTGCTGATAGGGCTGCATGGCCTTGCCGGGCATGATCTCGTCATCCGAGTAATCGTCGTATTCTTCCGAGTCATAGTCATCCTCGTCAGAGTACTCGTCGACCTCGTTCGGCTGCTGGGTCTGTTGTTGCCGCCGTCGTCGCTGGGATTTCTTGGTCGGAGCAGGTTCTTCTTCATATTCCTCGTCGGAGTATTCGTAGTCATTGGCGCTGTCATAATCCTCTTCGGAGGAGTCGTCGTCCTGCACGGGGAACTGCTTCTTTTGCTCCTGGGGGTTTTCGACGGTGGCCATGGTAGTAGATGCGATGACCGAGGGATACTATGCGTGGTGATTATAATAAATCCAGAGAGGAACACAGAAAATAATCAAGTAGATCAAAATAGAATTGGAATAAAATAAAAGAAGATAAAAAGGCAAGCGGTGATGATATCTCGGGCAGAGAGCCAGCACATTGGCGCATGACGTTGGCGGCGATCTTGTTTTCTTGTGTCTCTCTCTCTCTGCCCAGTTATCCACCACGCGTCATGTCTGTCCAACCCTTGGGATTGCAAGCCAACACGGCTCAGCCGGTGGAAATTACCCAAGTGACAGCGGCTGTGATTCGCCTCGCGTGGAATACCCGCAATCTCCTGACGAGATCCGTGGAAACAAGCGAAGCACAGGACACCGAACCAGTCTACCAGTCTACCAGTCTACCAGTCTACCTGACAATACAATCCAGGATGGCCATGGCATTGCAAAGTGGCGTCATGGCGGGTGAAACAGACACCTCTGCAACGGTCTGACGTCTACTTAATCTATTTAGTGGAGTGGCTCCAGCGCCAAAATTCACCGATCCTCCGCTGATTGGCACATGCGACGTCTTTTTCTTTTTTTTTTCTCGCGCTGATCTTCCTCGTCAGAGCAACACGGCAGGGATTTGTGCCCCCCAGATCGGCTTCCCATTAGCGCATCGTCTCGCTGTGCCCCCATCTCTCAGCACCGTGCTCCATACGGGCCATACGGAGGCCTTCCAGGTCCTGATCCTTGCTTGCTGGCTCAACGTCATACTCCACTTGCTAAAAGATCTGGAGAGAGAGAGAGAGAGAAACTGGGTCCCAACTGCCTGGCCATTCCCTCGGCCAACTGTATCCGAAGTCACTCGGGGAATCCATTGTATCCAGCAAACCAATTTCCCTCCATCTGACGTCGGAGGCGGTCCTAGAGGGTCACCTCCTGCCCGGTTCTGAAGACGTCAAGTGTGATATTAAACGGTTGGACAAAAAGGGAAGAGCGTGGCTTTTTCGCATTCCCTTCTACATCATAGCCCCAGACGCGCAATTACATAGGATCTTTTTTCCCGGCTTTCTTGTGACGCTACAGCCCGTTCATATTCCGCGGTCTTTTCCCTCTTGATTGACCTCTTTTTCTTTTTCTTTTTCTTCTCTTCTTCTTCTCTCTTTCTATCATGGCCGACCAGGATACTCCCCAAACCCCAAACCCCGAGTCTTCCACTACCACCCCCAGCAAGCCAAAGCGTACTCCCCCCAAGCTGGGCAAGAAGACACCCCCAAGCAAGAACAGACCCCGCCGTTATCAGAGCAAGACCAGAACCAAGCCGACGACCAGCAAGGCCAACAAGAAGAAGCAGGAGAAGAAGAAAAGCAAGAAGCAGGCCACTCCGACAACGAAGAAACACAAGAACCCACCAAACAACAAGACCCAGACTCGGACCAAGACAACCCCGAGCCCGAGCCTGAGCCGCAACCACAACCCGACCAAGACCGCATCAACCGTCGTCGCCGTCGACCTCGTCCCGCACCCCGCCGCCACGAATCCGACCTTGAATCCATCCCCCGCAACGACATGGACGCCCAACCACAGCCGCGCCAGCGCACCCGCCGCCAACGCCAGCCCCAACAGCAACAGCCGCAGCAGCAGCAAGACGGCGGCCCGCTCGGCGGGCTGGGCGGTGTTGACCAGGCTGGCCAACTTGTGCAAAACACTGCCGGGAATGCGCTGAACGGAGTTACCGGCAGCGCGGGCAAAGCTGTGGGGGGTGTTTTGGGTGGCGGGCAGAAGGAAGAGAAGGACGACGGTGGTCGTGACGAACAGCTGCGATTGCGGCTGGATCTGAATCTCGATATTGAGGTCCAGCTTAAGGCGAAGATCCATGGTGATTTGACTTTGGGCTTGCTGTCAGTATTCCCTTTCCTTCTTCCTTCTTTCTCTGCTTCATTCCCATTCTTGCATGTTTCCCCCTGTCGCTACTCACTATTTACTATTTTTCAATTCTTCTCTTGGTGCCCTTCCACTGACTGACAACATAGTAATTAATGTGCCTCGGCTACAGTGGCTAAACAATCTCTTTCTGTCGAGTCGTCGAGCAGCCCTCGTGTATGATGACTTGGTTACGGTTAAGCTGTGAATGCAAGATGCACGGTTTGGTTTAAAGCTTCAAAGCTCTTTGATCTAGTTATTTATCTATTTCTGATATCTTCTTCCCTATTTTGTTAGTTTTTGGTTCCCTTTATTCTTTTCTTGGCTCTCTATATCTAACAGTCTTGAACCCTGTGTTGTGTGATGCCGATTCCATGTACAGTACATTTCCCGATCTCAAGAGGACCTCGACCTCGGGAAATATCAGGTGAATGAACAACCCTCATTCCAAACTCTTGATATTTCACATGCCACATTACTTCCAAAATTCCTGCGCGGATACACCATCTATGATCCTCGATTGACATGGCGGGGGGAGTATGTGCAATACAAAAGTGGAATCTATCACCTGTGCAACAATCCAGTCCGGGAAACAACTGTGCAAGTGGAAGAGCAGACGACACAAAAAGAATAAAAAAGTGCAAAATTAGAGCAAAAATGAAACAACACTCCAAAAGGGCATCAAGGGTTCAAATGTATATCCTTCCTCGTCTCTCTCGCAATGCACCATGTACAGGATCTTGAAAAAGAAGCCAAGCAAGCTGTCACGAAAACATCCAACAAACAAGTAAAACTCCCGAGCACTCCGGGTGTCTCGGGTGTTTCTTCTATAGCCCTGCGACATACATCAGCCCATAGCCAATGGTGATGATCACCACATAGGCCATCAGACTTGATGGGACACCGCGGGTGATAAAGTGACGGACTTGGAGGTAGCGCTGACCGGTCTGAGGCACCTCGGTCATGATGGCCGCTATTAAGGGAGAAAGCAAGGTCAGCAAGGATTCTTAAGATCAAGTCATTCAAAAGCAATAGAAAAGAAAAAAACATACTCATGTTGGGGAACCCGCTCGTGGGAAGACCCATGGCGACCGAGCACATCAACGCGCTCGCCATGACCAACAAGTTCGGGTGCGGGTCCTCCATGCCGACACCGATCTGGCGCACCAGCGGCAGGAAGATCAGGGCGGCAACAGTGTGGGAGATGAATGTGGCAATGACAAGAACCAAAGACGTGAAAACCAGCAGCACGCCGTAAAGACTGAAATGCTCGACGCGCGTCGTGATTCCGGAGGCGATGGTATGCAGCAATCCCGACGAAGTCACGGCCTTACCCAAGCACAACCCACCGGCGGCAAGAATGATGATGGTCCAAAGGAAGTTATTGAAATCCTCTTTATTGAGGATTCCCGTGCCGAAAAACAGCACCAGAGGGACTATGGCGATAACGCCCATGTCACCGAAGACGTGCTCGAGTTGATGGCTGGCACACCAGAGAACAATTGTGGCAATCGTAACAAACGTAATAAAATACTGAACGCCGGTAAAGCGGTCCTTGACTGGACGCATGGGAACGATGGTGGTGTTGCGGTCGGGGTGGAAGGTCAGCAGCAGGAGCACCCAGATCAGCAGGATCGAGATGATGCAGACAGGCAGCGCGATAAAAAACCACGCTCCCCAGCTGACATCAGGCTTCATGTTCTGCAGAGCAATAATGTTCTGCGGCGACGCAATCGGAGATGCCGCACCTCCGACATTGGCCGCCAGCGCGATGCCCAGCACCAGCGCCTTGGAGAAATTCGAGTCCGAGGGGAGGTTTCGCAGCAGAGGCTGGATGATCGAGTAGCACAGCACGGGCGATGCGACGTTGCTAATCCACATGCTCAGGAACATGCTCACAAACATGTTCGTGAGCAACATAACCCGAGGCCGGGATCCAGCTTTGCTGAGTACGAGCATGGCCATGCGTCGTGCGATATCGTACTTGGACAGCGCCGCGGCAATGGTAAACCCACCAAGAAGCAGCATGATGACAGGAGTCCACATGGCCGAAAACACCTTGGCGGTCGCGTCCTTAGGACCCAGGCGTTCCGGGTGCTTGCCGTCTGAGCGCATGATGCCCAGAACAACCACCAAAAACGGGATCAACAGCGAAGTGACGAAAAGAGGAATAGCCTGCACGAAAACAAAGAGTTAGAATGGAAAGAATCCGAAGGAATGAAGAATAGTCATACCTCGGTAGCCCACAAAATACTGACAAGGACCAGCATTGCGAGACAGTTGTTCTGCTCGGGCGAATCCATGACCGGGGACGCGAGCAACGCTCCAAAAACCACGATACTGACAACTAACGTCACGAAGCTCGGGCTACAAAGCCACACGGGGAGGCGGATACGGCCAAGCGGAGTCCGAAGCTCCTTGTTCTTGGTATCCTGCTTGTCACCCTGGCGCCGTGCAGTAGCCGGGTCCTCGTCGCCGCCTAGGAGAGTCTGGCGAATGCCGACATTGGCAGCCTGAGCGCGGCGTTCAATCTCGATCATCTCGCGCCAGACAGTGTTTCGTTCCCAAACAACATGCTCCCGCAGATGTAGACGCAGCTCGCGCCGAGCCAGCGAACGGTTGCCCTTAGTAACCACATCGGCGTACACACCCTCGACTTTCTCGATATTACTATCCACAGCGGCCATGGTGTTGTCTGTGAAGGGAGCCGCGGGGTAGACAACCGTGTTCAGGTAGTCGCGGCGCAGGCTGCAGTAGAGGGTCTTGTCGTATTTCTTCAGAGCTTTGGAGAAACCGGTCTTGTTCAATTCAATGAACGATCGAAGCTCGCAAAGCGAAACGTATACTTCGATCAAACGTTTCTTCAGCGACACCCCATTGTTGTACAAGGCAAGAAAGTCCTGGTCGCTAAAATGGGACTCCTGCGGGCCGCGACTGCCTGCCTGGCCAAAAAAGGCAGAGTCTACCAGATCGCCCTGTTGCCCATCATCCATTGCCGACTCTCTGTCTGTTGACTGCATCATCCTCCGACGCTGGGAGGGTGCCGAGGGAGAATGGTCATCGTCACTGTCCCCGTCATCATCAGCAATCGAGTCGCTGACGGCGCTGGACCGGCGACGGGTGGGTCCTGTGTTGCGGCGAGAATTCGAACTCAAGTTCCTTGCTTTGATGACAGTTTCGCTCACCGGGTCCATATTGACCCCGTCTGTCTCCGATAGGTATCCCGCGGCGTCACTCAGCAATTCCTCGGTGGTCTCAAAGATCTCTGCCTGCTTGATCCGATAGAAGCTGCAGATCTTATCCATCTCCATATCGAGGGCGCGCTTGAAGACACTATTCGGGTCGTTCGACTGAGCTGCCAGCAACGGGGCAGACTCGACATCAGTGGTGGCCTGGCCATCGGGCTGGTGGGCTTGCTTCTCAAGAGAATAGATCCTATGTTGCAGATCGTACGGTTAGCTCCATGGTTTCGAGTCCTCAAACTCCCCTCGCTAATATCGATCATGCATCTACCCAACTCTGTGCGAGGTGACACCCGCGGCGATGTGCATCTGTCGACAGACCCATTGGTTCCACGACCACGGGCGACCTCGAACGAGCCCCAAACACGCACAAATCTCTTTCCAAATCAAGCAAACAAAGGGAACGAACGACGTACAATTTCTTGAGGTTGCTGTACGCAATATAATTGGTACTCCAGTCCGGCACCGCGTTGAACTGAATACTATGCGAGAATTTCATCTTGGCCGCAGTCTCCGGGTCAACAGGCGTGCGATTGGCAGTTTGCGCGAGGTTGCGAAGGGCGTCACCCCAGAACCGGAGTCGAGTGGAGCGAAAGCCCCGCGGGCGGCGCTCCTCCGATGAACCTGCCTTCTCCCAGTCTTCTTCGGACTCCGAATCAACCCCAGCAAGTGATTGCGAGTTGGCAAAGGGTTGGAATAGCCGGGCGACGTTTCCGGAAAAACCAGCGCGAGTGTCCGCAGAGTCGAGATCTGGAAGTAGCGGGTGCTCGGCTGGATAATCGGCGAGTTCAAAGGACTCGTGACGCGAGGAGGTAGCCACTGTTGGACGGGGAAAGGCCGGGCTGGAGTTGGCCACGAACCTTCAATTCCTTAAGCGAAAGAGCCAAGAGGGAAAAGAGAGGGAGAGAGTGTGACAAGAGGGATGACCAAAGTTGTTCGGGAGCGGGTCAGCTGAGAACGTGGGTTGCACTGGTGATCAACCTGGAATCGACAAGTATTTTTCCCATGCACTGCCGATCCGAGAATTTGAGGATAGATGATATTCTCCGATCGGGTGATCAGGAATGACCAACGTGTGCAAAAGGCACGCGCTTCTGGGGGCCGTTGCACCATTGCCCGATCGGAAATGGCCCCGGGCTGAGCTAAGCCGCCTTAACGCATACAGGGTCCATGGCCTCCAGAGCTGCTACGCCGTGGCCATAGTCTTGCAAGGATCGAACGGATCGAAGACACACGATTATGGTTGTGTTCTGGAGAGGCCCGAGGTGCGGCGAGATCGATTATACAAGATCGCGTGGAATGTGTTCGGTGGTGCACGGGAAAGTGTCCACAGCGGATCAACCCAGGAACATGCCAAATATGTGGGAACTAGAACTAGATAGATACATGTACAGATGCAGAATTGCTCGGGGAAAACCAGGCAAGAAAGGAAAAGAGAAAAGAAATATGAAAACTCCCACAGAACATACAAGTCTCGGCTCGCTATCACCGCCGACGAGGCCGAAGACCCAAGTTCGCACGACCTGTAATACCAATCTTGTGCTGCTGGTCTCTGCGGTCCCAAACTCCACTGCGACCCTCGGCGACTGCGACCAGCTCATTTGCGACCCGCTGTGCGAAATGCACGTCACGCCGCTTTTTCGACGAGTCGAGAATCCACTTGATAGCGACCCGGCGACGCTGGCGCTCGTTCAAGGGGTGGGGGACCTGCACGGAGGCACCACCACCGACGATACCCTTTTGCTGACGAATTCGGAAGAGCGGGGATACCGAGTCAATGATCAGGGTGAGGTAGTTGACAGGGTCGAGAGGCAGCTGTGGGGCGGTGGGAGAGCCGAGGAGAGGGCGGCGGGAGTTGATCTGGGGAGGGGGGGCGGTGCGGAGGTGGTCCAGGATGGTTGACATATTCTGAGAGCGAATCAATATAAAGTCCTGGGATGATCCCCCCGGGGCGGGGGGCTTGTAGAACTTGTGGATTTGGAGCTTGTGCCTGATCCATACCTTCTGCGCCAGGGTCAACTTTCCATCCTCCATCAACATCTTGGTGAATTGCTCCTGCATCGAGTCGTATCGCTTCTGGTGCTTCAGCGACTGTTTCTTCGGGATGTGAGGCGGGTCGAATTTGAGCCCATTGTCCCGCTTCGCAGCCTGCCCGCTCACTTGGTCAATCATGTCGGCGAGCACGGCAGCAGACGCATCGTCATGGCTAGGAGTCTCCAATTCGGGAAGACGGCTGCGAGCCGAAGTCGAGAATGAGCGCGAGCCACCCTTGCCCTTGCCCTTGCCCTTGAACTGATCCTGCATAACCTTGGGCATGTGTTTCATGGCTTGTTTATCGCGTTGGAGGACCTGTGAAGTAGAGAAAGTGTCAATTACCCAGAAACAAAGGATTCAAACCTGAAATTGAGATTGAATTCCTCGGAGAAAGTACCAACCTCAGAAACCGGCGTCCCCTGCTCCAATTCCGGAGACGACGGCGTCCCATCACAGCTCTTATCCTTGTCCGGGTTACTCCCCTTATGCATGATCCTATCGATCTCAGCCGCCTCCTCGCTAACATCGGGCAGTTGGTCCTGCGTCGGGAAGGTCTGTTCATCAGGCGGGACGCCCTTTACGCCATCGCGCGACGAGTTCCATCGTCGGTGCTGCTGCACGGCGGCAGCGGGCCGGAATCGGATGGGCGTAGCGAGTCTCGGCGAGGCAAGTCTGGCGGCGGCGGAAGCCGCCTTGTTGGCAGTAAATAGATTGAGTCGGGGCGGCATCGTGATTTCGAAAGCCCAAGAACCAGTCGACCACAAATAATACGGTCGATGTTCTCGACTGCGCGGATGGGGTTGGGGTCGTGGTCCGGCGTTGTCTGGCGCAAATTTCCCGGATATGATGAGTCAGCTGCCAAGACTGCCCCGAGTGAGGTCATGGGTGATGGTTCACCGTATTTTGCTGAGAAACAGGATCTTCGATACTTCCAGGGTTTGTGTGACTGGAGATTTATGCAATGTGCATATCGATGTTTCAGAGGCCAATTGAAAGTATCTATTCTTGCGGATCACGTCCAGTCAGCTGGACGTTTAGCACCCATCGAATCCATGACTGGATCCCAATGAGAAATATATAGTTCCGATGAGAAGCCATACCCAACACAAAAAGGCGATAAATTTCAACAAAACATTTTCCTACTGAAGTGTAAAAATATAGACACATGAAATTTTGAGGCTAGAAGAGACATGTACTTCCACCCACTAACCAAAACCAGCCAGATACAGGCAGAGGCACTACAAGAGACAACGATCCAGCCGACAGGGCAGTAGGACTCGCCCACCAGGCAACATAATAGAAAATAGGACAGAGAGAGAGAGGAAAAGAGAGGGACAAGGGACAAGGTATAATAACGAGCTCAGCTCCGAAGCGTGCCCAGCACACCGGCGGCGCCATCGGCCACGTCATCGGGGTAGACGTAGAAAGCCAGGGCGAGAATGAGGTACATTCCCAAGCACATGCCGCCCTCCAGGTAGTTCGACTTGCCATCCTGGATGAGCAAGGTCACAACCAGCCCGGAGATAAAGAAGGCGACTGTCTCGAAGGTCTGGAAGTGCAGGGTCATCTCTACGTGCATGATCCAGCCGAGAATGACCAGGAAGGGAGTGACAAAGAGGGCGATCTGCAGACTGCTGCCGATGGCGACACCGATGGCCAGGTCCATCTTATCTTTGTAGGCGACGACCACAGCGGTGACGTGCTCGGCGGCGTTGCCAACGATGGGGATCAACACCAGACCAATAAAGGTCTTGCTCATGCCGGTGGTCTGCACGATGCTGTCGATGCTGCCGACCAAGTAATCGGCGCAGATGGCGACGAGGATGGTGACAATGACCAGCACCACTGTCGCAGCCCACGGGTTAAGCAGACGCTCTTCTTCCTCTTCTTCCTCTTCGGCGCCGCCAGCCTGCTCGGTGTCGCTGCCATTGGTTTCCTCGAAGAGGTGCGAGTGCGACCGCAGCTGGAAGTAGAGGTACATCACATAAATGAGGAGCAGGATGACCGAGGTACCGTGCGACAGGATGAGGATGTTGCTCTGGGCGTCCTGGTTGGTCCGGGAGGACTGGGACAGAGCGGCGTAGAGTGTGGCCGGAATGATCAGCGATGCCGAGGCCACCGCCATCAGCGACGACATGGTCGACGCCACGGTGCTGTTGAAGCTTTGCTCCGGGTAGCACAGGCCACCGACGAAGAAGCAGCAGCCCAACACCAAGAGAATATTAGACAGGATGCTTCCAAGCATACTGGCTTGGACCACGCGGACCTGGTTATCCTTGAGCGCAATGATGCTGACCTAGAAGCCGAAAAGAGCAATGACCAGTCAGCTATCTCCACACCAACCTTGCAGAGTGAGGTAACCAAAAAGAAAGGCAGTCCTTACGATCAATTCAACGGCATTTCCAAAAGTTGCATTCATCAGGCCCCCGAGGGCCTGACCCATCGTCGCGGCCAGCTCCTCGGTGGCGAAGCTCAGCAGCGAGGCGAGCGGGATAATGGCAAAGAAATTGAAGGTAAAGACGGCGGTAGCATTCCAATGGAGGAGGCCAGCGATGATACCCAATGGGACAAAGACGAGCAGCAAGTTGACGTAGTCGCGCACCAGCGTCAACCAGGTCAGATGCACGACCTGCAGCGGCCAGCGCACCCAGATCCGATCGTCCTTGGGATGGTGGTGATGGTGCAGATGCTCGCGCTGGTCGTGGGGCGTGAGACCCGACAGGGACTGAGCTGTGCCACCGAGCAGCGTCGTGCGTTCACTGGGCTGGAGTGTGCCATTGCCGGAGCTCATTTTTCTGGCTGGGCCGAAGGTATGGCTGCGAAATTGGGATCGAAAACCGACGGTCGCTGAAACACACGCTTGTCAGCCGGGGGAGGTTTCAAGGATGAAATGGGATTGAAAAAGAGTTGAAGGGGGAGAGTTCGGGGGCAAGGGGAGACGGGAGAGCAGTGCGTACCCATGGTTGTGATTTGATTGATATTACGGTTGCGGCCAAGCTCTTAGGACACTCAAAGCGAGATGAATTGGCATGAAACTGGCGATGGGACACAGCCTCGACGCCACCAACTTGGCGGATGGAGCTTGGACGATCGGACTCCACATTTCATTCGTGTCAGTTGGCTGATTCGTCGTTGAAGCCAAGAAATTGCACTGCCACAGTGAAGGAGCTTGGGATGCGGAGAGATGACAACTCTACTGTAGCAAACTATACCAACTATACCAACTATATCCAGAGAGCAACTAGAATATGGTATCTATTCAGAACACCCCAACTGACCCGATCCACAGGAAAAGAAATGAAAAACAGATATGACAAGAAGTAGAGCCAGTGGAATCAAAAAAAAAAAAAAAAAAAAAAAAAAAAAACATCAGGTAGTAAATCACATCAAGAAGGGAAAATAAGGAGAGTGTCGAGACTCGGAAAGAAATGAGACAAAGGAAGGACAACAGCTTCACTCCTCCGGGAGCGTGCCGTTGGCTTTGAAATCCATCCGGCTGCTCTTGCGGCCGACCCCTTTGAGCAGGCTCAGCCGTCGGAAGACCGAATCTCGCACACCACTATTGGCGTTGGCGTTGGCATTGGCATGGGCGTTGGGATGGGACATCCGGGTCCCATTTGTCGTCATACTGTCACGTCCGGCCTGGTTACTTTCTCGCGTCACCGGGCGAGAATAGTCGCGAGTGGATGGGAGGGTAGACCAGCCGCCACTCGAGGCGGGGGCTGGTCGATCGGAGGGGGCACCAGAGCCAGTGGCGGTCGGACTTCGGTGCTGGGAGCCTGTGCGACTACGACTGTCGTGGGAGTGGGCAGCGGTGTCGCGGGAGGCATTGCGAGAGGGTTTGTTCTTCAGGGATGTTGTCTGGGTTTCGTCACCTGCGTTGGCAACGGACGGGGAAGAGCCATGTTTGTAGGCCTTCTCACCCCCGAACCAACTGCGTCGTTTCTCGCTCCGTCCACCACGCGAACGGCTGGTTGCGCGGCTATGGATCGTAGCGGTGTCGTCATCCGCTTCCTCTTGCTCACCCGAAGCGCCCTGGCCCTTGGGATCTGCTTGCTGGATCGTGAAGATGGAATTGGATGCGCCATGGGATCGCTTGAACGGGTTGATGATGCTGATCCGATGGCTGGCCGATTGCCGTTCAGAGCGTTTGCGGGAGTGAGTGTTTCCACGAGAGGATCGGATGAGCTCTTGCTCGGGGCTGACAGACCGCTGGGCCACCTGGTTTTGACGGATCTCCGACGACATGGGAGACTGGCGGACCGGTTGTGTGGGCGTTGGCGACTGGTTCTCTGCCGGAGACGAAGCAAGTGACGCTAGTTCGGGCTCAAAGGTTTCCTCAAAGCGCCGGAGCAACTCGGTTTGCGTGGCTTGCTGAGCAGGACGCTGGAAAAGGGACAGCGCATGTTTGATGGCCAAGGCGTGGTCGATGAGGGCCACTGCAAGTGCATTTTCCATGGGATCCGCGGGTTCAGATGCTTCTTGCGGTTCGTCCAGCGGGTCTACAAGGTCCTCGTCTTCTGCCTCAGACTGCTTCTCACCCTGGGCCCCCGAAAGGAAACGGCGATATGATGCCACGCAGTTGGCGGACGACGACCCCATCTCTAGCAGTTGCTCGAGAGCCTCTGTCAGACTCGACAGGTTGCTATCCTCGCCGGATGCTGCGCGACGCTCAAGAAGCTGTAGCTCCTGCGTCTTCCGCCATGTCCGCTCGATGGCAGTCTGCAGAGGAGACAGGGCAACCTCCTGGACAGAGACGATCTCACTGCGGCGGAGGATGTTCGGGAATGGCTCAGACACGGTGAAAATGAACTTCTCCACCCATTGCTCGCGGACGTCCGAGCTGCCCGTGTGTCTTCGCGAGGTGGAAGAGAAGCGCAAGGGATCGGAAATCAGAAGATGTTCGCGAACGGATTGCGGCACCTTGGATCGCTGGTAAACAGGGTGAGACACCTCGCGATGGGCACTGACGCCACTGATCTGGAGGAACTGGCCCTCGTAGTCTGAAATCTCGCTGGAGGACATGATCTGTGCGGTGGGGTGCTCTCGCTGCATCCGATCCACGAAGGAGGCCATGCGCTCTGTCGGGGACCCTTCAAAGATGAACTCCTTGTCACGTAGGCTGGGAGGGAATCCAAGACCCTTGTAGACCACTCGGAAGTATCGAGGGAATTGTTTGCCGCCCTTAGCAACCAAGTCATAAATTCGAGCCATGGAGCTCTGCGCTCGGGAGAGCTTAGCGAAGTCCATAGTCGTGTTCTCATAATGAGCAGCAAGCTCCTTGTAGCAAGCCAGAGCAGGCGCCCAGGCCATGGCATTCTCGAAGTGCTGAATGACAGAAAAGTACAAAGCCTCCTTTCGTTCGAATGCGCTTTGCGCCGGGAAAGCCGGCGTAAGGAGCTCTGGCACAGACTTGGCGAAATCCCATTCATATAGATCAGCGTGGAATTGGAGCGCCAGACCGGCCTCTGTGAAGTTTCCTGCTGCCGCCTGGGATTCGGCTAGTTCGTGAACGTAACGGATGAAGATATCCTCACGGCCCATGTCCTTCATGTACTCCATGAGTTTCAAAGCGTGAAGGCTCTGAGTCGATGCGTTACTCTGAGAAGCCACCAAAAGATCGAGCAGCTCATCAACTGTTGCAATAAGACCCTTGACGGCGTTCGAAAGGTCTTCGTCCGAGGTTGCGTCGGTTTCGAAGAGCTCCAGCATTTCACTGATGAAGATCTTCTGGCTGACGCTCTCACTCATTTGCTTGGTTTTGAACAGAGAATCCAGACTGGAGATGATCTCGGTCTCAATGATCGAGATGTCTTGGTTCAGGTCCCACTCGCTCAAAATCATTGTGCGGAGGATATGAACAGCAACATGCCGGAGACCCTCATGCACGCTGAGGCAGAGCCCAATGATCGGCGGCACCAGGCACGGAACGTACTGGACCTGGTATCCACCTAGCCGCTTCAACCCGTACCGCTCTCGCTCTTCATCGCTAGTCTCCCAGCCGATCGCTTCCCAGGTAGAGTGCAGCAAGTCGGCGCCCTGCTCGCGAACATCACCTGCAATCTTCCAGACGGCTCGTCGCTTCTGCTCAGGGAAGGTTTCCAAAGCCAGGGCATCGCTCGCCATCACCTTCAGCAATGTCGTGAAATACGCTTCCCAGAGTTTTGTGTCGAATGTATCAGCATCGTCCGGCGCTGGAAGGGACCTGTCGATCAGTAGTAGCCCAATATGCTCAAGACTCTTGATGGTTGCGCGGTGGTTGTACACGTGAATACTGAACCAGTTTTCGGGATAAGCTTCACAGTCGAGGATGGAGTTATGGGCCTCCAATGTCTGGGCAACAAAGGTTGCCAGGTCCAGATCTTTGAGCGAAGGAATCTTGGGAGAGACAATCTTGGCCAGAGCAGCCATAAGTGCAGAGAGCTCCACCAGCGATTCATCAAAGGTCTGAGGAGTTTTGGATGTCTTGACCTGGAAGGGGAAAGACTTGCTGAATAGCAAGGACAGGTACTCAGTCTCATCCACTCCCTCCGTCGAGATAGCACAGTATGAGGCAACGATACTGGGCATAAACTCGTAAAGTTGAGGGTCCGGTTGGCTGAGCAAGCGAGCTACAATTGAACAGCTCAACCGGACTTGATCACGATACAGATCGGACACGCTCGAGGTCGAGCCCCAGTACGGAGCCAGCCATCCCACGCAACTGGCGATCAAAGTCTGCCTCTCTTCGCCAGAGGCAAAGATCTCGAACTGAGTATAGTTTTGGATGAGAACCAGTTTGTAGAGAACAAGCATGCCCGTCACATCCTTGCATGAGTCCATGAAGCTCAGAGCGATCATTATCATTTCATCCCGGCCGAAGACCTTGGAGAGTTCGGGAAGCCACGTGTGGAAATGCTGGACCACTAAAGTCTTGCTACCAACCAGGGTGGCCGAAGAGTTCTTCATAAGCGTCTCGAGTGACTTGAAAATGGTGTGCATGTCCCGATGGAAGGTCGACTGCACAGTGGTGATGCCGATTCCTTCCTCCTTGACCTTTTGTTGTTCACGGGCATTGATGATGAATTTCAGCAGATGCCGTCCCACCTTGAAGGCGGCTCGGAGATTGCGAGATTGATGAACGTCGGTGGCCGCGCTCAGAAGACGCAGGTAGCTGCGAATGAGGCATGGAGTGACGAAAGGAAAGTTGAATTGGTCATCAGCGTAGCTGTCCACTAGCGGACCAAGGTTAAAGCGTCGATCATGAACAATGCCCAGGACAGTGACCAGATTCTTAAATATCAGATCTTCGTATTCCTCGTTGCCAGCATTCTCGACCAGAATTCCGAACAGCGAATCAAACACGCCACTAAGCTGCTTGACGATCTCAATCTCCGGCACAAAAGGTAGGCGCTTCAAATTATCAAGCACTTCTTCCACTGGCCGCTCTCTCCAGTTGAGCAGACTCAAAATGAGTTGATCCTGGGAATATTCCGTGCTGCACAGATGGGTTTCAAGGCGCAGAGTAGCCAACGGACCTGTCACTGCTTCATCTTTGGCGGATTCATTCTTGCCGAGTGCACTCCATGGCAGATTCAAATAAGCACCTTTTCCGTTCTCGATACTGGAAGTTTGCTTGTCATAGGCATGCAGGAGGAGTGAATGGTGACCATCTCGGATGAAAGCTTGTTGATCCCACAATGGCATCCAGGCAAGAGCAAAAGGAAATTCGGGTGCATCTGCGACGCTCATCACCATATGAGAGCCAGGAATTTGCTCGGTGGGGATATTCAGACGGATGGTCTGATTCCAAGGCGAACCACGCTGGGCGATTGTAGTGCGCCAAGCTGTGTGCGAGGTATTACCAGAAGACGGGAACACACATCGTTCTATCCGGGCCCCCGAAGCGTCCCGCACTTCGAGAGTGAGCTGAAGGCTATGAAGACCGGTAGTCGCCTGGAGAGGAATTTGACCGGCTTGCGGGTGAGACAGGAGAGCGTCCGTGGGAAGCACGGCCTGTGAGAGGGTGACATAAATGTCGGATCGTGGTCGTGTAGGGGCCTTGGAGAAGCCAATGCGTCGTGTCTGCACAACATCGTGCAAGATCGTTGGGTTCTGGCGAATAAGGGTTTCGGAGTCGCTGCAAGAGAAGGGACGCAGGTGGAGATGCAGACGTGCCGCCGGATCAGAGCGAACATATCGGCCAGTGGGACTGGGAAGCAGAGTGCGAATCAACTTGTCGAAACCGTCTGTGATTCTCTCGCCCTCCTCGCCATCTCGGGCGGCAGACCAGATGTTGATCACCTGTTCTGTGTCCCGATCCTGTCGGAGAATCGGCGAAACTTCCAAAATTCCTACCCCAATAGTGCGGATGGCGGTAGCCTCCTTGGCCGGCGCAGGATGGTGGGTCGCGGGCTCTTTGATACTGGAAGAGCTGGTCGAGGTGCGTGGAGCTCCTTGCGATGCAGGCTTGGCTGGTTGATCCACGCTCTGTCCCCTTGCCTTATTTGACCACATCATACTGCGTCGTGTTCTCAGGCTTCCCTTGACTGACGGCTGCACGTTTCCAGTTCCTGCTCCTTTTGGTACAGCGGAGGTCTCTCGCGATAGCGATGACCTTGACGCGGGTATGGCATCGGTTGCAGGTCGGGTCTCCGCGGCACGGACTGAAACGATGAGATAGAGCTGGCGCCCGTTCGGGGACCCGTCACCAACATCCGTTGCGGCTAGCTCGGTGAACAGTGTCTTGAGCTTGTTGGTTTGACCCATACTGATGAACCTCTCAGGGGACGGAATTTCCAGACTGAAGGATTCAGACAACGGGCTTATCGCCCCCGAGTCCGTCCGCGAGCAAAGCTGAACCCCAAGAGTCACAGGCCCCGATGTATTGCCGGAGACCGCGCTAATTTCGAGTAATAAATGATGCAAGGCCGTGGCGTCAGAGCTGGGGGTAGGTTGGCTATCTAGCATGCTCATTTCCGACTGCAGTTTCGCTAATTGAATGGCGGAGTCGTCACCGGTCAGCAGGCGACCTCTCTGCTCGGGATCGCGCACAATAACATCCCCGCTCAGCATTTTGTTGGCCTTGACAAGCTTCCAGACCGTTTCGTCCCGTAGCGCCTCCTTCTCCTTGCCGGTCAACACGTTGTGTAGTAATTGCCGCCTCGAGAAGTCCAGCTCCTGCACAATTGAAGACATTTCCTCCAGCACATTGTATTGCCGAGCCAGAAGCAGCTCGTGCAGGTTGGTAGAGTGCCATTCGCGCAGACATGAAGCGATCTCATCGACTAGTGGTTCTGTGAGGGATGTCGGAGTCTCGTCGCCAATCTTCAGCATGGGGACTGGGGCAGCTGGCTTGGGTGCATCCGGGTCGCGCGGGGTGAAGGTCACCGGGGTGTGCGGGATCGAGCCAGTTCGCCAGGTATGAACTGAACGCGGACTAGCCAGGTCGGGCTCGTCCGTTTTGTGGATGAGGATCTGCGAAGGTTTCCCTTTCCTTGCGACCACGACATCGGACACATCGCCGCCGGCCTGCGACTCGTTCACCGAGAAGGCTGCACTATTTCGGGACAGGTGATCCCCATCCAGTCCCGGTAGCGTCAATCGGTCAATGCTCCTGCGGTCGCCATTGGGCACGGCCTTGTAGCCCTCTCCGTCGCCCAGAACTTCCCGAATCTCGACGCAGTTCCGCGGGAAAATTCCGGAGAAAACACGAGCTTCGAGGGTCTGTCCCTTGGTGCTGGTCAAACCCGCCAGTAAGGACGGTGGTGCGACTAGATAGCCCCGACACCACTCGACATCGACTCCTCCTTGTTCAATAATGTATAGCTCATCGCCCAGTTCCAAGGGTAGGTCCGCCGGGGAGGTGGGATGAAAGGGGTAGATGGCTACCGCAAAGGCAATCCGAGGCAGCGGCCGCCAGGGCATGGCTGCGGTGTATTTTTATGTTCACTCGAGGCGATGGGGACTTGAGACTGTAGACCTGGGACGTGCCAGTCCCCGCAAATACCGTTGACGATCCGCTCGCGAGGTTCGAGGCAAGGGAGACAGGAGTTGACAGCGAGGAATGTTCGTCTGTTCAATAGAACGCGACATGCAGTGGAGGTTCCAGCTGGTCGGGTCCGGGGGAAAAAGAAAGGAATGCGTGTCCGATCGAAGTATGCGACAAGTTGCAAGGCTCTAAAAATTCATGATTAGGAGGCGCACGCGAATGCCTGTCGAATCTCAGGAACAATTGGAGAGACAAAGAATTGGCCAGGGGGGGGCAGGAATAGAGGGAGATGGACAGAAGGGAAGATTCGAGCAGAAGTGTCCACCGAACAGAAACCTCGAAGGTGTCCTGAAGTTCCCAAGAGTCGCAATTGGGATCCGTGCCCCTTGAGAAACATTTCACGTTGTGGAGACGAACTCGTTTCCCTTGGCGAGAACAGTGGGGAAGTAGGGGATGTCGAACTCACCGGACAAGATGTGGATAGAAGATGGGAGCGAATTGAGCAACAGTCAAAAAAGAAGAAAATAAGAAGGATTGAAGAAACGAATGACGGGGAGATGGAGAAGGACGATCGAGGGAAAATCACCGATCTGAAGGGTTTGTTCTGCCCCCCACACGAGATGTACACGCCCAACGGGGACCAAATGACAAAACAGCAAAACAGCAAAACATGCAGATCATCAATCATCAATAACATGGGCGTTTCAGCTGGGCAGGATAGCTGCACAGAGTACAGCTCGAGATGTGTCTACTGACTTGGCAGAGCGTCGAACGACGGGTAGCTAAGATGAACACAGTAAACAATTGCAGCCAGATGAGCGAGACGAGACAATTCTGTAGGACATAACTAAACACCCATATTATATCAAATCATAATTATTATAACCGTTCTACTTGTCCATCTCATAGATGAATCCGATCGAGGGCACGCACAGGCCAGGGCCCCCTGAAACGAAATTAAATGGGCTCGAACCGGTGGATCGATAAGGATCCACCCGAGTGAGATTCCCGATCTCTCTCTGCGAGATTCGTTAGCCGTTGGTGGATGAAAAATGTCATCTTGGGTTGATGTACTTGTAAACCCAAGTATCAAGTCTCGAAGAATAATGCATTGATTCTAAATACCCCAAGGCAAAGCTTTCACAGGGTCCACGATGGAAGGGGCCAAAAATAGAGAAACATAAGGATACCACCCTACAGACAAGCTGTCGTACAGCTTCGCAAGCCGTTGGTCCAGGCCAAGGCAACACAATTAGGGCCCGGGACGGAGCCGCAGGGGTGCAACCCTAAACATGAGCATCGATCTGTTGCGAATCCTATAGTAGACATCCAAAACCCTAATAGCTAGATTCACTCAATTCCTCATTTCTCAACCGACTCCATAAGCTACCCAGCCAGCATCCAGCATTTTCAATATCCACTCAGCCATGTTAGTTCCTCCAGTCAAGCCCTCCATTTCACTTCTCCGTTCCATTCGGACGTGGGAACAATTTCAAATAGAGCGGTGGCTTCTCCACGGTATCGTAAGATTTGCATCGCTGCGGCCAGTCCAAGCATGTTGGGTCAAGCGAGATATCAAACTCGGAGACCAGACGAGCAATGATGATCTTGGAATGCATGTATGCAGCACTATGAGACCATCAGCAAATGCTAACTCCATAACGGACCAACCCTTTTTGTTTTCTTTTTTCTTTTTTCACATACTTCTGTCCCGCACAATTCCTCGGGCCATAACTGAATGGCTTCCTCGCTCGCCGATTATCGTGATGGAACTCTTCCCTGCCCAGCCAGCGAGTCGGCAAGAATTCCGCAGGCTGGGAAAAGTGTTTACTGGACATGTTCGCCGAGAGCTGGCTCACCCCAACGATGGAGCCCCCTGGGACAAAATGGCCACAGATAGTCACGCCTTCGCGAGGTACTACTCGAGGGAAGACGTTTGGGACTGGGGGCAGCATGCGGAGACATTCTTCGAGGACTGCGGTTAGATACGGCATCTTTTTCACAGCAGAGAAAGTGATCTCCGATGAGGATGGGGCTGTCTCTTGGATTTGCTGCAGAAGTTCTTGGAGAACTTGGGGATGCTGGCTCAAGCGATATATGGTGTTGCAGAGAAGCGTGGATGTAGTGTCACTCCCTTTGATCAGGTATGATCAGCCTTTGCTGTCCATTCCAAATACTGTCTATTTGATACTCACCTGCAATCACCAAACTCAGAGCAAGTCGTTCAATTTCGCGACGACTCAATCCATCCGGTACACCGTGGGATCTATAAAGTCAGCAAAAGAATTCAAATTCAAATTCAAATAATCTATATCCATGAATGAAGGCATCTCACATACTCGATCATGTATGTCATGAAATCGTTGTGGTCTACGACATTCTGGAGCCGTTTCCCAACCACCTGCTTCGCAAAATTCAATGCTTCTATCTTCGAGCCCGAGGGAGCTTTGCCCATTATTTGGTCGACAAACGGCCATAGCCCATGGGGCAGCAGCCGACGCATCGCACAATAGACACTAACTCCCTTCAAAGAGCTGGTCACCAGGCTCATCCATGGATGGCTTATGTTCGGTGAATTGACACTGCCGAAGGACTGTCCGAAGGAGAGATCCGTGGTGAGATCGAACATGATTGCGGTCATACTGCAAATCAAGTCAGTATGCAGTATAAGATACACCATATAACTCCGTTCTGGCTTGATAAACACCTTTTCTCAATATTGATGAACGATCCCTGAGATAAATTGACTTGTTGATGAAGACTGCTCATCAAGGAATCGACATGTTTCAAAACGAGCGGCTCGTGCTCGGTGATGGACTTTTCAGAAAAGGCGTAAGAAAGAATGCGTCGGTACCGACGGTGATCCTGAGTGGACCCAAGAAAGGCAGACGTGAGTGCCAGACCCAGAAACATTATGAAAAGAAAGAGAGTGTAAGATATATCATGTTCGTTGTTACACTTACCTTCTCGGGAGCAAATCCAATGGATGGCGGAGAGTTAGGCAGTCTAAACTCTTTGCCCGGATCCTTGACAAATGCATAGGCATTCCCATGTCCTCTCCCTGATTTGAATTAGCAAAACCATCTGCTCCAGTGGTGGATACAAGAAGCAGCTCACCATAGATATCTTCCCATGCCTGTCCATCGTTCAAAGACAAAATGTTAGGTGCAATTCTCACCACTTCGCCATATCGATCATGTAGACGCTTGGTGTTCTCTGCCAGCGTTCCCCTGTACGTATGAATGGCATGATAAATCCATGAAACCCGGGCCAGGAAAGGACCTGGGTATGAGGCCAGCGGGTGGAAGAAAAGGTTATAAGTCCACCAGATGAGGACTCCAGCCAGGAACTGTGTTGGTGACGGTGAAATTTAGAAATCGTGATAAATGAAACTGGCAGGGAAACAACATACAGTCAAATTGATCCATATTGTCATTGAAAGCTCCTCGAGCCCCAGGCTCTGGAACAAGTCCTTGGGGACTTGTGGGAACGCCATGGTCGATCCTATTGAAAGCAATGATATCTGGGGTGTAGGTCTTGGAGAAGGCATTAGAAGTAATGTTCCGCGAAGGCGACTAAATACATTCCTACAGGGTCTTTCGTATATCAGTTCTAAATATCCTGAGGGCACACAACCTAGCCTACCCGTTCTCGTACAGGTGACCTTATTGAGATCTCAACTGCCTATGGAATTGACGGAAGTAACATCATGGGTTGCACTGCAGCCAAAGTAAAGCCAAATAGAAGAACGAGTGTGCCTATTCCATGCTATCACTGTCGCAACTCGGGATTTAAGCTCATGTGGCACAACTTGTTTCTTGGGAGCCATGAAAATCTTGGGCTAATTTTTTTTTCCTCCTAGTGTCGACCACTGTGTTGCATTGATAATAACCCGGTGCCAATTCATGGATCCTGTTCTGTCACCAGGGGGACATATTCTGCCTGGAATCTTAACATCGTCTTCCCAGGCTGCAAACCGCTTCTGCCAATTGGGTTGAATGGGATCGGCTTCAAAATGTCTTTCTCAGTCAGTTTACAGGACTTTCGCTGTTCAGACCGGAGATTCTAAACTAAGTGAGGAGGCTAGGAGGTTAGAGAACAGAAAATTTGGTAGTCAGGTAAAGTGGAAATCCTACCGGCTACGAAGTTCCACCATGGCTTGTTATGGGCCTAATAATACCGCAGCTTCAATTAATCAAGCTTACCTCGCTAAGTTCAAAGCCCACATATTAGAATTAGCACCCTCAACTCATAGCCATCAATACCGATAACCCGATATTCTTTTGCTGTGACAATGGGAATGATCGCAAAGGATACTACTATGCAACTGAACCTGACAAAGCCGGCTGTGCCAACGGAACCTGGATTGCCAACGCCGAGTCCGTCGTGTGCACAGGGGGAACGTATCCCGAGCCCACGGGTGTGTTATAATACTTCTTTCTTGAGTCCAAGAATCAAGCCAGTAATGTGATACACAGGGAAGCCCTCAAAAACCAACAAAGGTGCCATTGCAGGTGGCGTGGTCGGCGGCGTCTGCGGAGCCCTCATCATTGTCGGACTAATCTGGTTCTTTTACCGTCGTCGTCGCCAATTAACAACACCCACAAATGAAGAGGTTCAATGGCCTTCAAAGAGCTCTCCTAACTCCCCAAGAGAGCTGGAGGATCACGGCCCTGAACCTTCGGAAGTAAGCGGCTCCAATTATCGAAAAGAAATGCCGGCCGATATGCAACTTGCTCAAGAGCTTGCTGGAGACACACAAAACAAACCGCCGACTGAGCTTCCCTGATTCTTTATTATACCCTGGAGTCAATCCTCTTGCGTTTTGCTTTAATCTTTTTATATTCTATCATGCGGTTTATTTGTACTATTTTGTTAATTGAAACTTGCCAATATATTCAAGTGAGATTGTCCAAACATATCAGGAATATACATGAGCCCAGAATTCGTGGTAGTGGATTAAGCGGGGGGCGGGAGCAAGAGAAGGAGAGAGTAATCAGACGTAAGACCCATTGGATGAAACGAAAGACCAGTTGGATCTACAGCAAATCATTCATACATGAGTCGAGTATATATTTGTTTACTTTAGATGATCTGATCTGATCTGACACCCAATCTTTTTAAGCTTATCGGAGCTTTTGAAGGTACCAATCAGAATGGAGTATATTGTAGACCACTAACTCTAGACCCAAATAGTGATATGTGCATAAATAAGCTAGTTCAGTCTAATACCACACCAATGAATGTCAACTCCAACAAGCCATCGGAGTTAAAAAAAAGGCCCAATGTTGCTGGCCGCAAAGCAATGCTATTATTATTTTTTTTTGTTAGGATAATGTACTCAACTACCCCTGAAAGATGAAATCCTCCAGCTCTTTGAAAGCCACCTGGAGGTCATCATTGACAATAATTTTATCATGGACACCCGTCTCAGCATAATCAAGCTCAGCCCTGGCCTGAGCAAGCCTCTTCTGAATCGACTCTTCCGATTCAGTACCACGACCCCGAAGACGCGTCTCGAGCGCCTCAAATTTGGGCGGGCTGATAAAGACATAGCGCGCATCGATGCTCGAGTTGGCCTTCATCTGCTTGACGCCATTCATTTCAATATCCAGCACCACCACAAGCCCCTTGGCATTCTGGTCCGCGATCGTGCGTCGACTCGTGCCATACTGGTTCGCGCCAAAGGTCGCGTGCTCGACGAAGCCGCCCTCGGAGACAAGATCTGCGAATGCCGACGGGGTGACGAAGAAGTAGTTGATGCCGTCAACTTCGCCGGCACGGGGTGCGCGAGTTGTGTGCGAGACTGTGAAGGCGAATGTGTCTGGGTGCGAGTCGAACAGCTTTTGGACTAGTGTGCCTTTCCCGACTCCGGAGGGACCGGAAATCACGACGGGTCGGCCGTCCGTGGGACGTGCTATAGACGTTGATCATCAGCCAATGATCTTGAACTCCCTTCTCGGGTAGACGGATTTCATACTTGACGACATCTCGCTAGCACAGGGATTGAATGCCGTAGACGGGTTTGTAGTTACTTGTGGTATCTTGAAACTATTCGGACGTCTAGTTTCAACTAGAGAAGTCACTGCAAGTTGGTGGGTCACGTGTCTGAACATGTGACTCTGGATCCTTGTCCCGCCCAAAACGAGGGAAGACAGACCACTTGGAAGAATCCTAGTAGCAGGACGAAGGCAAACCATGGATATAACGATGGATGAAGATCCGATGAACGAAAGAGCTAGGGAGGGTGGGGCGAGAAGGGGTGAAAATCGCTCTATCAGTCGCGTGTTAAAGCGGCGCTCCCCAATTCTCAGCCCTACTCGAGCCACCCGCTGAAATCCTGGACGATTCATGGACATCTCCACCAGCAACGGACCTGGCACTGACATATTTGGGTAAAAAAAATCATATTCATATGATTGCTATGTGTTGGTGACAATAAAAAACCACCATGACCCGAAACGCCTGGCTGTGATGCCCCGATGCTCCCAAACTTCATACATGGTACATCATCCAAATGTCCATAATAATCAACAATAATAGAAATTAAATGCGCTTTCAAAACCATCATTTTCGGAACATCGAAAGCGTGTCCTCCTTACGCCATTCCAGGTCCAGTTGACCTTCATAGACGGTGTCCACGATGCGCCGGGTGCGGTTGTACACCTCCTCGTAGCGCCCCTCGCATTCGCGCAGTACCTTGAGGACTAGGCTTCGACTAAGGCCTGGATCGTCGGCATCACCAAAGTGCTTCTCGACACGCTTCTTGAGCATTTCGATGCCTCGCCGGATTTCCTTGTTGTCGTAAGACGAAAGCACCTTCTTGGCCACCATGCGGGAGTGGCTGGAGCGAGTTGCAATGTCTGTCGGGTTGCTGTTGGCTGTCTGGAGATTCTCGACGGATTGGATGAAATCGAGAAGTTTGCCCAGCGGGCGGCGAATGACGGCATCGAGATAGAGCCGCATGTGCTCTTGGAAATCCTGGCGGGCGCGGTCCGACCAGCGTTGCAGCACTGGGGTGTTGTGCGCGTCCACCTCTTCCATGTAGTGGTTCATGTTCTCGATGAGGAGGATGTGGTAGTTCAGCACTTCCTTATCCTCAGGGTCGCCCGCGGTAGCATTGGCAGCCACACCCGCAGGTTGCCCGGGCGCTTCCTTGGCAATGAATTTGAGCGACTCCCACATGGCTCGGTTGATGCGTTCGTATGCATCGTTCACGCTGACCCGCATGTCGCAGAACTCGCCAGAGGGTCCGGTCAGCATGTTCTCAATGACGGTAGAGAAGTGTGGGAAGATTCGCATGAAAGAAATGACACCCTTCCGCTTGTTAACTTTAACCTTGGTGTCCTCGATGCCTCGGATTTGCTCTTCCACAAATCGGTTGAACAGCCCCATAAGGCGAGAGTGGAGCTTTTGGAGGGAATGGAGGATGAATTCTTGGTTGGTGTCGTCAAAGTCAGCCATGGCCGTTTCTAAGGCAAACAACATCCCAATTCCTTGCCTAGAAGATGGTTAGTTAGACCCCACAAAACCAGCGCGAAAGTGGTACATACAGAGGATCGGCCTTGATGGCCCAGTCCACGATACCCTGCATATCATTGGGCCAGAATGAGTAGACCTCATCCATGATCTGCTCAACTCTCTTGGCCATCACACGGTCCGGGTCATGCGACTGCTTCGTAGAGAATTCTGGACATTTGCGGGCTTCCGGATGGGCCGATGCAACAAGATCCGAGAAGTCAGTGGTGGCCAAGGAATCGAGGTGGAAGAACCGTATCACGAAATTCTGTTCTTCCGCCATCATGTTCAGAGACTCCCGTAGTGTTCCAGCGAAAGCCTCGCATGGCTCGACCTTGCCCTTCTTCTTCTCGCCTGGAGCCAACCTAGCTCCGGCCGCAGCTCGGACAGTCTTGCCACGTCGTACGGTCAACTTCCGCGCAGCCATAGTGATGCCCTCAGCTTCCTTCTCCTTCTCTTGGTGGGTAAAGAGGAGTTCCTGCTCCTCTCCGGTCGGCTTGCGGGCTGTCTGTTTCCAAGCCAAATTATTGTCACGGAATTCGTTCTGGTAGGATGGTTTAGACTGTTGTTCGTAGAGACCAACAAGACCATGCCATTCCGCCATACTGACTTCTCGAGCAAAAAGCATCAGCGGGTTGTACATCCAGATTTCTCGGCGGAAGTGTTGTCGCGCTGAGCTGTCCAGCTTCATAGGATCTTTGGAGCTACGTATCGTAGCCTCGGCCCGTTTTTGTTCTGCCATCTTGAAGGCGAGACCCATGAATTGCTTCAGCCGATGCAGGAACATCATGGCCGCAGAGCGATACTCTTCTTTCTTCTGCTTGATCGCACGCATCTGGCCGATTTCTGTGTCGGCGTAGACACCGACACTAGAATCAACCAAGCGCTTCTTATTTTGTCCAAGGTCAGAATCAATCATGAGCATGGCCTTGTACAATGTCGATAGCGCGCTTTCGGTGCCCTGGAGCGCAGCAGTGTTGCTGAGTGAAGCTTCTTTGAGAGGTCGCATCTCGAAGGAAGAAATCGACAATGTCTTCAAAAGATTCTGAAGCTCATTTTGAAGAAGCTTCTGGTTTGCTGTCTGCACCTGCAGTCCTTGAGACTGGGCCTCGATGTACGCCACGTCCTCGTTAAGAGTCTAAAGCGTTCAACAAGTTAGCAAGCTGCGGGCATGTCCACCAAGGGGTCCACTTACGTTCAATTCGTGTGAGTACAATGTCAGTAGACCATCCAGCTCTTCGCACTCTTCGATTGTCTTGTCAATGAGGCCGGCAAGCTGTTCGACTTTGCCTTCTTGCTGTTCAAGATTGCCCAGCCAGCTGGTTGCCTCGACGCGGCCTATCTCCCGGCGAATGTCTGCCTCCAAATCCTCGATCTTCTTGTCGTCGCTCAACCGTCCGCTCCAGCCCAAGTCAGTCAGGATATCATCGAAATCAATGCCGCGTCCATCAAGAACACCGGGATCAATCCCAAGCGCTTGGCAGTATTTAATCGTGTTATCTTCACGGCGTCTTCGGCGACGGCCTTGTCCTGCCGGGGATGGTGTTCTTGAACGGGCTGCCCCATTTGCACCGTCTGTTAAAGAATCGTTGACCTCCTCGGCAGCCTCCGGAGCAACGACTGGCTCTTCAATAGCCGGATGTGTGATTTCAACAGTGGGTGCTTCGGGAGGTGTAGATGGAGCAGGTGCTGGCAGTTCCTTTTCTACTGTTTCTGTTACTGGGCTCTTTGGAGGCTCATTCCCAGGTCTGGAGATGGACGGGGCAGGAAAGACGCCAGTGATTCCATCTGCATCGGTTTCCTCGGCCTTTTGCTTCTTTGCGGCAGCCAATAATCGCTCACCAGCTCCACCTCGTCGGGGTTTGAAAGCTCCATAGGCATTTGCAGCTTTCCGGAATGCGCCGGCAACATCTTTGGACGACTTTGGCTTCACCATAGGGCCAAGCCCCGGGCGATGCCCCTCGCTTTCTACCTCGTCGTCATCAACTGGCGTGGGTGGAACAACCGGCGGCGAGTCTGTCGTGATTTCGCCCATAAGCTCGACATCTTGGACCGTTTTAACATCCAAGGTCGGCTGAATGCCCGGAACTGGCTTCACATCCTGGACCGGCTTCACCTCTCGTGCCTCCTGGATGTCTGGGTCCGGCTTGACATCCTGAGCTGGCTTCACCTCTTGTGCCTGCTGAATCTCTGGGACCGGCTGGACATCCTGAGCGGGCTTCACTTCTCGTGCCTGCTGAATTTCTGGGTCCGGCTTGACATCTTGATCGGGCTTCACCTCTCGGACCGGCGGAATATAATGAACTGGCTTCGCATCATGAACTGGCTCAATATCTGGGAGCGGCTTGACATCATGAACCTGCTTCACCTCTCGGGCCGGCTCAGTATCATGAACTGCATTCACGTCTTGAACAGGCTTGACATCTCGGGCTGGCTGAATATCTTGAGCTGGCTCCACATCTCGAGGTGGCTCAATAGCTGGGAGCGGCTTCACCTCATCGGGAGACTTATTGGATTCTTCAGAAGCCACAGTGGCTGCTGTCACGGCTGCTGCCACAGCAGGGTCCAGCATAGGCGGTGGCGTCTGTTCGTCTGCCATGAATGGTGCGATTGGCTCGGGCCTGGCGCTCGCAGCGGGAGCAGGAGGAAGCTTTGAAGCAGCTTGATCTTGTGGCGGAGGCAGCTGGTTGGCAGGGGATGGTTTGTCAACGCCCCCATGATGGAGCGACTTTTGACCAGGGCTGGGTGCTGGACTTGGGGCTGCACTTCGGTTTTCACCGGCGGAGGACCCAGGCGTGGTGGGCCGAAGACTATCGATGCTGGGCTTGAATTCGGGGAGCTTGGTTTCAGATGGCTTGACGGAAAGTGGCGGTGGTTGTGTTTTCAGGAGTCGATCCTCATCCCGGGAAGATGATGGTCGAGAATAGTCGTAGACATCAATTCGAGCAGGCCGAAGACCATCTGCGCTACGCTTAGACTCTGGTGCCATGGGCTCAAGAGCTGGGGGTGCCAATGCTGGCCGCTGTGGCCTCGGCAACCGCTCTTCTTCTCGGGATGAGGACGGCCGGGAGTCTTCTGATGCGCCAAAACGACTGGGCCGAAGACCATCGGTACTGGGCTTGGGCTCTGGTGCCCGAGCTTCAACATGCTTTGTGACAAGTGGTGGGGGTTGCGCTTTCGGGATGCGCTCCTCGACCCTGGAAGATGATGGTCGAATGGCTTCTGGAATTTTGATGTGGCTGCTTGGTTCCGGCTCTTTGTTTCTCGGTTCTGCCGTTAAAGCAGCAGCCACCTGAGGCTTGGTTTCCGCGGCGGGTCGCTCGTTCACACGGGGTGGTGTTTGCTCCCGCTGCCCTGGAGCAATCATGGAAGGGCCTGAGGAAATTGTCGAAGAAGGGATTTGGGGAGGTCCGAATGGAGAGGGCGCTGGCTTGGATTGCCCAGTGGATGGCCGAGGCAGTTGTTCGCGGCTTCGTTGGGGTCGAAGGACTGGCACCGGGTCTTCAGATGGCTTCCGCCTGACGTCTCGAGGTGCGTCGCGACTGGGGTCGCGACTACTGTATGACGACTGTGGTTGTGGTGAGGGGCCCTCTGAGGGCGGAGCAAGGCCAGCGCCCCTTGATGGAGGAGGTGCTGGCGACGAGGATGCCCCGCTACTACCTGCGAGCAGCTGACGTTCCCTCTCATCAAAACCGACAAGATTCGGGACCTTCCCCCCTGTGTATTTCTTGTAGATCTTGACCAGGCTTCCAATGAAAAACTCCTTTTCCTTGGCACTTCTGGCATGCCAGTAGTAGGGCTTTCCTACTGTGACCACAAAACCGAGGTTCGACGCCCATTCCTTTTGTTGTTGCTCCGCCGGCGTTCGAGGCACAAAGGCGTTGTAGGATTGAATTGCAGATAGGTCATCGAGCATCCAGGTTTTTCCAATTGAGAATGTTCCATCATTGTTCTCGCGAGCCTTGTGCATCCGAACCCTGCCTGACCTTCGGACGGAAACGATGATGACGCGGGCCTTCTTGGTTTCGGAGGACGCGTTTGGCGGGCCAGGGGCAGAGGGATGCGCAGCATCCTCCGTGATACGCACGTGTGTGATATAGGACTCGACCACTAGAATTCACATAGCCATTAGCGGTGCTGACTTCGCTTGGGAGGGAAGCCATTCGGCTCGGGGGAAGGCTGTAGGAGGACAGGCTGCAGCGCATCGTCATCTGCCTCCTATGTTTGGAGCCAAACTGGAGTTGCAAAGGGTTGAAGGAGAAACTGGCATATATACATACATGTTCCGTCGTTATCCTTTTTCGAATAACAACTTTGGACGATCCGTTTCTTCTCGTCCTCGAATTTCTCGGCTCGGGACATGGACCCATCGCCCGCGCCATGGCGGGTATCTCCGCCGCGAGGACGATCTCGACCGTTCATCGTTGTGTGTTTGGGTGGGAGATACCAAGATCGTTCAGGTAATGCTCAAGATCAAGGGGACATGGTCGGATGGAACGGATTGAGATCAGCAACACCAAGACGAATCGCGCAGTGAGGTAATTGATGGCCGAGAAACCATGCGAGATAGGCGGTTAGGCACAGTTCCCCAGCAAGCTTGCAAAGGGGGGAGATTTCGATGTCAGGCAAGAGGATGGGGGGAGTGTCATTAGCTCATCACTCTGTTTGGGGTTGCGGACACTCGGGCGGAGAGCTCGTGGGAGCGGGTTATCGAGTTGATCCGGCTCCAGCCACCAACGTGGAGATCACTAATTGCGGAGAAAAAAGAGTCGATTTTTCCAAGCTACGCGGGCTGTAAGAATGGAATGGTCTTTCTCTTCGTTGCAGCTTCCTGCCTCAGGTTGCTCCTGCCACTTGCAACAGTGGAGACACGTGACAGCCTAAACCTATTTAGAACAGACCAATAGGAAGACGTGACAGGCTGACCGCCTTGCGTATACTTTTTTGACTTTTTTTTTTGTTCCTGGCAGTCGCTCTAAACAAGTGCTTCCTGTACCACTGCCGATTCATTCCCTTCTTCTATCGTGCCTGTATTGGAACAGTATCGGTATTCTCACTCCCACTCTCAGGCACCATCATGGCCAAGAATTCGGCTCCCGTGAAGAAGACTTCGGTCAAGAAGGTACGGTATTCTAGAGATGCAACGATCTGCATGAGACTTTGGCTGACGATACTCGCGTTCTACAGGCCGAATCTACCACCAACGCTGCCACTGTACCTCCTCAGCTGGCTGCTGCTGTCGCAGCCTTTCTGACTGACAATGGGTTCTCTGGCGCCAGCGCGGCTTTTAAGAAGGAATTGACGAAAAAGGGCCAGTCCTCCACTGATGTGCAAAATATCCCATCCTTGCTGGATCTCTTCCAGACTTGGCCAAAGACCTCCAGCACCAAGGTAGCTGCTAGCTCCGACTCTTCTGTCTCAAGCAGCAGCTCCGACAGCGAAAGTGATTCCAGCTCTGACAGTGAGAGTGACTCGGACATTGAGATGGGGGATGCTCCTAAGGTTCCCTCCAAGGAACAAAAGCCCGCGCGCTCATCCTCTCCCTCTTCGTCATCTTCCTCTTCAAGCTCCGACAGTGATGCGGATGATGAGGATGAGGACGAAGCTTCTGCTGCTCCTGCCCCTGCCAAGTCGACTGGTGTGAAACGCAAGGCCGAGTCCAGCAGCTCATCTTCCTCGGGCTCTGAGTCCAGCTCCGACTCTGAAGACGACATTCCCCAGGCCAAGAAGACCAAGATTTCCCCTCAGAATGATCCCAAGTCTTCCGAGTCCGACTCCGATTCGTCCAGCTCTTCCAGCTCGTCCTCCTCCTCTGGCTCCTCTGATTCCTCATCTGAATTGTCTGATTCCTCTGAATCGTCTGATTCCTCCTCTGAATCGTCTGATTCCTCCTCTGACTCGTCTGATTCCGAAAAGGAATCCAAGAAGACCGGTGCCAAGGCCCTGAAGCAAGCGACCAAAACCCCGCTCCCTGCGTCGGATTCTAGCGACTCTGACTCATCAGATGATGACACCGATGATAAGGCTGGAGGTGTGTCAGTTGAGCAGAACACTTCCTCGGACACGAGTGCCACTATTGAATCTTCGCCGGAAACCCAACAGCTGGCCAACAAGGCTTTGCAAAAGACCCAAACCTCATCATCAAGCGCCAGCCCCATCCCCGGGAACGAGCCTGCCAAGAAGAAGCACACGGGCACTCGTCCTACCCCACTGGCTGCCCTGAGCCAGCTACCGCATGACCACCCGTCAAACGACTACATCTCTTACGCCTATGCGGACCGCGCCTACAAAGATCTGTCGATTACTCGCGGAAAGGGCTTCACAAAGGAGAAGAACAAGAAGAAGCGTGGCTCGTACCGTGGCGGGCCGATTGATATCTCCGGAGGCAAGTCCTTCAAGTTTGACGACTAGAGGCTTTGCTTCGTTCTCTTTTTCGATATCTCATAATATGCACTTTGACTTATCCGTTTTCGATCCAACGCCACAAACGGAGATGTTGATTCTGTGATTACGAGTGGCCTGCCCAGAGCTTGCACGTTGATTTCTTTTTCTTTGTTTAGATTTACCCCGGTTTTGTCTTTGCTGCTTTCGGCAGCGGTGGTCTTGAGCTACGGTCAACAATACAAGACAGATCCCTTTTCTCTGGTTGGTTCTCTGGCATGGTCATTCTGCTCTTCACTCGGCGTGGCGCACACGGAGCTATGGGGAAGGGACCCAAAATTTGCTTGAAGTTTTGCTCGTTCATATTAGCGTACCCAAAAGTTTAATAAATTTTAGTATCATTTGGATACTTGACGGTTTATCACCTCGAACGTCCACATAGCTCTGCCTCTGAAGGTTTCAAGAAGATCATAACATTAAACATAAACATGTACTATCTAGTCTAATGTCTTGTCAAACCCAGACAACTCCAACTATCTACCACAGGCAAATCCAAGAGTCTATGAAATAACCATAGCTCATGCCAGTAAAATCCCAAGAAAACCGAGAAGAGAAAGAGGAGGAAGAAGAAGAAGAAGCTCTACTCATCTCGCCGCCTCCAAGCCCCAGGTTCTTCCAAATGTTCCCACCGCGCATCCCAACCCTCAACGAGACGATCACCTGGCTCGACAGACCAAAACGAGCGCTGATTCCGTAGCTTCGAAGTCGTAGTCAGGTCATCCGGATGCGGGCGTTCATAACCCGCGAGATTGAACACCTCCCCCGAGACATCTGGCAATGGCACCGAGCCGGTATTGACGCCTAGATCGAGGTTATACTCGTACCACTCCTTGGCGGGACCGGTCAAGTCATCGGTGGACGCAAAGTCCAACCGCACGACCCCGTCCACAATGCCGGTGTAGACGGTGGACGAGGACGGGGAGGGCGAGGACATGGTATAGATAGGCCCGCGGTAGGCGCCTCGTTTGCGGGGGCGAGAGTGGTGCTGGTTGTGGTTCTGGTTCTGGGGTGGGAATGTGGAGGGCGGTTGGTGGGAGAGGAAAATGGAGATGTCTTTGCGGGGATGTTGGAAGGGGGTAGTAAGGGTAGCAGCGCCATTAGTATAGACTCCATTGGCAGGGAGGTTTTGGGTGTTTGTAGACTTTGCAGGAGGAGCTTGGGCGTCCAGGTAACTGTATGTGTTGCTCATGCGGAGGTCGAAGATCTTGAGGACTGCGTCGCCTCCGGCTCCCGCTAGGAACCGGTCGTGGCCGAAGGTGTGCACGCTGTAAATGGGATTGATATCTGTGGTATCTCTATAGGTTGATTCGTAGGGGTGTGGCGAGCGAAGGTCATGAAGCCTGGAGAAGATCGTCAGTTTGGAGAAAGGGATTGGGATATAGAACAGTATTTTGGGCTTCTCGTACCGGACGCTGCGGTCGCCCCACGCAGCAAGAAAAACATCGCCTGGTGAGCCACCTAGGGCATGTTGGTTCAGAGGTGCAATGGCACTGACATTGGCCTTGGCCGTGTTCCCAACCCGTTGCTCGAGGTCAAGAGAATCCACACTAATATCCCGATACACGGAGACCCCGTCTGGAACGAATGTCGAAATCGACAGTGAATTCCCTGTATCTCCAGTTCCTACCGCAACGAGCGACGAGGACAGCAACTTGGAGTATCTGTTCCGTGCGCTCAGAGCTTCGGCTCGGAGCCACACGAACGGCTCGACCTTTTGGTCCTCAGTTGCCGTGTGGTAGAAGGCAATAGATCCATTGCCATAGTGAGCAGCTAGAGTGGGTTCTGTGCCATCGCTGAGATCTGTTCGATCGAGTATCAGGCCATATGTTCGGAATCTCTGCTTATATTCATGACTCGCGTCTTCCGGGGAAATAGCAAGATGGACGATATCGCCGAGCATTCGTCCAAAGACAAAATGCTCCGTATCTGCCCCTTTCCGACCATGATCTGGCTTCAGCGCATGCACCCCTAGGATATCGTCATAGCTACTGGTGTGGTCGGTATCATCAAGCACGAACCAATTCTCACGCGCTTGGGCTCCCGACTGCTTCACCCGCACCACGAGCTGGCTGGCCGCACCCCAGGCAAGAACCTCCTTTCGATCCGCCCAGCAGGCGCCATTCCACGTCTCATACGAGTCAATGGCGGCGCGGTACCCCAGAGTGGGGCGATCAAGCCGAGTAGCCTGGTGAGAGCCGATCTGGGCTGCCGTTGGTGGGGGCAGCACAAACCGGCCGATGATGGCTTGGCGGTCCAGGGCCCGGGATCGTGCTGTTAGAGCGCGGGCGGCATCTTTCCAGAATGGAGGTGTTGGGGTGCAGGGAAAACTGCTTTGAACGAATGCCCGAAAAATGCGCGAGTCTTCGGCGGTGATAATCTCATAGAGGCGATGACAGGTCTGCGCCAGATGGGTCAATGCATTGGCCGTTGGCAGAAATGTTGCGATATGGTAGATGATTTCCGAGGGTAGCTCGGAGAGCATGTTGGAGATCAGATATGCTGCTGGACGTTTTCCCCGATCTTCACCTTTCTTTTTGACCGTGCACCGCGTGAGTTCAACGTGGGCCGTGGGGCATTGCTTAGTGAGTCATGGAGAGCCCGGCGAGCACTCCCCGGCTCATAATTGTAGATTGATGGAATTGGGGGTGTATGAAGAAGAAGCGTGATATACAAGTCTCCAAATCGAACCATTTTTGTTGACTGGACGATGTTGAAATGACGTCAGGGCATTCGATCGTGGCAAATCAAAGTATGCGAATGGCGCGATTCGGACTATACGCACGCTGAACAAACAAAAGCCATCGTTTCTATTGGACCGGATCAAAAATGTCTTTTTTATAGGCCGTCGATCTATTAAGGGAAAAATTCTAAGAATAAGTGAAGTTATTTCTGAGACAGGCCAATGCCGGAGATTATAGTTGGTTCTTGTGGTTACCTCTGATCAATGCATCACTCTTCATTTTTTTAGTATATTCGTGTCCAATATATCATACTCGATATTGGCAAAAACAAAACATATAAGGACAATAAAACAGCCAACGTGGGTAACCCCGACAAAACGTTATGTCATTGTAGCTTATCTCGCTTATCATCGCGGGGATGCGCAAGCAGAAAAGTAATAAGCGCATCCTCGTTGGACAAGAACATCTACCGGTTCTACTGGTGGACCTCAGGACCTACCACCCAAGAATCGGCCTCTGGATCTCGGCTGTCAGGCAGCGTCCCTCAAGCGGGGTCTGTGAATCAATTACCTAACTGCTGCCAACTGCGGAATTGGACCGGAAGCATAAAAGAGTCCGTGGGGTTGTACATTGCAGCTCTGTATTCCAGCACCCAAGTCCAGCGTTTTGCAAGACTCTCAATAGTCAAAATGGCACTCTCCATCACAACGCTGGCCGCACTGGCTGTCGCCGTTCTCGTCGTATACAAAGGCATCATTTACCCCGTCTTCAAGTCGCCGCTGTCCAAGATCCCCAACGTGCACTGGAGTGTCCCCTTATCTCCAGTATGGATGCTCTGGAAGCGTTTTAGTAGTCAGAACAATCGAACTATCCAGGCCGCGCATGAAAGCCTTGGTCCGATTGTCAGACTCGGACCGTCAGAGATCTCTATCAACTGCGTCGATGGAGGGATCAAGTCGGTGTATACCGGCGGGTTCGAGAAACATGACTGGTACCCACGAGTTTTTGGGTCGTTTGGGTGGGTGATATCTGAAGCATGCTTCACCTAGTATCTCCATGGCTAACGAACCCATAGAACCGTTAGCATGTTCACCATGACCGGAAGCAAAGCTCACTCAACCCGCAAGAGGATGCTGTCAAATATCTACTCCAAATCGACCCTACAGACATCACCTCATCTACGGGTGGTTTCAAATGCAGTCATCTTCGGCCGCCTCCTCCCTATTCTCCACGAAGCAGCGACATCTAACCAACAGGTCGACGTCCATGATCTGAATCAGGGACTCACGATGGACTTTGTCTCCTCGTATTTATTTGGCCTCCAGAATGGGACCAACCACCTGCAGGATCATTCGTTCCGCAAAAACTGGCTCCATCTGTACCTGTGTCGCAAGCCCTATGAATTCTATCACCAGGAAGTGCCGCATCTGTCCGGGTGGATGAAGTGCCTTGGTATTCGTCTGATCCCCAAGTACTGTGACGACGCCAATGCCATGCTCGATGCCTGGGCCCTTGATCTATGCGACAAAGCCGAGCAGTCACTCACGTCCACGGAACCAGGAGTGGAGCCCGTTGTCTATAAACAGTTGAGACAAAGTCTCGACAAGCATTCTTCCAAGGAGACGGGCTCCAAACCAGACCGCGCCCAGCAACGACTCGATATCGCTTGCGAGATGTATGACCACCTCACTGCCGGTTACGAGACCAGCGCTGTGGGCCTCACGTATTTACTTTGGGAGCTCTCAAAGCACCCAGAGGTCCAGAGAAAGCTTCAGAAAGAGTTGTTGACCCTGCAGCCCCCGATCTCCTATTCTGCGTCCACAGAGCTACCGCCTCCAAAATCGATTGACAGTCTGTCATTGCTAGAAGCAATAGTCACCGAGACACTGCGACTGCACGCTCCCATTCCTGGTATTCAGCCGCGGGTAACGCCGTATCCGTCGTGTACGTTGGCCGGATACGATGATATCCCTCCCAACACGAGGGTTAATGCCCAGGCTTATTCACTGCACCGCAACCCGGACGTCTTCCCTGCGCCGGAAAGCTGGCAGCCAAAGCGATGGCTCGTGGACGAGAACTCGCCGGTTGATCTTGAAGAACGGCGCCGGTGGTTCTGGGCTTTCGGGAGTGGAGGGCGTATGTGTGTGGGGAGCAATCTCGCACTGCAAGGTATGGATGTGGAAAAGAAGTTACCTAGCTTTGGGGTTGCAATGGTGCTGATGGTTAAAACAGAAATGAAGCTGGCTGTGGCTGCGATTTATACCAACTTCCGCACCACTATTGTCGACGATGAGAATGTGGAAGCAACTGATGCTTACACGGTGAAGCCCAGAGGAGACAAATTGATCCTGAAATTTGAGCTGGTCGGGGCGGGCCGTGAATAAATGGTGCGAAACTCACAATGGACAGACCACGAGAGACGAAAATGCCATCGGTTCATTTTTAAAGGATTCTTAAAATGGCAGACAGGGGTTTTATACTGTACGGATGCGCGAATCAGCAAACTCTGATCATTCTTGGGTGCGAAAGAATCAATCCAGTGTCACGGACTCGGAGTAGAGTCAAAATCTTGGATGCAGGCCATCAACTTGACTGCGGAAGAAACTGGAATCTATCATAAGCGCCCGCAGGCAATGGTGATTAATATCCATATTAGCCTCATCAAAAGCCTTGATCAGGGTGCGAAGATATTCAAAGATCCGCCCAAGTCCTATGAAAGTTATTGACAAGTTCAAAAGCCAAGGATAGATACACATATAGTTTATTCGATCTATGTCCATCCATTCTCTTATATTAGTACAATCGTCGAAAACAGTTCGAAGCTCATATTCCGAGTCTCCAGTCAGTGAGCTCCCATCACTCGACTGAGCTGAGTGGAAAAGGCTACCACAAGAGCGCTTAGAAGTTCAGAGTAACTGCAAAGCTACTACATAAATTTGCCGGTGGGTTATCTTCTTTTTCTTTTTGTTTTCTTCCTTCTCCCCGGAATGATATAAGAAACGCTACACCAACAGACGAACCATAGTAGCAGTCGCCCTCGCCTTACTTTGGACATTTATTCCGGCCTTCTGACTGACTTGCACCCCTAGTTCCACTAGTATGTTCCTTGGCATTTTGTAACACGTTTTTTGTCTTTTACTTCTGTCTATTCACTTGAGAATTGCTTGATTACTTGGAATTATATGAGAACGACAGCTGTATCGTGGTCTTCATCTTGCTTGAATTGCCTAAACCTCTAAAAGATAATATGGCTTACAACGCCATACCCGATATTGAAATATTCCAATATTTCTTAAACTGCTAATATATTCTGGTTTCTCTCCAAAGCTCGAGGGAAAGAATAGAATAGTCTCGGTGTGGATTGCACTAACGAGATGCACTAGAGATCAACCTTAGCATACTTATAACGGACAAATATCAGTTTGAGTGAACGATACCTTAGCCACATTCGCATCCCGAAATGGAGCAAACGCAAGAAAGTCCGTCTGCGCAATCGCCGTTCTGTGGAACACATTTGTATCCTTTTCCATGGTCTCCTCTTTTAACGACAGGCGTATCGACATCGGCACCTCTCGGGTCGAGAGCCGCGGCGGAGGCAAGGGTTGCAAAGGCACCGAACGCAAGGAGATTGAGAAGCTTCATTGCGATAAGATATCGAGTCTGATTGAGATATTGAAGAGTTGGGGAGTTTGAGAAATCCCTGGCGAAGATAATAGAAGAGCTGAGGAGCGAGCATCGACCACATATTTATATTCATCTTGCCTCCATTACCCCAATTCCTCCCAGAGAAGCTGCAAGAAAATCCCGCAGCGTTATCTCGCTACATGGCCTTGACGTCAATGTATAATGGGGGATATGGGGTCTCAGGAGATGCCTGTTAACGCCCGTGGAATGAGGGCGAGACCCACTATGATCTTCTATGCTGGTGTTCCTCCCAAACATCGTCGTACTATATAGCCCTAACCATACAAGCCAGCTCGTTGCCTTTCATGCTTCAACTTGAAGATATGCCAACTTACTGAGGACATAGTCTGTATCTGCTGATATCTTCATACGAGATTCAATCAGCGGGACTGGCATGGCGAACCCCAGAGAATATCTCCGCACCCCGCAGAGAATGAAGGGCAAAACCACGAGGCTCCGCAGTGACATCTATGGATATGCTGGGGCCGCCCCGCCCCATCTTGACGGTCAAGTCAAGCTCCCCCCAAGCCTTCGCTTAACTTTCCTTCGAAACTGAGCCGGCTTAGGTTGAGCCGGGGCAAGGTGTTCGGGCGTCCTCAATTGCATACATGTTGTTTCGGCAGCCCCGTCTTGACCTCGGGGTGGATCCAAGCCGCCCCCGAAACCTCAATCAACTTTTCCAAGGTTCGCTTAAAAGAAAAGATACAACCTTGTAATGGCCCTGAATGAGGTCCTATGCATCTACAAGGCGTCGTTCAATTCTCCATTCAATATCGTTGATGATGTCTCTGGGGCTATTGAGCTGCAGACTATTTTTGGTTCAGATGTTCGGAATAAACTGGGGCAATCGAGACTATAATCTTGCTCTCTCCAAATTGCCTCCAACATTAAGAGAAAAAAATGTCTGATCCATAGTTATTCGCCCCCAGTGTGCCTTGCTTGACACGTAACCACACGATGTTGTTGTCAACCGAGGGCCAACAGGTGGCAGTGTACGCGTGTATATCTTACCAAGGGCTTTTTTGACCAATTCTCGTCCGGTTAGTATGTCACACTTGGGCTTTTGAATATACCCCGGTCCGCCAGTCGAAATGAATAAGAGCTGTAATTTGGACATACAATCTTGCTTTATAGCGTATCTCGTCAGAGCTCACTAGTAAAAAGCTTGTCTTGCTGTTTACGTGGATAGCCATAATAAAGACCAATTTCGGGATTCTGTTATCTGATATTCCTTAGATTGAATAAAACAGGCATGAGCGATGTTAGCGAAGATGAGATTCGCAAGAGAAAAATAACGGAATTTGAGACAATATAAAAATAGCTAGTTTGGCCGTATGTACGTAAATAGAAGTCAAACCGAGGGGGGGTTCTAGTGTTCATATTGAGATCAGCATTCTATTCCACGAGATCCTTCGAGAAACACAAGGTTTCCAGACGGAAAGATTTAGAAGTAAGATACACTATGTTGAGACGGTTTGAAGGATATATTAACACCTTAGATCCAAGCTGCCCATTAAACTTTTGTGTGCTTACTAGAGCAGCCTCTTTTACAGTCATATCTTCGGGCTGTACACAATAAGCAAATAAAAAGTACCGATTCAGTATAAGAGCCAGAGACTTGATTACCCCAAAACTCGTTATCAAAGAAAGTCTTGTTTGTGAATGAATCTAACTGTATTGTACAAGAATTTTGGATTTGAAGCCGAAACGCCGGATAGCAGTACATAGTATAGTGACTTGCTTCTCTCGAAGAACCCAATTTAGCCCAGGACACCCTCCTTCTTCCGCGGCGGGATGACCTTGGGGTACATTCTCCCCAGATGGTAGTTGACGGTGTTATTCTTCTTCTCTGACTTGGTCTGCATACAAGAATAAGAAAGTCGTTAGTGATCATCGGGAGAGCCAAATGAAGGAGCGACAGGAGCAACGAGCAACGTACCGTGCCATCCATACACTTCCGCAATTGCATCTCCATAGCGGCGCATCCTTCAGTGCCATATCCCTGAGAGGCCCAGCAGTCTAATGGCAATTAGGTGTCAGCAAACTTCTCGCAAAGGAAAAAAAAAAAAGGACAACGTGAAGCCCCATCCGGAATTTTCGTCGCGGTTCGGTGGGGGCAATTCGGATGTTCAGAGGCTTTGCGCAAGAGACAGGAGGACGTACTCAGCATTGACGACATCACGGTCACACACGGGTTCTGTTCTTGTTGGGTATTCGGTCGCTTGACTCGGAGGAATCTGATCGTGTCTAGGCGCATCGGCTTGAGCTTGGTCGAGACATTGCCTTTGGGTGGCATATTGGCAGAGGATGAGGGATTCAGCGACCGGAAAGCGCTGGAGAGGAAGGAAGGGCGGACGGCGTGCTGCGATGATTTCGTGGACCAGAACGGGAGAGCCCATGTCGGGATCGGATTCGAACCCATGATCACGTCCACGTGACCCGATGAGCAGGTACGGGCAACATCGGCAACTCCGACACCAAACTGCCTTGTCTGGATAACAGCCCTGTATCGTCTATCCAGAGCTAGCACAAATGATAAATTCTCAATTTCTCTCAATCGATGTCTATATAGACTCTACATGCTCGTACTCGCTTTTGTTCATTTGCATTGTTAACTTGTCCCCTTTCTCTCAATTCAAAACCAAGGAAGCTCTCGAACTCGTGCCGAATATCTATGGGTCAGTTTTGAACATAGTTTTCTTTATATTGAGCTGATTGTGAAACGAAGACTCGAAGCCCAGCGATGATCTTTTTTCATACTCTTCCGGGCGATTCCTCTACAATGAGCAATCACGTCTTCGCGAACGACATGTGCGATTTGATGTCGCCGCACTTCAACATTCCATTGCGAAACATGTTGGCCATGGAAGCGTCAAGAGCCTTGTCAAGTTGAGTGAAGGTGGTTTCAGTCGTGTATTCCTAGCCACCATAGACGATGGCTTCAAGGCAATCGTCAAAATCCTATACTGGATATCTGTTTCGAAGGTGTATATGACTGCTAGTGAAGTCCCAACTGACATTCGTCCGTTCCAAGGGAGTCCCAGAAGTCTATGGGTGGTCTTCTACCACTGGAAATGCGGCTGACGTTGAGTACATCATCATGGAGTATGCATCAGTGGTTGGTGGGGATACTCGCTAGTGCAACACGACCAAGTATCAGAAAAAGGCCTTGGTGACGGGCATTGTCGATATCGAGAAAAAGCTGCTTAACCTACTTTTCGCTTCTGTTGGCAGCCTCTATTTCAAAACCGACCTCCCTCGTCACTTACAGTGCCAGTTGTACCAGCCAAGCACACCGGACGAAAATCGAGATTCTGAAACCTACTGTCAACATCACTGAGAAGTCAGACGGCTGATAGAAAAAATGTAGGAACGAAACGAAGTCCATGCATGGGCCGTTTTGAACTCCGCGGAAGTGGCTGACATAAGCATCTTTTTCATCCCAATCGGGTTGCCACTGCGTTGGTCGACCTCGTTCACTCACTGTTCTGTTGTGGTGCACTTGCAATCTGCCCCTTGAAGTCATCGGATATGACAGGGAGATGCATTTATATCTCACAGCTGCGCAATGCTTCCTCGCTACATCCCCGAAGAGCTTTAATAGCTCCCGCTAGACGGTTCTCAGCATGTCCGCGGACACAAACCGCGTCCTCTTCCCCGCCCAAGACGGAGGAAAAGGACAACACCAAGAATTCGAACGATGACGAAAAAGAGGGCGGTATGACCCGTCGGCTGGCCCAAATGACTGAGGATGCGATGCTGGAAGGCGGACGGTCGGCGCGGCGCAACATGGAGCATGCGGGGTTCTCGGAGGAGTTGAAGAAACAGCTTGAAGAGCGCGTAGCGGCAGCCTCATTCAAGAGTGATCATGCCGCTGCCCACTCGGTTGTTGATATGCCGGTGCGTATCCACTTCTAAGCCTTTTGAACCCAATTACGATCAACCTATGATTGATGCATATTCTTCCTCATTCACAGGCTAGCGCTGGCCAGGGTTCTCGAGATATTGCAGCAGCCCCCGCCTGGACAGGTACAGAGAGCTTTCGTGACTCGGCCCTGCGCATGCTCGACGACGCAAGCAAACCCATCCGAACCCCCTATAAGATTCCCCAACCGGTCAACCTCCAACCAGCCCCGAAACCCAAGCGATCCCCAGGCGAGCGGATAGCCGAAGCGAAAGAGCGCACCTCGACGTACACATTGAGCCAGAGCCCCGGCTTCTCTGAAGAAGAGCGAGAAACTATGCGCCGGGAGATGAGGGAAAAGTTAACGCCGGGAGCACACTCGATGCCCATCTCCATCCAGGGCCTCTCGTCGCTCGCCAATGAACGAATTGAGGACGCAATTGCTCGCGGCCAATTTAAGAGGATCCGTCGGGGCAAAGGAGTCAATGTCGAGACAGACCAAAACGCTAACAGTGCGTTCATTGACACTACCGCATACTTTATGAACAAGATGATCCAGAAGCAGGAGATTGTGCCGCCATGGATCGAGAAACAGCAGGAACTAGCAGCTGAAACCAGTCGGTTCCGGCAACGTCTGCGCGCCGAATGGAGGCGGCACGCGGCGAGGCTGATTGCGAGCAAGGGCGGATCGTTAGATGCGCAAATGAAGCTGGCGAAAGCGTTCGCCGCTGCAGAGAGACGCCTGGTGGAGAAGACCAAATTCGAGGCTTCAATGCGAGGCGGAAATTCTGCAGCCCCGGATGAAGCAACCGCCAGCGAAATTAATCAGGACGGTCGAATTGTTTCCCAAGCCGGGAGGCGAGATGAACCGGCTGAGGCGGAAAGTGGCCACGAAGATTCACTGCCACATCTCCCGCCATTGCGAGATCCGAGCCACTTCGCCATGGAGCGTTCATTCCATGAACTTGCCGTGAAACACTTGAACACCCTTACGCGCTCCTACAATCTCCAGGCCCCGCCGGCGGCGCATAAACCCTACGTTAACCTCGACCGCGAGCTCAACTCTTGCTTCGCCGATGTGGCGCCTAGTCTGGCCGAGGAGATCAGACGGCGAGCGACCGAGCGTGCACGGAGTCCGTCACCAACTGTTCCGCCTCCCTCGGCGAGTGTGCTCGGTTCATTCGGCACGGGGTCGTCAGTCCGGGTGTCCGAAGAGGACCAATCCAAGGGATATGGCTTCAAGGAATTTTGGCGGGATTTATTTTCCAAATAGAGAGGCTGTCTGGGCTTACTCTAACGTGTACGATATGCATGACATCGGCCTCAACCTGGCTGGATCCGGGGATGCCCTGTCATTCCGTTGATTGATGACTGCGCCAGCTACTTAGACATGGTTGCAAGTGCATCAATGTATATGAATATATCCTGTTTTGACAAACAACGAGTGGGACTTTATATGAATAGTGACACCATCGGCAGACAAAACGCCTCTAACCCAAAACAAGCACAATGTATACCCTTGTCCACGCAGATTGCTGATCAAGGATGTCGCCGGACGATGTCGACACTGGGTTCTGCAGTAGACTTTCGGAGTTGTTATTTCGACTCTACCGCTTGGTACGGAGGAGCTGGTGAACGAATCTCCGTCTCATTCTCAGGTGGTTGGCTGTGTTGAGTGGACATCGAGGGAGTTTCCACAGCACTCCCACTCTCGAGCTCGACTTCCGCAGGCCGCCGCGATAACTTGAGGATTCGGGATCGAAAATACCACAGCCCAGCAGTCTCGAGACATCTCATAAACACGAGCATGAATATGAACATCCCACAAGTAACATTGAGAAAGGTGGTCACATCCGTTTGCTCCGCGCCAGCGGTCAAAGCAGGTAAGCCCAGAATGATGAGGCCGAATGTGGCGAGAGAATATAGGATCGTTTTTTTCACGTAAGTCCCGAAAGCTGTTTTCATCGTCTCGATGTCCGTCGCACACAGCGGGGTCCTAGCACCCTGACTTCGCAGAGCCATGAGAATCCAGAGCAAAAATGTCGCGGCATCCCAGGTGAGCCGCAACAAGGTCAAAGCGCCGAAGAAGATCATGTACCCAATGCATATGCTCCATCCTGGGTCAATTCGTCGGAAGACATTGTAGTACCCCCCTTGTGGTAACACTTGCATCGGACATTTCACGCCAGTGCCAGGTTGGGTGTGAAGGGTGCCGTTCATGAGGTAGATATCGTCCCGCTTCAAGGGGATGATGAAATGGTGCCAGGGGATCTTTGGCCAGTTTCCCTCCGGCCATCCGGCCTGCTCTAAGTCTGAATCGCCAAATGGTAGTCGGGAAACGACCTCGACGTCGCCGACCCAGATCTCGTTGATGGCGTTGCCTGGCTCGTAGAAGTGGTCGGACTTGACCCCGTGGATGGCGGAGAACTTGTGGCCCATGGAATAAATTGCAGCTTGCGGTATGAGATGTGATCGGGCAAGAAATGTAGCCGTAATCCTGCGGAGGGGATATGAAGTTGAGGAGTCATTGTGGACGAAAGACGGGCACCTCAGCGAGTGCCTCCTGCCTTGAGAATTGATATGAGCTATTCTTGCCAAAATACTGTACCTCTCCACGACTATATCCATCTCATAGAAGTAGAATTAGCAGTAGACCGGTTTTAATTCAAACCTCAAACGTTCTGACACTCCACCCGTGGAGATAAACAGCGTCAAGCCCTGGCAAGGGGGATATCTACGTTGTGGTACTTCTGTTCCTACCGGGCAACGAGATTAGGCTGATGTGGGAAACACAACTTAATCAAACATCTAGGAGGATCAGCGATGATCGTCATTTTCGAGCACATCTTTCCCAACTCTGTCGCAAATCAGTGAGAATGACTCGCGGATCGAGATACTACAGACTCACCTCCCCCGTCCGCCCCCGGGGCCGGATTCCTGGCATCCCCTGATATATTGGAGCTTGTCTTACTGTAAGATGCGGGCCAAGCTCGGGCCCTACCGGTCGATCTCTCTTTATACATAAGGCTGGGCCATTATTCCCCTTTTTGATATTTTCCTCTTTCCATCCTCGACCTACCTTATTCATACTCTCTCTTCCCAGCCTGTCATAATGAAGGTTACGACTGTCTTCCTCGCTCTTGGGGTGGCGGCCGTCTCGAACGCCGCGGCTATGCCTGGTGAGTACCTGGTGGGAATCTATCTATTTGTGGTGATATAACACTCATTCTTCACTCGCTCGCTCAGCTCCCAAGGACGATCTCATTGGTTTCCCGCCAGGACAGAAGCCGCCGAGCCAAGGGAATGAGATTGATGCTCGGGATTCTCTCATTGGCGTTCCGCCGGGCCAGAAGCCTCCCAGCCAGAACTAGAGTTTCAAACGAAGCTGGGCAGTTGAAAAATCAGCTCTAGATCTGCTTTTATATTGTACACTAGTACCCTACATTCTATGAACCTCTGGTCTCTGTCTTTTCTCTAGACCCAATGGTGACGACCCGAAAACGCGATGAAAGAGATCAAAGTCTTGAATGGGAGTTGGTCTGGCGTCATATTGGAGTAGAAGATCCATGTTGTTGACGAACAACATTCAAGCTGATTGGAGACCGAGTTTATGCAGATCTCGATTAGACCTAGATTTGGGGCTATGAGAGAACACGCAAAAGGGATGTGAATGAAGCTTCTATAACACACGATCAACCGCACTGCCTAATAATTCTGGTCTATTTTACTAAGGGCATCCCCGTTTGCCAAGTGCCCTAAAGAACCCGTCATATCTAGCAACCCTTTGCAGTAGCCTCGGCCAGATAGAACTTGAATCACAAATTTATTGCTATCGATCTCCCATGGATACCCTATAGCCCCTGAAATTATGTCTCTGAATTCTAGATATATGGATCTCATCGATGCTTGGGTAAGAGGTATACTTAAGTCAGGCACAAAGTAAGGCAAAATTTATGTTAGCATCTTTTCTTAGCTAGAGAACTTTTGTCCCGAAGAAGAGATCCGTCCCTTTGATCTCAATTATGTTAATTGTCTATCTACTGGTTAACTTGACAGAGGGAGACGGAAGTCTTGAGGTCACAATAACCCTAAAACCCTAAGCTCGGAAAGGTGAGCAGGCATATTGGTCTTTTGTACTTGAGCAAAGGAAGGGCAGATTTCTTAGGGTAAGATGGTAACTAGCGAACGCTGGTTTTGGCTGTAATCAGAACTAGAACACCAAGGCTCATTGCCAATATCGTAGATCAATCTAAACTGCTTCCGTGGATATTCACTACAGACAGTAAACTTGACGGAATAGTAGATTGACTCACTCTTAGCATGTTCTAAGCCTTCCCTACCACTTTAGCAAAGTCTTTGACAGTTTTAGAATTATTAGGGTCTTTGCTTAGTATAGTCTGTGATGTGATCGACGACAGGCCCGCTCGCTGACTGGCCGCTGACGGGTGATGATCGTGCAGCCCCAGCGCTTAGCGGCGACCAACGACAGTCAGTCGTCTGCAGCCCCGCGGCATCTTCACCTCGTCACATCCAAGTCTCTGAGGTCTGTGGGTTCCCATCACTCAACCATGCATTCCTCCACTCGTGTGCCATCGCACATGTCGATCTCAAGTCTCCCCTTGATTTCTATCCCATCTCTCCTTTCTCTGATCCCATATATCCAGAGGTGCTGGAAATGACTACCCTGGTCGCGTTTCCTCTCGCATCTTCTTTTCTCATCGCTCTTCTGCTTGCCTGGGCAGTCCCCGTCCGTGGAAACTCTGAGACGAATACCAAACGAACGCCTGGTTTCAACGAAGCCTCCCCGCTGGACAGGCCACTCTTCGCGATCCAGATTGGTAGCATTGCTGCGGCCTATGTGATCTTTGTTGCGATCCTCCTAGCTCTTCTTCTCGTGGTCGGCCGACGACTGCGCCGGACAGTTCATTCTTCGAATTACTCGCTGCAGATGGAAATGATGAAGCCGGCCAAATTCGTCAGCATAGATCCCAGTCCCGTGTCTCCTATGTCGCAGGATCTTCACAGCCCAAGCAAATCAAGCGGGTTCACCAATTCGTGGGGTAGCCTGGCTAAAGGAGGAGGACCTTCTCAGCCATCGATTAACGGCAGTATGACAACTGTCGACGAGGCCGTGGTGGCCTCGGACCGACAACGGGCCCAAGACCAGATGGAGATGCTCTATGCTGCAGTTATGGAGCATGATGCCCAAAAGTCCACCGGGTTCAATGTCGCGGCGAAGGAGCAGGACTATCAGGCCCAGTCCCGGGATAGCCAGTACACTAACCCATTCACCGATCGCGCCTCCCGTGTGTCCGAGGGCTCGACCATGGGCCCGCTGAAATCGCCTAAGATGTTCCATAGCTCCCGCCTGTCCAAGCTATTCAGCTCGAATACCCGCTCCTCACCGGACCAGGGCAAACTGCGCTCCCCACGGTTGCCGGTTCGCAAGCTACCGATTTCTTCTCCTCTTGCCTCTCCGGATATGGCTACTCCTCATTCCTATGGACACGATCAGCCGCCCATGTCCCCGCGCATCTATCATCCGGGTCCTCCTCCGGCGACTCCCAACACCAGAGTACCGGTAGCTCCGCAAACCATGCAGCCTCCTGGACGCGCACGCCCTCCGGCCCCCCTGAATCTAGCCCCCCCGACACAGCCAACCTCGAATCTACCATTCCGTGAGGCATATCCGCTGCAGAGCGCTCCAGCAACGAAGACAACTATTTTGGAACGCCCCGAGAAACAACGCAATGGGCCTATCACGGGCATGCCCACGCCGTATAGTGCTTACATGCCGTTTACCCCGGTAACACCATTCACGCCGGGCCGGATGGTGAACAAGCGTCAGCGGAAGCGCGAGGAGCGCGAGAAAGGTCTCCGCGTATTAAACGAAGATGATATGGTCAAAGATGAGTCCGAGATCTGGGGATGATCTGGGATGGGAACTGGGCTGGAGTTTTCTTGGGGGGGTTTTGGGTCTTGCACATGGGCTTGATATTAGCCCTGGGGGCAGTCACTGTATACACTGGATGTATAGTTCTATTGCAGGTCACTCTATTTCATGATTTCTGTACCCGTGTCAATTCTGTCGTCCTATCTGTATAGGGAACCCGCTCTGGAAGATCTATTTGTTAGTCCCTTCCAGATGCCGAGTCCCCTTAATCGAAGCCTCCGTAAAATCTGCCCTCATGCCCGCCTTCTCCACACCCCCACGGCGACGAGATACTCTCCCTCACGACGGTAGGATGAGTCCCAGACTTTAAGACCGTCGACAGTCCTCGAATCCCCTGCAAAACAAAGCTCCATCGCATCCGCCCGCTTAAGGCCCTCGGCTACACAGCCATTTAAAACGGCAATTCCAGCGTCGAGCCTATATCGAGCAAAGTCGAAGGTAGGTCCTTGACCGCGCCAACCTGACTAAATTTCCACTCCAGCAGCACCACTAGATGCGGGAACTGTAGGGGCTGGGGTCTCGAGGGTGGTGGTGGACTGGCGGAATCGCGCGCCCACGTTGGGGATTGCTTTGACGACGAATAGATCTGCAAAGACCATATCAGCCAACCATCTTGGAACCCTATTGCACAAGCTTGGTTGCCCAAGGACTGCCTCGGGCTAAGCTCTAAATCTAGGTACAAGCGAACTGATGGGTTATGGATGTAGAACAGGGGGGTTGTATGCGAGGAAATCAATTCTCAATGCAAGGATTTGAAAAAGTCGGTACACTATATTCAGGCTCAATATCCATAGATATTACTCTGCTTCATCGCGCCCTGTAAGCAATAACAACAGAAATAGGGGACGTTGGGTTGTCGGGGATTTTCCATCTATACACTGGTCAAAGCGTCGCGATACGTCAACGAGGGTGTCAGATTCGAATATTTCCGTAAACGATGTTGATTCTTCTCATTAAACACTCTCCCAAGTGCTCTTTCATATCAAACAATTAAAATCGTCGAGTTTCGAGAGTATACAGTGTCGATCATCACGGTCCGCATTTAGCCTGCTGAATGCGGCAACGTTGGGCTACCTTTGCATCGGCCATCCTTCCTGAATGTATCTTGTCTTTTGACCTGGCACAGGCCCTACGGTACAATAATTTATCTCCTCACGCCGCGGATTTGTGTATCATTGACTCCGTCGTGCTGATCGCCCCGCAACTCCCCGCCCTAAAAGGCGTGGCTGTCGTCATCCTCAGAGAATGCGAATGCGCAGCGTCGGACCCGAGCTGATTTAATCCACAAGGTTCTCCACATCTCACTCTCATCGGAGTTTCAGCTGGGCTTGTCTCAGGATCGGGCTTGTGGATTTATTCTCCGCGAGGTATGTTAACTCCGCTGCTTGGCGAAGGTGAGAGCGCCGTTCGAAGTGGGTGAGCTGACTCAAAAACTGGACCAGATCCTTCAACTTCCATAAAACCTCTACGTGACTCGTTCATCTTCTTCTCTCATCAGATTCCCCCGCCCTACATGCCGCTTACCGTCCTCTCCCGGTCGCAGCTGCGCACTCTGCTGCTCTCCCTCACCCGGGATGAGATCTTCGATCTCCAGAAAAACCTCGCTGAGGCGCTGCGAGAGTATTCGACCGGATCGCAAGAGCAAGGCTGCTCGGCAGCCTACCAGCCACAGCGAACGGCCATCACCCGCCAGAATGGGTGTACCACCCTCTTCATGCCCGCCAGCACGGGCCAAACACTTGGCATCAAGATGATTTCGTTGCAGGACGGGGGCAGTGCGGGGTGCGCGGTAGAGCGTCGAGGGCTTGATAGCCACGATGGGGAAACTTCCGCATCACAATCACGAGCCTCTCTGAGAAACTCGGTGAGCTCGCTATCGTCGGACGTGAGTGATCTGTCCGTGGGCTCTTCACAGGAGGACAGCAACTCGGTTAGCCCGACGGTCACCACCAGCGGGAGTAGCGGGACTGCGGAGAGTAAGAACGATAGCTCGTCTTTGCTGAACGGATGTGTGAACCAACAACCGGTGGCTTCGAACATTTCAGGAACTCTCGGTGCTTGGCCCGGGGCAGGAACTCGCGACACTTCGCCGCGAGGGAGTGTAACTTTACTCGATGGCGAGAGCTTGCCATTCGCGCTGATCAACGCACACGAGCTGACCGCATTTCGCACGGCCCTGGCCTCCCTGATGATCTTCAATAAACGCAAGAAGGTGCGCACCCTGCTGGTGTTTGGAGCGGGAACTCAGGCCTACTGGCATATCCGCCTGGCTCTGATCTTGCGGGGCGAAGACATCCGGCGCGTCTACATTGTCAACCGGTCTTTCCACCGTGCTGCGCAGCTCTTGCGTGATATCTACATGCCGGAGAATGCCGAATGGCGCCGTGATATCAAATTTTCCGCGATGAGCACCGACTTTGGCGAGTACGAGCGCATTCTCAAGGAGCATGTGCACAAAGCCGACGCCATCTTCTGTTGTACTCCGTCTATTGAACCATTATTCCCCGCTGAATATCTCACTTCTCGCGAGGGACGACAAAAGGGCCGTCTGATTAGTGCTGTCGGCTCGTACAAGTCGCACATGGCCGAGATTCACCCTGACATTCTTCGCGACGAGGTCACCGTGCACGCACACCACCACCGCCACTTCCACAAACACATCAAGCGCAGTGGGGTTGTTGTGGTCGACAGTCTTGACGCGGCTATCAAGGAAGCCGGCGAAATCATCCAGGCTGGGATCAAGCCAAACCAGGTGGTCGAGTTGGGCGAGCTGCTGATGGTGCGACAAGCAGCTCGCAAGGCCGGAGCAACCGAAGAAGAGACGGCCGACGAAGAGAAGAGCCTCCGCGAGTGGGTCGAGCGTGGGAATGTCATCTTCAAGAGCGTCGGATTGGGTCTGATGGATCTGGTGACGGGCGGCGACCTGGTCCGCTTGGCGCGAGACCGGAAATTGGGGACGACCGTGGAAGATTTCTAATTGTTAGTAACGAGCTTAGCCATTGTGTTAGTAGTAATGAACATTGCATAGATATTGTTTATTGTTTACTGGTTGCGGAGTGTTTAGTGTCGGTGTCAGGAGGGGCATGTGTCGTCATCGCCAGCATCAGTGTTCCTTGGAAAGTTCACCTAGTCCCTTAACCAATTCTTCTTCCTCCTCTTGCTAACCCCAAGTTACGCCGATTGTCTCGTGTCTCCCTTGCAATTTTGAATGCAAATTCTGCGAGCTTTGGGCGGGTCATTGGCGTGTCACTTTGCCCCCCCTCCCCCACGCAAGTGAGGGGCAGCCCAAGCACCCGAAGTCGAATATCCACCCGCCCTGACAGGCTAACTGAAGTCATTCCAGACTGCATCATGCGACACAACACCTGCCACCTCCCCAATGGGCTGATCTTCACCGTGTCGCCAGTGTTTGGCGGCGTCACCTTCAAGTCCACCGATCAGAACACACACAACTCCACCTTCCCTCCCGGCTGGACCATCATCATTCACACGGACAAATCCCACGATAACCAGACGAAAACGCAAGATGATCCAGAAACCGACCAGGAGCAATCCTCCGAGGATGAGGAGGACAAGAAGACCACTCCGTTCAAGACCCCGACCCTGACTCGCGATTGTCTCTACATTTCGTATATTGTCAACCCGCCCTCCAGCGAATACAAACCGGTCATCTCGCCGACGCGCCAGATTGCCATGATGCTCTGGGCCACTTTGTGGTGGTACTTCCATGAACCGGAGCCAGACCTACGTCTGGAGACGCCAGCCTCGAGCAAGACGCCGCACCAGGGACGACCCAAGGGCGAATGGCGGGTCAATATTAAGCGGGAGGGCATTTTCAAGGGCCGCAACCTGCTGCAGAAGCTCGAGCGCATGGGGCTTGTCACCACCGAGGATTCCTCTGTTGGGTTTCAGCCCGTCGAGACGAGAGACTCGAGCAGCTGGACGAACATGTTCGTCAGCCGGCGCACCTTCTGGCAGCTTGACCCCCGCCTGTTTCTGTTTACGCTCACGCCACGCGGCGCTCCGGCGTCTCCGTCATTGACGCCGTTCCAGTCCCGTCGCGCATCCCCGACTCGGGAAAGACTGCCCACCCCGTCGAGTTCGTCGACCCTGGCGCCCGCCGAGGCGACTTTCCACACGGCCAACTCTGGTCCTTTCACCTCGGTCGGGCCCTTCTCCTCGGGGAGCCATCTCCCGACGTACTACCCGCCTCCGCCGACGCAGTACACCTTCACGAATGACGTACGGCATCCCATCCGGCCCAAACCGCCGCACCAGGGTGAGGTGTTTTACGTACGCTACATCCCCAGCGTGAAGCAGTACCTGTCATTCCGGGTACCGTTTGTCCCGATAAGCAAATCGGGATCGGCGCAGGGATCTATAAACAATATTAGTCGTCCTTCGACACCCACACATGCCCTCAGTGCGTCAGTCACGAGCATCGAGCAGCATGTCAGCCGAGACATGCCATCAGACCTGGAGACCCTGCACCGGTGGATGAACGATCCACGCGTCGAAGCCATGTGGGGTGAAGGAGGCCCGCAGTCTCACCAGGAAAAGTTCCTGCTTGCCAACCTGACCAGCCGCCACAGCTTCCCCGTGTTCGGGTGCTGGGATGGCAAACCGTTCGGCTACTTTGAGATCTACTGGGTGAAAGAGGACCGGTTGGGCCGGCTCTTGGACAATGTGGGCAACTATGACCGTGGCATCCACTTGCTCGTGGGTGAACAGGAGTTCCGTGGTTCCCATCGCGTGGCTATTTGGCTCAGCGCCCTAGTGCATCATTGCTTCTTGGCTGATATGAGGACGGAGACTGTGGTGTTGGAGCCGCGGGTCGATAATACCAAGTGAGTCATTTGGAGTATTGCTGATGGTTTATTGTGCCGTGCTAATTTGTTCTCGATAGACTCATCTCTTATCTCCAGGATAATGGCTTCTACAAGGAGGGCGAGGTCAGCTTCCCGCACAAGAGGTCCGCCGTGATGAAAATCAAGCGCGAGCACTGGGAGGCTCCGGCTCTGTAGTATTGCGCAATACCTGGTACTTTAGCTGGTAGTATAAGATGGCCATGAGTAACGCTTCTGCATCGGTCATTCAATAAGTTGTGAATTGATCTAGCGTTGGCATATGTAATCCATGCCTGATATTTTTATCTGTCTCTGTAAAAGAAAACTCCGTCCATATCAGAAGATCACTGGCGCTACGTGGGTGGGTCTGCTCGTGGCGACATCGATATTTAGCTCCCTGCATCTATCTATTCCTTGCCCTCGAGGAGATATAAGAACCTTGCATGAACGTGGGGGAATCCCATCCTCGCATGAAACCCTCCCCTCCTAAAAATTCAATACTATTCGTAATCTAGTTGTTATTATTCATTCTCAGAGACTAGAGGAGTTAAGGATTTCAATAGCCAATTCAGTTTATTATCGAATTCGCCCGACTCCTTCGGACCAAGAAAAAAAAAAAGAAAGCGAAAAGATAGATACAAACCAAGCCATGGGAAGGTAAGATACATCGCCCACGCCACCCGTCTCTACCGAGTAAATCCGCGAGTATAGAAACCGTCTCGAGCCAGGCCACATAATAATCCAAAGGATAAAAGAATAACCCGCGACGCCAGGGACACCCCGCCTATCTCGAAAACGCCAATGCTGTGCCGCCGAGCGAATGCAGTATACAGCGAACGTAAGGGAAATAGAAAGAGAGATAGGAAAAGACAGGAACGAAACAGGATATTCTAGATCGGGCAAAGAGCGCCGAGACGTAAGAAAAGGAAAGAAGATAAATCTTCCTATATCAAAAGCAGTGTGAATGAAAGGTATTGTCACAAAAAATGCGTATCAACGGAGAGAATGCTTTTTGCCGTGCAAATGGGAGGGAAAAGGATGTAAAGGGAAAAAAAAGTGAAATGGTAACGGAAATAGATAATGAAGGGGGAATGAGGAAATGGGATACTTTCGAGCAGCGATAGAAGCCAGGAAAGTATCAGATGAGATGATTAAAAGTTGACGGCAGTAAGACACACCCACGGGGAAAAAAAAAACCAAGACCAGCTCGATTCAAACGTGAGGTCGACCGATACGGCCGCCCATGTACGAACCCGTAGCCGAGGCCAGGAAACGAGCGACGAACCCACTGCCATGCGTGTGGCTGTTGACCTTCATCTTCTTGCTGGGCTGGCGGATCGGCTCAAACGACTTCTTGGGCTCGAGGGCGCCAACGTGCACGTAGCTGTAGTTCAGCGACGACACGGACGGGCTCGTGTTGGATTCTGTCACCAACACGTCGTCGGTGCCGTGTGACGAGCATGTGCTGATGCTGGCGGGCGTGCCGCGCGAGCTGGGCGCCACGCTGGAGGAGCGCGAGCAGAGCGAGTTGAAGGTCTCGGCGTGGGAGAGGCCTGGAACGTCGCGGACGGATGGCGGCGAGGTCGAGCGGCCGGGTCGGTGGGGTGAGGTGCGGTGTCGGTGGTAGGGGTTGTAACGATCGTGTTCCACGAGAGACTGGGGAGACGGTTGGGCCTGGTGCATGCTAGGGCATGAGACGTGCGTGGGGAGTCGGCGAGCAGAGGTGTCGTAGCCGCGGCGGCCGTCACCGCGGGCCTCGAGCTTCTGGCGGCGTAGACGGCTGGCCAGCAGATCCGCCGATGCATGAAGACGTCGCCTGGAGAGAGAGAGATCATCGGTAAGCTAATGGGTCAGATAGAGAGACATTCAGGAAAGTGACATACCATTCGCGATGTTGCTGTTGCTTGCGCTGATGTTCTTCCTCGGCCTTGCGCTCGCGTGCCTGGGCCTGCAGACGCAGACGGATGGGAGTCAGGAACGGCTCGAGGTGAGTCAGGAGATCCTTCTCGGTCACGCGCGTCTCCCAGTCCAGCAGGAAGAGCAGCTGGCGCTCCATCAGGTTGACCTCGGCCACGGAGAACCCGAACCCATCAAATCCCTTGACGGCCGTGTACCGGGCCCAGTGCTTGTTCTTGGGGCTGGAGTCATTCAAGTTCTTCGCGGCGAGGATGAGCGAGGCGAGGAAGATGCGGTGGACGGTGCAACGCATGCCCTTGGCCACTGGCGGCAGACGGGCGCGCAGACGGCCCAGGTAGACCAGCGAGCTCATGAGCGTGGGCACTTGGACCTGCGACCGGGCGACCAGTGAGGCGATGAAGGCTTCGATGGAGGGCAGCGGCGGCATATCGGCATCAAGCGGCGGCGTGGAGGGAGGCGTCGGTTGACCGTGGTGGCCGATCGAGTTGGTCACATGGGCTTCGCAGCGGATGACCTGCGACGCCTGCTGTGCCAGGAAGCTCACCATCTCCCGCGATACCCGCTGTGTGACGAACTCGTCGAGAGCTGCCCGGTTTAGGGCCAGTGAATCCATGGCGTGGTTCATGGTGAATGCACGGTGGGAAAGGGAAAGGGGAAAAAAACGAACAGGCTGATTGAAGCCTTTTATATCTTAGTCCCCGTTGCCTGGAGGGACTCAGCGGGTCGCAGGTGAATGACAGCGAGATTGTCTCAGAGATCTCCACGAGACAATGTGCTTTGTGTATAGATGGAGCGAACAAGAAGCGAAACGACACAGAAACGACAAAAGCAACGACAGGGTATTATAAGAGTTGAACAAAAACGACCACGAGATGAGAATTCCTGAGCCAGCAGGATCGAGCAGTCAAGTAGCTTAAAAAGCAAAAGAATGCGGCAGTAAGGATAGGAGGTTGTCGTGTCAACCCTCTTTTATCGATAGCCCTAACTGAGGTTCCCCAGAAATGTGAGACCTGCCGAAGCGGAGATTTTGCTGCGAGAGACACAAGCCCACAATTTCGATAGATTGAAAACCGTAGATTCGAGAGAAACCCAAAGACTTCACAGAATGCAGAGAATTCAGAGCAGTCGTGAGGGAGAGAGGTCAAGAATTAAAAGAAGGAAAAGAACGGATGACGACGTGGAGCATGCGGATGAATCCCGTGAAGAATGGAGAGGGAATACCGCAGTAGATATAGCACTTCGACCGGTATGCGCCCAGGCGTGGTGTGTGCAAGCAAGGACCCAAAGAGCCTGCATAGTTGGATCTGAGATGATCCCCTTCGCGCTGAGACTCCATTGGGATTGTGGAGCAAATCATGGGGAGACACTATTGCTGTCTATCAGACACGTCTCGCATCCCTGGATTCATTCGTTGAATTTGCTCTTAGACTCCTAGTCTTTTCTTTTATCTCTATCGTGTTATACTCTATGCTCTATTCTATTCCCTTGTCTCCTTCTCTCTGTATCTCTGTAGAATTACTATTCAAACTAAGGCAATTCAGCTTGTCCGCGATCAACAGACCCACGGCGGATCGGTGGAGTCGTCAGGGGCGAATCATTCTTCTTTCCCCTGTCCTGTTCTCCTACACTGGAGAGATCCATGAAACTCGCGGCCGTCTCACATCTCCTGTGCGAGACGCGGGGGGATCGCCATTCCATCCTGAGAATGAATCTATACATAGTCTCCTTTTTTAACCCGGCGCGAACAGATATCCGATCGGGGAGAAGGGGGGTTCAGCTCAACCGATCGCATTTCACCCACTGGAGGCCCTCGATAGCCCAGGAGAAAAAAGTAATGTGGCAATCCGTTTCAATTTGGCGCCGTAGTGGCCCAATCACCCCGTCGAACCTGTCCGTTTCCGATGTCTGTGCGGATTCCATGCCCAAATGACTCTCCCTGTCACACGTCGCGCCACGAGTTAGCGTGTTCGAGGGAGAGAACATGCCAGATGATGTTCTCCCCGCGGTGTTTTTTGCCCGGACTCGTCAGGAAGAGTTCTTGGGGGTGGCTTCCTCGCATTCGAGGAGTTAACCTGTGTTCCACAGAATGACTACTTGCGTCCAAGGTTTGCTTTCCCTTCAGGGGGCCCAGCCTGTGCGTATCCAGGAGCTACTGCTCACCCTTGGCACTCGAGAGGGGTTTGCCCCCCTCCACTGTCGATGTATCGACTCGACCTGTTCGGCCTGATGTTTTCCCCCTGAACCAGCAAAAAAGAACATGGTACATGGTGCCAATGCATGCAATGATCCGAGGGGACCTGATCGTCTTGTCTAAAAAAAGCAGTTCCAGGTCCATCCCGAAACCCAGTGTGCATCTATATAAGCGCCCGTCCCCTCGCCAGCGCCTACATTCCTCCCCACCACCAGCGCTTGCTAATCGACCATGTTTCTAATTTCTGCTAAATCGGCAGCCTGCTCGTCGCGTCTGTTCAACCGACGCTATTGATAGTACGCGCTGATTATTCTTAGAAGCGATTCCGCGCTTCGGCAAACCCAGGGTACATCCGCGCTCCACTTGATGCCTACTGGCGAGTTTCTAAAAAGAGAACGCAACAAGGAATTTAGGACGAGAATTGGCTGATCTACCAAACGCATTTCTATTTCGAGGCGGGCGCGTCGCTCTACTACGATCCATCGGGCCAGACGTTGTTTTGGGCGACCATGCTTGGTCGCTCGTTCCAGGCTGCCATTGAAGTATGACTACCATAACGGCCCCAGACACCGGCTACCTGAAACATGGCTTGGTTTCGCAACCACAAAGCTGTCGGTTTCAGACAGGCCATCCACGTCAGACTCAGCGGCTAGCGAGATGCAGTGCGGGCGGGCATGATAGTCATTAGCTGAAACACTCGCTACGCCGAGCTCAGCTCTTCTTTTCGTACGCTTTCTAGGATGACTACGTGTTAGCTGCATGAATGCATACGATACTCGAGTCAGAGCCAAAGATGGGTCGCATTCAATGCTTACTGCACTCCTATCCGAAACACTTGTTGCAAAGGTATCATTCTCACACATCATCTCCTCTACATCGCCACCAATCATTACGGTTTTTTCTTTACTGAAAATCCCTGTTCATGCGACGGCTGCAGAATAAGAGGAGACAGTAAGAGCGGCGGAACCAGTAAACGGCTCCGTGCCCGCCTGCACCTTGATCAAATACAGACTCGAGCTCAACCCCCGGTTCTGTTCGAGGTACTTGAAGAACTCCAGCAGGTCGCCCGAGAAGTTCGTGATGGCGGACGATGCCACAAAGCTGTACACCTTCATGCTCACGTCCATGCCCTCGTACAGGCCCCAGGTCACGCCGGCAATGGTCGTGGAGGCGACGGCGAACCCGGTCGAGGAGACGGGGCCCGCGCCACCCAGCGCTGCGAGCCAGATCATGATCTCGTACTCCTCGCTGCCCGTGGCTGAGGAGCTGAGGAAGAGGTCGTAGGCGACGTTGGCCACGATATTGGTAGTCGAGTAGCTATTCAAGAGTCAGCACATACTCCTAAATTTTTGATAAGGCGAGGATATCTCTCTATAGTTTGCCCTCGTGCGTACCTCCATTTCCACACAGACTTGATTCTCTTGACACTACTCATCGTCCGCACCGTAAAATCCAGCGCAACATTGGCGTAGCTCTTAACCTAGCTCGCGGTACCAGACCACGTCCACGACGTATGCCAGGCAATCGTGCTGCCGTTCAGCGAGTCCATGCCTGTACATTGCTTCCCGCTGGTGTCGTAGCTCTGGCCCCAGAGGTTGTTGTAGACGATATAACTGCTGGTCGTGGCTGTTCCCCACTGGTCGCAGAAGTCAGCGCGACGGTTCAGCGTCTTGGTCGGGACGCCGGCTGTGTTGCCTAGGCCGGCGAGGGCCAGAGAGATGAGGGAGAGGGGAGCAATGAAAGATTCCATGTTGGATTTCGTGGTCGGCTATTCTATTGGGGTAGAAACTGAGAGAAGACCCGGAGGACTGATGGACTTGACTCTTCTCTTGAATGTTATACAATAGCTGTCCTTTTAGATCCTATGGAGCTTTTATAGACTGATCTGTATGTTCCGTGAGAAATCCAGCCCGAGACTTGGTGGGTGTATGTTCTGTATAGAGCACGGAGTGGCCCTTCTCATATTGCACGCTCCGGATAAAAAACAGACAGCATGGAAAGGTCTAGCAGTAGACTTAATTTATTGAAGATCCAGAGAATAATAACTAACCAATAACGGTGCACGCTTTAGTCTGGGCATCCTTATATCCCGACAGCATTTTTTCCACGACTCCGCAGTTTGCGGAAGAGTCTCCGGTGTGGATAAATTATAGACAAGCCATCTGAGACGACGGCACCGGGTAGCATGACGGGGACTGCCACATTGAGACTGGAATTAGTACGAAACCTCAGCAATCTATCGGGGTTAGCTTCGTATATTATCGAGCAGAGATTGGCGGAAGATATTAGCTACATTAAGGGGGTTTTTTTCCCTACGATTATTCCAGGAATATATAAACCCCGCATTTTGGAACATCCAGTGTTCTGACAGTAAGAAAAAAAAAAAGGTCTTATTTGTCTGTCTGCTGATTTAGGCTATGACATTGTTGACATGTCTTGAGTGCGGAGAGTTGTCCGTTTTCTAGAGGGTGAGGGTTTATGTATAAAGCGAACAATTCCGTATGGTAACATTTTTCTACAAAAAGAAATTGTATTAGGGGTTTAATTACCTGGTTAAGAATCAATATAAATATTATTTGGAAGAGTTGGGGGTTTCTTTAAATCAAACCCAACTTTATAATGTTCCAGTATCTTGGAATATATTTTGGCAGGTTCTATCTATATCTGCGGTATTTAGCGACTTGTTCATACCAAAATTTGGCACTCGAATGGTTTGGACCTATAACTTATATAACAAGTTCTTTGTCGGCCTTCATGTATATTAGCAGCTAAAATTATCTAATTTTTCTGACAAAAATCTTTAACCTGTATTAAGGGAGCAATGACCTGGTATTTGCTCCACCTAGAGCTATCCAAGCCCCACACAAAATCCCAACTCTCTACCCATTCATCAGGAGGCAAAAGAGAAGAGCGAGATCGACGAGATGGTCCAACAACACAAGAGTATCATTATGATTGGTTTTTAGATTGGATTCTTGTTTGCATTGCTTCGTCCAAGTTGTTCAAATTATTGGCAGCAAAAGCTAGATTGACACCAGAATGAAATAGTTTGACAGAATGAAGTTGGAAAGCTTCACCATCGTTCCCCTTCCTTTGATAGTAATGAACGTAGAATGAACCAATCATTCATAGTTCTACAGATAAATTCATTACCATGCGCAGTGCCCCCCATCAACCCTCAAATCCGCCCCGGTCATAAAACTACTCCCATCGCCCAGCAGAAACAGCACCGGTGCCCTAAACTCATCCGCCGTACTGAGGCGATACAACATATTATCGCCCACCCACTGAGTTTCCATACCGGGCCTCTTCAACGCCTCCGCGGTAGCAGCAGTGCGGATATACCCCGGTGAGAGCGAGTTCACCCTAATCAGAGGCATATTCACTCGAGAACCCCACTCGGCCGCGAGTGAGCGGGCGAGCTGGTGGACGGCCGCTTTGGAGGAGTTGTATCCAGCCGTATCGACGCCCTATATTTTTGACAAACATGATGGTTTCAGCTACAATGGGAAGTCTTGTACTTCGATGGGTATCGAAACTTACCTTGTTTGACACATATCCACTCATACTCGCAATCAGAACCATGCTGGCAGTGTCATTGCTCCTCCCGACCTCGCGCGCAACAGCCTGCGCGACACGGAACGTCCCGGTGACATTCACATCGAGGAGTCGCGTAAACGAGCTGGACGGGAACTCGGTCGCGGGCCCGTGGTCTGACACGCCTGCACAGGCGACAAGCCCCCGGATGGGGTGGCGGAGGGCCGGAGCGAGTTTGGCAAATGCGGTTGTGACTTCGTCGTCGCTGCGCTGGTTGCACTGGTGGTACGAGACGGTGCGTGCGTACTTTTTGGCGGCGGCTTCGATGTTTGCTAGTATTCGGTGTTATTTGAGCGTTTCTTGTATACCCATGACGAATTTTTTTTTTGATGGGGAAAAGAAGTTACTCACTCCATTCTGCTTGGTTGGGGGCTTCCATCACGTCCAGGCAGACGACGTCGCCGCCGCTTTCGAGAATGGCTTGCGTTACGGTCGTTCCTACTAAACCGCCTGCGCCAGTGACTGATAGAAAGAGGAGAGTAAGAGGTCTGAAAAGCATAGCTTGACACCTGAGAGAGGGGGTTATCACACGCACCCACAATGGTTCTTCCATCCAGCCTAAAAAAATCCGCCACCGGTCTGGAGATGTCTCCTTGAGGTGGCTTTGCCTCGCGAAAGATGGGGTCGTGGACCATTCCAGTTGTATCTTGATGGGCCATCTTCAAGTCAATATCTGCGAGGGCCTTGCAAGAGAATAGTGGAAGTAAGGGTCTTGGTTTTATGTTCAAAAGCACCCACGAAGAAATATGATAGAGTACCGTTTCCCCGCATTGTCCAGCGGAGAGATGCACGATGATATCGAGCCCCCACGCCCGGATGCTGCATCGGACAGTTGACCGAGTGATATGGGATCTCCGTATGTCTGCGTTACCAGGCGATTTGACAATTATTGTGACTATATTCCTTGCGAAGTTCGGTGCAACGGCAAGGCTGGCCTGGTCTTACAGATGATTTTGAAGTAGTTTAATTCATGTTATGTCCTATAGACTTTAACACAATTGCACGATGCTCATTCAGCTTTTTAAATACTTGACTCAACCGCGAGTCTCCTGGGTAAATTCCATGCGAGTTGGTGAGGATCTGAAACCCGACAGTACCCAGATGGTTGAGTGCATAGTCGATCTCGGCCAGAGAGCCCTCGACATCGGGTAGGGGAAGAGATGCAAAACACAGAAAGTAGGTCGAATAGTCCGCGCAGATTTTCGCCATGTCTTCATTGACACGGCGCATCAGCGATGGCGCCTCTTCGTCATTCCCGGGCGTTAAATGGGTCTCCGGCGAGGACATGCTTAGCACCGACTTTTTGATATTGAGACGCTTCATCAATTCAATATGGGCTATAGCATCCCATGCCTAGGTCATTATTCAGCAAATACCACCTAAGTCAACCCATCATGTCGATAGGCCTCACCGGTACTGCTGGCATTCCATCGGGGTGGCCCTTGCCGGCAAAGTCATTCTGCAGACAATACTCGCGGTATGAACTGCGACACACAATGAGCATGGACATCGATTCCCTCCATTTTGGAAGAATTGGAGAGAGTATCCTTAGCTCATTTGTTCTTCAGGTGTCAAACTTATGCAGAATGCCTGGCAGAGCCCCCGACTGGGCTCTCCTTGCCGTTGGTTTCGGCTTCATTGGGTTTGCCCTGGCCGGTATCAGCGGCATTGCCCTCTCCTACCTCATGGATTGCTACCGGGATGTGAGTAATACCTGAAAAGGGGGAGGCTCTATACCTCTCATATACTTGACTGCCACGAAACTTAGATCATTGGCGATGCATTGGTGGGCGTGATCTTCATGCGCAACATCTTCGTGATCGTGCTCTTTGCGCTCACGCCCTGGGTAGAAGGTATGGGGCATGCAGAATTTACATGTGCTCGTAGCTGTTCTTGCCTTTGTCATTTTGATGCTGTCTATACCGTTGCTGATATGGGGTAAGAGGGCGCGAGTCGCCACGGCGGCGCGGTATAAGAACTGGCGTCCGCCGTCCCTCGCCTCCCAGACGGACCTCACCAAGACCCTGAACCGGGTTTGGGACTGCTTCGAGAAGATCATATTACCGCAACTCCGATCCAGTGCAGTTCCTCGTTCTTCAGTATCAAGAATCTCAATACACGCAGTTAAAGAGGGGAGAGCCGCGCATGGAACAGACCGCCGCATAACCCGCACCAGCATATCAAAGTCGCCAAGAATAGCGCCAGACAACAAGCCGGCCTCTTGATCATGATGATAAAGCAAAGAAGCACAGATCAACAGATCAAGCACGAGGTTCGTGATTACATTGGTATACGATTACAATAGTATCAAAAACAGAGAATAAAAACCAAAAAAAAAACCACGAACTCTTCATCAACCCAAGTTCTGCACCATGCGCCTCCACACAGCATCCGGCAAGTTCGCATGAATCCAGTACCCGCCATCGCTGTCCCCGAAACTCTTAGCCTTCCACGTTACGACTTGATCGTCCAGTTTCCACCCGGTCTCGCCAAGAGCCCCGCAATAGTCGACGCTGCCGTGCACGAAGAGCGGGTTCTCGCCCTGGATATCCAGATCGTACAGGGGGATTTCGCTCCACGACGAAACGAGGGTCTGCGCGGCGCGGCTGCCTTGCAACTTTGGGGCGGTGGGCATGTCGTTGAGCGAGCGGTGCTGGTCGATGATCTGGGCGATGCATTCTGGCTCTCGGGCTTCGTTTAGGGTGCGGCGGATGGTGATGGCGAGTTCCAGCAGGGAGGGTGTCAGGCCAATGTGTGAGGTCGGGTTGATGTAGTCGGTGATGGGGACTGTGAACCACGGGTTGAAGAACTCGGCGTCGGGTTGGAGCTGGGCGGCGATGTTGAGCGAGAGTCCAAATGCTTGCTCGATGGTGGGGTCTAGGGAAGCCTGTAGTAGGGGGGAAAATTGAGTTAGATAGGGTTGTTCATAAGAGAGGATGGAAGGCTGCACTGCTCCATACCTGATAGATAAATGCAACTAGCAAGTCATGCTCGGTTACTTTGATTCCTTTGTCTTCTGCGTCTCTTATCCATCGCTGCATCTGATCCGCTGGTACCAGCAGCGTCTTGCTAACCCGTCGAGATGAGCGATGACATATATTCCGCACCAACTGCTTACCGAACCCCTGCAAGAAACCGGGCCAGGTGCGCTGAGAGACTTCGTGGTGCGAGGTGGCCACCTCACGAGGCGTCGTCATTGCAACACACTTCTTGAGGACCTCGGGTTTTAACATTAGCGATGGTCGGGAGTGGATTGTATGCGTGAGTCTGTCTCCTCTCAGGAGAGTTAAATAGGCCTGAACAATTCGGTGTGCCCCTGCAATATCATAACAACCACGGAATCAGCTCTGCCACTGTTACGAGAATAAATATTCGTGTATCTCAAGGGTGCATACCGCGGGCATCGCAGAGAGGATGTAAAAACCGAAAGCCGATCACACATGAATCACGCAGGAATACCGTCCGGATAGTCAAAACGCGCTGTTTGATAGATTCGACGAAGCCAAAGGCGAAATGGACCGATTTCTGGAGCGCCTCGGAATCGAATATCCGCGGTGAATCGCCCTGCAGAGGCACGTCGATGATATCGCCGAGGTTCCGGTCCAGCTCTCTGCCTTGCCAGATATCAGAAAGGTCCTCGGGCATTTTGGGCTCGATGAATTTGTTTTTCTATTTTGAATAAGCCTCCATTTTGAATTCTACCCAACTGCTCGGGTAAACTCACCAAAGGATTCATCCGTAACGCCAGCGCCGGCCATTGCGATGCCAGTGTGTCTGCTGCGAATTGGAAATCCAATGGGCTCGGTTTGCTCTTGACCACCACGGTCAAGTTAAATTCGAGGAATCGTGGACGACCCAGGTCCAATGCGGCGGGCTTCATATTGATGCGAGAAAAAGGTTACGATACCAAGTAGAAACGGTGTGATTAGAAAGGCGAGTCGACAATGACACTCTTCCTGCGATAAGACGGGCAAAGCGGATGTGCAATGACGGTGTTTCAACCACACCCGACTCTGTTTACCTGCAGGAGTCTAATCAAACCTCGGAATGAGCTGCTTGGGTCAGTCTTGTCTCTCAAACGTGCTTGGCATATGTCTGGAATGCATGAGCGGTGGGATCAACAGCCGGGAATGCTGGCATAGCACCTTGCATGGATCTCGGGCAAGTATGTCGGCTATAATCACCATGATCCTCGATGGCAAACCCCTCTGATGGAATTAATTCCATTCCGCAAAAGAGGTTGACCATGGGGCCTGGTCTCGCACGGTCTTGTTGGCAGGTTATGACCACCGTTGGATCCTTGTTCGAGTAACCCATAGGTGTCTCGATCCAAGCGTTAGTCGTAAAATCATATGCCCATGCACATTGACATTCTGTGGGAAAACACTCCGTCGTCGAGAGGCCAAAGCGGGTCATCAAGTGGTGCTGCGTGGATCCCGGGAGCGGCCGCAAAACCAGTGGAGACTCTCCGCCCACCATCACAGGTCCCAGGTCCCCCATTTTCAAGGAAATATCAGATAATTCAAGTAGACTCCAATGGTCTGGAATAAGACTGTGCATAATCCAACTGCCGGGTGGATCAAAGTGCACAATTCACACTTCCCGTCGGCTTCTGGTTATGGACACCCACCATGAGAGGACGTTGATAGGAGATGCATGGCAGCTGCATGAAGCGGTGTACACCCGAGGTACTGCGGTCAACCGAATTCTCCACGTGTGGGAATTGAGAACTGTGTATAATACGATGGGTGAGTACGTATATTATGACGTTCATGGCAAGGTTCACACTATCTCGAGATGAGTTCATAGATTGCCAAACAAAGAAAGCCCTCGCAACATACCCATGGATCCATCCCAGCAAGGTGAGACAAACCACGTCGTCAAGCCTTCGATCGGAGACCTTTGGGCTGCGAGTGGCTGCAACTCCAAGGATCAACCCGGTCGCAGGGTGACACAAGCTGCAGGCTGTGCAGTTGCTTCCCGTTCAGTCGACTATAAATCCCGACCCACTGTATATCTTCTGTCTCTGCGTTCCCTGATTTTCAACCCACGTTAGCAATCGATTTTTCCGCCATGGTGTGGGATTTCTACCAAGGAAAGACTCTCTTTGTTACCGGGGGCACCGGGTTTATTGGGACAACCCTTCTCCATCGACTACTGAGCCAGTCCTCGCCGGAGCATGTATATGTACTGTGTCGCGGAGGAGCGGAGTAAGGAAACGGGTATTAAACCATCCGAGAATTGAAACACTAATTGCATCTACAGAAAGGCAAAAGCAAAATGGAACGATATGCTCCCCACCTCAATTGCCGCAACCCTAACCCGGAGCGAGCGCATGACCATCCTCGACGGAGAACTGGGCAACACAGCAACCATGGACCTCGAAGACGACGTGCTACAGATGCTGAAGCAAACCGTGCACATCGTCATTCACGCAGCATCATCAATCCATCTCCGTATGTCCCTGCGCGAATTGTCATACTCGGTAACAGCGCCAACACTCTGCCTGACACAATACGCGCTGAAATTCCCCCACCTCGAGCGCTTCGTGTTTGTCTCCACCGCATACGCCAATGCTCATCTGTGGAAGACAAATGAATCCGCCGATGTGGCCGTCAATGAACGAGTGTATCCGCTGAACGGTGAATCCCAAGACGACTATGAGACCGCCGTGCGGGCATGGCATGAAGTACAGAAAAACGGGTCGTCAGAGGAATACGACGCCCATGATTTCCCCTGGCCGTATGCCTACTCGAAACATCTGGCTGAGCGACTCATCCTGCACAAAGCCGCTGAAAAAAAGGCCCTGCATCGGGTTCTGATTATTCGGCCCTCCGTCGTTGGTCCTGCAGATAACCTCCCCTACCCTGGATTTGCGGTGCCCTATGCAACCCCGTCAACTGCCTGTGCCGCAGCCTATACACTACACCCAGGCCGCCAGATTGTGTTATCATCACGATGCCAGAATCCCAACAAAGAGGCAACGATCGACGAGGTTCCGGTAGATGTAGTGGTCGATCGGATGCTAGCACATACAGCAGCAGGTACGTCAGGAATTGTGCATGCTGTTAGCGGAGAGAAAGGCAGATTGAGTCTTGAGGACTGGTGGTGGGCATTCAAGAAGGAACGCCGTCTGCCCTGGAATGCAAAGCCCGTCTGGACCTCGGAGGACTGGAATTCACCCAATCTTCATCCGCTCGCTCGGTTCTTCAAAATCATTGGCACCTCATTTGCGTTCTCGGACGAAAAGACTATCCGGCTGGCGGAGACACTCAGCTCGGAGAAGGGCGAAAAGCTCAATTTGTTTGCAGATCGGTCCCAGCCTTATTCCTTGGCGGCCAGACGACATCACATCCATCAGGTTGCAGTGCAGACGGCGAAGAAGAAAAAGATGCCGGGTTTTTTTGTGAGCTTGTTTTGTCGGAAGGGCAAATCACTCACACACGTTAATGACACGACCAAGGTATGAGAACGAGAGACATCTTTCGGGTATCTATGCGATCTTCTCTTCGACTGGAAATACTGTGGAAAGTGCTTTGTACAGCTGACCTATGGACTACAATGAGAAAGCAAATATAATAATTACCAAGCAAAGAGAGAGCCAGCAGGTGGTATATGCAGGTGGAATTGATCCTGGGGATATCAACTGGAGCTGGCTTTTCTTGAGAATTGGCAGGGGAAGTATGAAATGTATAAATAGACAGGATTGCTCGTGTCCTACTTCATGTTCTACGTAACGAGCCTAGTTCTCTACCAATCTTTCTATGATCCTCACAGCGAAATGAACCTAGAAGTTGAATGTATTCTTAACTACGGGAGACGTCTTATTGCAGGAACAGTAGATCTATTTTTGATGGCCTTTTGCTCGTCAAGCTAGGAATGGTGAAATGAACCACCGTGCACAAAATACTATTGATCGAAACGAATCATTGAACACAGGGCCTCTATCTGTGGCATCCGTTCACCGGTGATCTCCGCCTGTCATATTGTAGATTGCATTCAATCTTGAAGGAAGATACCTTCCAACCCCGGGGTAGGGTTCGTATGGAAGAATCTGAGTGCTTCTTTGGAAGGGTTTGTCGATCATATATCGTTTGAGCTTCATGGCCACAGGAGCACCGTTCTCGTAAAGGGCGTCTTTTGAGGTCAGCATAGAGTTCAAAGGTTGATAGAGACTCCCTCGTCGACATCGCTGTTCATTGTTGTCTCGCAGGAGGAGGCATCGATGCCCAGAAAGTAAGCGGCGAGACCAGCCTATTGAGGTTTAAGTCAGCATACACAGTAGAAAGGTGAAATTCACGGAATTTAGCTGCTCACTGTTATCTATGATTAAATCGGAATGCTTATAATAATCATGGATCAAAAGGTTAAATAATATTCCTTACCTTCACTCCATCAAGGTCAAAGCCACCATCTAGAACGTAGATCGTGACATCCTCTCCGCCGCTTTCATCGAATCTGTAAAAGGCAGCCTCTGGAGGAGGGCCGAGTTTGTTGTTTGAGACGAATGCGAACTGTTGTTTTTTTATCGTCTGATTTCATCTCCCTTTTCCATAACAAGGGATAGGAAAATTCGTCCTGATCAATAGCAATGCCCGATGTTAGGCATTCCTTTAGGCCATGTCAAATTTTTAGCCATGGCTAGGACCAGAAGATTTGCAAGAACGGATATATATCCAAACTAGTAAAGGAAAAGTCTCGCATACATAGCTAAAGAGCAGACAGTGGGAGAGATTGGGGGAAGAAAATAACAGTAACCCTGGGAAATTTTCTACATCCTTTAGCCTGATAACACATAGGGCCATGGCCAAAGATCAAAGATAGGCCCCCGTTTTATCGCACACCTTATGACCATATTAGGAAGTAACAGAAAACATGTGGATTCTGCGGGGCGGCGAACTTGGTATATAAAATTATCCGTTTTTATTATTCTTGCTAGATCGAATGCTTATACTAGGAGTGTAGGACAGTATGAAATCGGGGTATAATAAAAACCAGTCAAAAAGTAGTATTAGAGGTGTAGGTATAGGTAGAGAGAAGAAGAAAAGTAGGGTAAAGTAAAAGAAATAGAGTAGGGATAAAATCTGTTTTAGCCTTAGGCCACAAACTGCCTCCTCATACTACTGAGAGGTCAAGCGGATACCCCTGACCTGTTTTCTGTGGTTTTTCTTGTATAGTGTTAAAGGATATAGTAGGGATAAAGAAAGCTTAACATAAAAAGGAAATATCACCAACAAATTGAAACCCAGTATCGCTCAAATGAAATAAAAAATCAGCCAAGCCAAAGAAGAGTAGCCTCAGGCTTCATCTGTTGGTTAGCGCACGGACCCCATCGTCCGCGGGGAACAGAAATTCTTTTTTCGTCCCCGCCAACCCCCAACACTGGCAACCATGGCGCCAACTGCATGTTTCAACTGCCAGCAGGCACGGGCTGTGATCATTCGACCCAAGAATCGACACAAGCTCTGCCGTGCCTGTTTCCTAGCGATCTTCGAGACCGAAGTACACGAGACGATCACCGGGACCAATCTCTTCTACCCGGGTGAACGAGTGGCGATTGGCGCCAGCGGCGGGAAGGACAGTACGGTGCTGGCTGCAGTGCTGAAGACGCTCAATGAACGCTATAACTATGGACTCGACCTATGTCTGCTCTCCATCGACGAGGGCATCCGGGGATACCGCGACGACAGTCTGGAAACGGTGAAGCGCAACGCGGTGCAGTACGAGATGCCACTGGAGATCGTGGGATACGGCGAGTTATACGGGTGGACGATGGACCAGGTGGTGGAGCAGGTTGGCAAGAAAGGGAATTGCACCTACTGCGGTGTGTTTCGGCGGCAGGCGCTCGACCGCGGCGCTGCGCGTCTGGGAATTAAGCATGTCGTCACGGGCCACAATGCCGACGACGTCGCCGAGACGGTGATGATGAATCTGCTGCGCGGAGATCTGCCACGGCTGTCTCGTGGCACGAAAATCGTCACTGACTCCGACGCCTCGGACATTAAGCGCAGCAAGCCGCTCAAGTACGCCTACGAGAAGGAGATCGTGCTCTACGCGCACCACCGCCAGCTCGATTATTTCAGCACCGAGTGTATCTACTCCCCCGAAGCCTTCCGTGGTAGTGCCCGCACTCTGATCAAGGACCTGGAGAAGATTCGTCCCAGCTCGATTCTGGATATCGTCAAGAGCGGCGAGGATATGGCTGCTCTTGTACCGCGCAATGTGAGTCAGAACGGGAAGGGGTCTCAGCGAGTTGCTGCCGGTGAAGACGAGGCGACGGGCGGCTGTGGCAGTCAGAATGGTCGGTCTAGCGGCGGTGAAATGGCCGCCATGGAACAGCAGCTGAATGAAAATGAGACGGCCGAGTCGCACGAGACGGAGATTCGCCTCCCGGCGGGGCCTACCTCCCAGAAGCTTCCGAAGGGGGGTAAGGTGATCAAGAAGCAGACTATGGGGCACTGTGAGCGTTGTGGCTATATCTCCAGCCAGCGAATCTGCAAGGCGTGCACGCTTCTGGATGGTCTCAATCGCAATCGTCCCAAGACGGCAATTGAAGTCAGTGTCGGCATGGAAGATGAGGAGAGCAGCACGACGTTGATGCGACAGATGGAGCGCACGCAGCTGACCTCGGCTGAGATGTTAAAAAAAAATGAGGATGAACACGTCTGAAATATCGTGTCTCACATTCACACCCCGTCTTAGCCTTGCATCGTGTGGTGCTCGTGGCACCGTGGCGATATACCGCCACTACATGTCCAGTGCTCGATACCGCGTCCTGCGTACTGTCGGAGCAACACCTGCGTCCTTAGCGGAAAACAAACCCGCAAACTCGAAGCGGCGCATCCAATCCCGCCGACTCCAAGTTGCCTGCACTGACCGGATACCTCGGGGGCAGACCACAGAGGACCGCGCCGGCCACATGAGCCTCGATTGGTGTGGCATGCAGGTGCCTTCAAATACACCCGGGCAGTTACTTGACTGCTATCTAGACGTGAGAATTGAAAAGAAATACCGAATCCACAACCATTCTTTTAGTGTGATAATGGAATGGAGTAGTGTAATGTACATGTATAGAGAGTGATCCAAGAAAATATCCACGAATACAAAAACGCCCATTCCATGAGATATATGCACGGCGAAAGGGCCACATCACAGCCTAGTGCCTCAAGAGACAAAGAAGTAAAAACCCAGCCCCGCGAGAAATGATTGCAATGACTGGCAAGAGGGAAACGACAAGAGACCAGAAGTCACTCGACTCAAGTCCTAGCAACCAAAATCACCCGTCAATTGGGAATCACCCTTCAATCGGAAACACTTTTCAAGAACTCAAGACTCTGTCTTAGGGTTCCCCTCCTCGTCAACAACACCATCCGAATACAACTTGGGCAAATTAAACCCAACCCGCCGCGCCGTCAACCGAATCCGCTCCTCCTCATCGAGACTCATGCCGGGATTGTAGCGCTCCAGCAGACTCGCGTACGAGCGCTGCGCGCGCGCGTACTGCGCCAGCTGTTCGGCTTCTTGGATACGGAGGGTCAGGTCTGCTGGTGTGGTTGGGGTGGAGAAGGAGAGGGCTGGCGATGATGATGCAGCCTCAGAAGAAGACTCAGGAGGAAATGAAGAAGCAGAAGCAGAAGCAGAAGCAGAAGCAGAAGCAGAATATGAGGAAGAGGAGGAGGTCGGGCTGGATTCTTGCGGAGTGCGGAATGTCTGGCGCAGGCGTTGATGCAGTGGGGATGGGGAGGAGAGGTGGCGGCGTGGGAGTTCGCGGAGGAGGGCGCGGTAGGCGGAGCGGGCTTGCAGGATGAGAGGTTCGGCCATTTTGTTTTTTAAAAAAAAATAACAAGAAGAACCAGAGAGAAAGGAAGGCTGTATAGTGCTGGGGCTTGTTCAAGGGTTCGCAGTTGATGGGTTTGTCGCTGCTCGGCATAAACTGTCTCACGTGATCTCTACTCGATGCGCCGCTAGGTCATTAGCGGTGACTATCCATGGATCCATAGATGGATAGCGACCGGGGATGTATAGAAAAGAGCAAGAACTAGGGGGAAAATATTCCTATCAATATGTACCAGTGGTAGAAATACGCTACACATCACTACCACCACACCGGCGGACTCTATGTACAGAAGATCGGAACGGAGCCTTCAAGATGTATGGCTGCTCCAAGCGTCATGTCCGGCCATGAAGGGGAGAAATCAGAGGGGGAAAAAGCAAGCACAACAAGATATATATCAATCATAGAGGCGTATCGACGTGAAGATTGGGTGGATCGTGGCATGTGAGGGGGAAAGAGGTGGAGGGATGTGTGGACGGGACTCGGAGGTTGTGGATGGGAAGAAACCAAGAAGAAATCCCCAAGAGAGGCCGAGAAGACCGAAGAAATTCTAAGCACGGAGCCAGCCGAACTTCCTTCGGCCGGTCTCGCCACCGGTGGCCGGTTCGAGATACAAGCTGCGAGCGTACAAGTCCTGAACAATGAAATCAGTAACCCGATCCAGGTATGGTAGCTTGTATATGAGTGCTAATCTCACCTCTTCGTCTCCTGACATCTTCGCGTCAAGGATCAGTCGCTCTAAGTCGTCGAATCTCTGCGCTTGCGGGTGCGGTGATTTCTGGCTCCGCTGGATGCCGAGAACCACTTCGCCCATCACCTCGAACTTCTTCCAGTTGATGCGGGATTTGTTCTCGCCCACAAAGGTCTTGTTGCCCTCCTCGGCGGAGACCAAATCACGGCGATGCAGGGGCAGGAACGGAATGCGCTCGGAGAACGAGTTCTCCCAGGCAAGCCGGTAAGCGAAGTGGCTTCTCTGCGTGCTCATGAGAATAACCAGACGCATGAACTCTTTTTGTGTTTGGGGTGGGATCAGCTCGCGGGTCTGCGTGAGTCGATGAACCGGGGTGCCGTTGATGGCGGCAATCACAGCACCCAGGGAATTGTAATTGTTTTGGCGGCGAAGTTTCTAAACGAGAATGGTCAGCTGCAGCACAAAAAGAAAATTTACACGGAAGCGTACCGCCGCGACGCCCATGAATTTCTCTAAGGCCTTGGCCCGATGCTTGGGCTTGTCTCTCAACAAAATCATGGTAGCCACGAAGAATGCGAGGTGGTTGAACTGCTTGATCATCCGATTGACGTTCTTGAGGCTTTTGATCTTGTCCTTGTCCACGCCGGAAATGCTCACGTGGCGGACGAGATCGCGAGGTCGGAAGGAGTTGTACATGATCCAGTCGATACGGGTCAGTTCCCGCGCAAACTCCTCCTCGGGCGTCTCCATGAAATACCGCCACTGAATCTTGTTCAACGATGTCCGCGAGGTGAGTTCCAGACGAAGTGACTCTTTCTGGGCCGCCTCGATGGTCAACAAGGTCAATGATTGATTCAGTGTGTTCCCCGGCTTGTCGGTGTTGGAAGAGACGGAGAGCGTCCCCGATAGCCGGGAAGTAGAGTCGTGTGGACCGTCACTTAGATCAAGCGCGCTCATATTGTAGATAGGGTCCTCTTCTTCCTCTTCCTCGTAGCTTGTGCCGGAGAGGAAGGGTACTGGCGAGCTTCGGCCGGAGGTATTGAAGAACGTTTCGGTGAGGGTGGAGTCATCGACGTCGCCATCGTTAAATGCCCAGCCAATATCGTCATCTTCGACATTTGATTCGAGATATGACCCAATTTCCTTGGCGGCAAACATATAGAAGTGGCTCTTTTCGAGTGTAGCGACAAACTCGGCGATTCTCTTGCGAGTTTTGTGGTTGTAAAAGTCGCCAGGGTATTCCGACGCCCACTGTGCCAGAACATTCAGCAGTCTCTGCTGATCAGCCATGCGGGCAAGCTGGTCGGTATTGCTGGTCTCGTTTCGCTCAAACCGGCTGATCAAAGCACCCAAGAGTGTTGCTGGCGCGGCAAACTTGCGGTACAGACACAGGAAGATGGACGCAAATTTCGTGTCCTGCTTCGACATGGGCAACCCTACCAAGCGATCAACGAGCTCATCAAATGACACCCCTGTCTCGGCACTCGCAGTACTCTCAGTGCTGGGCTTGGCTCGGACCATCCCACCCGGGGTCGTATGGTTCTGCCCATCGTCCATTTCGTCCTCCATGTTCAAGAAGCTGTTGAAAGCGTCAGAGCCTCCGCTATCGCGCCACGCAGTGTGCAGCCGCTGCTGACGACTACGTTCCTGATTCGGGGATGCGTCGAGCTGGGGCAAGGGTTTGTCGGAATTTAGACGCGGTTTAAGTGGTGGACTTTTCGGAGGTACCGGGGGATTTGAGTTGCTTCGAGCATATCGTGTTGAACTAGAACCATGCTGTTGCGCCAGGTCGGAGGGATGAGGTTGGTTGGGCGCACGATGGCCGTTCCCCTCAATCTTTCGATCCGAGGCCCTGGTTGTTGGGCCGCCAGCGGCTCCGGTCAGCACGGTGGGATTCTCGGAGTTGGCACGGGCGTGATGCCAGTCGTGAGAGTGGGGCTGAAACGGTTTTGTTGTCTTCGGCGGGGGTGGAGGGGGAAGATGAGGATGGGGATTTGACTGCACGGTGGGCAAAGGAAGATCTGGTGAACAGTCAGTTGTTTTTTTTTTGGGACAAAAGCACCCAAGTGGAGGGCCACGAATTTCTCTGTGTCGATCGGGCCATGACAGAAACAAAGGGTAGCGAACGCTAACGCGCGACCCACCGGGGCCCGCCCACCAAGGGTCAAGGCTCAACCCACAATCCACTTGACCATGTGGCCGAAGAATAGAAATAGAACTAGAACACTCACCGTCGCGGTGGGAAATCACTGCCCGTAACACCAACGCAATACACATTCGCTGGGTTCGGGGTGAATCACTCGAGGTTTGATAGATCGTGTAGCGTCCGTGAACCGGCTCCATTTCGCTATCCGGGCGCAGGTCGCATTTGCAGGCAACCAACAAGAATGGCAAGGTGGACGTAGCCAGAGAGTCTGGATATTAGCAGAAAAAAAATATTAGCCCTTATCGAATATCCCGAGGGATTTTTCGAGCAGTGTCCGCAAAACACTAGCACATAGAGTCTTTAGATACGGTCGACACACCTAAGATAGCCGTCGTCTCAGCAAGCTTGTCCGGGGTAGTTGCATCGTGCAGCACCATCACTCCATCAATTTTCGGGGCCGGAGTGTCGCGGTTTTTCCGCGGCCATATAATCTTCGTGTCGTGATCGAACGCAACCTCCTTCAAATCAACCTCCAGCAAGCGAACAATGTAGACCGAGCCATCGAGCGACATCTTCTTCTTGTTGGAGAACGAGGCAGGCGTGGTTTTCATGTCCAAGGCACATTTGACAAAGCTGCTCTTGCCCGCATTCTCTTCACCAACCACGGCGATGGTGACTTCGGGGGTGACGACTTTCAACGATTCCTGCCGGGTCATGCCAATCAGTGATCTGGTCATCTGGCCAAGTTCCAATGGTGAAATTCCCGGTACATCCATGACATACCTCATCGCCCGTTCGCCGAGACCGGGCTCGCCTGGAAGTGTCCTCGCTCGCTGCCCCTTCATCCTCCTCGACCAAGGTGTGCCCGACTTTCGGTCCAGTCCCCGACTTCCGTCCGGCATCCAGTTTGGGTACACCACCGACGGGGGCCGAAGATGTCCAGCTTCCCATGTCCGGCCGCTGGGGCGCTGTCGGAGTCGCCGCCGCAGACATTGCCGGGGCTTTGTCGCTCGATTCTCCGTCTCGCCGGGGCTGCTGTGAGGCCATAGTGGGGGCCGTCGGGGAAAGAGATAAAGACGGTGTCGAGCCAACAAGATGCGACCGCGGAGGATCTGCTTACTGCGAGAGTCTAGAGAACCGGTACTGCAGTGTATCCATTGTTGCCTGGGGTTGAATTCAACGGTGGAGTGAGGCTGCCATCAGGGGAGTCGATCACAGGAGGCGGTATATGGACGATGCACCAAGAACTGTAGAGTCTCTCTCACTTTGTATCCGAAGGAATTAGCCAATTCCGCGGGCAGACCTTAGGCAGAATTTAGGCGGGACACATACCTGAGATACTCCCAAGAACACGGAATACACTACAACCCACCACTGTGGATCGACCGTTCAATAAATAGTAGACCGGAGGAAAAAAAAAAGGAGAGAGGATGTCGAGTCGATAGAGAGTTGAAGGAATCTTGAATTGTAGTTGATCCACCGGGGGGGGTTTTTTTTCTCACGGGAGGTTCGGGGCATCTCATTGGAGTCGGCTGGGAGGCCCGTTCTCTCAGCTCTGAGACTACCTGGAGGTTCACTTCGCCTGGACAGAGAGCTCTGTACACTCTCAGCTGAACTCGACACATGGCATATTCTACCAGGTCCACTATGGATCGGTGGCGACGCCCCTGAAGGAATCCCCTATAGTTTCCGAGGTATAGTAGATGCTGGGATTTCTACTGACAGGCCTAGTGATGCAGGGGACAGGTTGCTATCTGCAGTGCCTGCATACCCGGTGTTGGTCTATGTACTGATTCATAGTCCAGCCAAAGTGCATCCTCACACTAGTTTGAGAGAACTTGAGATCCAATTTTTGAGCCAATCCAGGGCATTATGGTCTGTCAAGTTCTAGTCTTAGTCTTGCTAGTCTCCAGTCTGAATGCCGAGGTGTGTTGGCTGGGTACGCTAACGAGACTAACCCACCCGTGCCAAACTGACGGTGTGTGGTCTTGGCCATGTCTAGGGGCGGGACAAAGGATCTTCTAACTAGGGACACGCGATCAGCATGGGAATATCCATACTACCCACATGAGCATGCAGGGTTATGGAGGCAAGCTGTGTACCTGCTGTGGGCAATCGAATCCTCTCCAATCAAGGCCTTCAATGGTGGTGTTTGTGATGCACTATAAGGGAGAATTATATCATTCCCTGTGACTGGCCAGCATGTCCGTCGTGGACCAAAGCCAGAAATTGCATGAATCCCTCTGCGACTGGTCCAGTCTCAATGCCATCGTCGCAGCTCTGCCTCAGCTTGCGAACCTTCCCCAGCCCACGATTGAACCCCTTTTCAGCTGTCCACTGGCCCCGGCTGCGACGGGAAGGACCTTTGCCTCCTCGGCCATGTGGTCTTCCTCGTGTTGCTGGTGTGTGCCATTCCACCCACTGATCTGCCAGGGTTGCGCGGTATATCTCCTGTAACTCATGACGGAGCTGTGGGTGGCGGTCAAGAAAGTCTTTGATTTGTGGAGATGCTGCTACTGCTGCAGCATTGAGCTCTTTTCTTTGGTTGTCGGTTGCAGTTTTGTCCTGATTTTGTGATGGATTGGCTTCGACGGTTGGAGATGGGTCTGCTGGTTCCTGGGTTGTCGGTGCCTTGGGGGCACAATAGATCTTATGAGACTGGGTGCATGCGAGGGAGCAACTGCCTCAAAGATATTTAGTCACTGGCTGCAAATTTGCAAGCATGGAGGTATGATCAGGTACCTCATCAGTCCGCATGTCGGACACCGATATTTTGACGACTCTGTAGAGCAGACTTCACAGGAGCCGGGCATGGTGTAAAAACACTCGGACAAAGCATGAGGTAGTCTGGCAGTCAGACCCTCCTCATATGAGCCCGGTCGGCACTGTGTTGTGTCGCGGGAGGATAAGGAAAGTAGGAAAATAATGAGTGTTGCCTCAGGTCTCAATCACCCCATTTCCCTTTACAGCTAAGCCGTGACAAGCTCACGTGATATTGACGTTGCAACCTTAAATGACGGCAGACAGCCTTGCATGCCTCATCTCGTGTGTCTGTGTACTTGACATTCACCAGGTGGAGAATGTTGATGTCGTCGATTTCAACATAGAGGTGCTGTTACATATGGGAGCCACTGACCAACTTGAGCTCCCATTCCATGGGGTTGCCCAATCCAAGTGATAAACCCCCACACCTTCACCATGGGCGGAGCACCGTATAGGTCAAAAGGATGCAATACATGCCGCCGGCGGAAAGTAAAGGTAGACAATCCCAAGTTGAGTCCAATGGCCCTTGGCCGGAATATCGAGTCCTAACCCTTGTCTAGTGCGACGAGACCAAGCCCGAATGTCTGAGGTGCATTAAAAACGGCCACGCTTGCGCCGGATACGAGCGAAACCGAGTGTTTATTCACAACTCTGCCGAGACAAGGACTGTTGTTCGGCGGCCCCGAGAATCTACCAGGGGAAAAGGTGCACGCGCACCTGACACGGACCCCGATATTCCTCGATTTGATGTCAATGCTGGAATTCGCACTCAGTTTGTCGCCAACTTCCTTGACCTGTTTACGCCATCAACCAAAGTCCGTGATGGAAAGGATCAAGCAAGCATCCATTTGCAAGACACGTTTCCTGAGTTCATCGGAGGCAGTGTCGTCCTCGATAAAGCAGTCACAGCTCTTGGCTCGGCCTTCTTGGCTAAGCGACAACAGGATTATCATCTGCTACAGTACAGTACACGGCTTTATGGGGAAGCCCTGCAGATTGTACATAACCGGATTCGCATGGGTCGAAAATGCGGCCAGGACTCGCTATTCGCCACGGTGATCTTCCAATTGTACGAGGTATGGCCAGCCTTGCCCTTCCCCTCCTTATTTCAAATAGACACTAACGATAGAATCAGTTGATCAATTGCTCGCCCCTGGGGTTTCGCGGATGGCTGGCTCACATACAGGGGAGCAACGCCATTCTCGCTCAATACGAATCTCCCGGCCCGCCCAGCATGATGGAGCATCTATTCCGTCGCCAGCTCAAATTCGTGACGGTAAGCCACACAGCAATTCCAGCCTCATACAAACTACCCTGAAATATCTGGCTACTGACTGCAATAATATCAGATATGTGATGCCGTTGGAATGCGCAAATCGGCATATAGCTATAGTTCTTTCTGGCAAAATCCGCCTAAGAACGAACCCTGGCGCGAACCGGTGGATGGCATTCTCGACGCATTAATTGAGTGCTCGGCTGTCATGGAACAAGTGGATTACCTCCTTCAACAGGGAAACTCGGACTCAGAGCATGACAAACAAGCCGGGGAGCAATTGCTCGGTTCTTGCTTGTCGTTGAGGGATCGACTCGACGCCGGGTTCTGCGAGATGCAGAGAAGGCTAGGTACCCCGTGGTCATCGTCATCTCAGCCTCCCTTTTGGAGCACGCTGGATCCCTCCATCCCCCAGTACCTATTCCCAGACACGATTGAATACCCGTCTCTGACGTGCGCGGATTCGCATTTACTTTACTGGACTACCTTCATTCTCCTCTACCCGTTGATCGATCAGTTGCTCCAGTTTCTCGAGCGATCCCATCGTGACGTCTCATTCACGCTGTTCAGTGTCCCGTCATCTGCACCGAGAGATGGCTCGCCTGGCGCATGGAACACAGATCTTTCTGATGATCTCCTCGCCGTGGCTGATCACTACGCGAACCATATTTGCCGCTCCGCCAAGTATTTGGTCCAGCCCGAAACAAAGGCAATGGGTGCGCAACTCCTGTTGGCCCCGTTCAGTCAGGCCACTCAATTCTATCACAGCCAGGCCGCCATTGATAAACACCGGTGGTGCCAAGCTGTATTCATGCTTCTTCCACAGCTGGGATTTGGCATCGCGCCATTTCTCAAGGACATGATCTGGCCCAGGTATGAAGCATCTACGCCCAAGAAGCTTCCGTCTCTAGAAGTGGAGGCCGGCTAGAGCCTGTCACTTTGATATTACCCGCACTCATGAGTGACGAAAAATATTATCAGCACACGAAGAATTCCTAGTATATAGCAACATCCCATATAATGAACTCTAGTCCAATCACTTTCTCCGAAAGTCGGCAGTAAAAGATGAAAACACCTCCCTTCTCATTGGCCAGCGTACACTCTGGGTTTGTCATTCGAGGACGGTCTCTCACGTGATATGACATTACATCAGAGCGCGGAGAAACCTGCGCCTCTTCTACGTTCTTTCATAAACAGATCCCCCATTGCATCTTTTGCCTGTTGTTGAGGAACTTTATAACAAACCATGTCACTGGTCTCAGTATCGACAACAATGTTTCGGCGTGCTCTCCTCGGCACCCGGTTGGCTAGACCGACGGCCGAGTGCCACCGAACCTTCAAACCGGCGTTCGCATCCAGGAGTGTATCCAGTTCTGCTCGATTGTCCACCCTCACAGCGTCCGAGACTCGTCGCCGACCAACGGTCCAACCATACCAGCAGCCTGTGGCCCAGTCTCGGGTCAACGGCCTGTCTCCAACGACCAAGCGCACGATTTTCATCCAGACTGAGAATACCCCCAACCCAGATGTAAGTGCTGGCTCATTATCTCTTGTTTGAGGGTTGCACCGCACCAAAGCTCACATTTGGTTTCTTCGACTCCTTCCAGGCCTTGAAATTCATCCCCAACCACCCCGTCCTCCCCGAGGATTTTCCGACTACCTTCCTGGAGTACCTCTCCCCTCGGTCGACGTTGGCACCTCCGCATCCGTCTCCCTTAGCCGCTAAACTGCTTGATGTCGAAGGTGTCACATCTGTCTTCTACGGGTCAGACTTTATTACCGTGACCAAGGCCAGCGATGCGCAGTGGGCGCACATTAAGCCCGAGGTTTTCAGCATCATCACCCAGGCCGTGACTTCGGGTGAGACCATCGTGACGACCGTCGAGAGTGCTGGCGCAGATGCTGCGCAGGAAGGTGGCGGTGAGGAGTCGTTGGTGTATGATGAGGAGGACGATGAGGTTGTCGGGATGATCAAAGAGCTCCTGGAGACGCGCATCCGGCCTGCCATCCAGGAAGACGGCGGTGATATTGAGCTGCGTGGTTTTGAGAATGGCATTGTCCTGCTCAAGCTGCGCGGCGCCTGTCGTACCTGCGATTCCAGCACCGTGACTCTCAAGAATGGGATCGAGTCGATGCTGATGCACTATGTGAGTACTTTCTTTCTGTGCTCTCTAAGTGAGCGCCACTAATCAAGTGAATTGTAGATCGAGGAAGTCAAGGGCGTGGAACAGGTCATGGACCAGGAAGAAGAGATCTCCATGCACGAATTCGCCCGGTTCGAGCAGAAGTTGCGCCAACAGAAAGGGCCGGAGGCCACTGCCGGAAGTCCATTGGACAGTGCCCCGTAAATACTTTTGTCAAATTGGATATGTCATGCACATGCTGTATATTAATTTTATTACCGGACCAATACTAGATAGACCCTTTGTTTGGCGCTGTTCATTGTAGAATAAAACCAACTCTGGGTGTGATGTCATGCACTTGGTTAAGGTTGAATCCATGGAATACGGCCGAGACTATTGCCCAGCACCGAGTCCTTTCCCTCGATGACCGTTGGTATCTTGTGCAAGGTGCTTTCGAATGGTGTGGCTTGAGTTTCATGCGGCTCGGGCAACATCACCGACGTCAACACCGTCGAGGCCAACCGGGCAGATTGGCCCACACATTCATCTCGACCGCGATGGACTGTCCACCACATATGCATACCATATGGGATGGTTCGTTCGTGTGGGGTGGCGCATGGCCCGCAAAATGACAGGGAATAGACGCGGATGTCCGGACAGCCCGCTAATTCGCCTGTGAGGCCCTTGATCGAGGAGCAAAAAATGCCCTTCTTTTTTCTGCTCTGTTCCACTCTCATTGTTTCCCGAGGGTTTCCGACCGTTGGGATTAGGCTAGATGGCTTTTTTTTGCTTGTGTCGAGGCCAAGCCACGTAACGTGGCCAAGACTCGAGTCTACCAGAGGGGGCCTCGGGGTGAGATAGAGAAAACAAGAAACAAGAAACAAGAAAAAGAAAGGAAAAGAAAAGAAAAAAAAGGCGGGGTCTGCAGCTCCCCCCGCAGAAGAGAGAAGATCGATCTGCCTGGGCGCCTGGGAGCCTTGGAGCCTGGGGAAATGAACCTTGGGAAGCCTATCGGGGAGCTTTCCCCACTATACAATTTTTGTCTTTTGATCAAGTGTCACTTGATTTCTTCAGTGACGTGGTGACGTTGATATCGGGAGTGTGTGACTTGGACCGTGCGATACATTATGACTATGATTTTATTTTTTCTATTGTCTTCTGTACGCTGACAGGGGCTGCATGCACTTGTCCTGTCGCTTCGCAACCCAGTCAGAACCCTCGAAGATCGACCCCCCGCACGGCCCAGACGACTATGGTATACCGAGTATACTCTTCGTCCTTCGTGCTGAAGAGCTCAATTCCGTGAATATAGGAGTACCTAGGATGCCTATAATTAATTAAATCATAAAACATCATACATTCAAATACTCTATTTATTTCTAATTCTATTACTCTATCACTATCCTCTTATTTCTCTGTAATTCCACTGTGCCACGGGCGCCGTGGTCCGTGTCCCCTGAACATCATTTCGGGGCAACGTTGCCAGATCCGTCCCCCCCCAGTTACCCCAGTGTCTCCGTCACCCCCCCGCCCTGCAACCCCCCTCAACTCCCTCAACTCTCATTGCTTTCCTCTCTTCTCTCTTCTCTATCATCTTCTCTTCTTTTTCATCCTTTTCTAGTTGACCCATGATGCGCCGCCCTTAAGGGGATCCCATCGGTGCCCGCTTGCTCAACGTCATCCGTGGTCACGCTACGAGCTTCTCCCGAGCGCATTTCCGTTCCACGCGACCGATCCTCGATAGACAAGATCAGAATCCAACAGCGCGAGAACTCGAAGAAGAACCCACCTTAGCTGATTTTTCTGTTCTTGCCCTTTCTCTGTTCCCCTTTTCCCTTTTTTTTTTTTTTATTTCATTCATCGCCCACCCAGACTCAGCTGGAACAGCTTGTTCGAGCTCCGGTCGCTTTGCGCTTTTCACCTTTCAACTTGTCACTCTCGATCCAAGAAGCCTGGTCGCTTCGGGACTGCGATTTCTCACGAGACCCACGATCCCAGTGCGCGCTTGTTTCGAATAGAGATTTGAACTTGATAAAACAAAAGTTCCATTAGAGTGGTGAGTCGCGCATATCTCGTTGTCCTGCCCAGCTCTCCCTGAATGCGACAGCTCGCTCATCTCACCCTGGAAATTGCTACTTAGACACGATTACGATAACACGGCTGCTTCTTTTTTCTGTCTCCCTTCGTTTGATACTCTGACTCGGGTGATATTGACCTGGGTTACTGCTGTGCACTCGGATTAGACGGTATGTGCTGGTGTCTGTTGTCGCGTTCCTTGCATATCGGGCACGGTGTCTTTATGACCTTGGCTTTGGCCAGCTTTCCCCACATGAAGTCATATTTGGAGATGGAAGAGCTCCAGGGCTACCCGCGAGGAGACATCCCCGCTTTGTCATGCCATCCACCACGTGCTCACCCTTTCTTTCGTGCGACGTGAAGTGTGTTGCGAGACTAACTTGCTTTCCAGCTATCGCTGAACATACCGCGCATCACCCACCCTCCATCAGATACTCGAGCTTGAGGAACAAAGACTGGTGCTTTGTCGCGTGTCTTCACTCAGCTCAATCTCAAGGCGTCTGGATAGTACAGTGTCTTCGTTTGTGCGACAGAAAAAGTACAGGTAAGTCAAATATCTGCGCTGCCTAGCTCCATGGTGATCCATTGCTGGAGCCTTTTTGCTGCTTTCATCCCATTGCGACAGGACTAACACCAGATCAGTTCGTTAAGAAATCATGGCTGCGCCGACCAATAAACTGGGTCTGGCCCAGTCGATCACTCCACCTGTATGTGGAACAACCGCATCCGCCAGACTCGAGAAGACTCACCCCGGTGTACGCCGCTCTACTCCTGACTCAGAAGCCCTGGCTTCTTCCGACGATGACGGAGAGCATGTGGCCCCAACCCAGACTACTGCCCCGCCATCTAAGCCAGCGCGTCGGACATCGTGGTTGAATGAGGTGCCGCTCTCTGCACAGCGCAAGCATTCGCTGCCTGGGGGACCCCTCTCCTCTGCCCCGTCGAATCCGGCCAGCCCTTCGAGTGACCAGGCCCCATGGGCCACAAACCCGAGCCCCGGACTCGCCGGTTCTTTTAACTGGAACCAAGCTGGGGGGAGCTCTTTTCCCTGGGGGACGGGCATCTGGAACACTGAATCCCGCAAAGAGCCGCCATCTCGGTTGTCCGAAATCGTGCCTTCCCCAACTATGCCAAACCCCCCACCTACTAGCGGCAACCTGGGAGACGAAATGTTAAGCCCGATAACTCGCACGATTTCGGGTGAATCGGCCATTCCGTTCTCCATTCCGCTGCATCCCACCCCCAAGACCTATCGTTCTCAGTCATATTCCGTCGGTCAGATGGACCCCGAGTATCTGGGTTTGGTGGCTAACAAGTCCGGGACTAGCGCATCATACTCGGGCGGTCGTTCTCGAGGCCCGGGCCAAATGTCTGCTGTTCAGCCGCGTTCGTCTCGACCAAGTGTGCTTGGCGAGCTGGGACACGATCCGGCGATGCTCGACCGGGTCCGAGAAGATGACGATGGAGATGACGCCCCGGACGGCTCGGACGATATCAACTACTCCGCAAGCCAGGCCCGAACGATCGAGCAACTCGCGCGAGAGAATGCCCTCCTGCGACAAGCAGCGGCAGGTCATATGGATAATCGATTCCGTGATCGTTCGTCGTCGTCTGCGTCCATTGGTGGGGGTGTTCATTCATTGCACCGTATTCGTGGCGGTGTTCCTGAGGAAGACATTGCCCCAGAGGACCCGGGAGAGCTTCGCGACATTCAGGGATACAGCAACATGCACAGCAACACCAGAAGACGGTTTTCTGAGCATTCGGCCAATCTCGAGCAGCAGCTCTCTTCCTTTGCTCCGCCTCTAGAGAACAGAGCATTGGAGAATGTTCGCAAGGCTCATTGGCAGACCTCGCTGGGCTTTGGAAGCATGGCCGACATTCCGCAAAGCCGCCGTCACTCGTTCGCCGATATCCCCATGCGTCATGCTTCCATCGGTTCGGTTGACTCGCATGCGACAGCCACCCCTCGGGCTAGTCTCGCACCAGATCGTGAAGACTATGGGTCCATTAATGACTTTTCCAACCCAGCAATGCAGCGTATGTATCTTTTGTTGTTTCAAAACAGACTCCATACTGACTAGCACCTCTGCAGAATCTTATTACTCCCGCGACCAGACCTTGCGTAATGATGGGTCCTCGGGAATTCCGGCGGCCCTCAACCAGTACTCGCTATCGGCTGCCTTTGGTCGTCAACCCTCGGCCCTTTCGCATGGCCACCAGAACCAGCTTCTCTACATCGTCACGTTCAAGTGCCACCGTGCCGATGTATTTTACATTCAAGAAGACACTGGCCTCCAGGTGAAGGCCGGCGATCTGGTCATTGTTGAGGCTGACCGAGGCACGGACCTGGGAACCGTTCAACATGCAAATGTCTCGCTTCAGAAAGCGCGGGAGCTGAAGCAGCAGTACGCGGAAGAACATTACAAATGGCTCATGATGTTCTCCCGGCAGGGTCAACTCGAGGGCTCCAATGTGCCCAACCCCGGTCTGGGTAGTCGGAGTGCCACGGGAGGCATGGGTCCTCATGCCCCGCATGGCGTGCAGGACACTTCCACGGACATCAAACCAAAGCTTATCAAGCGCTTGGCCCAGAACCATGAGATTTTGACTCTGAGAGACAAGGAAGGAAACGAAGCGAAGGCCAAGCGTGTCTGCCAGCAAAAGGTTGTCGAGCACCGCCTGAACATGGAAATCCTCGACGCCGAGTTCCAAATGTGAGTAACCATCTAGCATTTCACCTCATCCTAGGCTCATTCATTGACCTTGTTGTACAGGGACTGGAAAAAGCTCACGTTCTACTACTTCGCGGATTCCTATATCAACTTCAACTCCCTGGTCACCGACCTGTTCAAGATCTACAAGACAAGGATCTGGATGTCGGCCATAAACCCAGCCTCGTTTGTCACGCCACCGGGGCCTGGTCTGCAGGGCCCTGGTGCGATGCCTAACCCCCTCTACGGGCCGGATACAAACACCGATCGCCGTCACCAGCACGATGGCAGAGCCTATGGCGGATCGCGGGAGGCTGTCGATGCGACCCGCGATGGAATTCCAAACCCCGCCATGCTCCGCACTGCCTTTGCGGATTCGTATCAGCCATTCGCCCAACCTCCTCGCCAGCACGACGAAATTCAGGCCGACCCCTTCGGCCCCTACTCCCCCAGCAGCTATGGTCCGCTCGACTCGGGCTACGCCGACTATCAGGCGAGCAGTGCCGGCTCCAGCGGGGCAGCCCGCATGCACCCAGCGCAGGGCGAATGGGTTGGCCGGTTCCAGGGCTTGTCTCTTAACTCCTGATCTTGTTTATGCAAGCCCGTTCTGGCCCCTTGTACAATTCGGTTATTTCTGCGACCCTCTTGTTTCGAGAGTACTTCTTTCCTCTTATTGTTTCTTTTTCTTCCTTTTCTGCTTTTAACTCCCACCCGTGGGTGAAAGATCCATGCCCCCTAGACTTGTTTGACCTCGATGCGTTTCTTGCCTTTTGTTTTCTCTCCGGATTCTCTGGATATGGCGGGTTCTGCTTTTCTCAAAGAATGCTTCTCTGGGTTTGTGGTTGTGGGTTACGTCTTTTCTCATCTTCCGTATCTGCTTTTCTCTTATTTTTTTTCCTTTCCTGCCCTTGTACTACTCTGTTCACTGTTAGATTATTCATACCCTGGGCTGTACTGGACCCCTCCCCCACGCAGTCGCTACCACCGGACTCTAATAGACTTGATGATTTTGCGCTGGATTTATTGTCTGCATTTTTTTCTCCTGCTGTTTACTTTGTCTATGGGTTTTTTTTTTTACCCCACACATTCTCTTTTGTTGTTGGTGATGGATTACACTCGCTAGAAGAGTCGTGGAATTTCGTTTGATCTTGTGATTCTGTTAGGAAAGATCAGTGGAAGAAAAAGAAAGAGAGGCTGGGAAATGGCAAGACAGATTGTGTTTTATTTGTTTTCTTACTATTTCTATCTATCCTTGCTACCTTGAAATGATCTAGGTAGATTTGACTTGCCGAGCATACCATCATGATCTAGTGACTTAGCCAGCACAATGTGGTGATGGCACAGATAACCAAGTTCCTAAAATCAGGTGTGGTATCCACCACATGTCCCTCGTTGAGTCCATGAAGGTGTAAGGCCATATGAGACACAAATCTAGATACCCTGTGCTCTCCCGGTCCGAATGACCAATATATTGCATTGCGTTCTTGTCTTGCAACTTGGAGCAATCAAGACGACCCCGTGGCCCTGGCTGAGAGCGAGATGGTTTCTCGGGCCATGTTTGAATTGGGTGTTGGAGAACACAGCAGCCGGGGTCATGGATCCATCCACGATGTTGATGCGAGCCAGCTGGCCCACTCGAGAATTATAGAAGGGAGTGCATAGCAGCATATCGATAAGGACGGATGTAGCAATTCTAGCAAATGATGTGGAATTTGCTTCGGCTAGCCCGTAATCTCGCAGGTTTTTATTTCTTCGGTCGAGGTTGTACCAGGGGTCTGCGGCGATACGTGCAGTAATGGACTCGAGAATATCATGACTGGAGTCGAGCCTGATTTGTATAGATGAGCAGACACTAGAAGGTGCCATTAGCAATGAATACACCAACCCGACTCATTCCACTGATAAGAAACAGAGAAGAAGAAGAAGAAAAGGCGGGGGAAATCACACCTCAAGCAAATTTATCATGCTTCCCCTTAACCCGCACATCAAGAACCTCCTCATGGAAATTCCCATCGCGTCGAGCCCGCCTCAATCGCCGCACATCCTCATCATCCAGCGCCCGCCCCACAATCCCCTCCAGCTCCTTGCGACTGATCTTCTCATACGCCTTGGACTCCTTAGTCGCGCGGATCCGCGGCTTGAACCGCGCCTGCATGCGGACACGCAGCGTCGTCTCAAACGAGATCGTCGTCGCGTCGCCGCGGATCTCCACGCCAGATGACGCCCGCGCGCTGTCTTTGATGCTTAGGAAGGACTCGGCGTCGCCGCCGCGCGTTTGTAGGGAGAAGGCGCCCGGGATGTCCGGGGAGGCGATTGCGAGGAAGGATTCGTAGGGGGAGACAGCCGAGGCGGTTGCGGTGAAAAGGCCGTGGTTGTCGCAACCGAGGTATCTGGGAACAGTGAGTAGATGATAATAATAATAATAATAATGGTAATAAAGAGAATGAAAATGGGAATGGAGTATTCCTGGAGAGAGAGAAGATACTCACTTCCCATGATGCCCCTTGAAACTAAACGACTCCGTCCCCGCTACCCGCGTCGCAACCCACACCTGCCGCACATCATGCGGCTCCGCTGTCCCCGGGTCTCCCTCAACCAGGTTCTCCAACGTGCTGGCAAAGACCTGTCCATTGGCGTCACTGGCCACACTCGTTGGCTCGTCGGACGGTAGCACCAGGACCACCGGGCCGGCGATGTCGCTCGGCGCATCGGCCGACACCCAGCTCTGGTCTTCGGGGTCGTCGTTGGTCTCGGGGACGTCGGGGACGGCGGTCTTGCGGGTTTTGGTAGACTTGTCTGATTCCGGGTCGCGCTGCTTGCGCTTTTTGGGCTTGTCGCCTTTGAAGGTGAGTGGTTTGACCATTTTGTGTGGTGGTGGATGGTCTGGTCTGTCTGGGATTTTGCTTGGAGGGAGGAATGAATGGAATGAAATGGGGTGAGGTTGAGTTTCGCGATTTGGATCCACTCCAGCTTCACTGCGTTCTTCACTCTACAATATTCTACCACATCATTGGGGCTATATTATCATTTGGTGTTTTTTTTGCTATGTGATTAAATAGTCCTTAATTACTATTTGATATCAGCATGCAGTGTTATTTTGACGTCAATGGTGCCTTGGTGGCGACTCCAAGGTCCTCACGCTTGTTCAATATCACCAACCCCATACCCCAGATCAATGCGATGAACCCATTCCTTTCGATCAACCAACGACCTCATATCAAAATGGGTACACACAAAATGCTCTACGTGGCACATGAACATGATATCCAACATCAGACAGATCCTAATCAAAGGTGATAGCAGCCTTGATCGCGCTCTTGTTGCGCATCGACTCCAAGCACTCCTCCCACTGCTCGATCTTGAACACCTTGTTCACGATTCCAGCTACTTTGACCTTGCCGGAGTCCAGGTAGTCAATGGCAGCAGGGAACTTGTACGTCTCGGAGAAACTGCCGAGGATGGTGATCTCGTCGCCGACTGAAGAACAGTTAGTGCAAACGATTCCCAGTCAGATGCGAGCCTGCCCAAACAAAAGCCAAGGGACAAAAGGAAACGAGGCTTACAGATCTTGGAAGGAGGCCACGCAACACGTGCCTCGCTGGAGTACACGCCATAAACAACCAGCTTGCCACCCCGGCGCACATAGTTGATCGAGTCCTCAAGGATCTTCGGGCTGCCGGTCGCCTCGACGACAATATCGAAGCCATACGGGTTATCCGCCTTGAGCTTGGCATACTGGGCTTCGGGCGCCTGTCGTGATAGCTCGATGTACTCGTCGCCGGCTCCTAGTGACTTGGCTAGGTTCAGCTTCAACCCCCCCCGGGGCGGCGACCACGACTCGGCAGCCGCCGTTCTGGCGGAGCATCTGGGCCAGCACCAGACCCGTAGGACCGGCGCCGAACACGAGCACCGACGAGCCCATCTTCGGGGCGATCTTGTCCAGGCCGTGGGCTGCGCACGAGGCGGGTTCCAGCAGCGTTGCGTCGACGTCTGACAGGTTCTTGATCTTGAACACCTTGCCAGCTGCGAAGAATGGGATATGAGTTTTTTTGTTTGGGTGGGTGACAGCAAATACAAAGGCAAGTACTCTTACTTACCAGGATAGGCGCAGTATTCGGCGAAACCACCGTTCATGGTGACGCCGTGGGCATTGAAGTCCTCGCAAAACAGCAGATCACCCCGACGGCAGTAGAAACATGTCCCGCACAGCTCCGAGTTGTCAGCGACGACTCGCTCGCCGATGTGGAAGTTCTGGACCTTGGAGCCTACGGCGGCTACCACGCCGACGGTCTCGTGGCCGGGGATCAGGGGGAACTAATCGATGCTTAGTTTTGGCTATGGACCATCGCCAGCAAAAGCACACCTTCGCAATGAACTCGCCATCATGAATGTGCAGGTCTGTTCCACAGACACCGCAGGCCTTGACTTTGATCTACCCGTCAATGTGTTAATCAACCACTCGCATCTCTGAAGTCATATCGGACGGCCCATACCAGGATGTCCTCGTCCCGCAGCTCGGGTACGGGAACCTCGACAAGCCCGTACTCCTTGGGCTTTGAGTATCTAGGGTCATACTTTTAGTAAGATCCCTGTGTATAGGGAGATTGTGGTCGACATTTACTGGAGAGCCCGCATGGTCTTGGGGATGTAGGCCGCCATGGCTCTGCTTCAGCTGGTCTGAAAGATCAGTTAAAACAAGAATACGAAAAGCTCAAACCCTAGAGCTTACTTTGAGAAGAAGGAAGGGTTGAAAGAATATGTGTGACTCAAAAGACGGAGGAACTAGTCACTCTAACTATTCCAAGTCCCAAGGGAGGGGAAAGCAGGCGCTTTATATAACCGGGCTTGAAGAGGGGTTATCCTGATCCCGGCAACACACCGAACGCTCAACAGCTTTGCATCGCAACAAAGTCCCAGTCAATCGAGTGGGTCATGGATCGGCAGTGACACTCGCCAGCGGAGATGCATGTATTCGGAGACTCCACCGATCTACTACCTTCTCTAGGACAACATCCCCTTTTCACCCCATTGGCACACACACATTGACTCGGTTTGGGCTGCCTCGGTGTGCACAACCAGTTCAAGCCCAAAACCGCCAAGTTGAAGCGATCCAATGGGAATAGTACTCGTACGCCTGTGGCGGAGGGGTTGCGCACGAGCTTCCCCCCAACATTCTCCAGGATCAGGCACATATTTCGATGTTGTTTCACCAGGGCACATGGCGATATTCCTGGAAAGTATCACTCTATATGGGAGGACAAAACCAGGGGTTCATTTGGCCATGACTTCAACTCCCGCAGCTCCGCTGGGAGGGCACAGCTCGCTACTCCAGTCTCAAGGGAACCTCCAGCTTGCTGTTGCCAAGTATAGGGATCTTTCCAGGTGTATAAAAAGAAAGGGAAAAAAACTTTTCACAGCACCTGACTCAACACACTGGCCAAAATCCAGTCTAGGTTGTCCCAGGCTGCTGTTCGACTCACCGCTCCATTCGAATTCGCTCCCACGACCAACTCTTGAATCACGCGGCTTCGATACTAATGCGGGGCTTGTCGGGTTCCTTGAAGCGGGTGTGGGCAAGATCTCTTGACCGCTGCTGGTGGCATGTAGTGGGACTGGGGCTGCGGAGTGGCTCTGTTTGTTCCCTTTGCTGGACCGGGACTGAATCCATATCCCATGCAGTACAAGGGTACTGCCACTGCAGTCTCAAGACTCGACCCTAATGCTAGAGGGTCATCTTGAAGAGGTATCATTCAAGTCTTTTTTACTAACAAAGTTAAAGAAATCTCTACTATAACCGGCCCTGTGATGGCGTGGTCGATATCATAGTCAATCACCCGTGATAAAGCAGGGTCTGGGGGTCAGTGTAGTGGGTAGTGGTAAGCCACTCTGAGCTGTCTATTGACACTGTGGAAACTGAGGCGCTTCTTCGTCCTTAGACTCTGGGTTTACCTGGATCGAATAACCGAAGCTTTATGCATAGTTATAATGACCTCTTATTCACTCCTTTACCATGCATATGAATATATCGCTTTACGATACAGCAATACTCGAATAACCAAATCCCTTAGCTTAGAATGGCTGCACCATCGAACTAGCCATCTCCAGCTTCGCAGCAGGCACAATCCGCTCTTCAACCAGCTTCGCCACCACGCGTACCACCTAACCCTGACAATTCTCTGTCGCCCCCTTTCAGTTCTTTGCTTGTGGCGTCGGCTCATTCTTTGCAATCTGTTTAACCCGCATAGCCTGCTCCTCGGTCAGAGACGCCAAGTGATACATAGCAAAAAAGAACTCGGAGTTGGCGATATCCGTAGGCTGCAGAGGGGGTTCATAGGTCATGAACTCTGGATCCCCTTTCACCTGGTAGACTTGACCCGGCTCGTTTTCGCGCGCGACAAACAATGACCAGTGGAGGATTGGACTGATTTCTTTGGCTCGTGGACAAGGGAGAGATAGAGAGATCAAGAAGTTTGTCAGAGTTGCGGAGGTCAACATGGACAATGAGTCTCAGGGCCATGCCCCCACATCTCTGCGGTATGGATGATCCCTCGTTCAACGCAGGACTGCACCCAGGAGTTGTAAGGTCTCGCCCAGAAGCAAGTATAAATAATTCTATCCAATGCTATGTTCTATGATATGCATATGTACATCTTCTCCAACATGTTCCTGGTGTGGTGATCAAGTTTAAGTATCCAGCGGCTCCAGGACAGGGCCGACATAGTTCTTCCGACCCCATACCCAATACCACAGGGCCGAAATCAACACAAACCCGACAAACACAACCGAGGCATAATTCATGGTATCCTTGGTGACGGCCGCAGACGTGGGCATAGAAAAGAGTGGGATGGCAAGGAGGCACCATCCTAAACAAAAACAAATGTTAGAACATCAGGCAGGGTGTAGACTTGAAAGTAAGATGATCCACTCACCAATGCAAACAACGTTACAGAAAGACCCAAGTGGTCCAAGGTTGAAAGATCCACGCTGGAGATCTTGACGGCCGCGAAGAAGCAAAGAGACTATCACGGGGCATGCATAGCTCAGCGTTAGGAAGATAACGCCGACACCAGAAAAGGCGTTGTACGCAGCACTCGAGCCAAAGTAGATTAAGCCGAGAAGTAACTCAATGACCATTCCCAGGAGCAACGAGTTCAAAGGAATCTGCGTGAACCTGTCCACTTTTTTCCACCAGGTAGAGCCGGGAATGGCTCCATCACGGGCGAACGCCCACGTGGCTCGTGAAGTTGCCGTGGCACATCCCAGTCCACAGATCAGACCGAGAACAATCAACGGGATTAGCAGACAAAACGCTCCTGCAGAGTTGCCGGTCGCCGACTTGACGATGGTCGGTACGGGCTGCGCCGAGGGAATTTGTGCTAGCATGGCAATGTCGGGCAGTACAAATGCAATCGGAATGAGAAAGGCGGCGCCGGCTAACGCGTTCAGCAGAATGCCACCGACAATAGCGCGGGGGACTTGAATGGCGGGTTTGCGGACTTCCTCGCACATACTGTTCCCAGTCAACACACCAGAAAATGCAGAGTGAGGATGAAGTACTCACGATGTGACCATTCCAGTCGCCGATAGACCATATGCGGCCTGCAGCAGGCCAATACAGAACGACCACCCATCAGGCCAGCCTGATTGGGGTTCGAACGATGTAAAGACCCATTCCGCCGACCGTCGACCGTTATGTGCAACAACTAGGATCGTGATAAGGATGGCTGTCACCCCGATCACGGTCCAGAAGATTGCAAAGTACTGATTTGAACGCGATTAGTTAGCAGGCGAGATAGTGAGCAGCGCATCAATATTAATTGCTATAGCATACCTCAATCCACGGCAACCATCTGTTCGCAAACGCCGGGATCGCATGACAGATAAACGTAATAGCAACGAAAATAAGATAGGTCTGATATGTCTGAAAATTCTCCGCGATGCCAGCGCCCGACGCATCTTCAAAGACATTGAGACACTCGACGAAAAACAACGCGGTCGCGAAATTCACCGCCAGGGTGATGGTGATGTTGCCCGCAACGTACGACCAGCCACAGACCCAAGCCGATGCGCGGCGACACCAGGACGGCGACAGGGCAAAAGTCTGGTAATAGACGCCGCCGGCGGTCGGGTACACGGAGGTGATTTCAGCTAAAGACACGGCTACACACAGCATAATGAGGGAGACCAGGATCCAGCCCCAGACCATATTGGCCGAGCCGCCGCCGATCAACGAGTACGACATAGTCGTGGACAAACCATACGGTACCGAGGCCAGGATGAAGCACATGAACACCACTTGCCATGTTGATCGGTTGCGGGACAGCTCGGCTGTATACCCCAGGGCTTCGAGGTTGGAGTCTGCCGTAGGTGCGGTGGGCTTGCCGTCGGGCTTGAGTATTTCAGCCATGGTCGCGTGGGGGGGGGGATTGTAGCTGGGGGCCGCAAGGGGGTGGGACAAATTTAGAGTCTCCAAAGGATTCGGGGCATGTGAGCGATCTGATTTAGTTGGTTTAGTTCGGATAGCGCTAGTATGTAGAGCAATGCAAGCTTGGACTGGGTTGTATGTAAAAGGAATCAAAATAGAGAGAAAGAAAATGGCTGCGGGTGACCACTTCACTTCGAAAAAAAAAAGAAAGAAAAAGTATCGGCGACTGGGCTGAGAGGCATTCGGTTTTCATAATTTAAAACCTTTTACGCGAGCGCTTTGATTATTAACAGACTCAAGTTACCCAACCGGGCATAATTAGGGTTGATCCAGTTTTATATTACCGGAATCTCTCCGACTTGATATCGTGCAATACCACCAACAATATGACTTTTCCCGGTGACACTAAATATTCCGGTGAATGAGAGAAGCGAGAATGCAATATTATTGTCCTCTAATGCAATGCTTAACGGCTGGTGTCATTTTGGAGGGGCCATAGAGCGAAAGGATCATAGTTGGGAGGCGCTGTGGGGACCTCCTCGTACCTTGGAGGAACTCTTTCCATAACCGCTTGCCCTGTATCCTCTTCGCTTTTCGCAAGTATTCTTAGAGGAAACGATGCATTCAAAGCAGTCCGCAGAGGCTTGCGATCCACCAGACTCTTAGTGTGTCGGTCAAAAGTATCTTCCCCTGTAATCAAGTCCAGCTTCAGACGGTGCTCAATTATGATTGCCAGCTTTTCCTGCGTGGTCGAGGAATAGCATTCACGAAGATTGGTAGGCAGTAAATCAGATTTCACATGCTCTGGATCAAAGGCGTAGCAAGACCAGTCGGTCACTTGTGCGGGCTTGATATTCTTCGGGATGGTGAAGTTGAAAACGAGATCTACAGACGAATCTGCCTGGACTGAGCCATGTTGTGCTTCGACGATTGGATTCCCGGGCGTGCCCCAGTACCCTTTTGCTTCCAATTGCAAATCTCACGCACAGATACACGTTCGATGGTCGTTTCCCTGTCTCCGTCCCTGGGTTCGTTCTCGCTGGATTTGGCAAATAATGTGGTCACTTCTTCTACCCGACACCGAATTCCTCGGACTGTAGAGCATGTGAACTCCGACGGACGAATGCCTGCGGTACTTGGTCTTTTGAGTTCGACATTCATCGAAAAGGAGAGGTTGGAATGCGAGTCCGTATTGAGGTGTTGTGAAAGAGCAATTTGAGTGACCAGCTTCGATTTCGGGTATGACCGCACATGCTGGATGGTTGGCTCATCTGAGATGACCAGGCGATCCAGATGAATAGTATGAGCGGTGCTAATGACGCTGTGGCTTTCTGCTACCACTGAGGCAAGGATGGTGTAGGAAATTGACCCCAAGGCTGTGGTTTCGGAGCCAGGTATGTTGACTGGCACAGGAATTGAGAATGGGATGTGGATGTCACAATCTCTTCTTGAGGACTCATTCATTTGGAGATCAACGACGGGGGAAATGGGCTGGGTCACTTCTTCGATGACTGAGCATGTCCGGTGCACCTCTTCTTCAAGTTTTGGTTTTGTTGTGAACCGACGGCGCATGCATTCTAAAAGTCCTTGGTTCTGGCATGTGGTCTGTGAAGCCGGGCTGGATTCGATAGTGCGAATAAGCTGGAGTTGGATTTGAGTAAACTTCTGACGTTCGATACTCATCAATGGAGCAAGAGCCACGAAGCCAGAAACTGGTCGAGAGTAACTATCTCCGTTCTGATTGAAGTGTATATAGTGCAAGGAAGGAGAAATGATTCGTAGTGAGGATAGTGAGGAGTCCATCATGGGCGAAGTTTGTTGTGGTCACTGGTCATGTCAATAGTAAGGCGAGTATGATCTTCTCTCTCAGAAAGGATCCTACGAAGCCCATAACACCCTGTTGGTATATCCCCATGATGATCGCAAATAACCCTAAGGCACCAAGGCCTACAGGCCAGTCCCAAAGAGGAAGGCCAACGGAGAGATTAGAGTTTGGCGGTGGGGCCGAGGATGCGCCGCCGTAAGAAAAGTAACGAAGTATACATCGCCTGCTTGGACAACACTTATTGTGGCCACGTCAGAATTATTTCCAGTTGAATATCACTTAGTTTGGTATATGCACAGCACTCGTTAATAATGAGTATCTTTACTTATATCTTATTCAAAGATATCCAGAATGGCCCCTAGAATCCATCTACCTAAGTGATAAGGCACACGCATATTTCTTGTTATCAGGCACATAATATAACCAGATTCTGAAGGTTGTCGGGTCAGGATGTTGATATATCTCAAGTTAAGAGTATCTCTTCTTTCGTTATGTCGAAGTCGAACTCGCTAGCAAATGTTTACCAAAACGTTATTAGCAAACAAAGAGAACTGTCAAAACACTTTATTCAATATTATTCTCATTGCTAATTAGTTTCATAGTAAACACTTCATAAAATGAATACCTCTATAGCAATGAGGTCATGTGACCGATATGTGGCTTCCAGCGGGGAAGACTTCTCATTTCTCTTGACAGAAGATCGTCAAGCATCGTCACCCCTTCCGCCAAGTGAATTTTCCCACTAGCCACGTTGAGATCTGCCCTTGGCAATAAGACTTTGTTCGCGTAGATGAAGACATTAAACGCTGCCTCCTTGTGCAACTCAGATGTCCCCGCGTCGTGATAGAGTAAGCGCAGATAAAGGTACTTGGGTGTACGTACCCATTCCACTACGGAAAAAGTGCTAACGTTGCATAAGACTGTCCCAAGTGCAGGACAAGACGCATCAATTGTGATCGAACTTTGCCGTGTTGCAGAAAATGTACTTCGAGGGGATTCCAATGTCCTGGTTACGGATTCATTCTGAAGTGGAACCAAGGAGTAGCCAGCCGAGGCAGATTGGCAGGTAACCAGGTTCCTATCCGGAAACCGATGGCTAGTGATGCCAGAACCTCGCATGACATGACCATTGACCAAGACTTCATATCGATTCCTCGTGGACCAAGCTCGCCTATTGACAACGAGACTTTGGAGTTGATGCATCATTTCCACCAGAACATTTCTGTAAAGTTGGCTTGGGTTGATGTGCCAACGAACCCATGGAGGAAAGTCATTATACCTCTAGCCTGGGCCTCAGAAACGGTGCTGTATGCTGTGCTAGCACTTTCATCCGAGGATCTGGCGTCCAAATTTCAGCAAGATCATCGCCGCCATCAACATTTGCAAGGGGTGTCGCTGCGATTACGAAACCAGGCCTTGTCCTCATTGGCAAAGCAAATTGGCCACATGAGACAGGAGGCTTCTATTGCGGGTCTCGCACCGAAAAAAGTACAATATGCTTTGGCCTCTGCGCTTCTGCTTTACAATGTTGAGTTGCTTGGAGCAGAGTCTGTCAAATGGCGGATGCATCTTCAGGCTGCTCGAGTGATCCTTCAATGGAAGGAACAGGCCTTTCCACACGCAACCATCTCCGATGAAATCGATTCTTTTCTGCTCTATGAGCAATATTATGCCAGTGTCTTTGCGGGGCTCACCACATTTGATATGCCGTATGAGTTGGAGGACACCCGATATACCGACAGCAGCGCGGTCTTCAGCGACTTTGTGCATATCATCCACCGAGTGACCCGAATCGAGCGACTGCGATATAGTCAGAGATACGACACGGATCCAACCTTGGTTGCCATCATGACACAGCAGCTAGATGAAGCCAAACATCGCATGGTTCAATTGGGTCAAATGTTCCAATTTCAAACTGAAGATGCCCGGGTAGGCTATCAGCACCTTGTCTATATCTTCTATCATGCAAGCCTGATATACATCTATCATGTGCTAGCGAGCGATCTTTCAACGGGTACCCAGGTTCAGTCATTGCGAGATTCAATCCTAGACCACTTGGAGATTCTCGCCGACAAGCGCGCTTTCGCTCATGATCTGGTCTGGCCTCTTTTTATTGCGGGAACCGAATGTCGAGGCGATCCGGAGAAACAGGAAATTGTCTCCCGAGAAATCGAAATTGTGATGGCAATCAGCGGTACATTGGATCGACGCAAAGTCCTGTCATTCTTGCGGCAGTTCTGGTCCCTGGGAAAGGATAGCACTATGACATGGATTCAGCTCATGAGGGAGCAGGCGCCAGATTACCGTATGCTTATTCTATGAGTTCAATGTGATGAAGATGATGGAATGAGACTTTGAGTATTGGTTGGATTCATTATACCGCACAGCAGTCTTCAAGAACATCTTCAAGGCTTCTCCCAGAGGCCTTCGCTTCTTTGCGAGCCCCACGAAAGCGAATTCGCCATATGATGTGGCTGAGATAAATTCCCATCTCAAGCAATACGCTATTCGAATAGAACTCATTAGAGATGGACACGCATCACACGGACAGCATGACTTACACAACAATATACATTATCCCACCAAGAATGTCAAATGTGCCTTGTGCCGCTGGAGCAGTGTAAGGTATATTGGCCAGGTACTATCGCGAATGTAGCGAGGATGTACATACCGAGCGCGAAAAGAGAAAACAATCCCCCTAGGGTGTCGATTGACAGAAACACCCAATCTATGACGAAGTCAGGAATGTTCATGTGGTATTTAGATGATATTGCTGTTACCAGGAAATACTTACTGAGTCCAATCACACGGCCTTGTCTTTTCCATAGTTCAAAGTATATCGGTATCAAGCCCGCCGCGAGAAGAACTGTCGCAACCGCGCCAACGAGAATATCTGGCCAAGTAATTCCCTTATTATATGGAATCTGAACCAATAGATCAGTCTCTGTGCTCTATGAAAAAAAAAATGACAAGAATGATAATCACAGAACCACACACCCTTAAAGTCAGGATCAAAAGTGCTTCCAGTCCACCCAGGATCGCTAGAAGACCGCAACAAATCAATACTGCCTTGCAGGTACTGTATTGACTGTAACGTCTCACTTAGCATCACATAAATCATGGGGAAAAGGCACCATAGAGAAGAATAAAACATACTGGTCATAATGTAAAATCTGGGCCCAGATAATCGCAGAGAAAACCCCGAATATCTGTGGCTGGATTTGCAATGGCAGATTCACTTCCTATGATCCTCGAGAATTCAGAACTCACTCCTCGAGAGTTTTTGAAAATCCCTAGGACGGATTATTCTCACCTGTAAAATCAAATAAACACCCATGGGCACAGCACCTATCGATAACAGCCGAATCGAGGCCGATTAGTATCATTCCTCTTCTATGCGAGCTCGCTCATCCAGATCATACATGCAGCCCATAAAAGCCCCATCGCTGCTGGGAGTCCCTCTGTTTTCTTCTGCCTCCAGTTGTACCAAACCTGGGGAATCAGCTGGATGCACCAGAAGACGGTTCCAATCGTGCCGAGGACGGTAGAGGCTAGCGTAACATCACTTGAAGAGGACATTGTTGCGTAGATTGCCGATGAAACAAGAGTTGAAAAATGATTTCTCATGCAATATAAAATAAATTATGGTTCAACACATGAGAATGCCCGCCTCCAGTGTGAACAAGGTCTATGTAAGCTCGGTTAAGAACCTCGAAGTCATTACTAGTGGTAATTCATAGCATCTCAGATCGACAGAAGAACACTTGAATCTAAAAATCCAACCCAAAACAATGGGGTTATCTTGAGAGTCTTGGGGCCCGAGGTTATGTGGCCCGGGTGGAGTGGGACTCACGGTAGTCCCAAAACGGTAGGTCGGGTGAGAAGATCTACTACGTGGCTTGCATCATTAGCCCTAACGCGGCAATATGTAAGCCAATATTGAGAGCCAGAAAATAAAGCATTAGGATGGGATATACAGGGAGATCGTCACCTAAATGATACCTTCCAAGGTTTTATTGACATTCCCTAGCCGTCTACCGTAAGGGGTTTGTTTTTCCTACAAATTCAGATGTATCCTTAAGAGACTGTAGTCTCCATAGTTCACTGTAGCATTTCTGTACATTTAATACCAGCTATATGTCTAGCCAACCATAACTGTTGATATTCCTCGGTTACGATGTGAACTTTAGCTATGTGGCTCCGAGATGAATTCCCCAAAAGCGATCAACTGGCCAACATACGGAGGGGAACCTTGACAGTGATATATTCTTTAGCACGGAAAGAGACCAGTCATCTTCGTACACTAGACTCAAGGTATATGTCAGGGTAGTGCATTCGTAGTAATCAAGGTATAAACCACTCTCCTCTTAATCCATGGTTCTAGTGACAATATAGTTGCCGGTGATCCTGGGATATCGCTTCACCATAATTTTATAGGTTCTGAAATAACAATAAGTGAAATTCGATCTAGATATCAAACGAGAACCACCATGAATGAGATCAATACACGTTGCTGCCTACACACAAAGTATCAAATCAAAATAGTAGGTCATATATACGCGCTTACAAGATACCATGGTTTAGTCGACTATCCAAAGTAGACCACCATTTCTGCTCATGATCATCCGAGAGCATCAATCCCTGCGACAGCACCCAATTCGGGAGCAATGAGCGGCAACGGCCCTCAGTGATACCCGGGAGGTCTGAGGCAGCTTTGCCAAAGCACGGCAGGCTTAACATATTTTGTAGATCGCTTCGCAACCACCGACAGCGCCTTTCAAGCGTATACATTCTGGGGGAGTGGCTTGCGGAGATCGTTGGGGACGGATAGTCTGTAGCACCACACCCAACAAGGTGGCTGGTTGTGATCGATAGTAGAAGGAGCAAGGCCAGCCATTCGGCGGACTTGTATGCAAACTCATTGCAGGGGGAAAGAGAGGTATGTGGAAGGCACTGGCATAATTCTTCGCCACACCCGCGGCACGGAATGGGGAAGTCGTTATATTCCTCTTCGAGCCAGTGTTTGCGCCATTGCATAAGCTCCCAATATAGCCGTTGGCAGCGCCAGAGCGTTTGCGGGATATCCGGGAAATTGGATAATGACTTGTCCCCGGGATTCAGATGCAATGCGGGGCACACTTCAGTCATCCTCACTGCAATATCGAATAGATAGTCACGCGAGGTTTTTTTAATCTTTTTCCAGGGAATGGTCATCCACTGTGGTTGAATAAAAAAGGACTTTTCTTGACGGGAAAAAGAAAACAGGACCTGACGCTGCGTGAGTGAGAGGGAGCAGTAGGGGGAAACAAGGTAGGACATACCGACATCTCGCGAATCTTTTTGAATGCCGCGTGAAAACCTCCAACCTGGAACGAACTAGGCCCCTGGTGCTGAATGAGTGTGAGAGCCCCCTTAAGATGGCCCGCCCATCCAGAGCAATAGATCTGGGTAGGCCGCTGCTGGACAGCCTCGAAGAGGGTAAAAATGAGTGATATCACCACTAGGGGTGCTCGCGGTGCTCGGCTGTCGCATTGCAAAAGCCGACGGAAAATCTGTAGACTGGTATTATATGCGGAGAGACTAAAAACCTGGTATATCTCCCCTTGGCCGCATAGCGAAAGCCGCATGGTTGCTAGAGCCACCATGGCCAGGTCCAGGGCTTTATTGTGAAGACGTAGGCTCGAAACACCGGCACTCCAAACATCGGATGTCCGTGCATATCGATCGTGGAAATGAGCCCATAGCGTTGAGAAATGATCTTGGAATTCCCCGGTCGAGAGGTCCAGCGTGTAGACAGAAAATATAGGCACAGTGCCATCGAGGACGGAGTTAGCAGGATGATGTGTGTGCGGCCCCTTGGCCACGTCTATGGCGTCTTTGATGAGGCCCTTCACCGGTTTTTTGATGCTGTTGGCATCGAGGTTGACAAAAACACCGGCACTCGAGTCATATCCTGCGCATCGCCGGCCGGAGTCGCAGCACCTTCTACATGCCGGTCGGGCCCCATCGCACTGTGCGCCATCAGAACTGCATTTAACTCAGCACATAATGCTTGGGATGACCTACTGCTTTCTTTCGCGAGCGACAGGTGCGACAGGGCTTGTTCATGGTCATCGACAGGGATTGAGAGAAAGAGAAGTCATTTCCAGCCAGCCCCCACGAGGCTGAGATCGCCCTAAGCCCTTCTGGCATCTCGGACCGCGCGATGCCAGAAGGTCCACTGAAGCCCCACTTGGGCCGATCATGGCCGGGCATATAGAGAGCCGGATGGTGCTGGGAATACTTTCTTTCCTTTCATCTAGCTCTCTATCTCACCACTGCAAAGTCCTAGAGAAATGACATTTTCAGTTCAAACCCGTACGGTCGCCGGCGTCACTTTGATTGACAGCACGCTCGTGCGAACCGCCCTGGAATTCGCCCGAGCTCATCTTGACGCAATGTCCTTCAACCACATCCATCGCTCGTGGATATTCGGCGCCATCATAGCCTCCAAGCTGCCCGCTTTTGCCAAAATTGACATGGAGGTGCATGCCGTGTCAGCGATTCTCCATGACCTTGCGTGGGATTACACTAGTGTCTTCTCATCGCAAGATAAACGCTTCGAAGTCGATGGCGCCCATGCCGCGCGCGACTTTCTGCAGCATGAAGCACCACACTACGATCACCGCCGGCTCCAGCTGGTTTGGGACAGCATTGCCCTACACACAACCCCGAGTATCGCCCAACACAAGGAGCCAGAGGTTGCCCTTTGTTGTATGGGGATCATGGCTGAATTCTTCGGTCCCGCATTCCCTGGCGGCCTCATCACCAAGGATGAATATAATGCCGTGATTCAAGAGCTGCCGTCACTGGACTTCAAGGAGGGGGTGAAGAAGTTCATGTGTGGATTGTGTATTCACAAGCCCGAAACTACCTACGATACATTCATGCGGGATTTCGGGGAGCGTTTTGTCGAGGGATATCCGGCATCGGCTGGAAATACTGTTGATCTGCTCATGAATCCGATAGACCACTGAGCAAGCTTCTTGGAACAAGATCCAAGGCAGCAAGCGAGAGACAGAAACAGTGGAGCACGCTAGGATGTTTGCGCCTTTTTGCCTGATTTTAGATTGGCGACCTGAGCCACCAAAACTCGTATAAAACAGACGCGACAATCCATCGACTTTCACTTGAATTTCCGCTAGAGAAATGTGCTCCAAAATGAATGGTAACTCTTTTTCCCTTCAAATGCCCGGGTTCAAATATCCCACTGATCCACAGGCCTATGGTCAGGCCCTAGTGGGTCGAAAAGCGAGGACGCGAATGAATTTGATAAAAGGCTCACGGCATGGTGGAAGGCCCGCCCAATAGGGTTACTGTACTTGCTTTGACACGAATATATACTGGTTCTTTCATGATTTGGAATATGTACACCCAGGCTTGAATAATCTAGCCCTCCCAGACCACTTCAATAATGGCCAGATATGATTTGGATGGTTTAGACACGCGAGTCAGCTTGAATCGAGGGTCCGCATCTCGCAACAGTGTATCCCAGTCATTGCGAGTACGTTCCTGCGCATTCTGCAAACCCCACATGTACATATCGTAGTCCCTATTCCTCGGCTATTAGTATGCTGGGTTTTAGTAGAAATGTGGTGCCAACATACCGCGCTTCACGCTCCGCAAGATTACTCGTTTCGCCATACCCCGGAACCACACGGTCATTCAACACAATCTTGGTCCCCGGCTTCAACGCCGGGATCAGAGCCTGCAGGATCTTCCGGGCATACTTGTTCGACCAGTCATGCAGCACATGGCGCAACAGATAAACATCCGCGCCGTGCACCGGCTGCTCCTCGAAGAAATCGTGTGCCTGGAACCGAACGCGGCCCTGCAGCTCTGCTGACAGGATGTTCTCGCCCTGAGCTATAGTCTCTGCGCGGTCCTGCACTATGCACTGTACGGTCGGGTTATGGGCGGCCAGCGCGCGTGCGATATGTCCCATACCTCCACCGACGTCAACAACTGTGATGTCCCCTGATCCCCATGGGAAATTCTCGACGAGGTACTGTGGAGAAAAGCCTGGCAGCTGGGCAAGCCACATCATAGCTTTGGCGAAGACACTAGCGCGTTGCGGCATGTCGGCCAGGGCTTGGAAGATGGGGAGGTCGGTGCCATTTTGGACACTCCATCCCTGTTGTTGTTAGAGGGATTTACCATGGCATGAGAGTGGGTAGACGAAGCACTAACACTGTGCTGTGGTTCTTCGGAATTAGGGTTTTTCGCCAGGGCGTCAGCAATCTGCAATATCAGCTAACAATTCTCGAGCGAGCGCATCAGATCGTACTAAATGAAGTATACATACTCGGAATGTACCCGGCATGGTCTCGCCCAGACCGATCAATATCCAGTTGCGCATACCCTCATTCTCAGACAGCACACGGGAGCTGGCCGTATGTACAAAGAAGTCCGGCCTAGCCTGGAAGAAGACACGGTACGTAGCGGCATGCGAGAGCAGCCGGCGCACCACATTATCACTTAGATTCAGCTTCCTGGCCAGATCTTGTACGGAACAGCCCTCGTTGGGGAAATTCTCAAAGACCCCAACACGGACTAGGGCCAACGTGCTCATCGACGGGTTGCGCTGGACCAGCGTCAGTGCGTATATCCACTAATCACAGACATGTTCTTTCCACCAACCAGCTCGGGGCTGCACAGGAGGGCGGGCTCTGTGAGCAGATCTTTGAATTCATCCAACAGCCCCAGCAGCTTCACGCGGGCGGCCAGCGCGTCCGAGTCCGGCGCATCACTCTGCAGGGCCCCGGGCAGGCCGTTTGCGAAGGAGGGTTCGGGGAGTCCGCGCCGAGCGAGTTCGTCTGCAAGGTTGCGCGCAATATCGGCTATCTCGGTGGCGCGCCCGATGAGGTTGGAACGGTCCATGGTGGCAATCGTGGGGAGAGAAGGAGAATGACAATAGGAGAAGAACAAACAGCAGAAAAAGAAGAAATTCCAAAAGAAACTATCTTTCCATCCAGAGAAGAAGACCCAATTCTTATGCAACGGCCAGCTCTCCGAACGAGGGGGCATGGTTCTTGGCCCATCCTGATCTACTGCATTTTCTTTGTTTTCTTCCACATTGTCCTCTGGAGATACCCCCGAACCCAAGGCTCACCCAGAATACCATGGCTGCATGCCCTAAAAGGCGACTAATGCAACTAGTCAAAGCCCCTCACACTGCCAAGTCGACTCTTGCAACCTCGTCTTGATTGCTTTGGCTGAGTGGCTGCAGGCGACAGGGATCGGTTTGGCACGAGATACAGGAGGGGGCCTAACATGCCTGATTCCCCCAAGACACGCTTCGAATAAAGTGCTTGGCTGAACAGTCCAAAGCACCCACATAAGTCTTTGAATTTGACATGGGAAACAGAGCCCTTGTCCCGTTGATTAAAACAATATCCAGACTCCAATTGAAAATCAACGGACCAAATGAAAAAAAAAAGTGAGACACATTAGTTCCTAGAAGAACCCTGATCCTTTGCCCATACTATCGCGATGGCTCTTTCCCACACTGTTGTCAGACCATGTATCTCCCAACCCTGGTTTTTGAGCATGTGCTGTCAACTCCAGTTCCAGGTTGTCATTGACGCGGGTGTCCTGCTTCTGAGAGGCGAGTGTAGAGTACTGGCTGCTCTTGTGTCGCTGGCTGTTGATAGTAAGATGCTTCTTTGTAAACTGCGAGCAGGATTTGATGAAGGGTGGCACGAAGGGGAGAAGGCCGACCATCAGGACGAAGTCATTCTCGATGCGATTCCAGATGCCGAGTTGGGCGCAGAGATCTTTTCTTGTCAGCATTCGAGCCCATCCATGGATATGTAATACTCGAAAACGTACAGATGAGATCCAAAGGACCCGGGCCGTCGAGGAGGAAGGTCATATAGTAGAGCTTGATAATTGAGAAGACAAAAGCGCTGGTTTGGTTAGTGCTGCGGTATAAAGATCAATCAAAATTCTCCTACTTACACAAGCCCTAGTCCCATGAGTCCGATCGTGCTCATCTTTTTCCAGAGGGGCATCTGCAAACGCCAGACCACGATGGCCGGGTATACCGAAAAGGCAATGTTGATGAACGTCGAGATGCCAGATAACACGCAGGCATAGGTGATTTGGATCGAGCGAGGCCAGCATTGGGCCTGGGGATAGGTGAACGGATCCCACTGCCCCGCAACTGGATTGCACATTACCCAAGTAATGATGAACCCAACCACAGCCAGCACGTTGATAGTCACGCAGAGGATCCAAATGGAGATGCGCACCCAGAGCGCCGGGCGAAAGAGATGAGTGATGAGGATAGCCACGGCGACCTTGGGAAGTTCAATACTCAAAAATGACCAGTTGTTCATCATGATTGCCCAGAACGCAGCTTTGGGCACAGTGCCAGGCATATCATTTGGATCCAACTCTTTCGCCGAGTCCAGCGCTTTCTGAAAGATTGCCGCCTGTACGATGGCGAACACCCAAGCCAGCGTCAACATGAAGTCTTCGAAGTTGCGCGCCTGCTTTGGCAGCCGCCAACGCGCAAAGAGGCGCATCATAAACAGCGCCGTGCTGATACCTGCGAAGGGCCATGTTGCTGCTGAGGCAACATTGGCCCGGTGGTTCATCTGCTCTTGAGTGATCATGGTGAGGGATGTATGCAGAGAGAAGAGATACTGTTGGCAACGAATATGGTATTAGTGGGCAACAAGCTGCAGGTGCAGAATAGGACGCCTCGGCAACCTTTAGGGCCCGACATCCTTGCCAAAGTGGCGTGGTGGCTGCAAGTTATATCGGCCACCCTGCCAACAGGCTTCTTGGCCCCCCCTCCGATGCACAGCTCGGGCCCCACTGGCAATGCAACAATAGCAACTGAAGGCAAACACCTTGTAGCCGGCGGCAAGACTAATTGACGTGAGTCGATGCTATTCAAAGCCCACCAATCGTGCTGACGCTGAAGAGCCCGGGGGCCGGATCCTTCCTGTTTTTAGGGTCGGGTAAGTATGCCGCTTCACACTACGTTCCATCAGTTGCAGAGAAGAGAGGGGAAGATCCGAATCCCCCGTCCTGCAAATACATGTAGACACACGGCTGTCCATGCGTCAGAAATGCTTCTCTGGTCCTTCATGGACTTCCTGCAGAATTTGACACTTCACCCCCCCTGAACCATATATTGCCATATAGTGCACGCATCATGGCCCCCATTCCGCAATCTAATATCAGATCTTTATTAGATCAGTCGGCTAATCTGGCCGCGGGTATTATTGCGTACCCCGAGGGCGACCGTGCTCCCCCAGTTCGACTCAGCTATGCCCAGCTGCGCGACCTGGCTACCCAAAAAGCCGCTTGGCTGCGTGATCAAGAAGGATTCCGCCCCGGGGGTGTTACCCTGGTACATTTCCAGCGCCATCTGGATAATATAGCTTGGTTCTGGGCGAGTATTCTAGCCGGCAGTGTGCCTGCTCTGTCGCCTCCACTGGTCAACACCAGCGAAGGCCGTCGAGCTCATTTCAAGCATTTGCACCGGATGTTGCAGGATCCTCTAGTTGTCACTTCTCGAGATCTATTGAGCAGTCACTTTGGCGAAAATGTGGTATTGCGTGTTATTGCGGTGGAAGAGTGCGACAAGTCCGATTCAAGTGGAACGATATCGGGCAATGTCGAGGACAGCCCTAAGAGCGACGGCCCCACCAACGGTCTTCCCAACGGCGAGACTCTCTCCAGTGGCACCAGTGGAATCATCAGTGGGTTTGTTTCAGAGCTCGTCAAGGGAGCGTTCAATCGAGTGTTTCATGGATTTTTCGGCGGCAGTAGCCTCGACGGCGTGGCTGCCATAATGCTCACTTCTGGAAGCTCCGGTAACTCCAAGGCTGTGTGCCTGACGCACCAGCAGATGCTTGCTTCTATCCGCGGCAAATTGGTAGCAATGCCAGTGACCGAGGGCAGTGCCGTGCTGAACTGGATTGGGCTGGACCACGTCGCCAGTCTGATGGAAACACATCTTCTTTCCATGTATGCTGGCGTCGACCAGATCCAAATCCAAGCCGTCGAGGTGCTCAGCAATCCACTCCTATTCCTGCGGCTGCTGTCCCAGCACAGCGTCTCCATGACCTTTGCTCCGGATTTCTTCTTGCGCAAACTGCTGGCGACGCTGAATACAGCCTCCAAGGAGGATAAGCAAGGTATTGACCTGAGCCGTTTGTTATATCTTGTCTCAGGTGGCGAGCCAAATAACGTCGACACGGGCCTGCGAGTGACAGAGCATCTGCGCCAGCTAGGAGTTGTACCGTCCAACTTGATCACCCCAGGCTTTGGCATGACCGAGATTTGTGCCGGCGGCATCTACAACCGCCAATTTCCCGACATTGATTTCAAATCTCGGCGCGAAGCAGGTGCATTGGGCACCTGCATTCCTGGAATCGAGATGCGTTTGTCGCCAATTGATCATGATGCATCCACTCTGAATGGTCAAAACAACGGTACCACCAACAATGTGGGCATACTCGAAGTCCGCGGGCCCGTCGTGTTCTCGCGCTACTTCAACAATGACGAGGCTACGAAGACCGCATTCACAATAGATGGATGGTTCCAGACAGGGGACCTCGGTACCATCGATGCGCAAGGCCAGTTGAAACTGGAGGGACGACTCAAGGAGTTGATCAACATCAACTCGGTCAAGTACCTTCCATACGAGATTGAAGGCGCTATCGAGCAAGCGCGGATCCCCGGCGTGACACCCTCGTTTGTCGTGTGTTTCTCATACCGGCAGTCCGACACCAGTCCTGAGGAGATTTATGTCGTATACCAACACGACTATTCCCCTGACGACATTGAAGCACGCATGTCAACACTGCATGCGCTCATTCGCACCGTCGTGCTCTTTACCTCGGCGCGGCCACGTGTGCTTCCATTGCCTCCGGGCCACCTGGAAAAGACGACGCTAGGCAAGCTGTCGCGACCCAAGATCCAAGAAGCATTGGCGCAAGGCAAATACGAGGACCAGGAGGAAATCAACGAGCAGATCTTGAAAACCTACCGGGATTCCCACTTCTCAGCACCACGTAACCACACGGAGCACACACTCATGGCCGTGTTCAAGGAGACGCTGGGACTAGACATCGAAATGGATATTGACATGCCGATTCTGGACACGGGTATTAGCTCTGTGGACTTGATCCAACTAAAGCGGGCTGCAGAGATCACTTTCGAAATCAAGGACATTCCCATGATTACGATCATGACAAACACAACCATCCGGACGCTGGCTGCGGCCATTGAACAGTTCAATAACTCGACCCATACGGGCGAGTACCAAGCAATCGTAACGCTGCAGCCGCACGGCACCAAGACGCCACTCTGGCTGTTCCATCCGGGCGTTGGCGAGATTCTCATCTTCCTGGCACTGGCACAACACTTCCCAGACCGGCCCATATACGCAATGCGACCGCGCGGGTTCAACCCAGGTGAGGAAACTTTCAAGAACCTGGACGATCTCCTCACAGAATACTACAGCGCCCTGAAGCAACAACAGCCTGAAGGACCCTATGCCATGGCGGGATACTCATACGGCGGCATGGTCGCCTTTGAGATCGCTAAAAAACTGGAGGCCGATGGCGACTCGGTCAAATTCCTGGGCAGCTTTGACCTGCCACCTCACATCAAAGACGTCATGAAACGACTTGACTGGACAGGGTGTCTGCTGCACGTCGCATTCTTCTGTGGCATCATCGAAGAAGACCGGTCTGAGGAAATGGTGCCCGAGCTACGCCCACTTCCGCAGTCAGAGCAGCTGGCGCTGGTGATGGCTGAGGCAGAGCCAGTGCGCACAGCTGAGCTGGGTTTGACGCTGGCTGGGCTGCATACCTGGACGGACGTCACTTTCTCTCTGGCAAGTATTGGCTGTCATTATGATCCGTCGGGCTCGGTGTCGTCGATGGATGTTTTCTTCTGTGATCCCTTGCGGGGCGTAGCGAAGTCGCGTCATGAGTATCGCTATACGCAGCTCAATCGCTGGGAGAGCTTTGTGAGCGATGATCTCAAGTTCCATGAGGTGGATGGCGCGCATTATACGATGATCTCGCCAGAGCGGGTGCCGAAGTTCCAGCAGACGTTGAAGAATGTGCTTGCAGCGAGAGGGATATAATGGCTTGTTTGGTTTTGGTTCTTGGATGAGGTTAGGTAGAGGGAGATAGATCTCTCTTTCTTGTGCCACATGGTTTGAGCCCTTGTACGGCATTGCTCATTTCAGTTTCTTTTTTTTTTCACCCCCTAAGACCCCTTGGTCACTATTTTAAGGCATTTTCTCTTTCAATAGAATACCCTTTCACCTGCCATCTTTTTATCAAGTGGAAGATCTACAACAGTGGAGCCTCCCTAGATCTGATCTATGGATCTGCATCCTTTGCACATAGGGATGGAAATCTAGCTAGCTATAGTATCAGATCTAGCATGTAATCAAAAGAACTAAATATACATGTTTTGAAATTATTCCAAGAAAAAAAGTTAAAGCTTCTATATAGAATTCGAACTAATAAACAAATTAATATAGACAAAGGACCCCGATATCAATAGAGAAGTATGTCAAACCACTAATCAGCTAGATCTATCGAGGTAGATATAAAGAACACATTTCGCTCAAGCCAAACTGCTAATCTGAACGTTCTTGAAACCGCCACTGCCATGGCTTCCATACAAACCAGCCAACCCACTCTTCAGTCCATCATCCAAAGCCGTAACAGTGGTCTTTGCCTTCCCACGCTCACTCAGTGTGACGGTGATCTTGGTCGACTTCACAGAAATGGACAGGCGATAAGGCTTGTTTGCTTTGATACCACCAGAATGCGCCTCCGACTTCAAAGTCGTAGTCTTGTCCGCTACTCGGTAGACCGTGACCTTGCCGCTGCTGCTGTCGATCGCAGCCATGTACCTCGTCATTGTATTGGGAGCACTCTTCGATGCAGATGCCCGTGCCACCAGGCCAACCTCACCCGACCTGCTCGTAATGACCACATCGGCACTGACCTCGTAGTCTGTCCATCCAGACGACCCGGTGATGACGAGCGTTGTTGAGCTGGGCACTGACGCAAAGCTGTACTGGCCGTCGGCGATCGACCAGGCCCCATCAAAGTCGATCCATCCCGCCTGGCCGAGGCCGGAGAAGTCGGACTTGTATGGGAGGCTCGCAATGGGCGCAGCACCGGTTCGCAGAATGCAATGCGACTTCTTGTCGTTGCTGTCTATGCTCGCTTCGGCTGTATATAACAATGTCCCGTTGGGTAGGAGCAGGATATTAGGACTGTAGTTGGAGCCACATACATCTGTGGCCTTGGGCACGGTCCAGGGAGATGGAGCCCATGACCAGCCGCCCTTGCCATGGTCGCTGTTGACAAAGACAATGCGATTGTTCTCGGGGGCATTCGTCTTCGTATCGTTCTTCCACCGCTTGAGACTGCTAGACACAATCACCTTCTTCTCTGTCGGGTCCCAGATAGTATAAGGGCTCCCGAACGTCTGGATCCCGTCGGTCGTGGAGATCACCGTGCCAGCATCGTTCTTCCTCCACGACACCCCGTCTGCTGACGTTTTCACATGAATGGGGCATGGGTCGGAATTCATCTTGCCAGTTTTGGGGTCTCCAATGCACCACTCATAGCTCATGATGAATTCCCCGTTGTCCATCTTCGCGACCGTCGCCATGCCCGGTCGATCGACGAAGCGTGAACCAACGACAACCCCCTCGGAATCGTTCCAGGTTGTCCCTCCATCGTCAGAGGTGATACTCGACAGCTTCTGAGCATGGTCGGAGTCTCTCTGGTCGGAGAATACCGTCACAATCTTCCCCTTGCTATCCAAGTAAACAAACGGCTCCCAGATCTGACCCTTCCCCGATCCATGCAGAACTTTCCCCACGATGTTCCATGTCTTCCCATGATCCGTCGACCGCCAGGAGACGAAATCTGTGTTCGAATTCTTGACCAGATTGCCAACAAGCAGCAGCGTGCCCTTGGGATACTTGCCCAGCTGTTGTGGGAACTCAAACAGGAAGGGCTGCCAGAATAAAGTGGCCGGGTGACCGGTGCCCTTTAATGGGTCTGAGATCGTTGTCAGAGTATCCCATGTCGTTCCGTTGTCACCACTTTTGCGGATAATGTAGTGAGATGCAGTCCCGTTAGTGGCTCTTGAGTCTCCTTTCGTGTACCAGTGCTCCCAGATGGCTAGTAGATTGCCGTTGGATTTGCCAGCGTGCTGCAATTGAATTACCCGCGAGTAGCCGTTTCCCTCGTTCGGGACTTTATGAGGCCAGATGACTATACCATCGGAGTCGGCGAGGGTTGACTGGGTAAAGAAGAGTGCAGCTAGAGGCAGGACCGCCTGAGTTGCGAAGGTGCTGAGCTTGACCATAGTGTTTGACAGGCAAATAAAGACAAGAAAAGAAAACAGGGTGAGAGTAAGAATAAGAATACACCAAGCCCATTTATATCCTCAGCTCGGCATGTTAGGCGTCCCAGCATAGTGCTAGAATAGGCCAAGATCGCCAAGCAACTGCTAAGCCCTGGAACCTGCTGAAGATCTTGCGGGTTTTACGGATATGTCTACTGTATAACTCTATGAGGCGCCCTGCAAGTGAAGACTGTCAATGAGACATCGCGATTCTTAGTTTAGGCAACATAAATCTACATGTTTAAGGCCATGAGGTCTTCCCCGGTGAGTCATGAAATCGAGCACGTTAATTCCGACCCGATGTTATAGAACGCGAAATCGATCAAGTAATTCTACTTACTTGATGGTACTCTTATGTCTCTTGTGTCTGCGGCTTTGGAACTGCTCAAGTGAGTCAACCTGGCGTTCATAGTAGGTTTTGGATAGTAAAAAGGTCAGTCACAGTAAAGATGCTCGGGGTTAAGAGTTTTCTTTGTGAGGGCAAGGGTTGAGCCTGGATGGAATTAAAGCTATTGAAAGTCGAATTCAACATTAGATCGACACCTTTTGCCCAAGAAAATGAAGTGGTAATGCGAAGTATCAACGCCTAGGACTATAGGCATGTACAGGGACGTTGAGCCACATTAGCTTTGAGATATTTTCAAAAGAGCACCAGACCGACAAGCTGGAAAACTTATCCAGCTTCGTCCTTAAGTGAGATCAATGAGAATATTAAAAGGATCTTCCTTTCCCTTTCTGACATAGAAAGTACTCACAGTTCCGCCCACACAACCATATTGGATGGATTTCTTTGTTCCTATTTTTTCTATTTAATTGTGGGGCGCTTTTCCCCATTGAAGTTCCTCTATTCATGGCATTATGAACAATGCCAGAAGCTGTGGATATCCCACCTTTAAAGCGGTGATCACATGACCCTATGAGGTTTGGAACGACTGGGGAGAAAAAAGAGTCACAAGCAACGCGGGTGTCGGCAGTCTTCCCTAGCCTGTCGCATGAACCAGGGCTGAGTGATTTGCTTACCTTTCAACAAAGAAGAGTTCGGAGATCTTCTCTTTCAAACCTGCTTTGCTCAACCCTTCCTCGATCTCCCCACCGCGGGGCTTCCTCATCGATTCGATCCGAAGTCGAGCCAGCAATGCCGCACTTTCCTGTGCCTGCGACAGGCTTCCAGGCCCTCATTCTATGTGGGCCTGGGGTGTCGCTCAATACATTTACCTCCAATTCTGAGGAATATCCCAAATGTCTTCTGCCGGTTGCGAATCGGCCGATGGTCTTCTACGCGATGGACTTTTGCAGGCGATCGGGGATCACCGGTATGTTTCTTGAAGTCCTATGGGTCTAACACTCTAGAAAAGAACTTTCACTAACTATCCTAGATATCACATTGATCACACCTCCGTCCTCTCTTGCTCCGCTCCAAGCCGCCCTAAAACAAAATCCGCATCTCACATCATTTCCTTCGCCTTCGGCCTCAGTCGTTGCCCCGAAAGACCTCGAGATGACAATGGGAACTGCGCAGCTACTGCGCCTACCGGAAGTTCAGGATTGCATCAAGACCAATTTCCTGCTGCTTCCCTGTGACCTGGTTTGCGAAATCCCCGGGGAATCGATTCTGGAGGCCTGGATGGTGACGCAGACCGTTCCCGAGGATAGTCCCACACGAGGCGGTCTGGCCGTGTATTATCAGACACAGGATCGAGAGGACAGTGTGAAGAACGAGGCCACCGATTTGGTGGCTGTCACCCCGCTCCAGCAAGATGAGGCACCGGCAGTATCACATCTAGTAGACGGGCCGGCATCGCTACGATTTAGCCTCTCGAAACTGGCCATGTCCATGCCGATGGACACCGTCAAGGAGAAAATGGAGCAGGACAAGGGTTTCCTCGTTCGCCATTCGTTGGTCCAAAAACACGCCAACCTAAAGATGCTGATGAAGCACCGCGATGCGCATCTGTATGTGTTCCCAACTTGGGTCAAGGATCTGGCTCGTCGCCAGGAGAAGCTTGATTCCGTGAGCGAGGATCTGGTCGGGTACTGGGCCAAGGCCGGGTGGCAGAAGGGCCTAGACGAGAAACTGGGCATCCCTCAACTGTTCCACCAGGACAGCCGCCAACGCCAGGAAGGGGAATCCGCAGAAGAAGAGATCGATCTGCAGAGCATGAGCACCAGCAAGGCGGGCTCAAACACCGAACTCCCTTCTTCCTCTTCCACCCAGACCCGGCTATCGGAGCACAATCTCTCCGCTCCGGTCCCCAGATCCACTAAACTTCCCCAAATCCTCGCCTACGTCCACCGCGGCTCGACCCCGTTCCTCCGCCGCGTCGATAGCTCCGCCCTCCTACTCTCGACCTCTCTTCTTCTCGCGAAACTCGAGTCCATCGAGGAAGTCGGCCGCGAAGCCGCCTCGCCCTTCGCCCACCCCCACAAAATCGCATACCCGGAGGGCGTGGCGCAGCGCTGCACCATCACCAAGAGCGACTGTCTCCTCGCCGAAAACGTGACCGTCGAGCCGACTTGCGTGATCAAGGAGAGTGTCATTGGCTCCAACTGCCAGATATCACGCGGCGCTCGGCTCACGCGCTGTGTCTTAATGGACTGGGCTGTTGTCGAGCCCGGTGCGAAATTGACCGGGTGCATTGTTGGTCGGCGCGCGAAGATCGGTCGTGATTGTGTCTTGACGGACTGTGAGGTGCAGGATGCGAATGTTGTTGCGGAAAAGACGCAGGCTAAGAAGGAAAACTTTATGGTCTTCGAGGGTCTGGACGAGGATGAGGAAGGAGGCAGGTATATGAGTGTTGCCGAGTCGGATGATTAGATTCACGGGGATGTCGGCGTCGGGGAGAAAATATCCAATTTAGAAGACCCATGCCCTATTTCAGGCTTACAAAATCATACAGCATACAGCATTGCAGTGGTTCCCCGAGTATTTAGGGAGCTGCCTATGATGAACAGTTCCTTGTCTACCGCAGACCATACCCGTGGACATCAAACTCAAACTCGGATTGGGGATATAGCGCCACAATAACTAAAGCAAACAAGCAGAGCGCCTTCCATGTGTATCCCTCGAATCCCAAAGAAACCCCAATTCAATGCCGATGCCCAAAACCATCTCCAAGCCTCCAAGATGCATGCGGGAATCAACGCCCAGCGTTCTAGCAAACCATCCTAGCCATCATAACGAGCCCAGCCTGGGGCAGTAGCTTAAAACCAAACAAACCCAACAAAAAGCAGCAACAGATCACTTCAACCCAAATCCTTCGCTGTTCACAACTGCATCCCAGAGCAGCTTTTGTAGCTTTTCCTGCGTCGCATAGCGGTACAGGCCCAGCGTGTTGAAACACGTTCGCGCGATTGGGTAACGGGAGGAATCATCTCCAAAGCAGGCCAGTCGAATGGTGAGGCTTGTAGCCCCCATGGCGGGAATCCGATCGCTGCCGGTAATGAACGAGAGGATTTTGCGCTGCGCCTGAGGGGGTGAGTTCTCGAAGAAATCCCAAAACCATCGCACCACGGGCACGGACTCTGGCCGTGCACTAGACCAGTTATCGTAGGTGGCCACGGCCCGCAGTGAAGGCACATCAAGTGCTTCATCTGAGCCACGTACCAGCAACTCGATCTCCTCCGGTCGGAATAAAGACAAGGCATTGCCTCCGCAAACCGTGAAGAATCCTCTCTTGAACGGCTCAAATTGCCGGGCCACAGCCGTGTCCAGGAGATAGTGCACGTACAGATCCACAAACTCGCGCCGGTTGGCATTGGTCACTGGCCTCGTTTCGCCTCCTGGGCAAAGAGGAACATTGACAATCTCACCATACCGATCAACCTGAGCAACAAAATCATAGCAAAATGTTTCGGCGACATCACCATCGAATTCCAACAACCCTCGAAGTCCCTTGGCAAGGGCAGGTCGATACTCGGCCAGGTCGTCCAGAGTACACTTGAAGCTCGAGCGGGAGGAGGTGGCTGGCTGCGGCCCATTAGTTTGCGGGGCAGACGCCAATAGCTTTTTGAATGCGAATGGCGGGAGATCAATGTCAAGGATAGTCGAGTTATAAATAGCAAGTCCTAGTAAAACCCCAACCAAAAAAAACTGCTCGGATGACTCGAAGCAATGCGGATTGAAATAGCAAAACTGAGAGTCCTCATCGTAAATGAAAAGGCCTATCTTCTCTTAGTAACTGGACTCGATTTCTTGGGATTCCAAGTCGACTCACCATGATACGGGTCAAAGACCTCTCGGACGAGTAGAAGGAACCACTCCTTTCGCAGGCCACCAGCATCAATACCCTCCTCTCCGGTGAATTCAATGCGGAGGCCTTTCTTGATTTCTTCTTGCCCGGAGCCCACAACTTCACTGACCCCACGAAGGCTGTCCTCGACCAGGCATTCTCGCCGTACCTTCAACACGAGATACTGACTGACCGCCCGGTGATTGAGAATGCTATTGAAAAAGGCTTCGCGCGCTTTGACCTCCATTTGGCGACGTGCATCGTGTTCCAGGATGTGTATCTTTGCCCAGATACTGAGAAAGAATGGATATTGGCAAAACGAGAACTTCGAACTTCGAGACTCCCAGATCTCGAAATCGGCGAGCAGGTCTGAATAATCCAACAGGGTGTTATAGAATGAGCTGATTGGAATCATGTGTCCTTGATGATGTGATGTCCTCGGGGCTCTGGAGGCCTCGTCCGGCTTCCGCGAGAATGCAGCGTTGTTGGCCGTGAAAAGTAAGGACATAATCCTGGCCGCCGCTCGTATCTGCCAGTCCTCTGTGTACACCATAGGAAATTCCTTCTTCTTGGCAGGTTGCTTGTTCGGACTTCGACGATTGATCGCCGCGTGAAGCTCCGCAGGGGTATTTCCTGAAGCACTGGCAAAGCTCGGGACTAATTCGTCCCCATCCTTTGACACTTGATTGCGTTTGCGACCATGCTGACGGGTCAACCGGTAGTTGAGAAATCCACCAATCAGTTCCACCAGTCGCTGGAATTGTCCAGGTGAGAATCGGGAGAACCAAGACACAAAATAATGATGGCAGTCATTTGGCAAATTCGACATCAAGCCCAAAATTCGCTTGATAAGTCCATAATGGTGGCTCGAGCTACCGTGGTGGGAGGCAGATGCGGAATGGTCCTTATGAGACTTACCGTCTCTACCCATCGGTTGCCCGTTGTCTTTTGGGTTTGAGGGGCGCCTCTCGTTTCGGTGGGACGATGAGTTTGATGAAAGCGAAGCATAAGATGTAGGCGAGTACAAGATGGGGTTCGCCAAGAGGATGAAAAGAAACCGAGTATCCTCTGGTTTGCTCAAAACACGCCGTGGGCGCTTCAAGAGGTTTTCGGTGGCCTTCAACAAAGTCTTCTGGAGATGCACACGAGCGTCGGAGATCTCTCTTTCAATCACTGAAGGATCAATAGACTCCCACCTCTTACATCGAGCCATATCCGCCTCTGAGCGCAGAGCATCAGGCTTTTTGGCCGCCCATTGCTCCATCCAGGCAGTTCCCGCAGTCAAGACTAGCTGGTACCATTGAGAAAGCTCGGCCCAATTAATTCGAGGGCTTCGAGATGAAACCATACGAGACCTGAGTGAACTCTTCTCCTTGGGCTGAGTGGGCTGTCGACCCTCATCCTGGGCACAGTCGTTCATCCACCAAGCCGAATTCTCGGCCAAATCTCCCAGAAGAAGCGTTTTCGCGTCAGGTTCAAACACGGGAGCATTCAAGGACGGCCCTAGCGCTGCGGTTGGGTCTACCTTCATCCTCGGTGGATTGCCATTGCTGACTGATCGTATCGAAGGCTGGTAGGTGCTGAAGGAGTCGTTGAGGCAATCGCAGCTTTTGAAGGTAGCTATTATGTGATTCTCTAGCCGCTTGAAGATCGATGGCCGATGCTCGCGATGTTTATTCTCGGTATCCGCATGCCGCGGGAGGTCTGGAGGGCGGTCCATTTTCGACTTTGATTGCACATCTGAATTGGCACGGGTCCTGACCGGCGTATCTGTGCCCTGCCAGTGAGCAGTTTGTGGTGTCAAATATGCCGAGTTCTCTTTCGATGCATCAAATTTCTCCCGCTCACTGGACGCGGATGCACTTCGGGCACGGGGGTCGCCCGCTCGTGGGACAGACAAATAAGTTGCACTGGGACTATGAGCTGACAAGGAGGGGCCTTCAGGCCTCGCATCACGGGACCTGCCAGCACGATCCTCGTCCGGCGATGACCCTGGGTGAGGGGTATTGAGAAGGCTATCAAAATACATTGAAAGGGATCCACCGATCATGCCACGAGTTTGAACGACTGACAGAGGAAGAACTGGGGGGGCAGTCAGTACATTTTCTATCAGCCAAATTCCAGGGCCATGGTACAGTACCTTTGCTTGTTGAGTTAGTCGCCGATGGTTGGGAACCTGGTGGGGGGTGATCAAGACTGGGATCACTTGGGTCTTTGGCGTCCCTGGCAGTGTCGGGGTCAAGGTCCGTAACCATCAAACAAGAAGTGCATCGAAACACCTTCAAATGGCGAGGCCATCGAACCGTCGAGTTGCAAGTTTGACAACGTCCCTCGGCGAGATCATTGCCTGGTCCTCCGCGCGACGGTCCTTTCCGTGGACTTGTCGACAAAGGCTCCAAGGGGTAGGTGACTTCATCTTCGTCGGAGTCAGAGTCCCAGATTTGGTACTTGGCAGATGCTTTATCACGCTTCTTCCCTAGTCCGGAGAACGGGGAGATAAACGGGTGACTGATTGAACGGTTGTGTCCCCGGCGATACGGGATAGCGGGCGTACTGCCATTTATTGGACTCATTTTGGAACCATCACGGGGTTGGAATGGGCGTCGTGGGCTGCTTTCTGGTGCGGGAATCGACGACGAATCAAGAGGAATGGCTGCGAGGCCGGTGTTCGAGATCGGAATAGGTGGGTTACGTCCGGACCGAGGGGGCATAGAGGCGCATCAGCTCGACTAGGCGTAGCGTGAAGACCAGAAACAACCACTCCAGACAATCATCCAACGTTTATCGGTTCAGCCTTCGTGCTGGAAGCATGCGATTCAGCAGTGAGAGATCACAAATAGAGCAAGGCGGTCGAGTCGGTCGAGTAAAGCGAGTTTCTTTGTTCAAGTCAAGGAAGGGTTGCCCTGCAAGTCAGCACAGTTCAGGTGAGCAAGCCGAAGGGCCAAGACGGCGAAAATGGGATACCCGCTCCAAAAACCGGTTGAACGTAGGGTGTCAGTGAGAAGAGCGTCGCAACAATTCCCATAGTCGCCGTGGACGCATTAGGAAAGGGCCGGAGGGGAAGTAGCAGCCTTGTTGGTGCCTCAGGCAGAGGTCTGACGTTGCTTCGATTTGCACCTGGAAACAACAACCTTGCGGAATTCTGCCTACATCCATGGACTGAAGCAGAGTACTACAGGCTCTTTCACTATGGATACTAAGAACAGCGGTGGAACCATCACCACGCTACGGCTGAGACTACTTCTACACGTCGCACCAGCGGCTTCGAGTGGAACCAGTCATACTTCGTTAATAGGGGAATTCAACATAGAACAAGATGGCTTTTTGGCTAATTGCAGAGCCGACCGGTCTGCATTAAGCTCGACCCCAGCGTGGATACCATGCTCCAGACGAGTATTGTTTGAATAAATAACCACATGCCGTAGCCAACAGCTTCCAAACCATAGCACCGCACAAATGCGTCAGCGCACTTAACGGTATCTCCAGAACTTCTGGGTGTTCTGGCGCTTCCAGGTGTGGCGGCGGCCGGCCTTGGTGTTGTTGTAGCGGTGGCCCTTGTTGATACCACGGGACTTCTTGCCGCTGGCAGTGAGACCACGGCTCTCGCGGTGCTAATTGAAACAAAATCATCAGTATAATGCGGAGATGAGTAGTAGAGTGGATATGAGACGAAACTCACCTTGTGGACGGGGTTGCAGATCCAGTTGATGCGAGCATCGCGGCGGATGGCCTTGTGCTGGGGGTCGACGAGGATGACCTCGAAGTACTTGTAGGTCGAGTCCTGGTTGACCCAGTAGGAGTTCAGAACGCGCAGGTTGGCGCAGCGGCGGCCAACACGCTCCTCAGCGGTGGCGCTCAGAGCACGCTGGTACTTGAGCTGGTTGACACCATGGTTGGTGGGCTTGCCTGTTCAAACGGTCGCATATTAGCCCAATGGTTCTTCATAGGAATCATCCAAGTTTTTTCAAGGTTCTCGTACCGTAGGTGGCACCCTTAGGCACAGGGCGCTTGCGGCCACCGCGGCGGACACGGATGCGGTAGACAACGTAGCCCTGCTTGGCCTTGTAGCCGAGACGACGAGCCTTGTCGGGGCGAGAGGGGCGCGAAGCACGGTGGATGGCGTTCAGCTGACGGAGCTATATTGATGCACTCTCAGCAAAGTTCAACGAGTGTATAGCAAGACACAAGACTCCAAAGAGTCTCTTGCGTGCCACAATCATTTCCGCCGACGAATATTCGTTCGAGCCCAGCAACACCGTGAAATCGGCATTTCCTACGGCAACGCACACAAGCGCTCGGCGGAGATGTTAGGCAATCGAGGGTCGGGGTTTATCTCACCTCCCAGCATCGGACGCGCAGCAGGAAGCGAATCACGTCGGACTGCTTCTTCTTCTGGATCTCTTCCACGTACTTGAGGGCACCCATCTGGACAATTACAAGTCAGTTGACTGAAGAGAATAGATGCAGGTCGTATAAATGTCGACTGTAGCAAGGATGGCGAGGAAAGCGTACCTTGTCGGCTTCACAGGGTCGTTGGTCGTTGTCGCGAAAAGTTCGAGGAGGGAAGAACAGAAGCAAAGATTGTGTGTGGGACGCTAGCGATTAGCCGAGTGTGGCCCCACTTGGCCAATCACGAGTGTTGGTGCCTCAGGCGTTGAGGCCACGTTAGTTATTTTATGCCTTAATTAGTTGCCTTAGGCGTTTGACAAACGATCGTTGTCCTGATCATCATAACAATATTACTCGAATGCGATTGATTATTGCTCTATGTATTATTTACAATCCCGAATGAAGGCTATTCTTCCTTGACGCTAGCGAGAGTGCCTCTCCGCACGCTCTCGCTGCACCATATCATTTGTCACCGCAATCTGGTATGACCCGGGCGGCAACACGCTCTTCTTACACAAAGGACACAGACTGCTATTCTCCATGAGGAACGGGTCGATACAACCTGGATCAAATATGTGGCCGCATGGTAGTTCGCGGACCGTTGACGACCCGGTCACATAATCGTCGAGGCAGATGGCACAGGTCGTTTGAGTATGACTTAGTCGATACTGCTTGGTGAGAACTTCCGAGTGGTCACTGGCGCGAGAACTGAGCACTGCGGCTTCGGGCATTTGAATTTTCACGTCATTTGCAAGATCGCAGTGTTCTTCGTCGAGGGACGGTGTGCTGGACTTGCTATGGACATCAAGTTCCGCCACCTTGGCCTGCGTCTCATCGCTGGCAAGCGTTGCTTCGGAGGGCGAAGTGATGGCGGGAAAGGTATACAAAGGCATTTTTTCCACAACATCTCGGGGCACTTTAATCTGGTGCATTGCCAAGTGCTCAACGTCGACTTCACCTGCTTCGATGCGTCTGTGGAGATGTTCTCGTCGTCTCCGTTGCACGATCCGGTACACAATCAGCAGGATGAAGCTGAGAGCTAAAACAGTCCCCAGTATCGCCATGACGAAGCCCCAGAGGCTCGGTGACGAACTAGTTTGCTTCTCTATGACCAATTAGTACATTGGCCGATGGCAACGCAATTCAACAACGATCATGGCTTACCGGTGTCAATCATAGTGAATAACCTCTCACTCCTGGACTGTGCGAGCGATGGATGGGTTTCATTTTCATTCTTGGCCTTTGGGCTGCCTTCCGAGAACCATGAGAGGTCACGCATCAGTGTCGTGCCCGCCCGGCCAGGGATCGCATAAACTGGGTAGTCATTATCGGTTTTCCACCGGCCTCCGTCATTCAACTCCCAGCGAGGGTCACTTGGTGGAGGAGGTATCCCAGTCTCGTCATTGGATGGCTGGAAGAAAACGAGGGCTTCCGTGCCAACCTCCCGCGAGGCGTCCAGGAATGATCGAGTACAATCAGCGGACACCCACGGGGCAATGCCGACAATAGGGTATCCAAATTCCGAGACGTCCTTGTGGCGTGTCACATTGGCCGGTACGAAAGGGTCGGTGATCTTGTTACAGGGATCTCCAGACTTCAGACTTGGTACAAACAAGAGGCCTGAGACAGAACCGGACTCGGGGACATTGTTACTCGACAATGTCTGGACCGTGCGATCGAGGACGAAGCGGAATCCAACATTTTCCTGAATATTTTTGGTGTCTGATGAGTGTTCGGCTTCCCACATTAGGCTGGTCAAAATATACTCACACTGACTGATGGACCGGAGTTGGCTGCCTTGCCCGGGCCCGCAAAGAGCGTGGCAACCGTGGTGCGCGAATCAGATGGGGTAGTGCGAGACATAGCTCAACAATGTCTCATAGTATGTTGAATTTCTGGCTTGTCGTAGTAGACTTGCGGGACCGTTGGATTGTGATCACCAGTGGTAGGCACATACACATGGTGAGGTTGAAGGCTGAGAAGGAAAAGGTCAACAAGGTGACGAGTTTATGGATTTAGTAGAAGCTTGAAACAAAAACAATCTATTTGATTGCAGCCAGAAAGTACGATAAGCATGCTTCCAATATCTAATTTAGCATCAATTTCGGCCGAAGGAATGTGCGAGTTAATCGGGACCGTCATAAGAATGCAAAATGAAGCTGGTTCCGACGAGATAAAACTTTCCAAGGTCTTCACATGGGTTTCTAGGAAAACAAAACATTGAGTGCTGCCGCAATCGCTCAAGTTCGAGAATTGCATGGTTTATAGTTGACCGGATAGGGCTTGCCGTTTGCGGAAGGCGACGGTTCCGGAAGTTGATCTACTGCCAAGAGGAGTATATCGTGGCATCGTTTTGGGGGGCAAGGGGGGGGGGGACTATAGCTTTGAGAATCGATATTATTAACTTCTTTATTATTCACTCTGCGGGGTTTGAAAATAAATCTTGTTGGCGCGAAAAACTTCACAGTACGAGAGATATATAGATGGTTGTCATCGTGGTAAGGCTGGCGTTCTCAACAGCAGAACACCCAAATAAAGTATGCTTGTCGGGGATTGGAAATAAGAGTAATATATACAGCACAAAATATCTCTATTTGTTTACCTATCATAATATTACGCGAATGATCAGACATCTCAACTCTCGTTCACAGATCTTCCGACCTGTACCACGTGATGATAAAACAACACTAGTCACGTGCGAGATGCAATATCCCCAGACTTCACTGTGCCGACGTCCCGACCATCTCGAACGCCATCGATAGCGACAATTCATCTCGGACCATCGATATCAGTCTGTCGGCGCGCCTTGTCGCATGAAGTGGAGCTCAAGGGCCTGTTTCTCCCGTGTCAGTGATCGTAACTCGGAAGATCTCTTGGACAGCATGCCCTGCTCAAATTGAATCGCGCCCAAAACCCCTCTATCCGTTGATTGAAATCGTCCCGAACACCCCGACCTCTCCCTGTCACCTCGAGTTGGACTTAGGAGAAATGCCTTCTGCCTACAAAAGCAAGGGCAAAGGCCGCGATGCGCGCCAGTCGCGCAGTCGCAACACCACACCATCCAACGCGATCAGCACTCCCGTGGTTTCAATTCCACCTCTTCCGAGCTATCTTGAAAACGATGTAAGCAAGCTTATTGATCTGGCCAATGGCCGGTACACGGACTTGCTAGACCTCGTGGCCGGGCCCAACATCCCCGACTCTAAGACCCTCGAAACCCTGGTGGAGCACCTCAAAAGTCTCAGTGACATGGCCGATGCTCGCGGAGAAGCTTGCAATGCTGGGATGCGAGAAATGTCCCAGAAACGCAAAGAGGTGGTAGAGGATCATGAGTTAGATCGTGAGGTGGGGGATCGCGCAAAGCTCAAGCGGGAGACCGAGGAAGATGATGATCAGGTACACAAGGGTGTCAAGTTTAAGAAGCGTAAAGAGCGCGCAAGTGCAAAGGAGGAAAGGCCATTGAATCGTGGCGCACATGATGTCGCTCGTCAAGATGGGGCAGAAACTAAGGTTGAAGGAGGTAAGTGACTCGATTCGACGCCCACCACCTTTCTTCTGCCCATTGCTTCACTTCCCACCTCACTTTTCTGTCTCTACTTGCAACTCTCCACTGCTCAACCAAGTTACTGACCAGACCCAGCGGCCTCCCCAGCATCCAAAAACTCGAAGAACGCAGCTTCAGACGACAGTTCCTCCCTTTCACCTCCATCCATGCTATCTCCTAACGGCGCTTCGGCTGCAGCCGATGGTGCCGCTGCGCCTGGATCTCCCGAGTCGGAGAGTGCGGAGTCTCATCAGCCTGAGCCCCAACCTGCGGTACCCCAGATTCAGGTGTTCGGTGACAACCCGCTCAAGTTTGATGATCCGACCATATACCACATTCGAGACGTCCATCCGGACATGACCGACGACGAAAAGAAAGAAATTTACAGCGTTGCTCGTTTCCCCAAAAGTGACCTTAGCCACATGATGGCTGGTGTGGCCCCGGACAAGGACTTCAGCAACGCCAAGCCTTCGAACCAGGTCAGCGCCAACACCTTCCAGGCATACATTGACCCGTATGTGCGGCCTCTTGTTGAAGAGGACATTTCCTGGTTAAGAGATAGAGTGAGTTCTATGTGGCACCTTGGGGGAGTTCAATACATTAACAAGCCACAGGGTGATCGTGTGACCCCGTTCATAATTCCACGCCGCGGAAAGAAAAACTACCGGCAGATTTGGGCGGATGAGGATGGACTTGCTTATGATCAGAGCCAAGACGACAAAGACCAGTTCCCTTTGAACCAAGGCCGTGGCAGCATCGACCAGCTAACCGACGACAAACTCGAGTCCAATGAGATTTCGATTGGACCACTCCTCAGTCGGCTGTGTTCTCTCCTGCGCTACGAGCACCGCACCCTTCCCGAGGACAATTCCCAGTCTATAAATGGCGAGACAAATACCGAGACAAATGGCTTGGGCGGAGACGCAATGGACATCGACCAACCCAACGGCGATATGGAAACCAAGCCTGAGAATAAACCCCAGCCACCCGCGACAGCCTTCCGAGACGCATCCCCGAGCGGATTCAAGACATCAGTCGCCAAACTCGACCACGCGCAGCTCGACGAGCGCGTCAAGGCCGAGCTTCGCTACATTGGGTTCTTCGGGCCCGACGACAACCCGGATTACGACGCGCACTACGACGATGAAGTCGCCGAGCGCCTCCGACTGCTACAGGGCGAGCTCAAGAAACAGATTATCACCAACAACGCCCGCAAGGCGCGCATTATGAAGGTCGCCCAGGAGCACATGGCCTTGCTGGAATTCACCACCATCCAAGACGACCTCGATACCCAGGTTCAGCAGGCCTACCTCAAGCGTACCCGCACCATGGGCAAGAGCAAGAAGGGCGCACAGGCGAAGCAGCGGCCCGGCGTCGCCACAGTGACCGGAGCAGGTACAGGCGTTTCTCGTCCTGCTGTCGGAGACGCCGCTAAGATCGTCATGGATCGCCGCAAGCGCTGGAACGATGCCTTCTTGCCCATCTTCGACGATATCAAAACCACTATTCCGTCCGAGGGCGAGACTATCTTCGACCCGGCAACTATGACCGAGTACGAGAAGGCCGAGCTCGAAGCCTGGGATGAAGAATAGATCACCCTCCGTCATTTTCTCTATCTCCTCTGTCCTCCCCTCTGCTCAAACCTGTTGCTGTATGACTTGTGTTTTTCTTTCCTGGCTGTATCTCTCAGCGGCAGCCTGCTTTTCTCTTTTTCTGTTTCACACGATACGATACGACTGGAATGATGACCCGGCGTTAGTGGCTTAGCGTTGTGTTTCTACTTTCAAAGATTCAGAACCCCCGGCGTGGAAGTTGCTGGGAACAAAATGATGAATTTTCTTGATCGGGAGCCTAGGGCATGGATTGTCTTCGTAGGGGGCGGCTTTGATTTGTTTTATTGCAAGATATCAAGGATCTAGCGGAGTAGAAATGACCACACTGTACTTTGACACTTGTTTCCTGTCCAGCCTCTCAAGTATATTCGTTCCAGCCATAGCCATTGCAAAGATTTCCAGTTACTAGTGCAGTTTATCATTAAGATCGAAAGTAGCAAGCTTAGAAATATCAACAGGGTATCGAAAAAAAGAGTTCCACACGTAAGAACAATAGAAAAGAGAATCAACGGTGAATAATAAGGACCTCGCCGGGATATCGCTTCAACCTAGCAGTCAGCTCGCGCTCACTGATCTCCAGCTCGGTACAGATCTGGTCGAAGGAGTGCGTCCCATCGAGATACCTCGCCAAGGTACGCTCATCGATAGGGTCATCATCATCGTCATCCCACATCCCAGACGGAACACTCCCCGGACCATAACCACTGCGGCTCCCGCTGTGGAAAGAGGTGGCACGCTCAGCCGCCGAGAGCGGGCCGTCGTCGCCGACACTCGAGGCAGTGTAGGGTGTGTTTGTGCCGGTGGTGGCGCGGGAAGACGGGCCGGTCGAGAGGTGGGGACCAGCAACGGGAAGGAAAGACGAGGAACGGGGCGGGGGAGCGGGCAGACCCGTGGCGCAGGCGTATTTGTGGACGCGGTATAGGAAGCCCTTGATGACGCCGAAGGTGATGAAGCGGCGGATGTCGATGTTGGCGAGCTCGCGGCTGCGGTGCGAGTACCATTGCTTGACGCTCTGGCCTTGTTTCAGACCCGAATACAGCTCGACGAGGCCCACGCCGTCGACTACGTCGCTGCTTTGGCTTTGCTCTGGTGGAGCTGCTGGAACAGAAGACGCGTCGCTCTCTGCGGCGTCGTCGGGCTTGGTGTTGTCATTGGGTTCGCTGTCTTCTGGCTCGCCCATTAATGGCCAGATCTCTTCGGCGTCGAAGCGCGAGTCCTCGCGGGATATGCTCGGCACGGGATCCGCGAGCGGGCTTGCAAGCGTTGCTGGTCCTCCGCTCGTTGCAGATGTGGGTGGAGGTGGGGAGCGAGGCCCCATTGGAGGGTGCGGTGCGAAACGCGCATTCACGTACCGCGCACACTCGAGTTGCATAGCCTCGTCCGAGGCGATGGTGGAGCTGAACTGAGCCGTGGGTGCATAGACGGCCGAGAAGGAAAAGATGTCCAGCAAGAACAGGCAGCCATAGTAGAGTAGATGCCGGATTGCGCGACACGTGAGGGAGAAGTCTGTGTCGGCCAAGATCGAAATGATGCGGACACTATTGACTCCGTTGATATGGGGTGCAATCTAGGGATTGAAGAAAGTCAATGAGTCTGTGGGTGTTGTCGGGGCAAGAAGTCACCATACCCTCTGCAATGTCAGGTCCCAATTCTCATCCATGAAGGCCTTGTACCGAACCGTGAACAGAGGGACTTGCCAGGCCTTAACAGGCGGAGGAGAAGGATAGATGGGGAAGAGCTTGATATTCAGAGTGTTGAGATCGTCTACCCATGGTCAGTAGCAGCTCAGCTCGACGCTGTCGAAATGAAGCGAATGAACCCAAAGAACATACCAATGGGAATCATGCACTCGCAGTAGTTATTCAAGTCTTCCATCAACATCTCACAGAGGCTGTGGACCTTGCCCTCGCCACTCTTGGAGAAATCCCGCGACAAAAACCCATTCTGCTCCTCCAGGGCATGCATCAGGTCGGCCAGTTTCTGCACCACACTCTTGTACGTGCTGAAGTCCTCCTCCTCGGCCAACACCAGACAGAAGTTGAAGATGAACTCATTGCGATCATAACGAGCCGACTTCATGCAAATCGGGTAACCCAGGATGCGGTAGCCGTTCGAGCAGACCTGGAGGAAGTTGCCGCACAGCTCCTGGCGGGGAATCACGAAGAACGAGACATCGGAGAAGATGAGGAGGCGCGGCTGCGAGGGCTCGTTGCTCGTAGGGTTGACGATAGCTCCGTCGGGGACTTGATGGACGACCTTGGGACCTGATCCAACAGTTAATCACTCAATCGATCGAGAATTCCGCTGGGTCAATACCCTCTTGGGTGTCGAATTTGCTGTAGAAGATTGCCTTGATCATCGTGCCGCGGATGTCCGAGACAGCAGTGGGGTGCGCGACGAGGACATGGAGAAAGGTCAGGCTAAAAAATTGCTACCGACCATGCTGATCGTGCAGACCGGAGCTCTCAACAATCAAGGGACGTTCACATTGTCGAATGTCGGAGATGCGGGCTTATCGGGGTGTTTGGGTCTGTTTGCACCCACGTGCTCACTGATTGCGTCTACAGAGTACAGCCTACAGTCTACGGTTTACTCTCAACTCCATATACTTCAGCGCGAGAATCTCAAAGAGAAATGAAGCCAGAAAAAACTGAATACCGATCCCAGAGTAAGAAAAAGCAAAGACAAGGAGTCATCAATGGGAGCAAAGAGCCGAGGGTATTAAGAGGGTCAGAGCGCACGAGAAAGGGTCAAAAACACAATGAAATCTATGCATTGCAAGGCGATGGTCTCCGGCAGGAAAAGCAGGGCAAATGACAAAGGGATGTAGAAACCAGCAAAGAAACACCCGAGAAGAGGGAACCAGTCCACTTCATGAAGACCATGCGAAACAAAGAAAAAGAAAAGAAATACGCCAGAAAATGCAAAGACGAGCGAGAAGACTGGTCATCGGGCCGTGCCGGACGGATGATTGGAGGCGACTAGGCTGCCAGAGGTCGAGAAGAGGTATGAATCGGGGAGGGCCGCAGCGGTCGATCGACGGGCTCCGTCGCGACGGTGAGGGGGAAGGAAACTCAAGGGCTGACTCGCTCGAATGGCGTGGACCATCTCTCCATAGCCTCCACGCTCGCCGGCCTCTTTCAGCCACTGTTCCCAGTCCTCGTCGAGGGGCACGTCGGCGCCTTGGTCGCGTGCCGCCATAGCAGCCAGCAGGCGATGGTTCAGCGCCACCCCACAGCTTTCCACCTCCTCGTCGCTGTATTCGCCCTCGTCTTCGTCGTCTTCCTGATCGGATGGAAAATCGCTAGGGGTGCGCGTTTCGCTCGCGCGGACGGTGTCATCACTCAGTGTCTCGATAATCAGGTCCTGTTCCTCTTCTGACCCGCAGAAGTCGTCAAAGTGAACCTCGATCGAGGGAACAGGCGGCGGGGTGGCTGGTCGGATGGCATAGGCGGTGGTGTCCAGCACGCTGACCCCTTCCTCCAACTCATAACGCTCACGAGCCGACTTGGTACCCTCCCACCGACACAAATCAGAGATTTCCGCGTCAGTCAGCCCAAGCTCGTCGAAGACACGGAAGAGCTTGCGGTGCCAGGGGAAGCGACCCAGTCGCATGCGATGCGGGCTATGGGAGTAGTCAAGCCCCGGGTATTGGGCCTCGATGCAATCGAGCGAGCCGTAGAAAAGTGAGGTCTCAACGCGCACTTCAGGTACCAGATTCCGGGTAATATGAGCCGCAAATGATCCTGGATCACTGGTGCGAGGCCGTGGAAAGGTCGCGTTGTATACGATCTGAGCGAGCGCCGGTTTACGCATGGTTGCGGGGGTAAGAAGGGACGAAAGGAAAAGAAGAGAGAATATATAGACAAATCAAAAATTGCCGCTATCAAGGAGGCAAGGCGCTCGACCCCGGACCAGGAATGTCGACGGAAGTCAGGACCCTGGATCGCCCCTTGCCCGGTTGAAGGCTGTCTGTTCCCCAGGCCCAGACGCTTCGGAGGTTTGGGCTGTGGGGCGGTCTGTTGGAGAGAGAACTGTCTCTGCCAGAAGACAAGACGCCAGTGCCGAATAAAAGAAAAGAAGAAATGGCAGAAAAAGAAGAGAAATGACACAGAAAACAAGAAAAATAAAAATAAAAATCAGGCACCGAAAGGAGGAAATTCAAGGCAGCGAGGGTTTCAAGAAGAGGCCTCAGGCGAAGTGCAGCTGATGACCCCGGGACTTCTCGGTTGCACCCCAACGCTCACTGCGAGCCATCACCGGTGAATCGGTTCAGAACTGACAACACACCCTGGTTATTTATATTATCTATTCTCGACATCGGTGGAGTGTGTTTGTGTGCTGTGCTGGCAGCTCTGCATGGCCACTTCATCAGAGTGCTGGATCTACATCCTCTCCAATCAGTTGAGCCTCTACGACAGCCCTGATGTCCACTTTTGACGGCGTGGTCGAAGGCAGGTGGAGACCTTTGTGTTTCTGTTGTATTCTAGGGCTGACCTTCTCTAGAGTTCCCCGAGATTCAAAGTAAGCAGGAAGTGGCAATGGCTTGGGCTGTCAGCTAAGAAACAAAAAACGCCAGTTGATTACTTTCGGAAGAATCCTGCACGGCCTGCACCACTTGCATGTTTTCTGAGCCATGTGCATAGTGACCACTTGCAGGGCCTCGAGTCCTTCCGGGCTCCTTTTCTCTATTGCTCTCCAGCCACGCGAGAAGTAAGTCTTTTTTTTTTAAAAAAAAAAAATTCTGATATAGATCACCAGCTCATTTACCCTGATATAGCTTTTGCTGCGGATTGAAAAATATCCACATCGCATGAATTTCAACAAAGGCATCTTGGAGTCTCGCCGGTTACATTACAAGCATTTGGCAAAACTATTGGTCGGTCCCTTCTGAGATATCACGATCGAACCCAGAGTTAAGACCTAGGCAGCGCCCTATCCCTTTGAATACTCCGACGGAGATTGAGCTCACCCCAAGGCAGCGAATCCGGGTCACTCTATTTGATGCCAACCACTGCACAGGGGCAGTGATGTTCCTGATTGAGGGAAATGGGAATGCAATCCTCTATACGGGTGATATTCGAGGTCAGTGCTGTTGACTCTTGAAGATGTTTCTTACTGACCAAACGCAGCGGAACCATGGTGGGTCAATAGCCTGGTACGGCGTCCGGTATTGATTCCATATACATTGGGACGAAAGCGGCTAGACAAGCTATACCTTGACACCACGTTTGCTTGTGTGGCAAATCCATTCCGTGAATTCCCATCCAAAGCCGAGGGACTGGCTGAACTATTTCAAAAAATGGAAGCCTATCCCAAGGAAAACAACTTCTACTTCTGCGCTTGGACATTTGGCTACGAAGACGTCTGGATTGCTCTCTCGGCAGCACTGAACACCAAGGTAAACAAGCATTGAATGTCCAAGTCTACGAGTCTAGCTGATCATCTCTCAGATCCACGTGGATCGATATCAGATGGGCCTTTATCGATCTCTCGCCCATACGTCAGGCAGCCGGGGGGTCAGTGAAGCTCCTGCTCTTTGCGGCTTTGAACTGGGAAATAGCACTGTGGCAGGCTGTCTGAGCAACGATGAAAACAGCCGCATCCACAGCTGCGAGCCTGGGACATCGTGTCATGTGGCTCGCAGCCTTAACACGGTCTACATTGTGCCCATTGTGAACCGCACGGCCGATGGTGCCGAAGTACCCGAGGTTGGTGCTGGCGGTGGAACTGGCGATCTATACCAGATCCACGAGCTGGAGCTACCGGATGAAGCTGCCCTAGCGGAGCTTGAGAAGCTGTGTTTTCAGCACATCCACGATGAACAAGCCCTATCCCAGATGCGAACTGATCTTCTGAAAGCGTACCAATCAAGAAGGCAAGTCCTGTCTCTCGACAGCTACGGTGTCAAGGAAGAAGAGGAGATCTCTCTTGAAAAGCTAGTCACTATGCTCAGTCGAGGCGCCGCAGATGGCAATATTCGAACCTCTTGCGATACAGGCAGTAATTCCAGACTTGATCTGCCTAATACCATCGTAAGTTTTGCTCATGCATTTGGGATTGCTTGATTCTCACATATCCTTCAGCGTTTTCCGTACTCACGCCACTCATCATACTCCGAACTCTGTCAGCTCGTTGCTGCGCTCCGGCCTAAAGACATCCATCCATGCACAGTGGACTCTTCTTCTTGGAGTGAAAAAGTCTCCATTGGGCGACTGTTTGGTCACCTGTGCTCAGGGGACGAGTTTACGCACGATGATCATATGCGGAAAATTATTGCTGATTCTGCTTATGAAGAGGATCTGCGCCCAAGGAAAAAGGCCCGCTACGAGATAGACGTGTCAACGCAATCCACGCAGGAGTTTAACAGTCTGAGCACAACGGATCCCGGCGAGCAAGGCCGAAATGTGAATCAAGATCTCACTCGCCAGATAGGTGAATTCGATGGAGAGCCAGAGTCACCATTGCATCGTCCACAGCCGCAACTGTCCCCTCCACGAAACACTTCTTCAGTCCAAGCACCAACAATAAACCCCAGCAAGCACCTCGATGTTGGGTGCTCAACACCAGCCACAGCGAGAGCAAAGCGCAACGAAATCCGCCGCGCTCACCGTTACCTACACGACCACGCCGAGCCAGGACTATTCCAAATTGGACCCCTTCCGTCGTCGTGGCCAACCGATGCAGAGGATGGCTTTGAAGAGGAAGAGGAAGAGGAAGAAGCAGAACAAGACAGAGCAATACAAGCGCAAAACACAAGCCATGACTCCCTCGCCACCATTCATACCGAATCAGACAATTATCAAGGGAGCGACACAGACATCGCCGGCAATATCACCACATCCCAGAGCCCAGATCACCAGCAGCCCAACACCCAACCGGCAGAAAGCCAACACACCGATCCCCTCTCGCTCTCCATCTCCGAGTCCGTGCTTGCATCGCCGCCGCTAGATCAGGGATCCTCGCATGCAGAGACTCAAAGTGGGCTGGGCCAAGCTCAAATTAGTGCTCGTGCCCATGCCCGTGCCCGTGCCCGAGTCGCAGCGTACCTAGCGGCCAGAGAGGATACGTATTCTGCGTGGACAGAGGTGTCGCTGGTTTCGGTGGAAAATAACCATGCTGAAGAGGAGATTGAGCTCTGACTTCGTTTCTTTCTTTTTCTTTCTCTGCTCCTATGCCATCACCTGCTGAATTTCTGATATACCCACTACATAGACCGTAACGAACAATGACATGTACATTATGATACACTTTAAATCCTAATCCAAGCCAAAGACCCGATCTTCTTTAGATGTATCTCTATACAATAATGCATCTCATTCGTGTAGGTCGTAAATGTCTCTCTATTTCTCTAAACAAAATCCAACAGGAGAAAAGGCCAGTAAGCAAAGACGCCAAAATATCAACGGTGAATCAAAGGTGATATGGCTATATTCATCAATACTCATCAGATGTCCATTAGAGGCATCGCGGTCCATTCTAGCGTTTCCTCGACTGGCTCCTCTTCAGAGACACATCGCTCACAGTGACACACAAATCGAAAGGATTTGCGCAGATGATCGCGGCGCGCACTGAGATCCGTATAGTGTGATAGATCGAAGTAGGCGATGCAGCATTCTTCGCCGGGAAGAATGTCGCGGGATGCGGTGAAGACCATGCGGCCTTGCTCGTCGGGTTTGTGGGTTACCTTAAAATTAGTTAGCACTATTATTCTTCTCTTCTTCTTCTTCTTCTTCTTCTCGTTTTGTCTTCTCTTATTTGGCTCAGAATATAAGTTTGGGGGAGGAGAGAAACTCGCTTACATTCGGCAGACACGAGTGATTCATTATTGCAGCCGTGGGATACACAGCCGCAGCATACTGCTCGCCTCGCCCCATAGGAAGATCCGGGAGAGGAAAAACACCCGTTTCTCGCGGGTAGAGACCAAAGGAATTGGCCTCTTCCTGGCAGACGAGATGAAGCACGCGGTCCGGTGTCAAACCATGAGGCAAGACAGAGCTATTGGGAAGATACTTCTTGACAAGAGTCATCCAGGACCGGACTTGATCATGGGACCAGGAGTCGACAGATCCGCACAGCGCATCAATAGCAGCCCAGCCGTGTTTCCAGCGGTGGTTGGCAGCCGACGTATCCCACGATAGAGGATGATTATGATGTTGTGCATGTTGTGCATGAAATTCGATCTGCCGAGTAGCCAACAACCGTACAATCAACCATAACATGCCAAACTCGTACTCGCTGCGTTTATTCCGCAGCGGTGCCGCATACCGCTTGAGCCAGGTGCATTCGAAGGCGTGGCGCGCGGCGTCGGCATCGCGGCAGACGGCACTGCACCAGACCACGTCGGTGACACAGGCATTCAGGCATGGAGAACGGCCGCCTCGATGGCAAGGTGCGGGCTGGTTACAGGCGGGATTGCTGCAGAGGAGGGTATCGTTGGAGGCTGGGTCGTCGACGACGGGGAGGATTGCGTAGGGCCGGTCAATGAGTAGACAGGCGCCTTGGGCGATTAGATGCGAGGCGCGGAATTGGCGGCCCTTGGTTGCGTCGGTCGTTTCGTTCAGGTGCGGATGGATCCAGTGCAGGTGCGTTGGGGTTGTGGTGTTGGTGGTGGTCCCTTCTACGGTGGTTTGGTGCGAGGGCTCGACGCTGATATACACGACCTGGGACATGGTTGTCTTTTTTGTGGCTCCCCAGGCTTTCTTTACTGGGGAGATGAGTGGATGTTGATGGTATTTCTTACGGTGAATCGCAAACCGGGGCAAAATCTTTTGTCTCGAAATTTGGCCTCGTTTGGTTGTTTGGTTGGGTGGGTCATTGTGTCGCCATCTTTTGCTTTGGAGATTGGCCAATGCCGTTGTGTTCCTGTGAGGTTATCGCAAGCGATTGCAGATGATTGGCGGCGTCATAATTGAATATCCCCTGATTGGTCGATCGCTTTATATCTATGGATTTGAGGTCCGATTTTGATTTTTAAATGAAAATAAGCATCCAAATAAAATAGTTATCAGATTTTCTGGAAACCTCAGGGAAGAGTTAGTGAACTTGGCTTGCTTCGACTTTGCATATGCATGCATGATCTGGTTTTCCTACTACCCTGACGATTCAATACTTCAATGCATAGGATGAGTTGGTGGCAGTGGGAATGACTATGATCAAATTCTCTCGGTGTATATCATTTTCGCGGCCTTGGGAAAGCAAACTCAAGAACAAATGCTCTAAATAGAATATTGTCGTTTCCCGTCAGTCATGTTGATCGGCAAAGTCGGGCGTCCGAGTGGGTCCAAGTTGGCCGAGCCGATTATCCATACCTACAGTTTATAAAATCAAGTAATTTAAGAAAGGGAATTCCTTTCGAGAAGAGAGTCGTCATTTCATATAAATAGCATCATGCATCGGGATCAAAGACAAATAACAGGGTCGCTCGCTCGCTATGGCACGAACTTTTAGAACCAATAGACGCTCGGAAAAAAAGTAGATGAGTAGATCGAAAGAAAAGAAAGCAGTCAATATCAGAAAGAATGCTGAAGTAAGAAAAGACTTCACCTTCACCAGCCTTGACAATCTAGAAAATGTAATAGGCCTGTGTCAGAGGCAACTCGGCCGCTGGCTCGGCGTCACAAAGCATGCCATCTGCTTCGACGGTCTGCCAGTCATCGTCAGCATCAAGGAATAACCATTAAAATTCAATGGAAAATGAAACACTCACATAACTCTCCGGATCGACCTTCATCTTCGGCATTGTGTTATTGAATTTCATGTCTCGTTTGCCGACGGCCCGGCAGTTCTTGACGGGTTCGATCCGTTTCCGAAGACCGTACGACTGCACGGTACCGTTATCGATGGAGGCCTGAGAAACGAACATGATCGACGTGCTAGGAACGCGGCCCTGATTTTGTTATTATCGTTTTGTCTATCCGGAGAAAGTCCACATGCAAAGCAAACTTACAGCAAACTGAGGCCGCATGATCATCGGCTCAATAGTCGGGATGGAGCCATTGGGGTCACCCTGGGCCAAAAGGGTTAGAAAAAAAAAAAAAAAAAAACTGAGGGAACACAAGAGTCACACATACCATCTCGGCCACAGCAATCAGGCCGCTCTTCAAAACTTTGACCGGTTTGGTCCCAAAAGTGCTGGCGTTCCAAAGAACCAGGTCCGCGATCTTGCCGACCTCCACGCTGCCAATCGCATGGGCCATCCCCTGTGCCAGCGCTGGGTTGATTGTGTATTTGCTGACATAGCGCTTCACCCGGAAGTTGTCGGCCTCGGTGCCCTCGTCCTCAGGCAAGGGACCGCGCTGCGCCTTGTTCTTGTGTGCCGTGTGCCAGTTGCGCAGGATCACCTCGCCGCAGCGGCCCATAGCCTGTGAGTCGGACGACATCATGCTAATAGCTCCCAGGTCATGCAGCACGTCCTCCGCAGCGATCGTCTCAGCGCGGATGCGGCTTTCGGCGAAGGCAACGTCCTCGGGAATATTCTTGGACAGATGGTGGCACACCATCAGCATGTCCAGATGCTCATCGAGCGTGTTCAGGGTAAATGGTCGGGTCGGGTTCGTGCTGCTAGGAAGCACGTTCGGATGCTCAACCACGGAAATAATGTCGGGCGCGTGGCCGCCCCCTGCGCCTTCCGTGTGGTATGTGTGAATGGTGCGGCCCTTGAACGATTCAATGGTCTGCTCGACGAACCCGGACTCGTTCAGGGTGTCGGTATGGATCATGCACTGCACGTCATATTCGTCGCACACGCCCAAGCAATTGTCGATCGCCGCCGGTGTTGATCCCCAATCCTCGTGCAGTTTTAAGCCAGCCGCCCCAGCCTTGATCTGCTCTTCGATGCTCAGTGGGCCGCAATCGTTGCCCTTGCCAGTGATCCCGATATTGATGGGCAGGCTATCCCACGCCTGCATCATTTGGCGCAGATGGTTAGGACCGGGTGTACATGTCGTTGCATTTGATCCGGTACTGGGGCCCGTGCCGCCACCGAGGAAAGTGGTTATTCCCGATGCTAGGGCCTCGTCCGCTTGCTGCGGGCAAATGAAATGGATGTGCGTATCAATCCCACCGGCCGTGACAATCTTATTCTCGCCAGCGATCACGTCTGTAGACGCACCCACCACCAGATCCGGATGAACGCCATCCATCACGTCTGGATTCCCAGCCTTGCCAATGCCCACGATCCGGCAATCTTTGATACCGATGTCGGCCTTGTAAATGCCCGTCCAGTCAATAATCAACGCGTTCGTGATTACAGTGTCCACGCAATCAGCCGCTGAGCGGCCAGACGCCTGGCCCATTCCCTCTCGGAGGGTCTTGCCGCCACCGAAGGCGCATTCATCTCCGTACGTTGTCAGATCCTTCTCCACCTGCACCCACAGGTTGGTCAATCCTAGGCGCACTAAGTCTCCGGTGGTGGGACCAAACATGCGCGCGTATGCCTCGCGCTCCATCGAAAACCCAGTGATCAGCGCACTGTCGGCCATGGGCTCTGGGGCATGCGCAAATCCTGCAGTCTGCAGTCGCGTCACAATCTCCTCGGCGCGGCCCAGATCCAATGGCCCATTGGCTAGCCAATTGCCTCCTCGGATCACGCGATTGCCTCCAATTTCCACAAGGGTCACCGTTTTTGTGTCGCCAGGCTCGAACCGGATCGATGTGCCAGCGGGAATGTCGAGCCGGAACCCGTACGATTGAATGCGATCAAAGTGCAGCTGCGGGTTCGTCTCGATAAAGTGGTAGTGGGATCCAACCTATGATTAGCGGGTTGTTAGCTTCGGCCTGTCATATATCGACCTTTGCGCGCACCTGAATCGGTCGATCGCCCTTGCTCATGACCTTAAGACGGATGCGTCTCCGTCCATTGTTCAACGCGACGCGGGCATGCTTCGCGGGGATCACGGCGCCGGGCATCTTCTCGGGCAGGAAATCATTGGGGTCGGGGTCCGGGAAGGCTTCTTGCGGTGGGATGGGAAGGAAACTGCTATACAGCGCCCTCTCTAGATCGCCGTCATCGCTACTGATCGGGTGGTGTACGGTGACGAGGTAGGTTCCGGTGGGAAAGGTGCCTTCGACCTGCAACTCGACAAGGGTAGCGACGACAGACGGGAGAACGTGACGGCGACCCAGCATGGTCTTGCCGATGGACATGAGATCGGCGACGGAGTAGTGGCCATCGCGAATCAGCTGCGATGAGGGTCAATTGCGCGAACTTGGTGGTTTCAGGAGCAAAGGACTATCACGAACCTCGTGCAAGTTGGCCGAGATCAAGGCCTGCGGGAAACTGGGTCAGCGCGGACACTCGCGGCAAGGACAAACACCTCCTCACGTACCACTGCTTCTGCATGGTTGAGCCGCACTCCACGTGCCAGGCGTCGCTGCGCCAAAGATCCGAGATGCGCGATGGTGAGCTTGTCGAGCTGTCCTCGAGTCAGCCCTGTTGTCAACGGTGCCTGACATGTACCTACCTCCTTCGGAACAAGCTGCATCGCGCAGGTGGAACCCAAACCTGGGGGTTCTTGGCGTGCAGAGAAGGTTGAAACTGGGGAAGCTGGGGAAGGGGAGGAACTGGAGAAAGCCGGCACAAGCTGTACAAGTCAATGAGGTCTTCGTCAATGACCGAGTCGATGCCCCAGGACAAAACAAGAGGGAAAAAGAGGGAACGTGGGGATGCGCGAGTGTTTCAAGGCAGATAAGCGATGATAAGCACCACGCAGGCCGATTGGGTCGGCCGAGGGCGATGTTTTAGTCACGACTTTGCTAAGTGACCCGCTCGGCGAACTATATCATGCACTTGTATACACTTGTGTGCACTGGTAGTCTATACTTGTAATATACTCCTAGGCATGCATACTGCACATGTGGATACTAGATTTCGCGATACCGAGATTCTCCGAGTCTGCTAACATACACTTTTGGACAACGTCGTGGTGTGAGTCCCTTCACAGCTTTACACCCTTTAGCCCTGGCTCTTGCGCTTTTTGCCCTTACCCTTGGGTTCCGCAGGTGCCTTGGCCTTGGTGGCCGACACGGGCTCAACGTTCTTTCCCTTGCCCTTCTTCTGGGGAGATGGCTGCTTGACGGGCGACTCGGCAACCTCCTTGGCGGCAGCCTTGCCCTCACTGCGACGGCGCTTGGTGCTGCGAGGCGGGGTCGGGGTCTTCTGCTTGGGAGGGGAGGGGGTTCCTCGTCGGAGGACTCGTCTTCATCCTCGTCCTCGTCCTCATCCTCGGATTCCGAGTCGCGCGAGTTCTCCGCGCCCGCAAAGTCCTGCTGGATCTGGCTGGCGGCCGGGTCGTTGTCCTCCTCGCCGGCCTTCTTGGCCTTGTATGCCTCCATTTCGCGTCGGTACTTCTCCAGGTTGTCCGCGTACAGCTTCTTCCAGACCTAGTGCGGATATGTGAGCAGGCGAACTGTTTGTTGTCGAGAGAAATAAAAAGATGGAAAGAAGAAAAATATCTTCAATGGTCCAACTCACCTCCTTCTGCACCGGCTCCATGGTCGACCAGCGCCGAGTACCCTCGTCAGCGACGTCCTTGGGACGCGAGTTGTTACCCAGGTCTTGCTTGATCTGGGCGCGGTTGTGCTGCATGTACAGGAAGTACGGGGTCAGGGCACGCTTGGGCGCGTTGGGGTCAGGGGGCGCGCGCTTGCGCTTCTTCTGGCCACCGGCCTCGGACTTGGCTGCGGGGCTGCTGGCGCGGGTACCGTAGTCAAGGTGGGCGCCAATGCCGGCGTGCATGGGTGGAATATCGATGGTGGCAGGGCCACCGTTGATCACGCTGTTCGCATGTTCGAGGTAGGCTTTGCTCAGGTCGGCGACGTAGGATTGCAGGTCCATAAGACGCATGAGCATCTGCGATCACGCGTCAGTCATGTGCTTGGGCCAGTCAAGGTAGTGGACTTCATTCATAAAGCGATGGCGCCATATCGCCAAACAGTCGCAAGGGTTTTGACCGCGTGCGCGCTCCATAGGATGATCGCGACTGTTGGATTGGTCGCCGCGCAGGAAAATTAAAATGGGACGAATACAGGAACAAAAACAGGGGTGGAAATATTCCAGAAGCTTGGCGCAAGACCATAAATGTATAACAAAGGGCACCCTAAACTCGAAAAGTCGAGTGTGCAGCTTTGGTGTGGCACGAAAAAGCAAAAGCTCTGTTTATGCGACGCGTAGAGGCGCGCCGAGAAGCCCGAGGATTGCCCGAGGGGCCAACCAAAAAAAAAAAAGTTTTGACCAAGAAGAAAATTATAACAAAAAAACAACATACCGAGTCTTTCGAGTTTCTAAGCTCGTCAACATTGATGGAGACGGTGGCCTCTTCGGCCTTGTCATGCTTGGGAGCCATGATGTCGGGGATGGAAGAGTGAGAAAAAAAAAGAGGGAAAGAAATTTGGAGCGAAGGATAGGGGCGGGCGGGAGGGTGCCCACTAAATACCGTGGGCACGCCCCCTAGGCGCTGGCATGCTTGACTACCCGTGGGTGGTCGCTGCTTTAGGCTTAGGCTGCTGCTTCGGGGCTCTTTGGGGTGTCGCCTCACCGGGTCATGCGACGGGCCCTGGAGGGTTCCCCGTCAACCCTCCCAGACCCCTCCATCCACCCCCCGGCTTGGGTGTACAAAAACTCTAGGCATGAGTCCACCAGACCATGCTTCGGTACGAGGGCAAAACCATCCTGTGCCAGTAGTTTTTTAGGAGTTTGTTAAACTTTTTTATTCGGTCATTGTTATAAGCTTAGAGGGTGGTATTTGCCTAATTTCCACCAAATGTTCAGCCTTCTTTCGCACATATATCCGCGGGGCTTCCCCGAAGTTAGTTACCTCTCCCCCGGCGCAAGTTGAGGCACAATACAGGTGCCCAGTGAATATTTTCATAAGTGGCCAGCGCGGATTAATCAGAAGCTAACCCCCAACAAATCCTGCTATCAGTTACTAGAAATCTTGGGTGATCGATGGTACAAAATGTATGACGTCTATATCATTGTCGCGTTTACAGGGGAAGGATACAGAGACAATTATCCGACACTGAAGAAAATGACCGCATGTTCTTCAATATCACCAGGAGCTTCTCGGATTGGGCATTAGGCTTGGTATTTTGTGTTGATCCAACCCCAAGGCGAAGGCAACTGGCTCATCAACCACGCCCATCTTTTGGACGCGCTATATAAGCCTAAACATGAACCCTGCGCACCGTTGGCATGATTATCATAATCAGCATAGGATACAACATAAGGCATTCTATTTCTGTGAGCGCCTTTTATTTTGTTATGTCCCGCTGGAATCTCTAACTGTCCACGAAAAAAATGTTCTGTACATCACTTCCTTATCATCGTCAAGATGCAGACAAGTCGTCTCGCAAGCCAAAATCAACTCAACCACTGGCTTCAGCCTTTAGATCCTCCTCAACCTGGCTTTTGACAATATCCCGCACCTTCTCCCACGAGTTCTCAACACTAGTCACGCGCGTCTCCTTGGATGCGAGCGCCTTGAACTCGTCTGGAAGCACCTGCTTCTCAAAATCGAAACCGGCCTGATCCTTCAAAGCCGACTCGACAGCTTCAGAGAACTTCGCGGGGTGCGCAGTAGAGAGAGAGATGTGCTTGTATGAGCCAGCCCGAGCAAGCGATCGCTTGGCAGCGGTGATTCCGACAGCCGAGTGGGGATCAAGAACGTATTTGGTCTGCTGGTAGCAGGTCTTGATGGTCTCGCGGGTCTCCGAATCGCTCACACGGTCACTCTCAAAGCTCCGGCGTCCGTTTTCCAAGAGGTCTTGGTGGACAGGACCGAAACCGCCAGTTGCTTTCAATGACTGATACCAGGACACAACGTCTTGGCCGGCCTGCTTCTTGCTAGATTGATCATCTGAGCCAGATGCCGCAGCAAACTCTTTATAAACAATCAGTAAAAATTCAAGACGAGGGCGAAGGGAATATGCTAACATACCCTTGGAGAGGAACCACATGAGTCTCTCAAAGTTGCTGGAAACCAAGATATCCATCGCTGGGCTGAGGGTCTCCTTGCAAGCGTCAGTCTTCACGCTGCCATCAGACTTTGCCTCCTGAACAGGATTCTTCTCGTATCGGCCAGTTGTCCAGAACCGATGCAGGATATCATTCCTTCCGGAAAGTTAGCCAAGTTCCATAAATATACTAAGATTCCCTGAAGCATGTGCAGGCTTGGCTTTCTCTCCGGCGACTTACTCATTTGTTGCCACTGTCAATTACTTGATGTCAGAAAAAGGTATACAAATTCGGTGAGGGGGAAGCCAACATACCGACCAACTTTTCCGCTGGGAGACCCATTTTGGTTGCGATGTAACCCGAAAGGATGTTGCCAAAGTTGCCAGTCGGAGTCACAAATCTGACCTTGTCTCCCACATTGAACGAGAATGACTTCCTGGCAAGCGAGAAGTACGAATGGAAGTAGAACACGATCTGGGCGAGGATTCTCGAGAAGTTGATCGAGTTGACAGCACCGAGATTCAAATCCTTATTGGTTTCAGCATCGCCGAAAAGAGCCTTGACAATATCCTGTTGCCATTTGTTAGTCTGCCGATCTTCATTTCCAACATGCGCAGCACTTACTTGACAGTCGTCAAACGTCCCAGTCACGGCCAGGTTGTGGACATTCCTGTCAGTGCAGGTCGTCATCTGCTTCTCTTGGATAGGGCTGACGCGGCCCTTTGGATGCAGGATAGTCACTGATACATCCTTCTTGCCTCGAAGACCATAGATCGCAGCAGATCCAGTCTATACACGCGTTAGAACCCTTTCCTATTGGACCAAGGACACATAATGGTAACCTACGTCACCACTCGTTGCACCGACGACCGTCAGATGATGCCTGTCTGCTAGTTGGTTAGTTCAGTTCAGGCTAGACTGATGTTGCCTTGGGCAAGGGGTTTTAAAGGGTATACCTTTCCCTTGTTTCCCTTCGTTCTTTCGCACGAGGAGATATTCGAAAAGGTTTCCTAGGAATTGCAAGGCACCTCATATTGTGTCAGCTCCAATGAAGTTATCATGGTACTTAGGCGACACACAGTCTTTAAAGGAGTAGCTGGGGCCATGGAATAGCTCCAGCAGGTAGAGGTTGTCGTCCTGGAGATGCGCCAATGGCACAACCTCGTCCGCGCGGAATGTCGAGTAGCTTCGATCGATTATGGCCTTCAGGTCGTCAGGAGGGATCTCGGAGCTCGAAATAAAGAGGCTAAAGATCCGGAAGGCAAGCTCGGGGTAAGAGAGGTCTTTCCAGCTCCGCTGTTATTTGTCGGTTAGCCTTTGATGCATGTCAACAGCTTTCGGGCAATTGCATACGTACCCAGTCATGTGCAACTGGGACTTCATGAGGCAAGAAAAGGCCACCGTCCGCGGCAAGTCCCTTCAAAACAACGGTCTCGAACGAGAGCTTCAACAAGATCAGCAGGCTGTTAAGGCAGCACACCGGATTAGAACACCCACGCCGTAGTCACCACCTCGGGTGGAAAGGTATTTCTGCGACTCGGTCGCGCCCGAATCGTTCGACATATTGCAATTGCGATTTTGGTCTCGTTTTCTCCTTGATGGATTTCCGCGATGGGGAAATTTTTGCCCCTCGGAGGGGTGACTCAACGGAACAAAGATTTGCCGAGCTATGATCGCCCAGAAAAGTAAAACCGCTTGCCTATTTGGGAAGGTATAGTTAGATATCTTATAAGATGATCTTTTGATCAGGCCATCATGACCAACGACTCGATTCAAGATATAAGAACATAAATTCGCTTCAGCAACCTTCAAGATCTTGGTTAGTTGGTATTTCCAGACAGTTATATACAAAAGAAAACTGACATCTGGGTCGACTGCGAGGTTCTCTGCTTGAAACTTTGATCTCCATTCGGCGACCACGTTGCGTGCCAAGCTACTCGGGTCCTCACGTTCATGAATTTCTGTACTATACTGGAGAATCCTGAATTGATCAGTATGCCGCGTTGGAAGACCGTCCACAATTTGGGCAAATGTGAATTCGGCTAGCTAGCTGTGTTGACAAAATGTGTCGGAGAGAACGTTGAACGGCGTCTAAGTGGACCGAATCCAAAGTATTAAATTCCACTTTGCTATTTTCCATGAACCCGAGATTAGATAGCACTCATGTATCTTGCTAAGGTGCTTTCTGCCATTTTCAAGAACTTCTTTCGCTATGAGATCATGGGCGGATTTTATCCACAATCTACTAGCCGGTTCAAGAACCGGGTTGATCAGCCAAAATAGACGTGTTCACTTGACGCCGTCAATGATCCCTGATGCGCCCAATTTTGACGCCAAGGACTCTTCATTCTTCAATAAGTGGCGCACGTTACCTCCCCCAGAACAGGTTCAGGAAAAGGCCAAAGCACAGTGGGTCTCAGGAACAAGTCTGGACAAGCGCAAGACCCTCTCATACGGCGCGCGTTATATGAGACCACCACCCGCTGTGTTTGAAAACATGGGCCTGGTTGTCAAATGCGGAGTTGAGGTGGGAATCCCAGAGGCCCGTCTGTCTACGGAAGGATCCCAATAAGGAATAGTAACGCCTATCGATCCCCATTTTATATAACTTCCTAGAATGGGCTCTTAATTTACGGCGTGGTAAAAATGGGAGAAGGCTTCCCGGTATCAAGTGCAAAAGCTCTCTGGACACTTTCTGGAAAGTATTTCGGCTAGTTTATGAAAGGACCACTTCAAACAAGATCAGAAACCAGATGAACCGTCAGATGCGTCGTGTACGAGTGGCCCTTTTGTCCCTGCCTAATTGACCTAGCCCTTCTTCTAAAACTAACCTATTCGTGAGTTTAGGTGATTCGACGATTAGCCAAAAAGTATAAGTTGTCCGCTACAGGCCGTGACAAGCCTCCGATGGATGTTGAGGACCTAGCAAAAGTCGTGGAGACCACCGTCAGCACAACAAAGAAGAAGTTTAGGCATGATCGCCACCGTATTAAGCTTGGGCTTTTCTTGTAACTCGTAGGCCTCACAACAAACCGTCCGCAAGCCATCCTTGATCTGCGGTATCGTCATATCTAAGTCAGTCTCCTCCGCGACCCGTAAGGCGGCCCACATCGAATTATGATCGAGTTCACCTTTAAATTCACTAAAGAGTGGCTAGGAGCTAAAGCCTCGTAAGTACAACTAGGTTTACGCCGTCACCTTCTACTGATATATCCTTCAGGAACACTTATATCCTTCCCGAAATTATCTTCGATCCTTCTTTAGTACTTAGTCCATATATATTCCTATTGGGTCTTCTCTTTGCAGACCGTGCCTTCGACCGCGTCGATAGCGAAGAGGTTCTTGTTCTCGCAAGCCAGCTTCCTCGACTCCGAATCCGCGACGAGTGTAACGAACTACGACTATAGCTTAATCCAGCGATAGATAACGTGCCGGTATTCCGTATATCGGAGCGGACTTTAAACAGAATTAGTATCTCACCTAACAAGCCTCTCCCTTATTTAACCTTAGAACCATAGATCAAGAAAATCGGTGTAATCATAGGCATTCGGTAAGTAACACGCCCCTATAGCTTGCGATATAGGGCAGGGACAGCGTTAGATAGTAGTGGTGTTTTATCCCGTTTAATCTTATAAAATTAATAAGCTGATTGCCCTTTAGGTTCTGTCAGCGACTCTCTCTGTAATCTTGTGATATACCATACCGATACACGGATATTCTTAAAATTCTATCTTAGTAAAAGGATTTCCAAAAACCTACCTACAATCATCCGTGGCCTTAATCCAGAAGAAGATATCATACATACTGCTTGCCGAATAAGCTGTACTATTAATCCAGATCGCCTATAGGAGCTTATAATAAAGCAATCCTCCTCTATAAATTAATAACCAGAAATTGCAGACTTAATACGCCGGCGGGATAAGATTAGTCGCTCTCTAGGGCGTCCTCTGTTAAAGTAGAAAAGAACGCCAAAGTACGAGACGTATAGGAAACTGAATCAGGAGTTAACGGGAGCCAGGAAGCGAGCGTAAGACACGTTACTCTCGTAACTCTAAAGCAAATATGACCGAGAGCAGCCAATACTCGAAATCAAGCGTTAGCTATCCGGGATTCAGCTAGCTAGATCTTCGAGTAAACCGCTGAAGTGCTCCACGGAGGTGCCTATTCCGCAGTAACGACTGATCGAAAGCCTTCTCACCCTACCTCGTCTAAGGATAGAGGAAGAGATAGCTCAGCGGACCGAAGCCATCGATACTGTGGCTGCTTAATGTTAGTTCTAGGAGGGCGATACCACTCGTTTGCCGCGGAATAAACGGGTTAAGGGCAGAGTGGTTAAGAGTAAGGTTCCTGACACTCAACACTTAGAAAGCGAAGTGATAGAGACTAATCCTTAGGCAGAGAGCCCTTTCGAAACCGCCCTTCGATCTATCATAAAGAATCATCGGCCCTTATTTTGCTTTATTTTTTTTAGGCCAATAAGATCTGGACATTATAAAACGTGTTTAGCGATTTGCGTCGTATAGGGATATCACTAAACATATCAAGCGGAAACATCTGCAAAATCTCGTGTTAAGCACGATGATTACGTGCAATGTTTGCGACAAAAAATTTGCGGAAGTCATGCATTTCCAGCGTCATGCCAATGATTCTCACTCGACTGTGACGGGACCTCTGTGGTGCGCAGTTTCTAGCTGATGGATTGTTTGCTGGTGTTGAGGCGTAGACTACTCAGAGCTTTGAACCCAAATATAGATCACGTCATTATTCACTGCAATTTGATGCAAAAGTTCCAAATTAGCTGACCTGTTATACCTAAGTACTTCAGATCTTGGCATAGTCCTACAATATGCTGTGGCGGACTGTTCAATTGGGACTAATCTATATTAGGATTAATTCCGCAGTGTACCCTGGTGCCTCATACTACCGCAGTCGGCCTCGTCAGTCAGCTTCCTCGCCAGAACAGTGAGCTCATGAGCTTAACATGAGTAAGATGCCCTACTACGATGGCTATATTTCAGGAATCTAAGGCTATCTGTTTCCGCTGGGAATCGAAGGTACGTTTTCCCGGGCCATAACTCCAATAAGTAATCTTAGCATTGCTGGAGAGATCCCGCCCCATGAAATTGTTTTAGGCTGGCTTGGTTACGCAGACAATTAGCCCTCCTGACAGATGGTCGACCGTGATTGGGGCCACGACTCCACCGCAGTCCGGCCAGCACATTAGGTTGCGTATCAGGCTGCTTTCAAGCACGTGGTCCACAATGAAACGACTTATCTCTGGTTTGATACGGAGTAGTACAGTATCTTTTGCGGTATTTATTCTATTTATTCCTAACTATCTTTCTGCTTTGTGGTCCTTTCTTTTCTTTTTCTTTGTTTTTACTCTGCCCCAGCTTCAAGCTCGATACTTATTTCAGGAGTACTTTCTTACCCTTAATTTGATCCTGTCGCGATTATCGAGTTTTGCACCTACAGTAAAGACCACCATAGAGGACACAAACGCGAATGTCGCCGCTGACATCAAAGAGGAACCGAGAGCCCAAACCCCCTCTGATTCTTAAGATGAGCAGCCGAAGATTCAGTACACATCAGGGCCAGATATGGTTATTATCGCTATTGCCTTGATGCTCAGCATATTCTTGGTACATCCGAAATGCCCTAACCTAATCGGAAACCAAACTAACGGAGAACTTCTTGGTGGCTCTTAATATAGTAAGTAACCCGATTGCCCATTATCAAAATAAAACCCTCCGCGCTAACTATTAATTAAGAGTATTATCTCCACTGTAATCCCTAAGATCACCGTTCAATTCAAAAGTATAGAGGATATTAGATGGTACGGAAGTGCCTTTTTCTTAACGCTCGCCGCTTTTCAGTCAGCCTAGGGCAATATATATAGAATATTTTCGCTACGAGGTGCTTTCCTAACCACTATTAGGATCTTCGAGATTAGGAGTTTGGTATACGCTTTAGCACCAAACAGTGTTGCGTTGATTGTGGGACGGGCTATCCAGGGTATAGGAGCTGGGCTTACTAGCGGCTACTACACTATCGCAGCCTTTATTGCGCCTCTAACCAAGGTCTCTATTCTCATCGGCCTGTTAGGTTCGACCTTCAGTCTTACGAGTATTGCGGGACCTCTACTAGATAGCGCCTTTTCGCAGTATATCTCGTGGTGCTGGTGCTACTACATTAATCTCCTTATCGGCGGCGTGGCTGCGGCGGTATTGGTGATTTTCTTCCGCACACCGACGTAGGCTAAGTCTGCGGCCGGGATGTCCCTAAAGGACAAGGCAAAGCAATTTAACTATATCAGACTGGTCCTCGTGTTGACAGGGCTGGTGTGATTTTTCCTGGCGCTCCAGTCGGGAGGGGTCTCCAAACTATGGAGTTCCGGGTCTGTTATTGCCTACCTCGTTCTCTGGGTAGTCCTCACTGGCACTTTCATCGTGGTCGAATAGATTCAAAAGGACCGGGCTCTAATGGTGCCGCGAATCTTGGCTAATCGAAACATTGGTGCTTGCTGTGCCTTTATTTTCTTGTGAGCTTTTCCTTTTCCTGCTCTCCCTCTGAAGTCTGCCCTTATCAGGGTTCCTCGATAAACACTCCTGACAAAGACAGTCTTAATGCGGCCAATTTCTCCTTGATCTATAATCTTCCGACCTACTGCTAAGCCATCAACGGTGACTCGCCTATGGTAAGTGGGTTGAAGAATATTCTAAGCATTCTCTCAACCTATCAGGTCTTATTATCACAATTCTTCCCTTTGCTCAATAGCCTAAACTAATCCAAAGAAAGCCATCGCAACTTTCCTATCATCCGCTATCGTCACTAAGCTTGGATACTACCAACCGTTCTTGATTGTAGGCAGTATCCTGGCCATAATTGGTGGTGGTTTAATTTACACCATGGATCTGACGACTGATCTGGGTCGTATGATTGGATACCAGATTCTCTACGGCGCAGGAATCGGCATTGCAGTCCAGATCCCTATCGTTGTCGCTGGGCCATTGAGCTCGACAGAGGATCAACCGATCACTATAGCGACTGTCTTACGTAGGAATCCCCCTCCCCCTTTGTTTAAACCACTATTTTTCACCCTACCAACTAACTGAACTTGCAGTCTTCCAATTCGTCTCGGCCGCGTAGGGCACCCAGCTAAGGGGGCCCCAAAAAATGCTGAGCGGGCCCCAAAAATCGGTGGAATATTACGTCGACTTTTGGGGCCCCCTTAGCTCGCTAAGTCGACTAGGCCCTAAAATATTTTTATTACTTAATCTTATTTTATATATATAAAAAGAAAATTCTTAACTTTATATTATTATTATTTTACTATATTATTTTTATAGTATTTCTATAGTCTGTTATTCGGACCTCGTTTTCGATAACCAGAAATTATTAATCTACTATAATATTTATCTAAATTCCTCTCTTCTATATAACGCGTGATTTATACTTTTAATTATATCCTTTATAATATAACTAATATAAGTTTTAGACCCTTAATAACCTAAATATTAGACCTAGACAGACCCGCGGATAACCTATATAGGTTGACCTGTGGGTTAGCCTATGGGCGGGTCGTGGGTAGACATGGACAGACCCGTCCCATGGGTCAAAGATCTTGACCCATGACCCAAACCCACGACCCATGGGTCGGGTTAATAAAATCCTGACCCGCCCATAGGTTGACCCGTGGGTTAACGGGTTAACCTATTTTTGACCTATTTTAGCATAAATTTCTTAATTAGGATAGATAATTTGCTTACCTTTTTTAATAATACACTATTGTTAAATACTATTTTTGTTCTAATATAACTTATAATTCTAACTCTTTATAAAAAGAATATTATATAGTAATAATATATTTAGAATATATAATATATTAATTTATTAATTTAATACTTTAAGGTAAGAATTATATTTTATAATAGGTAGATATAGGCGAAAGAAGATATTAGTTAACCCTTTCTTATACTAAACCTAAAAATATATATTTAAAGTCTATAGTAGTACTACCACTTTTTATATAATTAAACTATATATATTAGAAATAATAAAATAGATATAAATCTAATATCTAATATTTCTTTATTAATATATAAGTATATTATAGTCTTAATTATATAAAAGAATTATTTTAAATATTTTTTCTGGATTTATATAAAATAATAATATTAGCTAGTTAAGTTAAAATTTTTTAGGAATAAAAAGAAAATCTTAGGGTATTACTCTTATCTAATTATTTAGATTAATAGGTTAGTTTATAGATTAATCTATTAATCTATTTCTTACTATTTAATAAGCTTTATATATATTAGTAGAGCCTATTCTAATTAGTTATAAAATTTAGTATTAGGATAATACTAAATCCTATCTATTAATAAGAAATAAGTATTAGATCTATATATTCCCCTAAATCTATAATAATTTACTTTAGATTATTTTTCTATATCTTAAGTCCTTTATTTTAATATATTATTATTATATCTCTTCTATATCTTAATTATCTATTTTATACCTTTCTTCTCTTATTAAGAGTAAAGGGTTTAAGTTATCTATTTTCTATTCTAATCAACTTCTTGATACCCTCTTAGAACTACTAAAAAGCTAGTAAACTAAGTAAAGCCTCTCTCCTATTATATTACTAATACTAAAACGATCCGATAATCGGAAAAAGACTTAGATGATTTTTGATAGTATAAATAAAATAGAGTTTTTAAACTAGTAGCTTAATACCTAAATTAGTGGTTCTTATAATATTATAAAGAAGATAAACTAGAAAAGTCCACGATAGACTAATATATAGTTATATTTTAATTAAGTTATATATTTAGTAATAGGAGAGTTAAAGCTCCTATATAAGCGATATAGTAAGGTTATAGACTATCTAGTCTATACTAAGAATAGGATAATAGATCTCTAATATTACTAGAATTAAAGTATATACTAGAAAGGCTAAAGTACTACTAAATATTTAATAATCTAATATCTTATAGAATATATAATATATTATATAGTTATTATTTAATTTATAGGCTAATCTTTCTTAGGTTAAGAACTCCTCTTAAATAGCCTAGCTAATTACCTAAAAGCTATAAAAATAATAGTTAATTACTATAATAATTACTTTATAGCTTCTTTTTTAAACTATTAAATATCCCGAATTCTAAGCCTTTCTTCGAATAACCTAATTATTATTATTTATTCCTAGTTTCCTTTCCCGTTAAACTATATAGTGTTAAATCTAGAGAATAACCTAAGATTAATAGAAAGATTTATTTTAGAAACTTCTATCTAAAACTAAGCTCTTTATTAGTCTTAATTATTAGATATCGCTATTTTAATAAATATTTATAGCTATCTCTAGTTATTTTATTAATATAGACTAGAATTATCGAGAGGTTTTATTTAACTTCGAACCTATTTCTAGTATATACTCTAGATAGAATCTTAGTATAACCCTCCTTAATATCCTCTAGAAATATTAGATTAAAGACTAAGTACTTATAGTAATAACTAATAATATATCGAATAACTCTACTTTTATTTTAAGTATCTAAGATTCTATTTAATTATTAAATATTAACTTTAAGGTAATAATTATTCGGGTTCTATATATTATATATATAATTTAGTTAAGTTTAAAGTAACTATTTAGCTAGATAAAAGCGAACCCTTAGAATAAGGTAACTAAGACTATTTAGTCCGAGGAATATATCTAATACGCCTATTAAAAAGTATAAAAATAAGATATTATAATAACTCTTATAAAGATATATATCTATACTTCTTATTTATTAGTTAAAATACTAACCTACTTTATATTTTAGATTAGAAACCTTATAATCTTTATTAATATAAGCCCTTAATATCGGGAGTCCTTCCTTAGTCTCTAGCCTGACTACTCTCGATTAGTTCTAATTTAAGATATCCGAACTAGATAGAATTTAACCTTTTTAATACTCTAGTATATAAAATAGTTATAACTAGTCTTTAATCGATTTTGCTCTAAATATAATTATCTTTATCTTAAAATTAATATAAATAAATAACGCTAGATCGACTACCTTTTTAATATTATCTAGTTATTTTTCTAATTTACTATAGTCCTTTTAAAAATAAAGGATATTACTATTTATACTATCTTTATTATCTATAATAAGCTATTTAATTATTTTAAGATATTAATTAGATAGCTTAATAGAAAGAAGATTAGATAGAAATAATAGATATATTAAGCCCTTAAATTAGCTAAAGGTAAACTCCGTAAGTATTACTTTATAATAAATAATAAAGAGCTTAGTAATATCTATATAATTAGCACTATCTTAGCCCTAGACATGGACAGACCCGTCCTATGGGTCAAAGATCTTGACCCATGACCCAAACCCACGACCCATAGGTCGGGTCAATAAAATCCTGACCCGCCTATGGGTTGACCCGTGGGTTAACGGGTTAACCTATTTTTGACCTATTTTAGTATAAATTTCTTAATTAGGATAGATAATTTGCTTACCTTTTTTAATAATACACTATTGTTAAATACTGTTTTTGTTCTAATATAACTTATAATTCTAACTCTTTATAAAAAGAATATTATATAGTAATAATATATTTAGAATATATAATATATTAATTTATTAATTTAATACTTTAAGGTAAGAATTATATTTTATAATAGGTAGATATAGGCGAAAGAAGATATTAGTTAACCATTTCTTATACTAAACCTAAAAATATATATTTAAAGTCTATAGTAGTACTTCTACTTTTTATATAAATAAACTATATATATTAGAAACAATAAAATAGATATAAATCTAATATCTAATATTTCTTTATTAATATATAAGTATATTATAGTCTTATTTATATAAAAGAATTATTTTAAATATTTTTTCTGAATTTATATAAAATAACAATATTAGCTGGTTAGGTTGAAATTTTTTAGGGATAAAAAGAAAAATCTTGGGGTATTACTCTTACCTAATTATTTAGGTTAACGGGTTAGCCTATAGGTTGACCTATTAACCTATTTCTTACTATCTAATAAACTTTGTATATATTAGTGGAGCCTATTCTGATTAGTTATAAAATTTAGTATTAGGATAGTACTAAATTCTATCTACTAATAAAAAATAAGTATTAGACCTATATATTCCCCTGAATCTACAATGATTTACCTTAGATTATTTTTCTATATCTCGAGTCTCTCGCTGTAAAAGGGTTGTGTGGTCCCCCTTTTACTAGATATAATAAAATATATGCTTTTTTATAGTAGTCTTTCTACCTTTATTAGAACCGGGGTTTTAATCTATCTACGCGATTACTTAAAACCCCGGTTTTAATCTACCTACGCGTTTACTTATAGCCCCGGTTCTAATATATCTACGTAAAAAGATTGGCTAGTTAGGTTGAAATTTTTTGGGGATAAAAAGAAAAATCTTAGGGTATTACTCTTACCTAATTATTTAGGTTAACGGGTTAGCCTATAGGTTAACCCGTTAATCTATTTCTTACTATCTAATAAGCTTCGTATATATTAGTAGAGTATCTTCTAATTAGTTATAAAATTTAGTACTAGAATAGTGCCGAATCCTATCTACTAATAAGAAATAAGTATTAGACCTATATATTCCCCTAAATCTACGATGATTTATCTTAGATTATTTTTCTATATCTCGAGTCCTTTATTTTAATATATTATTGCTATATCTCTTCTATACCTTAGTTATCTACCTCGTACCCTCCCTCTCTTATTAAGAGTGAGGGGTTTAAGTCATCTATTTTCTATTCTGATCAACTTCTCGATACCCTCTTAGAACTACTAGAAAGCCAGCAAACCGAGCAAAGCCTCCCTCCTATTATACCACTAACACTAAAACGATCCAACGATCGGAAAAAGACCTAGGTGATTTTTGATAGTATAAATAAAGCAGAGTTTTTAAACTAGTGGCTTAATACCTAAATTAGTGGTTCTTATAATACTACAAAGAAGATAAACTAGGAGGGTCCACAACGGACTAATATATAGTTGTATTTTAAT